CTAGCAGTTTCTCAGTGTTCGCACGCCTAGGTCCATTCCACTGGATACGGTTATCGGGAAGTCAGTCTGCGTTAGCAGAAGTCGAAGAGATGTCCAATTACCCAACCTTTCTATCAGGCCCCCAGCCTAATGCCATTCCCGATGGCATAGAGGTGAACAGCGTACCGGATTACAACATGTGACTACAGCAGGTTTACCCTACGCAAGCGAAACCGAATCATTACCAACATCAAACAACGCAAGAAGAACCCAGCAAAAGATATGGTATGATTTGTGGTTTACGCAAAGCAACGTATTGGCTAGTGGTCCTTTCTGGCCTCCTGCTCTGTGCTCTTATCGGTGTCAGTGGGGGGTTGGGAGCATTAGTTGCAAGCAAGAACTCGCAAATTGCTAGGTAAGCATCCTGAAGATGATCTCCATGTTTCCTAAATCAACTAATTAACTAAGAATAGCCTCTCGTCAAACACCTCATCCAGTGCGACGGCCGCTGTTGCAATCGACATCACTAAACCCGCTCCAACGAACACGCCCATTTCACCAGACAAATGCCCAGACACACCTTCCCAGACGCTATCTTACGAGATGCCTGGTACAAATCTTACTACCAAGAAAAATTGTGGGACAAATTATGCCTTCAACGACCTTTACGCGCTCAAAGCAGAAAATTTTGATGAGTGCTTGCGTCTTTGTTTGTTTGCTTACTTTAAGCCACAAGCTACCGCTAATCCATGCACGAGGATTGTTTACAATTATCAACACGAGCAAGGAACTAACAACAGCCAGTCTCTAGCTTGACCTTTGACTAGAGAGAGGTCAGCCATGAATACCTACTAACAGCTTGACCTACGTTTCCTTGTATCAATGATTGTTGCTTGTCTTGCTAGATTCCATACTGTTCCTATTGTCTTGTTTCATTATCCCTCAGCGTCACTTCGCGATGCTGCCGTGCCATCCGTCCGGCACACCAACGCAGTCCACCCTACCTGTATTACCCGGAACGGCTGACAGGAGGACTGTGGGAAAAAATAAACTTGCTTTGGAATGTTACATCAACTGCGCCACAAAGAAAATGCTTCAGTAATGAGAACCTTGTCTCGTTATATCCTTTTGCACTATGTAATTTAGCCAGGCAGCACCCCAACAGGCTAGGCCTTGACATCATTCTTGCTGAAAGCCAGTTGTTTTAGTAAATTGTATATTGCCAATACGTAGTAGAACACCCATCTGACGCAAGGCTCAACAGATGGTGAACAGTGACTCACGCCAATGCAAAAGTCTGGCTGCTCTCTCCATAACCCGCAGATTGGAAGTCCGCAATGCGAGGAGATTTGACAGAAATATCGAGACTTGATGCGGTAGCCAAAGATATAAAGCATTGTTTTCAAGACGTCAACCGATTGCTGTTCATTGACAGTGAGTCGTCTTATTGATGATTGAAGTCAATTATAGGACACGACAACTGTCAGAGTGTGCCCTGTCTGACGGCTTTCCGTTTCATGTCCAAACACTCCATCCCGATTTGACGTGTTTATTTCCGTAACTAGTCCTAAGGGGAAATCTCGCTTTGAAATGGATTTTTAAAGTTTACTGGCAGCGTCTGATCCCGAGTTGTTGCCGGCACTACGAGGCACAGGGCAATTCAGATAAATGTAGATGAACGATGAAGGTTGGCAGCAACTTTTGTCGCGATGGTTGATGACAGTCAGTCTCTGGGTACATTTGTTGATTTAATCTTCAATACGTGTTCTCTCTTCTCGTCTATATCCGTGAGAAGGGGGGCTTAATGTGAGATGCAAAGAGTATGCGTAAATAATCCAAGTCAGCTCGACAGAACAAGACTTGGTCATAGTCTGTAAGAAGACTAAAGAACCCATTTTTGCATTGAGAACGCTGGTTCAACACCAACGAACCCTATCTTTGCACAGCTTTGGTGTGCTGAGCCAGGTAACTTATGGATTTTGAATATGGTGCATCTCGCCTAGCCCACTTCGTGGGCCGTGTCTCTGCCGTCAAACTCTCATCCATAGTTCGTAGGCATAAATGGATACAATCACTGGATTGGCTGAGAGAATCAAGCTTCGTGTAACACCTACCATCCCTCATATCAGCGAGGAACTGGCTGGTCTGGAAATGGCTCAGAAACTTTATTCAGGCCACATTCTTACCGTTTCACCATATTTGCAGAAACTGTAAAGGCTGATTATTGGACGAGAAAAACGGACGAAACACTCTCGCACCCGAGGAGAAAAGCCAAAATCAGATGCCTTCGAGTCGGATAAGAAATGCCTCAACAATCGGTCTGACTCAAGCATGTTGGCCAGGGATACTGGATGGTAGAATTGCCCAATGAACCCAATCGACTGGGTCAGATGCGCTTGTTATTTATGGGACTCAAAAGGCGATCGAAGCCTGCCGCCCACCTGTCATGTTGTCTTGGTCTCCTCAATCCCTTCCGACGGCGCGGTGGCAGTTTTGACACTCTAGCATGTTATTCTTCGTCTGTTGACCGAATCAATATGAGAGAATCATCAGCCCTCCGCCTGATCGCAGGTATCGCCGCTCTCATCATCACCACGACAGCCGTCAAGATCCCTCAACCTGTCGGGCCGGGTCACGAGAACATTCAAGAACCGATCATATGGGCTGCTTGCCCTGGGGATATTCGACCCTTCAAAGGCAACAACAACTCCTTGGCCCTTCAGTGCACCAATTTCTCGGTTCCATTAGACCATAATGATCCCGGGGGCTCCCAGGTTCAACTGGGAATCGTCAAGTTACCTGCGCAAGGTAAGCGCATCGGCAACCTTTTTGTAAACCCTGGTGGACCAGGAGGGGCAGCATCGAGCATGGTTATTAGAATGGTTTCTAAGCAAATTTACATTGGTGACTCGGTGCGTCAGAGTTTTGATATAATCGGAATGGATCCTAGGGGTGTTGGTCTGAGTACACCGCAGAAATGTGACGCCAATCTGGTCAACCAAAACCAGCCGAATGAGTTCAATGCGACTACACCGGAAGGATTCCAGAGGCTTGTCGATTATAACAAAGCTTTCGGGGAGTCTTGTAGAGCCATGACCGGTCCAGTATTTGGCAACATGGACACTGTCTCGGTAGCTAAAGATATGGAAGCTGTGCGCGTCGGTAAGTGTGATCTCGTCCAAGGGTTGCGGTCGTTTTTTTTCTATCCTTTCCAAGACAGCTAATGCTTCTTCAGCAATTGGTAACGAGCCAATGAACTACTTCGGGGTATCTTATGGAACCCAACTAGGTGCTCAGTACGCTGCACTTTTCCCTGGTACAGTGCGTGCCATGGCGCTTGACGGGATTTTGCAACACACCGGCTCATATGCGTCAAACATCATAACGCAGGCAACGTCGTTGGACGCAACCATCCAGGAATTTTTTAGATTTTGCGAAGCCAACGCCGATAATTGTGGAGATGGTGGCCAAAACATCAGGCAGACATGGAATAAGGCTCTCGAAGTTGCCGCCGCGGGGAACCTCAAGGCTGCTGAGTGTGACGGAACGACCAAGACCCGATGTCATCCTGTAGCCACACCAAACAACATTGTTGGTGCCGCTCGATCTACACTGGAGTTTTCAGCAGACCAACAGACCTTCGCTGAAGCCCTTAAACTTGCAACTTCTGGCAACGGGTCTTTCTTCACGCAGGGTCTCCTTTCTGGGGATGTCTACAGAGACTCTCAGTTGACGTCCATAACGACCGTGCAGTGCCAAGATGGACATTTCTTCGCGGCGAAAGATCACATTGAGGTACAGCAAGTAGCAGATATGACTCGGACATTCACAACTACGCCAGGGATGGGAGAGTTTTGGCGTAGAGTCATCGACTGCACCGGGTATCCCGTTAATATTACGAATCCGCGGACAGCTTTGAAGATCAATGACACACAGAACCCGGTGCTGCTGGTTCATTCCAGATTTGACCCTGCAACTAGCCTCGTATACGCGGTTGGTATGACAGAGGAGTTTAAAAACGCAACTTTGGTTCTCAGAGAGGGGTCGGGTCATACAAGTTACTTAATGAAAGGCGATGCATCGCGAGTGGTAGACGACTACTTGGTCGACTTGAAGATCCCACCGCGAGGAACTGTAGTACAGAGCTAATATTTGAGCATATAATTGTAAACAGCTCTTATCCAACGTTCAATTAGTTCAAGTTGCAACAGCATAAGGGTATGAGTCAGCGAAAAAGAAGAAAAAAAAACCCGCCCTAGACTCTAGATACAATGGAGTGTTTCCCACAAGCAACCGGTATAAATACTCATCAAAGTCAGGAGCTAATTGGTCTTCGCTTTTTGTTGGATACGATCAAAACTCAAGAACATGCCAATTAATCAAACCCTTTGGAACTGGGTTGGCATTAATGACCTTGCACATTTGATAGTCAGAAAGCTCTTTAGATGGCTGGTTTTGCTGAGTCAGCAGCCGCTGATTTAAACAACCAGCAGCAGTAGTCGGTTATCGAAGTAGACGAGCTCTTTGCCTGCTCAAGTATGTTGCTCCTCATTATTGAGTGACCGTCTCCAATGGCATGCATTAAAGAACGCATAGATGGGCTGGATGTTCGTCAACGTTCACGTTTCTGAGAAGTATGTATGCCATTTTGCAAAGGGTCATTACTGTGGAAGAGTCGTTATTCAAGAGAACACTACATGACCATCATGTCGAGTGATTTTAAGATTCCCAGGGTATAATCCCAAACTTTCTGGTTGCCGTGCTGGCACCCTCATATGCGCTTGTAAGAATGCTTCGGATTCACTATTATCCTTCAATAACATGGTAGTTGGAGCAAATCCTGAATACAGCGTTCTTAATTTTCTTACCAAAGAAACACAAAACATTTATTGGTCAAGGATGGTATACAATCGGAATTGGATCTTCGTCTCCCTATAAGTGTTTTCTTGAAAGCTTAGGGTGCAATGGCCACACTGCCATCTCGTGAGTCCTACTCAATCCATCACACATACAAACTCTGACTAAGCTGCGCTGGTTGGGGGCGCCTGCAGCACCCATTCGCCAATTATCTTGATAGTCTTTTGCGTCTTGATCTGGGCATCTTCAATAAGCACAGGGTCGCGAACAAGTCCTTCGAGGTGTTGGTCGAATCCGTGGACGGTATCAGGTACCAAAAGCCACCTGTAAACGCTTCCGTCGGCATTCGAAACCTCGAAGTGGAACCTCTCGTCGTCTAAAATGAGCTCCCCCTTCCCCACAGTCTCCTGTTTTCCGACGGTTGCTGGCGGTGGAGGACGGTCTGCGAGTCGATGAATGAGTCTCTGGCCCTCATGAGCGAGCATGTCAAGCTCGCAGGCAATGATGAATACGCGCTTTGGCAATGCGTCTTTTGGAGCAAAGCAAGGGCTCAGGAGAGGATTGCGACTGCTCTCTCCCGGAATCTTGTAGGCCCAATCAAACGTCGGAGCCATGCCAAGCAGGAAGTCTCTGTCTTTTGCACGGAAGCCACCCAGGTCAGGCTTATACCGCCGCGATTCAGCCTTGTCCTCTCCCTTAATCGAGAGATCGGCCGCAGGATACAACGGGACGATGCAAGTTAGGTGTTTTCTGACGCTCTCCAGCTGTGCGACTGCAATGGTCAAATTGCCGCCTGCGGACCAACCGAGGAGAGAAACCCTGGTCCGGTCCAGGGGAAGCGATTCATCGTTCAACGCGGCGAGAAAAAGAGCTTCGCAGTCATAGATTGGCTTGGGAAAGGGGTTGGCCGGAGCTTTGCCGTAGTTGAGGGCAACGACAATAGAGTGGTGCAGCGAGGCATACGTCTGATTCCAATCATCATTGTCGTTGGGCGTCCCGAGCACAAACCCACCTCCATGGATCGTGAAAAGAGCTGGCAGCTGGTCTTTGGACGTTTTGTCAAAGCATTTGGGGAAGAAGATTCTTGCCATTTGTTAGTATCAGCGCCAAAACATGCAAATAATCCGATGAGACTTACCTGACTGGCAGATGCGGTCTGCACTCGTACGTCTTCACGAGCTCGGGTCGATTCTCAGGCGGGATGATGTGTGCTTTGACATCGCGGACGAAGAGCGCTGGCTTGACAAAAATATTTTGGATCGCAAAAGCTGTAGCCCCGTGCCTGACCTTTGACAAGAGCGGCAGCTCTTGAATGCGGTAGGCATCGTCTGTGTTGTTCTGATTTTCGGCCATTGTTGAGCGCGACACTGAGTTGAGCTGAGTTGCTTGGATGCAGGATGCAGGGCTCGTGTGTTGCAGCAGTAGAAGTCGCAGTGTAAAAGCGGGCGGGGTTGAGACGGGGCGCGGGAGTCGCTCGGTAGTTGTACAAATATGCACCTCGGTTTCGCGGTCGGCAGGCTATGGCAGGTTTTGAAGCCGAGTACGAAATAAATACGAAACGGCCCTCCGCGGGTTCGATTGCGTGGTACATGCTCAAGACGTCATGCTCGGTTCTCCTGGAATAAACCGATTTCGCACGTTAGGAATCGAAAACATCGAATTCGAATTCCGAGACTGCTGTTGCAGCCGAATTGTTAGCCGGAACTGCCGGCCACCTAGGACAGACCTCGGCTTTTTTTTTATGAGGCACTGAATCATTAGAACCCCGTTACCATTTCCCTGGCTACGTCACATTGTGACAGTCTATGGGAAGTGCAGGCGAAATTGCACAGCCGGAGCGAAGCTCATACGCACGCATTGGCTTATGCGCTAACATTGGATGGAAGATGAATCGTCGTCAATGAGAAGTTGCAAGTCAATTACAGCGATCGAGTCACTTCAGGGAGTTCGATCTAGATTCAATCCTGGTTCAGAGATTTATCCTTATCCAGTAAGCGATCTACTAACCGGAATGCGCCGTCCTTTTCACTCCTGATACTGAGAATGTGGCAGCACTAAACGGGCTGTCTGCTGTTAAAGAAGTTTTTGACTGTTTTAAGTACATCCCCTCCAGAGATTACAGAATCTGTTCGCAACATAGAGAGCGTAAGCCATGCTATTCTGGACCAAAGCTCCTAGTAAATGGTTGAAAAAGGAAAAATGAAGAAGGAAAAAGAAAGAAAAAAGATTTACGCCGGCCAGCTAGCATGGTCCAAGATTTTGAGGGACTTATCTACAGATAGCTTCGACCGATGAAGCCGAACCTGGTCTCATTTCCTCTGACATAGGCCAACTTAACATGTGCAATTTATCAAACTGGCACATCAGCTATCACCGCTGAAAGGCTTTCTCGGACCGTCATAACGCCAACATCTATCTGAACGGCAGCTGAGCATCGGTAATAGAGGAAAGCACCGGGAAGGACGGTTGGCGGAGAAAGAAACATATTGAAGCAGCTTTGGGAGTCGGAGAATTACGAGAGGACCTGCTGTTCGTGTAAGAATCATCAGAATATTATCCAGGAGATCAGATGAACAACAGATAAAAAACTTGCAATAGGCCCATACTCTCATTAGCAGATCTCTCAATTCACACAGGTCGAGGCGGCGAATCTTCGGCGGACCGAGTATGTCAAGCACCCCGTCACGCTAAGTTACGTGAAACCATTGCCTGGGCAGCTTAAGACTGAATGGGACGAATAAAGTCTCGAAGTCCAGCAAGCCCGGAAGGCGCCACAGGCTTGGGACTAAGGGCAAGACAAATAATCCGGTTCTCTATCGTCCAACATGTATAAGAATAAGGGTTCAAAGCATGTCGGGTTCAGAACAATGTTTCCGAAGGATTTGCTAGTGACTAGACTTCGCCGACACCGGCATTTTAAGCCATATCTTCCACGGGCCCTCCCCGGAGTCCAGTCTCGCCTCAAGCTGATATCGGGCAGTCACCGCAAGGCTAGAGAAGATAAGCAAGGGCGCTAACGCGTTGCAGGCTCCGCCATAGTGGGCCTTTGCGGGGATGCTCATGGTGATGGCTTCAATCTTCGGCGCGATGTAGTCCAACGTCCCGAGTGATCGGAACCAGGAACTCGTGGCTCCCCGCTTTTCCCCCGACCACCCTTATCTTTTGAGGCATTTCGTCGATCTCAACACGGGTTGGTACCATGCGACAAGTATATAAATGAGTCTTCAGCGAAATGGTTTTTCTCCCATTGTTAGTTCTGGGTGATGAGCTTCTATCATACACAGTCAAGTTTTAAAAACAGAAGTATGCTTCGATCAACCATTTTGTTGACGCTGGGTGCGCTCAGCACTTGCTGGGCACACTTTGTGGTCCCCAACGATGACCAAGACATGTCAGGCCTCACGGTTAACTCGATTCCCGCTACGAAGAGAATAGAATATATGCGAAAGGTCAGTAGAGTTGTTCCAAATTTACCATCCTCAGTTCACTAACAATTCCCCAGGCAAACGAGGCGCTATACCGACAAAGCGGACCGTACGTCCCTTCGCGAATTTCGTTTGCACTCGCCTACGTGTGCTAACATCTCTTATCAGCTGCCCTTTCGCCGCGTTTGGCACTATTATCGTGAACCATACTAGTGATGAAGTCGTCTGCGAGGGGGCAAACTTCAGGACCGGAGATCCGACAAGTATGTTTAGCGGAACGATCTGACAGCCCAGTCTAACAAACGCCAGTTCATGGAGAGATATCAGCTATCAACGCATGCGCGGCCAAGTTCGCTGCCCAAGGAATGACGCCTACGTAAGACGTACCGAGCATCCTTCCATCGTTTGTTTTAGGCCTGACTTGTTGGTAGTGAGATCTACGCCGCCTGGGGAGACCTTTCTATCTACACGAACGCGGAGTCATGTCCGATGGTACTATAACCGCTTCAGAAAACATATGAGACTTGATAGCTGACATTTCCCAGTGCGCGAGTGCCATTCGTTGGGCAGGTTTCAAGGGTGAGTTGAGATGGTATAAGGCTATTCGACGAAACTAACTTCGTTCCTTTAGAATACGTCTACGGAACCACGATCCAGCATAACTACAACGTCGGCTGGGGCGTGATGACTCTCAGCAGCGTAGGAACACCTGTCGCCGGCCTGCATTCCCAGACACTTGCTGACTTTAGCCTCGCAGTACGACGTCTTCCAGCAGTCTCGCCAGCTCCCCGGCTATCAGACCGTCATGCTTGGACAGATCCTGACCAACGAGACGGACCCTCTGTTTTCATGGCAGTACAACGGAAGCGCACCTTGCCCTAACGGATGCTTCCGAGTTCCCAGCGCCGCGAGGGGTGGAACCACGTGCTCAAACGTGACTGTATCTCTGAGGGATTACGAGGCCTTGTGAACTTTCGTGGGCTGATAGTGGAATGACGATTGCTGCAGCTTGATGAGGCTACGTGGTCATTCACTTTATTCCAAGGTAGAACCGCAGTTCAATGATTAACTCAAATTTAGATCTAGTTCCTTGTATGCTCTCTTATATATCCGTGTCTTTCTGTCTCCTCATTAGATAGAACGCCCTTGCAACTCTCTATCAACTTGCATCGCAACGCTCCCTCCCAATTATGGTATCCTCAATTGGTAACAATGCATGCGCTATATCTGAAGGTCACACTCGCAGTCACTCAGCTGCGAACTTTGAAGCGACATCAATGAGGGCGTTTCTGTGGGTGTCCCAGTACTTAGGAAGCTCCATCATGATCTCGTACACCACCTCCGGCGCTTGGCAGCACAGATCCTTGTATCCAGGCATAACGCGGACCAGGCTAAAGTCTGCGACGCACGTCTGGACGAACAGCTTCCGGATCTTGTCGCCGGGGAGTGTGTTTTCGAATGCAAATGCAGCCGCATCGAAGAGGAGCTGGTACCCAGCGTCGCTCAACTTCGCACGCACTAGGGAGCAGTGTAGTCGGTGGAGGCAGAGCTGCTTGAGCTCACGGACATCGTACTTGTCGGCGAAGATGTACACCTTGACGTGATGGGCGCAAATCTCCCCAAACTGTCGATTGGCTACCATCAGGTCGAAATTTGCTTCCAAGTCTGGCTTCTCGTTGGCCGGAAGCGCAGATGGCTTGCCATACAGCTTGCCTGTGCATCCCTGATGCACGAGTGACTCCATGTACTGGACGTAAGGGGCCGACTTGCGATTGCTGATTAACAAGGTAACCTGCTTAGAGACGTGATCTGAGATGGAATCGTAGTCGCCCTCGGGAACAACCGCAATTTCTTTATCTTTTGCACCCGCCGCGGACTCATGGCTTTTTCGTGCCATGGGTACTTCGTAGTTTCCATATATGGTATACTTGATGAAGCTTGTAAAGACCCGCGGCTCGAGTTCGTCTAACTCGACGACCGCTTCTTGTGACTCGCGCATGCCATTCGTGAGCATCTTCTTGAATACTCCTGAGCATGAAACCACAAGCTTCTCGTTAACGTGAAACGCCTTTCTTTCGGGTCCAACAAGAAACCTAATGACGCGGGAGGTCAGGACGCTTGAGTGAAAAGAGTGATTAGCTGATAATCGAGTCAAGTTTGGAACGCTGTCTTACCTCTCGATGTCATCGATGCTTCTAGTCGCCATTTCCATTACAAAGGTTTCTGGGTATATTGCCACTTTGAAGTGGTTGATTCACTGGGGTATGTTTTCTGGGAGGGGGGCAAATTAGACAGGGTGAAGAAATAGTGAAGAACTCCCGCGTGAAGGGTACTTTAGAGGGGTTATGATGTAGAGGAGGAAGTTGCAAACGAGTTCGTGTGCGCTTATTGTAGGGCACTAAGGTCTGCAGTGACTTGGAGAGTCGAATAGTAGGCACGATGTGGTGTGTGGTTTGCTGGCGGGTCTATGGCTCTTGCTGTTCTTATGAGGCAGTCGAAGATGTTGGAAGGGAAAGGTTGAATGTTTCTTGTTTTGTCAACTCAGTCAGCAAACAAGAGAGCCAGGGCAGCCTGAAGTGGATGGTGGGTGACTATTGTCGGTTGGTGAGCTTGATTGGTGATATGTGAAGGTTCTTCTGTCTTGACCGAGGCTCACTTGCAAACGAGTTGAAGGAAGCCAAGTGACGAGGCAAGAGGAAAACGGTATCGTAGCTTCCTGTGTATAGCCGCTATGCATTGAACCTTGACAAACTGCAATAAGGAGTTGAGTTTACTGAGAAGAATGCGTCGAGCTGGCTTCAATTGATGCTAGAGTTAATGAAGGAGCGTGTTATATGGATTGATATTGACGAAAGCTGGCTTGTCTTTAAGGATCATGAATTCACTCAAGGAAGGCGGAGTCTAGTTACCTGCCCCAATAAATGAGGTCTTGGGAGTAGGCGTGGGGCAGGCAGTTAGTAGAAGTACCAAAGTTTTAAATCCTCTCAAACGATTTTAGCCTCCATAGATTCCTTCTTGATACTTGTAAGCAGAGCATCGGATGGCTATCAAAGCCAGAAGATAGATGTCTCATGCACCTTGGACTCGGCTTTGCAGGACTCGACGATGAATCTTTGGATGCAGGACTGTGGAATCCTGCGTTAGGTCAGTATACTACATCTGTTTAGACCGTCTCCGTAAGAGGTGACATACTTCTCAACTTACTGTGTTGCCGTTGAGAGGCGTGGTGGCATATAGACGCTGAGTTTTAGCCCGACTGAACATTGTTCCGCTTATGATGCAGAATTTGGAATGTTGTAATATGATTTGTAGGGAAAAAGTTTGTTGCCCAGATTGAAGATATACAGGTTTAGATAATAGTTGGTCCTCAGTCGCTTCCCACGAGCACCCGCAATGTCCTTCACAGATTTCTACACATCCCTTACCCATTTATTTCCAGCGACACATGTGTCAATCGTCCAAGTCTACAGTCTCAAGCTCAAGCGCACCAATACAGCTACTTTGTACTTTGTAACTCCTACCTACGCTGTTGCATCTTGCACAAGGGATTGAAACGTCAACATCTTCATCCTTGGTACGCGTCTTGTGCGTTTGGTCTCTGCCCAGCCTCCTCCTGGACTCCGCTAGAGCGCAGCCTCCCACATCATCTGAGGAACTTCGAGTAGCAGCTCGGTCGCGAAATCCGGCAGCTCCTTGACAAACCGATCGAGGTATCCATGCCGCTTCAAGTGGTTCATCTGGAAAATGCAGTATCGAATGAGCATCATTCGGAGTTCGTCGTTCGGTGCCGTGTTTGCGTACGCAAAGCGAAGCATCTCGCTCAATGCCTCGCAGAACTCCGCCCTAAGTACCACGTTGATCAAGCTCTCGCGAAGCCTTTGTAGACAGAGATTCCTGAGGGACTTGAACTGGTACCGATCTGCGAGGGCGTAGAGTTTGACGTGCAGCATGAAGACGGTGGAAATGCCGGTGCAATCGTTCCTCTGAAGTTCATCGTGCCAGTACGGTTGGGGTCCAGGAAACATCTCCGTCTCAAAGTATAATCTGCCGTAGCACCACTTGCCGAACCTGGTGCAATCGCCGTATCGGTCGTCGTTATCCATCATCCAGGTCATGATGGAACAAATGGACCACCAGTCGTCCTCGTCACTGAGATCGGCCGGGTCAGGCTGGTCTGGCGGTACTTCAATCACAGGCTTTTTCCTGGGAAGGCGAGGGATCGAATAGTCTCCGTTGTACGCAAACTCCAGCAGGCTAGTGAAGATTGCGGGCTCGATGTCATCCCAGATCACCTTCGCCTCCAGAGACTCCTTCATACCTCCAGTAAGCATGGCACGAAGGGGCTCCGACAGACGTGTGAAGGCATGCTGATGGACGCTGAACTCGACCTGGTTTGGCCCGACGAGAAAAGTAACTTGTCTCGATTTGAAGATGCTGGTCATGGTTAGATCGAGTGCAAAAAGCGCAGGGTTTAAACCGTCTTACTCCTGGATGGTTCTCTTCCTCTTGCGAGGATTATCATCTAGCGTGGACACCATCTCGGCTCGCCGGCAATGGCGGCTTGAACGGGATGTGGGAGAATGAGCAGAAGCAGAGGCTTCGATAGTCGAGAATTCAAAGTAGAGCCTGAGGTAAGTGGCAGCCCGGATGAGGAAGAATAATAAAGGTTGAAATAGAAAAGTAGATTCGTAGCGGGGTGCAAGTCTAGGTCAGCGCACTGCCGGTGTGTCAGAGGAGGGGCCGACGGAATGCTGGGTGTCTCCAGAGAGCAAGAACGCAGAATAGCGCCGATCTGGTGCATCTCTACGTGTATTGTGCCTTCGTTGCCTGAACACGAACATTCCACAAAGCAACCACGGTGACGGTGTAATACTGGATGGTCCAAGTGGGGCTTTCGCATCATACTTGTTGAAAAGAGTTGACGGACTTTTTGTCCAGTCATACAGGTCATTTCTTCGCGTTTCTAGCTGTTCGGGCGCGCAGTGGAGGGTCATTTGACATCTGAGAGAGTTTTATGAGCAGCATGGCTTCGTCCGCTCAACCCGTTCAAACTCCAAGTAAAGGATTTTGACTCGTTGGCCTAGGACGTGGCGACACCAATCGAGAAAAGGCTGTTTTCTTTGGAAACGTTTGTGCTATGACGACGTATATGGTTCTCTGTCTCATTTTCTAGAAGACGAGTAGGTGTCTTCGCCGGGAAGCATCACAGTCCGGATTCTGAGGCTGGTCTCCGTAGCCATAGTTGTTCCCGCATCAAGCTTCAAACGGAAGTTCCTTCCGTTGAGTGTGTATAGCTAAGCGTCGTTTGTTTATAAAATCCAAGTAAACTTCTTGGTGGACGTTCCCTCCTCCAAAGCATGCCCATCTTTGAACATTCTCCAATATTCTATTTGTGCTCTCCAGAAATTGAGACCCCTAGCGCTTTCTATTTGATCCTAGCACTCTCATCATGTGAAATCGGCGCTGCAATGTCTGGTACCTATTCGCCAATGATTCCCGTCCAGTACTTCGGTGGGACCATAAGCATAAGGGCAGCGGATATCTGAGGGGTACTTTTGAAGACCTCGAATACTTGCGGTGAATCCATTGAGCCAGAAGAAAGGGAACGAGGAGGCCGCGCAGCATCGCGCTCAGATTGGGAAACGATCTTCGCGTCCGATGCCTATTTTCTGGCCTCACCAAATGCCGCCGAACCTGCCCGGTTTAAGCAAGTGGACTAGATAGGACACGATATGAGCAATAGTTGGTTTCTATGTGCGCCAAGACTTTACACAAAGTTCAATAGCTTATGTCCAAGGACAACAAAATAAAGGCCTGGGTCGACATGAATCCAGATCTAGGTGTTGATGAGGCTTCTCGCGGAATATGCAATCCACAGAATACGCAGCCTCCGTCTCTCACATACTCTCAAATCACTAATGTTGCGCATGGGAAGTTTAACAGCGTCTGTTTGAGGGCAAACCCCTTTGGGTTGATCACAGTCGTGATCTGGTACTATTAGATACAATTCAGACACCGTCCTGCTTCCATGCTGCCGATCGGTCGGGGCCCTTACTGAGGGATGCCCAACTCCTTGTAAAAGGATTCGGTGCTGGGCTTGCGGCCGAGGAACTGCTCCAGGGTCAACATCTCTTCCTGGCTGCCGCCCTTCTCCAGGACGGTGTGTCTGTAGCGGCGGCCCTCCTTGCCGTTCATGGGGTCGGCCTTGAAGACGGAGTAGAACATGTCGGTCGAGTAGACCTCGGACGAGAGGTAACCGTAGTAGCCGGCATCGTAGCCTCCGATCAAGTGACCGAAGCAGGCTTGTCCGTTACCCCAGGTGCTGCAGCTGTTAGCGCATTGGTCATCAGATGAATCAGGTTGAGCATCAGCATACCTCTTTTCGCCCTGAGCCTCGGGACCCTTGATGCCGGCAATCTGGCCGCGAAGCTCGTTGTAGACGGCCGACAAGTCCATGTTCTTGATCTCATCATGGCTCTTGGGAGTGTGGACGGTCATGTCAAAGGTGCCAAAGTGGAGCTGGCGCAGGTTAAAGAGCGCAGCGTTGACGTGCTTGGTGGAGATTTGCTTCTCGATGAGGTCGTCGGGGATCTTCTCACCGGTCTCATAGTGCTGAGAAAGCGCCTTGATGACGCTGGGGGTCCAGCACCAGTTTTCCAACATCTGCGAGGGCGCCTCGACGAAGTCCCTGACGGTGCTGGTACCATGGAAGCGGCTGTAGGTGCAACGGCCAGCAAGGTCGTGGATTCCGTGACCCAGCTCGTGGAAGAGCGTGACAACCTCGTCGTGCTTGAGGAGTGAGGGCTTCTTGGGCGTGGGCTTGCTGAAGTTGCAAACCAGAGCCGTGGCGGGGTATCTCCGCGAGCCGTTCGCTTGCAGGTAGCCAGGCTGCAGGTTGAAGTTGGCGGCGTGGCCGTACTTGCCCTGGCGGGGGTGCAGGTCGAGATACAGGTAGCCGACGAAGCCTTCTCCCTCGGAGGCATCGTCCCAGACGCTAAAGATGATGACGTCCTCGTGCCAGGCGATGTCCTCGCCCTTGCCCGTGGGGCTCAGGGCCTTGCGGTCCTCAGGCTTGAGCTCAACAAAGACGAAGCCCAGCAGCTCCTCAAAGATCTTGAGCATGCCGGCAATCGTCGATGTGATGGGGAAGTACTCGGCAATCTTGTTCTCGTCGATGCTGTATTCCTTCTCAATCATCAAGCGGTCGTAGAACTTGTGGTCCCAGAGGTAGTAGTTGCCGTCGTTGGCAACCCCCCGGGCCTCGGTATCGGCCTTCTTGAGCTCCAGGAGGTGCTCGACCTCCTTGGCGCCACCGGCCGTCAAGCGGGAGCGGAGGTCGCCCAAGAAGTCGGTGACGGTTTTGGTGGTCTTGGCCATCTTGTCCTCGATTCGGAGGGAGGCGTGGTCAGGGTACCCGAGCATGCGGGCAGCCTCATCACGGAGGATGATGGCCTCCTTGAACAGAGGGACGTTCTGGTTGCACTTGTTCTCGTTCTGGATGAAGACCTTGCGCCTCGTATCGGGGTTCTTTGCGAACTTGAGGGTGGGGAAGAGGTCGGGGTACTTGAAAGAAAGCTTGAGCTTGCCCTCGTTCTCGCCGGTGCCCTTCTCCAACCCATCAAGGACATCCTGGTGCACACCGTCCAGCTCCTCGGGCGTGAACCAGATGCCGCCATTCTCCTCGTTGAGGTTCTTCTGGAACTCGATCTGGATCTGACTAAGGCGCTTCTTGATCTCCTTGAAGCGATCGCGCTGGGGTCCGGCAGGCAGACCCAGGCCCATCTTGACATAGTTCTTGTAGTCCTTCTCGAGCAAACGCAGGCTCTCCGGGTCCAGGCCCTCCGAGTCCTTCTTCTTGTAGATGGCCTCAATCAGCTTGTACACATCCTCCCTCATGTTCACTTCGATGGAGAACTCGTCCATGATGGTGTCGGCCTGGGTCGAAGCCTCGCGCAGGGCGGCGTCGCTCGAGACGTACTGGTAGAAGCCCAGGATGCGTGTCGACAGTCCGCTCTCGTTCTCGTCCTTGGCAATGGGTCGCATGACATTGTCGAAGCTGGCCTTGTCGACGGGGACCTCGGCGACGAGCTTGTCGAGCAGGGCCCGGGTCTGGTCGCAGATCTTCTTGGAGTCGCCGACGATGGACTCCTTGGTGCCCGTGAAGACGGGGGGCGCCTGGGGCGGGGACTTGTACTTGTCGGGGACCATGGTGCTAGTCATCAAGGGGCGGTATGTCGAGGTGGCAGGTGTGGCGAAGAGGGGGACCTGCACTGGTTTGAAGCGCAGCTGGGCGAAGAGAGAAGTGATTCTCGGGACTGCTCTGGGGGCCGCCAGGATGAGGGCTGTGACGAGGAATATGAGGAGAAAGGCGAAGGAGAGGAGGGGTAGGCGCTTGGAGGATGCGGTCGACGCCACGGCGACTGGACGAAACGCGGTTCGATCAGTCGGTCGGTTGGGTGTCGGGGCGGGGGAGGGGGAGGAGGGGGAGCGAGCTGCAGGGCCAAGGTCGATGCAGATGGATGCGGTGGAGGTTGGATGCCGTAGTAGCGTGCGTGGTCAGTGTAATTGCACAAGTACAATGAAACAACAGCAAGGGAAAGGTAGGAAGATAAGGTAGTTAGGCAATGAGTGGACTGAGGGCGGTGACTTGCAGGAGCTTTGGACGGGGGGGCGATGTTAAACGGTGGACAGTTTGGGTGTGTAAGTGGACGAAGACGAAGGTTCACGGGTTGGAGGATCCATTCCAGGTCAGCAGCTGCGAGCTTCGAGCTCCCGCGCTACGACGTCCCAGGCTGCGACGCCCCACGCTGGAGCAGGCGTGGGTCTCACCGTCTTAGAGTGAGCGGTGATGAAGTACTCTGTACCCCAGGGCGATTGGGCACGCTATGCACCCCACCAATGGGCCTGCACTACCGTTTATTATTATTTTCATTGCAATCTACCAAGTTGGAAGAAAACCAACACGCCATGGCGACAAGAATTGTCGGGGTTTGAGCATGTTCGACGGGGCTGAATTCTGGCGCCAGTATTTCGTCTTCGTTGCATTGAAAGGACCCTCTGGCGGCCTGCAGGTCCGGACGCAGGCCACATCGCCTGACGGGAGCGAGCTTACATAAGACATGCGCACCAGCCCATTTCGTGCGGGGTCCTTTGTTGCCGGGCAGACGAGCCAGGGCCTGGTGCAACATCATGGCTAATCAACATGGGCGGGTCGCGATGACTGCGTGGGATGGTGGGAAATGGATTCACGACGGTTGGCATCCAGAGGATCCGTCCGGCTCTGCAGATGACGCTGGGAAAGGCATATTCGCGGACATCCGGAGAGACCTCTAGATTCATCCCAAGATGCGCAGGTGGACAAGCACAATCCCGGTCAACCCAGGCACTTCATGCACGCCTCCGCGGAAACAGTCAGTTTTGGTATCATGGTATTTGTATCTTTTGGTGTCGGCTCCTTTTCAGGCCCGACACGTGTCTGTGTGTGTATGTGTGATCCAGAGAAAAGCCTCTGCTGAAGAGCTCAACTCCAGGATACCCAGATTCCCTACAATAGCGGAATAACGCAATCGCAAACGCAAAGCAAACGCCATTCCCGTCGTGCCAGCCATGCAAAATGTCCTCTTCTTCTTTTGTCCGTCAGCTGCCGGCCCGTCCCGTCACTGGTCTCGTCGTCTTGTGTGGTCGTACATCGCTCGCTCAAATCCCCCGAATCGTGTCTCGTCTCAAGGTTGTCGGACGCGGGCGATCTAGTTGGCGAGGATGGTGCGGACAAGCTCTGCGGTGGCGCCCAGTCAGTGGTCGGTCTCTTTGGCCGCGTGCGACAGACGGGAGATGCTTACCGGTGTAGTTGACCTGGCCGGAGCTCGTGTCGACGGCCTTGAGCAGCTCGTCGACCTCGTCGTCGGTCATCTTCTCACCGAGGTTGGTGAGGATGTACTTGAGCTGGCCGACGCCGATGAAGCCCGTCATGTCCTTGTCGAAGACCTGGAAGCCGCGGCAGTACTCCTCGGGCTCGCCGGGGTCGCGGAAGCCGCCGGGGCGGTTGAGGATGCGCTGGAAGGTCTCAAAGTCGACTGGCGATGGCCCGTTAGTGGTGCGTCCCGCGTGTCTGCCCAGCTCTGTCGGATATCCGAGAGAAAAGCTGGTTCTGGCGGATGGGAAACTCACAGTCGCCTCCAATGTTCTTCTCGAGGTCGCGGATCTCGGTGAGAGTGGGGTTCTGGCCGCAGGCGCGGAGCAGGTCGCCCAAGCTGTCGATGGCGACACGGCCGTTGCCGCGCTTGTCGAACAGGGAGAAGGCCTCCTTGTAGTTGGTCGAAGCCTGAGCGTCGTACTGGTTAGAAGCCATTGTGAAATTATGTGTCTATGTGTTTTTGTGCTGTTCTGCGCAAGAGTTTCGCAAAGTCCCGGTCCTCTGATGCGATCAGTTTCGGTTGACGAAAGGGGAGTGGAAATTCTCGGATGCGACAGTTTGTAAGAGTGGGAAAATGTTGCAGGTTAAGGAATGTCGTGATGGTGAGGTCCGAGTCGGAAAAAGGATGCGAATAGATTGGCGCTGGCTGCTGACCGGAAAGCGTCGTCCCCCCCCCCCCCCCCCCCCCCCCCACGTTTGGCTTTGCTGTTTCCGTTGTTTGGGTTGATCCTGTTGGCTGGTGAATGGGGGCCACTGGCGCCGACACTTGGGCTGACGGTGCTGTATCTGTTGCTTCCGCAGGTGTCGTAGCCGGGCTCTCTGCAAGGTTCGCCGCTGAACCAACCAGGCGCTAAGGCAGGTTTTTTCCCGTCGTCGACAAAAGGGGGCAGCCGCTGAATGGCTGGAATCGTTGGCCCCCTTTGTTTACATTCCGGAGGTGGGAAGGGAAGGGAAAAGGGGGGTCGGATCGGGTTCTCTCCTCGCACGCGGGGAAAACAAAACAAAAAAGCAACGCAATTTGGGGGTGGGAGGAAGCTCCTAGGAGGACGGGACGGGATGGAACTCACCATTGTGTGTCGGTCTGTGTGATGTGGTACGGGAAGCCGAGGAGAAAAGGTAAACAAAGGGCAATGGATGCTCTGTTTCTCACAGGAAAACTAATTGGACAGGAGAACGGCGGCGGTTCGTGATGTTGTTTCTTGGAGGTTGCTCTCTGGCGGTCGAAACACTTTATGCCCGCCGTCTCCCTCTCCTCCCTCGCTCCCGTTATCCGTATTCTGTATTTTATTTTTATTTTTTTATCCAATGCATCCAGCGTACTTATTCAAGTCAAGGGGCCATGGGCATTCCCAGTCACCGTTATTCATGCGGCGGTGTGCGCACACACACACACACTCTCTCCCAGGCGGTTATCGAAAGGCCCCTGGGCACTACACTGAGACTGGGGGAGGAAAGGGAAGGGAACGGGGCAGAGGCGGTCAGGCTTGCAAACACAGTGCATCCTTTTTCCAACACGCAGCCCAAACTCCTGAAACCTGACGGGGCAACCACACAATGGAAACCTACCATAAGCTGGCGGCGATGGGGGCCGAGTGGGGTCTCTGTTGCTGGCGCGGTGGACCCCGTGGAACAAGCCGACAATCTCTGGCTCATGGTTCCCGTGGCCAATCACGGCTCTTGAATGAGTTGCTAACCCTTGGCTTGGCCGTCATCAATGTCCACCAAACCAGTGCCAATATAATGTTCTGTCATGGCTCGCTCGACTTGCACAGCACTATCGGACATTGGTTGTCATGATATGCTGGACAATCAATGCACCCACAATGTGCAAACGTACGTATGGCATTTCATAAACGAGACCGTCCAAAGTCAGCGCCTGGCTACAAACTAGCACGTTGCGGTTCGTCCCGACTCTCCCAGAGCCCCCATTCTGGGCCTCGCCTGCGAGTCATCCCTCGCCACGTCGCCTGTCGAGAGAGCTTTTGCTACTCCACGCGTTACATACAGTGGTGTACAATACAATCCATTCACTTCCTCTTGGCCAGGATGATCGTGGTGCCCCAAACCGCCTCGACCTCGACATCCCGCCACTTGTCCCCCTTGGCCTTCCACTCCTGCACCGTCTCGAGCAACCGATCAAAGAGCAGATCCGCAATGTCCCCCGTCCCTCCCTCCGCTCGGCTCTTGACCTCGGGGTGTGCGTCCCTCCACCCGCGGTACGCGCTAAAGGTGCGCACGTAGCCCTCAAACTCCCCCAGCTTGAGCGTCTTGCGCTGCCACGCCGCCTCCGGGTCCACCTCGGCCCCGATCTGCGACGTCCGCCGGTCCGGGTCGTACACGATGCGCTTGACCCCCTCCCACTCCGACTCGGGCGGCACCACCGCCTCCAAGTTGTCCCTCAGGATCAGCCGCCCAGGCTTCTCCCAGTACGGCCCCATCGTCTCCCACCCGCTGCCCGGCGACGCCTCGCCCTCGCCGTAGCAAAAGTGGTCAAAGATGTCGTTGACCTCGGGGAACCCGACGAGGATGTTATCCTTGTACCCCCAGAACGCCAGCGTGCCGCCGCTGCGCACCACGCGCGCGAGCTCCGGCCACACCTTGGCGTAGTTGAACCAGTGCGCCGCCTGTCCCGCGACGACGAGGTCCACCGACTTGTCCTCGACGAACGACAGGTCCTCGGAGCTCGCCTGCCGGAACGTGATTTTGGGATCCTGCGTCGAGTCGGCCGCCTGCTTGACCATGCCCGCACTCGGGTCGATGGCGATCACTCGACCAAAGTGCGGCGCAAGCTCGCGCGCGATGAGGCCGTGGCCGCAGCCCAGGTCCAGCGCCGTGCCGTTCTTGGACGACGGGTTATGGTAGGCCAGCACCATCCGGAAGAGCGAGGCCGGGTAGGACGGGCGGAAGGCCGCGTACCCGGCTGCTGAAAACGTCGATCGCCTATTGTACGCAGGTCAACATGCAAGCTCTGTGTGACGGGCATTTTATCATTGTGAACCTACGCAAACACAGACATCGTCCTCGTTGTGTGAGTGTAAGCTGCAGGGTTGGTCCGATGCCGAGCCTGATAGCAACTGTCCAATAATGTATCGATGATGTGTAATGTGTCACGTCACGTTTCTCCCAGGAAACGCAGGCGATTGCTCCCGTTTTATCCCCAACTCTCGGGCCCTTCCGATGTCCACGGATCACGGCAACTCAGCCCAGACCAGGACCTTATTGCCATCCACGGTTCAGACGATGCCTCACGAATCCCTTCAACCGCTACCGGACCCGGAATCTGACTAAGACGACAGCATAGTAACCGCGGGCCACGGGTACAAGTACCAGATCGCGCCATCGGCGACCGACGCCATTTCCGCGCCCTGTGCCGTAACCCCACCGAGGCTCTCGGCGACCTCGGCCCATTCACCCGGCTGACGTGCTCGGAGCTCCTCCAAGACCATTTGAAGCTCCGAGTCGCTGCGCCCCCCCCCCTCCTCATCGCCGTCTCCCTCGCTCTTCATCCCCTTCCGTGCCCGCCGCCCAGAAAATATCCTGAAGCCTCGCCCCGTGCCGAAACTAGTGCCCGACATGACGACCGAAGCCACGGCCCGTGTCTTCTTCTCCTCAAAGTTCTTTGCCGTAGTGGGCGCCAGCTCCAACCCCTCCAAGTTCGGCCATAAGAGTGCGTTCCCCTGCTATCGCCGTCTCTCATACATCTACCACACACATCACTCGCTCACTTCATTTGCCTTTCACCTATGCTCACCAACCCACCAAACCCCCTCGCATCTCCTCCCCACTAACCCACCCGCAGTCTTTGCCTGGTACCTCGCCCATTCCATCCCCGCAACCCCCGTCAACCCGACCGCCAGCACCGTCCACGCCCTCGGCAAGGACCACCCGACCATCCCCAACCTCTCTGCCCTCCCCCACCCAAAGGAGACGGCCGTCTCCATCATCACCCCGCCGCCCGCGACCCTCCAGGTCCTGCGCGAGGCCAAAAGCCTGGGCGTCCCCGCCGTCTGGCTGCAGCCCGGCACGTTCGACGACGACGTGCTCGAGTTCGCGCGCGGCGAGGGCGGCTTCGAGGCCGTCGTCGCGGGCTTCGGCGGCGGGACGCGTGGCGGCGAGGGCTGGTGCGTGCTCGTGGACGGTGAGCGGGCGCTCAAGGCCGCGGGGAAGCTGTGATGCCAATGTGATGCGCAGGATGGAGATGAGGGAGCTTCACGAGCGAGCGTTGTCCATAGAATGAGGCCCCGAGAATGCTGGAGACGCTGTTACGAGATGAATGGCTACTAGTTTCCCCCCGCGCAGGTCACCGGTGATCGACCCCGTGCAGGCTAAGGCCCCCCTCTCCCCCTCGTGGTCTTGCTTTCGCCTCCATGGGTTCCCCATCGTGAGAGACGCCGCGTTGGCGACCCTGCACCGAGATAGCTCCGTTTGGGCTTGCCGTTAAGGTTGTGACGGGCGCCCACTCGTTTCGCTGGGCAAATCAGGTCACACCACCACTCGACCCCTCCCCCGGGTCGTTTGATGCATTAAAAGGCCGATCTCTTTGGGGATCTTGCCATTGTTGCCATTGTTCCCCGGCGTGGTCGAGTCAAGATGGCCTGCCAAGTCCGGGGTAAAAGTCCTAGTGTGCCTAATCCGCCCTCGCGTCTCCCCGGCGGCTCACGATTGAGCCTCAAGCGATCCCGTCATGACCAACTCATCACATCTCTCGCTCGGGACATAGCTGCTTCCAACGCAACACGAACCTGGGTACCGTGCAAAATACCCACTTATCCCTTCTAACCAGCTCAACCGATCTTCCGACATCTCGTCTCGCGATCCCAACCCCTTGTTCATCCTCACTGGTTCCCAAACCTGTCCAGAAACTCAGAGCATGGACTAGATGCATACGCCTCATCCGCTACCCCGATCCCCCCCATCCCCTTCTCCCGTCACCCACCTTAGCTTTCCCCGCATTACACTGCGCTTGTGTCCCCACACAAGCTGAAGCTTCATGCCCCAAACATGCAGCAACCTAACCAACCAACTCCTAGCCGAGCCCCAGCTTCCCCCTTTCCGAACTACCAGACGCGCATCCCACGACTAACACCCACCACGCGCACGAAGAGACCGCCGCATGGAGTCTTGCACTACTGCGAAGCCAGTCGAGCGTCTTGTCGCTCTCGTCGAGTCCAGGCTTTCCCCTCTGCTTATTCCCTTGCTACCTCCATGTGCCGTCGAATGCCGGCAGTCCATTTGCCAGCGGCAACGTCGAGGTCTGTGTCAGAAAACCTCTAGTGCTCCATGTCTTGTCCCCCCTTGCCTCCATGCGAGATTTGTCGAGTAAGCCTAAACTGGAACAACCCGTCCTGTTGACTCGCCCAAGTTCCACCACACCCGCAAACCATTGGAACACTGGCCGTGCCTGGATGGATGAATGAATGGATGGCAGCTCTCCTCCCCCGGGACAACTGAACTGTGTACGTGCCGGGAAACTTCCCCAGACGCATCCCTCACACCATCAGCCAGAGACGTTCGCTTCTCCTACGCAGTCCTCCGCCTCTATCTCCGCTTGTATCATCCTTCCACCCATCCATCCATCTCCAACCTTGCCAGGACCCCCAGCGTGCTTGCCTGCCTCCTCCATCCACAATACACTTTTCCTAGTCATCGACGAATCACTACTGTAAATCCTGCATCATGCCACTCCCACATTGCAGGAGCATCCCTTGTACCGAGCCCTGCACATCGTGTGCCGGTTGTCCTATTGTGGTAAGTGAGGGGACTGGGCCAGGTAGCTTCTCCGCCTCAAGCGTGCTTGTCGTTGGCTGAGCATTTCTTGGGATTGCGGTCTCGTCTCAACGCCACGGGGCCCTGGAAGCATTCGACTGAACCGGCCCGCCAGCAGGACCTTGCCAAGAGGGCCCGGTCGTTTACCCCAGTCTGCCCGTTTACGTCCTGGAGCCACCTCGAGGGGTGTGTAAGATGTTGTGGATGCCGTGTGCAGGAGGGCTAGGCTCGTTACAGCCCACCTGGGCCTTCATATCAACGGGCTCCCGTCACGAACCCAACTCATCTTATATGACCGGTCGTGCCATCTACTGCCCTCCTTCATCAAACGCAATCGTATCATGATCATATCGCCTATATCACTGTACGTATATTGTATATCGCCAAACTAGCATATAATCCGGGCCACATAACACCTCGACAATGGATCGCAAGGAACAGATCCACGAGATGCGCTCCCACTCGTATCACAGTGAACACCGCCGCCCCGAATACCGCCCCGAATACCGCCCCGAGCAGCGGCCCCGTATGCCCAGCGGCTACGAATACCCCGATGAAGAGGCCCTCGCCCCGCACGTGAGCCGTGAGGATGCACTCAAGAGGATGAAGACGGCGGGATCCATCTCCATGTCACCGGAGCTGTTCGAGAAGCTGTACCTGTCGCCCCAGAACAAAGTCAAGGGGGATCTACGAAAGACCTTTGGTAACCCGACGCCAATGTGAGATCCAAACCCAACTCTTCATCGTGAACCCCGTTGGCTGATGTAGAAAAGTGCCATCGTCGGCTTCCTCCTTTCGCTGACGCCTCTATCTTGTGACTTGATGGGATGGCGTGGAGCAGGCGGTAGCGGTGCGGCCGGCATGTAAGTCTGAAGCTCAGCCTATCCATATTTTCCCCTCGTGAGACTGACTATGCCCTTCTCCAGCGGCGCGTATTTCTTCTTCGGTGGTCTTCTCATGTTCGTCGGTGGCCTCCTCGAATGGGTCCTCGGCAACACCTTCCCCTCCGTCGTCTTCCTCACCTTCTCCGCCTTTTGGTTCACCTTTGGCGCGACGCTCAATCCCTCCTTTGCAGCCTTCTCCTCGTATGCACCTGCGGGTTCGACGTCCGGGGCTGCAGGCCTGACGACTCAGGGGTTCAATGCGAGTTTCGGTAAGTCACGATGCAGACAGGCTGCCGTGAAACCAAGCTGATATATACATCACGACAGGCTTCATTACCCTCGCCATGGCCATGATCTGCGTCGTCTTTCTTGTCTGTTCACTGCGCACCAATATTGTTTTTTTTATTATCTTCCTGACACTTGTCGCTGCCTTTGTCCTCATCACGGCCGCGTATTGGTTCTTGGCCATGGACTATACCAGTAACGCTGCTTCTGCCGCGAAGCTTCTCCAGGTGAGTGTCCTCTTGGTGCATGATGCTTGGCATCGAACCAGAGCTGACATTTGACTCGCAGGCCGCTGGTGCGTCTGCGTTTGTAACTTGTATGGCTGGCTGGTGGCTTATCTTCGCCATTCTTTTGGCGTCTTTGGATTTCCCGTTGGAGCTTCCTGTAGGAGACTTGAGCAGAGTGATCCGGGGTAAGAGCGAGAACAGCCACGTTTAGGGCAGGAAAGATCCGATAATTACCCCTTGTATCTGTGACGCGGTTCATGGATGGAAACATACGAGTTGAGTGTTCCAAAGGATCAACTTAGTTTGAACATACCGTGTAATTATACCAAGTTTGAATTCGTGTAATCTCAAATTTGGTGTGGCATTCAATTACAGCTCTGTGAGTATGGGTGTTGCATCGGACTCCTCGGATGATTCAAATTCGTTTACGTCAACAACCATTCTCATAGGCTTCAATGGCTGCTGTTCACTGTTTATTACCTTCGCATCAACGTTAGAAACATGGGAGACATATCATCGTCATCGCGTTCTATCCATCCATAGTCAAGACTTGGCCCCATGTGCTCACGCCTCCTATCGGATTTGACACTACTTCATTCAGACGGGCACCGGACCTCAGCGACAATGAAACGGGAAAAGCATACTATACTGCTTTGAGACGAGACATTGATAGTCAGTACTTTTCGTAACGTACTCTTGCGGATCCCAAAACCAACATACAATCCTGAAACCATTCCTTGGGATGTTGAGAACGAACCTGACCTTCCTAACGAGGGATCTATGTTTATTTTCAACATACTGTATTAAACATATTTTCCATCTAAGGCCGCTAATTTGGCACGCGCGGTGCGTATGATAGCTTCGCGAGCTGCTACAGCAGTCTGTAGGAATTCTTCCTTGCGCAAACTGTCCGGCCAGTCGTATTTACGTTACCAGCCTTTGACAACCTGCAGTAAATTAGCAAGAGAAGTACAATTGCACGATTGTGCCATGACGTAAGAACCTAGGGAACAAGCTTACCTTGTATTCTCGGTCTCCGCTCCCTTGAATGTCTCGGCAGCGACGTGCAGCTAGGGTTACTGGGACGAGCCTTAGAGACGAAATTTCCTCGTGTATCATATCAACAAACTCTCCTAACGCCATGGCCATTACCTTGAGCCACCGCATGCCTTCATCCTCGGCTTCGGAGGCTCGTCGTCGAATAAGTAACATATATCCCCGTGTGGGTAAATTTTTCCTAATAGCAGCAGCACTTCAGCACTTGGGAGCAATTCAGATATAAATGATGCCCTCACCTCGGTCTGTATCGATGACCATGTCAAGTCTACTTCCGACCCTCATGTGTTAACGTAATGAGATGCGGCGGTATAGCCCCATCAAATGGCGCCAGGCCAAGTGCGCAGAATGCCTTCTGGTACCACTTGGAATCAGAGGCCTTCTCGGGTTGCCAATGCTCGCGCAGGTAGGATATTGCCATAGTCGAGAGGTAGACCTCAGTGGTGGAGTCTCCTGTATACGGGATATGTCGTAGCAGGTCGATGATGGTCTCGTTGCGATCTAACTTCCGTAGTGCATCCACGTTGAGCTCCGAATCGGATCATCCTGCTGGGTCTAGCGGCCGGCGGACAGATTCTGAGTTCAAATATGCCATATTTATTGAGAGCTGATCGTGTTTTTTAATGCATGAGATAAGGGTATTGTGATTGTAGCTGAAATCTGGCTCTTTGGGAGCCTTTTTGCGACGGGGCATGGCTTGGAGCTGCGTGTGTATGAGGGGACGGAAGAGGTGATGATAATGAAGTTGAGACAGAAGGCTGGTCATGTAGACAGGGGAAAAGAGGAGAGGGTTCTTAAGTAGTATCCGTGCCGGTTGGAGGAAGAAAGTCCCGGCATGGCTCGTATGTTATATGCAGAGGTGCTATACGCTGGTGAGTGAGACCATGGCAATGGCAGGGGTACTCCCGTGTCGCAATAAAGTGGTACTGCTAATGTAGCTTAGTTGGGGCTTAGCCATACGTTAGGATGGAATTTATTAGGTAGAATCTGTCAGATGGAAATAGGGACCCAAATTCTGTGGGCAATATATTGATTTTGTAAGCGTGGATTGTTGTTGAATGGTAGGACCCCTGAGTCGGTCAAGCACTCGGCCTATATTTAGTATCCGGTAGTAGTAGTGAATATGGCCTCATGCCGTCTCTTACTAGTAACGTCCTACTTCTCAACAAAAGCTGCTTTGATACAGTCGTGACAGAAGCGCACTCATTTGATCCCGTGTTTTCGAACGCAATGGCTTTAATTTACATCTTGATCGGGCAGTTTGTAGTACCACGCGACTCTCTGGAGCCCAGCCCCAACTTCCTGATGAAGGTTCCAAGCTGAGCAGTCGTTGTAAAACTTGAAGGTGAACCCATAAGGACCAAGACGAGCCGGGAGCGTAGATGTCAGGAACTCTCCGGTTTGCACGCCTTCTGGGCCCTCTGGTCCCTTCTCGCCCGTCACATTGGAAAGGTGAAACGGTCCGGCGCCGGCGACGCTGTACTTGCCGATCTTGGCCCACTCTGAATCAGGCGATGAGCTTGGGTTGCTTTGGTCCAGCCCCTGAGGTCGCAGGTCAGGTCGAGTTGTGTCGTTTGCGGTGACTAGCAAGGCAGTGTAGCCGTTGGGCGTGAATAGAGACATGCCGGACGGGACAGGGTAGGCCCAGTCCTGTGTTATGATATCGCCGGAAGTGGTGTTACTGTAAGATACGTGAGCAATTCCGTCGACAATCGGAATTTGGGGTCAACGAATGAGACTTACACCAACGTTGAGTTGATAAAACCCCATGTACCGACAAAACATTTCATCGCCGTCCTGATCGGCGACTTTTTGCAATCTTTACCCATGATGGCAGATGGAGTGCACAAATGAAGGTGAAGTAAGGCCAAGATACAATAGGTTGGCCGATACGATGTGGACAACGAAGTTCAACGAAGGGGACTTTTGGCTTTTATATGCCTCCTCATCCTCTCATGAGGTATGGAAGATATAGCAAGTGGAATCCTGTGGCAACTGGCATGATCACACCAGATTCCTAGCTCATCAGTTCTCGATTGGTTCAACGTCCATGCCCTCTTAGTGCAATGGGCTGAGCATCGATGCAGCCGCCCTGGACACACTAGAGCCACGCAACTTTCAGAACCACGCCCACTCAACCAAGCCACCGTTGCCATGGGCTGTAAAAATAAAAGCGTCGATTAGGTGTTTAAAGAGACGAAATCTGAGATGGATTTCAGGCTATCATCTGATTGGGAGAATTCCGAAAACAGAGCGCGGCGTGCATGGATCCAAGACCCTTTGACAGGTACCAGTTGGTTAGCCAGCAACTATTTAAGTTCACCTAGCCCAGAGCTTGAACCTCATTGATCAGCTTAATTTAATGGCCGAGTGGCTTGTTCCCAACCCCTTTAATTAATATGGACGCAACTGGGCGACATTCGGGATACCGATGGTGAAGTTTGAATACTTCTCACACTTCACTCCAGCCGTGAGGCCGACCACCCGCCGAAACTCGTTCCCAAGCCCCAGCTATGAAACGACACAACGGCGACCAGCCACTGGCAGACAGAAGAATCCTTCGACACTCTGAGATCATCCGAGCATCACTCTTAGCACTCTTCAGAACCCCCACGCCCGTAATGTGAACACTTGAGCTCCCACTCTCCAGCCACGCCTCAATGTCCTTCTTATCTTGCAGGAGATCAACTCTGGTTGGTCTATCTGTCCCAACACAAGCGCTCGCATCATCAGGCGACATGCCCTCTTTGAGTTGCGCAAACTGGTCAAAGACCCAGATGTAGAGAGTGACCACCAAAAGGCAAAAAGGGCTGTCGCATGCAAAGTGTGTCTTGTTTCTAAGGATCCTGAAGACCACTGCCGCATGCCAGAAACATCTTCGAGCATCCGAGGGTTTGCTCCGCATCCATTCCCGTAGATACTCTCGCGCCCCTTCGATTTGGGGCTCTGTGACCTGCCATCCGGAGAATTCAAGGAGCTTTCGAAGCGGCACGTACCGCAGGATAGACAGGACGTGGTAGTACGTGAGCAATTCACAGCTCTCTGGTAATTCCGGTTCTGAGCTAGCTTTCTCCCACAATGCTTGAAACGCATCATTCACAGATGTCGCGGCGTGTGAGAGCAGGGTGTTGATGTTTGGCTGGGTATGCACCGGATTGGACATCCCCGCCATCAGTGTCTTCCATATGGGAGATGACAGCTGGTATTGTAGAAACCTTTCCTCCAAGTAGAGGCTGAGCATATGCATTTGTCGGGCGAATGATCCCATTTTCGCGATCGCGTCATGCTTGTTTGAGAGGTCTAGTCCGATGTTGCATGCTGCTCTCACTGTGGCGTGGGCTTCTTAGCAAGGTTTGAGACGAGACTGGGGGGCGATAGCGCTACCTTCTGGAGATTGACTCCTTTCTTGCCAGGTTTTGGAGTCTCGGCATCTCCAAGCAGCTTCATGTGCAGGGAACCTATCAGTGAGTTCATGAAGCTTGTGGTTCGGTGGCAGGCTTAGGAAAGCAAGCTGAACGCATTGTAGTTCTGTCAAAGTTGTCAGACTTGGATTTTTGAATCCAGGCCGAGTACCGTCAACTCACTGTAAATACAATGAGCCAGCCGAACCCGCGACTCAACGGCGAGCCAGCCGCTCCAGTCTTGTTCCTGGTCTGGGTCGGGGTTCAGCTCGCTGGTTCCGCTGCGCTGAGAACTGACCACGAAGCGACATAAGGACATCATTTCGTTCATGTTCGATTGCGCTCTCATGCCCCCCCGTCGAGATCCCGAGAACTGCAGACACATTAAGCTGAGAAGCGTGCTCTGGACTAAGTGTAAAGTTGGGGTTCGGCGTGGCTCTGGTTTCTATGCCAGGTCAGCACAGTCGCCAGCAGTCCGTGATAAATCAACTTACGTAGGCCGCCACCGCTCGATGAAGAAGCTCTTGTAATCCTTTAGAGTACTGCTCAGAGTTCGAGATGGAGGAGTACTGTGAGCCGATCGTTGCAACGGCGAGCAGAGAGATCCATGAATCGTCCCCATTCGCGAGCATCGTTGGATGAATACATGGGAAATGGAGGTCAAAGTACTCGTAGTAGAGCTGAACGAATGTATGAATCACTCTTGCCTCGGGAAACACTTGGTCGCCTGGTGGCTTCTGTTTCCGAAAGAAATGTGCCAGCTTTTCGTTACCATCGATCTTACCAACATGGCAAAAATCCTCTGCGAGTAAAACATTCTCATCATTCGCTCCCAGTGACGGGAACGAAGGACTGTCCTCGCAAAAAGCACAAGACTGTGCGCCGTGGGTGGAAACGAAGCCTGCATCAATATGTCTGGCGACTGCGGATTGTTCTTCCTGCACGAATGCTCCGTTGTTATCTACTACAGACGATGGCACGGACCCCGTGGGCTCGCAACCCAAGAGGTCTTGACTGTAAGTCCATGGGAAAGGCTGGTTGAAGGAGACGAACGCTGAGTTCCAGGCATGCGTGTCATCGGCGGCGATGGGATTCATAGGGGCGGAGAAAGGTTCGAACTCGGACACCACGTTGATTGGCTGTCCAATTCGAGGCGCTCCCTTGCTATACCTTGGCATCGGAATGACGTCGGCGTCGAGGCTGGCCCCTGTCTCACTCGGCGTTACAAGGCTCTCTGCAGCATGTACAATGCGTCCGTATTCGGCGTCTGTCGGCATTGCAGCCGTTGCAGAGGACGACGAATTGGGCAAAGTGCGTTGTTCCCCGGTGTCAACTGCCGGTCTTTCGGAGCCATCAGACTGGCCGCCCGGGGTCGCTACCCCATCGGAGGTTCCCCCATCGGTCGGGTAACGGCAGCTGACGCCCTTTCTTGCGCATGAGCGACACGGATTGCCTTTGGAGCAACGCTGCTTTGCCCTTGAACACGAAAGGCATGCTTGCGGTTTCTTGCCGGGTCGCCTTGGCGTTGAAGGGTTGGAGGAATTCAACTCATGAGTTGTAAGATGTCGATTGAGGACGTCTCTGAGAGCCTAAGTCAGCTGTGAATCTAAAGAAACCGTGGCGAGACTTACTTCCGAGAGAAGGCTTTCAGGCAGACCGCGCACTGGAAAGGTTTCGAACCCAGATGACGTCGAAGATGGCGGTCAAGATGCTCTTTTCTCTTGAACGCCTCATCGCAGTATTTACAATGTAAGCTGTGAGATTCGCCGTTCATCTCGTCAATGGTTTCGGGAGATCATGTGGAGGTGTAAAAAGGACAAACAGTCTCCGACGCCAGACGTTGGAACTGGGCAAAGCACTAGTGTGTCAGATGACCCACTTAGTTCCCGTCATGCCGGGCGATCATTATATTTCGTTCTGGTGTAGTGGAGCTTAGCTTCCGCGATACTCGATTGTTATTGACGGCCGGCCAAGAACGGACGGACTCCGAGTTCAGCCATGCCGTTGCGTAGCAAGGTGGGAGCCGCTGCAACTTGTTTCATGCATCCTGATCGTCATCTGCCAGGATATCATCCGATCAAGCCAATCAAGACCAAGATGATTCTCAACCTGTTTGTCAATGAATCATGCTGATGCGGCTTTCGGGACATGCTGTGGGGGTGGAGAATCCGTATTGTGCGCTCACTGTTCCCCATCGGGATGTCGGCCAAAGGAAAAGCGCAAGTGCCGACGCCGAGATCTGCCCCACGATCTGTCCCCAGATTACGGGATAAAGCTTCCTGGGGACCATGGTCTCAAGTTTTGGATGGCAGATATAACAAGTTCTGTCAGCCGTTATCGTTGGGGTGGCAGTTCATGCAATCCCGTATTTGACTACTTCCAGACCATAACTTACGCCATGATTCTACCAATCCATGCCTTGGAGGGGAAAACATTGCCGCCACTCTGGTGGGCGATCCCTTTCGCGTTATGTGCAGTCATTCTTTATCGAATCATCTCTGCCGTTCTAGATCCTCTGAGACATATCCCGGGGCCCTTCCTCGCTAGATTTACTCGGCTTTGGATGTTTCGCCAATACTGCCGCGCCGACTTCGAGAAGACTAACAGCGAGCTACACAAGAAATACGGTATCTAGGCAGCTATTAATTTATTGTCCACACTAATTAAACAAACGCATAGCTGACGGCTACATATACACAACAGGTCCTGTTATCCGGATAGCCCCTGGTCAATACAGCATCGACAGTCTCGACGCAGCCAAAATTATCTACGGTCATGGCAGCCATTTCCAAAAGGTGACTTCAAGTAGCCTTCAAGATCAAACTCCAAATAGGCTGATTGACTTCTTCTTTAGAATGGTTGGTACATCCCATGGGGCAACCCCGCCCAGAACAACCTCTTCAACGAGTTGAATCCGAAAGTCCATGCCAGCATGCGCCGACAAGTCGCCAGCGTTTACTCCATGTCCAACATGGTCTCGTACGAACCATATGTCGACGAATGCACCGACATCTTTGCTCAACGATTTTCCGAATTTTCTGCCGAAGGTCGCGTGATTGATCTTGGGTATTGGTTCCAATGCTATGCACTCGACGTCATTGGCAAAATTACAGTGAGGCGAACTTGTTATGGTACAACAGAGCTTTGATTCCTGACCAAGCGCAGTTTTCCAAGCGATTCGGATGTCTTGACGCCGGCGACGATCCTCGAGGAGTCATAAAGGCGCTTGACGAAACCCTGTCGTTCAACACTATAGTGGGTGTTTACCCGCGACTGTTCCCCTACCTATTCAATATCCTGAAGCACATCGGCCCAGGCAATGAGCCAAAGGGAGGTGCATTCGTAGTCAAGTTCGCAAACGAGCAGGTGGCGGCCAGCCGGATGGAAGAGAAACCCAAGGAAGGACCTCAAGATTTCATTTCCAAGCTCGTCCAGGCCCAAAGAGAGCGCCCCGAAAGCATCGATGACGTGTCCATCGGAACTGCTGGCAGCACCAACGTTGCGGCTGGATCGGATACCACTGCCATCTCGCTCAGCGCCATCATTTACTACCTCTGCAAGAACCCGAGCGCATTGCAGAAATTGCGGAAGGAGTTAGACGATGCCGAGGCGGAGGGGTCAATCTCAAACCCAATCACTTTCAGGGAATCTCAAGCGTTGCCGTACCTTCAGGCTGTGATCAAGGAGAGTCTCAGATTACACCCTGCCACGGGGCTCACAATGCCACGTGTGGTCCCCGAGGGCGGTAGACAATTGGCAGGAAGCTTCTTTCCTGCAGGGGTGAGTGGTTGAATTTTCTTTTTTGGCAGTTAATGATACTGACGCGACTGCAGAATGTTGTTGGCATCAACGCCTGGATAGCGCATCACAACAAAGAGGTCTTCGGGCATGATGCGGATGAGTTCCGACCGGAGCGATGGATCGATTCAAGCAAGGAGCAAAAGAGCGCCATGGAATCATACTTCTTCGCCGTAAGTATATTCGCAAAGGACCATGGTTGAGCATGCAGCTGACAAAAGTCTCAAGTTTGGCCAGGGCTCGCGCACTTGCATCGGCAAGAACATCAGCTTACTGGAGGTGTCCAAAGCCATTCCCAGAGTCGTGCAGAACTTTGACGTCATACTAGAGAAGGAGGATGACTGGAGCTGCACCAATTACTGGTTTGTGAAGCCTCGTGACTTCTTCGTTAGAGTGAAGAAGAGGGGATCATGCTAAGCTCTGTGATCGGCTTATGCTAGACTCGATTGATAGCTCGTGGGGAGAGAGGACTAGTGGTTGGGGGTTGAGGGCGCTACGACTGGCATACTTGGCCATTGAGTTGAAGACTTTGTGCAGATAGGCATCTTTGCGGTAAGAATTAAATCGTCAGTAGTGGTAGTGGAATGCTGTATCATCAAGGTTTTCTGGACATTTCGAGAACACAATTCTTGGGTTGTGTGAGATGGACTATCAGACGATGCCCCTCCCAGCAATTGTGCCGTAGCGCAGGCTTCGACGGCCAAAAATGATGCCTCTGGATCAGCGCCCGCTCAAGAAGCGAGACAGGACCAACGAAAGTTTTGACAAGGTAACAAAGAAGTTATTATCGCGATGTGACCAAATTAGGCAGCGATATGGTGCAGACGTATACATTCAAGTCCGTCGGATGCAGAAACACTACGAGTACACTTCCTCGAATGAGCCATCGTGGCCCAAGACCAAGACGGAGATGGTGAGTACAACTGTGGAGCAACCACTCAAGGCAAATCATAATACCTCGAAGGAAAGATTGTACCCTGTTCCTGTGACGAGAACTCCCTCGGACTTTGTCACCGAAACCGTGCTCCGACCAGCCGCCCCTCTTGTACAACTCGCAGACGAAGAGGGATCGCCGCCAAGGAAAATGACGCCCAACACCGCGGTGACGATGGATTCTCAAAAGTAGACAGCCGCAAGGTCCCGGTCCAAACCCATCCTGTTGATGCATACTATTCCGGCCACCCAATGGAGTCAGAGGAGAGATCTCATGGAGGATACAGCAACCTGCAGGGAACTGGTTAAGAGTGGCACCTCGTGAAGGACATGTGTAGTAAATCGTGGATCTAATTCACCCCGGCATCCAAGCTAACATGACTGTTGTCCCATTGGTTCAGAACAAAAGGACTTCGCAGGCTTCAGGCTTCGCGAACTAATTATCGTAGCCAAGGGTACTGTGCGCTCAAAGTGCTATCGATATTTCTTTGTAGGTAGTACTGTAGTGGCGGTCAACGACAGAGGTTTGCAATTGCGAGGGCGCTGATCTGTAAACCTGATCTCTTGCTCTTTGACGAGGCCACCAGCGCGCTAGATACTGCCAATGAGGCGCTTGTACAAGCAGCCAGTGAGGCTGTTGCACGAGAGAAGCCAGGTCGTACTACGATTGCTGTTGCCCATCGCTTGTCGACTATCCAGCGATGTGACCGCATCTTCTTCCTTCATAAGGGACGGGTGGTGGAAGAGGGGACTCACGAAGAGCTGTCTCAAGAGAGAGGGGGGGGGGGGCAGTATCACGAAATGGTCTTGGCACAATCACTTGACCGTAAAATCGAGGGTGCCTAGGATGATTCGACGTAATTAGAGTTGAGCGGTACAGGGTAAAACTCAGCGAGTCTGGATAAATGATGTCTGTATTAAGAAAAAAACAATGAAAGTAGATACAAAACCGGCTTGGTTTATCTTCATGTGTAGGATCTTACTTCGAACTAATTTGCTCATGCGACTCTGTGCAGAAGCTGACGGTTGGTTCATCTCAACTTGGCTTCGATAGCTCGGCGTCCAAGTCTCTGAGACTCGGGAGCTATCTCATCAAACTCAAAAAAAAAATGCCCTGCTCCCAATGTGAAGGTCAGCCTAGACGCCAGCGGCCCACCCCGAAATTAGTAAATGCGACCACGGTTTTACGGTAAATCTCAACAACTCAGCTCTGCGGCCAGAATACAGCTCGACCCGGTGCTACACCATCACATAAAATTGGACACGTAGCCATGGTGCTTGCCCTCCTTCTAGCTTCCCAGCATATTCCAAAGACGGTATCTGGACAGAACTGTGCCTAGAGAGTTATCCCGTGCCGGTAGAAAGAGGCTTTTAACAGTAGAGGGAGTTCTCGTTTTCCTGAATACTAAAGACTCTAACATCTAAGTGTTGTATCAGACAAAGTGCCTTAAATTCTCCGGGCTAGGATATTTTATAAAACTTTGTCTTTGCGGTGGAGTGTGGGTAGATGGATTCATGAGGCTTCACTACCTCACCCCCAGCTAGGGCCAGCCGAGTGAGCAAACGGTTGCAAAGGAAAGAGAAGACGGGCTTATTCCACGGCTGACCTTCCAGTCTTTTTTTGCAACCTCTTCCTTGTTGCTCTTTTGCAATTAACCACAGCAACAAACTCCGCAGAGTCGGGACCCTTTTATTTCCTGCTTTTGATTGCTGCGCTTCCATCTTCAGTAATCATCAGGCATTAGGCTCAACTTCGCCCCCGAGCAAAGTGAAACTGCTTACACTTGAACCTTCCCTACTCGCGCTCCACCGCAGACTGTCGCCATGTCTCTCAAGCGCAAGAGAGATATGAGTGATTAAGTTGAAACCCAGTTCGCTATCGGAAGGGAAAGTATACTAATTGCGAATAGAATCCTCAAGTCGAGACACATCAAATTCGTCATTGGTCGCGACGAAGAAGAGTACACTGTACACCTTTCCAGTCTCGCTGTGCTCTCTCCACAGCTGAAGTCACTTCTCAATCGTTTGGAATGCAGCGAAGAGAAGATCGTCTGGAAGTTTGTCCAGCCGGCTACTTTTGTCAACATGATGGAGTACGCATACTCTCGCGACTACGTCGTTCCCACGGCCTCTAGAGCTACCAGCGAGGAATAACCCAGAAACAAGCGCACTAAAGCTGCCGACTCAGACCACGATAGCGCCGACGCATCTTCATCTTCAGAAAGTGATGGTGTGTGCGCACCCTCCAAAACAAGAAGCTCCTTTGTATCATCTGTGGATCGCACTCTCCAGCGAACAAAGATTGGTACCTCGAATCTCAACCAGGGCGGCGTTAAACCCGAAGAACACGAGTCCCTCGCCTCATGGATGGAGACGGTCTCGCAGAACCATGGATCGCAACAACACAACAGCGCTCAGTACAAATTCTGCTTGAAGCACTTTCCACTTGACACAGCGGATGGAAATGTCAGCGCCTCTGCAGCCTCGACTGAAGATTGGCTGGCAGACATAATGCAGCATAATCACATAGACATAAAAGCAGTCTTCTTAGCCCACGCCAACCTATGGCTTCTCGCAGACCAGTACGGCGTCGCCGAGCTCAAAGACCTCTGTCTTCACGGGCTCCAAAAATCTCTGCTTCATAGCCCTAGTAGCGAAGAGATGCTACGCGCCGTAGTTGAGACGATCCGTGTCGTGTACTCGGATGTGTGGGGACGGCCGGACAATGCTCTTCGAACACTGTTGCTTCACTTCTGCGTCACCGACATGGAGTGGATGATGAGGAACGATAACTTGGGAACTCTTCTCAGGACGGTCCCTAGACTGTCAACTGACATGTTCCTCCAAATAACCCATGACTATTGGAGGGAAATCAGACATGGAGTATCCGCCTGAAGGAAGCCGAAAACCCATCTCGAGACCGTACCACCTCGTGCTAGGTTTTGAGATCCAAGTTGAGTTCTTCGACAAAAGAAAAGGAAGAAAATGCATAACATTATTGAACTTTTGCTGTTCTCGACATCATTACTTGTTGTTGTCGTCTGGTGGAGAGATAGGCAGTGTATCTTGAAACCGAAATGGACTGGGGAGTACGGGAGAGTTTGGCAGCAGGCGAACGGCCTTGACACTTCAGCTGTTATCAGTAGGAGATGCTTAGCAATGTGACAACAATCAAGTTGGTTCCTGCAACCAAATAGATAAAAATGGACAGGGATCCTTCTTTGGAAATCAGGACGAAAGGTTGAGATGTGGTTGATTGCTGCTGCTCTGTCAGATCGCAGCCCAACTTGATGCTCTATCACAGAACACCCGTCAGCCATCGCGGCGGTAGCCGCCCTCCCAAAGTGCCATCCCCAATTCCCTCATCGAAGATATCCGCGCCTACAGCGTGCGAGTGCAAAGTCGACGCGGAAACGCCCAGGGGCTTGATATTACAGTGCTGGGTGATGGGTGGCTGAGCCAGGATCACGTGACTAATCGAGCTACCACAGCCACTGGAGAACAACCAACGAATGTGCTGGCATGGCAGCCAGGCCAGCTCTGCTACAGAATCTTTTCCTTCTTCACCTACAAGTCTTCGCAATAGGTCAGCACACCCACGATCTCATCACGCTGACTCCCTACCTTTCCATGGGCCCGTTGGATAAACTGTCTCACCAAAGTAAAATATTACATAAGCATCCCAGTGCAGGGTTTGATGTTATCCGCCACAATTACCGGCCAGTTCAGCCACAAACGAGATGCTAGCTAGAGACAGGGCCAGCTGCCACACCCCGCTGGACCCACAAGCTAGCAACGGGAACAGAAGTTTGATTGTAAACAAACGCGATCGGAATAGCCAATGCAATTGGGGCTCTGCCGACAACACATCCGCTCTCGCCTTTATCAACACCGACTGTCGCAGCACTCCCGCGTTCGACCATTCCGCACCATATCTCCCCTTCGACTCGACATTTTCTTCCGACAATTTTACCCTTCGAATCGAACGCGACTTTTGCTCGACCTCTTACGATCCGATGCATCTTACCCGCGACTAATATTTGCTCCCTGCGATCGACGCGTTCGTCCTGTACACATCTATTTGCGCCACCGCTTCGCGCTACGGATCGCGAACAGCTTTGTCTCGATTGATACTGAGTTTTATACCCATTGCAACGGCAGGATCGCCCAACATGACCGACAACCTGGCCTTCGAGGGCCTGGTCCCCAACGAATACTTCACCTACGAGGGCCGCCTGGGCTCTTTCCACCAAGTCTATCCAGCGCCGAAACGACGCCAGTCTGGCGCTACTAAGGGTGCTAAGAACCTGACTTGGCCTCACATGAAATACCTCGCCCCGGAGGAGGTGCGTCTTGCAACCAGAGCACCAATTCGAGGAGACCGCGTGTACTGACCATTGTCGCAGCTCGCGAAAGCAGGATTCGTTTGGCGCCCTTTCCCCGATAACCCCGACAACGTCGCATGCTTCCTCTGCAACAAATCCCTCGATGGCTGGGAAGAAGGCGACAAGCCCCTTGAAGAGCATCTCAAGCATTCCCCTGACTGCGGCTGGGCCATTGTTGCAGGCATCGAAGCCAACCTGAACGGTTTGGCGTCCGAGGACCCAGCCAGCACCCGGATGATTGCGGCCAGAAAAGCAACTTTTGATGGGCGGTGGCCCCACGAGGGAAAGAGAGGCTGGAAGAACAAGATTAAGCAGGTCAGTTGCCTCATGGCGACCTCGCTTTCCTCTGCTGACTCCGTCTTTAGCTCGCCGAGGCAGGCTGGAAGTACACACCTTCCCTCGAATTCAACGACATGGCGACATGCACCTACTGCGAGCTTGCCTTGGACGGCTGGGAACAAAATGACAAGCCCATGTGTGTGCCCAAGCTACACCCGTGTTGGGAAATATGACTGACTCGTGACAGGGATGAGCACTTCAACCGATCACCCGGCTGCCCGTACTTTGCCTTAGTCAACCAATACGCCGCCACGAAGAAGACCAAGGGCAAGGGAGCTAGAGGCTCCAAGGCAGCAGCGAGGCTCTCCGTGCAGTCCGTCGCGACAGCAAATTCTGACATCACGTCGATGACAGACTTTCCCGCCGAACAAGACGACAGCGTCCTGACAACATCGTCTACTATGGCCGGCAAGAAAGGTGCTCGAGCCAAGAAGGCCACATCAATTACCAAGGGCCGGAAGACCAAGGCCAAAAAGGATGAGCCCGTCGAAGTGGTTGAAGATGAAGCGATGCCGGAAGAGGTGCCACCTCCACATGCATCTAAGCCAACACGAGGACGCAAGCGGACAAGTGACGAGGTAGACGACTCTGCTCTTACCATCTCTGAGGCACCCGCTCCAAAGAAGCGCACAGCCCGCGGTCGTGGCAAGGCTACTGCCGACAGCTCGATGGCCGAGCATTCACAAGATATCAGCATTGCCGATGCACCACCGCCAGCGAAGGCGCCCAAAGGCCGGAAAACCGCCAGCGCTTCCGGCACCAAGGGAACACGTAAAGCCTCGACAACGTCGCAGAGATCAACAGCCTCGTTGGCGTCTTCGCGGGCCGCCCCAGGCGCCTTTCCCGACGACGATGATGACGAGATCACCCGACAGCTTGAGGCTGACCTCGAACGGCCATTGACTGACGACGAGGACATTATGCAAGACTCCGACTCTGAACGGCAAAGGGTCCCGCACCGAAGCCAAAGACAAAGAAAAGCCGCGCTGGCAAGGATACTGCCGCCAGCCCCGAGCCCTCGGGCAACCACGAAATGTTTGACGCCGAACCGTATGTCGCGAATGAGGATGACGTCGATGAAGAGTTGAAGCAACTAGAGGCCGAGATGACCATTGATGAGCCCGAAGTGCTTGAAGTGCCAAAGAAGGGGCGCAAGGCCGCGGGAGCCCGTAAGGTGTCTAAACAAACCAAGAACCAGAAGGCCAAGGTTGTGAAGGCTCCCGCTGAGGAGGACGAACTCGCGATGCCCACTGAGCCAGTCAAGGCGGAAGAGCCTACTGCCATGGAGGAGGACGAGATCAGCACTGCCACCGTTATAACAAAACCTGCTCGTGCAAGCACCGGTAAAAAGCGTGGTCGCCCCTCCAAGGCATCCCTGGCTTCGCGTGCTTCCATGGAAGATGTGAGCAGGGTCGATGAGGTAGAAGTAGTTGAACCTGATGCTACGGCTCAAGCTGAGCTGAATGCTGCGGTTGAGATGGAGTCTGCGGAAACCTCGGCGCGTGAATCATTTGCTTCTGCACGGCAAACCCCGGCACCTGCCGATCATCGAGACGAATTGGAAGATGAGCCAGAGGAGCATGAGGAGCCAGAGGAATCTGAGGAACCTGAGGAAGAGCCAGAAGAAGAACCTGAATCGGAACTGGAGCCAGAGATTGAATCTGAAGCTGAGGCAGAGGTTGTATCCGAAGCTGAGGGAGAGGTTGAATCCGAAGCTGAGGCAGAGCCGGAGGCACACGAGCCCACGCCGAGAAGCGCCGCAAAGGAGAGCTCACCGGCGTCTCCATCTTCACCAGTGATCACTTCATCGGCCCGTCGCAGTCTTCGGCACCAGTCGGGGACACCTCGCATTTCCCCTGCACAGTCTGCTCGGCAAGCAGCAGTATCACCATCACCATCTCCACAGTCATCGGATGCCGAGAACCAGCCTCCGTCGTCAAGGCCGTCCACCTCGCAGAAACGCGTGACGCACGTGCTCGCCTCATCCACACCAGCGCGGCCAAACTCGCCGTCTAAGCGAAAGGCTTTGGCTAGTCTCCAGAGCGCAACACCCTGGAACCCTGTCGACATTGACCTCATTTTTGGCTCCCCTGAAAAGTCCGACAAGAGAAATCCCGTCGACAGACTGCTGCACAAAGGCTCTGAGCTGACGAGCCCCGAGAAACGCATGACGGTTGAGGAGTGGATTCACCACAACGCGAACCAGGCAGAGGCGAAGCTGCGACAGGAGTGCGAGGCCATGGTCAGCAAGTTTGAGAGCGAGGGGAGTAAAGCCATGAATGTTTTGGAGGGTCTGATTGTTGAATGAAAATTTGCATAGCGTAGTGTTTGGGGAGCTTACTTCTAGGTCTTTTAATGATTGGTTTGATGATCATGACATAACACAACAGATGCATCAGTGTATGCGCTTTCTGCGCGGGGTTCGGCCGCAAGGAGTTTGGTCTAACAGGAGGTTGAACAACAAGAAGTCAACCAGGCCAGGGGCAGACGGAGCAGGATCACCGAGCTATTCCAAAGCATGCTTCAAAACAAAAAGATAGGAAACAGAGAGGAGGATATTGTTCTGACATGCAATGTCATTATTATTATTGACTTTTAAATAATGAGGGTGTTTGTTCTAAGTCTATGTTCATTAAGAAATCCCCTCCTGAAAAAAGCCGTGGAATGTTTGCTCATTCGTCTAGTCGTTGAATCCAGTGGTATCGTTCCGGCATGCAAAAATGCGTAAGTTTTTCTCATTCCTTCCTCACTTCTCCCACTACTTCACTTCTTCTTCCATGTTTTTCTGTCGTGTTTCATGCTGCTCGTGAAGAGACAAGGGACGATGCCACTTAGACGCAGTGCAGAGCACCGTCGGCGTGGGTGTGGCACTCCTGGGGCGCGCTGGAGGTTGCGGCGGCCGTGGTAGCGGCGGACCCGGTAGCGGTGGTCGTAGGGGTGGGCTCCTCCTCCTTCTCCTCACTCTCACCAGAGCATCCGACGCCGGGAGCGGCAATGTCGTAGGCCCAGACGTCGATGGCGAAGTACTGCAGGGCGTCGCTGTCGACGACGGAGAAGGTGGCGTTGTTCTTGGCGAGCTCGAGGGCCTCGGTGTAGTCCTCGGCGTAGTGCTCGACCACACCCTCGGAGATGAGAGGGACGTGGAAGGCGCGGTGGAGGAGGTCGGTGGCCCAGAAGGTGTTGAGCTTGGAGTTGGCAACGTTGTAGCCGAGGCCGCAGACGGAGGAGAGCGGGCGGCGGATCTCAAAGGACAGGGGGCAGATGACGGTCTCCTGGGTGGCGTTGGATCCGCGCCAGTGGCCGGCCCAGCCCTCCTGGGTGGCACAGTTCTTGTCGGGTCGTCGCAGCGGAAGGTCATGCCAGTCTTGTCGGCGTTGACGACGCGGTCGTACCAGCCGACGGGAGTGGCGGTGGACGCGTTGCCAAAGTACTTGCGGACGTGCTCGGAAGAGTTGCCGAAGCGGAGGATGTGGTCGCGGGCGTGGGCCGCGAGCTGCTGGGTCTCGGCGAGGGCGACCTCGAGCTGGGCGCGGAGGGTGACGTTGCATGACTGGTGGATGGGGAAGGTCTTTTGCCAGCCGGAGGCCCAGTCGTACGGGGCCTGGGGCGTGGAGGTGGCCACGGGGACGGAGACGGTCTCGGAGGCCTGGCGGCGGGCGAGGGGAGTAGCGTCCGTGAGGACGGAGAGCAGCAGAGCTGCGGTGGCGAAGCTGTACATCATCTTGACTAAGGTATCAGGGTATAGTAGAAGAAGTCTAGGGATGTGGACTGCTGCTGCTGCTGGGGAGGGCGGGTTGAGCTTGAGCTGGAGGACTTGGAGCTTGGAGCTTGAGCTTAAGGATCATTCAGCTGTGCGAGGCATGTAAAGGTCTTTTATAGCTGCGAGATGCTGCGTGGATGAGGTTTTTTCTTCTTGGTCCCATTTCCTTGGGTCTCCAATGAGACCCTTCACAACCTCGTCGAGTTGTCGAGCCAAGACTTTGCTAGCCATGCCTTGCAAAGCCTGCGTGGGTTCGTTCCTCGTTCGTCATGTCCGCAGGCAGGCGAATCCTGTCATCCCGGAGGCTGGTCGTGTGTGTTGATCGGTCATGGTCCATCCCGCGCTTCTGCTGATGTCTGAATTTTCCTCGTGTTTCTACGCTCGTCAGCCAGCCCTCTCAGCCGCTTCTCGCAGTCGTATAACGCCTCCATCCCTCCAAGTCCCCTCTTTGCGTGGGCGTACAAGCAGGCTTCTTGGATGAAAAGGTTCCAATATTGCCCCAGTGGAGTCCGCCGTGTCGGTCACGATTTCCTTCCTCGAACACTCTGAACCATGCGAGATGTGTGTGTCGGGTGACGCCAAGGCGCGGGCAGCTCAGTGCCAAGCTCACGATCACCTTGATGTTCGTCGAGTCAATTGGCCAATTGACAGTCCAACGAATGGCGAGGCTCGGCCGCAAAGACGCGACTCCACGGCCAAGAGGTGCTAAGTCTTGTTGGCTCTCGAGTTTGGTGATGTTGGAGGACTTTTAGAAGCTGGAGGCTGAGCCGGCGAGCCATCCGGGTACTCGGCCCCCGCTCGACACGGCGTGGAGCACCTTGATGGCCGGACCGGGGTCCGGCGTCGGCCCGCTTTTTGTTTTGTTCTTTTCGCTCCGTCTTCACTCGTTGGGTTCTGTTTCTTTAGCTCGTGGGGGTGGCTGGCAGACAACTCTGACTGGCAACTGACAAGCCCAATACCCCAGACTCTCCTTGTTCTGTTTCTCTTCCATATGCACACTACAGTGAAGCAACCATACCCGTACTCATGGGTCAGACACTCCATACACCGCGGAGACCCCGGGATGGTCCATTATGAGCTTCCCAACCGCTTGGTAATACTAATGTCTAAGTGGCTCCGTTCAGATATGCGCCGATAGGCTCCTTGGATGCAACTTTATTGCGTAAAATAAGCGTCGAATGCCTGCAGGGCCTTGCTTCCGCCGCGGGGGTCCCGTTATGCTGCAGGCGGTCGTAGTCCAGAAGTACAGATTTAACCATTCAGACTGCATGGCTCCGGCCTGTCCATGCTATGAGGGATTTATGAATCCCTTACGCAGGGTAGGAAAGAAGCCCGAAGAGAGCTAGGTGAACCACCGGAGCAACTTTGCCCGATATATTCACCGAAGAGATTTCTTTGCTTAAGCACCAAGTCAAGCGTTTGCTTTCCCGGTCCTGGCTTAAGAACAAAACCGACAGATCCCATGCCCATACCTTTGGAACTGGATTTTACGCTAGGTCAACAGAAACTTTCACTGTTCCCTACAAAAGAGCGAGGGAAGGAGGGGCTCTTGATTTGGTCAAAGGTCTAAGATCAGGTCAGGCAGGCTTATGGATGATCTCACCTGACAGCCAAACCGACCTTGGTAGCTATGATCCCGCCACTCTTCCGAACTCCCAGTTTGCCATGTGCCCTAGGTTTGTCACCGTACAACTGAGGTACGTTGTGCAAGCCGTCAGCTAAAGCCAAGGGCAGGTTGACAAAGCCACCTTTGGCGATCGCTCCGGTCATAGAAGCGAATCTCCTCTTAACGGCCATGGCGGCTGCGCCACTCCCGCGTCCAGCTTCCTGGCTAGAGGTCCTGGGATGCTTGTACTTTTTCCAAGGATCAACAAGCGTCCCTCCTGATGCAAACGTGATATTGATGACTGTAACCAAAAACGAGAAGGTAGTGCCCGTGATGGGGTCCCATCGCTTGATGTCGATATCATGCTCTTTTGTTCGTATCGGTTTCAGTTCGTTGATCTACAGCTTTTGCGACAACTCGGCCCCAAACTGGGTGGTCGCCGAAGAATGGTACAATCATAGTTGAACGGGCGTTGATGATACCATAGGCTATTGTTCCAGCTCCTTCATGGTGCACCACTGCTGACGCTCGCTTGAACAGCCACTCGTGGGGACACTCGCCCAGCTAAAACACATCATCTGTGTTTGGTCTTCTGTCGCCAAGCTTTCTCCATACATGAGAGATGAGAGACGAACACCGCAGATGCTGGCAGCTTAGATGATGCCAATCAAGCGCAGCAGGTAGCTGATCACGATGCTGCCGAAAACAACATACACCGAGAGAGGTCCCGCTGGAAGGAAAGCATCTAGATCGGCGTGTGGATCGTACGCTGGCTCATCTCGCCTGAAAACCCCGCACACGTCTGCTTCTGGCTTTCAGTCAGCAGGTTTGGGAACATACTGGCCTACGTCGCCTGCCTTCAAAGGCTATCGAAGAGATCAAAGCAGGATTGCGGACTATATATTACACGTCTGTTAGAGTATGCCTCCAGGTACTAGAGGCAACGGCGCAAGACAAACCAACATCAGATCTGCAGGGCCACCGTCAATGGAAGAGAAATACAAATTAGAGCCGATCACGAACTTGACGAAAGTGCCATGAGTGGCAAGCCTGACCCGATGGCCGTACCGACGTAGGGCTGTTCTGGGTGCGATGAAGGGTTGAACGTCTCCTATAAAACGCATGTAAGTAAAAATGCACACATTGGATGGGCAGCATCAACAGGCTGCGAACTACTTACCGCGGCTGCCCACCACTTCAGTGACATCATTCGGAGACGGGACCGTTTTCATATTAATGTTCGCCAACGTGTCGTTCTCGGCTGTCAGGAACCAGGGAAGCTGCTCGGTCAGTTGTTGTGGATGCCCTGACTGTAGGTTGATGGTGAGATGACCGTCCGCTGTTCGAGAATTGGTTCAAATCGCCCAATAACACCGTGAAACAGAATCCAAACTGATATCACCGCCTACGGAAAAGAAGTGCCCCTGAAAATTGCAACCTGATCAGAGTTGTCTTGCACAAAGACTTGAAATCTTCCACGTCACCCCGCGGGTTCGGCTTGGACTCGATCACAGGACTTCACGCAATTGACTCGTCTCGCCATCTCTCCAACTGTCTTGCTCGGCTGGCAAACAAAGGACTCCGCAAGATTTATCTATGTGCTACCGGCAAGCCTCCAAAGCTTAACTATTACCAACAAAATGGACTTTTGGTGGCGCTACTAGTGGGACGGCCTACACTGGGACCGTGACGACCGGTTGTTCCGCGGTGGCAGTCACTTGAAGCCAAAATCGTTGAGTACCTCGAGAGCCAACCACGTAGCTTGAAGGAATTGAAGCTACAGATATCAATTGATGACCAGGAGGAGAGGACTGAAGAACTGAAAGCTAGCTTGATGTCTAAGGGGAAAGCTGTTGGGGTAGAAGTAGATGTAAGGCTGATGCCGTAGAAAGAGCCGGTGGCATTTTCTAATAAATCATCTTGGGATGAGATCAAAGTTTATGCCGATCGGTCTTGTATGATGTGAAAAGAATCAAGTCACAGATTCTGAAACTTTGGTTATGATGACAATAAGTTTGGCACCGACATAACCGGCCAAAAATGGTCTATGAGATATGAACCTAAAGGTTAACAGATCAACCATTCTGTCGTCCAGGCACGTCGTTCACAAAGTTCCCCTGCCCAGTCTTGTTCGCCTTCATCTCCAATCTCGTCTGCAGCCTCCTCACAGCCTTCTCCGCCTTGTCCAACTGCTTCTTCTGCGTCAACAGCACGTTCCGCTGCTCCGCGGACGGGAGGTGAGCCAAAGCCGCGCGATCATTCAGACTCAAGCGTGAGAGCTGGGTTTCGAAAACGGCGTCGCGCTTCTCTGAGCGGGTAAGGGCCTTGGTGTCCACTTGCTGTTTCCCTGAGGCGGACGGCGCTGTCAGTCGGAAACTTGCGTCGGACTCGTCGAAGTTCGGGCCCGCTGTGAGAAGATTGTCCGAACCAGAGTCGGCGGCAGTTTTGGCTTTCGCCCGCTGTCGGGATGGAGCTGGCGTTGAGCGGTGGGAGAGTGTTTTGCCAGACGGGAGGCGGATGGAGCCGCCTTCTTCGACGGCATCGGATATGGCTTTCTTCATATCGTCCTCTTGTACTTGCGTTTCGCCGTCCCCATCCTCTGTCAAGTCCTCATAAAAGTCCTTGAATTCAGAGTCTTCGGCCGTGATGTCAAACTTGCAGTGGCCCTTCCCCAGCATGTGCTGCTGCACGGCAGAAGCGGTTCGTCGCTGCGTACCGCACTGAAGGCACTCTTGGTACCCAAAGACGACGAGGTGGAGATACCGAACCAGGGTCTCGAGGTCGACGATTAGCTTCTCCTGGCCGGGAATGAACATGCCGTGCGCCTTGCCCATGTGCGCAACGTTACCGTCAAACGACCCCGAAGTGGCATTGCAAAACAGACATTTTTCGGGAACGAAGTCGTCATCGGGGTCAGCATCGCTGATTTCGGCGTCAGAAACAGAGGATGAGGAATTCTCCGATTCGGACTCGGCTGTGGATCCATCGACCGGCGCGGTGGGGGGTTTGGAGAGAGCTGCGTGCTGGTCCGCGGTCAGAGGGTCCAGCTCAGCGATGCGGCGCTTGAGGTTCGTGACGTGCCATTGGCTTTTGGAGTGGGCGCGGCGAGTTTCGGCGTTGTCGAAGTGGACGGCGCAGGCGCCGCAGGATGTTGCTGAAAGCTTGAAGTGGGAGCTGTTTGAAAGCTCCATGATGGCGGTGGTGTTGGTGGGTGCGGTCGTGGAAATGCTCAGCATCAGAATGCGCGATGGCAATAGCAAACGAAAGGTGGTGATTAAGCCCAATTTCTCCCGAAAACGGAAACACGAGAGCTTTATACTTGTGTCATGGGACGGAAGTTGGCATGGTTACGACGTAGATTACAAGGAAGAAGACTAGAAGCCCATCGTGGCGATGGCCGAGGCCCCCTCGATCCACAGAGATATCTTGCACTCGGTTGGCGAATTAGCGACGCATTACCAAAGCAGAGCTGGAAGGATGTCGTTTCGACATCATCCATCAGCAGGCGCCGTTATAGGACGACAAATGCAGTGAGTCAGAATGTGGACCCCATTTGACAGCAGCAATCTCGGCTCCGGCACATAGGTGGAATGGCACTGGAGGGAGGATCAGAGGCCTGTAGTATTGCGAGATCTTCTCGGAGATCTTGTGATGCGGCATGACCGCCAGCCACTTGGGGGACGAGAATTTTGGAGAAACAAAAAACCGAGACGGGGGTGAGTCAGACCGGTAACTGGTACCCGTGAACGTGTGGCTCGGGGGGGCCAAGACCTTCCTCTTCGGGATATGTGGGCGTTGACAATTGAATGAGCCATCATCCCCACAGCGGTCCGAGTGGCAGGGGTCTGGACGCTGCCGATGCCGAACTCAATTGCGGCCACGACCTCCGGCTGAGCTGATGCGATGCTTGGGATGAAATGCAAGTGCAGGAAGAAAACCATTTCTCGGTGGTTGTCTGTTGACTCTTAAAGTTTATTAGATTCTGTAATTTTTGCCGGGATGATAGTTTATGGGCGAATGCCTCGCTCAGCTCGTTGAAATTTGCCTCTGACCTCTCGCCACCCTCTCATATGGTGCCATCTCTAATCTAGTTCATAACATTGGCTGTTTTCCATCACCATAGATCGCTTATAGTCAATGCACTCGGCGGTTCAACATTGATGACAAGCAAAGTATCATACGGCAGATTTAAATCCCAGCAATGTTTCCAGCACTGATGACGCAATGCTCACCATGTTATACCAGACGCGCGCTAACACCAGCCAAAGCTGATAAGCGACCAGATATCAGGGGAACCACAAAAACACGACATTCTGGACTTGGATAAATGGGTGGGTTTGAATCATAAGTTGGTATCGAGTCACTTTTAAGCCGTAGCTATCTACCACCTCCCCTCCTCGCCTAGAAAAATCCCAAATGGCTTTCTCCTCTACTCCCCTCTAACAACACACGACCTGAATCAAATCCGCCCTGGGCCTCATTATCCGACACCGTCCCAAAATGCTGAATCCGCAACTCCTCTCAATATCATCGCCCGTTCTCTAGTAGCTACGGCCGAACATGACCCACTTCTGGGCCTTGGCCTCGCACTCGGGGTTAAGGCACTTGGTCTCGCCAGGGACGATGCCCTCGGGCTGCTCGAAGGGGATGCAGAGAGACTTCATGCCCATGCTGGGCTGCTTCTTGCCCTCGGGGAGGCTGGCATTTTCGGGGGGCTCGCTGGTGGTGAGCTCCTTGATGCGGTCCTCGCACTTGCCGCCCAAGCAGAAGGGGATGAGAACAACGTTCTTGGTGTCGAGGGCGGGGATGACCTTCTCCCACTCGGTAAGGACGAGGCGGTGCTCGCGGAAGGACTGCTCGGCCTTGTTGTACATGTCGGACTGGATGGTCTCGAGCAGCTCGGGGACCTTGGTGGAGAGCTCGGCAAGGGGATCGAGCCCTTCTCGGCAGTGTCACGGCGGGCGAAGGCGACGACCTCCTTGGCCGCGTCCTTGGGGCCGAACTCGAGTCTGAGGGGAACACCGCGAAGCTCCCACTCGTTGAACTTCCAGGCGGGAGTGTAGCCGTCTCTCAAGTCGGACTCGGCACGGACGCCGGCCTTGCGAAGCTCGTTGCGGAGGTCGTCAACCTTGTCCTCCAGCTTCTTCCTGTCCTCAGGGGTGGTCTTGGCGGTGATACCGACAGCGATGAGGACAACCTGGATCTTGGCGATGCGAGGGGGAGAACCAGACCCTTGTCGTCACCGTGGATCATGACCATGACGCCAATGACACGGGTGGACAGACCCCAAGAGTTCTGCCAGACGTGGATCTTCTCACCCTTCTTGTCGGGGTCCTCAACGGTGATGTCGAACATCTTGGAGAAGTTCTGACCCAAGCAGTGAGAGGTGGCACCCTGGATACCACGACCATTGGAAGGAATGTAGCCCTCGACAGTGGTAGTGTAGTAACCACCAGCAAACTTCTCGTTCTCGGTCTTGGTGCCGCGGACGACGGGGACGGCGAGCAGCTGCTCGTAGACACCGGCATAGAGCTCGAGGATCTCGAGCACCTCCTTGCCGGCAAGCTCCTCGGTGAGATGAGCGGTGTGGCCCTCCTGCCACAGGAACTCTCTTGTACGGAGGAAAGGGGTGGTCTGCTTGGCCTCCCATCGGACGACCGAGTTCCACTGGTTCAGGCGGAAGGGCAGATCGCGATGGCTGCGAATCCACTTGGAGTAGTAGGGGTACATGACCGCCTCGGAGGTGGGACGAACCGCGACGGGGACCTCGAGGTCCTTGTCACCGCTGTAGAGGGGCTGTCAGTCCGCGTTCGGCGCGATTGTCAAGGGAGAGATGGACTTACGCCTTGGTGACCCAGGCAAGCTCAGGGGCGAAACCCTCGACGTGATCCTTCTCCTTCTCGAGCGACTTGGAAGACAGGAACATGGGGAAGCTCGTCTCGTCGACACCCATGGCCTCGATTCTCTCGGAAAACCACTTGCGGATCACGGTCCAGATGTACATGGAAGCCGGGCGAAGAATGAAGAAGCCGGAAATCTCGTTGTAGTACTCGACCATCTCGGCCTTGAGAACAATCTCCTGGTACCAGGCGGAAAAGTCCTCGCTCTTCTTGACGGTGATACCCATGATGTCCTCGGTCTTCTTGCCGCCGACAACGGGGAGAGAAGCTTGCTTGGCGGCCTTCGCAGCCTTTTCGGCAGCCATCTTGGCCTGCTTCTCGGCCTTCTTCAAGGCGCTCTTGGACTGCTCGGGGACGGGGGCGGGGGCGTCGGCCATGTTTGCGGTGTTGACTGCGCTTCGCAGGATCGTCTCGGAAAGAGTCTCGACTTATAGAGCTGGCGGCGTGGTGACCAGATCGGCCTGAGTCACTTTGGGAATTTGGGCAGAGAAGGCGGTGCGATCCAGCGGAAAAAGTGCCCCGCACTAAAATGTGAGTCGTGTGTCGAGCTGTTGGGTGGGAAGGAGTGAGGGGTCAATTGGGCTCCAGCCACGGGGTCCCGAGTGTGGGGTGGCACACAGACTGCTTATCTGCCGCTTCAGCCACACTTGTAATTGACGACTCGGGAGATTATAACGATAAGTGGTAGGAAGAGATATTACGAAGATCCAGTTTGATACGGAATAAAACCAAATGGGCCAAGTGACAAATTTCAAACATGCGAACTCTTTTGGAACCTTGACTAATTCTATAAATCCTGTGAGTGTTGACTTTCTGCTCTGTTGCAGGAGTTGCTGTTCTCGCCGATAAGATAACCAGCACCAGCCACACCCCGGTTCCTGGAACAACCCCGGCTCCGATAAAAAAGTTGCGTCGAGGGGGGACAAGGCAGGCACAGCACAGAAGCTTCTATTGCTGTCCAGGCACACACCGACGAAGCTCCCCAAACCACCCCAAACCCACCACCTCCCATCCCGCGATTATACCACAACCGCTGGCAGTGAGGCGCAAAAATGGCTTCCATGTTTGAGCAATCAGGGAGCGGCACGCTTTTCCTCGGCGGTCAGAAGATTTCCGGCGCCGATATCAGAGACCAGAACGGTATGCTTCTGCCACCATCAATGCGATCCATCCTAGCTTCGCCTTGCTAACAAACTCTCAGTTCTCGCGACTCAAGCTATCGCAAATGTCGTCAAGAGCTCCTTCGGTCCCAGCGGCCTCGACAAGATGATGGTGGATGATATTGGTGTACGTATAGCGACCCCCTCCCCCCTGGACCCCGCTTACCCCCGGCGCAGGATGTCACGGTCACGAACGACGGTGCCACTATCCTCAGCTTGTTGGACGTCGAGCACCCGGCAGGCAAGATTTTGGTCGATCTGGCACAACAACAAGACAAGGAGGTCGGTGACGGCACCACGTCCGTTGTCTTGATCGCCGCCGAGTTGCTGCGCAGAGGAAACGAGCTCATGAGAAACCGCATACACCCCACGACCATCATCACGGGATACAGACTTGCCCTCCGTGAGGCCGTCAAGTACATGAACGAGAACATCAGCATCAAGGTCGAGAACCTCGGACGCGAATCTCTCATCAACATCGCCAAGACCTCCATGTCCAGCAAGATCATTGGAGGCGACTCCGACTTCTTCGCCAACATGGTGGTGGATGCCATGCTGGCCGTCAAGTCAACGAACAACCGCAACGAGACAAAGTACCCTGTCAAGGCCGTCAACATCCTCAAGGCGCACGGCAAGGGCTCGCTGGAGTCTCTCCTCATCAAGGGCTATGCCCTCAACTGCACAGTCGCCTCGCAGGCCATGCCGACAAGAATACAGGATGCCAAGATCGCAGTGTTGGATATGAACCTGCAAAAGGAGCGCATGAAGTTGGGTGTGCAGATCACGGTCGACGATCCCCAGCAGTTGGAGCAGATTCGCCAGAGAGAGTCGGGCATGATTCTGGAGAGGGTAGAGATGATCCTTAAGGCCGGCGCCAACGTTATCCTTACCACCAAGGGTATCGACGACATGGTCCTGAAGACGTTTGTGGAGAAGGGTGCTATGGGTGTGCGCAGATGCAAGAGAGAGGACCTGCGAAGAATCGCCAAGGCGACGGGTGCCACCATGCTCAGCACACTGTCGGACCTCAACGGTGACGAGAAGTTCGACCCGGCCTACCTGGGACACGCCGAGGAGGTTGTTCAGGAGCGCATTTCCGACGACGAGTGTATCCTGGTCAAGGGCACCAAGTCTCACTCTTCGGCATCCATCATTCTCCGTGGACCCAACGACTTCACCCTGGACGAGATGGAACGGTCGATCCACGACTCCCTCAACGCCGTCAAGAGGACTCTCGAGAGTGGCAGCATCGTCCCCGGCGGTGGTTCCGTCGAGACGGCCCTGCACATCTACCTCGAGGAGTTTGCCGGCACCGTTGGCTCCCGCGAGCAGCTGGCCATCGGCGAGTTCGCGCAGGCGCTGCTCGTCATCCCCAAGACCCTGGCTGTCAACGCCGCCAAGGACGCATCAGAGCTTGTCGCCCAGCTGCGTTCCCGGCACGCGCTGTCGCAGCGTATCCAGGAGGGCGAGGGCAACGAGGACGAGAAGAGTGTGGCGCGCAAGAAGGCCTACAAGAACTACGGCCTGGACCTGACGCGCGGTAAGGTGATTGACGAGATCAAGGCCGGTGTTCTGGAGCCCACCATCAGCAAGATCCGGCAGCTGAAGAGTGCCGTGGAGGCCTGCATCAGCATCATGCGTATCGATACCCTGATCAAGCTGGACCCCGAGCAGAGAGAGGAGGATGATGGACACGGTCACTGAAGCGGCGGCGGGATTTGTGAAAATGAAACAAAAATGAGCCAACGGGGGAGTGTTCAAGGTTTAGACGGTTCATAGATCACTTGCTAATGATACCTCGTCATGCCGATCTGGACCTCAGTCCGTGGGCTTCCTAGTGGCCTTTCTTGAGGCCCTGTGTGAGCCTGCTGCTATGCAATCCCGTGTACCAACATGTTTAGCACCAGCCAAACTTCTCATTGAGAACCCATTCGACCTCTCCTTCGCCATACCACATCAAGCTCGCGATGCTGTCTCTCTCCCTTTCGATAAACTCGTGCGGGACGCCCGCCTTTTCGATGAGGGCCCTGACCCTGGCATCAGGATTCCACATCTCGACGTTATTCACCTTCCACTCGGCCGCCTCTGCCCTCGCCAGCTTCAGCAGCGCTACTATGGCCTCCTGGACAAACTGGTCGCTGCTCGTCTCGTCCTCAATGGCCAGCCTCAAAATATGCATCGTGTTCCCTTCGGGCTTCTTCAACCCGCCGTAGTACCCCCTGGTCCAAACCGCCCATACCCGCGAGCCCAGCTCCCCGACCACGCCGCCCCGTACCGTCGGCGTCTTGCCGAAGATGTGCTTCGTCATGTAATCCTCGCGCATGAGGTGCCACAACATGGCGTCGATGTCCGGCAGCAGCGACACCCGTGTCTTGTCGCTCTTCTGGGCCAACTTGGCGCGGAGCAACCGCTCGTCGACGGCGCACAGCTCCGCCAGCTCGTGGTATCCCAACGGCACCGCCTCACGCGGCAGCTCCCCCTCGGCCGCCTTCTGCGGCGGAAAGTCGAGGTGTGTGCTCTCGTACGGGTGCCAGCCGTGCTTGGCGTAGAACTTCTTGCCAATGTCCGAGTACAGCACCGAGCAGGCCACCTCGCCGTCGCGGATGTCGCCCCACTTCTCGCCCTTGGCCATCTCGGCGCCCTGCCACCGCGCGAGCGTCGACCCCATCATGTCCATCATGATGGAGGCATACCCGTTGCCGCGGTGGGCCGGGTCGGTGAAGACGGAGCCGACGGCATGGGTGATTGCCTCGACGACGGTGCCATCGGGTCGGGCGACAAGCACGGGCTTGCGGATGCTCTCGCACGAGGAGAGAATGGGGCGGGCGTCGGGCGGGAGGGACGGGTCGGTGAGGATCCATTGCGTGATGCCGCCGTTGCGGCTCACGGGGACGGTGGTCATGTACTCCTCGCGGCGGATGTACGCTTCCAGCTCGAGGGCAGTGCCCCAGTGGGTGTACGTCGAGGTGTACGTCTTGACCCGCTCGGCCGGCGTCGGCTGGGTGAGGATGAGGTCTGTTTCGTGCGTCGAGCCCATGATGGATGTCTTGCCCTGCTGCTCTGTTCCTCACTTGACGTTGTGTTACGGTTTCTTTGTTTCCGGCTTGTCTCGTTTGATAATCACATCACTTCCAGACATTGACCAAACAAGAGAAAGGAGAGTTGAAGGAAGACGAAAAGAAGAAACAAGGCCAGCCTCCCGAAGCGTGGGTTGGAAACAGGACAAAGCGCGGTCCTTATCATGTGTCCCCCAAACGGCTTCAGTAGGTGTTAAACGGGCGCGCGGCCCCACCAGGCGATGAAGGCGTTTGCGGGGAAGACCCAGTTAACCCAGGATTCCTCCCAGGATGAAGCGCCCCAAGCTGCCGTTTGGAGCCAAGACTACATGATACGAGTCGGTGGGAAGACTAGGTGCGATACACAAAAGAGCACAAAAGGGCCGTCGACCCCCTTCCACGTTCCTCTTCCCCCCTCCGTCTCACCTGCGAAGACAGAGGTCAGCAGGCCCACAAGCGGCGCATCGTGGGCAGGAGAAGCGGCCGAGCCGATGCTCGTCTTACGTCACGGGAAGCTTGTTAGTGCGATGCTGGACAGGTTCAACAAGGCAAAAGTACGGACGAAAGACGTCGAGTCTCGTTATCAAACAGCGCATTTTCGTCGCAAAAGAGTTGGGACTTTGAACTCTAGGGCCTCTTTTTTTAGGTAATTGTTTGCTACCCCAACCCCCAAAACTTCCCCGCTCTGCCGGTGCGCAACGGGCAAGTCTGGCCGGCGGGGGGCTCACGGAGGGCCGGTGGAAGCCGATGGTAGGCGGGGCCGGATTTGGGGGTGTTCCCCTCCGGTTGGACGCGGCCGTCTTCGTTGGAGGGGGGGGGGGCAGCGCCCGCCCATCATGGTTGGTGCGCCATGAGATTCCGCTAACGTCGTGACCGGGGCGGGACGAGGGATTCCCTGGTCTGGTGGTAGTCGGCTGACTTGGCCGATGTTGTGACAGATGGGAACCTTGGCTGGGTTTTGGGTGTGCTGGTCTGGATGGGATATGTTCCCTTTTCTCAGCTTGATCAGCGTTGGATATTCCTGAGAGATACTAATAGACGGTTTCGAGTCACTTGTTCCAACGAGTTGAGTTACCCTTACGTTTTCCAATAGCCACATGAACAAGATACCACCTACATTCTGTGTATCTTACTTGCAAGGTTCCCTTATCTACGAGTCACACCATATGTCGGTCCCAAACTCAATCAAATAGAAATGCCCCTCCTCCTTCCGTTCCCGTCGCGCCCCTCCTTCGAAGCAATGTCACCACCTCGCCATGCCCCTTGCAGCCGCAGACTGCAACGCCGTCTGCTGCCCGCCCCATCGAGCTCCAGCCCCAGCCTCGATCTCGGCCCCGGCACCCAACAACATCTCGCACACCCGCACGTGTCCCCCCTCCGCTGCGGCGTGCAGCGCCCTTGCGCCCTTAAACCTGCTCCCTTGGGCGTCGACATCCGCCCCAGCGTCAAGGAGCATCCTGACCAGCCCCTCGTGGCCGTGATAGCTCGCCGCCTGCAACGCGGTGAATCCTCTGGCCCGACACGCCGGCGCGTTGACGTCGCCCTCGTGGTCCATGACCATCTCGACAATGTCTTCGAAGCCGCCCCCAGCAGCCGCCTGCAACGCCGTCCTCCCGCCCGTCGCCGCCGGCTTCGCGTTCACATCCGCCCCTTTCTCCAACAGCAATCTCACAACGTCCCCCAACCCCGCAGCGCAAGCGCTCTGCAGCGCCGTCGCCCCAAAGTACCTCGCCGCAGGCACGTTGACGTCCGCTCCCCCGTCCAGCAGCACCCGCACGATCCCAATGTCTGGTTGCCCAGCCGCGATCTGCAGCGCGTTCTTCGCGTCGTTGTTCCCCGGACGATCGTCCACGTCCGCCCCGGCCGCCAGGAGCGCCGAGACCACCTCCGCGCGGGACGCCGAGCACGCGGCCTGGAGCGCGGTTCGGCCGTAGTATCCCTGTGGCGGGGCGTTGACGTCTGCTCCTGAGGCGAGGGCGGCGCAGACCGCCGAGAGGTCGCCAGCGAGAGAGGCTCGTTGGAGCGGAGTCCAGCAGTCGTCCTCGTCTTGTTCTTGTGAAACCTGCTCGGCAACGTCTCTATTGGTGAGATGCTGCATTTTTGGCAATAACCCTTTGCCGATTCTATCGTTTGCGCCGGCACGTGTTGACTTAAAAAGTGAGATGAGAGTCGGTATGGTTGAGTCTCAGCTTAATGTTTCCAGCATGGGTGACGGAAGTGCGGCACATTGCACACCTCGTGTTCCCCGCCCGCGTTATCTTTTTGCTGACGGACTTCCCACCAGGTGTCACTGGATCAACAGCAGTCGGCCAAAATAGCTTAAAAGAAAAAAATATCAATATCTCTTCGTGGTGTATTTCTGCGGCAGACTAACTATTCTGTAGTCTCGGCCTTCTTCTTGCTTTCGCTCTTCTTCTGAGGCGCGCCCTGCTTCGGCTCATTCTTCGATCCTGGTTCGTTCTCATATCCGCCGCCCTGCTTCTCGTACTCTTTCGCCAGCTTTGATGCCTGTATGACGGTCAGCATTGGCAAATCCACATCTGCCAGAGAATTGCAACAAAAAGAATGTCCGTTTGGAATATCGATATGGATCGTTTGACTGACCTTCCATGCTGCCCATTGTCCCTCTCCGCCGCCGGACTTGTTAGGTTCTTGCTTGATCTCTGGAGTACATCTTGAGCATCTTCACCATTAATGTGATCGAAAAGTATACCTTCTTTGATCTCTTCTCTCAGCTCAGGATCAGTAGGCTTTCCCTTGGACGAAGGCATAGTGGAGCTGGAGTGTGTCGAAAGATGCTGAGACGATGCGATGTGTAAAAGGGAACAGTTTTGTGTGATGGTATGTGAAGGTCGTTTTGATTCAGTGAAGTGAAGCCACGGTCATTACCAAGTCAACATTGCTAGATGCCTATAACATACCCCCCCGCCAAAGACAGGGTTCCTCCCGATGATGATACCAGTGATCATCTATGACGACTACAGTATCAGCCACACCTCCGTTCGGTCGGCACCGCTGGCGGGCCGGCGGACCCACACAACCCAGCCCGCGCCGTCCCGACCGTTTGTCCTCGTTCGGGGGGCCGGCGGTTGCTGGAGCCATCAGGGTACTTCAAGCGAAAGCATCTGTAAACTGATCGTGATCTTTGTTTATTTTTACTTCTTGATTGTACCATCTATAGCCGGAGGATCACCTACCCCTTTCCTAGCGATTTTCATCATAGCATCATAAGCCAAGAGTCCGTAACCAGAGCGGCGTCTTACTCAATCACCAGATCTCCTCAGTGAATCGACACTGGCTCAAACTCCGCACCCTCCTCAATAACCTCTCCGTTCATGATACCGTGCACGTACGCAGCGCCTACAATCCGTCGCATGCCCTCCCTCTCCGCGCTCTTCCGCAACACGAACGGCGCGTTGCACCCCTTCATGACCCAGATCTCGTCGCCAGCCTCGCACCCGTCCGGCACCATGCCCACGTACTTTTCCCCCTTGGCCAGCACCAGATCCAGCGCCGCGCGCATCGGGAAGACGCGGTTGATCAGCACCTGCGCTGCCGCCTCGAGCGCCTCGCCTGCCTCCTCGGCCGTGCACCCCGACAGCATGATCTCCTTGCGCAGCGCTTCTCTTTCGGGCCTCGTCGCGGAGAGGTCGTCCTCCTCGACGGCCGTGCAGAAGCGGTACGCCAGCTTCAGCGTCGTCATCGGGACTTCGTCCTCGTCCGCCTCGGTGCGGAAGAACGTGAGGGCCCTGAGGACCGCCTCGAGGCCAGATTCGCCGGTCGGGTACGTCGTCTTGTCAAAGTTGGGGATGTTGGCGAGGAGCTTGGAGAGCGTCACCATGTCGCGCTTCACCCAGAGCGAGGGCTGCTCGGCGTGCAGGTGCGCCGGGCGAGGAACGCCGGTCATGTGAGAGATGGTGTCCACCTTGACGCCCTTGAGGAGGAGCACGTCTTCGTCCTCGTTGGGGTCAAAGCCGAAGTCGAAGTCTGTCTCGCCAGCGGCCTCTGACTCGGCCGCGTCGGCGACCGTCATGCGCCGCCAGGGTCTGCGGAAGTCGGGAATCCAGGACGGGAAGTTCTTGCCGTTCAGGTTCTCGGCGATGCCGGCGTGGTCGAGCAACTCCTCGCTAAAGGGCTCATGGAGGAGGGTACGGCCGAAGCGGAGGGCCGTCTGCTCGAACGTGGCAGAGTAGTCGGGGCGGAACTCCTCTCTGTCGCCATCAGAGGCCAGGCCGAGGAGCGCAAAGTAAAGGTCCCGGGGGTCGGTGGCCTCGACTTCGCGGAACGACAGGAGCAGGCTGAGAAGATCTGTCGAGCGGTCCGAGTCATCTTCGTCCTCTGACTCCCACTCTCCATCCTCACCCTCGGCGTCCTCGGCCTCTTCATGCTCGTGGCCGCCGTGACCCCCACAGCACCCACCTCCGTGCTCATGACCGTGATCGTGCCCGTCTTCGTCTCCGTGACCGTGCCCATCCGAGTTGCCCCGCATGGAGCCAAGCTGGTAAAACCGCAGCCTCTGGGCCATGTTAGCCATCAAATCAGCCGCGCCCTCGATTTCCTCGCCGGCGGCGTTGATCAACGGCCAGGGCGGGCTCTCGGGCTCTTCCAGAGCGACCGTGGCCGGCCACAGCTGCGACCAGCTCACAGTCTTGTCGCCGCAAATCATCAACACGTCACGCGCCAGGATGAACTCTTGCACGACCCAGACCCGGCGGAACCACGACCGGTTCCAGAACCGCGAGACCGCCATCCACTTCTCATCGCCCTGCGGTGGCAACTCCGCCTCGCTGCCGGTGGGTGCATCAGGCACCGGCTCAGAGAGCAGGTTCTCGACAAAGGCACGGGCACCCGCGTTAAGGGGGTTCGGGATGTTGACGCGCCAGTACTTCTCAATCAGCTCGATGGCCTCCTTGCTGCCATCAGCCTCCTCGCCGAGGTAGGCGAGCACGCGGCGGGCGCTGACATAGATGTCGTGCATGAGCATAATTTGCGACTCCTTCTCTTTGTTGTCGGACTGGTTGATGCACAAGGCGTCTACCCAGACAAGGCGCGGGCGGTCCGCGAGGCGGATGCGCCTGAGGCAGTGGCAGAGGTTCTCGGTGATGGCAATGTCCGCGCCAGCAGGTGATGTGATGCGCTTAGGCTTGTCCTCGGAGCCCCAAACATACGAGATGGCCTCGTACGAGTCCGCGGATTCAGGGAGCTCGCCCTCATGTTTGCTGGCCTCGTCGATATAGGTATCGATGGGGCGAACGAGGAGCTCGCCGTAGAGGGGCTCGTCGAATTTTCCTGGCGAGAGGGAGAGGATTCGGAAATCCCGCTCGCCGATGGCGGCGTATTTGTACTCGGCCATGGTGAAAATGAGGCCTGCCTTGTGAGGAAACCGTCTTTTCGGGATATGGTGAGTGAAAGTGGTGAGGGATGAACTTTGAGGACGTGCGAGTGAGTGATTGGCGAGAAAATTCAGACGTTGGCAGGTGTTTTGGGGATGTGGAGTGAGATTGGACCTGCGATCCAGGAACGTGCTGCATGAAGATCCCACAGTTGAGTGAAATGATTTTTATTTACTGACTCTTATGATTCGCATCCGCCGAGCAAGGAAGTACCACACGCAAATTTTCTTCTCACTTCAACGGGCTATGAAAGTGCATCAAAGACCAGTACTAAGTCAACTTGGCTCAAGACGAGATTTTGGTTTTGTTTTTATTTTTTTACCTCAAACTTTACGGCAGCCAAACTTTCAGGCTAGAATCGAGCTCAGATCCCTGACAATTCACATTTTGCATCAAGTGACAAGTTAAAGACTTAAAGACAATAAAAGGATTTCATCAATCGTGTTATATATGTATAAGAACTGAGCACTTTCACTCGATCCTCCAGCCCATCCTGGCCTTATCCGACCCAGTCGAGATCCAACCAAAACGTACTGCACACACAAAAATAAAGCCATCGTACACTACAAGACAGCGCCACTCAGACAACTGTCACTCAGACGCCCAAGGCGGAGTTGAAGGCGTCGGCAGCAGCCTGGCCCGTGAGACTCTTCGCCGCAGCCTGGCCCTGCTGGCAGGCGGAGACTGCAGCGGCGTCGGCCTTGCACTTGGACTGCAGCTGGCCGCAGATGAAGCTGCTGATGACGTCGATCTTGAGCGCCGAGCCGTGCTCGAAGTCGCCGGCGGGGGCGAACGAGGCCTCCTTGCGCCCGTCGAGGCCCGTGGCGAACTCGATGCTGGGGTCCTGGCACGAGCCGAAGTCCAGAGCCTGACGCTCCTGGATCATCCGCGTCGCGATGCGCATGCGGTGGCCGGGCCCGGCCGAGCGGCGGAACTTCTTGAGGGACGCGGCGGCGAGGCACTCGTCCTCCTGCGCGCCGCAGTCGGCGACGCTAAAGTCGGCTCCCGAGTTGGCCTCGTCGGCGCAGGCGTTGTGCTGCACGGCGCACGAGCGCTGCAGGGCGGCGCCGGCGTTGAGAAAGGTAGAGCCGTTGACCTCGAAGGGCTTGTCGGCCGCGGCGTCCGAGTTCACGGGCGGGGCGGGGCCGCCGAGGTCGCCGGTGAAGGTCTGGACGTTGGTGGTTCCGGTGGCGGAGCCGGTGCCGTTGTTGGCGTCGTTGTTCTGGCGCTCAGACAGGACGGACTTGGGGAGGACAGTGGTGCGGGTGGCCTTGGCCTTAGCCTTGGCCTTGGACTTGGACTTTTTGCCCGCGGAGCACGTGGAGTTGGTTGCGGTCTCGGTGGAGTTACCGGCGGCAGCGCCGGTTCCGGCCACAGCAGCGTCAATCTCCTCGGGAGTGGCATCCTTAACGATCAGGTTCTGAGTGAAGATGCATCCTTCAGCATCGTTGGCATCGTCGCAAGTGTTTCCGGCTCCGGTGTTGTCGTTGACCTGTCATCTCGTCAGCCATTTCGCTCTACAACCCGCAAGGAGTCTAGTTTTGGACTTACATCTCCAGGGGCAAAGGTGCCGGAATCAAGCGCAAGCTGGGGGTCCGCGCCGACCGCCGCAAGCTGCTTGGCCAACTCCAATGTGATGGCCTTGTTCTCCGCGGCCGCGCCGTCCGAGGCGGGGTCCTGGTGCTGGCTGATGGCCGCGATCTCGGGGTTTGTGGCCTTGTCGGTGCACGTCACGCTCTTCAGGCCCACGGATCCCGTGTTTCTCTCCACAGCCGCGAAGACAAGTGCGCTGGCCATGCCGTCGACGTCACCGGCCGCCTTGGCGGTGCTGAAGGCCGAGTCCGCAGTCGCCTGGTGCAGGCAGTCGAGGTTCGTGACATCACCCGCGCCCTTGGCAGCGGCGGCGTTGCCGAGCAGACCAAAGACGGCGTCCTGGATGTTCATGGGATTGTCCTGCTTGAGGAGGGCGTTGACAGCGCGGAGGTACTTCTCGTGCGAGTGCTCCTGGGGCACCTCGGCGACGGCGAAGGCGACGAGGGCCGCGAGGGCAGTAGAGGTTTGGAACTTCATCGTGCGGGTTCTGGGTATGGAGGGATAGTTGTGTTTTCGTAACGAACCGTTGACGACCGGGTCGATGTTCAGATAGTACAGGAGTAAAGAGTGTTGTTCAAAAAGAAGGGCCGGCCTAGGAGGATCTGGTCTGGAAGACGAGGATCAAAAAGAATGAAAAAATATGGTATAAATTACACACAAAAGGGAGTTGCCAGAACTCAACGAAGGAGAGTACTGCTGATGAAAGGCTTGGTGAGGAAACAACTTCATCCCATAACTGAGCCGAAGAGAACGCTCACTTATATACAGCATGAACATAGCGGGACGTCGACACCAAGGGGCTAGCGTCGAAGCCGCCCGGATCTTGGGCCCGTCTCATAGCCGCGACGTCAACTACGGCCCCTGTCAACCCGCTTGGGAAGGGCAACCCGACGATCAACAGGATATTGCTGTTTCTACCAGCTCGTGATGCGCCTTGGCGGCTACGCAGGCCGGGGACGGACTCCCTGAGGTGGGTGAGGGATCCTCGGCTGGACTGTCCTCCGGAAGTGGGCCCCCACATGGACAGGAGAAGGAGGTATGCGTTGCGGTGCGTGCCAAGCGTTCATCCCGTCCCGTTGGTGATGGGCGCGTGGCCGAAAAGGTCTGGCTGGTCGCATACCCTGTTTCGGGAGCTGGTCCGATGAGAGAGTAACGGCACGGCTATGGGATGGCAGGGGAGGATCGAGAAGAGATAACTGGAGCTCCGTCACTTGAGACGGATCCGGTGGAGAGACGGTGGCCAACGTTTGTGATTGTCAGAGTTTTCGTGAATCCGTCGAGACGTGACCCTCGCGCTGCCAGGTGCTGCGGTGTCCGGGTCAAGGTTCAAGCCATCTCATCTCGACCAGCTCACGACTCGAGTATTTACAAAATGTTTCCTCGGCACTGTCAGTCGTCATAGAGCCAGTATCAGAACTCAAAAGCAGCCTCATCACTTAGTGTCATCAATCAAGATGTGGTCTCTCCGGCCCCTGTTCGTGGTGAAGAGCCGAAGTTGGGCAGAGTTTGAGGATCATGCATATCAGACGGCACCTGTCGCGGAACAGCGTCTCATGCAACCTCCGAGCCGCCCCTCTGGGTGATCTGATTGGTTCGCTTGCTTCCGTTTTGACGTGTGGGGTTCAGCAGGGGTCGTGGGGGTAGCGGACCCCGGCTCGTTGTCAACCGATTTGGACTCTGTGTTGTTGGTGTTGATGTCGGTGTTGGTTCGCCTCTGGGATGTCTCTGGGAGACGACGGATCTCTGAGATATTCGCCGTCCCATCTTTGCTTGTTTCCGTGTGCAGAATGCGTCGGGATATATATCGGCGAATGTGATATAGGGACGTTTGTATGTTTTGCCTGGTTCATGCCCAGAGTGTGTCATCTCATTATTCACCACGATGTGCGGATCTCCCTTGCTGGTTGACTACAAAATCATCCAATGCATGAAATGTATCCGACCAGCATCAATAACAACTCTACATAGTAAGCATCAGACTCAGAAGCTTGGGGATAAGCATCACGAGTCATCAAACGCTCGTGATGTCTGAGAGTCGGCGACTAGAAAGCGGCCCTCTTCTTGCACGCACTACACACTGAATCCAACATACTGAACGGGGTCTTCAAACAAAAGGCCCTCTCCATCACCGGGGTGCTGGACAACTCCTGCGACGCCCAGACCTCCTCCAAACACCTCGTCTGCTGCTCCAGTCCATCTCCAGTCACCCACCGCCATCCGAGATGTCGGACCGCATCACCATTACTTGACCTCCCCCATCGTGGTGACCCCATCCGTCCGCTGCCGTCGTCCGACCCGCAACTGACAGCAAACGGCTGCATGACATTCCTTCATGCCCCTTCCACCAAGATCTCCGTCCCAAACACCGACGCGTCACTAGCCAGACAGCGTGCATCGGAAATGCCACACGTCGTGTGGCGTCTGCCATGGAGGTTATTCGTGCTGTCACATGAGCGCGGGCCAGTATGATCGACCCCATCACATCGGTCAACTGCCGGACTGAGCCCCGACTGTGGCGGCGTCTTCGTAAAGCTCGGATCCAGTCTTTAGTATTTATACTTTGGTACCGAAGTCGTCACACAAGTTTGAGCACCTTCGTTAGTTCGGTTCCGTCCTCGCGGGATCTCGCAGCACACTCGTTCCGGTCCAGCGGCAGACGGTTGACAGGCCTTCTATCATTAGTCAATCGTTCGCCACACAAAAATCACCAACCCGGCCATCATCGGCTATTAGGAAGTTGCGAGGCTACTCATTGTTCCTGGACGCTCTTGTGACTTTTGTACATTGGCATCATTGCCCGGGGGGACACGTCTAAGAAAAAAAAGAAAATGACCTCTTCTCTCTCTGGGGACCCAAACCAGCACCAGCTCGACTCCGATGCAAGAAATATTGTTCTAGTAGTTTGTTGTTGTTGCCATCAGCGCCCACGTCCCCGCGAAGGGGGACCCGGGCTTTCCCTCCATACACCCCCATCTCCCCGCGTTCCGTCTTTTACTCTTACAGTGGTGCTGCTTAACCAATGACCAGCTTGCCCTCCTCGGGGAAGTCGTATTCGGGGATCTCGAGGTTGAGAGGAGCGGGTCCTTTTCTGATGCGGCCGGAAATGTCGTAGTGAGATCCGTGGCAAGGGCAGAACCAACCGCCAAAGTCGCCGGCCTCGCCGATGGGGACACAACCCAAGTGCGTGCAGACACCTAGGAGATGATAATGTTAGCAAGCTTGTTGTCGCATTGGGCTCTAAGTCCGGAACATTGATGCCGGAAGGCCGTGGCCGGTCGGCTCCAGCGCCACTCCACAAAGAACCATAAAACGCATCGCCGAGATTTAGCAAACGGTGGTGCTGGAAATAAAAACACGTACCCAGCATGATGAGCCACTCGGGGGTCTTGACACGGTCCTCGTCGGCCTGGGGGTCACGGAGGGAGGAAACGGAGACCTTGTTGGCCTCGTCGATCTCGGCCTGGGTGCGGTGGCGGATGAAGACGGGCTTGCCTCTCCACTTGATGATGACCTGTCGTCCCGGGATGTCAGTACAGCCGTCGCCTGGGACCGAAATCCGCTGATATCATGTTCTCGGGCCACTCACGTTCTTGCCCTCGGGGATGGTGGAGAGGTCGACCTCAACCTTGGCCATGGCCAAAACGTCGGCGGAGGCGGACATGTTGACAAGGAATTCTGCAATTGACACCGTCCGTCAGCCTACAATTCCAACAACAATTCATCCTCCCCTCTGACAGTCCGTCCTTCGCATCTCCGGGGTCGGTTCTCGGGGCAACGGAAGGGTTTCCCTACCCTGGACAGTAGACTTGGCGCCGGCGGCGGTGATGGCGCCCATGGTGCCGACCATGAAGTATCCGAAGAGCTGGTTGGTGCCGGGGCTGGTCTTGCTCATGTACTTGCTGAAGTCGGGGATCTTGTTGCCGGCCTGGGCGCCCTTGAAGGGGCTCGAGTAGCTCGTGGCCGTGGAGTCGTTCCGGGCGGCCGAGGTGCTGAGGGCACGCGCAGCCGTCGTCGCGGACGGGCTGCTTCGCGCCAGCTGCCGCAGGCAGGTGCGGGATGCGTGTGCGAGGGGCGCCATCTCGTGATATCCGGAGGAGGAGTGGAGAGGGTTTGCGGCGAAGGCGGGTTTGGGTTGCGAGATGCAATTGGGAGAGGGATGACGTTGGGGGTTTAGGAGAGCGTCTTTTTTCGTGATGCCGTGGTTTGAGGATTGGGATTGCCGGAAAGCTTTCTGGCTGACGGCCTCAGGCAGAACGTTTCTGAAATTGGCGGCTGATGATTGGCTGGTGGGGACAGCTGGGACCCGGCCCTTTCCGGAGTGGCACGAGTGATGACAGCGTTACTATGGGTATCTGCAAGACCCCCATTAACACAATGCGTCTGGAGGCAAAATTTGTTTTCCGGCGTGCGGCGATCCATTGTTATGTCCACAACAGTTGCAGGACGCAATTGACTTGTTCTTCGTCATCTTTAGCAAGTTTGATGCTAACTTGATTCCTGAATCTAAAATGTTCACTTTGTCGTAGTCGTCAACAAGCCTTGATTTGTTTCCGCCAAACTCCCCATTCCTGAATATCCCACATTTGTATATGCTGTTTTAATGCATGCGCTTCAGCTCCTCCACCAGGTTGCGCATGCTCTCGACTGTTGGACCAAGACCCTGGATGACCACCTGTTGCTTTGCCTCGTCCAAATCCAAGAAACGTTCAATCAACTCGCCGTCAACGAACCGGAAAGGCCCATCTGCGGTGCGTTTGGCATTTCTGAAGCCTCGCCACGCCATGAAGGATAGGCCAGAGCCAGGCGCAGTATCCGCTTGTCCTAGCGTTTTGACAATATCCGCCAGTCTCTCTTGGAACTGAAGTAGCAGACTTTGGTATTCGGCCTTGATATCAGCAAAGACATATAATGACCCCTCGACCTGTGACATGTTAGTACTCTTACTGTGAGGGTGCCTTGAGCTCGTCTTACCGTCGCGAGGAACGCCTTGGGAACAATGGGGTCGTTCTCGTTGGGTGTGATGTTGAGTGGCCGGATCTTGTTAACCTGTTCTCCGAGATGAAATTCACTCGTAACCTCCATCTGCTTTTGATCGTGTTCTGTCGGCGCGTCGGGGTTTCTTCTCAGCACCATCAGGTTGCCCTGCGCATCCGCCTCGAGCCACGAATGCCCCTCTAGGTGGCACACCGAAGTGGCCCAGATGTATTGGAAGTGGCGGGCTCGCTCCAAAAGCTTGGCTTTGTTTCCATCTTGAGCTGGGACGAACTCAACCAAGGTCATTGATTGCATCAAATCGGCAATGCCAATCATGTTTCCATTGACGTCAATGTCGACAGGAAACGTCGAAGGCCGGAAAGTGGCCAGCTTATGCAAGGCGCCTGCTGTGGTCGACTCCTCAGCGTAGTCGTACACCACCACCGTCTTGCTCAAACCAGCAACAATCTTCTCGCCCATGATGCCAAGACTTCGGCAGGCGCCTTTCAGCTCATGGCTAACGATCAAGTACGGGTTCTTGTCGGAATCCACACCGAGGACAAGAATACGGCCTTTGATGTCGCTATTCTCATCGATCTCGGGATCGGCCAGGAAACTCGTGCCGATGATGAACCTTTCTGCAGGCTGGCCCATGCTATCTGGCAGTTCCGCTCTGATGACGCTCTCTACCATTTCCGTCGACGTCGAGCCATCGAAGTGGAACGGTTTACCGACCACCCCAAGAACAATTTCGTCGACGAGCTGGAACGAGCTGGTCACCACTTCTTCGTTGTTGACGAGTTCCCGGCGAATAGTCCCGATCCCGAAAGCTCGCAGCGCTGGCGAGTATGCGACCCTGCGAACTGTCTCGCGCAGTGGCAACGGGTTGACATGGGTTCTTCTCTCGGCATCAATATGAGCGATCCGGATGTTTCGGTCTGTGGCAAGAAAAATGGCGTCGGGGAACGCTTCCGAGTCGAAAGGCGCAATGTACGTAACATCCTCTGCGGTAGCTGCCGAGTAGATGATGCGTCCCTCGGAGCTGTAAATGAGGCTGGAATGCTCCGTGGTAGCAAAGACATTGCTGATACCTTCGCCGCCTGGACGAGGCAGAATGTGCAGACCAGCCTGTTGGCTGCCTAGAGTGACGCTCTTCCGACTAGATAACGAGAAATCCTCCTTTGACACATTAAACGACACGACCTGCCCATCTTCCATGGCTACGAAGAGGGTAGGGCCAAGGAGGTGTGGTGGGTGAAGCTGTACTAGGACTAGATCTCTTGGAATAGATACGCTGTCGTCGGTCTGCTTGATGGTTTCTCCCTGGAGGGCATTGAGTGTGCGAAGGTCAATGATTGAAACCGAGCCAGTCGCCCAGAAACCGACGACGCCAATGTCATCAAGATCACTAGCAGCATGGATGCAGGAGATCTGATCCTCCTGGCCTCCAACGCCGAGGCCCAAGGCTTGCTCTTGAGCTGACAGATTATCTGACAGGTTCAGGGACACCAGAGTTGTGCCATTGATAGACAACAACACCCACTTGCTATTGGCTGACGCATTGACGATGGCCTTACCATCTGGCACTGCCCATGTGCTTAGCGTGACGCCCCTCTGAGAATCAAGAACTGCCACGGTGGTGGCCGTAATCTGCAACAAGCGGCCATCGGGCAGAGTTTTTGCGACCAGCGTTGGCCTATCCAAGGTAAGTCCTTGAAAGTCAAACACCTCCTCAATCCCTCCTTCTGCATCGAATCTAAAGACTCGGGTTTCCGTTATGAAGGAAACAACAAGCGTGTCGACCTTGGGTGAGCCATGCGATCGGAGACTGAACAGCCCGCGAACATCCTGCAAGTCCTCGAGTACACCAATATCTTCCAGACCAACACTGCTTCGAATGCTTCGTAGACTGCCGTTCTGGTGAACGCCGCAGCCCGCAACAATGCGGGCCTGGCCCGAGGAGAAGGCGTTGCCCACCTGGCTGTCCCCCGCATTTCCCAGGTCCATGATGGAGAAGTCGAGGATGGGGGCAATGTTGGGAATGGTCTGGACAAGCCTCGTCGTCATGCTTTCGACATCCACTGTGAGAAGCTGGGAGTCGCCGTAATGAGAGCCCAGGAAAAGCATGCCATCTCCCATGTATACCAAACACGACGCGCGGGAGGTGACGCCCAATGTTCTCAAAGAAAGACCCGTGACAACGACGCCTTCGGTCTCGATTGTCAAGAGATGAAGGTTGCCATAGTCGTCAGAGAGGAAGTAGTTTGTGCCGTCGCACGCGGCCCACGCCACGAAAATGGCTGGGCTGTCTAGTCCACTTTCTACGACGGTCTGTGTAAGGGTATCGACGTAGACCAGCAAAGTCTCCCCGACAACAATCAAGCCACCGAGCTGGGCTTTCGCCCCCGTGGTGTCTCTCTTGTGATAACGCTTGACCTCGTCTTCAACGATGGGCACGGGGATGATGATACGCGCGTATGGGTCCTTGATCTCGAGCTCGAACTCCCTGTGTTTACTGGGGTCGAACCTTGAAACGTTTGTGTTCTTATCGTCGCTCATGAGTCTGTAAATGGCGAGTTGTGCGTCTTCCTTGTCGATCATGGACTGGTACAAGAAGGCGACAGTTGGGTGGCCCGTTTCGGTGGGCACAAAAGTGCTGGCCTTGACGAAAAGCTCAGACAGGCGGACCTGCTCCCATGCATCGTCGAGGCGAGCGAAGCTTCCCTTGCGAGTTCCCAAACGCATAACATTCATGACTCCTTCCCATAGGTGCATGACCATGAATCTGCCAGTCGGGTCCACCAAGCACTTGTCCTGGCTCTGGGCTTCGCGCATGTGAGGTTCCGCAGCGTCTTCAATGACCTGCTCCGTGTGCAGCCTCTGTGTTCCCGAGTCCCATCTCGCAGTAAAGTATTGGAATCGGTCGGTACCGACGAACAGCAGGTCGGCCTTGCTATCCTTGGGTCGCAGCCGTTGCAGGAGGAGGATGGTGCCGTAGACTGCGGCAGAGCCGAGCATGTACATGTCGGTGGGCGTGACGCGCCATACTTCGAGTCTGTTGGATCTTCTTGGAGGAGGTCAGCAAGACGACGAATGCATCCGGGGGAGGGGGATCCATGAAGCGGCGTATGGCCAGGCATGGCATGGAGGGGCAACGAGGGCGGGCGAACTCACGCTACCACCAAGCTCTCGTTCTCGTCGTCCTCTGACAAGCGTATGCTCAAGGCCTGCCGTATGCTGCTTGGCCTGTGGATGGGCGCGACGTATGACATGGTGCCGGTCTGTGGGTGGGATCTATTCGGGGTAGGAGCTCTGATCCCACAAGATCGCGGCCATGAACAAGGAGGGAAGCAAGCAAGCAAGCAAAGGCGGACGTGAGGGACGGGACGGTTCGGTCGGTGCTCTGCGTCGGAGTTTAGCTGTCACTGGTCCGGGCCCCTCCCCGCTGTGTACAGTAGTTACAGTATGTAAAGTGGTGAGGTACGATTTCATCATCCATTCCAGCGCTGACAGTGGGGCCGTGAGCGGCGCTGTGCCTGGCCTGGAGGGGGACGGGGGACGTGCCGTTTAGCAGCTTGCTTCAACAGCGCAGCGGGAAAGAGCCTCAGGCGCAGGGGCCACACTAGCCAGGCTTGCGGTGTCTGTCATGCAGGTGCTTTGCGCCAGGGCCCTGTCCAAATACAGAGCTGTGATCGTTATCGCCCCACTAACTCTACGATCGCTCAATCGGGGAGCTCTTGCTTGTTGCGTCGGGTTGTATTGACACTGTAAACACCGCCCACGACTTCACCTTAATGTACAGTAGGATTCATCGCGGACACGGTACCAAGATCCCCGCTGGGTGAGAGGTGTAACCTAAGCTGACAGCAAGCAGTCGATGTCTGTTTCCTCTCGTCGACCCCGGGATGTGCAAATTCCGTCCAACGTCACCTATCAAACGTCCTCCTTCGCGACTCAACGTTCGCTCATGAGATCACCGTCGTCGACCCATCTCTTGAGTCGTTGGCACCGCTTCATGCGTACGATGCACAAAGGCAGACAGACGCCCGGCGTTCAACGCACCAACGACCGGTCAAGGGCATCGCCGGTTGGGCAGCTCCCACATCATGGCCCACGTCAAGTGAGGCTGCTGTGCGCCAAACTTGCCAAAGTCGACCCGATGCTCTTCGACATCCTTGAATCCAGCCTTGGTGTACAGAGGATGCCCAGCCTCGGAGGACTCCAGATACACCGGCACGCCCAGCCGGACAGCCTCTTGCATTGTCGGCGTCATCAGTTGCAATCCAGCTCCGCGCCGCTGGTGCTTAGGGTCCGTCACAAGAATGTGGAGGTCTGCGTCCAGTGTTAGCTCGTCAACCAATCTCCGGTCTGTTGTATCGGCCACTTACAAACGGCCGGCTTGCCTGTCATCAAACGCTCGCGCATCTTGTCCATGCCGCCAAACAGCTCGTTGCACGCCTCCTCGTTGCACCCCGGCCCCCAGACGCGGGGCTTTGGCACTGGCATGCCTTCGGCGTATATGTTGAACTTGCTCCAGGCGACGATGGCCTCGTCGCCCGAGAGCGCAGTGTCCACTGCCTTGAACATGCGCACGGTTGGGTCCTCTCGAAGCTGTTTGGCCAGGTCGTCCGCTCGAAACCCCAAAAAATCGCCCGGGAGGGGACCGGGGAAAAGCAGATTGTTGAACGGGCTTTCTGCGAACGCCAGGTGCTCAATCTCGGCACAGCGCCGACAGTCGGCCTCGACAATGGTCTGAACTTCGATTGGCATGATTCTGGCGTCGTACCTAACTGTTTGACAGCTTGCTTCGGAGAGTTATACTTTCCTTCGCTTTTCTTCTTCGATCTTGCTGCGGCACAGGCCCAAGTATACTTGCAGCATGCCAGCTTTTACAAGCTGCGATGCGGGCCCATTCGGAAGGCGGGTACTTCGTAGTGGGGGCCCGGTTGGCCGGCTCGGAAGGCATTCGGTCTGACTCATTACCGACCTAGTCTTGGCCTTCAGTGGAGTCCAGTGGCCTCCGGTGACTTCCGGCGGCCTATGTATTGGTAGGCTTGTCGCTGCCCGTCCAGGAAGGCCACTGACCACAGGATCGTAGGATCGTAGGATCGCAGCATTGCAGGGTTCATGCATCACCCGCGTCGTAGACCGCCGCCACCAGGATTTTGCTGTCTTTGCAATTTGTAATTCCTGCCGGCGGCAAACGGGATACGCCACGGTTATATGCAGCCGCAATTAGCCTCAAACCTTCCCATAAGCAACCTCAAATATTGATTATACCAGCCAGCTTCACATACAAGCCATGATCACGAGCCCGTCTGTTGGGGATGAAATCATGCCAGCCAAATTCTGCTCAACTTCCAAAAGGTACCACCGATGATCCGAAGGTTCTATGAGGGCTGTTGCTGATCGGACTAGCGACTATCGATGAAGCTATGGGTTCAGGAGACGAGAAGCTATGTCCTCCATCGGCCGAGTCCCAGACTCGATCCGACGTCCTAGCTCTCTCGGGCCCACAGGATGATTCATCTAAGTCCCCGGCCACTAGAGCCTCATCAAAATGGCCTGCAGGAGCGTTCTGTGGTATTCAAAACTTGGATGCCCGCAACGCACGGCACTCGGTCCACTAAGCTGGTTAAACAAGTGGAGACCATGCGCCGGCCCGCGGCCAGAGGGGCGCAGCACCGTCCACTGTAACCACCTGCGTCAACAGTATCTTCGAGCGTTGCCCTGCCAGATATCATACATTCCCAAAACATGTCTGAGCTTCCCGTCCTGCGTCCCCGTCCGCCTAAGCCAGGCTGCAGCTCATCCATCTGATCCTATCCGGCATACGTACGAGGCCTACGTCTGAGAGCACTTCACAGAAGCGTCCCCGACCCTCGCCTTTCCGGCGTTACGCCTGCGAACACAATCACGCCTCCGTCTGTTTCATAGTTCCTGTGACCGGATCTATCATCATGTTGTCGAGACTCCATCCCTGTTGTGTCAGAGCCTTACCTTTGCTTCCTGCATAGGATAGCTCGCACGGTTCAAGGGTTCCCCGAGTGCACAAGCTTATTTTCTTGCAGGAACTAGACCATGGTACCAGTTGACCTGCCCATTGCTGTCAAGCTGTCAAAAGTGGATAGACACCGCTTACCAGTTTGCCAGTTTCTCCCCGCCAGTGTTCACGGACTTGAACACTGGCCTAGTTCGCCTGTACCCCGAGGATCCTTGCGTCGGGGACGCAAGGAACAGACCTGCGAGGGCCCGATCTCCACCTAATACGGCCGCCGACAACGTGCCGCTGCGAGTTTAAGGACTGTCACCATATACACGTTGAAGATGCGTTTCATGGCAGGGCTACAGGCGGGAGCTAACGCCGCTGCCAACAACGCTGCATCTACTCTATCTTGGTCCTGCCTAGATCCCCGAACTTGGTGCCATCCCGGACAAGTCGACCAAAGCTTATAAACCTATTCGATCTCCCCGTCAAAGAGAATTATTTTTTGGAGCATCAGACAAGGAACTCAAGGACATCAGCTTGGTCACCTCCACAGCTACAACACCTCTTGACAAACTTTCAGACCCCTTCGTCTGGCATCTTCACATCAAAATGCATTCCCTGCACTTGGTCCTTGCTTTCTTCGGCCACGCGGCTATCACCGCGGCCGTACCCCTCCAACCTCTCAGGGATCTCGAACTCGACAAGAGGGCTGCCGGTGACCTCGACATCATCGAGAGAGCATTGGCTCCCGTTTCTGACTCCCTCTCCAATCTCGATTCCGCAATCCTAGCTCTGGATGGCACCCCTGGCACGGCAGCCAACCTTCTCGCCTTCTCTCAACAAGCCCAGGTGGCCACCGACCAGGCCACGGTCCAAATCCAGAGTGCCAACGACATTGGCGCTTTCAGGGCTGCCCGGCTCCGCCGAACCACAGACAGCCTCATCGATCAGACGACAACCACAGTCAGTGACTTGGTGTCCCGCAAGCCCATCCTTGACAACCTTGGGGTTAGCAATGTAGCCTTGGAGTCACTCCAGAGGCAGAAGATCTCTACCATGGCCCTGACTGCCGCACTGGAGGAGAAGGTACCCAGAGTCGGTCAGAGAATCGCAGCTGAAGGCAGAGCGCAGATCGAGTCTGTGCTGGACCAGGGCATCTCCGCCTACTCTACGCCTGCTGTTGCTGCTGCTCCTCCTCCCGCTGCCGCTCCGGTCCCCCCTGCTGCTGCTCCGGCTCCCCCTGCTGCTGCCCCGGCTCCCCCGGCAGCTGCCCCGGCTCCTCCAGCAGTTAACCCGGCCAACCCCAGTGGCATCCCGCTCGCCTCTCCTGCTCCTCCCGCTGTAGCACCGACACCTCAACCCCCTGCTGTGCCAGCAGTCGGCGTTCCCCCCGCTCCTGTCCCCGCTCCTGCCCCCAACGTGCCTGCGGCTCCCATGCCGGTACCAGTCCCGCCTCCTCAGGTCACTCCCCCTGCCGGCCGCAGGGACAAGAAGAAGAAGAAGAAGGCCAATGCCAACATCCTCGAGGTGGAGACGACGGATGACACTGCCGATCATTGAGCAGTAAGGGAATTTAGAAGGGATATTGGGCGTCGGAGTTATCAGATACCAAAGGTGTATCAAATGGAATGCGAGTTTTTACTTCAGACGATTGTTACGAATAAGAAAATAGAACCAATTTAATTTGAAATCCTGCAAAACATCCTCCCCGACGTGAGCCTGTGCGGCTTGGCACGGGCTGCCCATGACCGAGCGTGCTTGCAGTTTTACGTCCTGCATGCAGGTCAGGGCTAGACTGTTCAAGCTGTATAACACCTCTGCCTTGCTGCTGATAGTCTGCTGGTCAACCGGGGAGCGACAATCTTTGCGATGCAGGCGATGAATTGCCTCTAGGCCCCACCCTTTTTGAGTTCTAAACTAACTCAACCAGGTCAAGACTTCTGCATAGAAACCAACGTAAACATGCATGTGCTTCGAATGCTTGTGAATCTGCCAAACGGAATTCTCCGCGTCGACAACGTATGGCCTTTCTTCCTGGCTCAGCCTGACAAGGACGCGAGAAGTCAAAGTGTTGAACGTGTTCATACGGTTTCGGATGCCCAGCGCCTGGTCGTCGACCCATCCCCTTGGGCAGAAATACGCTGAGACAGGCGTCTTGTGAGCAGTACGATAGAAATCAGGAATCGGAAGGGCCCTAGATAGGTTTCGGAAGAGTCTCCTTGCTCCATATTCCTTAGGAAATAAGAGACCGCGTCACAGAGCCCCGGTTCCAACCTGGCCTTTAGCTCTGACGCACTGTCTAGAACAAACATATCGATGCCTCCTGTTCGCTGAATGCGTGACGCGTGCCTTGACGGTGGTCATGGTGGTACATGTGTTGCCTGTCTTGCATGAGGGCATGATTTACATGTGGTGATGTTTGCGCGGGAGTTGTCTTTGCAGTTTATCTGTCTGCACAGCAGGTCGCTGATGCTGATGTTTTCGAGGTCTAACATGCTCGAAAAGAGGCTACACTGCGTGCCTTTGCCGGCACCGGGTCACCCGAGCATACTGATGACTATGGGGACAGACTGAACCGGTTGTGTAACCAAGACTTGGGTATCAGCTTGCATCATCAACTGAGCGTTCGCTGAGAATTTCCAACAACTTTAGTTCGAGTGTTGGTCTCACAGGCGGCAATACTTGTACGAATGACAGCAACGATCACGTCAAAGTGGTGATTTTACTGGTTGTTATTCCGTATGAAGATGGGGGATCTAACTGTGCAGTTGGTAGCAAGGTGAAATGGGATATACCTCTCGTTGTCGCTGAGGGGCTCGCCCTACCTTGCAGGGTGTGGCTAACCGGGCTTTGCTTCTTATCTATCTGATGCCTTTGATTGCTTACTTCTAACATCAAGCTATATTCGATCACATCGCGTCTGCTTGCTTTTTGAACAAATGAATCAGATCGAAAGAAAATTTGTCACAATATAGTACATATGTATAGTATCACACAATAGGCACATTTCTTAAACCTCTATCTTGTTAAAGTCTTTAACTCCACACCATTTTGGGGTTGACATCAACGGGTAGATGCAATAAGACCCCGCTCGTGTATTGCGTTGGTTCTCTCTCAAGCCATTGGGCTTCTGCATTTCTTCGATGGTGAAAAATGGGAGAACGGCTTACTCTACAGCATTACCGCGAGGCTTTGACACTGTCAAGCCACTCTGGATGGGCACTATCAGGTGGGTTCAAGAAACCTCTTCTACCAGTCGTGTGACCCCACAACATTGCTTTTGTCAGTAGGACCATGTACCTAGAACTTGCAAAAGTGAATGGCAGCCATTTAGAATGAGTTACTTAGTAATTACTGAAAGCACTCCTACTGGACATCCAACCATTACGAGACTTGTGTTGATAGGAAAACGTCACTGAAACTGAAAAGTGCAGCTTCACCGAATATTTCCCTATTCGGCATCCCGGTGCATGCAAAGAGATGGAAACGGCGGACTGCCGCGTCAGAGTGCTGCCGTCATTGGACCCCATCTCACCGGTCAGAGTTACAAAAAAGTGAGTTGATAACGTAGTTTGATATCGACTGGCTGTGAGAATCCTTGGCTGCAGCCGACGCTTACCAAATTTTTTTGGATGGCGGCTTGACTGCCATAAGGGAGAGAGACATGTATTTGGGGGGTACTGGTGTAGAAAACATGTAAACATGTAACAATACCGCCGTACTTCAATTTGAAAAACAAGTAAGCGACCCAAGTGGATCTCCTCTTCTCGGACGTGTCATGGCCGTATAGGAGAGAAATCGCGCTAGGTGACAAGGTTCTGCCCCTTATTCATATATCACAAGGTCCGCGCGCGCGCGCGGACACGAGGCTGTCACCCTCCGTTTTCAAGCATCTCATCGCTGGCATAGTCAAACATGGGCCTCTTTTCTGAACCGTATAGCCTGTGGTGGCTTTTCGCTTCAATTGTGCTATTCTTATACGTAGGCCAGAAGGTGCGGACGTATAATCGTCTGAAGGCATTCAAAGGGCCGTTGCTAAGTGGTTGGACTGAAGCGTGGCATGCCTGGGCGATCCTCACCTTCAAGTCACATTTGCAGTACGATGCTGTTTGCCGAAAATATGGTGCGTCGCATCGGCTCGACATATTCGCTTGTGATGATCATATGAGACGGCGGCGGCTGACACAACAACTATACAGGGACCATTGCTCGGGTCGGTCCGAACGATCTCGTCACTTCGTCGCCCGAGCTACTCGTCCACATGAGCGGGATCCGGTCAAGGTACACAAAGACGGAATGGTACTACCGCGCCTGTCGGCACAGGCCGGACAAGGACCATGTCTTTAGTGAGATGGATGAGGAGAAGCACAGGCGGCTGAGGCAGCAGATGGGATCTGGAGTAAGTTCATTCGACTCGGACTCACACGAGACCGGGTGAAGTTGAATCACTAACATTGATAATCAAGTACTCGGGAAAAGAGAACCCTGGGCTGGAGGACTCCATCGACTCACACGTCTCAGAACTTATCCAACTTATAAGGTCAAAGTACATCTCGACAGAAGCCGCGTCGAAACCGATGGACTTTGCTCAGAAGATCCAGTACCTGACTCTCGACGTCATCAGCGACATCAGCTTCGGCAAGCCCTTTGGCGACCTACGCGCCGACGAGGACACATTTGGCATTGCCGAATCATCGGAGACTGGCATGGTGGCCTTCACGTACAGCATCGGTCTGGGCCTCTACAGGATCCTCCAGACACCCCTTTTCGCGCGCTTTCTCGGCTTCAAGGAGACCGACCCGACTGGCTGGGGCCGGATGTTCGCCAACGGCCGCGCCATCGTCAAGGCGAGGCTGGCGCTCGACACGCAGAAGCGATCCGACATGATTGCGTCGTTTATCCGCCACGGCCTTACCGAGGAGGAGATTCTATCCGAGACGACGTTGCAGATGATTGCGGGCTCGGACACGACTGCTGCGTCGCTGAGGGTCATCATGCTGTACCTTCTCACGCATTCTCGCGTTTACGCGAAGCTGCAGGCGGAGATTGATGCATTCGCCGAGAGCGAACGGACCAATCGGCCTTCGACGATCGTATCGGACGCCAACACTCGGAGGCTGTCGTATCTGCAGGCTGTCATCAAGGAAGGAATGCGGGTCCATCCGCCGGTAACCAACTCGGATCCCAAGCGGGTCCCCGACGGGGGCGATATAGTCGTCGTAGACGGCAAATCCGTCTTTCTACCGGGCGGGACCAACGTCAACTGCGCCGCGTGGCCGCTGCACATCAACAAGGGCATTTTCGGCGAGGACGCGGAGGAGTTTCGCCCAGAGAGGTGGTTGCTCGAGACGGACGAGAAGAAGCTGACGACCATGCACCGCGTCCACGAGCTCGTTTTTGGGTATGGCAAGTATCAGTGCCTGGGGCGGCCGATTGCCATGATGGAAATTGGAAAGACGGTCTTCGAGGTATGTGGACCCTGCCCTTCTCCTTGTTGGTTCCGCGCGGGCGAACTCTCCGAAGGTCCCCTGGACTTCCGCAACAGAGACAATCGTCTAACCTGTCACCAGCTAATGCGCAACTTCGACTGGTGTCTCGCCAAACCCGATATGCCGTGGAAAGAATCCAACCATGCCGGGGTCTTTACTCACAACGACATGTGGGTTCTTGCCTACGAGCGGCAGAGTCGCTGAGTAGGTTATCTGGTAGCATAACGTTGAACCCTGCGTCTCTCTGGGGCGGAGTGGCTTTGACAGGTTCTGTGGGGGAACTGGCGGGCTTTGTGATGAGAAATCATCGCTTGTGGTTGATGATAGGCGGGTTTGACGCCCCGAATCCCGCCTGGCGCTTATTGTGGCGTTTTATTAGTGGCACTTCGGGCCAATTCACCACCGGGTGGAGCTCGTTGTGAGCTGTGTGGCTGCGGCGCGGTTCGGGATTGAATTGGGTCTGTCCGCCCGATCTAGGGTTGGTGGCTGACAGATCGTCTTTTGGGCGGAGACGATCATGCAATCAGCAACACAGCATGAGTCGGGCTGTTAGATTCCACTGAAGGATTCATTAGCTAAATCCCAATGATAGGGGCAAGCATGTTGACTTGACTTGCTAGCCATCTCTTTAAGAAGCGTGAGATTCCCCTTGTGTCCATTTTGCATTTGTTGCTCTCACTCGATATTGTTTCCACTTTTGACACCCAACCCGGTTGACTATCAAGACACTAAAAGCAACACCACCCACTCTTCCCGATCCCCTTGGACCCATCTCAGAAACCATGGGGCTTAGCCAGAGTGTATCGGCCGAGATCGAAATTAAGGCGCCGCCGGCTGCCGTGAGATCAGTGGTATGTGCACTTATTCAGAAATTACTCCATTTGGAGCCAGCCGATGTCACTTTCTAACGGATTGCAGTTTCTGGATTTCCAGCGATACAAGCAGTGGAGTCAGGGATGGACCCTTGAGCTGAAGGAGCCGGGCAAGAGCCCTTCGGACCTGAAAGACGGAGACCAGATCGAGGTCACCATGAAGGGAATGAAGTTTAAGCCAGTTATCAAGGTGAGTGAAGCACCCCACCTCTAACCCCGCGCTTCTCGTCTCATTGACCCCCGCGAAGGAAAACACAAGTGAAGCCCTGCACTGGATAGGTTCTTTGCCGGGAATCTTCACTGGCAGACACCAGTTCTACTTCAAACCCAGCCAGGAGAACCCTGAGGGCACGCGGTTCATCCAGGTGGAGGAGTTTTCTGGGCTTCTGGCATTTCTCATGGGGCCGGGCTGGTCATTTAGAGAGAAGACGCTTGCTGGCTGGAATGAATTCAACGCTGATCTGAAGAAGGAGGTTGAAGGGCCTCCGTCTCAAAATTAAAGACGTGGTTCACGGGGATGTAGGATTTTTTAAATTTTGTTTGTTTGATACCATAGTTACAGGGCCTTTGCATGTTAGTTGAGAGGGATTTCAGAAGATTGTGCTTTTTTCTTCTTTAGATCGACTATGAAAACCCAGCCTGCATCAAGCGCTCTTTTCGCTCGTCATCCAACGCTTCCAATCATTCCAATTTCGCAAATGCAACCGAGCATGCGGAACTAGACTCTCTGCCGCCAACTGTAATGCGCTTTTGGATCCTGCAACAAGTCTCTCATGTCCTTGACCTGTTTCGACCACGGCCCCCTTTCAAGCAACAACTGCTCCTCGGCAAGCTTTGCATACCGCAGCGCCTCTTCTTCCATCCCCAGGGAGTTGTAGTTCAACGCGGCCAACCGGAAGGCGTCAGAGCCGTGAGACTGATCCAGCTGCTCCTGCCTATACAGCGTGATCAGCTGCTCAATCATCTCCTCGTCGACCTTCTCCCCGTTCCAGTGGCTAAGCTGCTGCTCAATCTCCCACATTCTCGTTAGACGTTGGTCAGACGAGCGAACAAACGGCGCGGGGAGGCTACATTGGGCGCATGTGCAGCCGAACCCCCAGTTGCGTTGCGCGCGGTCTTGGCGGACGACGCGGGCGCTGAGTGAATCGACGTAGGAGATGGTGAGCTCCTCGCCGGGCTGGATGTCTCTGACTGCATGGGTATAATGACGCAGGTCTAACTCGTCAATGTAGAATGCGACACTGTACTCGGTCAGTCGCGAGTCCAGCAAGAGGTTGGCTGTGTAGGTACATACTTTGGTCTGCAGTCATGGTTGAACCGCGACACTTCCGGATAGTTGCCAAAATGATGGCCGTCTTTGATCCGGAGGCCCAGCTCAAATGAGTTTGTGTGCATAATGTCGTGGACTTTTTGTCCCGTGGACTTGTGGGCTGCGGCCTGACCCATCTGCGCCATGAACGCCTTACGAGTTTCCTCGGGAAGTTGCGCGGCGGCGACGTCCAGCAGGCGGTACTGACCCTCCAGATCGATCTCATCGACAAATCTGCGATGTACGACCACCGCCGGCGGATGCGCCATGATCCGCTGCCCGCGCCGAATCGGCTGGTTCGCAACGAGACCGAGTCCCTTCCCGGGCATCTCGACCACGCGGAATAGTTCGCTGTCACCCTCGCCCTTGATCGAGTCCGTGGCAAAGGCAGAGAGATGAGATGCTTCCTCGGCGTTGTAAGCCGTGCTCACGAGGACGATGCCGCGGCCGCTGGCGAACGACGGCCGCGAATAGACGCAGTAGACTCCGGCGCACGCGTGAGGGCCATGCCAGCCTTCATCCGAACGCCAAATGTCCTTCTTCGGCCCTTTGGCGGTCCTGTTTGCGGCGAGTCTGTCAAGGGTCGGCGCCGTTGATGTCAGGACTGTACCTTTGCCGCAGGCGATTTGAGAGTCGGGGAGCAGTGGACTGGCGGCGCATGATTCGAATATCGGGTGTTGCGGCTTCAGGCCTCGTGCGTGGCCGAAGGCTACAGCCGCGAGAAGCACGCGCGTCCACATATTGATAATTCTTCGTATTTTTTATTACTCTGAATGTGAGATGAAGGAAAGATTCAGTCTGATGTCTTTTGTGAGTCGCGAGAGAGAAGTACTCGGGAGGGCCCCGGCGAGGCCATCCTCGATGTTTCAAGGGCGCGTTTCATGATCGCCGCACCCGAGGTCTGTGGGTGGCACGCAAGTCCTGAGCTTGTTGCACACTTTAAACACAAGGAACCCCTGGGGAGCCAGGGCGATGAGCATGTTGGAACTCTGCTCATAGTGGCATCTCTTCATCTCTTGTTGTCTGTCAGGAGGGGTGTTCAGACAATATCCGACATGGTCCTTCTCCCCTAATGCGGCGAACTTACATGCAGTCGGAGGTTAGTCGCAGACGTTGGAAAGACGAAGAATTCGGCAAATTGAAATGAAACAATCGGACACTAAGTCTTGATTTTGTATGCCTGGTTTATATGGTGAGTATTTCCGGATATCTAACTGTTTGCACTCGGCTCTGAAGGCTGCCGCAATAGGCTACGGTAATGCGCCGGGCGGGGCCGGGGCCGGAGTCGGACCTACGCACCGGCGTGTGATTGAAGGACTGCATCAACGCAAACTCAAACAACGACATCTTGATGTGATTGGTAACATTGTTGACATAAGTAGTGTCATGTTATTTACTCGTAAAGCGTTGCTAACTTCCATCTCAGAAACCATGTATCATGGGCAACCCAACTGAGAGGTTTAACTAGGTACTAAGAATTATTCAAGTTGCTTTGTGCATTATCATTTCCTCCATGATCGCTGTTCTTCTCGCCGCGCCCCTTGAATTCGTCTAAGGAGCAGGGGTGGCGGTGGGCAAGCAGGCGCAGGCGCTGCTGGCCTGGGCAACCTTGTCCTCCTTGGCGCAGTTCTTGACGGCGTGCTCGGGAAGGACGCTGGCGTCCTTGACAGGCGAGCTGAGGAAGGTCTTGCAGAAAGCCTGGGACTCCTCAAGGCGGCCCGGGACGGAGGTGGCGCGGAAAGAGCGGAGACAGTTGTCGGCGGAGCAGACCGGGGCCTTGGGGCACTCCTTGCCAGTCAGCTTGACGACGAAGGCGCCGCGCTCGATGGTGTTGATGAAGATGTAACCCGAGGGGAAGTAGGCGTACGAGGACCAGGTTCCGACGAAGCCGACGTAGCCGCCGCCCTCGAAGTCGTCGTCCTCGGGGTAGATGTCGAACCAGGCGGCCTCGCAGACGCCGGCACCGGTGGGGTCGGAAGGAATGGAGCGACCGTCAAGGACACGGAGACCGGCACCGTAGTGGGACTGGTAGATGTAGCTGTCGATGACGTACTGGTTGTGGTCGATGGCCTTGGTGGGGTGAGTGAAGACTGTGTTCTGTTAGCATCATGTTTTGTAGCCGATGCGAGGGACTGTCAAAACTTACTTCCGGTCTGCTTGGGGTTCTCGAGGTCACGAATGTCCCAGATAAAGGTGACGGGGTAGCCGTCGGATGCGGGACCATTGCCTCGCGATTCGTCAAGCTCGTCATCGAGGACGAGGTACTCCTGGTTGTTCACGTCGAGAACCCAACCCTGGTGGGTGTAAGAGGCACCCTCGTAGGAGATGCGAGAGATGATGTTGGTGACGTTGGCCTTGTCGGTGACGTCGTAGATGGTGAGGGTGTCCTCGTTGTAGGCGTAGCAGATGTCACGGCCCTGGTAGCGCTTGTCGGGGCCACGGTAGACGAGGCACTGGGCGTCGTGGACATAGCCGTCGCCCTTGGCGCAACCCAGGGAGACGGGGTTGGTGGGATCCGTCAGGTCGAAGAAGTTCAGACCCGCGGCGCAGAGGGGGTCGGTACGAGGCTGGGCACCGACAGCGACACCGTAGTTGAGCTCCTCGTTGATGACAACGTTGTGAGCGCGGCCCAGGGGAGGAGGGCGTTGAAGTGACTGGCCAGGTCAAGCTTGGCGTCGAAGACGACAGGGCTGGCGGGGTCGATGTCCAGGAGCTTCTTCATGTCGAAGATCTGGATGCCGTGGCCGACGGCCTCGGAGCCGATGACCATGTAGTGCTTGTAGGAGCGGATCTCGCGCCACTCGGAGGGGGCCGAGTACTGGGGCAGGCGACCGAGGTAGACAAGCTTGCCGTCCGAGAGGATCTCGGCGAAAGCAGTGCCCTCGTACTGGCCAATGGCGACGAATTCACGGCCATCGTCGTTGGTCCAACCCCAAGAAGACGAACCCTCAGCAAGAGGACCGCCAAGGGCGGCGTGGCTGAGGAAGGAGTACAGGTCGGCCTGGAATCGGTGTTACTCGAGTGTCGTGGGGAAGGGTTTGGCGAGCAAGCTTACATTGTGGCACCTGAAGGTGTTGTTCCTGTCTCCAACGACGGCCTCGGCCCAGCCGTTCACGCAAGGAGTGTAGCCCAGCTCGGGCCACACCTCACTGTTGTAGGCACCAGCGGCCTTCTGGCGAGCAAACTCGGCCTGGGTAGCGGGTTAGCAACACTGGTGGTCATGACGAACGTGTTTGCTCTCACCTTCTTGCTAGCAATGACCTGCTCGTGGATCTTGCCGGAGTCGTAGAGCTCAGCAGCGAGGGCCTCGTTGGGCTGAATCTCCTTGGCCACCGCGGAGGCGGCGAGGACGGCAAGGGAGCCGAGGTAAGAAGAAGCGCGAACCATGATGCAGGATATCCAATTCAAAGACAACAGATGTGTCTTTTCTTGACGGAGGGGAGGGATTGGACTGAGACTAGCGCAGGAGAGAACTGGAGGCTGAAGGTTCCTTGGAGAATCAGAGCAGATCTCCCAGGAAAGGTGGGCGTAACCGGTGGTTTATAACTTCGGGTTCACGGCGTAAACGCGGTTGACCATGACACCAGAAGTCCCAATACAAACCGTCCATACTACGCTACAGGCTAGTCATTACTACCTGTCGAGGGAAATTGGCATGCAGTGGACACGTTTGGATGCTCGTACCTACAGCCCGTCGATCTGGGCTTTTGCTGGGCGGAACCGGGGTTCAGCAAATGTCATCGTGAAATGCAACAGAGGAGGGCTCGGATGCAGCCAGGGCAAGACATGGCAGGACTGGCGGCGCAGTACGTGGTCGGTCATGTTGCCGCATGCGAGGAGGCGGGCGGCCCAACAACATCTGCAGGTCGGCCAGTCACAGCTTGTAGCAGAGTAGCATCGCACCGTGGAAAAAGCAGTTGTCAATGAGCGATAATCAACATGTAATTCCGGACGGTGACCGGTTCGATTGGCCATACGCTCGACCTTTCTTGGAGGCTCTTGGCGACGACCCCGAAGGGGAAGGTCCCGATGTTAGGTGAGCCTTGGCGGACAACGGTCCGGGGAAGCTTCTCAGCCACGCCGCATGAAAGCGGGACATGGAGATCCACTCCTCCGGCATGGCTCTCTTCTCTCTCCTTTTCCTAGGCTGCGTCTTGCTCCCAAAGCTCCATCATAGCGGGCGACGTACGCGGCATGCGCAATCACGTTGGGGTTCGAGCACCGTGAGCTGTTGCTGCTGCAAAGGGAGTCTCCCGTGGCAAATCAGCATATGGCGTATGCCTGGCGGGAGACAGTTCGACGCGTTTGACGCGTCTTAGCTTCGTATTGTAGGCAAACAGCTGCGACCAACAGACAACTTCGTATGCGTTGCCAGCCTGCGCGCGAGGCAGGAACAATGTTTTCGATGCCTCGGCGTCCGATTACGAGCTTCCTCTCCGGATCTACGGCGACTTGGGAGGCCGTCTGGAAGCCCGCTCGCCTGCATACAACCTCCCCAAGCCAATGACGACGGTTCCCGCGTGGCGCCCCTGGCCTCGCCAACCCGTCCGACTATCGTCTCCTCTCTCGAAAAGAGGATGACTTGGGAGAGGCTCGGCGAAGCGAGGTGGTGATGAGGCTCGCCGCTGCCAAAAGTCCTTTGTGCGCGGCATGCACGAGTGCCAAGGCTGTCGGGGTGGGACAGTCGCCCTGAATCAAGTGCGACGTTAGGCGATCATTGGTCCAATAGAGAGATGTTGATAGCCATCTGCCAAGCAAAACAAGCGGCCGGTCCGTCTTGAGTTGGGTTGAAGTGCCCACCATGTTTAGCCAACTGAGAACTTGGATACGGTTGAACTAGGCACCGGTCGACGGCTTTGCTTTTCCCCAATCTGGTCACGAGATGGTTATCTCGAAATTCAAATAACTCAGAACTTTTGATTGCCCGTCTCAGAGACATGGTGTTAGGACTACAGCATGCAAATCATGACTTTAGCAAGCCACTTACCGCTGGTCGCATCGGCAATCATTCACCGGCACCTTGTAGAGGACTCCAACAGGGAGACAGTGGGTTGTTTTTGGTTACATGTCGACCAGTTCCAGCAGTCAATTGGCTGTTCAGCACACAGTAGGTGGGAATAAGCGACTTCGACCGAACTCTATCTGAAAGTTAAAAGAGTTTATTTCCCCTTGAGGTACTGGACGCCGCAATGCGAAGGCAACAGGGGTCATATCAAGTTTGCAGTGGGTTGTGCCCACTAGAAAGGCTCGGCATTTCGCCCACTAGGAGAAATCACATTCCTATTCCACCCCCATTGGGTAGTCGTCGAAGCAACATTCGTCCGCTTACTCGCCACCAGACAAAAAGCCGCATCTTCCACTTTATTCGTAATGGGTTCTCCAAAGGTCCTATCTCCCCCGCTTGTCCACCTAAGCCTCGCTAAGCTGGATTCGGCAGGAGGCCAGAACCATTACTTTGGGCCAACATCGACTCGGCCTCAATATCTCCACATCCGCAACTTACACTAGCCTCGACGCCTGTCAAGCTTCCCCTCGACTCATCATTGCTCCCGAGCAGACGACGCCATCCGGGCTTAACAATCACACCCTGTCGGCCAAGAGTCTTGCACAGCCGCATTACCAACCGCTTCGGTACCCCATCCGGGTTCCTAACTCTCGGGTCTGATATCCGAATCCCCTTTCCCCCATGGGCAAGCAAACATTCGAGTGTCAGGCGGGTCCTGGCCTCAACCAGGGCCTTTTCACCTGCGTTCAATATTGAAGCCAAGACAGCCGTAAGCATCTGAAAGAGCAATTCATCCGCAGAAGTATCTCAGCCCGTGCGCCGGCCAGAATGACAAGTTTGAGGGATGACGATAGCCGAGGGAAGCAAGGCGTGATCATTCTGATAAAAAAACTTTTCGTTCCAAATTCCACCCGAGGCGCTTCTCCCTTTTCTACCTTGTCCAGTCCGTGAAGCCTGCGCCTGTGAAGCCTGGATTCTCTGGCCTCGGTCGATAGCATCCGACATAGTTGCCAACCAACAATCCCAAGCAATCCTGGCACAGCTTCCTTTTCTGATCGACGGCGCACGCGTCGCCACTAAGTGCCTGCCGCTTCTGTCGCATCCATGCACCTTTGTGTCTCGCGTCGCTGCATCCGATCATCCGGCTAATAGAGATGCGGGACGGAACACATAGCATGGTCTCGTTCCGCCCGGCTTCCTTCGCTTAAGTCTCAACCCAATCTCGTATCCGTCTTGATGTAACCGTAGCAGTGACAGGCTTCGATATATACACAGCCAGCAACCAGAAAAGTCCACACCAAAGTCTCTCTAGCTCATAGCCCAGCGGCCTCTTGTGCCCATCCCTTGTCGTGCTCTCCGATCAGGTTGTGATGTAGGCCAAGATTTCTGGGGCATATATCGACGACCCTCCGTGGATACTCTGCAACCGGGGAATTTGACATACGGAATACATCCGTCAATCGGAGACCCCGTTACCCGCGTGACCGGCTTTTCTAGAGCCACGGCCGTTGGATGGATCGCCGGGTTACGGGTCCTCCGTGCTGCTGCTACGGACTCAAGACTACCGAAGCGCATGCTGCGAAATGGCCATCTAATTCCAGCTCTAGTTCCGTTTTGGTTTCGTTTTTTGTCTACCATACCGCGCTGTGAAACACCCTCAATCCAGTCCGATAAATTTTGCTCTGCGTTTTGTGTAGCTTCAATTGCCAACTCACCTGACCAACATCTGACCAACACAGTCTTTCCCTTGCCTAAACAATGTGTTGACTGGCTCAAAAGCGTTCACACGGAGATCGAGGTGATGTCTGGTTCGACGTATAGAACACGATGTGGGACATTGTGTAACCAAGAGAGCCTAGGGAAAAGAGCCACATTCGTGAAGCTCGAACACAGGGTTACCTTGACTCTTTGTCTTCTACCTTTATGATGTGACCGGAAGCATCACTCACTCATTGGAAAGAAAGAAAGTGTAACTTCCCTTACAGATGTCAAGGGACGGATTGAGTACAGTCACAGTATCAAGGATCAAGCTTCACTTGTCCGGATTTGGCTCAAACGGAAAACCAATAAGTACTCGTGTACGGCCAAAACGAAGAAGGTCTCCGATATTCCCATGGCACAGCCGCTCGCTTTTCGCCCCTTAGTTTTATCGTCTTGCAACTTCTTCCGGCATGATGTTCCCCTCCTTTACCTACCTGGCCTCGGTTGCCCTGATAATCAATCTAGTTGGTGGCTTGCTCATCCCATCTTCCGCGACATCACCCTACAACCTCGGATCTCGCTTAGACGATCGTTCTCAGTCTTTAACACCCATGGAACGACAACCTGTTAGATGCCATAACGAGAGCGACTTCCCAGGTCATGCGGATGTTAATTGCGGACATCAATGGGAAGCCGTTGATGAGTTCTGCAATTCCAAGCCCCCAACGACGTTGTTGTCAACCTTGCACGACCCTGCCAGTGGCAGATTCCCTGTCCAATTCAAGTACCGCATGAGGTGGAAGGACTGGCCGCATCAGATCAACTACGACTTTTTCGTCGAATGGGTCTGGAGCTGTAGGACAACGTCCCACTTCCAGAGCGTGGCCAAGCCCTTGGGCAAGGGTGGTGTCGATTGTCATACCATCATGAGAGAGAATTACCTCAACTGTAAGAAATTCCTTTAGAGAAAACCATTCAAAATTTCCATGACCCAGCTGCTCTCCGTTGAAGGAACCACGTCGCAAAGACTTGAACTTTGACTGACTGAGCAAACCACAGGCAACAACGGAGGTGTTGGTGGAAGCACACAGGTGGGATGTCTGCTCTACACTTTCACTGGAGCCAAGGGGGGAAGATGCATCTTAACGGAAGAAGAAATGAAAATAAGAGAGGCATATGACAAAAAGCTCAACATTAAGAGGCCAGATACACCGTGTGGTATGTGAAGGACTTTTTACAAGACGAACATGCCTGGTCGGGCCGTAGCCTCTTGTACCGCAGGCTTTGACATCGCGTAGATCTGTCAATGACTTTGCGGAGTTGTCTGTTAACCGACGGACAGGGTGGAATTTTGCAAGCTGCCATGTGCAAGACTTAGGGCTGCGAGTCTCTTTTTGTGAGCCTGGCAGTAGCCATGTTTATCAGCATCTTGCTAGTTTCTACATGTTTCGTTCTACCTGTAATATAGTTACCAAATTTTCAACCCTCATTCGAGACGGCATTGAAGGAGTCAATTACTACCTCTAACTCAGAGGCGACAAGGGTATCTGCAGAAGCAGGATATCGCCTGGATCGAGTTCTTGATGCTCTAAGGACTGCCACTAGTTGTTGTATATGAGATAAATATCGGCATTGCATACTAGACATTGTAGTACTTCCACGTTGCGATATGAGTGAAAGCATAACAGAATCAATGGGTCCAATAGGATAAATGACCTCGGCCCTATGTTTGCGCATATTATGTTGTTCCTGCATACCGCCAAGATTCCAGGCGCCTCATCCATGTGTGCATCAGCATAGATAGCGCAGATCTTGTAGGCGGGGAAACGCCTCTTACGCAGATTACCAGCCGGGTTCGGATCCTCCCGATAACTAATCAGTAGAAATCCAAGCCATAGTAATAATAACCAGCTTCAATCGACAACTCAAGCCAGAACATTATTGGTTGTCTTCAGATGTGACTTTTGTTCAGCCATCTCGCTTTCGAAAGGCCTCCAGCTTGTGTGTTTACTGTCCCTCTGTCCGTATTTCGCTCTCAATACTACTCAGCAAGTCAAGCTGCCCATACACATATTGAAGGGAACGAGCACTACTACCAGAGGGCTAGGTGTATAAGCAATTTACCGGGCTTGCTTGTTACAATATGGCGGGAGATTTCAAGACCGATAAATGGTGACCCAGGCCGGAGATGTTGTGGCAGACACATAGGAAATCCCATAAGAACCGGATAAATCTACTAGAGGACAAAGATACTAGACGGCTTGTCTAGGCACATGAAAGAACAATTTCCGGTATGACATGTCCGCCATGAGGATGTGCGATGTTGTCCACGATGATGCTCAAAGCTCAGCCTTTTGGCTCACAATCTTTTGGCACGGCTTCGCGTTTTATCAGACAGATTTTACTCACCTCCCTAACTAGCAGAAAGAATTTCGAAACGGACAAGTTGTATAAGAAGCGAGTGTCTCTTTGATCCTTAATTACTTTGGAAACGAACTCAAGCGAATATATCCTCCCCCCGCAAACGACTTCCCTAACGCGACGGTCGCTATCTGTAAACAACTAATTGATACCGTTGTTCCACTTGACACACTTAATACGACGACCATCAGCGCCTCTACTATCCAGGTTCACACACGGGTGGCTTTCATCATTCGCCCAGCTTCCAAGCAAGTCGCCGGTGCAAGAGCCACCGTCACCAGTCTTTCCACCGTAAAAGAACCACGGCCCGGAGGCAAAGTAGACAGAATGGCTGGTGTCGTCCATAGTGACGTCCACGTTGAAGTTGCTTTCATGCTCATATGAGGCGGTTCCTTGGGCACTGTCGTGAAGGAAGGAGAGTCAGCAGGTGTTGCGATGGTATGTCTCACATAATGAGAAGCAAACTGAAGTCATGAGTTGGAATCGGGCGCAGAAGACATACCAGTCGCCGCTCGAGAACTCGTTGGCCTTACGATTGGCGCGAGGAGCAATTGCCGAGGCAGAGACTGCCGTGGCGGCGCCCAAAGCAAGCATGACGTTGAGAATGAAGCTGGTATGCATCTTGATGGTTGAAAGAGGACTTCTGGTGGTGTTCGTAAGTCTAGTTGATGTGGATTGAATGGTTTTTGAGGTTCTGCGGTGTGAAAGATAGTTGAGTGTTGAAGCTGTTCTGGATGATGAGGAATAAGAAGACTTGTTTCCTTCGTGATTAAGGACCTATATATACCTTTCCGTTCTTGTGGTTTAACAAAAGAAAAACATCAGACGTCAGTAGGCGGAGCAAGGCAGCAGGCCGAGCACGAGAATAGTACGCGCTGACGAGGATCTCGCATCCGCTGCGGCTGGACTACGACAGCAGAGATCTACAGAAAGGCCCAATTTTCTCCAAAGCCGTCAGCACGAAGATCTTGAAGGATCGCATTTCAAACTTAATTACTTTCGGCTTACGATGATATGTCGTTGTTCCGTTTGTTCGTCTAGGTTGCCCCTTTTCAATTGCCACTTCCTCGTTACCTAATAGCAACTCACCCGTGGAATGGTGAACAACTCTGATTCGCTGAGGTGTAGGTAATGTGCAGCTCAAGGCTAGAATACCACGCTTGCAGTCATTCGGAGTGAGTAGTGTCAACATTCTCAATTGCCTATAGAAACAAGCTATGTCTTTCCGGGTGATCGACATAGCTCATGGGTCTCGTGGCAGAGTGCAGCGGCAACTCATAGGATCCGATTCTCATCGTGTCCCATGGGATACGCCTACAGCGATTGGCCTAGTCGGAAAGTTGCTTCTGGGGGCTGGAGGAGGCATCAACAGGGGGGTGGGTTGCTAAAATAGAGATCATCCGCAGGGGTCCTCAACTAGGGGATTTTTTTTTTTGAAATCAAGAGACTTGACGGTTGGCGGCCACTGGTGCAACACTGACTCAGAATATGGGTGCCTGATGCGTAGCCTTTGAGTTTAGCCTTGTGGCCGGCCTGTGCACTAAATTTAGACTGCAACACCTGGAAGCAGGTTGATCGATGACGCGCGAAGTAGCACTGAGAAGGATGTCAAGGGCGGCTAGAAGGGACTTTATCCCTTTCATCGCTGGCGACACGGCTCTTCATCAGACTTATCCCGTTGGAATGTAAGATGCATCAAGTCGGGGCGAGGTCTAGGATTGATGAAGGGAGAGGATCGGCGCATGGAGGATTGATGACTTGGAGGCAGAAGGATCGTTGACAGAAACAAAACCAAAGGCCAACGATGTTCATGCGCCGATGATGACGACCCAATATCGTATGACATTTCACCTAAGGGTTTATGGTTTTTGTCTCGACTTATTGTACTACTTTCGCGGATCAACGTCAGACTACCTCCCACAATTCTGCCACGACTGAACGCCCTTGTTCTCCGCGACCGATCGTCCTCTGTGAAGCCGGCCCAGATAAATCAACTTCATGTTAGATATCTATTATGACACTACGCCGAAGTAAAATGCCTCTGGCCGGTACTGTTGCACACGCTAGCACTCTTCGATGCTCTTGACGGCTAGGTCTTTGACTTTGGTCAGCCTCTAGACGTTGCCTGTGGAAGAGTGGGTTACAGCAACCCACAATGGGGCATTTGGCTTGCTTTTCTTGGTACTTCGTTAACATGATTGCTCTTGTATCCCACTGCCATCCCCGCGCCCATGCTTGTGGCTGAAAGAGCGGTAATCAAATCAATTTGTCCGTCTCAACCAATTAGCAGCTGGAATTGCGCAACTCAAGCTTCCGCTGCAACTGATATAATGGATATCCATTGGTGGCCCGCCAGGGCTAGGACACTTTGTGGATGTATGTGCTCCCCTCGCTACAAGGGCCACAATCAGCATTACCATTACTAGGTTCAATATGGGCCGTTTCTCTGTTTATAAACCTAGTCAATGGCTTGCTCTACTAATACATATCTGAATTGACTCCAACACTAGTTAGTACCTCAGCTGGTGTGAGAGCCTCTTCATTCGCCTGAATGGGTTGACGGTTACTATTACCATCACGCACTCTCATCGTAATTGACACCAACTCCAGCCTAAATATCTGGTACTCAGACCTATGTTGAAATTTTTAATGCTTGATTTGTTACATGAGATATGATGAAGAGTAGTTTTCTGTTCCCACCACCATTTAGGTAAGCAGGTAAAATGTCGATGGGTGACTAATACGCGCCGAAGCCGGGTTTCGGTGCTTGACCTGTGATCTGCCTATAAAAACGTATCAGAAGCAAGGGGATTCTCGAATTGTTGTTCCTACAAAAGTGGAAATGAGAATGAGAAGCCTTTTACGTAATGTTAGAAGTTTAGTACTCGGATCATAGCAAAATTGCCATCTGTGAATGATGTAACTTGGAGATGGTGAAAGAGTCTCCGGGGGAGCCTGTTCACTTTTATGTTAGTCTGAAGCAAATGGTTAAACATCCAGTGATGCTTGGACTGGGTAATGACTGCGACGTGACTGTTGCCCTCAACCGAGGAAAGAGAGTGCGGGTAGCCTATGCGGGGAAACCTGGTAAGTGCCGCAACCTGGATCCTGGTACGTCTTTGGGCATACCGATATTTAACCCCCACTCTTCCCCCAGGTTTTCGGCACATCACGTCTGTAAACTCTAACAGTATCCAAACTCTTGACAACCAACCTCCTCATGCCAATCCTTTTCACAAATCATAACTCTGCGAAAAATGACAAGGGAAGACGACGATTTTGAACTGTCAGCTAACGAAGAAGCACTCTCCCCCAGCGCAACGTCTTCAACACGCAGAAGATCACTCGCCGGCTCGAATCAAGGACCGAGGTCAAAGCGCGCCAAGTATGCGGCTGCTGCGTGGTAAGAGGTCGACCATCTCAAATTGAATGGGTCGAAAGCTGACCCCAATGTAGTTCTGATTGTAAGAAACGAAAACTCAAATGTGTGAGATCAGAAAGTGAAGAAGAGTGTCAACGATGCATTTCAGGTGGTGTAAAATGTGTTTTTGGCCCAGTGTCCTCGCAAGACGACAGCACCGTTGTGGGGGAAAGGGCGAGAGGCAGGAGGAAATCTAGGCAAAACAGGTCTAAACTTCACCTAAACTGGGTCATCTGGTAAAGCTAATCCCCTTGATAGTCAACCGAGCGGTGACCTTCGAGGCGAACTCTCCATGCTTAGGGAGCAAGTAGCCAGCCTAGCCAACACTGTTGAAAAGCTAGTCTCGGATAAAAGTCGTCAATTGAACTCGGCATCTCCGGCATCACAACATCATTTGTCGCTTCATGACAACTCCTCTGCTCAAGCAGACAAAGAACCCAAGCAACCACAATTTGTCGGACCCACCAGATCAGCCTTCAGCCTGAAAGTTGCCAAGACCTCTTTAACGCGGATGGGCATCTCAGCACCAGATCCAGTCATAGCAGCGGTCAGCGAGTCTCTTGCGCCCACTCGGTATCCTTCGCCAGAACAGTCCGAGCCGTCTCAATGGGCACTTGGAACAGACGCTCTTCTCACCATTCCTCTCGACGAGTCGATCCGTCTTCTTGAAGTCTTTGAGGAAGAGGTCGAGATTGTTTACCCCTTTATCGATACACGAGAACTGATAGAAAAGGCGAGTGCAATACGCGCGTATGTTGAGGACAGCACGGATGTTACGGCAGCAACCACTGTCTTATCGACAAGCGTGGACATCAAGGACGTGATCCTTGCAAAGGTTGCCATGGCCATTAGCATGGTAGTTGAGTCACATGGAAAGAACCATACAAGTACCAAGCTTGTAGAGCCTGCCAAGCAAATCATTTATCAGTTATCGATCGATGCCGAGGCCGATCTCAAAGTCATTCAAATCATGGCTATGATAGTAAGCTGTGACCCATTTGCAAGACCAGATGACGAAAGACTGACGAGGGGGCAGAGTATTTACTATTTTTTCTCAGACGAGGAGCTCCTTGCGTGGAGGAATATTGGCATTGCAGCGCGAGCTGCTTTGGAAATGGGCCTGCATCAGAATTTGAGTCTTACTGACAATTTCCCTGACCCGAAAATACGCAACTTAGCGGTTCGCGTGTTTTGGTGTGTCTACGTCTTAGATCGTCGCTGGAGCTTTGGAACGAGCTTGTCTTTTGCTCTTTTTGACAGAGACATCGATCCCAACTTACCCGAACCAGTAAGCATTTGAGCAATCATCTTGATACACACAACTACCACTGCTTCAAGATTTTTGAATCTTCAACATAAATGTATCAAGTAGAACATTGATACGTAAGATACCTTAAGCTGACTCAAATGCAGTCCGAAGACTTCCAATATCTTCGTTGTTTGATCGGCTATGGACGGCTTTGCTCCAAGGCATGGGATGCACTACCACCATTCGGCGCCCCAACACAACCAATTCCAAAGGACACTGTCGCTTTTCTCGAATTTACTGCACAAAATTGGTTGAAATCAATACCACCAAATCTACAGCTGCATCACCCTCAGCATGGAAATATCCCGACGACGCAGTCTCGATCGATCCGGCGGCTACGCGCTTTGCTTTACTTGAGAGGCAACAATATTCGAACCATGATACATCGCCATCACGTCATCAGCTCTGCTAGCATCGAGGCCGATATTGAAAAGGCCCGGCTGGTTGTTGACATAGCCATTGATAGTATCTCCGTCTTGGTTCATCTTAGCAAAACAAGCGACATATACGAGCGCCAACAAAGCTCCTTCAACTACTTTTTGTTGAGCGCCTTGGCTGTCATATTTCTCGCTGTATGCCACGGCTCTAGGTTATTCGCAGAACCATGCAGGGATAGCTTCCTTGCCGCAGTGGAGCTGGTCAAGGGCTTTTCACGTCAGGGCACAGCGAGCCGTAGGCTGTGGAAAAGCATTCGAGGCCTTTTGCCGCTGGCACAACGCATAGGGCTGCGTGGGGATGATAATACTGTCCGAAGAGCCGATGCAACAGGAGAAATAACTCGAAACAAACCTTCCTATCCATCTTCTTCCTTGGAAACGATGGTCGAGGAACAACAGTCCGGGCACCTGGCGTCGATTGCATCGGATTTTGCCAATGTGCCTCCACCACAACCAATGAATATTGATGCGGATTCTGGTGCTGCAGCTCCAGATGCTTTTGAACTCAGTAACGACTTGATGTTCTTATTTGACGCATTTGGTCAAACGGATGACATTTGGACGAACGAGATGCAGGACTATATGGGAGATGGAAACGAGCAACAGCATCCTCTAACTGGAGAGGAAGAAATTTCGCGCCACTTTTGGGGCCTTATCTGACTTACCAAGGTAAATATTGGTGGTACTGAAAACCTCAAGTACTGGGAGTTGCTTGTCGAGATGATGACTTCCTTTTGTGACTTTAGACATTGTCAAATTGACAATACCGACAGAGTGTTGTTGAAACTGCCAGAACGTATCGTATATACTGTGCGCATTGCCGGCCAAAAAGCGAGACACCTTTATTCTTATTGTTGCGACGGTTGACTCGCTACCAAAGGGTTGTTACCGGGAGTACAATAGCTCGTTGTCTAGATGTAGGGGTTTGGATATGTGCCTGTCAACCGCATTGTCTGCTCCTAAGTACTTGAGATCTTCACGACACTATCCATACATGCTTAGACGCACACAGTTTATTCACTTTTAGTCAGTTATTGCTGCACAACTGACTGGTGATATCGATAGTTCTGCTGATAATTTCCCAAACTCTTCTTATGATTCATCTTCTATATGAACCAATTATCTCCTGCTTTGGATATACAAATGTTTTCAAACCAGATTGGCCGTCCTAGACTTTCTCCCCAGTAGGGTTCAAGGCGTCTCTCAGTGCATTGATGTTTCGAGGCACAAACCTCGCTCGGTACGGCCTGGGCATAGCCACAAGAGAAGTGGGATCGGCATTGCCAGAAATGGGGTGGTGGTCGACATCATCGTACTTCTCAATCTTGAAACTGTTGAGTAGTCTCATGTAAACAATGTAGAGTTCCCGGTTAGCTAGCAGCGAGCCGGCGCACATGCGGTAGCCAATACCATACGTGAATAGAGGTGCGTCCGGTTGCTCTAGCCAACGCTCGGGGCGGAAGACTTCAGGGTCAGACCAAACCTCAGCGTCTGGGATGAGTCAGTTATCTGCTATGCTGACGTGGAGTGTTATTGTGCTATGACTTACCCATATTGCAGGCCCATGCATTAAGGAAGATTACAGAGCCCTTAGGGATTATCATTTGCCCGTAAGGGACATCGCGCACAGAAGCTCGGGGGAGGGCAAGTCGCAGAACGGTATAGTATCTGAGAGACTCTCGAACCAAGGCGACTATGTACTTGCACTCTTGGTCGTCTTCGGCATCACACATGGGCTGCTTCTCGCTATAGAATTCTCGAATAGCTGAAGCAGCCCTTTCTTGAATATCCGGTCGCTGAGCCAACATGGCAACAAACCAAGCCACTTGCGTAGTGATAGTGTCAAGTCCCCCAGAGAGCATTGTTAGACTAATAGAGGTCAGCTCCGCCTGGTTGAGCTTCGCTTCCTTGTCCATTATAACGTTCGCCTGGATGCATGGCTTATGCGTGCCGTTGGCCATCCGCTCGTCGAGACCTTTGTTCAACGCCGTGAGGTAGGCGTCGCGTCTGTTGCGCACCTCCCGGGCCTTGGCCGATTGCATGTTTATGGGGTTAAGACGAAGCAACGGAATGTAGTCTTGAAGATTACCAGTGGTTGATCGGAAGCGACTAATTTCTTCCTCGACATGGGTAATCTCCTTGAAGAGTCCATCTTTCTGACTGCTCATGCGAACTCCCCAGTTTAGAGTTAGCGCTAGAGATAACGACAACCGTTGAATCATGGGCATAGGATCAACAGGAGTTTCTCCAGCCTTCCCGTACTCATATAGCTCTTTGATGAAGTCTCTGGATTCGACGTCGAGATGGGGCACATAAGTCGCTACCGAGGGCCGATTCAAAGCTGACGCAGCCCCTTTACGCCGACGTTTCAAGGAATCGCTGTATGGAGAAGTACCAATAGTTGTGCCGGCGGTGTCGGAAAGGATCTGATTGTTGTTTCTTAGCTTTAGGACTTGATGGTAGATTCCACCGGTATCTGTAACTAGGTTTTCTACTTACCTTGTGAAAAGTGTAGAATTCCGGACGCGAGCTAAGAGCCTGGGCATTTTGTCCGAACAGAGCCTTGGCTGCTGCAGAAGAGTTTACAACCACAACAGGGACATTTCCCAGTTGGATCTGGTAGACCGCTCCAAATTTCTTTGCCCATCTACGGTATTGCTCTGCCGCATTGACCCGGATATCCCACAAATTGCCAATGAGGGGTAAGCCTCGAGGACCATCGAGCTTTGCAATTCTGGCCTTTGAGCGGATGAACTCGTTCGCAATGACGTAGATGAGGGGTGCGAGGAGAAGCGAAATGATAGCTGACTGCAAAGCGTGTTCCAGAACCCTCTGCTTCAAAGCAAAGATGGCTGTTGCGATGGCCATGGCGACAGTGTACGCTCTTGAACTACAGGAATCGATGATAGTGTCAAATGGTTTACTGTGATACTGATTGACATGAATTTCCTCAGATCCTACTGCCGGTTTGATATATAAGAGGGGCAGAGTTTGCCGTCCTTGCCCAGCCTCGGTGCCGTGGCCCGAGCATTACTGGCAGTCCCGGCGGTTCTCATCGGTACAGTCCCATAACAGACATGTGCTGCTTCGTTACAAAACTTTCGGAACAGGTTATTACTAACACCAAGCATACGCTATGCCCCCACCCCCAGACTCTCCCAGTACCTAGATGCGGGTAGAAGAACGCCCCGCACAGAACGTCGGGATAAGTTGTGGAGAATGCGGGGTGCATTCCGATCGGAACCTAGTTATGTTCCGAGACGTAAGAAACCTTAAGCGTATCACCGAGATTACCTCTGCAAGATGTGCTAAGAAGATGGAATTGTGTATTGCTTGACACCAAAAGACATGGAGGCTCTTCCAAATGCCCTGATTTCCTAGATTTTACCTTCTAGTCTTCCGCAGTACTGAATTCTACACCATCAGGATGCCAGCAATATGACTCAAGAGTCAAGGATCAGATAGAGATTATCTAGTGAAGACAGAGAACTGGTATTCCTATTCTGTAGTTCCTCAAAAGATGGAAGTTAGGCAGCGGCATTGTCTGCAAGTCACAAGTATACTGTGCAGAGCCGATACTTGCTTGAATGTAACAGACCACCAGGTCACGATTACCTCTGTAGAATAACAGGTCGTTGGAACCTGGCTAAAGATTGTCCTTGTTGTACGTTTCATTCAATGCATGGTCTGCCAGCTGATCTGACTCGGAATGCGGAAACCGCCCACCCTCGGCTCCAAGACCAGAAGAGTCAAACGCCATGTCTGTGGGCACATAATGGTTTCTCAGCTTTGGGGCACTTTCTCTGTCACATCGTCCATTAGTTGAGGCTCTCGCAATTAGAGTATCGTTCATCGCAATCCATTTACGGCACTGCCATGTAACTTTTTAAACTAAGCAGATACACCCGATTCTTAAGCATATTTCCAAAAGTCGATACAGCCATATTCTGCGTCTACCTGCTCTTCTTTCGAAATATCTGTAATCTTCCTGCGTCGTCCTGGCTATAGGAATGTTTATCCTGGAATCAACGAAACTGACAAAGCCTATTCAATAGCGCATCGACGCCGATCCGAACCCCGTCAAATGGTCACCAAACTGTCATGGATCGCAACAAGATGAAGACTAGCGAACATCTGAAAACAGTTAATTCAGTCCCCGGCTATGTCGTAACTACCGATGACGAGCGTCTGGCACAACTTGGGCACCAGCAAGAGCTGAAACGACAATTCTCCTTGCCAACCTTAGGCGCCCTTTGTTTATGCCTAATGGCAACATGGGAAGCTACTTCTACCGTGATTGCCCAAGCACTCTTGAGCGGCGGTGCTTACCTGAAATCATGTTGGCGTGTGGAAGCAGCTTGGAACCCCATATGTGCAGAGCACCCGAATATAGTAAGATAGCCCAGTAGAAGAACATGCCCTGCCATCTCTGTGGAACGTATGAGTCGTCGTTGATGATAATCAGGGACTGTGTTTGCAGTCCGGCTGAGAAAGCAACAAGCTAAGAGATCCCATCGTTGCCCCAGCCGCTGCTATTGACAAACTCTGTGAACACAAACGACGCGGTATTCTTAGGGGCTATGACACCAAGAACAATCATTATTGTCACAAAGCCTAATAGGTGAAATACGCCTCCAATTCCAGATGAAGTTTAGCAAAGCTGCCTGATACAGAATTTTGCAAGGATTTTCGACAAGTAGGCCTTATCAGCGCTGTGTACCCTTTTCTTGGGTAAGTTCTCTGCAGATGCGGCATGACAGGATGTCCTGAAGCAGCTTTGATAACTGCTGATTACAAAGATACGATGCTGCTTCCCATATGGCAGAAGAAATTCCCAACGCGTCACGGAATGTCCCTATTGCTATGGTCGGCAGTGTGGTTGTGAACGGCCTGATGGGCCTTACCTACTGTACTGTTCTTCTCTTCTCAACGGGCTCCCTTGAGTCACTTCTGACTACTCCTACTGGCTTTCCTTCATGCAGATATACCTGGATGTCACAAGATCCCGGGCTGGAGCAACAGCATTATCCCTGCTGCTCATATTTGTAGCTATAGCTGCAACAGTCGGCGGCATCACCTCAGCCTCACGTACCCTCTGGGCTTTTGCCCGAGACAACGCCGTACCTTTCGCCGCATCTTTCGGCTACATCAATAAACGACATCAGGTTCCTGTAACGGCCATAGCCTCTGTTACAGCGGTTCATATGATGCTTGGATTTCTCTACCTGGGCAATACTACTGCCTTCAATGCTGTACTATCCATGGCGATCATTGGTATTTACCTTTCGTACAGTATTCCGATTGCTTATATGCTGCTAGTGGGTAGAAAGAAGCTCCCGCCGGATGAACATAGACCTTTCAGACTTGGAGGCGTTTTGGGTCCCCTGTTGAACGTCATCAGTCTTATTTGGATGGTCGTTGTCATTGTTTTCAGCACGTTTCCATCATCTCAGCCTGTCACTGCCCAAAACATGAACTATTCTACAGTTGTTATGGCGGGATGGCTTTTTCCGGGTCTTTTGTACTACTTTTTGAGAGGGAAAGCCAAGTTTGGGGTTCCTGTTGTTGTCTCAGACGTAGTCGAAGGGGTAAGAGATAGCTGAATCAGATCAGCAAGGGCATAGTTTCTTGAAGCTCTTGAACAAACATTCCACTGCTTTTCAGTTTTTATTTCCCCTATACACTGCGACCTTAAAGGTTGTAGGAGAACTGAAATCTTTTACATACATCTCTTTTCCTTACACCCTTTCCATCACCTCTTCCAAGCCAAACATATTCAGGCATCTTCCCTTGCCCCTCAAGCGGATGAAATGATACCCTATTGACTATACGACGTAACGGATGAAGAGTTTCCTTACTAAATTTTATTTTAGTATGACGTTTGGGAAAGTACAGTGATGAAAGTGATGGTTAGTGACTGCTGACATGATTGTTACCACCCATAAGATACATCAACTTGGATTGTCCATGGCCCAATTGATAGCGAACTACGCCATCGCTATGAAAAGCCTCACTCTCTCATAGCGGAAGGCTGAAAGAGGATATTACCTCTTCTTTCTATATAGAAGTTCACTTCTGTTCCGGCCTTTCGAAGTGAGACACAAGACCTTTCCAGCTATCCTCGCTGTAGCCTTTCTGGACCTTCTGACAAGTCTCCAAGCCCCAGTCTGTGACCCCGATCATCAGAGAGCTTTCAAACATGAAAGCCATACTTCCTTCGCCAATCTTCTGCGGCTTCAATTCGGCGTTTGACGCTCGCTCGAAAGTGCTCGCATCGGGTCCGTGAGCCGACATGACATTGTGCAGGCTAGCTCCAGCGGGACGGAAACCACCTCCGGTCTTGGCATCATAGTCACCGCAAATTAGGCCCATGAACTCGGACATTGTATTGCGGTGATACCATGGGGGCCGGAATGTGTCCTCCTGCACAAGCCATCGAGGTGGGAAGATAACAAAATCAGCAACGGCTGTTCCTGGGTGATCCGAAGGGCCTGTAAGAACAGTGTAGATGGAGGGGTCCGGGTGATCGAAGCAGATGCTACCAATGACAGAAAAGCGGCCCAGGTCATATTTGTAAGGATAGTACCTTCCATGCCAGGCCACAACGTCAAATGGGGTGTGGTTCTGTGTCGCAATGAAGAAATCCCCGTTAAATTTGTTAACGATGGACCACTCAATCGAATCCTCGTTGAATGCAGCAGTCGGAACCTGGAAGTCTCTTGGGTTCGCCAGACAATTTGATCCAATTGGCCCCAGCTCCGGTAGAACAAAGTGACCCTGGTACAGCTCTAGGATATACCCTCGGACGGGACTCAATGGAAGGTCTATTCGGTACTTGATCCCCCGAGGTATAACAGCAATCTCGTTGGGCCGTACAAGTAAGTTGCCTAATTCCGTCTGAATGTCGAGTATACCATGTTGGGGCACAATTAGCATGTCGCCGTCTGAGGAATACATAGCCACGTTGGGATCCATGTTCCGTCCGGCGGCGAAGATAAAGATGCCTAGTCCTGTTTTTAGGGCTGGGTCGCCAGCACCACCAACTTTCCGGAGGCCGCTGATCCAATCTGTCTCCTTGTTGATGTCAAATGGATCCCAGCGCAGTTGGTTCGGAATCTGATGAAGCTTTCCCCCTGACTCAGGTATGTTGTGCTTCAATGGCTCAAAGGAGGTGTGAGAAGCCGAAGGAATGATGCGATACAGCCATGTTTGAAGATTCTCATGCCGAGGTGCTGTAAATGCTGTGCCGGATAGCTTCTCAGCATACAAACCATACGGCGCCTTCTGGGGAGAGTTGGCGCCAATAGGCAAGGCACCCTTTATAGCTTCTGATCTGATATTTACATGTTTAGTGCCAGCGTGATCAGGTGGGCCTCTGTCTTGTGGACAGTGATGTAAAGCATTCAAGACTTACTCATGGAAGGATCCAAAACCATTGAGATACTGGTACTTTTCTTCAAAGGGGAATTTAGAAACGGGCATGATTGCTTCTGTTGAGTCAAATTATGGAACGATACCCTCAAAAATGGCGGAAAGTGTTGCAATCGTCCAGTTTACTCAAGGTTGTCAAGATACGACGCGAAAATAATCCGGAGCATTTATTGACTGGCCGCGAAGACTGGATATTAACTCTCGAGTTTGCCACGCATTTGCGATCGATAAATGTTATGTGAGCATGGTACGGCCGGCTCGGGTGGGCTGATCGAATAGCCTAGGCCAAGCCAGCCGCGGTCCCATTGACAAGCTCCGCGGTGACTACATCATCCCGAGTATCAATACCGGCAACCTTTGTCGCGTAATATCTCCATACGTGTAATTGTCCAGCCATTAGAGTTCTGGTGCATGTGGTGTAACAAGCGGCAGTTGTGAATTTCGGCCACTCGGAACGGCGGAACGCAAACGTTTCCGAGTCCGACATAACGCCTTCCTGTGTTTGTCTCCAGTGTAGCCTATCCGAAGAAAAAAAACTGGGTTTGGTCCTGGAATCCTCACCAATCTAAATCGGAGATAAACATGAGGTTAAAAGTAAAAGCGAAATCGGATTGCAGTCTATGGTGAAACTGCTTGTAAAAGGGAACATACATATCGCATTCGAGGAACGTCCGCTTGTTGCAGCCTATCCAAGGTTAGGTAAATTATGTGTATGTGGAGTTACACATTTCAATTAGTAAAGCGCAAGAGTCTGTCACCGATGCAACTAGTTTTTGAGGTTTCGATTGACAGGTCGCGAGGTTTTACTCAAGGAGGACAATTTGACTGGCCATGTTTCGCGAGAAATTTCAAGACGAGTTTTTGATTGTAGACACCTGAACTCAAGAGTAAGACTAATGGTTGTCTTTCATCGTAGCAGTTCTGTTTCCTGACCCTACTCTACTCCAATGAACCTGACGAACAATCATCGTAAGTGCCGAAGTACTGGGTTTCACTTTCACCAACTTCCGTCATTGTTGATATCGCTAAATAGTCGAAACTTTGAATCACAATGAAACAGGAGGTAGAATTTGTCCTATGCATTCACCAAACCCAACCAATTCACCATCATTTTCGCCAGCCCAGCCTCGAATTATCACAGTATCGCCATCCTGGATAAACTTTCGTTCTTGGCCACCGCTTAATTTGATTGGCGTCTTGCCACCCTGTGACTGTTCCAACAAGCTTCCCTGCGCACCTGATTCAGTGCCAGAAATAGTTCCCGACCCAAAAAGATCTCCAGGCTGAAGGTTGCAGCCGGAAATAGTATGATGGGCCACCATTTGTGGCCACGACCATAAGAGGTTTTTGGCAGATGTACGCGTGATGACTGTTTCCTCGTCTTCGTAAGCTGAATGAGACAAGAATAGTCAATATTATCCCAGTAACGAATTTGTCAAACTTAATATTTTGACCTTTAAACAAAAGTGTCAGAGAAGTATTGACTTACGAGACAAAGAGACCTCCAGCTTGATGTCTATAACGTTGTCGAAACGTTCCTCTCGAAGATAACTTTGCAGTTGGATATCGTTCTCAAGCCCTTTAGTCCTGAAAGGCTCCAGCGCATCTGCTAGTACCACCCAGGGGCTTATGGTTGTTCCAAAGTTCTTAGCATTGAACGGCCCAAGTGGCACGTATTCCCATTGCTGAATATCTCTTGCGCTCCAGTCGTTCATAAGGACATAGCCAAAAATGTGATCTTCAGCATCTTTGACAGATACGGGATTGCCGAGTCCGTTTGGCTTGCTTATGAACATGCCCATCTCAAGTTCGATGTCGAGGCGTGCACATGGTCGAAAGACAGGCTCGGCCGCACCAGGTGCCGGGAGTGCTTGGCCCCAAGGTCTTCGTAGCGGCGTCCCTGAGACAACAACTGAGCTTGCACGACCATGATAGGCGACTGGGAGATGGTTGTAGTTTGATTGAAGAGCATTGGCCGGTCCACGGAAAAGAACACCCACGTTGTGAGCGTGATTTCGTCCGGCAAAAAAGTCTGTGTAATCTCCAATGGCAAATGGAAGGTGCAAAAAGACTTCAGATATAGGTCTTAAGCAAGCCTTTTGCAAAGCCTCATTGTCTTTCAGAACGTCGGGATGTGGTGTGTTCTCCAGCAGTACCTCCTGCAAGTAGGAACGGACTGCGCGGTGTTTCGGTCGTCCAAGCTCAGCAAAAGCGTTAAGAGTGGGTTGTGAAAACACCTTCAAGCCCTCAGACGGCAGATTCGACGCTTTATCAAAGCCACCTCCGGTAGAAAAAGCATCGAGATCAAGAACATGACTACCAATGGCGATAGCAGGTCGGTGCAGTTGCTTGTCCCTGCTGGATATCACTCCAAAAGGAATATTCAGTAGCGAAAAGTGCGACTTTGGAGGGATCGGCAGCCAAGACTTCATGATGGGCAAGATTGATAAACACAATCCTCCTCAAAAAATTTTTAACAAAGGATTGATGCGCTACTCGTCATTATGTCGATGAATTTTGATTATATCGACTTTCACGTGTACCAATAAAATGGTAATGGGGTCGCTCAGGGTGGTTCCGAGGATCCAAGAAATGGTTCCGAAGTATCGGAACGTAAGAAACCCCCTTTTCCGCGATGAATCTCAAGTGCGGGGGTATCATGAAAGGTCGGAAGTACTCATGCAATACAACCTGAAGTGTAATCCTTCATATATGATGGCAAAATGAAGGGGAAAAGGCTTCTATTCTCAAGCAGCTTCATTATCAACTATACCTAGTGAGGTTTATCACCACGGCAGGTGGTTACCATCTTTCACTACATTTAGATTTTATTGTAGCAGTGGATTTTCAACCGTATATTCAATATGACTGGGCAGATTACAAGAATCACTCTTTTTAATCCCCGATGAGGACAATCAAGGAAAGATATTGTCACTTTACCGACAGATGCCTCAAAAAGCGCTGAAAGTACGTTGGCCAGCCATTTGCGTTTGGCTAACTACGCAACCTTCAGCTATTTCTATATGGCATGCCAGAATAGGAAGACTCATAGCTGACTTGATGCAGAACAGTAAGCCATACATAATTTCCGTGAAGGCTGGTCTCGCCGTAGCAGATCAAAGAGCTCAGGGTCTCACGGTGGCAGCGGTGTCTACATTTGCATCCAAAGAAGATATGAACTATTACGATAATGGTTGTTCTGCACACCAAGAACTGAAGGGTATGGCAAAAAGCGTCCACCAGGGCTTCGCTATGGTATTTTTCCAGGATCAAGTGCAGAAGCAGTAAGCAACCGACATAGATGGGAATCAGATATTCGATAATGATCTCAAATAGATCTTATTTATGTCTCAGATATCACGGTTATTCGAATCAATCAACCTGCTTCCTTGAATCTATGTTTCTCGGCAGTATAAATGTATATTCTTCGTGACTTGCCCCAACCAACACATTGGCGGCTTTAACCATAATGAGACATAGATCAATGTGAAGAGTGTCTATTCAGATATTTCTGTTAGACACGACAAATGATAAAATGATCGCATCAATTGTGCACGCTGCGACCCAGGAACAGCATTCACGCTCAATACCACTTCCATAAAGTTAGACCAATCATCTATTGAATGTGATCTTGTTATTTCAAAGAGAAAGATGATGTACCTGTTAATTAACAGCTGGATTTGTAGAAAAAGAGGGAAGCAACCCTAAAAAAATTAACAGAAACGAAAGCGGGAAAGTTACATAGCTGGGAAGATAAGCAGAAAACTCTGCAAAAACTGAAGTACAAGTCACTTCTAGGTCCGTAGACTACAAGCAAGTTGTTTTTGCTAGATCTCGATTGTCTGGCAACCGAGTCCCCATCATTCTATCCTTTCCCTCACTTCAATAGTTCATTGGAGACATAGACCCGCACGATTCCCTCCCGAAGGTTTCTCTGCATCATTAGGGTCCGGTTTACCTAAGGATATATCAGCTATTGTAGCGCCAGTAACAACAGCAGGTCTTTACTCACATATAAGAAGCGCTTGCAGTTGGGTTTGGCATTACTGCTGATCTTCTCTTAACCATCTGAGGGCAGATTCCAGGTTAGAACCCTTTCCCTCAGGCTCACACCAGTGGGTATGCGGCCTCCTTTTCTCATTGTCGAGCTTTCCATCTGCGTACTCTCTACTGGGTTTGAAGACTTGTATAAGGAAGCTATATGAAGATAACCTGTCGTCATTTTTGTTGCCGTAGACCGAAATTCCTTTGGTTTTGACCATCTTACCGTCATTCTTTGCGTTATAGCAGTTGTCGTCACTCCATTACTTCTTGCGTGCCTCTTTGCAGAAGTCTTCAGCCCATTTAGTGGCGACATCTTTGTCAAATCTGAGGCCCCCAACGCTGCATGTCTGGGTCCATCTGGCTATTAGTGCTGGAAATTTCGGGCTCATCTTTTGTGGAGTTGTCTCAGAAGAATGAGAAATCGAAGTGAAAGATGCCTTGGTTGTAGTGGGAAGATTGTTCGACGCTGAAGTTGCTTCGGTGATCCGTGCCTTTGGCAAACAGTTGCACACCTATTCCTCTGCCCACATACAGACCCAGGGGTACACATTTACCAACTTCTCCTTCAGTGCATGACTTGCAATTGTTGTCTGACAGGCAAGTTGGGTTGGTGGTATGTATCTTTGGCAAGCAATTACAAACCATTACTCTGCCCAACGATAGGCCGAGAAGCACACATTTACCAACTTCCCTGTTGGAGCATGACTTGCAATTGTCGTTTGTTAAGCACATTGGGTTGTTGGGGGCTGGTGTGGTATTGCAAGCTGATGAGTCGGGCGAGTTGCGACCTTTGCTCATATGGATCCCACGTCTTGAGCTGTTTTACTCGGATTATCCCGAGCGACCGGGTTCTCAAGTGTTCCGGAGACAAATCGGAGGAGAAGTAATCATGAAGCAAAAGTCCCGACCTCAATACTGGCAGTTGCGCGAGAACAAGCAAAAAAATAGCGAAGCTAATGCCGGTGACACAGAGCATGAGGATATTCGATCAGCATCTGTTGCGGAAATCTACATAGTCCTCAGACAGCTAGGATACCCAGTGTGAAGCACCATGGGATCAGCACAGTATATTCCCCCATTCATGACTTCTGGGAGTATTCTTTGAAGGAAAACGTTGGAACGGCAGTTGAAGCGGACCTCTTTAAAAGGAGTTTGTCCAACAACATGAGATAATTTCATTCAAAAGAATTCTAGCGCCTCAACTTTTGCACGTAATAGTTCTCTATCGGCAACTGAAGCCTTTAACGACATATCCAACCCTTTTCTTTCGGCTCATGTATTCTTGAAACCTGCGCAGAAGGCTTTCGAGGTTGCAGATGAACACTGCGTACATTGTAGTGTTTACTGCCCTTGAGGAACGGCATTTACTCTGCATTATCCCAACAGCTCGCTCTATATTTGTTGATTCGTCAACTCACATTAAGTTTCACGGGTTGTTCTTAATAGCTATGTAAGGGAACTTAACTTGGAATTTATAGTGGACGGTGTGTCAGGCCACTTCCCATGTTGTCTGCTCCTAGTTAATGACGATACCGAAGATTTCAATATGTGTCGTCAGACGGTATAAGTAACGCTTAGTATTACATATAGCCTAGACATCAGCGTTATTTAGTCTCGTGGCAATGCATCTTGCCATTTGAAGCTTTGAAACCCGGTAATTTGGCCCGTTTCGTTGGACCAGGTTCAGACGGAGCACAGAATTCTTGAGAGGGTCAACAGCTAAATCTATTGTTGATCTTTGTCTGCTTCGGTGAGTAACACGTTTAGGCTTGCTCTGTTTTAATCTAACGGCATCATATATCTTTTGCTATCACGTAGCCGGTGGTCTTATTGTTTCTATTTTCCTCGGTATTTCATTACTCTCTTTGAGTAGCCGTTTGTAACTAAGTTGTCTCCCTAATCTCTCAAGTAATTTGCTAACAGTTTATGTTTACATAGCCGTTGTAAATCAGAGCATCCGAGTAGCATTTCGATGTGTTAATGGGAGACGCTACAACTTGCGGATAATGCTCCCTGATGCTCAGCCTGATCGTTCATCTTACATCATAGGAGTCCTTTGCCACATGGATTTTCAAGTAGCCAATCAACATACGCCTAGTTTTCCGCCATGCATCCAGGCAACAGTTCTTCCACCGCCGCTCATCTTGTTTCCCAGACATTGTCATGCAGTCGAAGTATTACCCTTCCTCTAAGTGCAAACCGATCGGCACCATCGTCACAATCGAAATCCGAGCAAGAAACAGGTCTATCAATGTATACACACATGCCCCTCAGCCAAGACCGCCGTGAAATCAGGCTGGTCCGGCTCCGTCCCCTGCCCGGGTTGGAGCTCAAGACAGACAACAAAATCTCACTCGAAATCCGCCACGTTTCGCTCGACGATGACGACGTCACCTACTCGGCCCTATCGTATGTCTGGGGCGACGCCGGCGACACCTTAACAGTCGATATTGATGGCGTTTCCTTCGCTGTCACAAGGAATCTACACGCAGCGCTGCAGCAGCTCGCCCGAAACGGCGTGGACTCGTGGCTGTGGATTGATGCAGTTTGTATCGCGCAGGCCAATCTAGGAGAGAAGGGCTGGCAGATCAATGCTATGCGTAATATCTTCAGCGGCGCGGAGATGGTATACATGTGGCTAGGTCCTGGGTGCAGGGAGAGTGATGCTGCAATGGACTTCATTTTGCGGGTTGGGCCAGCGCTAAACGAGACCGACATTAGAAGCCGCGTCAGATCACAGCACTTGGGATTAAGAACGATCACATCATACATCAGTTCTCGTTTCTCTTCACAGGGCGAACCGTTTACGCCCACGCTAGAGTCAAGTTCGGATTCGGTGGATATTGGGAGTATCTCAACCGAGGTTGAGCAGAACACCTCTCCAGATGATGTCCAAGAAATAAATTCGGAGATGAAACTAGCCGTCTACGAACTTTTATGCGACTTTTTCTCCCAAAAGACACCTCCGCTACAAATTGGCATTAATAACATACTTCAGAGGGAATACTGGCACCGCATATGGATCATACAAGAGGTCACTCTGGCTTGGGAGGCAGTGGTGGTCGTTGGGACCAGGAGCGTCTCGCTTGACGTCTTCGATACCGCCTTTACCGCACTGTGGGAGTTTTTGCCTTGCATTAAACTGAAACGTACAGCATGGTCGTTCTTCGAGGGAGGCATGTCACGCGCTCTCTACCCTACTAAATCCCTTGCAGTCCGCAATAGTTGGAAGGCGGGCGTAGACGTCCGACTGGCTGACATCATCTGGAGAGTTGGCGCCGGCCCGGGTCGACCTCACTATTCCGCCTCAGATCCGCGGGATATCGCTTTCGGTCTACTTGGAGTATTGCGAGCAGATGAAATGGGGTACCTTCAGGCAGACTACTCGCTGTCGATAGAGGAGGTTTTTATTCAAGTCACCGCAGCTTTGCTGAACAACCCGGAACGATCCGGCTTCTTTCTTGATTGCGTACAACCCGGGGACCTGAGCGGGATCTTGCCAACTTGGGTTCCGGATTGGCGAGATATCGGTCAGTATGGCAGGGGTACCTATCCTATCAGTTATGTTATCAGCTTCGAGGCAGCTGTAAAGAAAACCCAACAGCGAGCATTTACGGACGCCGTGAGAAGAGACGGTACGTTTAGTGTATGTCTGAGCGGCTGCTGGATCGACGAGGTCACTGAGGTCATGGAGGCGCCGGTTTGGCTTCAATACTCCCATTACGAAGCATCGCAGTTGGAGGACCCAGATGCCTGGGCGCGATCAGTTATTGCTTTTACTGGGCTCAACCCCAAATACGGCGGCCCCGAAGATGATCATGTCTGGCGGACTCTCACATGCGGTGAATGCGATCTTCCACACGACAGTCGGTCTCGACCCTTCAAGGACGAACTCAACCGGTTACGACCTCGCATGATGCGTGTTCAACGTGTGGACGCTGCCACACTGACGACCGAAGAGGCAGCATTTGTGAGGCAATACTTTAACGGCGGGATTGAAAAGGGCTCAGCGGTGAGAGTGCCTGTGGATGATGAAGAATTGGATGTATTTGCGACTCGTTGGAGACGGAGCATCGGCTCAAGAACCAGAAACCGAGTCTTATTCAAGACTGCACAGGGAATGCTTGGGCTAGGACATGATGTGGTTAAAGTCGGCGATGTCGTCACATTGATATGGGGGACACGCTCTCCAATCGTCTTGCGAAAGCGATCAGAAGGGGGCTTCTTTTTCCGGGGAGACGCATACATCGATGGCCTCATGCGTGGAGAATACCTCAGCACCGAGCCGGAAGAGAAAGAGTTCGTGTTGTACTAGTGTCGACTTCCACAACAACAGCACGATGCCCCCATTGCAAATGCGGCAAGCTTTAAACATGAAATGTTGGCATCAACGTGCAACTCTCATCATTGACGTCAACCGTGTGTTGACATGCATCAGCATAGTCTTTCTTCCCCTAAATTCTAAACCCAGTGATGAACCGGGCTCTAGCAACGCAGCACGGAAAGCCCCTTCCGCGCAGTCTCTATCTAGCCTTGTGTATCGATCAAAACTTTTCAAAAGCCCCGACCTCGTATTATGACAAACGTGAAAAGCCCGTCCCCCACCCCCCAGTCGGCCCACCCGAGAAAGCAACAAAGGAGCCCCCCGGGCCGCCGTGGAAAGAAGGGGTCATTCATTCCATTCATGACCACATGTAGCCAGCCGTCTTCCGCAGATGAACGCGCATATGCGTGCGCGTTTATCGGGGGAAGGCCGCCTTGCCAGCAGCCTTGGCCGCGGCGAGGGCGCCGGACAGACCGTACTGGGAGGCGACGCCTTCGATGCGGTGGTTGGCGTTCAGGTTCTTGACGACGACCATCTGGTAGCAGGTGGCGCTGCCCTGGCGGGAGGCGATGACGGACCAGGCCAGGAAGAGCTCCCAGATACGGTACCACTTCTGGCCGTACTTGGCGTTGACGGTCTCGGAGTTGCCGAGCCAGTTACGGTACCAGCGCCAGAGGGTGCCGGAGTAGTGGACGCCGACGGTGTCGATGCTATTTGTGTGTCAGTCTCTTTGTCCCTACGCGGGTGGTGATTTTGTGTTGCCTACCTCTTAATCTCCCAGCCGGCGCTCTCGAGGCAGCTGACGTAGTTGGCAAGCGGGGTGGAAGCGTCGGCGCCGGGGAAGATGTGCTTGTTCAGGTACAGACCCCAGATGAAGTCCTCGTACTGCCAGGCCTTGCGCAGGCCAGAGAGCTGGACGTACATGGCGCCGTCGTCCTCGAGCATGTCGTAGCACTGGCGGAAGAAGGTGGTGAGTCTGCGGATACCAACGTGCTCGCCCATCTCAATCTGGGAGATCTTGTTGAACTTCTTGGTGGGGATGTCGCGGTAGTCCATGCAGAGGATTCTGCTCTGGGTCTCGGGGACGCCGGCGCGGCGGAGGGCGTCGTTGCCCCAGGCGGCCTGGTTGCTGGCGATGGTGGCTCCGGTGACCTGAGCGCCGTAGTTGACACTGGCGAACTTGGCGAGGGTGCCCCATCCGCAGCCAATGTCCAGCATGGTCTCGCCCTCCTTGAGAGCGAGCTTCTCGCAAACAATGGCCAGCTTGTTGTCCTGCATCTCCTCGAGGGTCTCCTCACGGTTGATGTCGGAGAAGATACCGCTGGTGTAGACCATGCGGGGGCCGAGGAAGTACGAGTAGTGGTCGTTGCCCTTGTCGTAGGTGGGACGGATCTGGTCCTCGTCCTGCTGGCGCGAGTGGAAGAGCACGTCGGGGGCGAACTCGAAGAAGATGAAGTAGAAGAGAGACCAGGTGAAGGCAAAGTTGGACCAGTCGTGGCGGTACTCGAGCGCGTCGAGGAGGTCGCCGTTGACGTCGACAAGACCCTCGGTGTACATCTCAGCAAACGTCTGGATGGGGATCTTGTTGCGGCCGCTCCATCGCTGGCGGTCCTCCTGGTTCTTGAAGGTGATGTAGTGCTCGACGGGGCGGCCGGGGAGCTTGGCCTTGTCGTTGATGCGCGGGGCGAGCCTCGTGGAGAGGAACCAGAAGCCGACGAGGAGGGGAACGACGAAGAGGACGAAGAAGAAGATGAAGGTCTTCAGACCGCCGCCGAAGACGCGGGTGATCCAGAGAGGGACGCCCAAGAGGACAGCTCCGAGGAAGTAGTTGGAGAAGGACTCATTGCCGGGGCCTTCGGCGGGGAGAGGAGGGTTGTTGATAGCAGGGTACTGCAAGAGAGGTGTTAGCTTGGGTTCATCCGGGTCACGGTGAGGCCAATTGACATCGAGCCGCAACAACTCGCCCGGCTGACGTCAAAAAAAAAGGGGGTTCGGTGCTCACGTTGGTGGTCTTGACACCGCAGTCCTCGTTCGTCTTGAACTTGGAGGGCTGGGCCGCAGGGGTCGCGATGAAAGTGATATCAGTCTCGAGCTCGGCGCCCTGCTGGCGCTTCTCGAAGGCCATGGTGGGCGGTTTGCCTTGTTGTGGTTGGTAGCAAGCTGCGGTGTCTATATCGCGCAGCTCCTTTTTTGTCCCACGGGTCGTGCAGTGTGGTGCGGGATGGAGATGTTTGGAGTTTTGGAGGTGTGGACAGATTTAAAGCTGAGCAGCTGCAATGCGACCAACGAGCGGGTCGGGGCTGGGGTCGGGTCCAGGTCTAGACAGATTGCAGCGCGTTTCTCGGACACCGCAAAACACCCCGCTTTTACGGACGGTTTCTGCAGGGGGGGGCACTGATAAAAAGGGGACCACGTTGCACGGGACTGGCTGAAGAGGTCCTGGATGGGTTGAGACACCCCTGCGGCGATGCAATGCCAAGGCAGTTGAGGCCACGAAGTAGGAGAGAAAAGTCTTCACCGCCCGCTGAATAGGGGTCCTGATCGTTGTCCAAAGTCTCTCCTTTCCCCAGATTGCCAATCTTGCCCGACCGGACACCATGGTCAGGATGCACAAGAGCCGTGCACCAATTGCTGTGCGGGCAACGACCGTCTAATCATACCTTATCGCTTCCTATGGTTGCTACCCAAAAACTTGTGTATATGTTGTCGTGAGAAGATTGCAGCCAATCAGGCCAATGCCTGCTGCCAATCTGGTCTCCAAGGCAGCGGGAGAGCATCAACCTTAACGATCCTCGTATACCAACAAAGTAAATCGCGTAGCGTGACGTCCAAATAGGCTGCGGTCGAATCGACCCTGGCCGGAATGTTCGTCACATGCTGCTGTCACCGAAAGCTTGACCCAAAGTGTAATGATGGTTCGGCTCCGGCTCGGAGGGACGGACGGCATCAGTGGGCCCTTCATCTGGCGGTGTGGGTATCAGCAGGTCCGCCCCTGCCGCCCCCAATGCCGGCTTTAGTGGCCCCGAACGATGGCAGTTTCGGCGCCGGGCTACAGCTTTTGGGAGCGGAGTTACGGTAATGCTGGGCGCACGCAGACGGCGTAGATGCAAATGCAGATGCGAACTCGTCCAGGCCAATCAGGCTTTTAGCCTTTTCGGTGGGGGGCCGACCCGCAGGTCATTGGTAGGGCGTACACCAGTTACAGATAACGCCAATGCCCATCAAGCATACAACTACTTGTACGTGAAGGAAGTATGTATAAAAGATACTTGCCACAACACCAACCAAAAGTATTTTCCCATTGAAGAAACCACTCCCCACGTCGCTCTCGTCCAATAAACGCATCGCCACAATGACCCTCTCCATCCACGAAGTAGCCGCCAGCGCCGTGCAAGCCCGCACCCGCATCCGCGCGCACGTCTACCAGACACCCCTCGTCCCCGCCCGCCAAACCGGCCGCGCCACCAACGCCAAAGTCCTCTTCAAGGCCGAAAATTTCCAGCTCACAGGCTCCTTCAAGCTCCGCGGCGCCACCTCCAAGGTCTCGGCCCAGCCGGCTGCAGACAAGAAGAAGCTGATCACGGCGTCCTCTGGCAACCACGGCATCGGCGCCGCCTGCGCGGCCCGAGCGCTCGGCCGGGACTTGACCGTCGTGTTGCCCGAGACGGTATTCCCTGCGAAGCTGGAGAATATCAAGTCCTACGGCGCCATCACGATCCTCCACGGCGCGGAGACGGGGCTGGCGGAGCAGCACGCCCAGCAGCTTGCGGCGTCGGGGGAGTACGTCTACATCTCGCCTTACAACGACCCGCTCATCGTCGCGGGGCAGGGCACGATTGGCCTGGAGATCCTTGAGCAGTGCGACGGCGTCGACAACGTCTTCATCTCCATGGGGGCGGCGGCCTCATCAGCGGTATCGGGGCCGTCCTCAAAGCCTTCAGTCCCAGAACAAAAATCTACGGCATCGCTGCGACCAACTCAAAGACCCTGGCCGAGTCAATGGCGGTAGGGAAGGTTATCGAGACGGAGCATCTGCCTACGTTGGCAGAGGCCGTGGCTGGTGGCATGGACGAAGACTCGATCACGCTGCCGTTGGCGTCTGCGGTGGTTGATCGTGTTGTAGAGTGCAGCGAGGACGAGATTGCCGCGGCCATGAGGAAGATGGCGTTCGAGGAGAACATGATTGTGGAAGGGTCTGCGGCACTGGCTACTGCGGGGTTTGAGAAGGTTGCAGAGGAGGTGGCGGGCCAGACGAGCGTTATTCTCCTATGCGGCGCCAATGTCGACCAGGGTGTCGTCAAGAAAATCATCTACGGCTTGTAAGAGTTTAGTATAAAAGAACACCGCTGGGCGGGCGAACAAAATATGCCAATCCCACAGCAAGTAGTACCAGGACTGGGGGCATAGCAAGGGGCTTCTTTCGAGCCCAAACGTACGAAGACATTACACAACAGCGAATGCTTCCAGCGTGCGTAAAAAGGGTATCAGACATAGAAATGTTATATGCTGAATACAGACTTTGTGCGTCATCAGGAGCAAACCAACTCCAAATCTACCGGAGGGCACCAATGGCCACCGTCGTTTGTGCCGATGTCAACAATCTACCAACTCCAAAACACCAAGCCTGGTCCGAAATTATCCGGAGCCTCAGCCCGCCCTGCCCATGCGTTGCTTCATCTCACATCCAACTCAGGTTCCGACTTTGCCTGCGGTTCTGCTGCCACAGCGGCCTTTCGTCCGCTACATCGGCCTGCTGCTCGGAATTCGCCCCGGCGCCGGCGCCATAGGGATTCCCGCCAGTGTTGCTTCCCGAACTTGTTGCGCGGTGCTCTTCATGCCCGGGGGTGACGGCGTCGTGGTAGCCCTGCGAGAACTCGTCGATTTCGTTCTGTTGGGTCAGCGGGGTGTCGGCACCGTTAGACCGGGATCCTGACGCGGAAGCACCGCTGGCAGGGTTATAGCCCCGGGAGCGGACGACGGCGGTGTGGTGGCGGCTTTGCCTCCCGAGATGGAGGTGGTCGTGCCGTGGGCGCCGGGCATCATGGATGGGTGCCCGTAGCCTGCCTGATCAAACATCATCTCGCCGCCAGGGACGGGAGCAAACTCCTTGGAGTTGGGCTCCGGACTAGATGGTCAGTTAGTATCTGGTCTCCACCAGGTTTGGCACAAGGTCAAGCTTACACATAGGTCGGGCCCTTGCCAACACCAGGTCCGTGACGCTGGTTACCGCGCTTGCGCTTGCGCATCCAGAGAGCCATCGAGACAATGGCGACGAAGACGGCAGCACCGCCAATGACACCGCCGATGATGCCACCGTGGCGTCTTAGCGCCGCGGCCGCGCCGGGCGGCGGGCCAGCGGCGGAAGAAGGCGGGGAGGAAGCTTCGGCGGTGGGCATCGCTGATTCCGTTGTCGACGACCTTGAGGTTGAGCTTGTCGAAGAGCTAGAGCTGGTTTGCGATGAACTCGAACTGGTAGTGGAGGTTGTCGACGAAGTGCTCGAGCTGCTGGAAGAGCTGGTCGACGATGACGTCGCCGCTCTTGTGACGAGGCCCGAGATCTCGGTGATCGAGACCGTTGTGCTGAGTCCCGAAGCGGTGGGGTACACAGTGTTACCCTGGGTTGTCGAACCACATCCATACTGGTAGGCGCCTCCCTCAAAGGAGTTGCGGTAGCACACGTTGGATCCCTGGCATGTAAATATGTACGGGTCCGATGCTGTTTGGGTCGGGCTGCTGTCGTCGACGCAGCTGGTATAGACGCCCGTCGTGCAGGCGGCGCCGTTCGGGCAGCAGCCGACGGCGGAGGCGGAGGCGTCCATGGCGCAATGAGATCCGGCGGAACATGTCGCGGGAAGGTTCGGGTCACCACCGACGTAGCCGCAGATGGTGTTCGTGCTGCTGTCTTCCTGCCTCCTCATCATGCCGAGCCATGGTGCTGGCGTGGCCAGTGGCCAGTCACGAACGTCTAGTGTCCGTAGGGCAATGTGTGCTTGTGTCTGGCGAGGAAGAGCGCCGGCCTCGGTGAGAGTGAAGACACTGCTGAGAAGCAGAACCGCCGTCGTGGGCGGCAAGCGCATGAAGCAGTCGCTAAACAACATTGTGAAGCTGGAGGGGCTGCTTGCCCAATTCGACTTCCTGCTCGGTCCCTATCTCCTTTCGACCCGTTCCAAGTCGCAACGTCGATGACACTGTAGTGAGTTGCGATGATGATGGTGCTCTGTTACTTCACAACATTAAGAATAGTACAGAGAACAAACGAGACAAGTAAAAAGAGATAGGAAATGCGTAGTCTAAGGGAACAGGACAGGCAGAAGGAAAAGAACAAAGAGAAGAAACCGATCCAGGCAGGGAATTGGGCGACGAGGTGCAATTTAGGTCGGCCAGGGACCATGTGGAGGGGGTGTCATCCTCCGGGCTCCGGGGGGAGGCGACACCAACAAGGCTGATGCTGATTGGGGAGCTGCGTTTCAAGCATCCTTCCGTCATAAGCATGCGCCTTTTACCAGAGTCCAGAAAAAGGTCCCCCCCTGGATTCAGGAACAAAAGCACTGCTCTACCATCGGAACACGGCTGCAGGCTCGCACCGCTCGGGGCGTGGCCGAGGGGTCTGAAGATCTCTTGGGATCGTTGGAGACATCCTGCCGTGTGCTGTGGCGATAAGGCACACCCGCCCGAGACCAGTCTGTGCGATCTGAGAACCTGGGAGTAGGGCATAGGCAGCAGACGATGGAGAAGGTTCGGTGCCGGTGAGCGTTGTGTTAGTGGATCCAGGCCACGTCAAGAAAGAGAAACAGACAGATGCGAGAAATGAGTATGGAAACTTTTCCAGTCCTCTCCGTCCACCTGCCGGCCGAGCGAGTTCACGCATCGACTGGCCTGGCCTAAAGCTGATCCTGGACGCACGATGTAAGACATGACGAGAGGCCAGCTAAGGGCAGGTTCGCGATCGAGTAATGGCCCCCCCCCGTTGCTCCGTTGGACGCAGGCTGCTGCGCGCATGGCTCCCGCGCGCTCTGCATGAGCTGATACAGGCACAAGGCAGCTTCTGCCCCAAAGCCACCCAAGCCGGGCTTCTCTCCTCTGCTGGAAGCCGAAGCCTTCTTTCGCCGCGGTTCCACGTATCTTTGGAGGCTTTATTTGTCTTGGGGGCGCCGTGACTTCTACTTCTCTGGACGCCCAATATGTCAAAACTGCCACTGACGCGTTGGTTCAGGTCCGAGGTCGACAAGGATGAGAGGACCTTGTAGAAGGAACTTGTTCGATGGCGATATTGGAGGAGCTGTGACCCAACGGAGGGAAGGACTTGGAGGGAAGAGAGTTTGCGCCAGAGACAGGGGCCGGCGAGGCGCGTCGTCCTCGCTTGTTTGCGCTGCCTCCACCGAGGCAGATCCTCCGGACATTACATGCTAGCATTCGCACTGTTTTACTGTTGTATTTCGACGCTTCCGCACAGTGTCACAGTGTGCCATGCCGTGTCCCGCTAGCGGCAGTCGGACTGCTTTTTTTAAACCCGCGCTAACAGTGGCTCTCGGTCCGGGTGGGTCCCCCGTGGCGATGCCATCGAATCAGGCAACCAGGGTCCGGTTCATCACGAGGAAAAGGCAATGTAGGATTCTCATCCCAACCTGCGATGAACATGCCTCCCCCCCGCTGTTCCAATTGCCCACTTTTCCAATTGACCTAACCTGCGAATGCCGGCGTCTGCATCCGCAATGTAGCTATCCAATGCACGCATTTCGCTGGAAAAGCAACGCCGTGGTGTTTCATGATGAACCGTCGAATGGCCCGACTTGGTTGACTGGGTCAATGCAGGTAAGACTAAGGTCTTACCCTCGGACGTAACACAGGCCGCCTTAAGTGACAAAACGTCTGAGCTGGGCTCTAACAATACACGATGATAGTACGGAGATCGCACGCAAACTCGAGGGGGTGATATGTCTAGCTTCTAAACATGGTCCCTCCTGGTGGCACCGGTCCTGTCATCGCTGTCATGCCGATCCATCGCCAGTGGCCTCTCATCCATGGTGACACATTCGTCACTGTCAACCGCCATCCCTTTCTTCCTCTTCATCTTCTCTGCCTTTTTAGCCAGCTTGGACTCTTTTTTGGCAGCCTTCCTCTCCAGCTTCATCTGTTTCTTTTCTTTCCTCGACAGCCTGGGGAACTCGCTGTTCTCCCCCCTCAGCACGATGCCCGGGTGCATGGCATTGAGCAGCACGAGCGCAAGCACCATGGGCAGTGCGTCGAGCCCAAACGCGTAGTTCTCGTTGGTGAGGATGGGGTTATCACTGTTCGCCCCGGGTCCGAACTCAACCAGCCGAAAGATGATCCGGATCTGCGCGAATGTCAGCTCGGTTCCGTTCATCCCCCTCTCTCTTTGACAAACTGGCTCCACGTCATGCAGGGATGCAAAAGGGAAAGGGAAAAGCCGCAAAACCTACAATGATGAGAACCAAGACCACGTACATCACCCACACCATGGCCTTGATCCGTTTCACGTCGAGGTCAAGCCTCTGCGCCCGCTGCATCTTTACATAGAAGCGACCCATCAGCCCGCAGAAGACGACGATGAAGGCGAGCTGCAGCCCACAGCCGGCCATGTACACCTGCTGACCAGTCCGCAATATGGGGTCGTCCGGAGAGACCTCCGTGTTGGACATGATCACGCCGCCAGCCGCCTGGACCAGGAAGCAGAGGACATCTATGGTGACAAAGATTTTGGTGAGCGCTAAGGCTTTGATGCCAACCACCTTTTGGTCAGGGAGGACAAAGTACACCAGCCTGGCCGATAGCATGTAGGCGAAGGCATTGATCCCTGGTAGGCAGGTGTCAGCTCGACTTAGCTCGGGGAACATATGACGAGGTGAAACCGACATAGCGGTGCGAGAAGAAACAAGAGCTGTCCTCCGATCTGGTACCCAATCTGCTGCTGGTTTCTGGAGCCAAGCGTTCGGAGAATGAAGGCCGTTATTTCCCACGATGCGCCCACGCAAACCACCCAGCAAAACCTCTGGCGGGGGGGTCAGCTGGGGCCAGTAAGCTCAGTGGCCGGCTTCGCTCACCTTCTTGTGGACGATAGCTTGAACGACGTGTGCGACCAGGGATAATCCAAAGATCACCGCAAAAGCCATGTTGCCTTCGAAGCTGGGATCGAAGAAATAGTAGGAGTTACATGCGTCAATTGGTACGCTCCCGTACTTGCCCGGCACCGCCGTCATGCATGACGGGCGTGATTCGGACGAAGTGGCACTGGCGATTGAACCAGTCGTCGGCGTTGGGTTTGACGATAGAGTAGCCATGGTTGCTTAAAGGTTTGGTGTTGGGCTTGTCTCATTTCGTCCGAACTCGCGTCTGAAGTTGGCGATGTTATATTCGCATTCCAACTGACGCGCTCCCGGAAACCACGGGTCAACATCGCGAACGTAAGGCGAGGAGGCTCAGCTCTGCAGCATTCGTATAGGTGCCTCGTCGTGGGCTGTCAAGACACCGCCGCGTCACTGAACCAAAGCCCCCGAATCCTTCGAGAACAAACGCTAGGCAGGCATTGGACCAGCGTTTAAAGTCCCAACCGAGCCGGGCGAAATACCATAGTTCTTTCTGAAAGCCCAGCCAGCCCTGTGGTTAGAAACATGTCACGAACTGCGACTTATCATTGCATCATGACGTGTCCCGTCCTGGGTTGCGGTGACTCTGGGGTTGACAGTGATTTATGATGAGCTCAAGATTTGACCGAGTTCTCACATGCCGGACCAAGAATGGTGCATCGCGAAAACGAGGTCGAGTCCTTTCAGTGGGTACCCGACGCCTCAACTTGCCTAATCGGTTTGTTTTGTGAGCTGCGACTGGATGATTGAATGCTAGGTTTGGCCTGGCGAGAAGACTCCATCACAAATGCCACAAAAACGTAATGTAAGAATGGACGGGCTTGGCGCAAAGCGCGAGATGCCCAGACCTGACAGAATCTGCGATCTGCTCAAAATGGGCCGAGGCCCACGTTTTCCAAAGACATCATCTCTCATTTGAGGTCGCATCCTCTTAAGATGATGAGGGTGGGCGCACCCGCCGAATGCCGTGTAAGCAGGATTTTTAACCACCACACGGCACAGCAGCCAGTGAGTGAGTGAGTGAGACTCGAAATCCGAATGAGCGAAGCTTTTTTTTTCCTCATGAGCTAAGCCAGGTCCAACCTCGAGGCGCTAAACCCAAACTGACAAAGATGGGAGCACGGGCCAATCGTAGTCAGTTGATCCGACCCCGCGGTGGCCCCATTTAGTTCCTCGTTTCCAGTAAAACGGTATCCACTTTACCCCTGTTCAGCGAGCCGCCGCAGCAGCAGCAGCAGCAGCAGCAAGAGCTATCTCGTCGTCGGGGTCCTGAGGCTCGGAATCCTTCTTTTCTGTTTACCGCTTCTTACTGCCCCTGGCTGACAAGAGCGTGTACCGTGTGCTGTCGCTTCGCTTCCGGCTGCAAGCAACGCAATTACGCGGCGCGCCCGTCGATTTGCTTACCATCGCCAATTTGCTGACCACCCGAAGGAGCAATTACGTTGCCCTTCTCTTCCAAACCATTGGCCAGTCCGAGCTGTCTGCTGCACGCTGCACGCGAAACAAGCATCCGCAAGAATGCCTATCCGCGTCAAGTCCAAGAAGCTGCCCAAGTCCCGGGACCTGAGCCCCGTGTCCATGCACTTCGACACCTTGGAGCTGCCCGACATCGACACGGACGACAACTTTCGAGATGTAGTCAAGAAGCTCTCCGTGTAAGTTTCGGGAACGGCCCGTCTCGTACCCAGAGCGAACCCGCGCGAAAGGTCCGGATGGAGCGTACGCTGAGGCCGATGTACTGATGATTCCCTACCAGATACTTCGTCGATGTCATTGTGCTGCCGAGCACCTTTGAGCAGCTGCGCACGACTGCGGCCGGTGAGCCGTTGCGAGTCTTGGTTGACCACCTCAACGCCACTTGCACCAATCCTGCCATTGTGAACGCGCTCCTGTAAGTTGTCCCTGCCTTGGACTCACGTCGCCCCCCCGCTGTCTCTCCTCTGTCTCAGACCATTTGGGAGATTACGTTATGGAAGAAGCCTCTGACACATTTGCAGCGCTCTCAAATGGCACTATGCCGTTGACGAGTCCGAATCCAACAAGGGTCTCTGCGAAGCCCGCGCCAATGCCTGCGAGATCGTCGCCTGGCGATTCCTCACTCGCCTGTCGGAGCGTGAGGCTGTCGACTTCTGCCTCTATGAGATTCCCGACCCCAAGCAGCCGCCCACGCCGCCGCCAAACGCCGATCTAGAGAGCAATGAAAACTCTCCTCTGCTGTCTGGTGGCAGCTGGTCCAACCAAGGCAGCCGCCGCGCCTCCATCCGCCCCGGAAGCAGCGCCAAGCGCTATCAGCTCTTGTCGTCTCTTTCCAGGCTCACAATGAGCATGCATGCTGACCAGGAAGAGGAGGACGACGACGACCCGACGTCGCCCTTCACCAACCTCAACGCCCTCGAGATCGCGGCCGTCGCCGACGCCAAGCGCTTCCTCAGCCAGCACGTCGTGCAGAAGATCGTCACGGGCATCTGGAACGGCGACATCATCTTCTGGGACAGCCTCTCCGTCCATGCCGAGAAGAAGCCTCGCTTCTACAATGCCCACACGACTGACGTCTTCTCGCGCCTGAGGGTCCCCAAGTACCTCAAAGCCTGGGAGGCCTTCTTCTTCTTCATCTTCCTGTGCCTATACTACTCCGTCCTTGTCGAGCAGAACACTGAACGCATCACCCACAACGAGATCATCCTGTACATCTGGCTGGCTGCTTTCCTGTACGATGAGCTCAGCGAATGGGCCGATGCCGGAACCATCTTCTATGCGACCGACGTCTGGAATCTTTTCGACATGATCATGATAGGCATCGGTATCGCCTTTGCCGTTCTCAGTAAGTGAGCCTGGTCCCCCTCGTTCGCCCCTAGACTAACACGCCACAGGGGTCATTGGCATCGCCAACCACGACATGAAGATAACCGACACCGCCTTCAATGTCTTCGCGCTCGAGGCCCTCTTCATGGTCCCGCGTGTGTTCTCCCTCCTCAGCTTGTCGCCCTACTGGGGCACCCTGATTCCGTGTCTCAAGGAGATGGGCAAGGACTTTGTCAAGTTCATGGTTCTCGTCGTCATCATCTATCTCGGCTTCCTCACGACCTTCTCCCTCATCGGCCAAGAGTCGTACAACTTTGGCCACATGACCATGATCCTCACAAAGATCTTCTTCGGCTCCTCGTACGTCGGCATCGAGATCATGGACGACATCGACAAGGTCTTTGGCCCCCCTCTCATGATCATCTTCATCATCCTCTCCTCCTTCCTGCTGATGGGTTCCCTGACGGGTATGCTGTCCAACTCCTTCTCCCGCGTCATCACCCACGCCCGCGAGGAGTATCTCTACGTGTACAGCGTCTACGTGCTCGAGGCCTCGACTAGCAACCGACTCACGCACTTCTACCCGCCCTTCAACCTCATCGCCCTCGTCATCTTTAGGCCTCTGCGCCTCTTCCTCCCCTCCGACGACAAGTTCCGTCACAGCCGCATCCTTCTCCTCAAGGCTACCCACCTCCCCATCGTCGGCATCATCCAGCTGTACGAGAATATCCGCCGCCGTGTGATGCCCGACGAGTACGCCGGCTTCAAGGGGCCGCGCGGCGCGACGGGCGCTACGAAGCAGCGCTTGCGGGGCGCCTTCCAGGCCAACCGCCCGTCTTCCGGGTACCGCCCCGGGAGGTCTCCTCGCCCCGAGGAGCGTCACAGCTCGCACCCCTCGTCGCGTCCTCAGACCCGTGCTGCAGAGGCCGACGAGATTGACGCGCCTTCCGCTGTCGAGGTGCGCATCTCGGAGCTCAACGACAAGATTGACAAGCTCACTGCGCTTGTCGAGGCTCTCCAACAGCAGCCGGGGTCGTCCCCGTCCCCGTCATCCTCCTCTTAAACCCTTATGAATGGTGGCTTAAAACGGTAGGTTGTCCTACACTTGGCACGATTCTTGGATCTGTGCCAGGATATTGTATGTGTGTGCGTGTGTTCGTGTATGTGTCGATATCGAGAACTGTTGTTGGTCCTACCTGCATTGCCCGGTGCATCTTGGGTGCGTTTGGCTTTGTCTTGGCGTGCATGTGCGTCTGTCTTTGGATGAGATCGAGGTGTGACCGAGTCTCAAGCCTGTTGATTCCTGTGTCTTTTGGCTTTGGCTCTATGTGTATGTCTGCGGTTGTTTAGACCGGGAGTGTGATAGTGGGTGTAGTCAGGTGCTTTCGTGATCATACTTGGAGGCTTGGTAGTTGATCGACCGTCTCTAGAGCGGACTTGACAATTTCGGTATAGGCTCGGGATAACTTCTTCAAATCCTACATAGTGAGACTCGATTCTGACCCGCAAAGCATTCCCCATTGTGCCTGTGCCATGAAATTTCGGACATACTGCGTAACAGTCTTTCTTTCCGACATCTCATGTTTCTTCGTTGACAATCAATGGGACTGACGTCAAGGAGACCGTCCCCATCGTTCTCCTCGGATCAAATCTGGCGAAGAATGCAGCCCCACCTCCGGCGCCATCGCCAAAACCTAACGGCTACCGTCGCAACCCCCCCCACATTACGCAAAAAAAACCCATCACGCTCTCACTCATCTCCAGTTCCATCAAAGCATCAACAACAAAAAAAATCAAAAGATTGGGATGCTCGCGCATCCGAGTTACTGTGACAAGAGTGGGATTCGAACCCACGCCAATTACTTGACTAGCACCTGAAGCTAGCGCCTTAGACCGCTCGGCCATCTTGCCTGATGGTTGATGAAGAAAACGTCCCGGCTGAGGCATTATGTTGCGTGGGGGACAGTGGGGGAGATGTCGGAGTATGACCAGAGTCGTGCGAGTGTCCCTGGCTGAACCCGCTCCGTTGGGCTCTCATTTCCGAAAGCCAGATTGAATGGGCTAAAGAATTTCAACGTTTGATCCATGAGTGGAACGGACCCTTGCCCGCGCTCTGCCTCTTTGTTGAAAGACGTGACTCGGGCTGGGTTCGCGAACTAGTTGGCTTCCGATCCGACCACGGAAATGTCTGACCCACAGCTGCCGGCCCAGACTCAATTCCGACCTCACCCGCGCACGCCGAGGGCCAATATAGCCAGTTTACAACCACACTCATGTCAGCACTATGCAAAACCTTCTTGAGACAGGTTTTTTCCCCACTACATGCTCAGGATCTAAGGTGATTTGGTCTCCTTCTATCACGTTAAACCGCAAAGATGTCAGGTTTCGGGATTCGGATCCAGTTTCGGCTACTGGCTACCCATATGTGAAATTGAGTTGTTGCTGCTTTAGTCTGAGCCGGCCTGTGTCCAAGTTGAGATGGCCGGGGTATTGTTTGTTCTATTGATATCACGGTTATGTGCTCTGAGCAAGCATAGGCTTGCTATCTAGTTGCTGGATATGGTGGGAACAAAATGTAGTAACATTGTCGGAGGAGGCTCTTGTTGAGGCACTGTCTTCTGCCAAAGTGGTGAAGCGACTATGGCGTGTTTCACATGCCAGCTGAACATATTTATGAGGAAGATGCCAGTCTGACATTCGATGCTTCTTAATAATGATTGATGGTACTCTTTCGGATAATTGGCTCGTGTCTACAAGAAAACGTGTGTCACCGGTGAATGGCCTGCTACGCTCATTGAGGCAGACAGTAAACCATTCCTAAAAAGTAGCCCTAACAAGAGTATCAATGACATTGAAGAAGGACGCAGAGCAGCGACTTACTTGAGTGTGCCGAATAGAGTATCGCTCAACGGGGGAGCGCCTCAGAAGCATACTGTAGATTGATCTGGAATGACAGCGTGCAATGGATTGTGAGGCACACAAAGCTGCTAACTGGTAAGCTTTTGGGAACACTCAGTCTTGGGGACCGTACTTTTAATTAAATGAATTAATTTGACGCACCAAAGCCAAACTCCCAACGTGCTAGAAAGACTGGCTAGTCTGAGTTCAGCCCCGTAAGATCAATCACTACTGTTTTCACCTCCACACCCGAGCTTTTCTGAACGTGTAGATCCACGGAAACCTGTCTGTCAGAGACTTTGTCCGGCGCAGAGGCCGCTTCAAGGCTTTTGGACGAGTGAGTATCGCTATCTGCGCCGTCCTCGTCGTCCGTCACCCCCCGACTATCAAAATCGCGCTCAGTGTCCATGGGCTCTCCCATGTCAACCGGATCCTGATCGTTCACAACAGCGCTCTGTTCCCGTTGCTCAGGGATAGCATCTCCTCCAAGCTGTTGATATGTCTCCTCCTCCGGTCCGACTTCCGGCGTCAGGCCCTTGGTTTCCGTCACTTCTTCGTCTTTCATGGACATGAGCCACAGCACCCAGGACTGCATGCCACCCTCCATGAGCCGAGATATGCACTTTGTTATATGCAAGTTCTCTATGCCCAATTTATCAACCAAAACTAGGAATATGACGACTAAACCCCATACGCCCGCCCAGAGCGAGAATGGCGCGAGGTAAACGACCGTAAGACACTCTACCATGGCAACGATCTGCCAACGATTCGGGAACCCAGACTTCCATGACCGGATTATATCGGACCAGAAGTTTTCGAAGGCACCCGGGACAGTAAAGATGGCCCATTGCAAAGCGAACTGGCGGTGATTAAAATCGCCCTCTGAGCCGCCGAAGGGGGGCCTGTTCTTTAACCTCTGGCGCCATTCGGGTAAGAGATTTCCGTTAGAGTCCCACGGCGTCTTTTTGCAAAAGTCCCGCCACCGTTCAAACACCTCGACGGCGATATCCTCGCTGACCTGGAAGTACTCCTTATGGTTTCTGCCACAGATACACTTCCATCGGTATCGGTAATTGTGCAGCTCCTTGTGGATCAACTTTTCGGCGAACGAAAACAATGGAAAGTCGTCAGATACCGCCTGGGGGTGCCCGACCATTTCGAGGTGCCTGCATTGTGCTTGGTGCTGCTTCATACGCCCCTCTCGATCCCGTGTGGTCTGACCGATCTTGACCAATTGCACCTCACGACCTCTTGGTTTGACTTTGTAAAAGTAGACGCATCCGTCCCTCTTCTTCTCGTCCTCCTGCTTTTCTTTCGGAGGACCGCGATTGATTAGATTTGCAATGTCGCAGTCAAGCTGTAACCCGGAAAGCTTCTTCTTGGAGGGGACGGCGTCGCTCGCGCTTCGCTCCGCTACAACCGGACGCTGCCCCTTCCTCTCCGTCTCATCCTGCGTCACTGGCGAGGTGTGGGATTGCCCGAGGGCCGGCCGCGCCGCTCCAGTCTCTTCGCGATTGTCGGCGACATCAGACCCAGCCAAGACCGTCCGTCGGAGGGGCGACGGCCCCGCAAGGCTGGCCGATGCCGAAGGCTTTGCCCGGGTCCGACGCACAGGCTTCTTGGTCGGCGTTTCTACCTCCTCCACGTCCGACTCTTCGAGTCCTTCGGGGCAGAACCGGTCCGCATCGGGCGGCGTCTCGCCAGCCCGAGGTGGGAGCTGGATCGACGAGCTCCTCGCCCGTGGTTGTTGTTCGGGAGTCAGGCCAGTTTGGGTTGGCATCAGCGGAGACGATTCGGGACCAAGCTGGGCCGCCTTTGCAGCTTTGCCTCTGCCTCTGGTGACCCTGCCCGAAGGGACCCGTCGTGAAGTCCGACTCCTGGGGCCGGGTAACTCGGGGTTTGGTCCATCGGGCGAGACGTTGAAGGGATCCCCCTTGGCAGTTTGCAATTGTTCAGTTGTCATTTTGCGTACACGTTGGAGCAGCACAGGGAATGGCGAGCTTGGAGAGACGCACCGAAGTACCGCGCTGTGGGGAGACGACTGCGCGTTAAGTACCAGCAAGCATCAGTCTCTTGTTCCGCCCAGCCTCGTGGTCGGCGAGTAATGAGGTGCATGCGAGAGACCGGGGTTGAGGGCGGATATGTTGACCCGAGGAACTGTGCCTCCCGTGTTGAGTGTGATAACGCGCCCTGCATGCATCTCTATATTGCATATGTTCCAACCAACGCGCCAACCGACGGCGCTGATTGGAGGCCGCCATGCGGCCCTGTCTCTCAGTTTGTAACATAGCCATGTCTCATTTACACAAGAGGGCTTATCCGAAGGGGCTGGTAGCGGTGTGGACCAAGACACCAGGGTAATAATGATGGCTGTGTCTTGGGGAAGCCGCGTGATCTTGGCCTAGATCGGCGGAAGCGATCCAGGACGCACCTGGGCACGGATGAGCCGGCATGGCGTTATTGCCATGAGCCCGGATGGACTCCCCCGACTTTGTATGGCACCTTAGTTCTGGCAAGTAGTACTTGAAAATACCTCAGGATATCCAGTTGGACGTTCAACTTCACCCGACTGCTATGGCATCAAGTGTGCATCAAGTAGCAAGCCAAGGGCATTCCCGAGTGGATAAAGTCAATGTCCTCTTCTCAAGTGGTTCCGCTCCCTGGGCTGGACACACGTGAGAACGCAAGCATCGATCCTCCAGCGTGCTTAGCAGTCATAGTCACGTAGGAGCATCTTCACTACAACAGACACAGAGCCAGAGCCGCCACCATCTGGCTTACAGAAACGTAGCCAGGATGGCTCAGCTAAGAAACGACGTATCGGGCCCGGCAGACACAGTGCCAACCTTCTCGTTAGTGTTCAATCTCGGGTTCAATCTCATGTTCAATCTCAAGCAGTCCAAAGGCCACTTACTCCCTCTTAAAGCTCAACATGGGCCAACTCCATTCACATCAACGACAGTCGGACTCCCAGTCGTGAGTGGAACAATGAGCTCAGGCCGAGCGTCCTCTCATTCGCAATCAATACATCATCTAGCATTATCCGACGCCCACGCGGTGGATGGACCTATACACACCACGTATCAAGCTTGCTCCCATTCCGCACGCCGCCCAGGCCATCGACCGTACTGCAAGGGCCGAGGGCCACCTGTTCGTCTTCCGTCCCGTTCGTCTTCTAAGAGATTCTATCTACAAGAGTTTCGTTCCAATCATTTGTCCGTTGCGACGTCTCTGCCCCCTTTTTGCGTTTGGTTTTTCTTTATCGCCAACCCGGAGGCTTCCCATTTAAACACCAGGACGCTGTATATACTCCGTGGAGAGGCTGACGAGAAGGGGGGTTTTGGTTTACACGCACGCGTGCGCGCGCATTAAAAGTAAAATTGCTTCCTCAAATTCCGCATTCGCGCGGAGTTTGGCGGCAATTGCGGCTGAACCATGCTCGTCGTCGACGCCGCCGTCGAAGATTCCTCACCGCTCGGCTCGGCCGCAGCGCCTTCCTACTGGCCCGCGGCGCTGGCGAGCTCATTGAGCTTGCCCCGCTCCTCCTCCGTGAGCATACCATACCACTCCTGGAAGTTGGCCACGTTCTCGCGCGCCGCACGCATGAAGAACTCTGTCAGGTAGGCCTGCGTCTCGTCGTCGCGCTGTCGGGCGCCGGAGCCCTCGATGAAGGACATCAGGTCCGCCTTGGTGCCGCCCAGGCTGAGGTCAAGCGTCTCAGGCTCATCTTCCCAGCCATCGTCCTCGTTCTCCTCGTCGGCGAACTCGGCTGCAGCCGCCACTGCTGCGGCGTTGGCGGCAGCGTTGGCACCTGAAGCGGAGAGGAGCTCTTCGATGAGGACCTTGAGAATCTTCAGGGAGGCGGGGATAACGGTGTATTGATCGGGGCCTGTTCGCCGGGTTAGTTATCTAAGAGACTATCGGTGCCGGGGAAAACTCACTGGCTTTGGCACGCGAGCGCGTCATGATTCTGCCATCGTTGCTGCTGTTCACAATCAGGTCGCCCTTGACCATAGTCTGGGCAAGACGGGGGTCGTTGAGAGAGTAAAGCTTGGACAAAGCAATGACGCTACGAGAGTCAGTTCCATGTGTCCTTCTCAGAAAGGCTGAAACACTCACTTTTGACGAATCTCGTCGTAACCGGCAAAGCTGACCGAGTTCTCGAGCCACTTGCTCATCACAACCTGCAGGCCCGTGTTGCCGTGGATCTGGATCTGGCTCAGGAACTCGACAACGTCGCTGGCGCCAACGAGCGACAGACGGGCAAAGACAAGTATCAGAGACTGGATGAAAGGGGCAGCCTCGGCGGACGCGAGCCTGGTAGCAACGGCCTGCAGCAGTTGGGGCAAAAAGGGACCGAGACGCTCTTGGCCGGCCTTCTCGACGAGCTCTGCGGCGAGACCACCGACTTCCGAAGCAGAGTTGTCCTCGACCGAAGGACCCAACAGACGGTCGATGATGTGAAGGCACACCTCGAGACCAGAGCGGTTGTTCTCGTCGTGCCATCCAAAGACCTGGTGGTGGTCGTGCATCAGGAGGTACTTGACAGACTCGGCACCGGGACGCAGAACCTCACCCTCGTTCGACTCCATCAGCAGGCGGTTCAGCTTAGGAAGCGTGGCGGCGACGAAACCAGCGGGCAGGGGCTCCGAACCGTGCTCGACAAGGGCGGTGAGTAGTTCGGTGGCCACGGTAACGAGCGGGTCGTCCTGGGTGACGTTGGCGGTGTTGAAGGCCGCAGTCAACGTGGGCAAGATCTTGGCGCAGAGAGCAGTGTAGGAAGCCGTGTCGGAAAGGGTGCGCACGATCTCTTCAAAGGCCTCGCAAATCAGCATAGTGGCCTGGAAGTTGGACGCGCCAAGCTTGGCAACCATGAAGAGAAGGTCGACCGAGGGAACATCCTGGGAAAGCACGATCCTGGTGTCCATGTTGATGGCGGCGCGCAGGGACTCGGCAAGGGTGACGAGGAGCTCATCGGCGTCCTCCATCTCCTCGGGGTCCTTGTTCTGCATGTACTGGGCGATGGCGTTGATGATGGGGATCTGGCGGTCGGCAGTCACTCTCCCAGAGCGGATGAAGCCCTCGACCGCCTTGATGCAGGCAACCTGGACAACCTCGGACTCCTCCGAGGTGATGCACTGGATGATGCGGTCGAGAAGAGCGGGCGGGGTCTGGAAGCCCCTAGCCAGAGTGCCGCCAACGAGGTAACCGCGGGCTCTCAACAAAGGCTGCTCGTTCTGGTTGACGGCGTAGTCGACGAGTCCTAGGTATGCCTCGGAGAGAGCCTCGGGGATGGGCTTCTCCATGTCCTGGAAGTCGCTCAGGAGCATGTTGAAGAGGTAAAGAGACGCCTCCTGGCTCCTCCAGTTAGAGCCGTCGCCGGGGAAGAGGGTCTTTGTGTAGCCAAAGAGCCCCTCGACGGCCTTCTCGCTGTACCACTCGCCGAGCTTAATGAGCAAGTCGCCGGAAGCGGTGCGGGCGGTGTAGTTGGCGGTAACGGAGGTCTCCTCGGCGAGGTACAGGGAGCAGTCAATGTCCCACAGCTCCTCCTCCTCGCGGCTGATGCGCGAGTAGCCGACAACCATCTTCATGACGTCGACCATCCAGGGGGTCTCCTGCGCCGAGGCATGGGCGGCCAGCTGGGCCTCGAGCTCCGCCTGGACGGGAGGTGCGCGGAAGCATTGGTTCAGGAAGTCGAGCTCCTCCAGGATCAGGAAATCCAGCGTGTAAGGCAGGCTGTCGGCGTCCTCGAGACGGCCCTGGGCCTCGTGTCCGATGTAGAGGTCCTCGTGCGGCTTCTGCAGCAGGGACAGCTCCTCCCAGACGGCGGTGAAGAGGCTGGTGCTGTGCGGCAGGAGGAGGTGGGGGAAGACGGACTTGACCTTGAGGAGGGTCTTGACCACCTGCAGCTTCATGGCAACGATGGAGTTCCAGCTGTCGGGCTGGCCGTTGGTGAGCTCGGCGGGCGCGTCGGGCAGGCGGGACTTGAGGACCTGGGCGAAGAAGGGGTACCAGTCCTTAAGGGCCTCCTCGGCGAAGCTCTTGACCTCCTTCATGTGGTCCTCCTTGACGATATCCATGAGGTCGAAGCAGGATCGGAAGACGGAGATGGCGAGGGCGCGCAGGTTGGGCTTGCGACCCTCGTTCAGGGCGACCTCGGTGACGGCCTTGACGATGTCACGGGCCATGGTGAAGAACTGGTCCTCGCTCAGGCTCTCATCGATAATGTCGCCCAGAACTCGGAGGGCACCGTGGAGTTGTACGTCGGTGCTTGTGGGGATGACGCCCAGGACGGTGGGCAGGAGGCTGGGCCATCGTTCGGGGAAGTCGGCGGACGCAATCTTGCCGATAACGTAGCTAGAGACGGGGGAGAAGGTCAAGTCAGCATGGCGGCTCTTTCTTCACGGGACTCCCGTGAGTCGCGGCACGCGTGTTGCTGCGGGGCGTCCAATTGGAGGATGCCGAAGGGAAAGAGAGACAAGCGCACCACCATACCTTGCCGCAATCTTCACAAGCCTCTTGTCCTCGTTGCTGAGGGCGATCTCGAGCAGGGTGTTGCGCAGCTGCTCTCGCGCCGCATCGGAGATCTCGACGGAGGGCTCGCTGGCGTCTCGGTCCTCGGGGCTCCAGTTCCTCTCGATGAAGAGGCGCAGGGTGCTCAGGGCGGCCTGGCGGATGGCCGTGTCGATGGAGTTGTGGTTGGCGATGTTGGCCAGCGAGGTAGGGAAGGCCGGATTCGAGCGGGCGTGCTTGAGCTCGATCTCGGCCTGCTGGCGGGGGCCCTGCTCGGAGCTCTGGGTGTTCGCCAGCAGCGAAACCAGCTGGTCCTCCATGTTGGGGCGGGTTCGACGATGGTGTGTCGTATTCCGTTATCCACACGCGCTTTCCGCCGGCGGGTTGTCGGTCGTCTTTGGCGTCTTTGTGCGGTGTCGGTCGAGTGCGTCGGCTTCTCACAGCAAGCCGTATGCGCCAGCAATCGTGACGTTGTGTCGGGAGGGGAGGGGGAGGGCGAGAGCAAAAAAGTAATTAGAGATCTGGTTCCACGCAAGGTTGACCAGTAAGGCCGAGGTATGGACAGCGATAGAGAGAGTAAGAGAAGCCACACAAAAAAAAAGGTGGAAAGAGGTCCGTCGCTGACTCAACCGACAGTCAAGGTAGACAGACAGAGGAAGGAAGGAAGGAAGGCGGTGGGTGCGACGGAACGGTGTGTGGTGTGGACTTTCCGCGGTGGGTTGTGTGCGTGTGTGTGTGTGTGTGTGCGGGCGTGTTTGTGAGTTGTGTGCGGTGTCTCTGGTGATGTTCCTCACTTTCTTTTTGGCGGGGTCGTTTTCCCTGACCGTTTAGGTAGACGCGCAAGTGGACCCTTTCAAGAGGTGCAAGGCAGCCACAGCCCACTTTCCAATGCCTTGGGGTGGCTCTCCTCTCTCTCTCTCTCTCTCACAGGCCAGAAAAATACCAGTTTGTTGTTCCCCCCCTTCCCCCCCGGCGCCACTCTTCTCGGTTGTTTACAGCGTACCTCCGTAGGCTGCCCACCATTGAAACAAAAGCCGCCCGCCAACGCCCGCTCAACCCGCCGCAACGCTACCTACCGCACCAACAACGGCTGAGAGGGAGGGGTCGACTCGGCGATTTTCAAGTGGCAGACCAGGTACCACACGCCGAGAAACAATGGGCACGGGCCGCCTGGTGCCTCCAGCAAACCCTCCCCTCCCACTTCCCACTCCCCTCGAGTTCCTGGCCTTGCTCGCACGCATCCCATTGTGCTTAGGTAATGGCCTGGTTCTTCATGGGGTAGCGCGGGGTCGAACCGTTGGGTCTGGGCGGTGTGTGTACATATATTAAATACATAGGAAATCCATACAGCATAGCATGCCTCCGAGCCCAATGACCCCCAGCCCAAGCCTAACGTCCTGCTTAAACCACCGTTCATGACCCAAGTGGCTTGTAAGAAAAAAAGGACGGAGGCGTCCGTGGACCGGAGCGGTGACGGGACGTGACAAGCACTTGCACGTGGCCCGGGTCCGTTCCCCGTCTTCACCGTCTTCTGTGCCCGCGGCCACGAGCGAGCTTGGACACACGATAAACGTCCCGTCAATTCCTTAGCCCATGGCACATCCCCAACTTGTATCGCCAAGATCGCTTCAGCGCATCACAGCCCCCAAAAGATGGATCCGTTATTATGCTTCTATTCATCCAGTCCGTACGGCGACATACACGTATTCCGACGACAACGCTGTCCAGACCGTACAGTTCATACCGTCAGTGCTCTCTACACACAAGACATGCCACATGCCACACATTCCATTCATCCATCCATCCGTTCAGTCGAAGCCCAATGATCCTCCCATCCCATATTCTACCTTGGCCGTCTGCCGGTCTGCCTGCTTACTGCCCACTGCCTGCTCAGACCCACCCAATCCTCCTCCGAGCCCGTTCCTAGGCCGGAGTTTTGTGCAAAAAAAAAAAAAAAAATTTCAGTCCGGTAAGCAGTAGTGGTACACCCGAAATTCGGACCCGCTCGCAACGCATAACCCCCAAAAAAACGCCACAAGCCCATCCCGCCGTCTTATACACGCTCGTCCTGTACCCTTTGCGCTCCACGTTCTCCCTCGCCGGTTTTGATCCGTTCGTGCTCACGCGTCGGCACCCTTCATCATCGTCCGGAGACTGACGAGCTCCCTCTTCAACCGCGCGTTTTCCTTCTTGACCCGCGCCGTCTCCTCGCTGTGTTCCCGCAGGCTTCGGATGAGCTCCTCCTTGTCCTCTCTGCCCTTGCCCTTGAGCGCCTTGACGATCTTGCCGAGCTCGCTGTTGAACTTTTCGTACATGAGCTCGTTCTCCGCGGTTGACTCTCTGTACAGCTGATCGATGCTCTTGACCTTGGTCTCCGACGCCTTGAGCGTGCTCTCCATGTCCCGCTGGATGATGGATTGACGGTCCGTTAGTTCCGCCATCATGCTCGGGATCCGCTCTTCGAGCGTCTTGACCGAGTCCGTAAGCTTGCGGAGGTCCACCGTGTTGGTGCGCGTGCCGAGTCCCGAATTGACCCTCGACATTTCCTCCGCAATCTTGGAGAGCTCCGACTTCAGCGATGCGTCGACATCCTCCACTGCCTTCTTCTCCGTCTGCAGCCGCTCCCGAAGCTTCTGGGGTGACTGGAGACGGAGCTTCCCACTGCCTGGGGCTTGCCGGGACTCGTGGACGGCCGCGGGACTGCGTCGGACGACTGGGTGCCAACCGGGCGAGCGGGCCTCAGGGTCGGGATGTTGGATGTAGACAGGCCTCTAGCATGTCCCTTGGGCGTACGGCTGGGGGTGTTTTCGCGGTCAGAAAGCGGGGGCGGGGGCGGCGAGAACATTTCTGGCAGACTCGGGTTCTCTTTTTGGCGAGGGGAGACCATGCGAGGGGACCGCAGGCTATGGGATGTCGGGCTTATCGGAATCCTAGATGGTGACGGTACTCGCGGTGTCGAGTTGAACTTTTCTGATGTCTGTTTGTTGATCCGCAGCGGCATCAAGGCTTCCTCAATCTTCTCCCGAGGGTCAGTGATGGTGGCTGCCTCCATAAGGCTTCTCAGATCAGAGAGCGAGCTTCGGCGCTTCTTCTTGGAAGACTTGACCGGCGCCGCCTCGACGTCGGGCTCGCCGATGGTCTCCAGGCGCATGTCGAGTCGATGGGAGCTGGTCGGTCTCGGGGCCTCGTCGAATGCGCCGGCGATGGGCGGCCTGTCTCGAGAACCAGGTCTCCTCAGCTTGTTGGGCCCGGGCTGTGTTCCCGAGTCGATAGACCTTGCCCGTGACGATGTCATCTTGGACAAACTGGAACTCGAGGCGGCAGCATCTGCAGAGGCGGGGTGACGACTGTGTTTGCTAAGCGTGCGCCAGACAGACGGACGTTCCGAGTCGTTCTTGCTGTTCTGTCGTAGCAGAGAGTCGAAGCCGAATTTGCGCCGGATAGACGACGTGTTTGATGTCAGCGAGCCACTGTGCGACTTGCCGCTGCGAGAGTTCATGGACTCGAACGCTTGTTGAACAGTGAGGTTGACACCAAAGCCAGCGTCATCGAAGATCCTGTCGCAATCGTCCACTAGGCGGTCCAGGAGGTTGATGTAATTTTGCGCCGTGCCATCCGAAACAAGGAGCTCCGCGAACGACACTGTCAGAATGCCCCTATCACCGTCGTTGCCGCAGCCGTCGAGCAAATCGGCGAGCAGTTTGATCAAAGCCGTAAACGCCCTCTGGTTCTGCGGCGCCATTTCTTTGAAGATGAAATTGACAAAGTCGGCAAAGTTTCCGGGGACTTGTCGGTTCATCCGTTCGAGCAGCGTGTCCAGGGTCTGCTTCGTCATGATCGGGCCCATCTGCTCGCCCCAAGCGATGCGGATAAACTTCTCGAATGCGACAAAGATGACATCAGCGCCCAGCTCGGAGGAAGCGTCGAGGTCAAAGGGACTCTCGATCAGCCGATTGTAGAGGTCATTGACCAGAAGCTCGTCGGCCGCAGACCGGTTCAACAGCATCCTCCCGACGATGCTGCCCTTGCGGGCCTGCAGGCTGGCAACATATCCAGTAAAAGTCTGCTCCAATCGCACAAGCGGGTTCTCGGGGCGGTCGTCACCACCCATCTTGATGCCGTCTCTGCCTTTGGCAGAGCCATAGACAGAGCCCGCCTCGCTGTTTGCTCGTGAAACCGGCGGTGGGAAGACGTTGGTCACGGGCGTTCGGGTGTGCCTAGGCGAACCGTGTGTTTCCGCGTTGGTGGAGCCACCCCAGATGCTGGAGAAGAGCCCCTTGACTGGCGATGAAGCAAGGAAAGATCTCGTCTTCTCCGCCCTGGTCATGAGAGGGAGGCCCTTGAGAACCTTGGTATAGTACGAAACCAGCGGGGGCGCCAGTCTCATGTTGGATACGCTGAATTGCATGCCGAGTAGTTGGATGACTGCTCATATGGTTAGCATCCTTTTCAATTTGCTGGGCAAGCGATCTTACTTCGTCGAGTGAGCGTGGGTAAAAAGTCATCCAACGCCACATCGTCCGAGAATTGTCTTCCGTTCAAGCCAGCGGTCACCATGTTGACCTTCTTCATGTCGCCACACTTGACGTTGACCGTAATCTCAACGCCGTAGTGGCCGATCGGGGCCCCCTTCGTGCCCTTGTCATGGTCAATGACGATGCGAATCGGCGCAGGCTCCCTTCGACCGTCAATGAGCTGATCGGCGCCCTCTTGGAAGACGGCAGCAAAGATCCCGAGGTTGTTTTCCGGCATCCTGATTGAACGCAGGGTCCAAGAGGGTTCTCGCGCTCCTTTTCCGAAAACCGCCCCTCGACGCGGGCCTTGACGATATCTTCGGACCACTTTGATGCTCGTGTAAAAGTCTCCTCAAGCAGAAAGCACCGCGACGTGACGGCGGTGCCTGTGACCCACTCTCCGGCATGCGCTCCCTTCATTTCTTGTGTCGAGGTCATCCAGATGAGCTTGCCATCTGTCGACTCGGTGAAGCGCACGTCGGCAAGGCCATGCCAGCCAGTGAAGGCGAGCTCGTAGGAGGGCTGGCCACTGGCGGCGTTCGTCATTGACAGGAGAAGCCCAGCCGCCGAGGGCTTGTCGATTTCGCGCAGGAGGTCCTTGCCGGACATCGGCTTGGGGCCCAGCTTCTTGACAATGACTACACAATCGGAGAACAGAAGGAAGATGCCTGCACGCTCCGCCATCTCTGGAGGCTCCAGCAAGCGGTAGGGAGCGGGAAGCTCGACAAAGTCAGCGGCGAGAATGAGTCGTCCCTGAGGCTCAAGATCGAGAGGCCAACTCTCGACCATGTTTCGCAGGCGGCTCGTCACTTGGGGCTTATCGGGGATGGGCTCGTCCATGGAGCAGATGTTGGTAATGATGTCGCGCGCTTTGAGCATCGGCTGCAGCGCCGGGTGTGTCATGGGAAGACAGCTGACAATCTGGTCGATGAGCAGGCTGTAGCGCGGAAGACGCTGAACTGGCTCAATGAGGACTGAGCGGACAGTCTGCTCGCCTGTCTGGAGGACCCGTTGGCGGAAGCTCGACTGCTGGTCCAGGAAGGAGTTGAGAAGCGTGGGGAAGTGCTGGCTCGCGCGGATGTAGTCCTGGTAGCAGTCGGTAAACTTGGGGAACCACTCGAGAAAGACCCTGGCGATTGCCAATGCGCCGCTGGGGTCCTTTGCCTTGGACGGCGATCCCATCCTCGAGCCCGTCAGCGCAACGGTCGTCACCTCCATGTCCTTGACGGCCTCCTCCTCGGTCTCGTCCATGATCTCACGCAGCTCTTCCATGAAGGCCGAATTGACCTGCAATATCCTGTCCGCTGACCTGGGGAACAGCTTCTCAAGCTCCTCCTCCGAAGGGCTCAGGCTGCTCGGGTCGCGTTGTCTCGCGGATTGTCTGAAGTCGTCGGCGATGTGCTTCACCAGCTCGTTCAGCTTCAGCACATATCTCTCTTCGGTATCGACCAGCTCTCCGAGCTTCATCCTCAGATCCACCTTCTGGTCCTTGGAGAAGGACTTGCCGCGATTCAACGAGGTGGGCTTGGACGGCGCTCTCCGTAGCCTCGACGTCGGCAGGAAGACGGGATCCCCCAGCAGCTTCACCAATGGCGTGTATCCCCCATACTGGCGCAGGGTCGGGTCCAGAAACTCGTCCTCGTCCTCGGGCACCTCCTCCAAGTCCTCGGTTTGCAGCGGCACAATGGAGCCGGGCGGCAGGACGAAGTCGACGTCCACATTGCTCAGGTGCTGGGTCTGAAGGGCCGTGTGCAGCGTCTCGAGGACCTCGGCGGTGTTCTCGCTCTTGATCATGTTCTTGGCGAGGTCGGCGGCATGCTGCTCGCCAAACAGGGCCGGGCCGCTCCCCGGGCGGCGGCCTCTCGTAGTCGGGTATGTGTTCTTCAGGTGGTTCTTGACAACCTCGGGCAGCTCCTGGAAGTACTTGAAGAGGCCGAAGGCGAGGCCGCGGTAGACCTCGTCGCCCTGCCATTCGCGCGGCAGGTGGTTGACGACGGTATAGAAGGGGGAGTTGGGCTGTATGGTGAGGCGCGGGAAGGACTGGAAGCCGGCGGGGCTGTAGACGTGAATCTGGACGCGGGAGCTGTTGAGGGTGTAGTTGGCGGTGGTGGAGGGTCCGTGGAAGAGGAGGACGGGCAGGTGTCCGAGGAGGGGGTCGGCGGCGTGGTAGAGGGTGAGGTGCTCGGCGGGCAGAGCCAGCTCTTCCGTGACACGAACCATTTTCGGGGCTGGCAGCGATGCGGTCGTTCGGTCGGTCGGTCGCGTGGTCTCGTTCAATGGGCCTGGGTCATTGCTGACTGGCTGCTGTATAAATCACACGAGGAACAAAAAGAAGCAAGGGGCTGCAAATTTTGGTAAACGAGTGTGATGTAGGCGCGATTGTATGTGTTTGTCGAGCGCGTCGGGCGCAAGTCGGTCTCCCCAAGTTGAGGTCGAATGGCGGTCGAGATGATTCGAGGCCGGCAGCGGCAGCGGCAGCGGCGATCGATCGCGATGCGACGAAACAAGACGGGAGAGCAGTTCCAAGGCCAAGAAAGAAGATGATTAGGGGCGAGAGAGAAAGAAAGAAAAGAGCGTGAGGAAAAAAGTAGGCAGATTGCCAGGCTAGCTAGCGCGACCACGGATGGGACAGATGAAGATTGCAAGCCAGCAACTATCGTGTATCTATGTCGGTGTCGGTGTGAGTTGGCTGGCGTTGAACTCGGCCGGGGTCGATTCGAGTGTCCGTGGGTTATGGCAGTAAGCAGGTAGAGAGCGGCAACAGCGACAGCAACAGCGCGACAGCAGAGCAGAGCAGCGCAGCGCAACGCAACAGCGGCAAGCAGTGAGTGACTGAGTGCGAGTACCCAGTGGGTGTGGTGGGTACAGTATGGAGGGGGCTGGCTAGCTGGGGTCTGGCTGGGCTGGGCTGGGCTGCAGTCGCAGTTGCAGTGTCTGTGGCCCGTGGGTCCGCTGTGTTATTGTTTGTTGTTTGTTGCAATTGAGAGGTGAGGCCCAATCTAGTGTAAGGTTGTTAAGGCAAAGGAGTCCTGGTAAGGTGCCTGTGCCTACCTTGGTAAGGTGCGACGGTCGGTCAGCCAGGCAGGGAGAGAGGGAGCAACCAAAAAAAAAAACCAGAAAAAAAAAGGGTACACCACAATTAACCGTATCCGTAGAGATCCCTGAGGTTTAATTTACCTTTGTTGTTGAACCCTTTGTTGATCTCGGTGCAGGCCCCGACGACGCAGTGGAACATGAATCGGTCTCTTTATTTCTCTCGCCTGCCTGATTGCTGCTCTTCACCGACACTCCCGTACAGGATTGGGTGAACAAAGAGAATGAAAAGATCGAGAGTGATGGGGAAGTGGCAGGAGAATGACGACAACCCATTGCCTTGCAAGACAAGGGGAGGGATTAAGCGACGAACGCCTCGAAACCGGGACGTGGACCTGGGCTAGACCTTTTTGACTCCTCGACGAAGAGATAACGCACAACAACACAGCAGGAGGAGCAGGGCAACGATGTAGAGAGGCGGGGGAAAAGTCGTGGGCTGGGGAAAAAAATTTACTTGGAATAAGAAACAAGCGAGTGGATGAGCATGTAATGCCCCCGTACCTACTCGAGCAACCATACCATCAACCGTGAATCATGTGCGATGCCGCCCGCCTTCGGGTCGTTGGTGAAACCGACGGTTGATCTTTCTCACACACACACACACTACTATCTCTCTCTCTCTCTGTTTATCTCTCCATCTGCCAGGAGAGAGTTTTCACCAGATGCCGCTCTGACTGGGTGATGCCGGCGTGGTGCAGATGCAGGGCGAAGTGTAGTGCAGATTGAATGGATGCGCCCGGGTTGCCGGTCTGCAGCATCTCGTCGTCCCTCCTAATCTACACGTGTACTCTGTCTGAGGGCTGGGTAAAACCTCGTCGTCCTCTGGTCTCACCTTGCGTGCTGCTGGCGTGCGGTGCGTCAGCGCTCCGTCGCGTTGCTACACAGTACAGTGGTGGCGTCCACCCTCACCGATACGATACCCGAAAGTTGCGAGTGAGGTCAACATAAACAGATGCAACCGCGACCCGCTTTATCGCCCCGGGACGCGTCCACTCCCAACTTCCTTCCCTACGGCCAGCAACCAGCCGCACTAAAACAAGATACACCAGAGCTCGGATCCTTTTTTTGTCCAATCATAGGCCCTCTGTCCCACCAGACCCCTGTCGCGCGAATGGAGAGCTCGGCTCGGCCAATAGAAACCCCCCAAAATTCGATCCGATTTTTTTTTTGGCCGAGCAAGGCAACGCAGCTAGGAACCCCTCCTTTCCCGCCCACGCCCGCTCCTGCATCCCAAATCTTCAAGGCCCGTGCCTCACACGGCGGCGCCCTTGTTCCCTCCCCCCCGCACCAATTCGACCGTGTCTGATTCGACTTCCATTATTTCCTTGTTCTCCAAAACCTAAAATCCGTTGACGTTTGCCCATCTCCAGTACACGTGCGCTTCTCGACTATCGAAAGCCACCATCAGCCGACCTTTTTTGGCTATCAAAAATCACGGCCAAACCCCAAACCATAGTGTCCAATAGCCTCGACATAGCCAACCCGCCCGGCCATGTCCGCCCAAGACGCCGGCATCCCCTTGACCCATGCCCCGGACTCGCGCGGGTACAAGCTCATGGAGCTTCCCCCCGAGCTCGAGGCCATGCTGGCTGCCGAAGATGCTCCGGTGTAAGTCACTCGCTCACTCACTTCCCTCCCTCCCGTCCTGTGCAAACCCCCCCGGTCTGTCAGTCCACATCGCCCCTCGCCCTTAATCACGATACCTGATCTTACTTGGCCGCGTCCTCTCTCCTTCCCCTTGTCGTTCATCGTCTTGGACCGCCAGAGGGTGCTCACATACTCACACATCACAGCGTCACACTTACCTCCACCCCCACAACAGCCCTTCTCAAGGCCGAAGACAGGACCTACAAGCTCCTCCAGAAGAACACCTCCAACTCGCTCATCCTCCTTGCCCCTCACGCCTCTACGCCACCCGGCTCAGACACCCCCGCCGTCGGTCTCGGCGCCATCGCCACAGTCCACGAGACCATTGAGCTCGTCGCCCAGACAGAGCCGCAGACCATATCCAACCTCAAGAACACGGGCAGCAAGGGCAAGTGGCACGAGAAGTTCGGCCGGGGACGCTAGACCGGACACGCTCGCTCATTGATGGATGGATGCCTGACGACCGTTTGTATTTTGTGCCATGATTACAATTACCCTACACCAAGGGGCCACAAGAGAGGCCCCCCTATCATGACAACCCAAATTAAGATACCCTGCCTTCCCCAAGACTAACCGCCCTTGCGGTACCTTGCCCCGCGTGCGTCAATGACAACCTGGTAGAGAAAAAGGACCCTGACGCCATGCCATGCTCGATGCTACGCTGTGAACGCTGCTAAGAAATGAATTCGAAACCCCCAAAAGCCACTTCCTTGTTGGAAAACTCGGTGCTTTTACCCATGTGCCGCCTCCCAAATCGAGGCAACCTTCGCTCGCAAATATGCTTGCTTGCTTCCAAGATATTGATTCAATGATGTGGGCCTCGCGGCAGTGCCTCTGCCGTGTACTGCCAGGCGTCTCGGGTATCGTGTCGATGAAAAGAACGCAAAATGAAGCAAAAGGGGAATGGAAAGGTGGTTACTCCAACTCCAGAGGCTCGTCCTTGGTTCTTCCGGCGGCTGCCGCTCTTTGTCGCGCTCTTCGTCGCAGAGCAGTCATCCGGACCAACGGTTCTTGAGGGGCCCTTTCCTGTTGGGCGGGTGGCATCAGCCAGTTTGGACGATCCGGAGCTGGCGGCTGCACCAGCAGGTTGGGGTTGACGTTGTTGATCTGGAGCGGGGCATGTTCCATAGGTACCATTCCTCGAATGCCTTGCTCTCTGACGCCCATAGCACCGACGTCTCCTCCGGCGAACTCGGCTTGTATAGCACGACGGTGTTCCTCGCGCTTAGGAACCACCATGCTCCGTCTCCATTGAGTGTACAAATCGTGGTCGCCAGGCAGTTCAACGCCGGCGGGTTGAAGTTGGGCTTGCTGGGCTTGGTCGTGTACTGGCTGAACTCCCAAGGCCAGCAGTATTCGCTCTCGCTCTTGCTGCTCTAGGTGTTCTAGCTCTGCTTCTCGCTCTGCTTCTTGCTGTGCCTGCTGCTGAGCTTGCTGAGTTTGCTCCTTTGCTACAGGATTACGAGCTCGCTGCGCGTCCTGCTTATCGGGATTCAGGGCGGCAGCGCTTAGAGATTGAGCCTCAAGCCTAGGCGCTTGTTGCTCTTCCATATTCCTACCATGTTGCTGCGCCTGTCGGACTGTTTGCATCTGCTCTGGCTGTCGATCATTTTGATGTATTGGCAGGGGTTTCGGAGGCTGCCGTGCGCTCTTGTTGCGACGCTTCTGCCTTTTCAGTCTCCTCGGCGCCGGTGCAGGCTCAGGTCCGGCCCCATGGCCTGGTCCAGCCGGTGCTCCCAGTCCCATTAGATAGGGCTGGTTCATGTTCGCCAGCCAGATGGGATCGGGCTCACCTTGCCAGTTCACAGCATCCCGCATAGGTTGAAGCCGTTGCGAGTGTCCAGGCGCTGGTGGTTGCGGCTGTTGAGGTTGGGGCTGGTATTGTGGAACAGGGAAATGATGCTGTACGTCTGCCATCACGGGAGGTGGTTGGAAACCTCCGTAGGCGTAATTAGGGTCTTCAGGTGGCCATGCCGGAAACCCATTCAGGTTCTCGACGTGCATGGGGACCGGATAATACTGCGGTAACAGAGGATGAATCTGAGCACCATCCTGTTGGCGTCCCGGGGGGATGTAGTATGGATGACCTTGAAACTCTCCAATATTTCCCTGTGGGATTTGATGACCAAAAGCATTGCGTGCAACGACTGGCTGGCTAGCAGCTCGTGGCTGAGCTGCTGGCACAAGAGGAGCTTGGACAAGCCTCGGTGGCATCTGTCGTCCGCGCTGGCGGCCTGCCGGTCTGGGGTCTGGGACTGGGTTGTTGGGTTGGCTAGGCTTGTTTCCTGGCATGTCGAACCTGAGTAGGTCTTTGTCCACCAGACGATTGCTCTCCAAGACCTTCTGGCGAGCCTTTTCTTCTGCAGCCTGCACTTCAGCGTTATGGCGTGCATCCACGTTGTCAAAGAGAGGACAGTTGCCCTGCTTTCCGCCTCTGTTCACATCGTTGAAGTGACTGTAGTCGCACGATTTGGAGCAGACATAGCACTGAATGTTCCTACAGTTGGCAGCGGTGCAGGTCATCTTGTTGCATCCCATTTCTTTGATGAAAGGCGTGTTGCCTAGTTAGGGTACGCCACGTTAGTAACACGTAGCAAGAACAGCTATAGTGATGAGGTGGGTTACAAATCACAACTTACATTTGTTGCACTTGCGAATCAGTGCTGCAGACATAGCTTCCTCGATTTCATGCCGAGCTCCAATACCATTGTCGCGTGCGACCTCCTCGCACGTCTTTGGGATATGCGTTTCTTCCTTGCAGAGGCGACAGCTGACCTTTTGGCAATCTGGGTTGTCACACCGGAACTCTCGGTTAGTCTCGACCGGCGGGTACTCAGCAGCGTAGGGGCAAAAGGGGCATCTCTCCAGGTTCTCGATGCCTGCCATTCGGAGGACAGCCTCGTTCTCGATGCGATCCAAGGCGGCTACAAGCTGATCGGTGAGGAATATCCGACGCTGGCTGTGGGAAAAGCTAGCCTTGCATTGATCCATTGACATGCAGACCAGCTCATACTTTGATTGACCAACGGCATTCTCAGCATTCTGACGTGCACAATTCATGCAAAAGAACTCGGTGACGTTAGCGGTACGCACTGTGGCATGTCAAGGAGCAAGGGTACTCACATGAAAAATCTCTGGGCCCTCGCAGCTGACCATGCGGTTCAGAGCGAACTCGTCGAAACAACACCCACATTCTACGACAGTACCATTCGCCTTAGCTGAATCAAAGTTGTGAAGTTCCCTGGCGGCCTGCATTGTTTCATTGATGCGCTTGAGCTGCAACTTCCGAGCAGCCCGCAGTTCCTGCAGAGCTCTTTTTTCGTTTGGGTTGTCCGTGATTTCGATGGTGCTGTCCAGTCGATTCTCCATATACTCGGGGTCCATTGGCGTTCGGGCCTTTTTGAGCGAGAAGCCGTCCGGAATGTTCTCATGCGAACCATTTTGCAGGTTCACAACAGCTATATCAATAGCAATGTGTGCTGTCAGCAACTGGTTGCTCTTGCTGGCAAAGACTTTGAGAATGCCACTCATAGTGGCACGTGGAAATTCTTGCTTCAGCACTTTTTTCCTGGTTTTGATGTTAGTCTTGCCTACCATTGCTTGTTGAGATATTTGACGCCACCGAGCTTCATACGGCCATGTATGTCCAAAGTCCGGGATGGCCGAGAATGAAGAATGGGGGACTTACGCCATGGCTATATACTGTGGGTTCGACTCCTTTACCCGGTTAGGGTGGTCGTAAGTACGACGAATGTTGGCCTCTTCATCTGGATCCTCTGACCCCTCCCGCTTTCGCTTGAGATTCTTGAAGTAAGATCTCTTCGGGTATGGTTGGCCTTTCTCGGTGAGGCTCAGGATGTCGTCGATTGCCTGGTCCGCATTGTACTGAAACTTTGCCGCCGTCTCTTCAAGGAAATCAGGGCAAATTTCCGGGAATACGCTGAGAACTGTGGCCGCACAAGCGCTCTTGGTCTCATCGGCGAACTCTGCCATTTCTGTGGCGGAGCTCATCGGTGGACAGCTGTTTTTCACAAAGCCATTGATTGCGGTCGCAATACGCTTTAGTAGCCTCGTTGGATGCTTATTACCTATCTGTGCCCTGTGATGCACTGGCAGAGGAGGCTGCGGCGGTGGCGGAGAAGCTAGACAATCTATGTGCTGTGCTCAGTTAGCTGGCTGTCCGTCTCGGCGCCATTTCTTCAACCAAGTCCACATGGCGAGTACACCGGAATAAAGGTGAACAGTAAAGCGATTGCAAACTTATTACCGTGAAGTGCATATGAAGAGAGTATGGAGCAGGATTGTGCGGTCATGGATGCATGACATCGAAAAGGAAGGCAACTCAAGTTACCCGTATGGGTCTTTGGTGCTGGCGAACCATGCACAGAGAGAGCCGCGTCCAACAGACTTCTGCTAAGGCGTCGTCTCACTTCAGCTCATGCTTTATGGCGCCTCAATGGGCACGCTCGCATATTAAACGCGGCGAGAGCATGTTCAGCCCGGCGAAGAGATATGAGCCACTTCATGGAGAGAAAGGTTCAATATGAATCGAGAAAAGAGTCAAGGTTAAACACGCCAAACAAAGTGGCGCAGAGTGATGGAGAGAATGAGAGATGGCCAAGACAAGAAAAGGGTATAGCATACCTGTTGAGCCTAGCTGCGAGAAACCGTCGTCTCTTGTCTCTTTGGGTAAGAGATACGTCTGCGGGCCGCAGTCAAGATTCGTCCCGATGCGTAACGAACGAAACGATGAGATGAGGTCGGATCGTGGCCTGTAGACAGGACGACAATAAAGAGGCGCAAGTCAGACGAACGAAGGGATCGCAGTCGAGGATCGAATGACTCGAAGTTGAAGAATAGTAGGAAATACTCCTGGGTGTTGAGAGGGGTTCGTGTTTGCACACGCAGATCGTGAAGGTGCTGTTTTGTGAAGGCGGCCAAACGGGAGGAGGTGAAGACAAGGCACCGGACGGAAGTGGGTCCTAAACCGACGGCAGGTATGACCGTGGAAGGTAGTGCCGTGCCTGGCTCCTTCCCAAAAGCCCTTAGGACTTAAGGCAGCCTTTTTCCTCTTCCCTTCGCCGCAGGTTCTCGAACAGCACCTTCGTCGTCCAACGTCCAATCTGAGCCAGCAAACGGAATACGCCGTGGACGTTGAATGCTAGGGCGGCCCCCAAACGGCCCTCCTCCCAACCGACCGTTCACTACCCTTCCTTCGAAGATCGCCGGAATGCCTGGGCCGGCTTGGTTTGTGGGTGGCTTGTCTACCCCTCGCTCATGTACCTCTGCGCCGTCTCGACTTTCCTGGACTTACCTTGTGGTTCCTCGAATAAAACAGCCTTTCGACGCATACTTGAGGGTCGCAACCAAGCGTAGCGACCCAAACTGCACGCTCCGTCTCTTGTCAGTCGAACAAGCCCTATATGAAGTGACGTTGGAAATGCGCGGCCCTGAGTCAAGGGGGGTGGATGGGAGAATGGATCGGTGGATCGTCAGACGGCCCGGGAACTTGGTTGCAAACCCCGGGCTCCTTAGCGCAAATCGGCCTACAAGGAAGGCCCCTGCGACGGGTTGAATGTGAGGTTTGCACGAGCGATCCAATCGGAATCATCACCTTGCACAGTCTTCACTAACATGGTTGTCACTCATTATGAGTCTACGAGCTTCGAACCATCACTATTATTTCACAACTGAGCCGTGCTCTTTTCAACATGACGGACTGGCCGGGAGTTGACTTCATCTCATTCAGGCTCTAAATCTTGAGCAGCCCTTGGTAGCAGCCGATGCTTATCTCATGGCATTGCACAGCACTTGGTATGACCACGACGCGGTCACTGCCGTTTTCATTGGATGGCATGTCCAATTCTGTTTATGGTCAGGTGCTCTAAAGCCAGTACACTAATTGTCGTAATATCAACCCCCCTCCACCTCGAGCCAACGCATCCAGACAGGTTGGTCGAAGAAAGGACGGTCGTCCATTGGTGGCAACGGCTGATACTACTTTGTTGCATGCATCTCTCGACAAATGAGGATGGTAGCACTTATAGGCCGCAGCCAAATAAATCGCTGCATCTCAATCCACAACTGCCTGTCTTTTTGAATATTCCTATTCCCGGCGTACAGTGTAGAAGATTGTACCGCCACCTGCCGCCTCGCATGTAATGCACCTGGCCACAGCTGCATTACTCGGCATTGTCGTCTGAGGCCACGAAATCGCCATCGTCCTCGTCCTCGTCCTCACTATCGGAGATGGGTCTTTGCCTGCGCCTCGTTGATCGTCTCATCGCCTTTTTCTTCGCATTCGGTTTGGCCTTCACCGGCGCAGGAAGAGGGTCCGGATCTGGCGAAAGTTCCTCAGCGCCAGCCGTGCCATCCGCATCTTCCGTCATGTCCGGCTTCTCGTCGCGGCCGTGGTCCACGACCAAAGCACCGTCCATGTCCTGGTCTTCGTCACCATCGTCAACCACTGGGAAGAAACCAGACGTGAACCGTTGAGGCTGCTCGACCTCTTCTTCCTCGTGACCTTCCGGAAAGAAACCGCCAGCCATCTCCTCGTCCCTCATGCGCATAGTTTCTACGTCTATCCGGCTCGGCTCTTCTTCTTCCTCTTCTCGGTAGGTGTCCTTGGCAGCTTTAGCTGCTCCTTTTTGGAAAACCGGCACGCTGTCATCGACATGTCCGTAATCCTGGCGAATTCGCTCGACGATTCTGAGGCCCTTTAAGAACTTGCTCCATACCCTCAGCGCCTCCTTGCGTCTCTTCTCGTCCTCCTTTCGTGCCCGTTCTACTTCGTCCTTACGAATTTCTTCCATCACCTGGTCATGGTATTCTTCGGCGATGACAACACCTTGAATGACGGGCACAGCCATCCGGTTTCCGAATTCGAAATCCACGACGGCTTCGGCGTAGTCGATCTTGAGCCTTTTGCAGACCTTGACAGCCCCTCGGAATGGGACATGAGCGGCACCTGTGACCATATCAGCAAAGCAGTCCAATTGGCAAAATTCATACAAGTCATTACCCTGAGGACACATGTGTTCGGCGAAGAGATCAATATTACTAGTCGTGTCAGTGAAGTGGCCAACGAGCGTGAAGGGGAAAGCGTACCCGTATTCGTTCTTGGGGATGACACCGTCCTTGATAGGAGGCGGGATGATCCACTCTGTTTGGTCAAAACTGTACAACCCCTGAAGAACCTTTTCGCCGCTGATGGCCTCGGCTTCTGCGATCTCGCGGCGTCGGTTGGTCGTTGCCGCGCGATAGGGCACCCGCTTGAGCGGCTGCTCGCCAGGCTTGGGTGCTCTTCCCTGTTTGTGCCATGTCTCCGCACTCTTGACATTGACGACGTGTTGTCTCGAATAGACTGGCTCCTCGGAGACCTCCCCGCCCTTCCCTTTATTTTTGAAAGTCTTGACAGGCACAGCCGACGGCAAAAGAGCCTCTTCTCGTTTGAGGTGACGCTCGAGACAGAACTCCTTTGACTGTTTGTAGTACGCCAGAGTCTCACTGCCCTCCTTCACCTCCTTCTTCTCTGGTTGAGCCGGGGTCAGATCAGTCGAATCCTCAATTTCGTCCTCTTCTGTAAGCGGATGTTTTTGACCGCCCCGCGCGAAGCCTTTCATGGCCAATTTGAACCAGTCGAACTGATCATAACGCTTCACCTTTCCGTGGCGGTTGTAGATCGGAATCTTCTCTGGTGGCATCCTTGAGCCTTTCGTTCGGCCCGGCCAAAGTTGCTTTTTGAGATAACGGACCGTTACGTCCTTGGCTGTACCATCCGGGGAAAAGCCAACAACATACGCCATGACCTGCTTTGCCTTGTCTGCCTTTCCTCCGCGCGGCTCTAACGATTCAATCAGGTCTCGGTTGGTGCCAATGACATTCTTGACAATCGGGTCAACCGGCAGGTACTTCTTCGTTATTGGTGACAGAACTTCCGTCCAATAATGAGGGAACTCCAAGCCCTTGTCGAACTTTTTGGACGCCGCTGCAGACTTCCGCGGTGTCACTTCTAATTCTATAATCGATTCGTCGTCGCTATCCGGGTGCTCCAAGCCGAGTTCATCATCCGAGTCATCTATCTCAATGACGGCATTCTTCTGGCTTGCGCGCCTCGTACTGGCGTTTCGTGATGATGTTGTGCTTTTGGGTGTTTGTTTAACGCTCTTCTTCGCCGGGGTATTCTTTGCCGCTTTCTTCGTCTTTCCGCTGGCCTTCCCATTCTCGCTCATTACGTCACTGCTGTTGGTAACGGAAAGCACACTCTTCTCCTTCTCAGGGTCTGCCTCCTCCAACTTCGTCCATCCGAAGCCTAAAGGCTGCAGATTGGCGACCATCCGGGCCTCAAGTCCCAGAGCTCTCATCAGGGCTGTGAAGAGCTGCGACCCTGTATCTCGGCTTCCTGTACACTCCTGGGCGCATTTCCGGAAACCCTCGAGTCCGTTGATTCGTTCTCCGAAGCGCTCCTGGTCATGATCCTCGGTCTCCCAGGCCTTTCGTAATCTGCCGAGTCGTTCAGGTGGCATGTAACCCCACTTCCGAATGCCTGGCGCTGTGACGCGAAAGCGTTGCCTCCACCACGCCACGAGAGACTTCATGAGTCTGAACAGTGGATCGCCGTGGCTCATATCGACAGCCCCTGCTTCCAACCTCTCGGCGGCAGGACCCCAATCCCGAGAGTTCTCTTCCTCCTCCTCGACTTTCTTCCCCTTACCCTTGCCTCTGGTCTTTTTGGGTGGCCTGGCTGGTTTCTTTGGAGGTTCCTTTGGCTTCGTGTCGAGTCCGCTGGCTCTCCTCCACCTCTCCACTTCTTCCCAAAGGCGTGGTGGAACATGAGACAACATGATGGCCTGGACTTCAAGATCGCTAACCCACGAGTTTCGAAGTGCGTTGTGCCAGAGAAGATACTGGACGTGAATACAATGCGTCACATTGCGGATCTTCTTTTCGCGCTTCGTCGGTCCCTTTTTGTCGCCATAGGGGTCGGTCATTGCAGTTCCAAGCCCGGCATCGAGGGTAAGCTGCAGTTCTTGAGAAGTTGTCGCCGCCTTTGCCAAGGTGGTTCGTGGGGCAGGAACATCCTCAAACTCGATGTCGTCGTTATCATCATCTTCGGATGGCTCCTCGGCCTTTTGTCCGTTTGCGACAGGGACATCCTCGAAATCGCCGTCGGATAAGTCGCTTAATGCACTGGTGTCATCGCTGTCGCTCAGAACATCAATAGCGGAGCGGCCGACCTTGGAGGAGTCGGGCGTGCTAGTAGCATCCAGATCATCGTACAGAGTCGGCTTCCTGCGAGCAGATGGCGCTGCGAGCTTTGGTTGACCCTTGGCTACCTGTTGGCGTTTGGGGCTGGATTTGACTGGCGACTCCTCGCGCAACCGCTTGCGCGGTACGTGTGGAGGCATTTTGTAGATTTGTGTCAAGATAGAAAACTGCCCATCGTCCGAGGATGAGAGCTTCCCAAGGTTTGCAGGGCAAATGCGACCAAACCGTTAATTAGCAACGTCATTGATTCGCGAGAAACGCGCAGGTACCTACGCGACCCACTCTAGGGGTCCGGGGGCCCGCTGGATCGGGTCCGATTGAATTCTGGGTCCCTTTTCGGGGTTCGCTTGGATCGCCCCTCCCTTAGCTGCGGTGCCGTTACATACTTGCATGTGTCTCTAAGAGCTGGCTCGGATGATGACCAATACCGATAACGAAGTTGGAGGAAACAGAATCGCAAACATCAAGTTGATGACTACTACTTGCATTTGCAACGTGGGAACCCGGACGCCAGAATCCTTGTTTTCCCACCGGCTCCAGGTCCCTGCGGTTGCCGCTGCTATGGATCAGGCGCCTTTCAGGCTGCCGGTGGCCACGCACGCGCTGTACTTGGCGCCTGGGCTCAGTGGCTGCCCCGCTGGTAGCGGGTGACCAACTCGCCGAAACCCGCCAACTGGTCTCTTCCAGACCTTTCTGCTGCCATTTCTCAGCAACATCGCCATTGCCATCGTCGCCTCCCTTTCAGCCTCGTGCCACTCGTTGCGCCCCGGCCGAGGTCTACGCAAGCACCCTCTGTACACCGGAAACCACCTCGAATCATCTCAAATAAATATACTGGAAAGCCAACCACGTCATCACAATGGCGTCCTCTTCCAACTCCGACGAGACGAGCTACGTCAAGATGGACGAAACCAAAGACGGCTTCGATGCGCAACTGGTCGGCAAGCACTGCGAGTACGACTACTGCAACCAACTCGACTTTCTACCATTCTTCTGCCAGAGCTGCAAAAAGACTTTCTGCCTTGATCACCGATCCGAGACTTCCCACAAGTGCACCGACGCCGGTGCCTGGGCCGAACGACGACGCCAGGCAGAGCTTGCGAAGCCCGCCTACGGCCAGGGCCGCCAACTGCGCGACCACGTCTCCCAAAAGCCCTGCGCCTCGCCAACCTGCAAGACCACCATTGGCACCTCGCTGGTTCCCGGCGTACATTGCCCAGGCTGCAATCGCGACTACTGTCTCAAACACCGGCTGAAAGAGGACCATAACTGCAAGAACCTCGTCCCGCTTGGTGCCCGTCCTGGGTCGCAGATCGACGTCGCGGCGCGGACCAGGAGCGCGTTCGATAAGCTGAAGGCCTGGGGAACGGCCAAGAAGGAGCAGGCCGGCAGGGCGCTCCCGAAACCGAAACCTACATCTGCGTCTGCGCGACTGATAGCGGTGAACAACCTCAAGAAGACGGCCAAGGGCGACAATAAACTGCCGCAGGAGAAGAGAGTCTACCTCTACGTCGAGGCCGAGGCGGAGACTGCAAAGGCCAAGTTTCCCAAGGGCGAATTCTTCTTCTCCAAGGATTGGGTGGTTGGGAGAGTGCTCGACGAGGCAGCAAAGCGGTTACAGGTGGAGAACCTCAACAACCGATCTTCGGATGAGCGGGACAAGCTGCGGGTGTTCCATGTGGAGGGAGGGAGGTTACTGGAATTCAACGAGAAGGTTGGAGCATCGCTGGTCAGCGGCAACACAGTTGTCCTCCTTCGCGGTGTTGGGCCCCCGCCGGATTTGATGGAGGTTTAACGAAGATGATGATGATTTGATGAATATGTTCATAGTGGCATTTTCCGTATATACCCTCAATTACGCTCCACGCGCCTACTTAGGCTGCCTCGTTTGCTTCCCTAGTATCCCCCTCCATGAGTTGGATATTTTGCCATGCGCCAAGTCCAATAGAGTTGTGATCCAAATCATACTACAAATGCCAAAAAACCTACAATTCCTTTTCCTTCGGCCTCTTTGCCAGGAGGTTCTCGCGACCAGTGACCGGGGCATCCCCGACAAACTCCTTGCCTCCGTAGGACTCGAACCCCTTGTGGAAAATCCATTCCACCGCATTCTCAACCGGCTCGTCGAAGAGAGTCGGTAAGAAGGGTACAACGGCTAGACCAAGGCCGATCGGTCCCCAGGTCCTGATCTTCGTGTTCTTGGCATTCTTCAGCGCTCTGCCCGAGTACCTCACCACGCTGTGGATTGTGAAGGCCGGAAGACCCATACTAGCAATGCTCTGGAAGATGCCTCGCTGGAGCATGACAACTCTGTAGTCATCCAGAGGCGCAACCTTGCCAGCGGGGACGACCTCGCTGGGTGTGGTTGCGTCCGACACGGCATCCGGCAGTCCCGTAATCTTCGCTTGACGCGCTGTAAGCTGAAGGTGCGGGTTGAGAATGCGCTGGTTCGACCAGTATGCCTTGTAGCCTTCGTAGCTGACATCGCCGAGGATGTACAGCCATGAGATTCCATACGCCGAACGGACGAGGGCCGGATGTGCGACGGGCCGGAAGGATTCACCAATGTCAGAGGTGTACGCTACATATCTATGAGCGCTCATCAAGATTGTGCGGATGCGTGTGGCGTAGGCGGCATAACGGAGGTTGGACTCGGTAGACTCGGGCGCGCTATATCCAGTCAACTCGGCACTCAAAGTCCTGTTACTACGGTCGGCACTCACTACCCGTCCACCAGCTCGTCGAAGAAGTTGTCGTCCCGGTCCGACTTGTCGACTATATTCTGCAGCGCCTTCGGCAGCTTCTCACGTGCCGGGAGCTTTTCCGGGTCGAAGGTCTTGGCGCCATCCTCCTTTGGCGACTCTTTCGGTTGTTCCGATGTTTTGTCTTGACTTCTCCCCCACATGTTGGATTGGTGTTGATATACTTCGTCTGAATGCGACACGGCTCAAGGTAGGAGGTGTTGACAGCTTTATGTGTGCATGGATGGCGGCGGTGCTGGAGGAGGGGAGCCTAGGGGAAGGCGCCCTGCGCGCCGGAAACGCCCGCGGCATGAATCTCCTGACTACCTTTGTGACGTCGGCTTTGCGTGGTTGAGAATGGTGCAGGGTAGCTTGAGCCACAGCTAGATGATTGGAAATCCCGATTGTGGCGCAGTCGCGGAGGATGTCGGTGGCCCAAATTCCCCGCTCTCCGACCCTGACAGAGGCCGTCCCGGTTTGCCTGACAAACCAGGCATTCGCATCCAGCTTCCGAACGAATTTCGAGCTCCGAGTATCGACACCCTCGACGAATCTCATCCAACTCCAATTGCCTCCACCCCATCGAACCAATTCACCTCCGAAGGCTCGCAAACCCCCTAATACCGCCAAAATGGTTCAGATGTACACTATCGCCGGCCGCCAGATCGGCTCTCACTACGTATGTCGCTCCCCCAAGCCCGCCTCTGCTCCCTGCAGCCCCCAACCCGGCACCCGAGCATCACAAGGCTAACCTCTTCCGCGCAGCTGGCCATGGGCGTCCTCGCGACCCTCTTCGGCGGCGCTTTCTACGGCACCAGCGGCAGCAAGCCCAAGGCCACCGCTACTCCCCCCATCAACGCTTCCAGCTCTGACGAGGCCGACTTCATCAAGTGCGTCATTTTGCCCGGCAACAGGAGACTACCCGTTGTCGTCGCGATACCTATTTTTGCTGACAACGAGACAACAGGAAGTTTTTGGACAGCGCGGACAAGGACGAGAAGGCGAAACACTAGACGGGCGATTATCGGGCGAGTCAATGGTCCATTGCGACCTAGTGTATTCATAGAGGGCTTGGTTGATGGAAATGAAGGCATTTTCTGACCAACGAAATACGACGACGAAACGTTCCGCGAGGGTGACTCGAAGTCGAAATCAAAAACGATATCTCCAAATCTGTTCCAGCCATCGCATGGTGTGGATGCAGCAGGGTGAACGAAGATGAAGGATGGATCAGGAAATCATTTCCAACTTGCCTTTCAATTCCCAAAACGCTTCCGCGTCCACGCCACCCCTGTTTGACTCCAGCAACCGCACGATCATCTCCGTTCTATCGACAAGTGGTTGATACCACAAACGTTGTTAAAGGCAGCCTTGCAGTGTCTGTGAGCTAGTGGCCCCAAAGACAGCTCTGTTTCCGTCCTGGCTCCGATCGTCTGCGTAATGGAGTTGCTAGGCCCTCAGGTTTAACATAAACATGGCCACGCAGTGTTTGTTGCGTGACGCTGATGGGTGCTGCACCTGTTCTCAACTCCAATTCCTCGAGGCGTCGGTATCGTGGTGATTTGCCTTACTAGATGATGTTCTCGTAAGCCCATCTTTTGCGCTTGATTTTGCGATGACCCGGTGATGCTTGATTTGACAGAAGAACATGGTGGTCAACGTTTTTTACATTAGGCACTTCTTGATTTCAAGGGCGGTGATAAACGTGAGCCTAGACTAGAAGACGCAAACTCTGGCTGCGTTGTTGATCTGGACCACCAGCCCTCGGCCGGTTACTCCTTAGACAAGACATTTATGGTCAGCCTTGCCATTCGACCTGCCAAACTTGTTGTCCAAGAGAGCAGCAGCATCAGTAACCTGCCGTCAAATACAGAGTCAAACGGAAGCCTACGCATGACTTCTGTGATGCAAATACGAATCGCTTCCTCACCGGACTCAGGGTCGGGCATCCAACGGTGGGGATAGAGTTCGACATGCGTCTTGAAATGGCCTGGGCAACACCAAATTTAATTCTCCATTCGCATCAGTGACAAGAACGACAGTCACCCTAATTCGAAATGAGAGGACTAAGTGAGTGTCAACCCTGCTGTTGGTGACTGCATGGCTTATAAGGGTTACAAGGGCTACGTTGATGCTATGAGTGATTGGTTATTGGTGAGCTGTTCACGACTCAAATCAGGGTCCAGGTGATCCTTCCTTCGTGAAACCATTGGAAGCCGGTATGGGGGCGGTGAGCCCGGCCGCATCGGCCCCAGTCAAGTCGGCGTTCATTCGGAGCGGAGTTAGCAAAGTGATCACAGCGCACCTTGACCTTCGGAGCACTAATAAATGTTCGGATGGCAATTCAATTTGGAAACCAAGGTGACAGAAATGAATCTCTCGAGAAGGAAAGGGGCTCGCTGGAAAATGAAGGAGTTTTGGCAGTCATCATCTTCCGATTCCATAAAAGGGTCTAAGTGCATTCATTATTCGCCTGTGCAGAGTAAAACCAAACATCCCCTGAACACCAACATTTTAGTAAACATGCGCAATAAGCCATCTTCATCAACGCAATGGCAACACTCAAGGAGACAGGTATCAAGTCTATCACGACACCAGTAGAGGTGAGTTAATGCCCGTTTGTTAGAATAAATGCTCACTGGCATCCACTCTGTCTCGATCTAGGCACTGACCAAACACAGATAAGAGATCGCCGTAGCCAAACACCTCCGCCTCAGCGCAACTTAGGGAAGGTGAGCACATGTTGTCTCCCCAACTTTGCTCTGGTACTCAGCAAGTAACTACTAGCCGAGTCTCTCGATCCTTCAATACGACCCCGCTCTCGAGTTCATCATTGGCCCAAGTCCGACTCATGCCCTCGTTCTCTCCTCCACAGAAGCTTCCGCCAACCCATTCTTCCATCGCGGATGCATCTATGTTCCCTCCCGCAACGAGTTATGGACCACTTCCGCACCCCTTGCAACGTCTGATCCAACAAGTCCGCCCGCAATTCTCATGTCAAAGGTCGTCGTCACACACAACTCCACCAATGACACCCTAACAGCTGAATGGGCCAAGTTACGCCCTCCACCAACAATGCCAATGCCCGCAAGCGGATGCGCTGTAGGTGAGGACAGGATGGTCTGGTGCTCGCAAGGGACCATGGCGCCCGGGACGGGAGGCGTCTTCTTCATGCCCGCCGGCAGACCGCCCCAGGTTGTGGCTTCTACGTACTACGGCCGGGACTTCAACTCGCCCCACAGCGCTGCAGTCTCGCCTCGAGACGACGGGATTTGGTTCACAGATCCATGTTGTGGACATGAGCAGGACTTCAGAAGCCCGCCGCAGCTTCCGCCGCAGATTTATCGATGTGATGCGAAGACTGGGGAGGTGAGGGCCATGGCGGATGGGTTCGTCCGCCCCACGGGAATTGCGATTGACGAAGACTCCTCGACGCTCTATGTTGCGGACGCTGGGGGTGTTCGAGTTGATGGCAATCTCGACCTGATCCAGTGAGTTTGAGCATGCCGCCTCGAAGTTGTTCGCCTAGCTAATTTCTCAAGACCGCGGAGTATTTACGCTTTTGACATTGTGAAGCGAGGTGATGCCCTTTTTCTAGTGAACAGGCGGATGTTCGCACTCGCTGGGCGAGGTGCTCCTATGCACCTCATGTGTGAGAACGGTAACGTATGGGCTGCCTGCGGCGATGGCATTGAGATATGGAACAGCGGTGGCTCATTGCTCGGTGTGATCCAGGTGCCAGGTAAGTATCTCGCCTCCGGCCCGGAAGCTAAGCCCAAGTACATTGTCCATTGAGCTAACTTTGGTTGGTTGTTAGGCGGCGTTCTAAGTTTCTGTCGCGGGCCTGAGGATACTGTCTATCTCTGCGCCGAACAGAGGTTATGGAGACTTCAGCTTTCAGGAAGTCGACCGGATCATTCGGTAGCCAGCCCAGAATTGTTTTGAGAATGCTCGTGGTTCCGTTACAAGTCTTTAAAGAATCAAGTTTTTAAATAAAAAAACTCATGTACAGCAAGATCGTGATCATCAAAGGGTACTTGATAGTAATATTCTGATTTGCAAAGCGTTGCTGAGTGCTATAATGTGGTTGATTGATAGCTGTGCCATTAGATTGTGTTTCTCCAACCCTGAGATTTGGTCAAAGGTACCGCCTTGCTAAACTCCGTTAATTATTTACTCAACAGGCTAAAAAGCTAGTAGAACATTCTAGGATTGCAGCTAGAAATTACGTTGGCAACGAATGATTGCATGATTCAGAGGAATATGATACTGCTTATTCAACAGCCAGAGTGTTTCAATCAACTGTTTGGCCGAACCTATCTGTCGAGACGTCTACACACACCAAACTCCTGCAACATATCTCCCACCACAACCATACCCCCGATTGCGGGCGTGAAACAGACTGCAGCACCAAGGACCACGTATACATAAAACGAGGTCTCGATGATGCGAAAGTATTTTGCTACCAGCCAGTCTATCGCACGCTGCATGAAACTTGCGTTTTCAAGGGCATACGCTATTGCGTCGTTGGCGCGGATTTTGTACACGCCGTGGATCTCAGAGGGAAACACCGTAAGCATCCTGATAAGGGGACCCATGAATATGCCGAAAACCAGCCACAAGAGGATCCAAACTCTCTGGTAGATAGTGCTGTGTCCCGGGTTGAATCCGGTCAGAGCGGCGACGAGGATTGCTGGAAACAACAAGAGGACTGTTGTGACGGCGAAATATGAGGTGTGGGCTGCTTGAGAGGGCCAGAATGTTCTAAGTGGCTCCTTGATGCTGTCAAGGTCGACAGTGGCGACCATGCCACAAAACCTGCCACCTTGCCTTCTTGCCTTGTCGAGGTCTGGCGTGTGGACAAGGTAGATACAGTTGTACTCTGGAGTCACAAGCAGAGCTATCAGGTTGACCAGAGACATGAAGGCATACGGTGCCACGGTCGCGCCGAAGGCGGCATATCCGTACCTGTCAAGCTGGTCGCCTTGGGTCCGATAGACCGTGGTAACACCCCATGCGGCCTGCCCTAGAGCAAACAGTGCCTTGGGAATATTGTAAGTGCTCCCAAGTTGGATGTTGGACCGGTCTAGGTAGCTGGCCCCTGAACCCGGCGGTGGCATCAACGGCGTGCCTACAGGCACCTCAACCAAGATGAATCCCTTTGGCAGTACACAAGTCCCATGGATAGTCCGGGACGAGTGAACCCAACGTCCGGCACCGCGAAACCGAGACCGATACCATGAGGGCGTGGGAGTATCGTACCTAGCATAACCAAAGTTAGACCAAAGAAGATTTGAAAACGTTTATGCTTTGCGCGTATCAATCCACACTGACCAGCTTCTCGGCCTCTGAAAGTTCATCCTCCTCAAGGACGCCTCGATCCAAGATACCTTGGACCTCTCAGTCTCGTCGACGACCATGCATAGCGCGCCGGCCCTCATGGCTCGGCTGAGTTCGTCGCGTCTGACGGTCCCGGCGTGGGCGAGAAGCCAGCGGGCGGCTCGCAGGGAGCCTGTGCTTGGAAGGAAAAGAGCTGTGATAACAGTGAAGCAGGTCTCGAGGACCGACTCGCCAGGCCGGCTGGGAAGAGTGAGGGCGTGGACAAAGTAGTTTGTTGCGTAGAACATGACAAAGTCGGTCCAGATCGGAGGTGTGCAGATGAGTCTTGGGTCACCGTGGTTAACGGTTCCCGGAGGGACGGAGATGGTGACGTTCATCTTTGATATGTGTTGTGTTACCGTGCAGTACCATCTCATCAAACGATAAATGGGGGTTTCTTGTTGAGAAGCCTCGGAAATAGTCCGTAGGATGTCGCCAGGACTTTGATGTAATTCATACAGAGGCAGTGAGGTTTAGGAACGTTCAACCTTCATAGAGGGAGCGTCTACAGTCCTAAAGTCGGTATCTCAGCTGTCCTGAACGGCACAATTTTTTCAAAATATCTTCAACTGAGTTGAGATCCCTAGCTCTGTGGATCTGAGCCGTAGAGATGTTCTGTGAGTCTGTACCTCCGGGCAAAAGCCGGTAAAGAGAGAGATGAAGAACGCATCATCGCGGAATAAATTTGATTGATGGGAATGAGGCATCCCATCGGTCTTAGCACATGCGATTTCAGGGGCGAAATTGAAAGATCCGACGAGTTGAGCCTCTCGACATGCCTTGAAACGAAGCTCAGCTCGAAGTGGTTGGCCTGTGTGGTCTTATTCGTTGGAAGTTCAGCAGAGATGGAACAAGCTCCGAGGCGCATAGAGTCGGCGTCCGGCCAGACCCTTGTCGAACCTTATCTTATCGGCAAATTCGGTCTTAGTCAGCAACGCACGCACTTTAATGGGACGCGTCTAGACGCGTCTTCCGCGGGGCATCCGCTTCGAGGAGACATTTCCGTCTTGAGAAGATATTCACAGAGACACAACAATGGCACCCGCAGCAGTCGAACCCGCCAACATGTCTACTCCTAAGAACCCCACGCAGCAGAACGGCTCTTACTCGGCAAGGCGCCATGAGGAGTACCAATACCTCGACCTCGTTCGTGAGATCCTTGACGAGGGCGAGCACCGGCCGGACAGGTATGCAAGAAAACATGGAGCATCTGAACCGGAGCCGTCGAACTGACAAGGAAACCAGAACCGGCACCGGAACATACTCCATCTTCGCTCCGACGCCTCTCAAATTCTCCCTTAACAAGGACGGCGAGCCACTGCTGCCCCTCCTTACCACGAAGCGCGTCTTCCTCCGTGCTGTCATCGCTGAGCTGCTGTGGTTCGTCGAGGGCAACACATCCTCCCTTGCACTGAGCGAGGCGGGCGTCAAGATATGGGACGGAAACGGCTCGCGGGAGTTTCTCGACAGCGTTGGCCTCTCCCACCGCGAAGTCGGCGACCTCGGCCCCGTGTACGGGTTTCAATGGCGACACTTTGGCGCCGAGTATGTCGACGCCAAGACGGATTACACGGGCCAGGGCGTTGATCAGCTCGCCGAGGTCATTCACAAGCTCAAGACGAATCCGTACGACCGCCGCATCCTCCTCAGCGCGTGGAACCCCGCGGACCTGAAGAAGATGGCCCTCCCGCCATGCCACATGTTTGCGCAGTTCTACGTCTCGTACCCTCGAGCCCGTGGCGCACCCGCTGACGGAGAGAAGCCCAAGGGCCACCTGCACTGCCAGCTGTACCAGCGGTCATGCGACATGGGCCTTGGCGTCCCCTTCAACATCGCGAGCTATGCGCTGTTGACGCATATGATTGCCCGCGCATGCGACCTCGTCCCTGGCAGCCTGACGCATGTCATGGGCGATGCGCACGTCTATGCCGACCACGTTGATGCGCTCAAGGTGCAGTTGGAGCGTGAGCCTAGGGATTTCCCGTTGTTGGAGATCAACAACAGGGAGGCAGGGTGCAGCATTGACGGATGGAAGGTGGAAGATTTTGTGGTCAAGGGATACGACCCGCATAAGACGATTGCCATGAAGATGTCTGTGTGAGAGAAAAAAAGGCCCATGCGCCTGGGGTGGAAACCGGATGGTCTTCTGGTCTGATTTTACTGTGTTGTTGCTAGGCATTGGGAGTTGGGATTCGGATTTGCATTAATGAAGCGCCATACATATTTGCTTGATGGCATGAATATGAAAAGAGGCAGCATTGGGATAGTGACGACTAGGCGTCGCTAGATAGATGTGCGAATGTCGACATTGACCCATTGACTCTTATTTCCCTGTTTTGCCCAGTTGTCCTATTATCACATGTTTGTAAAAGAGTGTTACCACAAGTCGAGATGCTGTACATGATTAGAAATGGCTTTGTTCGGGTCCCCCCAATGCCACCACGACTTACTTCGTTTACTGGCATTAAACAGAATACATGTTCCGATTCGATTACAAAACCGATATGAAACTTATCCGTATTTGCCAATCGTGACTTGATGCAACCCACGCCAATGGGGCGGACAGAAGCTTGGGCCAGACAGGAAAAGGGCTCGGGCGCGCACCCGGAAAGAAAGGTAAAGCATCCAATCGCAGCCCATTGGATGCATAAACAGGCAACATGCAACCCCCATTGAACCATGTGCTGCACAGTGTCCGCTGTTTTAATAGCACTGCCCTCGCTTCACCTTGCAGCTAAACACTTGCGCTTTCCCACATTTTCCCTCTTTCCCAGCCTGCCTCTTCCTCTTCTTCCTTAACCCAAACCCCCAAACTTCGGATACAACGATTCCTCTCAAAACCGAAAACCCGATTTGCATCACGCGCCAAAGCTCAATCTCCCACACCACCCCTCCATCCGATTAGATCGCCCCCCGCGTCTTGCACATATTCACAATACCTTAATACCCGGCTATTGGGAGTAAGGTCCCCCTTTCGCGCAAATCGTGGTCGGTCGCGCGCGACACCGGCCCCCCTTCCTTCGAATCGAAATGTCGGACCACGATCATACCCAGGACGCACACCACGACGCCGCCCACGAACTCCACCACCCGTCCCAGCCCGACGTCCTTCCCGGCGGCCCCGGCCCCGATGGTACCGAAAGCCCCGTCTCCACCCCGAAGGAGCGCTCTTCACTGTCGCTCGACCAGCGCCGCGCCCTTCGCCGTTGGGCCAACGCGCAGACCATTCGCCCGAGCCACAAGGCCTGCATCGACTGGTTCTACAACCAGTATGGCCAGCACATCTCCCAGTCTACCGTCTCCCACTCTCTGAGTCCAAAGTACTCCCGGCTCGATGGCGACAACCCCCAGCTGAGCGGCTCGCGCCTGCGCTTCGGCAACTGGCCCGACGTCGAGAAGCTCGTCCTGCGCTGGTACCAGCAGGTCCAGGCCACCGGCCGCCACCCAACCAATGAAGAGCTGGGCGAGAAGGCCAAGGCCATCTTCACTGCCCTGCCCCGCTACAAAGAAGAGACGCCCCCGGAGTTCTCCCCCGGTTGGATCCACCGCTTCAAGAAGCGTTACGGCCTACTTATCAGGCGTCAGCGCCGGCATGGTGACGGCGGCATCAACCCGGCCGAGGACATCGGTTACCTCGCCGACTGCGTCCCGCGCCTCATGGCCCTCTCCGCTGAGACTAGCCCCGCCGCCATCCGTGAGGCCATCCTCCGATCCATCGGCGTTGAGACGAGCTTACAGGTCTGCGCCCTCGTGCGCGACGAGGTCCTCCGCCGTCTTAGCGCCGGCCCCGGTGGTGGGGGCTCTGCGAACCCCATCTCCCCCTCTGCGGCGGTGCAGACACCCGACCCGCACAGCGCCGACACGAGCATGGTCCCGCCCCCGGGCAGCGACACCCCCATGTACGGCGACGAGGATCCGGATATCGTGCTACAGAACGCGCTACGCCAGCTGCAACAGGAGGAGGCCGAGGCCGAGGCCACGGCGGCGGCGGCAAGGGAGGAGCGGGAACAGCGCGAGCGCGCGCAGGGCACCGCGGCCGCCGCCCTCGCGACGCCAGCCATCCAGAGGGCCACGTCGACGGCCTCGCGGTTCGTGCCCTCGACGCCCGAGCTCAACCTCACGCCCATTAAGAACGACGACCCAGTGTCCGCTAACGAGCGCCCCTTGCGCTGTCCCTTCTGTGTAAACCAGAGAATGCTTCGGACCATCAAAGAGGCCGTCGAACACATGTCGACTCACGTCGTCGTCTGATTTCCCCGCAACCTTTCGCGACGAAAGATCCTAATGGCAGAGAAAGGAGGCGAAAAAAAAGAAAAAAAAAAACACCCCCAAGAAATTAATACCCAGGTACCACTATAGCAGGAGTTTATATGTCGGAGCGGAGACTGAGCTATACGGAAGACTACAGGATGACGGCAACTCTCCTCTAAGAAACGCCTCTTGTTATCGCACTTTTGGAAGGAGTTTGACAAGATCGACGGAAGGGGGGTTCATGAGTCGATGGGATGCATGTACGTTTCTGTGAGTGAGGGGAGTTGCGGTTTGATAGCTTGTAACGATCACACCGTCCAAACATCGGAGAAGCCCTTACACGCGACAAGTGACACTCGTGAATGATTGGGTTCCCTTCACTACTCTCAGTCCCATTCTGATTGCTGGCTGAGGCTGGGCATAATAAATCAGTCTACGAACACCTGGATGTTGATTTGGGCACTCGAAAGATAACTCGCCATCACGATTGCCATCATACATCAATCGTACATTGGGAGCATGCGACATTTTAAATAACTTGTCTTGATTCATCTCTCGCTCAAGTACGGGGTATTGATCCCGTCCCCTGACCATTTGTCCGACTTCATTCGCATCGTCCACACGTTCGTTTGGCTCATCATCAAATAGACCCTCGGACCTCGTCTCCCTTTCGTGCACACCGCACGACTGACAAAATCAGGAATAACGACCCAGTTGAGAAAAAGTCTCATGCTGAAATAGAAAAAGAAAGCGACAAGCCAAGCCTGTCGTCTGACCAAAAAACGCCCGCCAATGTATCCTCCGTGTCCTCATGGTGGAAACAAATCCGTCTTGCGTCTTTTTGAGAAACTCTTGGACAGATAGAAACCCCCGAGGGCTGTATCGATAGTTCTTTCCCCGTCGTCAATGTCAATAGCCATCAAGCAAATCGTTAAGTAGGGGCCAGCTATGGGCCAAAGAAGGGTGGGGAAAAAAAGAGATGAAGAAAAGGGAGCGTAGCCGCTTCTGCGAAGGAAAGTCGATCCACTGGCATCATGGTCGTATATCGAGTCCAGCTACTAGGAGAAAACAATATAGAAGTGAAATTTAGCCATCGCCTGTGCAATAGGACGGGGATGGTAATGCGTCGCGTGCGCTGGGAATCATGAAGTAAGAATGCAATGGCGGTTGGGTATGCTTTTATCTCTCGAAGTGGTCGGTAGAAACGATCTGGAAATGGTCGACGTCGGGCGTTGCCGTGGTATGCCGTGCCTTAGACTTGCTCCACATACAGCAGGAGCTTCTCGTTTCTTTGCAGGGCATAGTCGAGATCGTTATCGCTCATCAAGTTAGGCTTATCGCCGGTCGGCTCGTCCTTGTAGAAGAGCTGGATTTCTTCGCCAACTGGTATCTTGAGCCTGTCCACAATCTTGTCGTAGAGTTGCTGGAACTGGATGTCTGTCGGAACTCGGATAGCGATGAGATCACCGTTGAAGTAGAGTTTGATCTTCATGACTTGCCCTGGACCGAGGCCGGGTGTAGTGGGCGGTTGAGACTGGGATAGGGACGACGGTTGTCGGTTCATGCTTGGTTGACCCATGGCCCGTTGTTGAGGTGCAGCAGAGAGACCGCCGTATCCGTTGCCGTTCAGGTTGTTCTTGGATGACTGCCGCGATGCCGCATCCGCCGGCGAGTCGGTCGACGACGGCTGCGAACCGCCCGATAGTCTGTATTCGTCATTGGGCGCGTTGGGGTCGATCTCGTAGTCGCCCTCTCTAGGCGCGAAGAACTGCTTGACCAGGGTGCATCTAGCGATGTAGGCCGGTTGCGCAAGGAGGTTCTTAACGTAGGCGTCCAAGTTGTGCAGGCGACCCTCAGTGATGGCATCCGTAACGTAGTTAACGGGGCCAGGCATGTAAGGGAGAGTGCGTTTCTGCGTCCCGGTGTTGCCGGCCTCAGCAGGGAACTCGGTGAGCAGGGCAATTTGGAAGTCATAGAAGTCTTCGTAGTATCTGGACAGCTCCCAGTGACGGCCATCCTCAAGCACTGCTTCGATGACGAACCAGTACTTGTCCTCGGCAAAGCAATATCTCGGAATGCGGGCCGAAATCGGTGCGTACAACTGCGATGCTGGTTTGGCGTAGGGACTGGACTGACCCGCCTGCTGGGAGCTACGCTGGTAGGCAGCTTGTTGCTGCGGCTGCTGTTGTTGCTGTTGCTGCTGCTGCTTCAAATGCACGTTAGCCAAGAGTTGTTGGAATAGGAGACTCATATACAACTTACATAGTTGCTGCCGTTCTGTGAACTTGTGCGGCCACCTTGTTGGATGCTCATGCGCTCCATGCCTTGCTCAATAGATCCTTGTTGCGGCGCCGCACCGTTGTCGAACTTGCCCAGCGTAATACTGCTGTTCTTGTAATCGGCCGCCATTTTCTTCCATTCCTCAACCTTTGGAATGCCTGCTTTCTTAATGGCATTCGAGGCGTCTCCAACAGCAGTGTCTGTAGCCATGTCGCGAATCTCAACGAAGGACACGGGAATAAGACCAGGTCCGCCGAGTCTACCGATGGGCTTGGCGACAAACCATTCAGGGTTGGACTGGGCAATGACGATGATGGCTTCGCCGGCCTTGGCCTCCAACTCGTCGGCGCGTTCCGCAACAAAGTCGTACATGACGATACCATAGACCATGGCGCCGGACCTGCTGCCAGACCGGGACATGCGCTGAGTCGGGGGCGGCGACTGCACGGCACCGGTAGGCGGGGCCGCCGCCTCGGCGTAACCCGAGTCGTGGTCGGGGTTTTTAGAGATCGTGGGAGACATGGTCGGCGGCCGGGGCATGGCGCCGCCGTCGGACTGGCCGCTATCTCTTTCGGTTCGACCCAAAGCCTGGAAGAAGGCGACAGGCACAAGGCCACGGGCATCGGGCAATGCAGGGTTGCATGCTTCGTACCAGTCGGGATCGTTTTCTCGGCCGATGACGTGGAAGAAGTCGCCTCGGGAGAAGCTCAGTTCTTGGTTGGATTGCGCTTCATAATCGTAGAGGGCTCGAATGACCTGGATGATGGGTGGTCAGCAAGGGCGCGATCACGCTGCCGTCGGCTGCCCCATCATAGGAACCGTGGAGGCGCATGGGGCAGCACGGGGTTGGGGATCCAACATACCTTCTTGGGGGGGACGATAGCGACAGCGGACTTGGGGGCAATATTGATCTTGGCGTTGTCTTTTTCGCCCTTGATGGACCGACGGAGGGCCTGGAGAAGGTGAGGCATGGTCAGCAGGTGGTCGGAAAACCGATTTCTTGTGATCGAGTCTCGATTCATTGTGGGTACAGGCGCAGGCGCAGGCTCATGCGGGGTCATTCATGCGACTCAGGTGGGAGAAACGCAGGGCAAGATGCCGCAAATGCAGAGAACAAAGCGCGATGTGTATTGCAGCACTTCAAAGTGAAGTTGTGATGTTGTCAAAAAGAATCGCAAGTGCACGTGGTAGTAATGAAATGCACGCACACACCACTGTCCACCGCATGGGAAAGAGGCAGAGAGGGATGGAAAGGGGGAGGGGGAGGGGGAGGGGGAGGAGAAGGGAGTGAACGGGAAGCACAGCAGCAGGTACCAAAAAGGATGGTTGACGAACCTTCATCTTGTGTGACGGTCCCTCTCTCTGGGCGAGGGCAGCTGCAGACTCTGGCAAGAGAGTGAGATGCGATGCTTCGAAAAGAAAGTGGTGACGGAGCGACGGGGGACGCTGTGGCTACGCGGGAGAGTTGAGAGCGTCGATGGGGAGAACTGGTAGGTAGGTATGGTAATGCTCCTTCGGAAAGGTAAGGCAAGGTAAGGCAAGGCGTGATTGGGCGCGAGACAGGGATGGGGCGTGAACCGGCGCAACTACAACAGACTGGTAATGAGGTCTGTGTCTTGTCTTGCGTTGCTGCTTGCGGCGTATCGTATCGTTGTCGCAGCTGTCCTAGTGGTCGTCGCAATGGCGGTGCCAACTGACCAAGATGAAGGAAAGCGGGAGATGCTCAGATCGGAGCGGGAAGGCGTTGTGGGTGGTGTTGCTGCTTGTTTTTTTTCCCTTTCCCTTTTTTCCCTCTTCGATTGAGGAAGGAGGGGGGATGATTATGATTGGGACTGGGTCCGGGACCAGGCTGATGCCAGTGCGGACGGGAAGGAGGGGCGATATGATGACTAGGTCGCACTTTCCCTCTGATTGCGTTCCTTGCTGAGTCGTTGTGGCCGTTGGGCTTTCTGAAAAGGAAGCGACGGCTGGACGTCAGGTATGGGAGGAAGGTAGATCTGGTGATGAGGCCGTTCCTTCCTTACTCGATCTCGTGTGAGGTCGGTGGTCGTCGTCGTTGACGTACTTGGTGCTGATTTTCTTTCCTCGGTTCCCTTGTACAGCTCCCTGGTTCTTAATCGTGACCTCTTTTTTTTCTCTTTCGTTCCCTTTCCCTTTTCTCTTCTTCTGCAACACGCTTTTACCACGCGGAATATTTCCTAGTCGAAGAATTTTCTGATTTCCCGCTTCTTTCAAGGGCGCACGAAAAATCAGTCGTCCACAAATGTCGGCTGGCTAATGACTGGTTGTGTGGCCTGTCTCTCCCTGGCTTTCTTATTCGGACTCGGAAGATGGGCCTCTGTCTCTCGGCCTCCGAAACAAAGGTGGCCTGCGAATCAACTCGGGCTACACGGGCACTCACCGGAAGTCGCGAGGGTCGAACAGGGAGGTTGGCTAAGGCGCACAACTTATCGTCACTGTCGTCCAAAGTCCAGGTGTTGAATTCGACTTCTCGGCGAAGTGCAAAGATTGCGCTGGAATCCGGCGGGCAGGCTGTGAGTGACCTGGAGGGGTGAGGGGAGGTAAGGGAAACGACTCAAGACAGAACGACGCGGATGGGCGAGGGTAGAAAAGGCTCCTACGCTCCTTCGCTCAAGCCCAAAGCATCTGGCCAAGGTCCCTGGGTACCCCGTACTCACTGCTACCTGGTAGTATACTACTTTGTCTACAGGGGGACACGCGCCCACCACATACGCTCCAACGTCCGGGATGCAATCCCAATTCCCACCTAGCCAGGCGACAAATCGAGGGGGAGACGGTTGGAGAGGGCTTGACTGGTGGGACTGGCCGACGAGGGTCCTCGGCATCCCGGTCTGAACTTGCCTGTCCAGTCTGTCCACTGGGCGTGGGTGGGTAATTTACGCTAGGGTTACGGGTGGGTGTCCTGCTCTCCAACGAGGGTGTCAACGTGCAGATTGCCATGGGTGGTGGCATGCGTCTTGCGACGGGAGACTGGGTGAGTGGTACTTGGGTGCCTGCTCCCACCGCCAACGCCGGGCTGTGCGAGACTTGGTGCTAATTCCCATGTCTAGGGAATGTTTCTTTTTCAACATTGATCTTCCCAAATTCTCAAGCATGTTTCGACCTCATATCGGTTCATGTGTGCGCCTTTCCCACTCTCTTGCTGCTCTACGTAGCTGACACTCAGCACCTACACGACTACGGTTAGACCAGCCGCCTAACAGCCAGCGCTCGAGCCGGTAACACAGCAACAAGACGTTTTGGAGGCACTCATTGGCAGTTGATGGACCGGAACAACAGCCGGTCGGTCGGACAGGCGGCCCATAGGCACGGTGACTAAACCATTTCACGTACGGACCGGGCATTGCGTGAAACTACAGCGGGCGTGGTGACCAGCAGCGAGCAGCAGCAGCGCGTCCTCAGATGGAAAGCTTAATTACCAACAGGTGCCCCGAAACGCACTGTCCAAAGGGAGTCAGAGACCATCGAGGGAGGCACGGAGGACCCCATCTGCTCCATACCTGACGTACAACCACGGAGCACCGGCTTTTGGCCTCTGAGTGGACAAACCGGGCCAGTCGAACATCAATCCGTCCCTCGTCCACATCCAACGAATATCTCTGGTTGTATTTCTCGTGCAGCGCGGATACGCAAGAGTCCAGGGACCGCCCGCTTGCCTGCCAGTCAAAACTTGCAGCTGCATGTCTCGCCCTCATGCTCCTCTCAAGGCTCATGTCGGTGGCTGCACCAGCTCCGAGCCGAAGCAGCTGGCGCAGCCTACAGGAGCCATAGGATCAAGGAGCCCAAGGGTCTGGCAGCGACTGAAGGCCGCGACGGGGCAACAACAGCTCAATGAGATTTGGTCAACCACTGCCATATGACGACAACATCTGCGTGTTTGGTACGGTACCAGAGGGGTCAGCAATGAAAGCACGACGGCCTCGCGGAACCCATACGATGTCTAGTTAAGGCCACCAGTGAGCGTCTAAGTTTGCTCCTGGGCGACCTGACTCTTCGCTTTGGCTCAGCCCTTCTTTGCGAAACGAACGCCTCTTATTGGCGTGCAATGACTAGCTTCATCGATAGTCTTGTCCCTCTCTTCCACAAGAATGGCGTGAATGGCTAACAGTTGTCAAACAGACCACCATCAGCCGTCAATGTCAATCTAATATCATCAGTAGGTAGCAGGCCGTGCGGATGGGTAGCTGGCCATGAGAGCCAACAATACCCCCGTCCTCTGAGTGCCTCCTCCCCCACGGATGCACAGCCTTTGCCACTGTCTTCCTGGGGCGCGCACATGGCAATCCCTCCGCTAAAACACAGACCTGCTTCTTTCCATCAACACCCTCTTCACTGACATTGACCTTGCACGCCCCCATGCGAAACAACAGAGTGCAGCCAATAGCAAGAGCTTCGTGCTTTTGACACTTACTTTTGCATGAACTGACCTCTCTTCTGAACAGCCTATCCCTTCTATGGTGAGTTGATCTTGCCTATATGACAGTACTCCGGACTCAGAGCGGCATCTTATCGATTAACGCAAAGACTCATTCACTCCATGGTGATCCTGAGCAATGCGGGAAGAAGGGGTATCCTGTACTCCCCCATCTATCGGTCACAATCTAGCAGAGTTCTTCCTTCTTCGCAATCAGGTACAGCTCAGCAGGTTCCGAGAAATGCCTCTCCTCCGGGACCCCTGCAGCGGCGGACCCGGACGGTAATTTTCTTTGGATCCATTGAGTCCCAGCCTAACGATTGCAACGGTCTAGGTGTCACTTAGGCTTCGATCCAATGACGGCGGTCGAACCTCGCCACACGGAATCCTTCCCCGGTGGCCTGTGGTCTCCAGAATGCGCCGCGGGCGATTGTTCCAATCTCATGGCATCTTGCGCCCTTCACTTCTTTGCGACTCATGGAGGGCTCGATCATGGATGCAGTACAATAGTAATAGAGGCTTCTTTGATTACGGCACCGTCCCAGGAGACCTGGAACGAGGGGCGCGGGGTTGATGTCCTACCGAGACTCGAATCAGAGAGCAAAAGCATGGTCAAATTTCCGACCCACGGTATCTACAAGGGTCTCGCGGATCCAGTACGATCCACGCCAAGCTAGGCTCGCGAATCTTTTGTCGTCGTCTCCGAGTGGTTATGCGAATATCGTCAGACCAACAGGGTGTCCTTCAACTTCAATTTCTTATGCGCATTTCTCACGTCGGCCTCCACCGGCGCGACGGTTCGAAACCTAATCGGGTTTACTCTTTCGAGGACATGGTCTCGCCCTACCGTTGGTGACCCGAAGCTTTTGGACTGTATTGGCGTTCACACTAGCAGCACTAACTTGCGAAAGTTGCATAGTCTAGGCCAGGCTAGAATGTGCTCCTGGCCAATTGATCAGCGCAACTTGGCGGACCTGCTTACGCGCCAACGCGTCGGTTCAGCAACTTGGCGCGCGCATCCACAACATCGCCCCTCCACTGGCTTGACACAATCGAATCGTAATCGACGACTGAGCAGAAACCACTATGCTGTTGTTGATTCATTCCCGGGTCTTGCTGCGGACTGCCCCTCAGGGCCAACGGCGCAGTGCTTTGCATTGATTCTCCATGTGGCTTGTTAGTATGACCTCATGTACGGATTTCCTGGGTCCGGTGCATTTCCCATTCCGTCCCAACTTTCTGACGCTTCGAATAGATTGCTATTTTCTCCATCCCCCCACCCTTTCACTCGTGATATGGCGTCCCCAGCTTCGTCTAGCCTAGAGAGGTGCGCTAAGGCCGGTGCAGAGAACCCTGCCAGCGTCCCGTTTCAGCGGGACGGTTCAGGAACCGCATCCTTGCTTCTTCTTGGCCTTCACCCAGTGACGAATGTTACAGGGCTGGAAAGGCTGGAGGAGAGTTTGACGCATTGTGTCGCTCTGCCGTTCCTGCTGATCACCAGCCATACCTAGCTTGCCTGCCATCCGTGAGAAGTTGACGGCGACCAAGATAATAGCGGGCTGTCGTTAGTATCTTGCATGCGCACACACACACACACACACATATCAGCGAAAGTATGTTCCAGATCCCCAGATCACAGTATAGAGCATCTGGAGAGCACTTGACAGAAATGACACGCACAGACATGTTGTAGCAGAGCGTCTAGTTGTCCGCTCGACTGGTTGGCATACATCTTCAATAGCCTCAAGACACCAAAAGTCCCTGGGAGTCTACTGCAACGGCGCGTAATGCCAATGCTAACCATTCCATGCGAAACCCTTCCAGTCCATAGGAGACAATGCGTAAGGTGATGTCAGCCCCAATAGCGAATCTTGGATTTCAGATTCCCGGCGTGAAGCAAACCCGCCCTTTGGCTCTTTTCTAATTAGTCTGTGGGACGGGTTCAAGCTTTGCCTCGTGCCGCATCTGTGTTCGGATCCTGCCAGTCCCGTCCGCAGGCACGACGCAACTTGAAACTCGATGTCCCATGTCGCCTGAAACGGGGTAGAATTGGGGACCGTCGCCAATGAGAAACCGACAATGGGCACCCATTTCTTGAGGACGTCGACAGTTCACTGAAATCCAGGCACAACGACGAGGAACCCTGAGTCCGTGGTTGCTGATCTCCAGGTTGGGGTCACCTTAACTTGGGGTACCTTGGCCAGAGTGCGAGACCTGCCAGCCCCAATTCTGGATGAAGACTCGCGGTTGACTGGGGGAGGAAGTCTGCCGTAGGTTTCCTTGCCTGAGCTTGTGATCTGTAGCGCCGTCTTGAGGGGGACTTCAAGGATATGATAGCTCAAGCGTTTATGACTCTGTCGAGACGGCGGTTAATCCCTACACATCGAACCATCGTGAGTCCTACACCAGCGGTACATGATGTCATTGAACCGAGCAATTCCTGCAGACAGCTCTGCCTTGAGTCAAACAGCTAAGGAAATCCTGCAAGATACAGAGCCTCATGGGAGCAGCACCTGTAGAAAATCCGGCTTTGGCTGAGTTCGTCAAGCTTCAGGCCGAAACGACCACGGAGAAGCAACCGGCATATTGATTGCCGTCCACACCATTCCGTGGCGCCCATATGTGGTTGTCGATCCCCAGCCGGGCAAAGACGCTCAGTTGGATCAGCAGAGAAACTCAGTCGGAAAATCCCAACTCTCGGAATGTGGCCAACATTGCAGTAAACAGCTGTCTTGGCGCAAGGAAGGGGGTTATTCTACGTGCCGGCCCCCATCTACAAGACGGCCGCACCACTATAGTATGGTATTGCGTCTCTTCACAAGAGACATCCAGCTTTCAACCCTTACGGTTTTTTTTCTGGCTTGAGAGTGGCAAACGGCGGCGGCCCCTCCCGCTGGGCGTATCCTTCGCCACGTTGGAATAGATACGCATGGCTCGGATACGGCAGGTAGTCAGCCGACCAGCTAATGACTTGCAAGTACAAATGACCCTTTGTCCAGGAATAGGACACGAGGCTATGCGACAGCTAGGCATAGAGCTACCGAACCTGAAAGACTGCGGGCCGTCGCTCTTTCCACGCGGACTGTAGTCACGGGTTTTAACTTATAGACAAGCTTGGTATATTACAAAACCACGTTATATTGATTCGGGTATGGCATTGAAGCCGAAAAAGTGACAGCCTCTCATCACCCTCCCCCCTTGGAGAAAACCTCTTGGTTTCGGATGGCAAGTCCGTCAGTGGCTGTCTTTGGTGAAACGGACTCCCTAGACATGCAGCGTGCTTGCTGCCGTAGAACCGGATTGCCGTTCATGTGAGCTGGGGGTCCGTTCGGCATTGCGTTGCAGCAACCCGCTACCCACGACAACGCCATATTGCCAACTGCCTCAGCAGAATCAGGGTCTTACCTCTCGAGCTTGATCGAAGCTCAGCCCGAGTCTCCCTCCGCATCGCTGCAGGGGACCTGTTAGCAAAAAGCTGGCTCGGACGATGGCGGAGCTACAGCTTGACTGGAGCTCTTTTCTGCGTGTAGTCCTAGCGCAGTTGGCAAGGGCAAAGTGTCACGGGCAACCGTGCGTGCAGTCGCGCACGGCATGTCTTTGGAGCTACCCAACCACCTTTCGAGTTTCCTTATCTTATGGCCGCCTGGAAATTGATTCCCACGGGACTGAGTGTTCGTGGTTATGGCAAAAGTCCTCCTCACGTTCAGACGGTCAGGTACGTGACCGATGTGTACTATGGGATGAGATGTGGTCAAGTACACCACGTATGTTGCTCAGGCGTGCGCGCGCACACACGCTGGTATAGATAACCTCTGATCCAGCCTTCATTTTGGAGCCCGATTCCCGTATGCAGCTACATCACTGCAGGTTCACCATGCGGGACTGCGAACCGGATCACCGTAGGACATGGATCGAAATGAGCGGCTGTCCCGCTCGGTCCTTCTCGAGCAGCCTGGCTGCTCGGCCAAAGTATTCACTTTGAGCATCCCAACAATGGCCTGTCTTGGAGAATCCACATGCTACAACGAGGCTTCAGTGGCAGGCTGGCGTAAGCCGGAATCCTTACGACGTATAGTAGGGCGTTAACCATGTCGTCGCCTCTGGGTAGCGAGCCGCGGCCAGATGAGCCTGTGGAGACATGGCTCGAGGCTTGATGCAACATCGCTTCAGGGGCCCCGCCTGCTCTTAATGGCCGCTGTCGGATAACGACACCGAACGGGTGCCTTGAAGCGACTGCAGGCCACTCGGAACCAAGTCCTGCTTGGCTGTCGTGGCGCACTTATAATGGACCGGGTCTCTCTACACGTACGCGCATCCCGTGGTGTACGTGAGGATGGCACAGAGTGGTCCCGCGCGCCTTGACTATGCCATGCCGCGATGCTCCTCTGCATCGTGGGATGGGTGTGAAAAGTAGATGGGGGCCCCTCACCCTTCCCATATGAGGGCCACAGACGTAGCCTCTTTCATCTACTTTGATATGTAATTTTGCCCAGGATAAAGAGAGACACGTCACTGTCGATTTTGTACCTGTTCAAACGTCCCAGTGCAGGTGCCGTTGACGCAGCAACACGGAACGTCGCCTCGTTTCTTTTCAAGTTCATGCGTTCGGCCACGGCGTTCTTCACGCAACAGCGGATCATCCGAATAGAGTACACGTTGCAGCCGTTGGCACCATGATTAGTGCGCAGCATAACCGGCAAAGGTCCAGCCCAACGATATAGCAAATGTAAAGTTCAATTGGATCAATACAGACCCAAGACGGTTATGCTGCTTAAGGCAGACGCCATCAAATCCTTTTTAAGATAACGATGCATATGCAAACGCCCACAAGACCACAAGAGACCCGATGCCCAACTCCAGTCGCCTTCTATCCCTGAAAAAGGCAAGTAAGTCCACAAATTTTCCGCTCCAACGCCATGTTGCCTGCGCGCTGGCAGGGCGAGCGGGTATTAAGACGAAAAGCCCCCAGAGCCAAAGACCGGCATCAAGCCGACGACATCAGTCATTGCTGGCGGCATCGCCGCCGTTTTCTGCAATTCCCTCGTTCGATAGATTGTCTCTCACGAGCCCCCCGAAAAGTATCCCGCTGTTTGAAGCTGTGGGTAAGCGTCCAAAGCCGTCAGAAGAGGCAGAGAGGTGGAAACCGATAATTCGTAAGCTCGTAACCATATATGGTAATAAGCGTGTTCGAAAGGCGAGGGAAAATGCATGATGAACAGGCGCACGTGCTGTGACAACGTCGAGAAGGGGGGTAAAACAAGATAGAGAAACGGAGTCTACGAGGAAAAGGTCTACCAAAGCCTGCGGGCTTTGATATGAGACGTGAAGGGTTCGGGGAGGGGAGGCCACTCGCGAGGCCTGCCGTCGGCGGCGGGAAATGGTTAGAAGGTGTAGAGCAAGTTGTGATGAGAGAAGAGAGATGACGAGCAGCTCATATCTGGCCTTTGATGTCAACCTTGCGGAAAGCCTCGGATCTCGCAGAGTCGAACAGCGCTCCGGCTTTGCCGGTCAAGAGAGCAATATACTCTTGTCGTTCTTCGAGAAGGTGCTGACCGTTGTAATCGACAATGAACTGAGCCGCATCAACGTCGGACTCGAAGCCGAGTTCCTCCGTGATGAATCGTAACTTTACGTCTGGCTTGTACCTGTAAAAAGTTAGCGAGACTGTTGATCAACGGGCTTCGAGTCTAGACTTACGCTTTGCAGATGTTGCACAGGGCAGCGAGACGCTCACGAACGACGAACATGTCCATGAGGTATGCTCCCATGTTGGGAGTGTCGAGGTAAAGCTGGAAGAACTTATGGTAGTTTCCCAAGGCAAGAGCGGAACGCACCTCAAGCGCGTGCTTGATGGGCCGCTCCTCCTTCTCTGCTGCGGTTAGATCTGCCAAGGCATCATTGAGGCCGGTACGATTGGCGGTATGAATAAAATACAGAATGCGATAAGCCTTGAACTCGATGGGGTTCCCTTTCAGTCCCTTGGCGTACAGGGTACGCAGCTGGGTTTGGCACTGATTATACTCACCAAGGTCCCCCTTCTCCAAGGCGATGCGGGCGTGGAGCTCGTATACGGACACTGTGAATTCGTTCTTGATCCGTTGGACTGTCAGGTCTTGACGCATGGACTTCAGCTGATCGCAGATGTAAGAGTAATTGGCCTCCTTCTTCCACTTCTTCTTGAGGAGATCCATCGTCTTGTGGAGGACGCGCTCAGGCCGGACCTGAGAAGGAACGGGAGGAGCGGTCAGACGCAGGTAGCGCTTTTCCAGCGTTTCGCTGGTACCGACGACAGGACCATCAGAGGGCGGGGGGCTGGGCGAGCGGTAGGATGACTTGTAGCCGCCATCAAAGCGGCGTTGTCGCTTCTCCATCTGCTTCTGGAACTTACTTGACTTGGGCAGAGGCTCGTCGAGGCTAGCGCGTTTATCGGGGGAAGCGAAGGTGATGCGGTCTTCGAGGGCGTTGGATCGGTTGCTGTTAGTAGTACGCCAAGGCACGGTAGAAGACTTCTCATCCGGGGTAAAATCAGAGGACTTCCGCTTCTTCGGGTTGGCCGACAGGGTGTTGTCATATCGCGATTCAAAGGGAGACGCAACGTGCATAGAGGAGTTGAACTGGGACTGGCGCTCGTTCTTGATCAGGGCGGCGGGAAAGGGCATTTTCTCCCAATCGGTGGACTCAAGGGTGCCGTTTTCCATGTGTTGCGAAATGGTCTCCTTCAACTTGGCTTCAATGTCGGGGCGAGACACGGACGGATCCATATTGCTAGGCAAGAAGGACTTTTGGACATATTCTCGCACGGAAGGAGGCCATTCAACTTTGCGTGTGGGCGGGACAGGAGGCGCCGCAGCGTTCTGGTCGAAGGGAGCAACCATAGGCGACGGCGTCGCTGTGTAGGCAGGTGCGGGTGGGGGAGGATACTGGCCGAAACTTTGTCGAGCCTGGACTGCGGTGTATGCTGGATCTGGTGGAGATGCGTTAGCAACCCTCCTCAAGACATCGTGAGGTTGTCGAAAGAACTTACTGGGAGGGTAAGCATAGTTGGCAGGAGGAGCGCCGTAGGCAACGCCTGGAGGTGGCGCTGGAGGCCAGCTGGTGGGCATCATGGTGGCGGCTGGCGAAGCACTCGAGGGTATTTTCTGAATATGGGATTAGTTTGGAAATTTTGAGATAGTATATTTATTGATCGGTCGGGTGGTAGGTGGTTGCCTGTGGACGTCGGTTCGATGTCGAGGATGTGCGTGATGGGAGAAAAAAAACAAAAGGGATGAAGTGAGGTTGGGGAGGATGCGTGAAAGGCGGTGGAAAAGACGGTGGCCCGTGTGCGGCATTTCAAGTTCAAATAGCGGAGATAGGCCCAAAGAGTGCCCTCGTGGCCCGCAGCCTGTCACCACACGCAGCAGAAACACAGAACCATACTCTACGGGTAGGCGCTAACGCCAAAGCGGGGCTATCGCTGTAGTGGGTCGACGACATCCCACCTTCAAGTGTCGGGCGGGTGGCATTGGCTTCCCGTGGGGCAGGACGTGTTGGCTGCGAGATAAACTGGCGCCTGGTATGTACGCCATCCGTTAAACCAGCTGGCTCCGTTAACTCTCTTCGGGGCCTCAAGAACGCTCTCGGTTTTTTCAACCCTTTTTTTGTTTTTGCCTGTTGGAGGAATAACCTCTGTTTCCAAAACATGCGCGATTCTTGAACAAGTTGCGAACTCGGCTTCCAACCCTCAAATCCGCCCGAGACCGTCCCTGACGTATGCGACGACTCGCGGCCACCTCACTTCTTCCACCACTTCAGAAAACGCCAACCCACGTCCGTCCTGCGCGAGCGAACTCTGACACTCTGGGTACGCTTCCGAACAGATATGACGGATGTTTCTAAAACACATCGACCTCACGACCGCTCTCCGGCCTTCCTACTTACCGGATGAAGTATTGTTGTTCGTCCAAGACAATGTTGGGCTTTATGAGGGGTAAGCACAACGGCCCTCGATCTGTCTTGCGTCTTGTTCCAGCTGCTGACAAGAGACGTTGCTTTCCAGAAAGTTCAAGCTTCCCCAACAACAAAATGGTCAGGTCTACCTGACATCTCACCGAATTTGCTACGTCGATAAGGACGAGCCGCGAAAGCACTCGGTCGCCCTCGACCTCAAAGACATCGATCGATATGAGTTCTATGCCGGGTTTCTGAAGTCGTCCGCGAAGATCACCCTAATACCCAAGCCACTGAAGCGCTCGTCACTACAAACCAGAGCGTCTGCGATATCTACTCCTGGTAGACCTGGTGCTGGATCTCCCGCTCGATCGGACAGTCCCTATCGACCACCCCCCGAACCAGCGAGTGCTGCGACCTGGGTCTGCACCATTTGCAGCTTTTCGAATCCAGTCCCGTCCAACTTCGACCCAACAACGGCCAACATTCATACCCCGTTACCGCCATGCCTTGCTTGCGGAATCAAGCCAACGTTGGCGCACGTGCTGAAGGCCTCCATCTCCAACGCGACGAGTCGCACCCCAGCCGCCCCTTCGAGCCCCACAGTCAGCTCTCTGGCGATGCGACCGCGGTCTACGTTTAACAGACCGGACGACACAGGGTCCCTACCTCCATGGCCCGCCGCTTCGAACATCAACGGCAGTCCGCATAACCCAGCCGATCCGAGCGCGACCTTCCAGTGCCCACGATGCACGTTCCTGAACCACCCCTCCTTGCTATCGTGCGAGATGTGTGGGGCGCCACTGATATCGCAAGACCTCTCCCAGAAGAGGCCGCAAGAGCAGACGCAACGAACAGAGTCACCAGGGCCAGTCCTGAGCTCGCCTGCGCCGGGCCAGGACACTGCCGAAAACATCAAGATCTCCTTCCGCGGCGGGGGAGAAAAGATATTCTACGAGCGGCTGAAAGGGGCGTTGACGCAGAGGAAGTGGCTGTTGCAAGGGGCGCCGCCTGTTCCCAAGAGCAACCGGACGATTGACGATAATGGCGCCATAGTGCGGACACCCTCCGCCGCTTCCGAGCGCCCCAAGGGTGTTGGTATCGCCGGGCTGGAACAGCGCGGGCTTGACATGCGCAAGAACAACGAGGTGATGATTGGCAGTGCTTTCGAGGACCTCGATGCCCTCATGGCGTCGGCGAAGGAGATTGTGGCCCTCGCCGAGCGGTTCGCGAGACAGAACGGTGGAAGCGGTGCCGAGGCCAACGCCCTCCTGGCCGAGTCGGCAAGCCAGCTCGGACTTGTGACCACAAAGGATATCGTGGGCGGCAGCAGCTCCGAGACGCTGTACCTATCCGAACTGTCGAGGAATCTGGCAGAGTTCCTCACCGACGATGCTCGTGGCGTCTTGAAGAAGGCCGGGGGGATCATCAACCTGGTTGACCTGTGGGCCATGTTCAACCGCGCGCGGGGCGGTGTCGAGCTCGTCAGTCCCATGGACTTTGAAAAGGCCGCGCAGATGTGGGAGTCGCTCAAACTGCCCGTTCGGCTGCGCAAATTCAAGAGCGGCGTTCTGGTCGTCCAGAGCAGCGAGCGCACAGACGAGACCACGATCAAGGCCTTGGTGTCCTGGTTGGACGACCTGCACGAGTTCCCGCCGGAGAAAGAGCTGGCGTGGGACTGGCGGCAGTTTGGCCGCGGCGTCACGGCGCGGGATGCCGCCGAGCGGTTCGGCTGGAGCATCGGCGTGGCCGAGGAGGAGCTGGAGATGGCCGAGGAGAAAGGGGTGCTCTGTCGCGAGGACGGCATTGAGGGCCTCCGGTTCTGGAAGAACTATATCGACACGGGGGAGGCGAAGCACCGCAGGCGCAGGAAGCATCGCGAGGAGGACGAGGTGGTCAGGGCCCTGCGGGAGAGCGGGCTGATGTGAGGGTCAACACTGAAACTTGGATATCTGTCTTGTGCCCCTTGGGCGGCGCAACTGCAGACATTAAGCGCATTACTATTCTACATGTTTGTGCGTGTGTGTATGTGTGTTCTCATGCGTGATGTCCTGGGGATCCCCTGTATGTCGTCCATGGAGGATTGCCCAGTTCTTTAACCCGGCGGCTGAGTTGAGACCGCCCTCCCACGTTCCATCCATCTAAAAAGCCAAAGCCCAAAAAAACAAAAGCCCGGAAACGCCGCCCATATGAACCGATGCCTAAAAGGTTTGTACCAATGACAAGAAAACGCACAGTTCGTCGACCCTACCTACGGCATGGTCGACGCAACGCACCAGCACCACTTCATGGCGTCTTCTCGATCTTGTCCATGAAGCTCAGCCTCACCTTGCGGTTGACGACACCGCCCACGCCGTAGGCCGGGATGATGCGGCAGATGCGCGCCATGGTGCTGATGCCCCAGTTCTTGGCCACGGAGCGCCAGCGGTCGGCCCACGAGACGGGCGTCGCGGCGGCGTTGGGCCGGTTGTAGACGTCCAGGCCCAGCAGGTGCAGGGGCGTGCTGGCGAACTGCACCATGGCGGGCGCGGCGAACTGGACGACCGTCAGACCGCTGACCTTCTTGGACATCTCCTCGCCCATGCGGCCGTTCAGCCAGGGGCCCAGCCGCGGCGGGACGTTGAAGCTCGCAAAGATGGTCATGCAGTCGCGCAGGGTGAAGAGGGCGTAGGTGAAGGCGGGGACGGGCCTCGGGCTGACGCCAGGCGGGCCGAACATGCGCGCAAAGACCTGGTCCTTGTACATGCAGATGCCGATGTTGGCGGCGCTCGAGGCGGCGAACTTTGCGGTGCCCGCGGTGACCTCGGAGGCGGGCCGGTTGTGGACGGTCGAGGAGGCCGTGTCGAGGGTGTTCGCCGTCAGGTACGTGCCGCCGTAGAGGGCGAAGATGAGGGCGAAGGGCTTGCTGAAGATGACGTGGTGGGGGCGGAGGAAGAGTTCTTTGAGGCAGGAGCGGACGCAGTCGCCGAGGCCGCGGCGGCCCGAGGCGTTTTCCATGATGGAGCTGGAGGGCGTGTTAGCTGACATGTCCCCCTGGGTTGTTGAAGCTCGGGTTGTAGTGCTGCTTACCGATCAATGATGGACACGAGGGGCGCGACCAATGTGCCGGCGCAAGCTGCGCTGAACAGGTCGGCGCCCAGGCGCGGGCCCAGGTTTTTCGAGTTCCAGGTGGTCTTGGTCTCCATGTCGACTTTCTGGGCCAGGGCCAAGGGGCTCGGGGGGTTGATCTTGAGGTCGGGCGGCGCGACGGGTACGGGAGCGAGCCCCTCTGGTCTTGTGCCTCGTTCAGCCATGCGGCGCGTTCTGCTGTGTCGTGTTTGTATGGGAGTTTGTTCGAGCCTCAGGGTGAAGCTCTCGCGAGGTCGGGACGGGGGAAGCGCCCAGCGTCGTGGGTTTGGTCGTTGGTCCTAACCCGATGTCGGTTTGCGACGGGTGATGTCAACAACGGCTAGACCGAGGGTGACGTATTGGGGGTTGGGTGACGTCTTGGAGGCCGCGCCGGGAGCTAGGAGCTACCTAGGATGGACGGGACGGCGACACAGGCGAACGAGGGAGAAGACCAGACGACGGTTTCCCGGTTCTTGGGGTAAGAAAACGGAGGGAGTGAGGGGGAGAAGACGAAGACGAAGACGAAGACGAAGACAGCACTAAGGGGGGACGCGGACGGCAGGCAACGGCAACGGCAACGGGTGCGGATAGAAGAGGACAAGCTACGGAGAGGAGCTATGAATCCATACCGAGCAAAGAAGGAGAGACCAGACCAGACCAGAACGCAGCTTTCGAGGTTAGACCCGGGGGGGGAGGAAACGCGCCCAATTATGGGAGTTTCCCGAGTCCCCAAAAACACGACCCTGCAACTTGGAGACAGGTGCGAAAAAAGCATGAGGTGAGATAAAGTGGACATTGACGGGGTGCCGCATACGCGACGGGTCATGGCCTGACGAATCGTCGCTCGAAAATTTCAGCTTACTGGGGACCGAAGTCGGAGAGAGTCGGTACGACGGGGCCCGAGAGAGGAATGGAAAGCCAGTCAGTCGGCTTCGTGGTCGACACTTGACGGCGTGGGAAATGCGAGCAAGGCCCCCCAGAGACCGGGGGTGGGATTTTTTTGTTTGTTTCCTGGCGTGCTATCTAAACCCCGAAAGGCCCGGGAGAGCGTTCCTCGAGTTCCCGTAGGCTGGTCGGGGTCGTTTTTTGGAGGAGCCCCGAGCCACTGTTAAAAATGGGCGAGTTTATGGGGGGACGGCAGGGTGGTCTTGGGGCACTTTTGGAGCTTTGGGGGACGATGCGAGTCGGAGAGACCTCGACCGACCAGTGACAGCAAGGGAGACGCTCGTTTTGGTGAATAGTGGGGGTCACACGGGGGGTTCATAGTGGTGACCTACGGCATCCCGTATCAAGCGACAACAACACGAATCCCAGAAATCGCATGACTATTACATACCTAGTATATACTTAGTAGAGTGTTGTGACTGTCGACTTCTTCGGACATGCGCCCAAAGTGACCAAACAAGAGAGAAAGCCCGTCTGTCCAAAGGCACGGTGGGCCCCCCTTTCGTCGGCTACTCTCCCGTTGGCCGTCCGGTTTCCTTCCGGCGCGCGCATCCACACCACGACCGACCTACATAGGTAGGTACCCTGCCTAGTACCTTACTGTAGGTACGTAGCTCCTCCCTCCTTCCCCCAAGTCTTGGCTTAGCTAAGCCTTTTTTGCTTGCGAGGGACCGGGGGGCCGCGTGTCGAGGTACCTCTTAGCAAATGCTGCGTCGAGCACTTTCCCGTCGTCTCTGGACTGCAGTCCTTGGCAATTCACCACGGCACAGTCGGTACTATGTAGGTAGGTTGGGGGTTTCAATGCGGGGAACGGAGGGTTGAAGAAGCTCTGCCGTCAGCAACTCCAACATGATTGCTGCTGCCTGCGCGTACCCGACAAAATTGCACCGCGCGGAGCATTTTTGGACTCGTCCCAAGTCAATCGGTTACCCTTGCTGAGGAGGGACAGCTGCTCGCCGCATCCCAAGGGGGAAGGTCAGGAACCTAGCTTTATCGACTCCGAGGGCTGTCGCGTCCCTGGAGCCAGTCTGCGTCAGCGTCATTCGTACGCCTGCCAGAGAGCACTGCGCTATTCAAGCGCGCCTGCTCTTAAAATCCAATCACCGTGACACTCATCCCGTTTTCTTCTCATCTTTTCCCTCGTTTGCGGAGCCGATTCCGTCCCAGTTCGTGAACCGTCGTCCGCCCGTCACGCATCTCGTCACATCCTCTCCGGCAACATGCGCGTGGCTAAGGAATTCACCCCGGAGGTGCTCCTCAGCGCCCCCCGCCGCGGCGCCGCCATCCCGAGCCCCGCCGGCACCCTCATCCTCTACACCCAGTCGACCCACAGCTTCGAGGACAAGAAGACGCTCAAGGAGGTCCGCGTCATGGACGTCGAGACCGGCGCCTCCGAGCAGCTCACCGACGACGACAAGGTCCACGACCCACTGTGGGTGCCCGGCACCGCGAGCGATGTTATCTACTTGAAGTCGGGCGACAAGGGGACCACCCAGATCTGGATCGCCGACGGCGCCAACCCCGCCAAAGACCATTACGTTGCCGCCGAGTACGACGCGCCCATCAGCTCGCTCAAGGTCAAGGCCCTTGCGGATGGCAGCGTTGCTTTTGTCGTTGCCGGACTGGTCGGGCCTGACGGCTCACTGTTCAACGACGAGGCCGAAGAGAAGGCGACCACGGGCCGCGTCTTTGACGATCACCACGTGAGGTTTGTAAGTTGGACTCACCGTTTCTGAAAAGTGACAACGCCGTGACTAACACATGTCTAAGTGGAACACACTCTACAAGCCGTACAAGTACGCCCTCTGGTACTCGACCCTCATCAATGCACACGGCAAGTGGGGTGTCGCAGGGGAGCTGCAAAACGTCATCAAGAACACCCGTCTCGAGGCCCCTTTTGGTATGTACGGCGAGGCCGAACCGGGCGGCAGCTTCGACGTCAGCGAAAAGGGAATCACCTTCATCGCCGAGGACCTCGGCCTCTCGCCGGAAAACGCCGGCCTCTCGCACGTCTACTATGTGCCTCTCCAGTCCTTCACGGCTGCCGCGAACGTCAAGCCACGGCCGATCGTCATGGGCATCTCGGAGACCAAGGCCTTTTACACCAACGTGCGGTTCTCGCCAGACAGCTCCAAAATCGCCTTCCTGCAGTCCTTGACCAGCGACTTCTCGGACGCCAGGATGTACATCGGGCACACCACGTCCTTTGGCGCGTACAACGTGCACAAGATGGTCTTTGGCAAAGAGCCGAGTCTGCCTCCGCGAAGCTTCGAGTTTGCAGGAGACTCTGACGCCATCTTTTTGTTGACCGAGGACTGCGGGCGTGTTAAGCTATCACATCTCGAGCTTCGGCACCACGCAGAGGCGGCGCCGCTGGTGCAGAGCGGCGTGGTCACGGCCTTTTACCCCCTTAAGGAGGCCAACTACAACAAGATTCTTGTGACAAGCAACAGTATTGTTGATAGCAGCTTGTGGCAGGTCGTCGACGTCTCGCTGAACGAGGCGCCCAAGGTAGTGTCGTCGGCCACCCAGCACGGCGCCAAGTACGGCCTGTCCCATCGCATGCTCTCGGAGTTTTGGTACGAAGGCGAAAACGACACCGTCGTCCACTCATTCATCGTCAGACCAACCAACTTTGATGAGACGAAAAAGTACCCCTGGGTCCTTTTACCCCACGGCGGGCCGGTGTCGTCTTGGCTAGATTCCTGGTCGACGCGGGTGAGTCGAAGCGTCTTTCCTTTACGCATCTATGACTAATACATGAGCCTATAGTGGAACATGGCCCTCTGGGCTCAAAAGGGCTACGTCCTCATCGCTCCCAACATCGCCGGCAGCACGGGCTACGGCGCCGAATTTGCAGCCCGCGTTTACGGGTCCTGGGGCGGCGCGCCATACCAGGACCTCGTCGCCCTGATGGACCACCTCAAGCAGGTTCCCTACCTCGACCAAGACCGCGCCATCGTCGCCGGCGCCTCGTACGGCGGGTACATGATCTCGTGGATGATGGGCCACGACCTGATCCGGCGCTTTTCCTGCGCAATTTGGCACGACGGCATCTTCAACGTCCCCGTCTTCATGATACAGTCCGACTTCATCGACGCTGGGCCGAATTTTGTCGGTCCGCCATTGGTCTGGAAAAACGCCGAGGAGATGGAGCGGTGGAATCCGGCGCGGCCGGAGCTGCTGCGGAACTGGAAACACGCGCCGCCGACGCTGGTGATCCACAGCGAGAAGGATTACAGGTGTCCCATCACGGAGGGGATCGCTGCGTACAACACGCTGCAGTGCCAGGGTGTCAAGAGCCGGTTTTTGACGTTCAGCGACGAGTGCCACTGGGTGCTGAACCCAGAGAACTCAATCGTCTGGCACAAGACCGTGTTTGACTGGATGGCGAAGTACGCTGGGGAGACGCAGGTTGTGAGGAGAGAGTGAACATTGTCTCGAGGTATATTGGCGATTTGTCTTCCACGTGGAAGCACTGTCTTGAGCATACCGTATATTTAGAAACCCGGGAACTCGCCGCACGATGTCGTCTCCGAGAGGACAACATTACGACAAATCAGGCATTTGGGCTTATTCCGCCTGCCATCTCATCTGACCTCTATCCTCTTTGTCATAACTCGTGTGAATGACTTGCGACCCGGGGCCACATAACCCCGAACCCCCATTGCAGCACCTCGGATCTTTAAACCCCCGCGCCAACCCTCAAAAGTGGATGCTCCCATCACTGGAACTTCATACCCCCGCCTCGCCCCATTGCTCTTCATTTTGCCAATATCAGGATACCCAAGTGTCGCTGATTCGACATTTCTTGGCGTTCAACCCGGCGGTGTTTTACCCGCGAAGCTCATGCAACGCTGTGCCGTGCCAATCGGCTGTTTTGGGGTGTCGCTGCGGGAAGCTCCTCAAAATGCGGGGGTACGTGGAGGTAGATTAGAACGCGGTATCCACGAGCTTGGCTCCCGGGTGAGAGAAGAGGTAATATCTTGTATTTAGTGGTTGGTATGTGTATATATATAAGGTCGTCTAATCCCACCTCGTGAGAGAACGTCAACGTGCGTGAGGTAAAACGAACCCCCACGGAAGGGGTCCTTTGCGTATTCGGGACCTCATAAGCAGTTGTCAAGATGCCTCTCCTCCGGCATGAGCTCAGCAGCGGCTGGACTTTCAGACAGCAAGACGACGCCTCGGAGAATCCATGGCTCCCAGTGCCCAAGGTCCCTAGCCAAGTCCACGTAGACCTCCTGGCGAACAACAAGTGAGCCGAACTGCCTTCATCCAAAACATCGGGACCGAGGTGACTAACACCGCAAAGGATACCAGACCCGTTCCTGGACATGAACGAGCTCGCCGTCCAATGGGTTGCGGAAAAGACCTGGGTCTACCGCACGTCCTTCGCGACGCCGACAGACTCGCCAGACTCCACCGCCAATGTGACGGATCTCGTTTTTGAGGGCCTGGACACATTTGCGACGGTCATCCTGAACGGAGCCGAGATCTTTCAATCGGATAATATGTTCCTCTCACACCGCGTCGAGGTCTCACAGCTCTTGAAACGCGACGGGGCCGATAATGTCCTGGAGGTCGTCTTCGACTCGGCGCTGCTCCGCGGCAGACAGCTCGTCGAAGAGCACGCGCACGAGCACAGGTTCATCGCACGGCAAACGGAGCAGGGCCGGATCCCGGTGCGGAAGGCGCAGTATCACTGGGGCTGGGACTGGGGTCCGATTCTGGTCACGGCCGGGGTCTGGAAGCCGGTGTTTCTGGAGCGGTATATTGCTCGTTTGGACGATGTCTGGGTCAAGAGTGAGGTCAGCCCGGATCTGAAGTCGGTGTATGGACAAATCGTCGTCAAAACAGAGGGCTCCAACATCGGCAAGGTATCCGTAAAGCTCACCCTGGAAGACACAGCTGTCCTCGAAAAGGACCTCTCTGTCGCCGAGGACGGAGTAGCGCAAACAGACTTCCACTTAGACAACCCTCGACTTTGGTACCCCCTGAACACCGGCCCCCAGACCCTCTACACAATCACGGCCACGGTTCACCACACCTCCGGCACCCCACTCTGGACGCAAACCAGAAAGACGGGCTTCCGCCGCGCCGAGCTGATCCAAGTGCCCGATGCTCTCGGAAAGTCCTTTTACTTCCGCATCAACAACCTCGACGTCTTCGCCGGCGGCTCCTGCTGGATCCCCGCCGACAGCTTCCACGCCTCCATCAGCCCCCAACGATACCGCGCGTGGGCGGAGCTCCTGGCCGCCTCTAACCAGAACATGCTCCGCGTCTGGGGCGGCGGGGTGTACGAGGCCGACGCGCTGCTCGAGGCGTGCGACGAGCTGGGCGTGATGGTGTGGCACGACTTTTGCTTCGCGTGCGGGAGTTACCCGGCCTACCCTTCGTTCTTGAAGAGCGTCGAGGAGGAGGCGAGGCAGAATCTGAGACGGTTGAGAGGGCATCCGAGTATAGTCATCTGGGCGGGGAATAACGAGGACTACCAGGTGCAAGAGAGATACCAGCTGGAGTACCGGTTCGACGAGGACAAGGACCCAGAGTCCTGGCTCAGGTCGAGTTTCCCGGCGAGGTATCTGTATGAGTATCTCTTGCCCAAGATTGTGAAGGAGGAGAGCCCGCATACGGCTTATCACCCGAGCAGTCCTTGGGGGGATGGAAAACCTACTGCCGACCCGACGGTCGGCGATATCCATCAGTGGAACAGTAAGTGCCCTTTTTTACCCCAGCCCATCACCAGACTAACACCCTCAGTCTGGCACGGCGCCATGAACAAATACCAAGACGCCCACCTCCTAACCGGCCGCTTCGTCTCCGAGTTCGGCATGGAGGGCTACCCTCACCTCTCTACCACGACGGCCATGCTTACCGCGCCATCCCAGCGACGTCCCGGCTCCATGGCCCTCGACTTCCGCAACAAGGCCTACGACCACGAACGCCGCATGATGACCTACGTCGCCGAGAACTTCTCGTTATCATACGACCTGCCCCGCTTCACGCATCTCACCCAGCTGATGCAGGCCGAGGCCATGTCTTTCACCTACAAGGCCTGGCGCCGGAACTGGGGCACCGGCGGGGCGAGAGGTTGCGGCGGCGCGCTGGTGTGGCAGCTCAACGACTGCTGGCCGACAGTGAGTTGGGCCGTTGTGGACTACTGGCTCGTGCCGAAGCCTGCTTTCTACGCAATCGCGCGGGCCTTGAGGGTGTTGGACGTCGGTGTAAGAAGGCGGGTCGACGAATGGACCAAGTGCCATGCAGACCCGACGATGGGCGCGAGGGGCACCGAGTTCGAGGTTTGGGTAGCGAGCGGCCGGCAGGATGCCGTCGCGGGCGATCTGGTGGTGCGGTTCATCTCCATCAGGACTGGGAGGGAGGTGACGCAGCGGGTTGAGAAGAAGGTTGTGGCGAAGGAAAATGCGACGACGGATGTTCTGGAGAAGCAGATCATCAGCCCCGTGAAGCAGGAGTTCCGGGACGCGAGTGTGCCGTTTCACCCAGGGGAGGATGATCCGTTTGTTATCCACGCGACGCTTACTGTGGATGGAAAGGTTGTGGCAGAGGACACGGCGTGGCCGCAGCCGCTCAAGTACCTCGAATTTTCGGACCGGGGCGTAAGGACGTCGGTGGAGGAAGGGCAGTTGATTGTCTATACGGAGAAGCCAGTCAAGGGGTTCGTCATCCAGGAGGAGCGGGGGATGAAGCTGAGTGATAACGGGTTTGACATCGTGCCGGGCGAGGAGAAGGTGGTTCGGGTAGATGGCATCGAGGTTGAGAAATTGAGGTGGACATATCTAGGGGCACCGGAGGCGTCGCTGGGGTTGTCAAGCTAGAACCTGGTTGTGTGTAGCAGCTTATCGCGACTTGGCACTTATACACTGAAGACTCCGTTGATACAGAGAAGAGTTGTTGGTTCATACTGGGTTTTCATTCCTCATTACGGCGTAAGATTACAGCTATGGAGACAGTTTTCCTTCTTCGTCAATCTCTGTTGAAATGAGATTTATGGTGATTGCGATCTCACATGATCAAATGATATCACCACCGAAGCCACCACCGCCAAATCCGCCACCAAAGCCCCCTGGGCCTCCGAAGGGATTTCCTCGCCCACCGCCATGCCGGGGTAGGCCGCCTGGGCCAACAGGGTCCCACCTAGCTCCCGGTGGCGCTTGCGGATCATACCCACCACCCTGTCCGCCTTGGCCACCGAATAAGGGGTCATCGAATGTCGGGTGCATTCCACCTCCACCTCCAGGACGAGGCAGACCGCCGCCGCCAATAAAGTGAGGCCTCAGAGGGTCGTGAGGTCCCAGACCGGGCGGGTTCAGGTCATCGTGACCAATGTTGTAGGGAGAGCGGCCCGGGACGCCCAGAGGTCTAGGTGGCCTGTTGACCTCGTACTCGTCCTCAAAATCGGGCGGAGGGAAATCCCCAACAGGAACGGGCCGTCTGGGAGGTTGGGCCAGAGGGTCGTTGATGGGGTACGGTCGAGCTGGATCAGGGAGATCGCCAGGCATCGGCCGTCCGGGTCGGCCAGCTTGAGCACGACCTTCGCGCTGTGCGCCCTCTACAGCATCCCGGTCGTCGGGAGACTCTTCATAGCCTTCGATTTGCAGCTTCGGGATAAGCTTCTGTACAATGTTTGTCTTGAACTGGTCAATGAGATTGTTGATGGCGGACTCGGATACAAATGCATCTTTGAGCTTCTGGACGAGGTCGCTCCTGTCTTCGGTGCCGTCCTCGGCAAGTGTGATGCGCAGGGGCAGCTTAGCGTTATTGACAAAGTCCTTCGTTGTGATCTCGAATCTGTGGATGACGTCGTGGCCGACGGCGAGCCCACTGATCTCGATCTTGCCGCCGACTTTGCTAATCCGGATGATGGAGGTCATGGAGGACTGCTTGTGGGCGTAAACGAAGCGGAGAGTGCCATAGCCGGCATTCCACGATGCGGGTAGTCGCGGGGCGAGAGTCTGGATTTCTTCCTCTGCGGCAGGGGTTAGCTGGGGGCGACCAGGGGCGGGTTTGGTGGCGTTGGCAGACGTACCTATCCTCTTCTCTTCGTCGAAACCGAGCAGGCGGAACTTGAGAGATGCCATGCAGGCATGGGCAAGGAGGGCAGGCAGCTCATATCCACTGCTAATGTCGGAGGTGGTGTCGCCCTTGGGGTGCGTTGGCAAGGCATCTGCCATCAGCTGCAGTATGGACTGCGGGGTGAGTGGATTCGCCATTGTGTAGTTCGAGCGATGAGGGGCAGATATGCAGGCTCGTTGGATGTGTGGTTGCAAAGGTGAAGTTTGGAAAAATGTGCCAGTGAAGAAACGCAGGACTTAAGTAGACGGTGATTGAGGCTTAGAGGGTTTCAGGCTTCAACCTCTGTCGTTGGGCTTGAGGACGTGAAGGTGGTGGAATCAGAAATGGAAAAATCGGGGGAGGAAGCTAAGCTCTGGCTCGCAGCTGCGGGCAGCTCGCATGGTGGCGTCACAGACTGGCTGCCTTCAGCCTTAAATATGGAGTGGCCCCGCGCTCTGTATCCTATTGCAGGCTGCCTCTTTGAAGCTGCCCGAAAGTCGATCCCTACCTAGAATCACGTGTAAAATCATGTGATATGGCGTAAGAGTCGCATTCGCGTTCGTCGCGGTCACCGGTGCTTCTCCATTTCCTGTAGCCAACATCACTCCGAGACCCATTTCCTACGGCCTACTTCGCTTTGATGACCCCGGACTATTGAGATTTACTATCTATTTCCGTTCAATAAGTGTTTTCTCCTCGCCTCGGGTGGCACTTTGCGCGCCATGTCGTCTAGTTCAGATGTTGTCCCTGCTCCTCCGGTTTCCATTCCACGCCCGCAGGCAAACACAATCTTGACATCATTCACATCGTTCCTTACCCTTGCGATACACACAATATTGTACCACAGACGTTTATACCCGCAACAGACCTTTCTTATGACCAAAGCCCATAACCTTCCAGTTCCGCAATCCCGCCATCCAGCTCTCTGTGATTGGATCAACTCAGCGTTGGCTGCGATCCAGGACCAGCTTGCACTCGGCGCCGTCTCCAAAATCTGCGTCGTCATTCATGCCCCTGAGACAATGGCTGTCATTGAGAGATGGGTCTTCGATGTCGCCAGCTTTCCTGTCTGGGTTACGGGTAAGGGCAAGGACAAGATGGGTGTGGGGCAGAGGTTCCAGCGAAGAGAAGAAGATGACGATGACGGATCTGTCAATTGGGTCGACGTGAGCGAAGCGTATCGTGGTGCTCTCCGACGTCTTGCGTACGCTGCGGAGATGAAGGGACCTCTTCCGGAGGGATGCACCTTCACGATGGCCGTTGAGCTTAGAGACGAGGCACCAGCACCAATAGGGGTAGGCATTCCTCCCTTTTCAATTACAGATCGGACTGATTGCTGACATGCGATACAGCACCCGCAACCCTGGATTCCTTCCGAGCCATCGCTCCAACCCTCTTCGAGGACGAACCCAGTGCCAGGCTTGAGCATAGGTGGCGCCTCTACCACGCCGCTGCGCTCCGTCGAAGCGGGCCCTCTCTTCTTTGAATGCTGGATTGAGGAAGGGAAACCGCAGTCCACTCCTCCTTCTACGCAAGACTCCTACTTCTCATGAAGCAAACCCTCAGCTTGGAACCCACCATGTCCATGGACTCGTTACATGACCCTCGCGCCATACCGAGCTCATTTGCCTGGTCCACAAGCAATGAGAGAGACCATCTACTAAAGAGTCGTGATGGGCGCCAGTTACGGTCGTGGTTATTGACCCAGTCGGCGGCTATTATTGATCCCTTGGGATTATACAACACTAGTAAGCGACCCATATCGAAGCCTAACCTCTATCTCTTTCAACATCATAACCCTTATTCTTTATAGCACGACCCATCACCTAAGACATGGCAAAAGTCCATGTCTAGCAAGGGTCACACCCTTTGAAACCACGGACTATGAACACGAGCCCTACTACCTGGGTTCACGGATGTAGCTTGAAGTATATTCAATGTCGGCAGCTGGCATAGTGAAGATTGCGCCTAAGACGCAACAATACCACTTTTCATCGATCCCGCTCGGAAGATGATGAAGGGTTTGGATCCCTGTTTGGGATAGAACAGGCTGAAGAAGACTCTGCCGGCAAGCGGGTGTTAAGGATAATCAGCCAGTCATATGACATTGAGGAGCTGACTCTCGATCCAAAGAACTTGTTGATGGAACTATTTGGCGCACCAGACTCAACCTGGATGAGAATTGGCTTCCACAATTCATCTCGAATAAAGTTACATTGAATCAAACAAGTCCCTGGTTGTTTATATTCAAAGTAACGAGAGAAAAGTCGTCGGGGAGTGGGGGATCGAGGGTTTTGGATATTGGGGGATGACTGATGTATTTATGTCTTGTCCCTTCATTGTTACAGTCTGTCGACCGTCGGATCTTTGCCGACCAAGAATGCGACAGCGTCCAGATTGGGTATTGCTCCGCGGAGACTGCGCAAAACTCATATTCGCAATTCCAGCTTTTCAATATCTAAAGTCGGCTATGCGGCATTTGTGCAAACCGTCGGGATTGTATGGCTGCATCCCATGTTGGAGGGGTATCACGTCTTCTCCCTGGTCGATGTCGCAACAGCACCGCTCCGGCCCGGAAAGCTTAGCCCGGCATAAGGCGCAGCATCGGGCATATCCCGACCAACTTTGATCAAAATTCCGGCTTGGTTGCGGATCAAAATCTGAGGGGGGAGTCGAGAATCAAAGCATAGGATGGCTCGCGGTCAACATCCGTGCCCCTCACTCAGGCTGTCGATATGCTCCACCACCTCCCGCCACCACCCGAAGCACGTCTTCGTCTCCCGCGCTGATATCATTATATAGGACTCTTGAATCATTTTCGAAAATAATTTTGCCAGCGGGAGGTGACCAAATATAAGTACTCTTTTCATGGTCGACCCTGAGTTTCTCATATCTGGATGCCACGTGGAAATTGCAAGCATAGCATAGCCCCTTACTTGTGCTAAACATTGTGGTATTGAACCTTGCATAAAATTCCTTGCAGGATGGGTGCTCCGGCTACGAGTTCCATACAAGTCGCGACCGATGTCACAGCGACTCGAAAAGGGAGTTCCGACGATAAGCTGCCCGAGTCCGATGGCGGCATCTCCCCGGTGATTAGCAACCCGAAAGATGATATCGACCCAAAGGAAGAGAGAGCTTTTGTAGGTTATCGAGATACGCTCACTGTATGAACTGGATATCTGACGAATAGGACAGTTGTGGCGCCTCGACCTGTTCTTCTTGTCTATTGGGTTCTTAGGGTACATGTTCAAGTATGTGAGGCGCCCATGGAATAGTGGTCTAAGAATGAAAAACTGACAGCGCATCCTAGGTATATAGACCAGACAAACATTGTATGTGTTGTTTTAATCACCGGTATCCGACCGCAGCTGACACAGACGTTTCTCAGAGCAATGCGTATGTATCCGGAATGAAGGAGGACCTGGGCTTGTTCGGCAATGAACTCAACTACTTCACAACTTTCTTCAAGTAAGTAATCTCTTCCTTTTTTGTGACGGCTCAAGTCTCTAAACAGGTGCGTGTCACAAAAGCATTGGATACATGATCATGCTGTACCCTTCATGCATCATTATCTCTCACTTTGGTCCTTCCCGGTGGTTACCCGCCTGCGAGGTCAGTAATCCACCGGAAAACTTACCTCAAAATCTACTAACTAGCTTATGCAGCTTATCTGGGGTGTCCTTACATGCTGTCTCTCACTTGTAGGCAGCGCCAAGCAGGTATATCTCTCCCATAAAGAACCGGTCTAATGAGGCAGCGAAGTAGGGTGCAGTTGCTAACGGCTGACCAGGTCTATGGTCTTCGCTTCCTGATCGGATTCTTTGAGGGTACCGCTTGGCCTGGATACTTTACCCTCATTAGCCAGTGGTACATGCCTCACGAGGTCGCCTTACGCATGAGCCTCTACAACATTGCACAGCCAGCTGGCGCCATGCTTTCTGGTGCTATGCAGGGAGCCCTTTCAACCAACTTTGAGGGTCTCCATGGCCGGTCTGGTTGGCGTTGGGCTTTCATTATCAATGTGAGTCCAAGGAAGTAACCTTGAATCGATATCCATTGGTATTGACAATCCTGACTAGGGTGTCTGTACCATCGCTGTCGCCATTGCCGCCTTCTTCATCCTCCCTGGCTATGTAAGCTCCCACTTTCTTATGGACACACCTGAGATGTCTTTGAACTCAGTGCTGACACGGATTAAAAGCCTGAACGCCCAAACCCTCTTGCCAAGTTCTACATGAAGCCTAGACACATCGAAATCGCTCTGGCGCGTGCTCGTCGGGTTGGTCGTAAGCCACAGATCGGCATCACGCCAAAGTCGTTCTTGCGATGCTTCACTTTCTGGCAGTTATGGGCGTTTGCGAGTAAGTTTCCACCAAATGATAAGAGGGAGTTCGACAATGTTCTGACAAAACTCCGTAGTCGCGTGGTCCATCGGTGGCAACTTCACCCCAGCTAGCTACTTCAACCTATGGCTCAAGTCTCTAAAGAACGCTGATGGTTCAGTCAAATAGTGGGTTACAACTACACGATGCCAAGTCTAGAAAGCTCATAGCTAACGAGTTTGAAGCTCCGTTGCTATGATTAACTACCTGCCGATCATCGGACAGGCTGTCCAGCTCGTAGCAGAACTGTTGTTCAGCGGTTTAAGTGACTATTTTGGTGTTCGACTGCCATTTTTGCTTCTTCATTCTGTACGTCTACACATACGCAAATACTTCAAAGCGCCGGACGACTGACAGCTGACAATGTGCTGGACAGGCCATCAACATCACTTCTCAGATCATTCTCATTGTACGGCCTAGCAACCAGCAGGCTTACATGGCCGGCTGGTACATGAATTACATTGGAGCGTACGTTGACAAAACTCGAGAATCCTTAGGATCAAACGTCTAACTAGTCTTAGTGTTTCCACGATGCTTCTTTGCTCTTGGGCATCAGCACATCTCCAAGGCGAGCCCCAAGTACGTACGGTACTCTTCGCGAGCGGCACCATCCTGTCGTATCTCATGAGCGCCTTCATCCCTATCGCAGCTTTCCCAGCATCCGAGGCCCCTCACTGGCGCATCGGATCTAAGCTCTATCTTGGATTTGCCCTTGTGTCTAGTGTGATGTTCGTCGGAATTCACTTTGCGTTCAAGTGGGAAGAGAAAAGAAAGGCAAAGGACGCAGTCAAGGAAGGCTTGACAGGGGAGCCGGATAATGCAGATGCCGGTGTCAAGTCGGTGATCGAGGGGCCAAACAGCACATCCGCGGAAACGAAGACACTGGGAAAGTTTCATGATAGACCTCAGTAGCGATGTCTGAACGATAAGTTTGATACGAGTCGTAGGCCTGTCTTTAATTACGCCTCATCGTTATTGGAGGTCGGGATCTGTAGAGCGTGACTCGACTGTCAGACTTCTTGCCTTCTGGAAAAGCTCGAACGCGATGCTTAGAATCATAACAAAGGGTTTATGCTAATATTGACTTCATAATTTCGAGACTATCACAAATAGAAACGAGTTTGTGACATCCAAAATCCACAGGAAGTGCATGAATAGTATACAAAAAGGAGCCCAATTGCATGAGCCTTCTTTACAGCTGCTCCAAACTACACTGTATAATGAGGCACGGGTTGAACAGCCCCATTTGTTCTCTTTTCAAATTTTTTTTTTTTTGCACGTTAAATACATTGGAAGTGGTATCATTACACTGGCGTCACTGATGCCCTGCAAGTGCGAGAAACCGGGCAGACTAATCCGACGGCACGATATGGAGACATATACTGAAAATCAATTCTCTAGCCCTGGTTGTCTCATCATATTATGCTACAGATGCAGAAATTCTCGTTCATCAGAGACATTCATGTGCTCTGGTGAAGTACAAAGAAAGCTGTGGTTTATATGTGAAAGCTGTGCCACCAACAACTCCTATCGAAAAGACAAATTGAACATGCTCTCAAGCACCAACTCTCGCACTACTTCTCCTCGTCCTTATGTCGGGGCCGAGGAGGAAAGTAGTCAATCTCACTCCCAGGAATTACTTCGACAATCCTCGAATGGTCTCGACCCCGGCCCTCGAAATACTCTCTGATGTCGTACTGCCTCGCAGGTCTACTCCGGAACTGTTCCCATCTGGTTCTTGAATCCTGCTGCTGAGGTTGAGGACGACTCTGATGCCTGCCCACGGTAGCTGCATCGCTCCTCGGTTGGTTGTGCTGACTCTCACTGATCGCCGGACTGTCGTCTTTCTGTCTGGGTATATCCATGCCCCTCCGTGTCGTATGGCTTTCACTGCCGCTGCTCTGACTAGAAGAGGAGCTCTCGTCATATCTCGCGTACCGCTCACGAGGTGGTCTTCGCACAGGGGCAGGGCTTCTCCTTAACGGGGCCGGACTCCTTCTGATCTGGACTGGGCTCCTTCTAACAGGTCCTGGACCCCAACTCATCCGACTTTTGGTTGCTCCTCCTCCACTGCCACCTCCTGGAGGACGTCGGGGACGCACGTCGATAACTTGCGGAGGCACATTGCCCTGAAAGATCTGCTTCACCATCATCCGGGTATAAGTCACCTCTCTCTCCGTCCGCCGCGCCATGATCCGCCCAACCTCATCCGACAGCCTCCTCACATCGTCCTTGACCTGCCACCAGATGAATCGGTGCACAAAGTCACATTTATACAGCGCACTCCAGTCTGCAAAACTTCCCGCCTCGCCGTGCCTCTCCAAGTCGGGACGGACCTTCTCATCAAGGTCCTCTTCGACCCAGGCCGCGCCGTTGTGAATGGCCTCGGCGCGGTACCCGCTCGCGACGAGAAAGGGCCTCTCAATTTCTTTGAAGCTGCACCAGAGGTCCCGCAACGTTATGTAATGGAGAGGCAGAGTCTTCTCGGCGTAGGCAAACGCCTTAAGGGCCTCGTGACTGGCTAGCCTATCGCCGATGCTCGACACCCGCTGGCGGAATTTGCTCTTGGACCGTAGTTCCTTCGTCTGGTGTCGCAGTGCCTCTCGTTCCTCGCATAGTTGCTGTCGGAGGTTTCCTAAAGAGTCTCGGATATCGCTAGGAGCGGAGCGGATAGTAGCGACGAAGTTGGCGTATAAAGCGATCAAGTTGAGGATTGTCAGGGCGAAAGATAGGATCCCCGTAACGAAGGAGACCCAGTTCAGAGAGCTTGGAACGTCGGCGGTCATCTGGGGCTACACAGACTATTGCCAGCATTTTGGTAACTTCGGTTTGGCATTTTTGCAAACCACTGGAGGGAGTACACTGGTATTAAGCTCCATCAAAGAGGACGAAGCCGTGCTGTCGTGTAGGTATTCACGTGGTTGCTAGTGTCTCCCATCAGCACTATCGTTGTTAGCCTGAAGGAGCTTAGATGGTCGCATAGCGCTGCCAGTTGTCAACGGTCACGAATCACTCACAGCCAATAATGCTGTATAATATGAGTTTTGATGCGGTTTTAGGTTGATCTTTGAGAATTAGTTTGCAGGAGCTGCACGAGTGCTTTGTGGCTGGTAAGCTGTGCTCAGTCGCCGTGACATAACCTGTTCGCTACAGTAAGGTGGCCATAATGGCTCGAGACACCAGTCATGGATACGCTTGCAGCGGGCGAGCTCAATTAATGTGCCAGGCGATCCGGATACCTCCAGTCAATGCGACTATTAGGGGATTCCTGGTTTCCTCAGTCATCACTCAAGGACGAGGGGCTCGCTATATACCGTGCCACAAGCTAAGCTGATTCAATCCTTCGGACCGTTCATGTTACTACTGGTTGTCCCGTGTCAAATCACTGCGCCACTCTGTCGATCATTAGACACAATAGAGCAATGCCAAAGGGGACTTGGAAAGTAGGAGAAATTATTCTCTGGACCCTAGACGACAATACAAACATGAATAGGAAGAAGAACTGAGTGGACTTGGAACCCAACTGCATTCTGAATCTCTTAAACCATAGCCCAATTCATTTGTGAGTCAAGATTGAGTAAAGACAGGCATACTCACTGTGAAATCCCACAAATAACTAATATGAATGTGTTTGCTAAAGAACGGAGGTTGGGGAGGATGAAGTTGCAAGTCGGAAGCTTGCAGGGAGCTCGTCCCCCACCAGTCCCGACCAGGATTAGCTCCACCATTCTTCTTATCGATAAGCCACCCTGACGACCTTCCCACCGTGGGGTAGACTCACCGGGCGCATCCAAAAATTTACTGTACATCAAAGTCACTTCTCAACCTCGACGAGTCGCTACATTTTGTTACCAAGCACGCCCAACCAGCACAGAGATACTTCCCACTTCAACGATGCCCGCACCGACCGCAAAAATGGACCCCCCGACGAGTCCTTCGACCCGGACCCCGTCATCGCCTCCTACGACGTCTTCTTCAACCCGTCCCTCCCGCAGGGCCGTAAGCTCTGGGTCCTCCAGCAGCCCAACCGTACCGACCCGCGCCAGACCACCCCGACCGAGATGCGCCTCAAGGCCCGCTCCGGCATGGTCGAGGTCGATGTGCCCCTCGACTACACCCAGTCCTACGACCGTGAGAAGGGCATGAAGTGGGGCCGCCAGCTCAAGGCCAGTCTCGAGGCCAAGAACGGCGGCACCCACGGCCTGTCCGGCGGCTTCGGCGTCGGCGCTCCTCCCCCACGGCCCAAGAGGCGCGGCGAGATCGACTTGGAGGACGAGATGTACCTCGAGTGGCCAGAAGCCGTGCGCCAGGACAAAGTACTGCGGACGCAGACCCTCGGCGGCCAGTGTCCCGACCATAAGGAAGTCCAGTACATGATTGGCGTCTTCCAAGGCAGTAAGTTCCATTCGCCTCCTTTCCTTCTCTTTCCAGTCTGCTAACCACACCTCAGAGGACCTCCACCTCACACCCGTCACAAACCTCGTCCACCTCCGCCCCCAACTCCATCATGTCGACGCCGTAGCCCAACAAGAGCGCAACGCCTCCGCCGCAGCGGCCAAGGAATCTGCCGCGGCAGCAGGTGCTGGTCCGGGAGGCGCAGGCGGCGGGGCGGCGCAGGGCTCCTCCGCGGCGGCGCGCGCGATCCACATGACCATCAAGACGACGCCCGACGGCGCCACTGCAAAGAGCGAGACCATGGCCGACCGCCTCCGCGCGGTACAGATGGAGAACTGGCGCAAGCTCAAGTACACTGACGAAAACGACGAGGCCGCCTGGGAGATCTACCAGGAGAGTCTCATCATGCGCGCGCCCGGCGACGCGGGCAAATTGCAGCTGCCGCCGGCTGACGAGGAGGACGAGGAGAAGAAGAAGGCTGCTCTCGAGGGCGCCAAGGAGCTTGAGTCAAAGCCCGTGGTGGATTTGGCGGAGCAGGTTGCGAGGTTGGAGACAAAGTGGGGTGACGACGAGTTGTTGGAGGCCGTGAGTGGTATCAAGAAGCCGAAGCCGCTGTCCAAAGCAGAGTTGGAAGCCGAGGCGGCCGCTGCAGCGGCTGCTGAAGAGGAGGCGCGGAAGATGAAGCCAAAGGCTCGAGGCGCAGTGACATCGCGACGAGGAGGCAAGGCAAGGGCGGCGCCTGCGCAAGCTTCTTCCAGCATGGACCTGACATGATGAGTGGTCTCCCAATAGTAGGCTCTGATTTGCATAGCTTGGGCGTTGCGGCATGGTAAACAAAACGGATTCATTCAAGGATGGACTGCTTCTTATTTTTTGAACTTCAAATGCAGATTTTCTTTGCTCTAACTAGCAAGACTGGGTCGCAATGCACCGCCAATACCATCATGGCAGGGCCATCTCAAAAGAGTCGTGTGCTCCATGTACACGAGATATGTTTTGTGCATATTGCCTAGAGACAGACAACCTTTCCGCAAGTTGAAGCCTCATAAAAGCTGCAGCCCCAGTACTACAGCTTTGTAGCGGCTTCCGTGCCCTCAAAAAATCACGGGCCATGCGAAAATGATTAACTCGTCGTGTCCCAAGCGTCCAACGCATACTATCAATCAAATATAATGCGTCCTCAGCCACGACTGGCGCAACGAACGCTAAGATGGCAACTTCATCCCTCTTAAACCCCTTACTGAAGCAATTCAACATCCAAGCCAATGGAGTGCATGAAGAGGTTGACAGTAGCCAACCGAGTAGTTGCCATAGCGCCAGGAAGCGTCTTTGCGTGAGCGACTGTATCGAGCACACGGTCCTTGACAGCAAGAACCAGGCGCTGCTGCTGTTCGGGGTTGGCGCTGACACCAACAGCTGCGAGAAGCTGCCAAACAACGACGTCTTCTCCCGTATTGACGCTGCCAGGGAAGATGTGATGAAGAGTAGGCTCAAGCTTGTTGAAGAACAAGTTGAAGGTTTGCTCCCTACAATGATATTAGTGTATGTCAATGGAAAAAAGCAGGTTATGTAATGCTTACCATTCAGCCCACAGCTGCGGAGTACCGCCACCACCTTGCTTTAACAATTCGGCTCTGCTCAGAATCAGAGTCAACATCGAGCAACCCACACGTGTCTTGGCAATGAGGTCGATGTTCAGCTTGGTGCTAATAAGACCAAGAACACCCGTCACGATATCAAGCTCGGTCTCGTTGAAGTAAGCAAACAGGCTCGGCATCACAGCGGCAGAGAAGAGTTCAATGCTCTCGCGCATAGCAGCGTTGAGGCTGACCTCGCCGTCAGTAGTCTGAGCACCGTAGACCACATCGAGTTGGTCGAGGTGAATGATGATCATGGTCAAGATCGTGGTGCGCTGTTCGAAGCTGATGTGTCGGAAGACACGAGGAATGGCCTTCTTGCCCTTAGGGAACGATAGGAACGCGATGAAAGGGTGGATGGTAGTCGCACCGATGGGCTCGTGAACCTTGAGGTCGTTCCAGAGCTGGGCGTTGAGCGCTTGGGCTGTCTCCAACCACGCCTGGTGCTTGACGTGGAACTCTTCGTCATTGCCATTGGCAGGCGGGGGAGGGATGAAGCGGGCGTGGTCCTCCATCTTCATGATGGTATTGTAGACCTTTTCGATGTTTCGCAGAATAGCCTTGCGATCCAGACCATTCGAATCGCCATGACGCTTGCCATTGCCAGGACGGTTAGCGTCCCCGCTGCTGTCGGTTCGTTTGATGTTGAGAAGGGGCTTCGGTGTCTTGGCGTTGCTGAAGGAGATCTTTCCGAGACTGCCAGCAATGACCAACTGAGGGTTCTTGGGCTTGTTCTTGGCAGCCTCGACGGCACGCTGAACTTGTTGTTCCATCCGCTGAACATGGTTCTCGGCAGCCCGTCCCTGTCTTCTCATGTTGCCCTGGCGACTTCCAGTCTGGAATAGGTAGGTCTGGGCGAAGTTGTTCAGAGGTTGGTTCGGGTTCTGGCGCTGGCCACCGCGGATCTGGCTCAGTACCTGGTAGTAAAAGTCCTCAGTCAGGGAGTCGTCGTTGGTCTGATCGATAGGGTTGCCAGTGGCCGATACCAGTTGCTGCAGTTGGATACGAGTTACAAAGTTCTTGTCCTGAGGCGTCATGAGGCCGTTGTCCTTGGACAAGAGCCAAATCTTGTGGTTGCGTTTAGCACGTTTAGTTTCTTGGTCGAGGTACGCAGCCTTCTCATCTTCGGAGAGGTGAGCAAGATGCTGCTGCTGCTGCTGCTGCTGGGCGACCTGAGGGACACGGCCCATGGAACCTTGCGATCGATGGGCCTGGTGCTGACCGTGAGGCGGCTGGCCATGTGCCCCGATCCGAGCGGCATCGCCCGAAAGCCTATTGGGGTTCTGCAAGATCTGAGTCGGCTGCGTAGGCGGAGCTTGAGAGTGGGGGGGTTGAGCAAGAGGGCTGGGGGTGCTTTGAATAGGCGGCGTGGGCTTCGAGGTGATAGACTGGGGTCGCTGAAGGATGGTAACAGGGTGGCCATGGCCGGCGTGCTGGGGAGCCTGACCAGCACGTTGCTGATGATGCTCGACGCCCTGGAAGGATTGCTGTTGAGCAGGCTCCGGTCGGCCATAGCCGTAATCAGCCCGATCGGCCGGATAGCCCTGAGCGCCCGGCGCAGACTCTGAAAGAGCAGGATGGGCCGTTCGCTTGGTAGCCTGCTCTCGCATTGCCTTTTCCACCTCTTCCAGACTCATCACCTTGCGGCTAGCAGAGGCAGCTTGCGGCTGCGGCGAAGGCTCCGGGACGATGGGTTTCTTGGAAGGCATGCCCCAGAGTGATGCGTCGACATGGAGGTCGGGGATAGGCTCTGCCTCTTGGTACTTCTCATAGCCGGTGCGGACAGGTCTGGGAGCCTGCTGGCTTTGATAGTAGTAGTTCGGCGGAGGCTGAGCCTGCTGCTGGTAGTGCTGTTGCTGTTGGACCGACGCCGGGGCGGGGGCTGGCTTCGCCGTGGGGACCTGGCGGCTGTAGCGGACTTGCTCTTCTTCGATAGCATCCGACACTTTGGCTGTTTGGCCAAAGAAGTCAAAGTCCTTGCCGACGGGGGCAGAAGAGATGGTGTCGTTGCCACCGCCTCCGAAAGTGTCGTCGTTGAAAGCATCGCCGCTCTCTTCAAGCTGATCGCCTAGACCATCATACGTGTCGTCGAACTCGACAGCATCGTCGTCTTCGGTGTTACCGCGAGAGAGGCCAGCGAAAGGATCGTGGGCTTGAGAAAAGCCCGGCGCCGCCGTGTTGTGGCTCGGGCGCGTCGGGTCGAAACCGAAGAAGGACATGTTGGGAAGCTGATCCGTCTTCTAATCTGTTCAGGGGAAAGATAGCTGTATACTAGGTACTAGTCAGCATTTGAAGTCGAGCATCTGACGTACGATGAGGCAAATAGATGGTAAGTACGAGATCCAGACCAGCGAAGGCAGAATAGGTGAGACGAGAGGAAGAAGGATCAATGACAAGACTACGAGGGAATCCTGATTCAAGAAGAGGCAAGGGCCCGTCCCGGCACTTTCAGCGCGGTGAGAGTGATATGTGGCGAGGAAGCTACCCACCAGCTCCCACCTGCTCTCGCCTTTGCACGACGAGCGTTGATGGGAGACGGCCTTGTAGAAGTAGAATGCGGCAGGCTACTCTGAGGGTCCTCTCGAAGGCCCTGACGAGACTGGGAAGATGACGCGACTTACCACTAAGAGAATGAGATATCTGTGGCTTTAGGTAGAGGTGCTTCCAAAACTATCATCATGTCGTCAAAGACCAATTCCAAAAGTGGGAGGAAAGCGACAAGGCATAAACAGGGGATTATAGCCGGTCTGCTTGGTACATTGACATCCAGAGGAATCAGTTCCACGAAGGCACAAGGTCGAAAACAATGCGCCAGGTGCGGTGCAGTGCTGTGGAAGGAAACAAAAGAGTCGCGTCGCTTGGGGTTGGGATGCGATGACCAAAGTGGTGATGCACTATTCGCATCCGTGGGGAGGAATTGAGGCTCGAGAGCCTTGGGGACCCCACTACCTGGCTACATCCGGACCAATGGGGAGCTCGACTGGCTGAGCTGCCAGGACGAATGTCACGTGACTTATTAGTCACTCACCGACCACCCGGGGGGTAGCCCCTCCCGTCATCGTGGCCTGTATTTCGTCCACCGAATATGGATAGAGGGGTCCTGGCAGGGTTTCCACTGTTTTCGACACACATCAACCACTGCTTCCCAGTGATGTAATTGAAGGGTTCCAGCTTTCTGCCAACTGATGTACTTTCCGCCCTACTCAGCCGACTTATATGATGTTTTTTTTTGCAGCACATGGAGCCTGGCATGTTTTTTCTGGGAAGGCCAATGCTCAAGCACGGGTGGGAAATCTCCAAGACCGACAACCCTAGATTTTGAGGTTCGTGCTGTTAATACGATATATCGCCAGGTGAAGGTGATTCATATCCAAACAACTTGATTACCCTCACCAGTTGACGATACCACGTCTCTCTAATGCGGACAAATGCAGACCAACGCGCAGCAAGTCATGTACGCTGTCTGTTTCTAGCATGAGACGAAGTCCGAGAGGACCTGTATGTAGCCATCGCATTTGTAGGGCTCATGTCGCACTGTCGCTATTCGAGTTGCAATGAGTCTACCGATCCTTCAAATGTCGGTTGCACGGCGTGAATGAGGTAGGCAACTGGCTTGACGGATCACATCTCATGGTCGTTGAAGCATCACATTTTGGAACAATTCAATGATGCCTGACATATTGTCTTGCTTGTAGCCAGCCCCCTGCAGTTTTTGGGCTTGCTTGCGCTATCATGGTGTTAACTTGAATTACTCGACTGCAGGGAGCGCAGGTGATGTCCTCAGTGACCCAACATGAGGACTGTGGGTAACAGTGTTTTCAAAGCCTCCTGTCTTGACTTGGGTCTACCTCAATTCCAGTCTACATGGGTCTGATGGAAGCGGGAAATCGGGTCGAACGGTCCCAGGTATGACAAGCACCCTGGGCGCTCGCCATATCGGCCAGGAATTCATTCCTTGGCCGTGGCTATTCGCAGGCGGTAGGCATACCGCCCAGTGGCTAGTGGCACTCCGAGTTTGACGGGTTCATCCCGTTTCCTAGGGCCCAAAGGTACTACCAAAACAGTCTATAAAGAGCCGTGGGTGGCTGCTTCGGAGCGTTCCATGTACCGGATAAGGTACTTGGTTACAGGTTGGACGCCGCGAACATGAGAGCACGATCACCCCAACGCTCTGTGCTCTGCGAGATGGTGTTCTGATCTTTCGGACAGTCCGCTGTCAAGAATGCATTGTCAGATGGAACCCCCCGGACAACATGTTGGCTAAGTCTCGAAGAAAACAGTCGACAGCTTATCCAAGTGTTGCTGCGCATAGACTGCCGATAGCCACCATGGGCCAACGCAATCCCAGACTCCATACGTCTTCATCGGTTGCGGGCGACGAAGTCGGTTTCGGCGAGCTGAGGTTGACTTCCAGCACAGCCTTCGGGGACCAATGCCACGGCGATTGGCTGCATGGCTCTCGGGCGCGATACGAGCGGCGAGTAAAAGGCACGCGGGAGCCACAGGAACCCAACAATTGCCAAACTGACATTATCGAAAGGTGTCCCGTTCGTTCGGCGTAAGACAGACGCCAAGAGGCCAGTGAGGATGCTACGTGCGGTTCGACGCTATTGGGAGCTATTTTTCTCGTTGCCTGCCAAAAAGCACCGGCATTTCTTCTCGGCCTCCGTAGATTCTGCAGGTGGTAAAGTCAGAGAGTATCTGGCCAATTTAGACGAGGCCGCTAGATCTGTCAGGGGGCATCGACCGCGTGTACTTGTACATGTTAGAAGAAAACACAGGGGTTGGACTGCGCTGAAACGAAGGACAGAAGCAATGGCAGCGAGTATCTTGTCTTGGATGGGCTCAGGGCTGAAGCTGTTTGGGGATGCAATGCAAGCAGATTCTCACAGTTGCCACGCTCCCTGTCCCCTGATCATCAATGGAGAATTGGGGACTGCCTTAGCCCAAGAATTGGGAGCGGGTACGCGGCAGCCACATGCGGCGACAAGAGGTACGTGGAGGATACTTAGTTGTCAGACGACTGCCGCCCCCAAAATCCATGTCTCTTTTCGCTTGCGCTTGTGTACTGGCAGTCGTAAGCCAGTGTGCTGCATTACCTAGACAAGCTGCTCTCCCTTCTGACCATCAATTCGAGCCTGTATCTGTAATGAGGTTTGCTGCATATCTGTCTAGTTGATATGACTTGTGCCCAGCTCATGGTGTCTGGTGGAATGAAAAAGAACTCTGTTTAAGAGCCGTGGGTTCAACTTTACAACGTCTCTAAGTACCCGAGCAGTGAATTGCGGATATTATCACCAGCTTGCTGGCAGAAAGTATCCTTCCATAGAAGACACGCAGCCAGATACCTGGCGCCTTTTTGAGTTGCAAAGCTCCCGGGTTCAGGCCAGCTGCTGCCCCACCCCCTTTATTCCAAGTCGCGGTACTTTTCTGGCTAGCGTTCCCTCTTCTCGGGGGTGGGCGCACCGCGTACGCTGCATTCGTACCCCCTCAACCCTGTGAAAGTCCATCAGGTCCCCCGGAACCAGTCGTCGCTAGCGCGCCAGCTGCTCCTCCAGCTCCTCTGGACATTTATCCTTGAAGCCATCTTTCAGTATTTACTCCTGCGTCCCTCTCGCTTTTTTTTCTTCTCCCTCTATTCGCCCTTGTTCATCCTGGGGGAAGAGCGATATATTTCCCACCTCTTACTTCAACCTTTTTCTTCTTCTCCCGATTCGAGCTTCCATCGTCGACCTGGTAAAATTGGTCAAGATGGCGACGGGCTCTGCACGATATGTGCGATACATTCTTTTCGCCTTCTTCGTAAGTTGAAATCCTCAGCTACCAGTCTGCGCCACCGTAGCTAGCTCTGAGCCCTGGAAGATGTGGTTTCCCTTGCATCACCATCGTATCTTTCTTTGCATTGTCTAGTCGTGTCTTTCGAATAACATGCTTACACCTCTCTCTACGCGCAGGGCCTCGCCGTTTTCTACTTCATCTCCCACTCCAACTACGAGGGCGCAAGACTTCAGGATGGCACATTCAGCAAGCCAGGCGCTCCCGCCAACAGCCAACAGCAAGGCGATCGCAAGGATGCAGAGAAACCCAAGCAGCCCGCCCAACCCGATGCGAACCGGCCCAAGGTCGGCGAAGCCTATGACCCCAAGGACTGGCCCATGGCCATCACCCCGAACGAGCCTGGCTGGGACGAGCTGTCCGGCATCGCACCGGGCCCGCGCATGAATGCCACCTTCGTTACCCTTGCCCGCAACTCCGACATCTGGGACATTGCACGCTCCATCCGTCAGGTCGAAGATCGGTTCAACCGCCGCTATAACTACGACTGGGTCTTCCTGAACGACAAGCCCTTCGACGCCACCTTCAAGAAGGTTACGACCTCACTCGTCTCCGGCAAGACTCACTACGGCGAAATTCCCAAGGAGCATTGGTCCTTCCCCGAGTGGATTGACCAGGAAAAGGCCCGCAAGGTCCGCGAGGACATGGCCCAGCGCAAGATCATCTACGGCGACTCTGTGAGCTACCGTCACATGTGCCGCTTTGAGTCTGGCTTCTTCTTCCGCCAGCCCGCCATGATGAACTACGACTACTACTGGCGTGTCGAGCCCTCCATCGAGCTCTTCTGCGACATTCACTACGATCCCTTCCGCTTCATGAAGGAGAACAACAAGAAGTACAGCTTCGTCCTGAGCTTGTACGAGTACGTTGAAACCATCCCAACTCTTTGGGACAGCACCAAGAAGTTCATGAAGAACCACCCCGAGCACATTGCCGAGGGCAACTCCATGGGCTTCTTGAGTGACGACGGCGGTGACACCTACAACCACTGCCATTTCGTAAGTTGATTCGGACCATGCCATGTACGCTACATACTGACCTTTATCAGTGGTCCAACTTTGAAGTTGGTGACCTCAACTGGCTCCGATCCCAGCAGTACATCGACTACTTCGAGTCCCTCGACCAGGACGGCGGTTTCTTCTACGAGCGATGGGGTGACGCCCCTGTGCACTCGATCGCTGCTAGTCTCATGCTGCCCAAGGACCAAATCCACTTCTTCAACGACATCGCCTACTACCACGTTCCCTTCACTCACTGCCCCACCGGTGAGAAGGTCCGTCTTGACAGGCGCTGCCATTGCAACCCCAAGGACAATTTCGACTGGAAGGGTTACTCTTGTAAGTTGAGCCACTTGAAACCCGGCTCAAGACTGATTGCTGACATACATCAGGCACGAGTCGCTTCTTCGAGGTCAACGGAATGGAAAAGCCAGAGGGATACGAGAACCAGCAGGATTAAGTTCGTCAAGGGGTACAGTGAGCGTACAGTATGTATCAACAAGTTTCAAAAGGGGCCTTGGTTATGGCCGTCAATTAAGTTCACCTGCGTCAATGAGAGACATTGTGCAGGTCGGGGCACTAAACGTGGAGCGGCGTCAATGGTTCTGGACACTTTATGCTTTGTAAATATTATCAAATGGAAAGTGCCGTCTGGAGTTCATCCAGCTTTAAGTTGCTGTTGAATGTTATGGTATTTGGTACAATGTGGTAATAGTACACGCCTTGGCTTGTTATAAACGTATCCGTTGCAATTGGACACTGTAGGCACGCCATCTCAGTTGTATGCCCTTCGCCGCTCCTTCGGCGCCCCCCCCCCCCCCGGCCTTCTAGCTTGTATCTTCCTCTGCCTTGACCCGAAACCCACAGCTTTAGCCAACCGTGGCCTTCTTGGGCTTCATGGTACCGTACTTTGAGCGAGAAGTGGCACGGTTCGCCACACCGCCGAGGTCGAGGGCGCCACGGACGAGGTGGTATCGCACACCGGGACAATCCTGACTGCGACCGCCGCGGACGAGGACGACGCTGTGCTGCTGGATGTTGTGGCCCTCTCCAGGAATGTACGCGGTAACGTGGCGACCATTGGAGAGACGCACACGAGCGGTTTTGCGCTGGCCGGAGTTGGGCTTCTTCGGGCGGGTGATGCCGACCTTGAGGCAAACGCCCTTGAGGGCGGGAGCTTCGATCTCGGACAGGGCGGGGGAGACGGCGTGGCGGGCGCGCTTGCCCTTCTTGTGGCAGCCCTGTGGATGGAACAGTCAGTCAATTCTTCGCTTTGGACAGTTTGGGAGTCGAGGGAAGGGGAGACCAACTCTCAAGACCTGCATGATTGTGGCATTCTGGACGGGAGTAGAGGAGAAGGGGCGGATCAGGGGGGCGGCGGTCGGCGTGAGGAGAGATGCGGCGCGCGGGAAGGTTGCTGGCCTCATCACCGGAGCGAAGAGGGATCTGAAGAGTGTGCTGGCCATGTCGGGCAACAGGGGATCGTCGGCACGTCGTCCAATTGCTGTCGTCACGGCTGCTAGAGCTCTCGTCGCGATGCGCCTACCTTCACCCAGTGGATTATTTTTTGGACTGCTTAGCTAATATCAGTGCACGTGACCCTCCTGTCCATCGTTGTCGGGCCTGAGGCACCGGCCCTCCGTCCCCGGACCCACTCCCTCGGGCCACCTTGGCACCGCCCCCTGGGCCGACGGGACCGGCCTCTTGTCTGTCAGATGGTATCACATGCCCGCATTTCGAGGGAGATCCTGACGTAAGCGACTGAGACCCTGGTTCACTCCTTGGTGCTACGCCGTCGGCTTTCCCCCAGATGGCGAAGCTGGGGGACGGTTGCCCCCCGCTGCGGGATGGATATCCTCGGCTGAAGCGGGCGCTGTGTCTGTTCGCCAGCCGCCAGGTACCGTGGCTTCGAATGGGCTTTGAGGTTCACGGTCTAGGGCGCACCGCATCTCTGACTACTTTTCTGTTTTCTTCCTAGACCCTCATCGGAAACAATCTTGCCTCCCGTCTGCTATTACCCTTTCATTTCGGGAAACCGCTCAACGCCAATTGACCAAATCCGTCCGGGCGTCACCTTCTCGTTAGCATCGCACGGTCGAGAGGACAGACCGAGTCCATAAGTATCTGAGCAGCTCCGACGATCTACGATCACCCATCCCTTCGGCGTCTTTTGCTCTTTCTCTCCCTTGCTTTCTCTAAATTGTTCGGGCGACCTTGACGCTATCTACACTTTACATCTTGCATCATGTCGTCATTTGCACGGGCTATTCGCCCTGCCATGAGGGGCAGCCGTGGTGTTGCTGCTCTCGCTAGAGCGAGGACATGCACTCCGGGCAGAGCCCTCTCGCCACTCCAGCAGTAAGCTGCCAACCTGTCCAACGAACCGCCATCCATGCATCTTTGCAATGCTAACCCGCGCTGTGCAGAACCGCCAGACCTTTTTCCACCACCCAGCGCCGCCGCAATGCCGACCACCTTGACATTACCGACATCCCTCCTACGCCCATTACCCACCTCTCCGAGGTTGAGGCCGCGATGCAGGAGACGGTGAGCAAGTTCGCCAACGACGTGATCGCACCCAAGGTCCGTGAGATGGACGAGGCGGAGAACATGGACCCGGCGATCGTTGAGCAGCTCTTTGAGCAGGGACTTATGGGCGTCGAGATCCCCGAGGAGTACGGCGGCGCCGGCATGAACTTCACGAGCGCCATCATCGGCATTGAGGAGCTCGCACGCGTCGATCCCAGTGTCAGCGTCCTCGTCGACGTCCACAACACCCTCGTCAACACCGCCATCATCAAGTGGGGCAGCTCCCAGCTGAAGCAGCGCTTCCTGCCCAAGCTCGCAACCAACACCGTCGGCAGCTTCTGCCTGAGTGAGCCGGTCAGCGGCTCCGACGCCTTCGCGCTGGCGACCAAGGCAACCAGGACGGAGAGCGGGTACAAGATCAGCGGTTCCAAGATGTGGATCACCAACTCCAAGGAGGCCGACTTCTTCATCGTCTTTGCGAACCTCGACCCCGCCAAGGGGTACAAGGGCATCACTGCCTTCATTGTCGAGAAGAATGCCAAGGGTTTCTCGATCGCCAAGAAGGAGAAGAAGCTTGGCATCAAGGCCAGCAGCACGTGCGTCATCAACTTTGACGACGTCGAGATCCCCAAGGAGAACCTCCTCGGCGAGGAGGGCTCTGGCTACAAGTACGCCATCGGTCTACTGAACGAGGGCCGTATCGGTATCGCTGCTCAGATGACTGGTCTTGCCCTCGGCTCGTGGGAGAACGCCGTCAGGTAGGTTGCCTTCCTTTTCCACAAACACACTCGCTTTGGCCTCTGGGACTAACATCTACCAGGTACGTCTGGAACGACCGCAAGCAGTTCGGCCAGCTCGTCGGCGAGTTCCAGGGCATGCAGCACCAGATCGCGCAGTCGTACACCGAGATTGCCGCGGCGCGTGCGCTGGTCTACAACGCGGCGCGCAAGAAGGAGGCCGGCGACAACTTCGTCATGGACGCCGCCATGGCCAAGCTCTACGCCAGCCAGGTCGCCGGCCGCGTGAGTGGTCTCGCCATCGAGTGGATGGGCGGAATGGGCTTCGTCCGTGACGGCCCCGCCGAGAAATTCTGGCGCGACAGCAAGATCGGCGCCATCTACGAGGGTACCAGCAACATCCAGCTCAACACCATCGCCAAGTTGCTGCAGAAGGAGTACACCGTCTAAGCGCCGTGTTCATTCCTGGGAGGGCTTCTGAGTGAGAGAGTAATGGCGAGATTGACCGAGAGTTGTGTAGGTTATTAGACGGAGTTTAATAAAAAGCGACACAATTTGGTGTTGGGCGCCTTGCCTCCAAAAATGATGTCTTTGCTCATTCTTCCAGGCTGTCTGCATGAGAACCCACTGCAACCGTATACCTCTCGAAGCTTACAACGGAGACGAGATGGCATTGAGGCTTGCCGTTCGGCGAATGTCGACCTGCCACAAGTTGTCTTCTCCTTCCAGGCCCTCCGGTAGCCTGATCCTTGCTAGCCCGCCTGCGTTCGCCATGTTATCTTATATGGAATTGACTCGCTTATTCGAGATCAAAGACTCCGCGTTGACTAATTGTTGGCTCTCAGCAATCATCAGAAGATGCAGTGTATTCTCTGGCAGACCACTGGCTAACTGAATCGTCAGACTGGGATACGCATAGCTGTTGGAATAGCGAAAGAGACTGAGACCAATGCTGGTGGAACAGAAACTCTCTGCGATCCCGCAGATTCTCATTGTGACTATGGGAGTGCACGAACCTCGTCTGCCGTTCGGGTATGTGCTGACAATAAATTGCACTCAGATATATGGTCCAGTTGAAGTGGACATCGTATTTGTGAGAAGCTGTTATCTGGAACCACAGAATGCTCTCACTAAGGTAGATACATCTATTTCTTGATAGCAATATTTAATGCGAATGTAGTGGAAATGCAGTGCACAAGCCTAGTCTATCATACCAAGACTACGATGGCCGGCATATATAGATACATTGTCGTGTTGAAATGCTGCATCCGTCAATTATCACAATTGAGACAGTGCCTTTTCATATGAATGCGCGAATAAAACATGATACTCGTCAGCGTTCGATAGGAATTAGAAGGCGAAAAATAATGTAAATCTTTTGCTATGGTCCTAGGTCTGCGAGCCGCACGCAATAGAACAAACTGTATGGCCATAGTACGAGTCCATACGGAACAGAGCAGCCGCTAATTGGGTCACTGAGGTAAGAAAGCAATAGATAGTTTGATACTCCTCGGATGAAGTCTATTTTGTTTCACATTGCTCTGTCGTACGTATATCAAATTCGATGCGATCACATACCTTCAACATTACGAGATAGAGTATTGCCTGACAAGTTGGACATGAAGATCGATAGCAATTGGCAGTCATCGTTACTCTCGAGATTATAATAAATGTTTCATTAAGGGACTACACCTCAAAGTTCCAATAATACCGAGAGACGTGGGACAGTGATCAGAACCATGACAGGAGCTTGTGACTGACGTCCTCTATGTGATTGTAAAGACGGGGTCTCACATGTACTCATCTGGGAAGGAGTAGTGCAATCTATGAGAACAGTTTGTTTGCTATCTCCATATCCCAGAGATACGCGCAGAATCCTTGCCCAAGGCCCTTTCTCGAAAATCACCGAACTGAAATAGAGAGGAAAGTGGTGGAGCGTGTTAGCCTCGCCACTTGCTTATACTCACCGCGTTATGTATGACGGCTTGTCCGTCCGAAGAGCGACATTTCAAGCGCAAGTGCCGCGTCGGCGGCATAGCCTCGACGACGTACGCATGCCTTGTTGCGGTAAGGTGCTCTGTCGGCTCACATCAGATCAGACTTGCAGACGTCGATCCAGACACACGGACTGTCCTCTAAATCTCGAAGACACAAATTTAGGACTTTATGCGACGGTAGTCCGAGCGGCTCGCGATTGGCTTCGTCGCAACTTTACAACACCAAGGGACGAAAAGCATAAAATATGTCCATAGGTATTTGACAAAACGTCACGGACGGTCAGTCTGATTTCCACAAGAAGGGTCAGGGCATCGGCATGGGCCGCAACTTTCTGTCAGCATTGGCGGAAGCAAATTTTGGTCCATGTCGAGTCTTGATTGTGAAATAGAGAGGCCATCCCGCCGGGATGGTTTCCGCATGGCGCGGGCCGAGGGGTGGAGGGGACCGCCCTGGACGGTGGCCGCGGAGCGAGGGTGGGTCAAAACGGTTCCGCGACGTCGATGTCTTTTGGCTGATGGATGGATAATACGCGGCTCTTGGGCAGGCATTGACGAATCCCAAGCAGACATTGAGGGCCAAGAATTACTAGCTTCTTTGCAATATGGACCGAATGACAAATACGGGCTTTCCTGCGGTGGGAAAGATTAGGTTCGTTTCAAGTGAATGTTACAGTTGGCATTTTGATCGCCCTTGTGTTGGGACGGGACGGACGAGTTGGGCATAGTCGATGACGGGTTTCGAACGGCAGCATCCACCTGCTCCCGTCCCGACGAGGTAAAGAGCGGATTTCGTATTCCAAACCCGTGCTTTCGCGGCGGGGATCCTACCCAGGACCTATCTGAAGACCAATGTGGAATTTGGGAAATCTAAGGTTTGTGGTATGAGTGATCGCTGGAGAGTAGCTGCCGTCCGTGTGGCGCTGTGTAAGTTGAGTAGCGAGAAGGCTGGCCGACAGGTGGTGGCGGGAGGATCTATGGTGAGACCAGTCGGCAAAGGCGTCAGCGGGGAGTCATTCAGCCGGCGAGACTCGGATCACGAGGTGACGGTAGCTCAGAGCCGTGGCGCTGGGGCGGCCTCCTTGACGGCAGGGCCTGGAGCTCTGGCGTATTTGCAGAGCTGGGTTGGATGTTGTTGGGAATCCGACGGTGACACGTGCCGGTGTGTGGAGGCATCACAAGCCTTTAGATACGGTCGGCAGTCGGGCGGCCGTTGAGAGTCGGTTGGTCATTGTGATGGGAATTCTCCGTATTTGCAATAGCAAAATGACACTAGAACAGGGCTAGGCGGGAGACGGGAAACCCAGGGCTGCATCATCAGATCATGGATAGTTGCGAGTGTGGGTGGTTGAAGGGAACGGGCGATGATGCAGCCGTGAGCCAGTGAAAGCGAGGGTTGGCCGTGTGGGAAACTGGGTCGGCAAAACTTCCCGAGGCGTGGGAGGGAGGCCTTGGAGACGGCCTGGCGGCTGGGCTGCATCCGTCGCCGTCCGGGATGGGAGGTGTTGGTGTAAGGTTGTGTGTAAGGTTGTGTGTGGGTGTGTGTGGGTGGATGGGTGACTGGGTGATGAGGGTGAGTGAGGACCAGAGACTGGCGGGAGTAATGAGAGAGAGGTGAGCTATGATGAGAGCGCCACTGTGTGGGTGGACAGAGTGGAATTCGGAAAGCCTTTTGCCCAGTCATGTTGGTAGATGAAGCAGTCTTGGTCGCCAAAGTACCAAGTACGATTAGCTTTGGGCGGAGATGGGGAGTAACGCTGCCAGTGACAAGAAAGATGAGTGAGTTCTTGCGAACTGAAAAGTGATTGGCGCAGAGCAGAAATGAATCTTCACCGCGGTGAAACATCCGAAAGTCCTAGGAGCCCCACGTCCGGTCCAGGACTTTTCTCTCTCTCTCTCCCGCTCCCTCTATCTCTGTCGTTCTTTTCCTCCCATGAGTCTTCATGGGCGCCACCACAGGTGTTTGGTTTGCTTCATTTGTCGGCCAACCACTGCCTAACAGCCTAAGACTTCAGGTCGGGCAGGCAACCGTGAACGCTCAACGACGAGAAGACGGGGAGACTTGAGCTGAGATTTGCTGCCCTATGTGCCTACCTGCCTTGCCAATACGTCCTGTACCCGCCCAGGGTACGACATCAAACATGAGCCATCCTGGAGCAGCTGGTGCAAGTGAGGTAAGGACGTACGTACAGTACACTGCGCACCAACTAGGTTGCTAAGGTACCAAGGGATGAGAGAGGAGAGCTCGTCGCTCAGTCGCTGGCTGGCCCTGCCGGGCATAAATACCCGCAGAGAAGAGGGACTAACCCAGCACGCGCATCCGCAGTGAGTTAGTTGTTGGGCATCAGAGGAGACGGAGGTGATGGAAAGCGAACGGGGCCCCATGAACTGCAAACTGGTGCAAAGCCGAGTCGGGGATTGTGATTTCGGGCTCTTGGTTAGCAGTAGCGAGAGAAGGTGAAGACGACACGGGAATTAGAAATTGGCATAAACCGTCTGAATCATCCATTTTAGCTCGCCTGCCATCTTCACATCGAGTTACAGAGTTGCTTCGTCCGTCCCGGCGCTTTCGTAACACCCCTCCATCTCAGGTCGTCCCCCTCCAAAAGACAGGTACGTACTCTTTCCGGTGGTCCTGTCTTCCAGGACTGGAGGTGCAGGTGAGAGAGGTGGACTAAGGATACCTCTTTCGTGGGTACCCCAAAGGGCATAGCTGCCGCCAACGATACATTGCAACAAGTACCATCTCTCACCTTTTCCTCACTGCCCACCATCTAGGTAGCGTCCTCTTGCCCGCCCACCTCCACTCGAGCGCACAGGCACTGGGAACTGCGCGAAGAGAAAGAGAGAAGCGACCCCTCCCGAGAAACCCCCCCCGTCTTGTGTCCTGCTCCAAAACCCACTGACGACATCTTTTACCAACCAGCCCAACCCGCGAAAAAACAACACCACTTCCTCGAGGGCTGGCCGCACCCACCGATCTTCTGTCGTGACAGTCCCCGACAGACCGATCCTCCCGTTGTGCCAACCTACCCCGAGCCCCTCCGACTCCGAACCTCCGGTATCCATAACAAACCATACCCATCACAGACATCCATCCTCTCTCTGCTTGCGTTGTATTGTGTCCCATACTTCGCACCAGCAACTTGCTCGTCGTCCGCGCCATCTTGAGGTGATCGCAGCAGAGCGAGGCATCACGCACACATTCACATCCACACCCCTCTCCACAGCTTCAGAGCATATTCATTTATCAGCCAGAAAAAACACACCACCACCACATAACCCCCGCGCGTGGAGTCGCGCACCCCCACCGTCACCATGAACGACGAGGACGCCATTCAGAACATTCTTAAGAAAATTGAGCGCGAAAAGGCTCTTCTCAATGCTGCCAATGCTATGAGAGCGCAGACCAACAATGAGGCCGTCCGATCACGACTCGACTCTCAGATGCGCGATGGTCGCAGGAACCTGCAGTTCTTCGAGGAGAAGCTTCGCGAGGCGCAGATGCGTCGTGGTATGGACAACATGTCCCTCGGTTCCCCCTCCGGCGACGGCAGGCCCCTCAGCGGCGATATGGATGATGTGCCCCCCCCCCCTCCCAAGGATTCCGGCTGGGAACAGCGCGGCGGATACGGTGCTGGGAGCGCAACCTCTGGCGGCAACGTTCAGTATAGCCAGATCGGCGGCCATGCCGACCTGATGCCTCCTCGTCACCCTTACGCCAACCCTGGCCCTTCTTCGTCCGTCCCCAAGCCGCGCCCCAACTTTACCAAGCTCGGTGCGCACTACCCCTAGGACCCTCATGTCCCTGCTCAATTTGCTGACCACGTCCTTCTAGACTTGATCAAATATGATACCCCATACCTCGGCCCTCGTATTCAGCTCATGCTGTCGCAAATCCAGTTCAAGCTCAACGTGGAGGAACAGTACCTCAAGGGAATCGAGAAGATGGTTCAGCTATACGGTATGGAAGGAGATCGCAAGAGCAGGGCCGATGCCGCCGCTAGGAGGGTCGAGTCTAAACAGAAGATTCTGCTGCTGAAGCAGGCTATGAAGCGCTACGAGGAGCTGCACATCGACATGGATACGTCAGATGCTCAAGATGGTAAGTTTGCGTCCCTGGCACGTCACCAATAGTCTTGTTGCTGCTAACTGAGCCCATAGATGATTCGATCAACATGCCGAACCTGCGCAAGCCTTTGACTGGCCAGCTCTCCATCCGTGTTGGCCAAATCAAGGACGTCGACCATGCCTCCATGAGTCGCTTCAGCCGAGGCCCCGAGACCTTCATCGCTGTCAAGGTCGAAGACAATGTGGTCGCCCGTACGCGAGTTACCAGAACAGACAAGTGGGAAGCAGAGTACCACACTATCGACGTCGACAAGGCGAACGAGATCGAGCTTACCGTTTACGACAAACCCGGCGAGCATGCCATCCCTATTGCTATGTTGTGGGTGCGTATTTCCGACATTGCTGAGGAAATGAGAAGAAAGAGGATCGAGGCGGAGATCAACAGCTCTGGATGGGTTTCGGCTGATAGAATGGGTGCTCCGCCCGCTCAATTCCCCATGAACCCCCCGCAGCAACAGCAGTCCTTCGGCGGTCCTCCCGCCTCACCTGGCCTTGCTCAGCAGGGTGCGCAGGGCCAGCAGGCGCCGGGTGGCATGCAGAATCCCCCAATGGCTCAGCAGCCCATCGACGGCTGGTTCAACCTCGAGCCTGCCGGCCAGATTCAGCTTTCCTTGGGTTTCTTGAAGCAGAACAATGCCAGGCGCCCTGTCAACCTCCAAGGTCTTGGTCGTGTAGGTGCCGTTCGTCAGCGCAAGGAGGAAGTGCACGAGATGTACGGCCACAAGTTTGTCCAGCACCAGTTCTACAACATCATGCGCTGCGCTCTTTGCGGAGACTTCCTCAAGTACTCGACCGGCATGCAGTGCGAGGACTGCAAGTACACTTGCCATACCAAATGTTACTCGAGCGTTGTCACCAAATGCATTAGCAAGAGCAACGCTGAGACGGATCCGGACGAGGAGAAGATCAACCACCGTATTCCACACAGATTCCAGGCCTTCTCCAATATGACCGCCAACTGGTGCTGCCATTGTGGTTACATTTTGCCCTTTGGCAAGAAGAACTGCAGGAAATGCGCGGGTAAGTGGTGTTCCACAGTATCGGGTGTTAAGACAAGTCTAATTTCGTGTAGAATGTGGTCTCACGGCGCACGCGGCCTGTGTTCACCTCGTTCCTGACTTCTGCGGCATGTCTATGGCAGTGGCGAATCAGATCTTGGAAGGTATCAAGACTACCAGGATGATCACCAAGAATAAGACCTCGTCCTCTCTGAGCGACCGCACGCTGCGGAAGCCAACCAGCCCTACTAGCACTCTCGGCTCTCCTCCCCACAGCGGTGGGCAGGCACCCTATGCTGGAGGCTCGCCGGAAGCGACTGAGGCCGCCAAGCTTATGTACCAGCAGCAGTCGCCGCCTGGCCAGCGGCCGTCTCACCCTGATCGTACATCTAGCACGGCTGCAGCGGCGGCAGCAACAGCTGCGATGAGCGGAACGATGGCTTCGCAGCCAAAGCCTCAGCTACAGGATTATAGCTCGTATGGTGGTCGTCCCGGTTACCCTCCTCAGGCAGACCAAGAGGATCCCTACGGCGGGCGCAAGTACAACCCTGCGGATTACGCGGCAGTCAATCAGCAAGCTGCTCCATATGCTCAGCAACCTCCCGTACAGCAGCAACGGCCTGTTCAGCAGCAGCAGCAGCAGCCCCCGCCTCAACAATACCAGCAGCCGCCTCAGCAGCAAATGTATCAGCAGCAGCCCGTCTCTTCGCCCAAGCTGCAGGAGCCTCCTCAAATTTCACCCATCGCAACGTCTGGAGGTGTTCCCAGTGCTGGGCGGAAGCCCCTACCGTCTGCCACGGATCCAGGTACTGGTCAGCGTATCGGTCTGGATCACTTCAATTTTCTGGCTGTGCTGGGTAAGGGTAACTTCGGAAAGGTTATGCTTGCGGAAACGAAGCGATCCAAGAGGCTGTATGCCATCAAGGTGTTGAAGAAGGAGTTTATCATTGAAAACGACGAAGTGGAGAGCATCCGGTCCGAGAAGAGAGTGTTCCTCATTGCTAACCGGGAGAGACATCCGTTCTTGACCAACCTCCACGCCTGTTTCCAGACTGAGACCCGTGTCTACTTTGTTATGGAGTACATCAGCGGTGGTGATCTCATGCTTCACATTCAGCGGGGCCAGTTCGGCACCAAGAGGGCTCAGTACGTCCACCTCCTTGCCACTCACGAAGTAAACTATGCTAATACGTCACAGGTTCTACGCTGCCGAGGTCTGTTTGGCACTCAAGTACTTCCACGAGAACGGCGTCATCTACCGTGATTTGAAGCTCGACAACATTTTGTTGACCCTCGACGGACACATCAAGATTGCTGATTACGGTCTTTGCAAGGAGGACATGTGGTTCGGCTCCACTACCAGCACTTTCTGTGGTACACCCGAATTCATGGCACCAGAGGTATGTCTGTCTGCGTTACTTTGTGGGATCTTGCTAACAATTACGCAGATTCTTCTTGACAAGAAATATGGCCGCGCTGTCGACTGGTGGGCATTTGGTGTCCTGATTTACCAGATGCTCCTCCAGCAGTCTCCATTCCGTGGTGAGGATGAGGACGAAATCTACGACGCCATTCTGGCCGACGAGCCTTTGTACCCCATCCACATGCCCAGAGACTCTGTGTCGATTCTGCAGAAGCTCCTTACTAGAGAGCCTGATCAGCGTCTCGGCAGTGGCCCCACGGATGCGCAAGAAATCATGAACCAGCCGTTCTTTAGGAACATCAACTGGGACGATATTTACCATAAGCGTGTCGCACCGCCCTTCTTGCCGCAGATCAAGAGCGCCACCGATACCAGCAACTTCGACTCCGAGTTCACGAGTGTCACGCCCGTCTTGACCCCTGTCCAATCAGGTATGTGGATATCCATCATGATGTTGAAGGCCACCTTTGCTAATCAAGCACAGTCCTCTCACAAGCTATGCAAGAAGAGTTCCGTGGCTTCTCTTACACTGCCGACTTTGACTAGAGGAAGGGCGACGAAGAAGAAAATGTTCCAGGAAATCCTGCGAGTAGTTGAAGCGGGTTGTTAACGAGGCTAACACCGCCAACGTGGAGAGAAGGGGGTTACCAATGTGGTGGAACAGCGGAACAAGCGCCGGCAAAGTGCAAATCGTGCGCGCGCCAGGCCCCAGCGACGTCAGCCTCTGTTGCATGGAGACGCTGCGCGTTGCCAGGTTGTGACGACGAACCGCAGGCGGACAACGAAGTGACGGGCGAACACGATATACGAAGTAAAAGCAGTGTGGCCCCCGGCCGTTCATTAGTGGACGTTGGAAAAGCGGGCAAGTCAGCGGATTTCGACTAGAGTTATACTGGCGGGGTCTCATGGGCCCTGCCGCAGCTTCTTTAATAGACGGAACCTTCAGTGGTTTGTATCTTTGCCGACACGTGCTGTGACTGAAGTTGGACCTCGACAGTATTGAAGAGGTTGTCCTCATGCTCTATATGGTATCATATTGTACAGTTTTATATACAATCGCGACGGAGTGGTGTGATTATGTTCTTCGCAAGAGCAGGAGTGCAATGCCTCCTGCCAAGGTTGCTCCGGCCGCGGCACCCTCGAGAGCAAGGATCGAGGCGTCTCGCATGCGCAGGTCGATATGGCGCTCGCTGTAAAGATCGACCAATCTCGCCTTCAACAGCGCTGGAAGCGCAGGATCGGTGAGGAACTCGCGCCACGACTTGGGCGTAGGGACCTCTTGCTCTAGGGCTTCAAGGGCACTGGCGACCTCCCGCTCCATCTCGTGCTGGACAGCCGGCTCCTTGAGCTTGGCACCCAGAGATTCCTCTCCTGCTGCTGTCGCTTCCGCTGCCGCCGCCGGCACACCCGTGGGCTCTGTGACGAGCGTCTCTTCCTCAATCACCACTGGCGCCACGGCCGCGGCCTTGGTCGCAGCATCGGCGGCGGCGTCTGTCGCTTCCCGCTGCGCCAACGCCGCCTTCAATCCCGCCAACTCAGCCGTCACTCCCTCGAGAACAGCCTTCTCCTCCTCGACAACGCCGAGCACGAGCCTCCTCCGCTTCCACGGCTCGGCGACGAACTGCAGCACGATGAACAGCAGGACGTTGACGCCCATCAGACCCCAGGTACCCCACGTCGACGCGCGCCGGATGCGGTCCGACCAGATCTGCTCCTCGTGGTAGCGCTTCAGAATCCCCGCGTTAAGCTGCTGGCCCAGAGCCTGCTCGGCGTGCTCGGCGTCGGTGAGGGCCTCGGCGGCGGCGGAAACCTCCTGCTCGAGGGAGTGGTCTTGGCGGTAGAGCTGGGTGAAGCGCTCGAGGTCGGTGGGGGACCACATCTCTTTCCGGGCGAGGAGGGTGGTGACCTCGCGCTGGGTGGTGGCGCGTTTCGCGTTCGTGGTCTTGTAGGTCACGCGGGCGGTGCGGACGAGGGACTGGGCCTCGGCGAGGCGGTTCTCGAGGAGGGTGTTTTGGTGCTTTATGGCCTCGATCGGGGCGTAGCCCGTGAGAGTGTTGAGGGTCGTCGAGGCGGTCAGGAGGCGGGTTTGGAGAGTGTCCATGAGGTGAGAGAGCTTCTCTGAAAGAGCGGGCGGCAAGGCGGTGTAGATCTTGGTGGCCATCTCGGGGAGGGGATCTTCGGGGTTTGGTTTCGACGAGTTGGGATCGGAGGATGTGCTGGTGGTGTCATTGTTCGTGGTTGAGGACGAGGACGACGACGATGTCGAGTTCGAGTTGGGAGCTGAGGTGGAGCTCGAAGTCGTGGCATCTGAGCTTGGCATGGAGGGATCGCTTGTCGGAGAAGCTTGTTTAATCTCTTCTTTCGAGGCGGAGGAGCTTGGCAGCGGAGGGGGAGGGGAGGAAGGAGGGAGGCCCGAGGAGTAGAGCCGTCGTTGCGGGGCGAACGCCGACGGGAGGTTATGGCGAAGGGCGAGGGCGGCGACGGGCTGCCATCTCCGGAGGTTAGCGGTGGTGTGCAGGCCAATGCGGGCGTGGGCTAGGCGCGACGCCGGCCTGGCGATGGGGAGCATATTTCTTCCCGGCGTCGAGGATTTGACGATTGACGAGCAGGGACAGCTCTTTGCCAATGGGGAAGAAAAAGGTTGGACCAATTGGGGGGTTTGCTGGTGGGCCGAGGTGTTCAAACGCACGGGAAGCCGGGTCGGCGGACGAGGCTTGGGGAGGGAAGAAACGAAAGTTTGGACGAGGGAAAAGAGCCCCAGAGCTTGGGGTTAGAGTCGGGTCGGCGCTAGGTTCGGATCGAGTTGAGTGTACGGAGCGGGTCCCTCGTCGGTTTCTGCCGAAAAGGCCAATTGGGATATCTGTTTCACCGCCTACCTTGGTTGGGGGTAAGAGCGGGCCGGTGCCGGTGGGTTGGTTTTGGCGGGGCGAGGCAGGGCCGGAACGCTGAATGATTTCCTTCACTCTTCCAACCTGTCAAGTTCAAGGTTGGGTTCGAGAACAAGTTGACCTATGCTAGTCAGCAAACTCTCATTAGTCAGGTACGCCGAGTAAGATTTAAAAATGCGCTTGAACAAGTACTGTCGGCACCTTAAGCATGTAAGTCTGCCTAAATCGGATGGGACAGACAACCGGTACGCCACATGGTAAGGTTAATCAGATCAGATGCATACATTCTATTCAGACACACAAAACGTCTAATCTAAAGTACCACACGAATGTATAGAGCTACGACACCACCTTTGCATGGGTTGAGAACACAATCGTGTTATTCCAAACCACTTCTAACCTATGCAATGCAATATCGCAAACTCTCATCCAGAACCACCCTTGAACTTCTTCCCGAAAACAAGGAGCTGGACCTGATCGTATATAGATAACACGCCTGCTCCAGCAATGCCACGAAGGACGTTTGCACCAGAACCCTTGAAGAAGGAACGGTAACCCTCCGCGGCAGCAATTTGGCGGGCAGCGTCGAGGGAAGATTTGTACTTCACAGCCTAGAAAACAAGATACAATTTAGTAAAATTTATCAGTAAGATTCAAAATGAATTCATGCTTACTTCTCCGGAAGTCATCATCATCCGGCGACGAACAGTATCGATGGGGTACGACGCAATGCCGGCGCCGACGGTGACGCCCCAGCCAAGCAGAAAAGACGCCACAAAGCTGTTATCCAAGGACCCGACGAGCAGTACTGGCTTGAGTGAATCGTACATCCCAAAGTAAAGGCCACGGTAGGCCACGATACCGAAGACGGACGGGCCGAAGCCACGATAGAGCCCAGCAATACCATCCGTGGCAAGGGTCTTTTTGTAGACGTCAACGAGACCCGTAAACTGGCGTTCACCGTGGCCCTTGGCAGCCTTGGAGTCATTGGCTAAGCGGGTACGGGCATAGTCGAGAGAGTAGACGAAAAGCAGGGAAGTTGCGCCAGCGAGCTGGAATGAAGGAGGTTTTTGTTAACTGCTCGATAGTGATTAATGAGATTAGCCGCACTTGTAACTTACCCCGCCAGATGCCAAATTGCCAATCATCCACTTCAAATATCCGTCTCGGTCCTTCTTGAATGCGAACATATTCTTGTACGTGTCCCGGAATGCAAAGTTGAGTGCCTGGGTGGGGAAGTAGCGGATGACGTTGACGCCATTGCTCCTCCAGAGCGCCAGGACTCCTTCGGCCTTGACAGTGCGACTGAAGCAGTCGAAAATGCCGTCGTATTTGCGATTAAGTCGGCCGGCCTTAATCATTTCATCCTGAAGTTTTGCTAGAAGTTAGTCTTCGAAATAGATTTCACTCTAAGAGAAGGGAGTAAGGAGACATGATTGCCCGCACCTGGTTCTGGAGGAGAAGCTTGATCCGTTCGATGGGAGCCGCAGCGGTTTTGGAAACGGCGGCGGATACGCCGCCCACTATAGATATAAGTTGTCAGTTCATGATGAATTGGGTAGTTTGCTCTCAATCCTTAATCTACTCTATCGCCGTTTTCTGGCCCAAGGATGGGAAACAACAGGCCACAACAAGTAGAATGGGTAGCTAACTTAGGAAGTCAATCACAAAATTCTATTAGAGTCAGCGATACGAGTACAAGAAAAGAGTCAATTATTCTGGTAGTAGAGTTGCGTCTACTAGAGAACCGAGCACAGCTGGACTTACTGGTAGGCCCATGACGGGCTGGGTGACACCGTCGTTGCCCATCTCTGGCTTTGAGGCTTTCGTTTTTGTCTCGTCTTGAAAATTGAGAACGCGGTTCGATACTTCTAAAAGGACATGAAGATTATCAAAAAAGAAGGGTATTTCAAGAATTTACAACTATTGAGGAAATAAATCGGTTGCATCATGGTTCCGAAGGTATCGAGACCGCGCCCGGACCTCCCTCGCTCGGAGGCCTAGGCCCCCGGCTAACAGAAAGTCGCCCCTAGTCTGCCGAGACGGCGGTTTTCTCCCGAAACATCACGCAGAATTTGTCCTCGGACTGCCTTCCAATTCGGCAGCTTACTCAAATGCCCCCGAGTAATGGAGCCAGAGACGGAAACCGGGCCCCGTGGGCGCGGAATCTCGGTGAGTCTGAAGACATGGGTATCAGAACCACTTGACTAATCATCGAGTGAAGTGCGACACCTGTCGAGCTAGAAAGGTTGGACCTATCGCTTTTTCTCAGCTACCCATGAAGCGTCGAGCTAATTGCCTTGCCAGATCAAATGTGACCGAGGTTCGCCTTGTTCCAGCTGCAAGGTATCGGATACCATCTGCCGGACGACGAGAGGCCCTCTGCAGAAACGGCAGCGAGTTCTCATCTCCCCTCGTTAGTAGGTACATCTTTGGTAAACTCGTCAGCATGTGAGATGGTTGGCTAAACATGGCTGAATGAAAACAGCGAAGAGGAGATTGCTGCTTTCAACAGTCGTCTTGCTAGGCTCGAGACGCTAATACAAAACGTACTCGCCAAATCGAACTCACCGTCAGATACAGGCGAAACTTCTACCACTCCCGAAAAAATTCCTCGGATCCCAGGCGGGCCCTCTTTCGAAGGTGGTTCGTCCTTTGCCACGCATTCGAAACACACAGCACAACAATTTGAGAAGCTTGTGGGCAAGTTGCCCTACTCGAAAGATGGAGAGAACGCTGTTGCATCTCTTCGGGCAGCCGTAGATCCTCTAGTGAACGATGTGCAAGACCCAAAAGCCGCAATCTTGGGTTTTGACTTTACTGGTCTGCCTCTTCCTCCGCGGCAGTTGGTTATCAAGATCCTCGGCCATTGCAAGAGTAAGCAAACATTCTGATGCAAAACGATAACAGTGTTTAAACCATACAATTACACAGAGAAAACCACACGATTCTTTAGGGATTACCCTTTTGTGTCAGTTACCGCTTTTACCGAAATGTGTCAACAAGTCTATTTCCCAACTGAGGAGTGTTCATTGAGCGCTTTCATCATTGTCAACTCAGGCCTTTGCAACGTTTTCCGAGATCTTGACGACGATGCAATAAGAGATATGGATATCGAGCCAACGGTTGTCGTCAACAGTATATCCATTTGTGCAGCCAATGTCAGGAGAGCTGTTGTTTGCCTGAGACTGACCCTTGACCCAACCTTCGAGAACATTTTGGCATTGCTACTCTCGGTAAAATTTCCTGCACATCCGCCGAAGTTACCTTGCTGACTAGTAACCAGGCTTCAACGCGAATGGATTGGTCTAGCCCGTCGTTCGATTGGAGGCTGATATCTCAAGCGGCTATTCTTTGCCAAGAAGCAGGCTATCATCGACTACCGGCTGCTTCGACAAGCGATGAAGTCCGCAATCGGTGCTTGGTATTCTGGTACGTGTGGGGATTTGATGTCATGTTTGCATTCAACCTCGGTCGCAGCCCGACTTTGCCGGATCATGATATCACGACAACTCGGCCTCTCTGTCCAGGGGACATTGACATTTCTTGGGGGCATGGATTCATATCGTGGCTGGATTCTGTCAGCCTCCAGCACGAGATCTATCAGCAACTTTACTCTGGTCGAGCCCAACTTCAATCTTCTGAAGTCAAAACCCAGCAGGCACATGTATTGGTGGAAAAGCTCCTGGCTATGAGGCAAGCCTTCGTAGCGGTGAGAACTTTTTTCGTCCTTCGGCAACATAGACGAACTGACGACGCACAGGGGAAAGATAAAGATACACCAGAGTCAGCTGAAGCAGGTGCTACAGCGGCTGAAGAGTCCTTTGAACTCATGTTTTATTCCTTGTTGACTCTAGTGTATCGCGTAGTGCCAGTATCCGAACAAGGCCACCCGCTTCAGTTCTGTGACGACTGCACAACGGCGGCGAGGACTGCCCTCAGAATCCAAAATAGAGCGTGGGAAAGGATTGGCGCGCTCAACGACGAGACGTGGAAGTTGTTCCTTCATTGGTTAGTACCCTTCTTACTGAATCCCTTTTACTTACTGACGTGACAGGACTCTTATTTGCTCCCCTTTCGTGCCATTCATTGTCATTTTCAGCAATACCATCGCGACTGGGGATGAAGCAGATTTGCAACTCCTAGATCGGGTAGTATCTTCTCTCCAATCTGCAGCCCAACAGTCTCCTAGCATTGCGAAGTTGCACCATATTTGCAGCGCTTATCATCGGGTTGGAAGGTTGTATTTCGAAGATGGACTTCGTGCTAGGAAAAGACGAGCAGTTGGGGGGAACAATGGTGCTGTACAGAGTATCAGTGATGATACTACTGACACAACATTCGCCTTGGAGAACAACGCTGCGCTCCCAGCGATCACCTGGGATGGGCTGTTTGACGAATGGAACCCGGGGCTTGGAGAAGATAATGCGTTGGAGGTATCGTCGTTTCTGGGTAATTACTTTTCGGAACCGCTTGAGTATTAAGTTGGAGAAACATAACACAAGCATGCACATAATCAACACATGCTTTGAACTACTTGGGGTACCGGACTTCAACTGGCAATAACTAAGTGTCCAAAGCAAGGGACCCATTAATCATTGAGATATCGAAGAAACGCAACATCGGGATATCCACACCACCAACTATTGAGAGCGGTTTCAACGAACTTCAACACAAGAGAAGTTGTATTCACTCGTTGTCTAGTAGGTCAGCAAGACCTCTTCAGCATATGACGAGACAGTTTTTGAGGTTTTAACTTATCTAAGTCTATAGCTGATGGAAAAAAAACTGTTGTTTGCATTTGTGTGGAAGTATTATTCCCTCACCCTGCCCTGGACTTTATGAAAGCAAGCAAACTGTTCATTCCCAACTCGGCACTTGGCATCTGATCTGGAGGAAACGCGATGAACCCGTGTGGGGCTCCAGGAAAGATCTTGACTATGGCCTGACCGCCCGCCATCTGCCACTTTGCCGACATGAAAATGGTGTCATCCAGAAGAAAATCTTTAGTACCGACAATGAAGAGAGCCGGTGGCAGGCGAGTGCTCCACCTATCTGCGTTTCGGTACGCCTCCAGGTCAGCATACAAGGGGGATATCCGGGGATCCTTCCAGGCATCGCCGTGCACATCCGGTCGATAAAGATGGGAAAGCTCGAGTTCCTTTGCAGCATCATTGCCGCTGGCCATGGCAAGTCGATGGTGGATCTGCGAAGGTGTAGAGCCGAGATCGTAGCACCCAAACAACAAGAGCAGACCCCCCGTGAGTTGGAAGTTCTTGATCTTTTCTTTCTCGTGAGAGAGAAGGTATAGAGCAGTCTGCATGCTGAGATGTCCCCCAGCGCTCTCGCCGCCGATGAAAGCTAAATCAGCATTGAATCTGTCTCGCGCGTTGAGTATAAGCCACTCCGCAACGTCGAAGCAATCCTCATCCCCCGCGGGCCCGGGATGCTCTGGGGCAAGACGGTATCCCACGCTGACGATAATCAGCCCGGTAGCATCAGCGATGCTCTGAAGCCACGAATCCTGGTCCTCGGCGTTTCCCATACACCAGCCTCCGCCGTGTATGTGCATGAAGACTCCCTTCACCGTGTTTTCGGGCTGTGGTTTCAATAATCGGCAGGTGATATCTCGTTCCGACTGACGCGAAGGGATAGATATATTGCTGGCGCAGTCGAGACGAACAGGTTTGACCGGGAACTCGCCATTTTTCCACATCTCTCTGTATTTGCTTACGCCAACCTCATGCCATTTGGGAATGTTGGCCATGGCGGTTCCAATAGCGTCATCGAAGTCGGAGCTGGAAGGGGGGACATTTGCCGGTGCAAATAGTTCGCCTGGTATTATAAAGTCTGAGTTGATAGAGGATTGATGCATGATGGCGGAAAATATTATAGAATCGCGATCGATAGCTGTTCGTGGATGTCGTTGTTAAGTCATCAAGGATCGGCGAAGAGAGTTAAAAGTTTCTATGAAAGAGTGCGTATGGATAACGTACTTTAAATATTCGAAGCCCAAAACTTTGACTATCATCCAGTTTTCAACTATGGAAGCCGAGGCCGCCGACATTTGACGAGGTAGCGCATTCCCAGGCCCAGGTTGGTTTGGATGATTGCTTTAGCCCGTGCAACATCCGAAGCGGACTTGCACACTTATTCCGGAGGCCTCGGCCACCGGCTGCAGATACAATGGGCGTCTTAGCTTTTAACTGACTACTTATTGAAGAGATGTTACAAACCTGAGTCATTTTTATCTATTTTCTGTAAACTGGTTTAACCCCTTTTTAAATACATAAATATTTGAGTGCAAAGACGCAACTCGTTCGTGCATTTACGCTGATTCAACCAGCGAGCCAACTGCTTGATAATGACGCCTGTTTGGCGGGTTCTCCCTAGTCGCAATATAACAGTGAAATGGTTGCTTGATTGTTTTCCGCCAGTTCAAGCTTGTCGACTGTTTCGTTGGTTATAACTAGAGACTTGCCGCACATCTTTTGGCGAATGCCGTAATCTCCTGTGGACCAATACTGCCCCAAAACGAAGGTTTACTTCCTTAAGGCTAAGTAAGACTATCGAATATCTGTCAGGCGTAGGACTAAATTCCGGCATGGTAGTCAACTTGCGACCAAAACGTTAGGTGTCTAAGAATGAAATCGCGGCTCTTGGTTACTGCTCTGCACAATAAGTGACGTTATTACTTGAGGCCAGTAAAGCCGACCTATCATAGTCATGTTCACGTAACCTTGGCAAGTCCTGCAGAGGACTCGTTATGATTGTGTCAGAGATCTTTTCCACCTCTAAGAAACGCCAGTAAGGAGAGTAATCAATAGCAAATTATAACCTTCTTCTATGAGTATGCTGTAGCCGAGGGTATTACGGCATAGATGACGAACTAAGTGATGATAGACTCGGTACCGCGCTTTTGATGGGATCTGAAGACTTCGTAATGCTGAATTGCATGCGACCCTGAGTCCTACTTCTTCAGAGCAAAGCATCTCTCGATGTTATCTGCGTTATTCCCCCACCATTTTACCATGACAACACCCGTCGTGCCAAGAAAGATGAAGATGAACAACAAGTTGGCATTGAACCCAGTGTCCAGGGCTGCACCACTAATGTATGCCCATTTGTTCCAGAACGCGCGCCTATAACGGTAAAGGTAGAAGTTAAAGAATGTTCCAACAAGGAAAGTGGTAAAAGGCCCGGTACTAAGATTTCCATGGAAAGTGGCGGCGCTGGCAAAGAAGATTGTCGAGTTCCAAAGGTCGAACCGGGCTTTAGGGAACTTCTTGTGCAGCAGCCAAATGATGATGGGTGCAATAGCACCGGCAGGAAAGCCGTATAGTACAGGTTTGAAAAACGATGATGCGAATAGCTTCTTAGGACCCACGAGAGCATATTGGATGCCGGCAGTATTATAGCTTTTGAATTCTTGACCCGTCCACTGTCCCTGGGGATCCGGGATTCGACCGCTTACGTAGTCAAACTTGGAAGCAATAACCCAGCGCATGACGCCGTAGTTGATGGGCAGAGCGAGCATATTTGCGATGATTTGAATACCGATGACCTGTCGGGGAGGCAAATGAAGATAGTGTCCAATCTGCGTTGTCAGCAATTGGTGAGAGATTCAGTAGGTGTGACTTACTTTCTGGTCCTCCAGAACCGTGCGAGCATCGTACCAAACGTTGCCGGAAATGATGCGATATGCAAGTTGACCAAGAGGGTGTCGAGATGATCCTGGAGCATCGATCATATCTGCATACACGTATTAAACACTGTCCACCTTGACGGGTTTCATGACAGTCACTCACACCCATAGATGAGTTCATTGAAGAAGCCAACTTTGATCGAATAGCCCGACATGGCGTACACCAGACTCATGGGAAGCATAGCTGCACCACCGAAACCGAGAGCGACGAAATAAGTCCAGGTGGGCATCCAAACAGACTTAGTCGCAACGATAACCAGCAGGATACCAATGGGTACTATAGTCAAAACAGCCCATTCCCTATGGAAATATTAAATTAAATGCTCACGTATCATAGAATGGCTGAAAAGAACTTACCACAAAGTAAGACTAGGATATTGCTGAATGATACGGCTATTCAGATCAGCCAACCGTACAGAATTGCAGTACAAGCGTGACTCACCTCAAGCGGTCCTGGTGGGATTCGCCCTCGGCCTTCCTCGCTTTCCATATCTTCGCAACCTTTGGGCCTAGAAACAGGGCACACCAGACGAAAGATGAGATGTACGACGCATACCACTATAAAAGGATTTAGCACCAAGCCCAGGGATAGTTGAAAACAGAAAGTTACCATGAAGATCTCCCAGGTATACTGTGCACCAGAGTAAGCAAGGCCAACCTCATGATATGCTGTCTCGTTAACGTGCTGAATACCACTTGAGTCCGTGTAAACTTCAGCCTTGTCAATAACATATTCTCATTTTACTCCTTGGAACAGCTACTTACTCAGAGACTCAAAAGGATATGAGGAGCCGTTCTTCTGGAATACACCATTTGACATGATATCATATGTTGGTGAGCCCCAAAGGTTACCGAAATACGCTACCGGGATTAAGATCCATGTCTAAGTGACTATAAGCGCGGCTCTGTTGGCAAATGAATATGCAACGTACCGTAATAACGAATCCCACAAAGATGGTGACCTGGACGCTGTACGGGTAGGTAATAACTGTCGATGTGATGTTCGACCAGTTGAGCGTAATATTGAGAAGCCCAATGCCTCCCCGACCAGCGCCCAAGAAATTGACAGTATGGTTCCGGCTCGCAAACCAGCAAAGTGGTGCAAGGGCGGCAACAAAGGGGAAGAGATATTCTGGCAGGAATTGCCAGACAAATGTACCCAGCAAAATCCACCAAAACACCTGATATTGATCGTCGGCATGTGTCAATGAGACGTTGTGCATAATCGGGTTGTCTCACCTTCATCTGTCTTTTAGACGCACTCTTGTGGAGCTCAGTCTTGCCCTGCATACTCCTATACAGCGTCACTTGCTGTAGAGAGAGTGGGAAAATGAACTCGGGATCATCAATCAAGATCTTGCGGACTTGAATGAGTTAGAAGAGCGCAAGTTAGAACGGCATATGCATATGTGTGTTTACTTACCCATTGCTGCAAATGAGAAGCCGAGAAGAGAAGCGCCCTAGTCTAACAGTCAGTTGTTCGAGAACCCCCTTTTTGAAGAAACGGGAAAGTTTACCCATCCAAAGAAGAGTGCTACTGCTGGGTTCATTGTAATACCGTAGTAAAGCGCCGCATTGGTTGGCAAGAAAGCTAGCTACGATCAGTTCGAGGAACAAAGCAGCAATACTTGTCCGACTTACTTGCCCATTGGCCTTGGCTGCCAGCATTGGCAGCAATACCGATGATAGCATGCTCTTTGATCGAAAATGGCCCAGGGTTAAGAGAAAAGGAGAATCTGCCCAGCGGCACTGTGTATTTAGGCAGTACCCGTGCGAGGAGTCGACCGAGAGGTGCTGAAGCCAAGATGACGAAAAAAACAGGAAATGGAGCTGTGGTTGTTCGGAAGCTGACCTTTCATCAGTACTTGAGGCCTCAGATCATTTGAGAGTTGAACGCTTACTATGAGAGTTGAGAGACAACACTGCCGATGGCGCAAAAAAGAGTTGATAGAAGCAGTGAACGAAAGGTTATTACTGGTAACGAAGGATCGTCTTCGAAGCCGACGACCGTTCGAACAAGCTCTGGGATGTTGGCGAACTCTGGGGATTTGAAGTCATATTCAGGCTCCGAGTCCTCAGTCGAGCTCCTGTTTGTCCCATCCGGACTCTCTGGATCAAGGCCGCCTAAAAAGAGCTTCTCTGATGTTTCAAAGACTGGGTCAACAGCCACTTTGGGCGCTGCTGATGTCTTCAGGTCACCCAGTACACCCTTTTCGTTATGGAGGTCAGGCATGGTGGGACAGTGCAACCTATAATCGCAAGTGAGGCAACAGACATGGTTTGCTGGATTAAGTCGGCCACAGACAGTATATGTATAACAATGAATTGCCACGGAAGTAGCGTACGAAGGAAGTAGCATGCCATTGCGGATCTTCGTGATGTGCTAAAGAAGGAAGCTGCGTTGCCACCTCGATAATGCAGAATCTTCTTGAGTTGGGAATAGCGTATCGCCTCATGGCAGGGGAAGTGAAAGGATGGTCATTGGTCAATAGTTTGGAGCATTTGAGGTTCTCCGACAGAGCTTGCTGGACACACAGACTGGGAAGGTTTGGTTAACCAATAGTGCCGTTGGAGATGCTGCTTGTCCCGGCTGCATGACTTGATTTGAATCTTGACACGAGTTGGGTGTGTGCGATAAAGATGGCCTAGTGCCGGCTAAATGGTCCTAACGAATCTACCGAGCGGCATCGGGAATAACGTGAACGGTTGAAGGATGTTGATGGTGCATGCGAAGCCTGCATTATCTGATGGCGTTATCAAGGCGCAATGTTAGTGGAGAATGTCGTGAACCAGCAGCATCGGGAGACCTCCGACCATGCGTTTCACAACCATTCTTGATAACAACTGCAGGAGACGTATGGAAATGCAGCTCCGTATGGATTTGGTCGGAAGTGTTAGGCTTTTGTAGAAGTTTCTCCGCCCTTGGTGCTCGAAACTCCGTTGGTGCAGTCGTTTTCTGGCCTCTAACCCAATGGATCGTCCCATCCATGACCCTCCACCCATGTTTGAAGATGTCGGCCAAATCCCGATTTCAAGTAGAAGGTTGGTATGGGACGATACGACTTCACTAGCTAGCCAAGTGCTCACATGCCTCAGGACGACCACATTATCACCTGTAGCTTCCAACCTGTGCGTGATGTGTACAGCGTATCGTAAGTGAATATATCCCAGGTAGCGGGCCGCATAAAAAAAGCTTAAGATTATGGTAGATTGATATTGTTTATGTTTTCTCAAATCCCAAAGATTGAGTACATGTAACGCTGTTAAGGTACCATTTGATGGTGGGTCAATCATACATAGAAAGAAGTTGGACTAAGATGGAAAAGCAAGCCGCCGGGCTGAATTTAACCTCGCCAGCCCGGCCTTTGAATGTAATTCATCAACTGAACAGTATCGATTAATAATCAATCGTTTCTCAGAACATAAGTAACAAGGCAAACGTTGTCTGATGCCAAGTAGTCATCGGCAAACAAACTTCATGAGGCAAGCCAACGTCTCCCAGTTTCAACAGCCCTAACACATTTTCGTGTATAGAAACAGCACGAAGACGTTAAAACTTGTAACAAAATAGATCCATCTTTTAGTCGTGGTTGTTTATTGGATATACACGAATCGTTCAACGTAGACACATTGATCTCTCAATAGCTCATGGCAACCACCTAAGCATCGACAAGATGTGCCCCTCACAGTAACAGAGAATGGTATCAAATACTGGACTGTAACCCCCAAATATTTATCCAAGTTGACAGAGTGATCACTAAATTCTTCGCTGAATTTTGTTGACAAGCAACATTGTTCTTAAACAACTTTCAGTACACTGAGTTTGCAGGTGCCGGCCTCCACCCGCCCTTTCGTCTCTCCACGCATCAGGCCATCAACAAAGCATTGCGTAATGACTTGCCACTTGCCAGCTTCCTGTCGCATTATTATTGGCGCCGAGCAGCCTGGTATCACAAAGATTGAATCCCCTTTCTGCAATGCTTGGAGTACTGCTGTTCCGAAAAGCCCTCCCATAGTGGCGAAAACGGGGTACACGATGCCGACATGCTTGTCTAGTGAATCCAAAAACGGTTTCGGATCTTTGCATTCGCCGGCATCTTCCACTCTGGGGAAAAAAGACTTAAACTCTCGACCCCACGGCTTAAAGTGGGCGTTGACCTGTTTCCGAAATTGGGTCAGATCGTTCAGGTTGGCGTGTCTGAGAACTTTGTCCCAACCACGCTTTTTCAAAGTCATGACATCCGGGTTGTCAGGTTTGAGGCTCTCGAGCCAGGGTATATCGAGAATAGTGCTTCCCGTAGAGCAGTCATAGATTGCTGCTCGATGCAAAGTCCGTAATATCGCCGCTTTCGGGTCATCCGGCATTGTCGTAGAAGTCGGCTGAATAGCGTCTTGCCAGACCCCAAGTTCTCCGTGTTTCCATCCTAGGAAGGGTGCTATTCCATCGACCACATCAACAAGGTAGCCGTTGGTGACTAGGATCTTTTCATCCTTCTCCAATTTGAACTCAGCCTTTTGACCCCAGCTGGCGTCACAGTCTGAACCCCAGAGATAAGGATCCCATGGCGAAGTCAAGTCTGGTACCCAAGATGGGAGCGTAAGCGTCGATTCCGATGTTCCAGTGAGAACGATATCAAAAGAACTGAAACCCGTTATAAGAGCCTTGGCAAAATCGCAGAACACGTCATCCACCTCTTTATTGTAGTCAGGCTCGATATGTTTGGCAACATATTCCGGAATCATACCCATTAATCCGTAGAGGCGATCTCTTAAGTCAAGAGATCCTGCCATTCTGCCAATCATTAAAAGCAGTCCAAGCTCATCTTGATCTTTCCTGCGCTCTGAGTCCGTTTGTGAGTGTGAGCGGCGAACACGCTCTTGGTTGGCAGTGACCAGCTCGACCAATTTCAACACGCGCCAGACCTTTTCGCGAGCTCTCACAGCACCATGGATATTTGTGGCTGCCTGAAGGAAGTTATGAAGTGGCATTAAACCCATGCGGAATGTCCCAAACAAAATGGATGGATTGACCGGACCGAGACATTTCTCCTGGATCACCCAAACTCGAGTCCAATACGTTTTCTTGACGACCACATCAATGGCGCGCCTGATGGTTTCCATCTTTTCTGGATCGGCCAATGCTACTTCTAGTACATCGGATGAAGCCTCCTTATCTGTTGACTTGACAATCAATTCATGGAGTTGAGCCATATCAGGTATGGCCTTGTCTGGAACCTCGCCCAGCCAAATGGAAACAATAAGCGCCTTGCCGTAGATCATCCGCATCCGCTTGACCTGAAGGTTACGCTCATTCATGTCTTTTTGATTGATGCAGATTGCATCAGCCCAAATCTTGAGACCTTCGATATAGTCCGGGTCTGAAGACAAGGCTCGAAGCGCTGCCTCCAAGCTCTGGCCGACAAGAACAACTTGTCCGTTCATGATGATCGGCATTCTGATAGTCTGATCTCCCCAAGTGTAGCTCAGTGCGCCATAATCGCCCCATGCAAAGCGATGGTAACGAGGGTGCGTACGTGGCCGTTCAAAGGGTGAGCTCACTCTTGTCGGGCTAAGAGAGCGGTATCGTTCGTTAGAGAATAGACGCCAACGCTCATCGCTGTTGCGCCGAGACAGTGGCTGCGCCTTGGCTACCCATTGCTGATAATCCGACAGGTGTGCATCGAGTGAAACATGTTCTATGGTACAGTGGACGAGGCCATGCCATTCCGGTGGCTCGTCGCGGAGGTTCGTGAGTGGCGGGCGCTCGATTGTCTGCAAACTGAGCACTCGAATCTCATTACGCTTCTCATCAAGTGGAGAGTAGGGAAAATCGCTGGTTTGCGTGAGTCGTTGAGGTGCCATTATGATAGACTGTCGTTCATAACCACTTGTGTGATCAAGTTTTCAAGTATGAGACGTTGCAAGGTTGATATTGAGCCCACTATGCGACCTTTACGGTATTTACCCTTGGCGCACCTGGGCTGCTTTTGTGGTTAGATGGAATTTATTGATTTGCTGGCCGGATCATGTACCTCAGCTTACGCTGTTGCCTATCATGAGCAGGGATTGCAGCATAGCCACGATGCCGAAAATGAGGGGTTTTCGACCGGCATCATTGGCTCGAACGCGAGATTTCGTGCTAGATCGGTTCGACCCAGCGAAGTTTTTCTATTTGACATGCGGAGAACAAATAGCTTGCTAGCCAATGGATAGCCCTTGCATGCAGCGTTGGCTCCTCTCGTGACTCGCAGTTTTTAATGAGAAGGTTCTGTGATCGAACGACCATTGCGAACTAATATATCTCGAAGCCTCAGATTTCTCGTCTGGAAAGAATCGGTGGTACCTGCCTTAGCACTTTAAGGTCCGAAATGTGGATAAGAAAGGTGTGACTGTATCGAGCGGTGGCTAAGAACTTTGGGGACTCAGAAGGTCGGAAAGGCTGTCCATTGATTTGGGTGGTTACCACCTCTGATGCTGACTTCCACCATTCATGCTTCTTCCCTCGGTGGTGGAAGCCGGAGTCATACCGGAACATCCGTGCATAGCCGGCCCTAAGAACAAGAGGAGGTGGGGCCGATCCGTCCTACCGCTCCCGTGCTATGGGTCCTGAACCGCATATATATTCCTTCTGTGTCGACTCTCGTTGAATCTTTCCCAAGCAGAGAGAGATCGACATCGCATGCATTGAGATCATTAGCTCTGGGTGTAAGCCACGCCAGTTCTTTGAGAATCGGCACTCGGCTACTCGGCAATGGCAGAGCAAAGATATCCCCAACGTTAAGCGCCGGGATGTCCAGCGCTTAGCCACTTGCTACGCCGCCGGTAACCCCTGCAGTGCAACAGTATTTTTCCAGACCTACGATTGATGAAACATACCCTGAGCTCCACTCCAGCGTTGGAACAGAAAGATGCAGGCCTCCGCCGGTTGCCTTTCGATTCGTCGAACAGCCCGCGTCCAGTGTAACTGCATGATGTACCTCGCCGCAACTATTGCGTCTGCGTGGCATAGCCGCAAATGTCGCCCATGATTGGATGTGTGAATGGAACGCATGGTTGATCTGTTGGCTGTTGGTGCGGTCTATTCTTGGCTTAGGCGCAGTCTCTAGCTATGTATGACAGCGTGGTCCCCGTGTTTTGTAGCTTCGAATTCGTTTTGAACTTCCTATCTCAAAGGTTCATTGCAAGTCAGGTTTTTATCGACCGATAATGTTTTTGAATGCATCGAAAGATAGTATGGCCGACCAAAGGCCTGTCCGGCTTCTTTCACTTGGCAAGTGACCCTTGTATGAAAGCCGCAACCAGAAAACTAACCAGCTATGTTTTATAGATGGCGGAGGCATCAGAGGTCTTTCCTCAATCCTTATCCTAAAAGATTTGATGCGCCATGTGAACCGGAACCGACTACCCAAAGATCATCTCCAGCCGTGGCAATTTTTCGACCTCATCGGAGGAACAAGTACGGGCGGGTGTGTATCGTTGAGCTCTCCGTGGACTAGATCATCATCCTAACTGGTTCTGTATGAAAGAATAATCGCCATTATGCTAGGCTGTCTACGGATGACAATCGAAGAATGCGAAGAAGCATATATCCGCCTCGCGAAGACAATATTCAAGCCTAAGCGATGGAAATACAACTGCTTTAGTCGCGGTCTCGACTTCTTCTCCGCGAGCGAGCGATATGACTCGTCCAAGCTTGAGGATGTTGTCAAGGCAATAATCAAGACGCGCACTGGTAGCGAGAGAGCCCCTCTACTGAATCTCAGCGAAGACGGCAAATGCAAAGTGTAAAGAAATCCAGTCAGAGGCCGAGTAAGCTGGGCTAATGCTTCGCAGATTTGTTACTACTGTGCAAACGGACGACCACCAGCTGCTGCTGCTACGCTCATATGAGAACAAACAAGAAGTCGACAAGCACTCAAAGCAATTCCAGTTATGGGAAGCTCTTCGCGCCACGTCAGCCGCTACGACTTACTTCAAAGAATATCGCCGAGGCAATGCCGGCTATCTGGACGGAGCATTGAAGAGCAACAACCCAATATTCCAAGTCCATCACGAAGCTCGAGACCTCTGGCCGAATAGAGAAGCTTTCTTGGTCAGCATCGGAACGGGAACCAAGCCTTCGGTCCCCCTGAGAGGAAACCTAATTCATATCGCGAGGACCCTCACCAAGCTTGTCACCGAAACAGAAGAGACGTGGAGTCGGTTCAAGGGAACGCACAAAGACATGTTGGAAGATAGTCTCCTCTTTCGTTACAGCGTTCCTGAGCTTGGAGGTGTGGATTTGGGTGACTACAAGCTGATGGGGATGGTTCGACGTAATACAGAGCGCCATCTGAGAGAGGCTTCGACGGAGAAATATGTTATGGCATGTGCAGAAACAATGCTGGAAATTGAAACGAAGGCCTACCCGAAGCTCAGACCGAGGAAGATTGCGTCAATTAGAGTGGAGGATCTTTCAGATGTCGAGAAAGGTGAGACCAAATTTATCAAACACTACCTTAGTGGTTGAAAGCTGACCCAGACAAAGACTGTCTGCGGACACTCCACGCAACAACCCGAGATTATGAGAGCCAAAGACTAGGAATCGAGAAGCCCGTACCTGGTACCTGTCAGTGGTTCCTCCGGCATCCTAAGTTCATCGACTGGGTGCACGGAGCTTCTACTTCTTTGCTCTGGGTGACGGCGAATCCAGGATGTGGCAAGTCTGTCCTGTCGAGCTTCCTCGTGGAGACACTGAGCCAAGAGCCGACCGACTCAATTGTGTGTTCCTTCTTCTTCAAAGCCGGAATTGACAGCCGCCGTGACGCGCACCAGGCTCTCTGCTCTTTGGTTCACCAACTTTTTGTTGCTGCGCCAGAGTTGGTCCAGACAGCAATGGAAAGTTATTCAAGCAAAGATACAAGCTCTTTTACTGGGGATGTCGAGTCACTCTGGATTATCCTGCGTGAAGCCGCAGGGCGACTCGCCAAACGTACGGTCGTCTGCGTAGTCGATGCCCTCGACGAGTGCTCAGAAGGGTCCAGGAACCGGTTTATCGACCGGCTTGTAGCAACATTTCCCTCGCAATGCGCACTAGGAACGAGCGTCAGATTGAAATTCCTAGTCACAAGTCGACCATGGCCGAGCATTGAAAGTCGGTTTCGGAACTTGCTCGCCATCCGGCTTCGTGGGGAGAACGAGGCATCAGCGCTCTCGAAGGACGTGGAGAAAGTTGTCAAATATCGAGTCAGAGAGCTCAAGGAATCATCGGCTCTTTCCACAGAAGCAAGCTTCATGGTCACAAAGGTATTGTCTGAAGGGGCAGATCGTACGTTTCTCTGGGTTTCATTGGTATTTGACTCCATTGAACGGCTTCAATCAAGGAAGCTCAGCTCTATCGAAAAGTCTCTTGGGTCCTTGCCGAGGGATCTTGACCAGCTCTACGAAAATGCCTTGATGACCTTCGTTGACCGCGCCGCATCGACTCGACTCCTAGGTACTGTATTAGCTGCAAAGCGCCCATTGAAGCTGAAGGAGCTCAACATTGCCCTCAGCCTTGGAGAAAACACCACATCCATGAAGACCCTAGAGAGAGAACTTGAACCTGACGCGGAATATACTGTCAAGGAGCTCGGAGGCTTTTTTCTTCGGATCATCGACTCTACCGTCTTTCTTGTGCACCAAACAGCGCGAGACTTCCTACTAGGCTTCAGTCCAGACTGCTCTGGGACGGCCCCAGACCCCAGAATCGACCTGGAATTGGCAAGGTTTACTCTTGCAAAGACTTGCGTAAACTACCTCTCGCTAGAAGGACTACCAAGAAGGCCAACTCTGCCAACAAATGAAGAGGAAAGACTAGCCTCGAACAAGAAGCTTTTGGCCGAGCTTCCGTCCTGGGCTAGAAGCTTCTACATCTATGCTTCGATCAGTTGGGCGTCGCATCTGGGGGAGATGAGGTGTTCGAGTCCAACTCCAGTATATACCAAAACGTCAGCCGAATATGTGATTCTTCCCGTCCATACTTCGGCGGTTGGTGGTTCTTCTACGTCGAGCAAAAGTTTTTCGTCGGCAAGCACGTCAACTACGCGCATTTCACGGGTTGCTCTGGTCGCCACTATGCACATTATTCCACCATGAGGCGCGACCCTGCTGCTACGCGGGGTTTGTTAGAGTCGGGGTCGTGTAAGGCAGAGCAAACCAATGCATACGGCCATGACCTGTTACTCGAAGCATGTCACAGAGAGGGGAATGGGCAGGTCCGTTGGATTCTTGATACTTGCGATCATTCAGCTCTCAATCTCCACAAGGCTCTGTACTCAGCGACTTCTGGTGGTAGCATGGCGATCGTCAAGTTGCTTCTTGCTACACGGATGCAGGTAACTCCGTCCGAGCATGGAACACCGTCGACGGAACTATCTCTTATCAATGCCTCTCTCGCATACCGCCCTATTCTTCAGCTTCTTCTAGATAGGGGTTTGCCGATTAAGGGGGAGGATATTGTGAATGCAGCCAACAAGGGTTACGATGAAACTTTGGGACTCCTCATCGATCAGGGGCCCAGATATGTTGAAGATATGGCGCCATCTCTTAGGGAGGCATTGGTTCGAGCGACAGAAAGCGGTTATCCACGTTGCCGAGTTCTAATTCTGAACCACCTTCCCCAAGACGCTGCCTATACGCTCGATCCGTCGATAGGCTTGCTTCCTGCCGCAAAGCGTTTTGATCATTGCAGCCTCCGCGAGCTGTTCGCTATGGGAGCCGTTGCAGCGGACGACGGCGAGGCTCTAATTTACAGTTGCTCTTTCGGACATGCAGACACTGCAAGAGCACTTACAGATGGCCACTCTTACCCCGAAGAAGTTCTTGCCAAAGCATTATTGTCATACTATCACACCAACATAGGGCTTGAGCTGAAGCCATTCTGCCTCAAAACTGTGTCAAGAGTCATCGAGTCCCGAGGAAGTCTTAACGAAGGATTCAATTTCGTACCCAAATTTGGGCTCAGCTTTGAAGCCAGCACAGCGCTCCTGGAGTTGTTTGCCGAGAAAGACGTTCGTCTACCTCGTCGTAAGTTTGTCGAAGTGACGGCATTGGTTATCGCCATGGACGAGCGTTTCGGTCTTTGGCTGGTAGAGGCTACCGATAGACTCCAACATGACTCGACCTTTGCGGCGGAGGATTTCTTTCCGTTGGCATGCTTCTGGGGTAGAAGCTCGCTCGCTCGGCTGTTAATTTCTCGTGGGGTTGATGTCAATAGCCCTGACGGTTGCGGCATGACTCCTCTTGTGGCTGCCACGGTATCTGGAAGCTCGGAAGTGGTGAAGTTGCTTCTTCAGCAAGGGGCCAAAGCAGATCAATATTGCCAGTCGATCATATCCCCACCAGACTGCATGTCAGATGTTGGCTGTGAGATGGCCAATCTTTATGGTCACGTTGCGAAAGCACTCGGTTGTGGGACCCTGGAAGGCACCCCTCGCTCACTCGCCCAGAACATGGAACACTCGGATATCATCGAGCTATTTGATGGATGCTGATGAATATGTTGTTGAAATGAGGTATTGCGAAATAAGCTGGATTTGGAATGCACAGACTCATGAACGGAATTCGTTTATGATGACAGAGGATTCGCTAGTTGTAACAGCTTTACCGTGAGGTATATCGTAAATAGTGCAGGGCTAGGAATTAGCATTGATGTACCGACTTCGTTACTCACTATGACAGTTCATAAGACACGTGTAGTTGATGAGAAATCAAAACCCAGTGTTTGTGGTGGCGGCCGGGTGTCGGTGGTGTGACAACGGGTACGACCGAGCAAAGACGTCCAGATTGGGTTCTGTACCTGCACAATGATGCGAAAGATCCGTAGGGCTGGTAAGTAATCAATGTCGGATTAGCCGAGGACAAGAGCAAACAGGGGGTTATTTGAGTTGTTAAGTCCTATTGATAGAATGTTGGTTGACGACCGAACAATGCTCTTGTAAGCAGTCAAGATTTGGCAGTTCCCGTTGGCCGGGTATCGGAGCTAATTCCTCGGGATTGCGAGCTCCATTTAAGGTGGAATCGAAGGAACCTTGAGGAATTTACTCAGCCGAAGGGTCTTCTCGGTGACTGACAGAATCCTTGACAAATGCACAAATCCGGAGTCCTTGCGCAATTATGCAGTGAGATATGCAGGCTACGGTGGCGTCATCGAGGGGTCTGACAAATCAAGTGGCTTCTGCCCTCTATGATGCGCCCCGTCCGCGCCAGTTTCTGCTGCTACAGATTCGCAGTTCCCGTTTTCCCGCATAGAAAATACCTCTAAAACACTGTATTTGTATAGCGAAATCGAGGTACCCTCTTTGCCCACCCGCGACGAGACCATTACCACTTCTATCCTCTCTTATAAAGTCCATTGCCGTCCGCCCCATCCAGGTGACGGTCCTTCTTTTCTAGATCCAATGTCCACACGAATCTTCCGTCCTATTCAACGCATCGCGAGATCTTCAGTCCCATTTACTTACAGAAACTTCCACGCGACTTCGCCCAACATGGTTGTCCACAACGTCAAGAGGTAAGTTGTACCTTTTTTTTTAGTCCGTCCCGCGGGGTCTTCAGCTACCCCGCGACCCGCATCGTGATGATGTGGTGTTTTGCCCCGCCATTCTCATGTTTTGATGCTGACCCGAGTTCAACTGCAGCAAGGCCGAGTTCGACACCACCCTGAAGGAGCACGACTTCGTCCTCGTCGACGCTTTTGCCACCTGGTGCGGTCCTTGCAAGGCCATCGCCCCCATTCTCGTCAAGTTAGTCGATCCTCTCTCCTTTCCCCGATTGTACTCTTTCCTTTTGGCATATCTGTTCGGCAGTTGCAGTCGCTGACACGTCACGAATCATAGCCTCTCCAACGAGGAGAAGAACAGCAAGATCCACTTCGTGAAGATCGATGTGGACGAGGTCCCCGATGTGAGCCAGGAGCTCGGTATCCGCGCCATGCCCACCTTCCTTATCTTCCAGAAGGGCGAGAAGGCCCAGGAGATCGTCGGTGCCAACCCTACCGCTCTTAAGCAGGCTATCGAGAAGTTTGCCGAGCTCGCCAGCACCGATGCATAAATCATCTACTACGAGACGAACAAAGAGAGTCGTGATGGAGTGACGGATTGAGGATGGAAAGAGTCTGAGGGGATACCGGCTTGCGAATGAGGTTTTACCGACGCTAGATACCACACTACAATATTAAAAAGTTTCCAAGATATTTCGCTCCTGCTGGAGTAATCTGCAGGTCTTCAGGGCTGCCTTTGGCCTTCAGTAAACTATCCAAGGTTACTGCGGCAATGTATCAGACCGCTCCGTGTGGTGTGAGTTACAATGCATCCTTATTTGGTGTCGGTTGCAGGGACAGTCTCGTTCTGTTGAAGCGCGTCAAGGTGCTTAATCTCCACGTCCGATGTCTTTGGTCAATCTTCGCATTACATCGCAAAAACACGACACGTATCATACGTTGCTCGTCAAGATTACTGGGTGGATGATGCAGGGTGAATAATCACATTGAGCATGGGCGCCTTAAGCTGACGTATTCAAGCACATTCAAGGTTTAGGTGCTCTCGACATAGCTCTTCCAGTGACGTTGTTCGCCTTGTCAATTATCGATGTTGATAACTTGCGCAGATTATTACCAACACGCAGTTTGTTGCAGATCCGACCAAACATGTGATAGGCTGTCTGCTCTTCTTTCCCCCTGGAAGATCTTACCAGACCTCGGAGAAATGACAAGCTCCACAAACCTTGCCTCACCTTACCCAGTGATATCATCTGACTGCATACCCTTAGTCAGAATCAGACGCCCTAAAATAACCATTCTCGCAAAGCTTTGTCGTAGCCCGCATGTGGTGTTGAACAAAGGCGCGCCGAGAAAGAAGGCCTCTAGTGGTTCAGAAGGCTGATCCCCGCCCCATGTGGCCATTTGGTTGGAGGGGTGACTCAAGGACTAAGACAGGCCGGGGGCCGTTGGGCCCCACGCCGGTTTTCGGCTCGGCGTGGCAGGGACAAGTTGCCCGCGGAGAGGGGGGGGGAACGCCCTGAATTGACAATCTGCCGCCAAGTGGTTGATAAACATGGCACGATACCGTGCACAAGGGCACGAATCATTAAAAGGAGTTGAGTGACAATTGTCGATACTGACACGTTCGAATCGGCTTATCCGCAACTCTCAAGTCGATGAGGTTGATTGCTGTTACTTTTGGAAGATAAGCTCGTCCAAAACGCAAGACATATTTAAACCTCCGACCTTCGCCTTCAGTCAATTCAACCCAGAACTCGGTTTGATAGAGCATTAATCGTGACAAACTCGAGTCAATATGACGAACAACATTGTTGTGCTCGGGTAAGTAACTCACGTGTAGCCTCTCACAAATCCACTCACTTACCATCTCCAGTGCTGGCGTGTCGGGCCTCACCGCGGCGCTGCTCCTGTCCAAGAGCAAAGCCAATTCTGTTACCGTAATCTCGAAGCACATGCCCGGTGACTATGACATCGAGTACACGTCGCCTTGGGCCGGTGCAAACGTCTTGCCGTAATGCTCCCCTTGTCCCATTAGACAAAGTCACAACTAACGGATTTTGTCAGCATGGCGCCGGAGTTTGATAGCAGATGGGAGCGGAGGACATGGCCTGAACTCAAGCGGTTAGCTGCCGAGGTGCCAGAAGCAGGCATTCACTTTCAGAGTGCGTCAACCTTCCTTTTCGAATGCCCTCTGCGACTTCAAACTGACACAATCCCCAGAGAGCTTAGTCTTCAGGCGCAAGAAGGATATTGAGGCCGGCGGCAATCCCTACGACGCCCTCTACGCAGTAGATCCGTGGTACCGTGACCTCCTTCCCGACTTCCGCGACTTGCGCGCGGACGAGCTCCCCGCCAACGCCCACTCGGGCTCCGAATTCACCTCGGTCTGCATCAACACAGCGCTCTATCTACCCTGGCTCGTTGGCCAGTGCCGGAAAAACGGCGTCGTTTTCAAGCGCGGTGTTATCGCACACATCCACGAGCTTAAGGCGCTCCACCACTCTGGCAAGCCCGCCGACATCATCGTCAACAGCTCGGGGCTGCTGGCATGCAAGTTGGGCGGCGTGGAGGACAAGAAGGTGCAGGCGGCCAGGGGCCAGGTCGTGGTAGTCAGGAACGAGATCGAGCCGATGGCGACCATCTCCGGCACCGACGACGGGCCGACGGAGGTGTGTTACATGATGACGCGGGCGGCCGGCGGCGGAACGGTCCTCGGTGGGACGTACGACAAGGGCAACTGGGACCCGAACCCGGACCCGAACATTGCGAACCGCATCATGAAGCGGTGCGTGGATTTGTGCCCGGCCTTGACGGGCGGCAAGGGCGTCGAGGCGCTGGATGTCATCCGTCACGGCGTTGGGCTGCGGCCGTACCGCGAGGGCGGCGTCAGGCTCGAGACCGACAAGGCAACATTCGAGGACGGAACGCCAATCGTGCACAACTATGGCCACGCCGGCTGGGGATACCAGGGATCGTATGGTTGTGCCGAAAGGGTTGTTGAGTTGGTAAACGAGATCCGTGCTGAGAAGGGGGAGAAGTTGGTGAATGAGCCTAGGATTTTCTCCTGGGACCGGGCTAGCAAGTTGTAAATGTTTGCTAACATAGACGAGTTTTCTTTGCATATAATGAAACAAGGCACAGAATTAAATCGGACAGCAGAAACAAAAGGATGTAATCAAGTCCGATGTCTTGGAATATTTCCAAGATGTCTCATCCGTCACAGTACGATTTTGCCTGGCAACAAAGGCGCACAGTGTAATTTGGACCCTGCACGTCCTGTTCGCGACAGCTTTCACAAGCTCCCCTGTCCATCACCAAGCTTCACAGCCCACGCAACACAGCTTGCGAAGCCGCACCATGGCCGACCAATCGCCCCCCATCTACGTGCAGGCGACGCGCCTCATTCTAGACGTCGCCAAAGGCCGACATGCGCTCTCCAAGACCATCCCCCCTCTCCTCCTTGCGCTGGATGCGGTCCTCTGCGGGCTGATCATCTGGAAGGTCCCTTGTGCGTTTTGATCTCGGTTCTGGAAAGGGGCGGCCACTCGCTGACATGGCTTTCAGACACGGAGATCGACTGGGTCGCCTACATGGAGCAAGTCTCTCAATTCGTCTCGGGCGAGCGCGACTACACCAAGATCAAGGGCGGCACCGGCCCCCTCGTCTACCCTGCCGCCCACGTCTACACCTACACCGGCCTGTACTACCTCACCGACGAGGGCAAGAACATTTTTCTGGCACAGCAGCTATTTGCGATCCTCTACCTTGCGACTCTTGCCGTCGTAATGGCGTGCTACTGGCAGGCAAAGGTGCGCCGTCCGCTTCTACCCGAAAACCGAAACAAGCTAACTAATCTCCTTCTCCAGGTCCCGCCCTATATCTTCCCCCTCCTGATCCTCTCCAAGCGCCTTCACAGCGTCTTCGTCCTGCGCTGCTTCAACGACTGCTTCGCGACCTTCTTCCTCTGGCTCGCCATCTTCTTCTTCCAGAAACGACTATGGACTCCCGGCGCCGTCCTGTACAGCTGGGGCCTGGGCATCAAGATGTCACTGCTGCTGGTCCTGCCTGCCGTCGGCGTCATACTCTTCCTTGGGCGCGGCTTCGGCGGCAGCCTGCGCGCGGCGTGGCTCATGGCGCAGGTACAAATCGTCATCGGCGTGCCCTTCTTCTCCAGCAACGCCAAGGGATACCTCGGTCGCGCGTTTGAGTTGTCGCGGCAGTTCTTCTTCAAGTGGACGGTCAACTGGCGGTTCGTGGGCGAGGAGACGTTCCTCAGCAAGCCGTTTTCTATTGCGCTACTAGGACTGCATATATTCACATTGCTGGTGTTCGTCTTCACCCGGTGGCTCAACCCCGCCCAGCGACCCCTGTCGTCGCTGGTGCCGGCCATGCTCCAGGGCAAGTCCCCGTTCTCTCCGCGCGAAGAGGCTCAGGTGGCCAGCCGAGTAACGCCGCGCTACGTTCTCACGACGATTCTCTCAGCCAACGTCATGGGGCTCCTCTTTGCCAGGTCACTGCATTACCAGTTCTACGCCTATCTAGCCTGGTCGACGCCGTACCTCCTCTGGCGCAGCGGGCTCCCCGTCTACATCGTCTATATCCTCTGGGCGGTGCAGGAGTGGGCCTGGAACGTGTACCCCAGCACGGACATGAGCTCGGAATTCGTGGTGGGTGTGATGGCGGTCACGGTGGCGGCGACGTGGTTCGGTACAGCGGACGAAGGGGCGCCGGCCGAGAAGCCCGAGTCGAAGAAGAGGTGATGTCGGGGAAGTCGTAAGTCGTCAAGTGGCTCTCGCATCAGTAGTCGTCCTCGGAATCTGAAGGTGGCATTTTGCCGACGTTGGAATCGGATTCTTCGCTGTCTTCGTACGTGTTGGTCTTTGCAAACTCCTTGGGCCTGGAGGGCTGTCAGCATGGGAGGGAATATTGAAACGCAGCACGGTGGCTTGAGGAGTCGCACCAGTAAGACTGCTTGCGCCAGGCCTTCTCGTCGCGAACGACGTTGATGATCTCGCCCATCACGCGGCCGTCGGGCTCGTCGTATCTCTCGGCCAAGACATATCCGCCGCGCTTGATCCAAATTGTGTTGCGGAAGCGCTGGGCCAGCTCGAGGACGAGGTCCTTCTTGTTGGGCAGCTCGCACGAGTACAGGTTGTTGCCCTCGGCCTTGACGACGCGCACAATGGCCTGGTTCTTCTCGAGGGTACCGGGGGGCGTCAGTGTGTCTTCGGCCGCCTGGAGGGCGGTGCGTTTTGGTCGTCCCATCTTTGGCAGGCAAGAAGGTAGTCGTCGGGGTCGCGAGCACAAATGCAATCGATCGTCAAGGAACTTTTTCTGGTGGTGAGTGACAATGGTGGGGTAATTTTTTTGTCAGTGGTTTTTCTGGAGGGTGGATGCGGGGCAGACCCGGCCCCGTCTACACTAGTGCAGTACAGCATGTACCGAGTCGGTTCTGTCCGTCTGGACACCTTGGTGATTGGCATGATACCGGGGTTGATTGGCGGTCTGGATCAAGACGAAGAAATGAACATGTAGATACCAGACCATGGATCCCGGCATGCAGCCATCGGGGACATCCTTCCTACCGTGCGCCCATTCACAGACTCGGCCGGTAAAGGCGGAAAGGAACTGTGGTGTAGCGTTATGACCTCCAAGTCCCTGGCAGGGCCAATTTACAGTAATGATTGGCCAAGAACATCACTCCAGTCCCCGTTATTATTCGAGGAGCAGAATCAGGCCGCCTTGAGTACTCACAGTGACAGCTTCAGAATTCTTGCGTGCAGATATCGGAGCTAAGAACGTCGCGAACCAGATTTAGTAAAGAGTTGACAAGAACAAGCTGCAACCGACCGAGTCTCGCTACCGGTACTTCTCTCCAAGTAGCGGCTATTGTCACCTTGGGGTTGAGTCGTCGGTATCATTGCTGGCAGCTAGGCTGGCGCACGTAGCGCTACCCCTCACCTAGGCTCTGATAGCTTCTGAAATACATAGGCGTGACCCATGCTGGTCCAATGCAGTGAGAAATTAGTCTGTAAGGGAATAGCAACGGGCACAAATCTCGCATAAATTGATTGGTTCTGCCAGACTGCTCATAGCACCAACCTGCCATTGCTTCTGACAGTGTACTGTCTGATTGGTCGCCTCTAGAGAGATCCTAGGTGCAATGTACCTTCAAATCCACTTGATCCCGAGATGTATTGCTGGAGGATGGTGAAACCAATACTGCAGAAGAACATGAGGTACTTTATCACGCTTGCCTGGAAACCAGAACTTATTCCCTCACCAACTCAACAGGTCAGGCCCGGCCCAAATACTATCTATCTTGCTATTTCTCAAAGACTGCTCAAAATGGCAACTGGGAAAGAAAATTGGGACAGGTCTGTTGCTATGTTGAAGACAGACTTCAAGAAATACGCAACAAAACAATGGCGCGACATCCGGGCACCATTATCAAGGCATGCGCAAGAGGAAGCCCCAAAAGAGCAGGAGCAAACACATCTTGCACTTGGCCAGCAGTTCGGCCCTTTTCAGTATTCAGCCATCCCAAACAAAGGTTACATCAGACTTCTTGAACTTATGCCGGGCCAAGAGAACGAGCCGATTCAGATTCAATTGTCCACCGTCGGTCTAGACGACAGTATTCAGACGTACGACGCACTCAGTTATGTGTGGGGAGACCCAGATCAGCCGAGAAGGGCCATCTCTGTGAATGGTGGCTATATGGAAATTTACGAATCACTGCACGCCATCTTGCTTAGCCTTCGAACCAACCCCGAGTCTGTAGCCACCTCTCAGGTTGACGAGAGATGCGTCCTATGGGTTGATGCAATCTGTATCAACCAGACAGATATGGCGGAACGGGGCGCCCAAGTACCCATCATGGACAACATTTACAGAAACGCACGTCGCACCGTGATATGGCTCGGACCCGAAACGAAAGAAACCGATCATATTTTTGAGATACTGGACCATCTCGCACGGGATGCAAATACAACCACCTTCGATGCAAGCCTTAGCGACTTCATCGATGAACAGGCGACCCTGCCAATCACTCTTATACAGCTTAACAAGACCCCGCTTGTACAAAGCCCTGCCCGAGAACTGTACGCCGGCGACTCAAAGATCTGGGGTATCCTAACGTGCACGTGGTGGTACCGCTCCTGGACCCTGCAGGAGATCCTACTTTCCACCAATATCACTCTAGTCATGGGACGTCACAATATCGACTGGCAGAATCTCTGCGCCGCTGTTGACCACGGCCTCAGGATGCGCCTCTGGAACATGTTAGCATCAGGGACTTTTATTAACCCCAACATACTACCTTACTTCACAATCAGAGCTTTGCAGGGACGCTTGGGCCTGTATGAGTCCACACATCATGGTTCTCGAGCTGAACATGGACCAGGAATTCTCCTTACGTTACTAGAAGGTTGTCGACAAAGAGAATCCAAAGACCCTCGGGACAAGATTTACGCAGTTTCAGGCATCCTGAAAACTATTCAGAGACTAAGTTCAGCTGCCGATGCCGTGAATTGGGTAAGAATCGATGCGGATTACGCCAGCCCCGTCGTATTTGTGTATAGGATGATGTCGCAACAGCTTATCCTGACGACAGGAACCTTGGATGTTCTCGGGATATGCCCCAGGTCGTCCAGGAGGGGCTTGCCTTCATGGGTGACGGACTGGAGTAACTCATCCTCCATGGCTGTACCTTTGTCCCGCGACTCGCTGGACCGGCCGCGGCGGACGCACGCGGCACGCGGCACTCCTGCCAACGCGCGCTTTCCCGAAGACGCTGTGACCCTTGTACTCCGTGGCCACGAAGTGGCAACGGTTTCAGAGATTTCCAAAAGTATCCCTCGATGGGATCACACCAAGTTGGACACGACTGAGGAGGAGCCGAAGGACCAACGATGGGCAAGGCTCCGTGCTGAGGCTGCAGCGAATGGAGAAGAGGAGCCATCCCGCTTCGCTCTCAGAATGACCTACCTCAAAAACTCGAAGGAGGACTTCAAGAGCATCTTTACCGAGCTTGCTCAGCACTGGCACGCCATCATCCAATGGGAGCGATTTGCCGCCCGGAGAAAGCCGACCAACCCGTGTGGCCTAGACGCCGAAGCAGCAGCGGTCTACTGGAAGACGCTGTGTGCCGGCACGTACGACCACGAGAACCCGGCCGCGACGGAGGAGCTGTATCACAAGTGGTCGCGCAGCCTGGACGTGTTGCGGAAGAACGAGAGCCGGTACGGGTCTCTGGGTTACGGCCTTCACCCGCTCGCGTATTTCTTGCAGTCCTGGGACGAAGGGTTCCCTGAATTCGCGCTCTATTGTGAATGCGCTATCGAGCGGCGGTTAGGATGGTGCGAAAACGGGTGGCTGGCGCTGCTGCCCGAGGCGACGTGCAAGGGCGACAAGATCGTGCTGGCCGAGGGCGGCAGGGTTCCCTTGGTGCTCAGGCCCAACGGCGATGGGTATAATACCTTTGTTGGCGAGGCTTACGTCCATGGTATCATGAACGGGGAGGCCTTTGACCAATCGCAATGTCATGACATCAAGATCTGCTAGACAAGAATGGATCCGACGAACAAGCCTAGATTCGGCCGGTTGTGGCCTGCTCCAACCTATCGAAGAAAGCACGATGAGGCTCTTTCTTAATCAACAAGGTGAGGAAGTGAAGGTTGCAGAAGAAGTCGTGGAGGCGGCTGTAGGGATAGAGAGGTCTGGCGAGGAAGAAACCAGGGGGGGAGGGGGTTTCGCTGGTTATTTTTGGTTTTTTTGCTTGATCGACGACTCTTGTCTAAACAAGACAATAAAGAGTAAGCTGATTCCTGAGCAGCTGTAGGAGACGAATAGTAACAATCCTAATGCTAGACTTGATCCTCTACTAGGGAACCGCCCGATGCTGTTCCATCTTTTACTTAACACTGAAACTGCGTAGGAAAAAAGAAGCCGGCAAGCAGGGTGGTGAGCTCACAACCCATACTATATACCAGAATCCAGTATCGTTCCCAGCGCATCTGAAATGACCAATCACTTAAAGGTAGCCAATTTCCACAGGACTGCCCATTGGAGACCCCAATTCGACAGATACATATGGTTGCATCATGCTACGGCAGTGCTGGCCGTCTTGGTGATAACCGAGACTACTCCATTTCTGGAAGTAGTGCCAACTTCTACCGCATCTTCGAGAAGACACATGGTGCGAGCAACGCCGGAACCACACCATCATGGGTTACCCGAGCTTCAGCCGGCGGAGCTTCTCCGCGTCCTGCAGCTGCTCATTTGCTGGGACACCGACCGCTTGGCTGCACTACCGTCGCCCGCCTCCCGCGCGGGGCCACGGGTCCGGCATCGGGAAATCATAGGTATGACACAAGAGACGTTAGTTCGCAGTGTTCCCAATCGGAAGGAAATGCGCGTCGGGATAGAGTGCTCTTGTTTCCACACACTGTTTAGAAGCGGTCCTTTTCCCCGCCCATTCGAAAGCCCACTTACTACACTACACTGTCAAGCACACCCGTTCACTTATCACAGCATGCAAGACTAAGCCAAGACAAGCTCGCCGACAATACCACGTGCCCCCAAGGGTCTTTTCTTAAAAACTTTTTTTTTTCACTTGGTCAAGTGGAGAGCATGCATGTTGTAAACCTTACATCCCGCCGCCCATTCATGGATGATAGTCCTCCAGAGGGGAGCCATGGAGAGCTTTTGCAGGACCTCCGATTGCCTGTCCCAGCCATCTACATAGTATATGACGCTCGTGGGACGTTGGCCACGAACCAAAGCGGTCAGGATCCACGGTGGCTGCGACTGCATTCGTGACTCCCTAGTTAGATTTAGTCCAGGTCTGACTACCTAACCACTAGACACCGCCAACGTCGCTTACCCTGCCTACCTTGCCTGCGTAGATGCTCGTGTATATCTCAAGCACAGCGTCCTAAATCTCTCATCGTGTTCTCGACTCTTCCTCCCTCAACCTTCCTCCCACCCGTGTTCCCGCTCTCGAGTCGGCCCGCCCTCCAGCTCGTGCATCTGCCATCGCAATGGATGCAACAATGTTCAAGAGCCTTGTCGCGGTCGAATCCCGCGACCGCGACAGCGATCCCCCTCTCCTCCCCGCCGCCCCCGCCAGAGCCGTTCCGCGAACCTACCCTGGCGCACCTCAGCGCGACGAGTCCTCGATTGAACTCTCGCGCATAACCACCAACCCCAACAATGACGGAGGCACAACCAACAAGACCGGCGCCGGCACCGCCCACTCCCCGCGGTCCAGCGCTACCCCGTCGCGGGCCCAGTCTCCATCCCGCCCGCTCGCCTCGGGGACCGACGTCGAGATGAGCCGGCCCTCGAGCCCGGCCGCCTTCGAGGTCCTGCAGAGCATCTCGGACCCCCACATGAACCGCTACCGTCTCGCGGCGGCGTGCCTCATGAACCTCGGCAACGGCCTCAACGACAGCGCCCCGGGTGCCCTGATCCCTTACATTGAAAAGTATGCCGCCTGCTCCGTCTCGTCTCGCTGCCGGACCCGACCAGTGACAAGACTAACACCGCCAGGCACTACAACATCGGCTACGCCATCGTCTCCCTCATCTTCATAGGCAACGCCTTCGGCTTCATCTTTGGCGCCGTCTTCCTCGAGTCCCTGCGCGTGCGCCTAGGCCGCGCCCGTCTCCTCGCCCTGGCCCAGACCGTCATCACCCTCGCCTACGCGCCCATCCTCGCGCAGGCGCCCTTCCCGCTGGTTGTCGTCTCCTTCTTCATGATCGGCTTCGGCATGTCCCTCACCCTCGCCGTCAACAACGTCTTCTGCGGCTCCCTGCGCGAGGCCACCACCGCCCTCGGCTTCCTCCACGGCGCCTATGGCGTCGGCGGCACCGTCGGGCCCCTCATCGCCACCGCGCTCGTGACCGCCGCCGGCGCCCGCTGGAGCATGTACTACGTCATCCCCCTGGCGCTGGCAGTCCTCAACGGCGCCTTTTCCACCTGGTCGTTCTGGAACTACGATGCCGACCTTGTCGCGGGGTCTCCGGCCCAGGAACCCGCCGCCGGCGCCGCCGACTCGCGCACGCAGCTACTCAGCATGTTCTCCGCGCTCAAGATCCGCGTCGTGCTGCTCGGCGCGCTCTTCATCTTCGCCTACCAGGGCGCCGAGGTGTCCATCTCGGGCTGGGTCATCTCCTTCCTCATCGCCGTGCGCGGCGGCGACCCGGACTCGGTGGGCTACGTGACGGCCGGGTTCTGGGCGGGCATCACCATCGGCCGGCTGTGCCTGTCGCACCCGGCGCACCGCGTCGGCGAGAAGCTGTTCGTGGCCCTCGCGACCGTCGGCGCCGCCGTCTTCCAGCTGCTCGTGTGGTGGGTCCCCAACGTCGTCGGGCCCGCCGTCTCGGTCGCCATCGTCGGCCTGCTGCTGGGGCCCATCTACCCGTGCGCCGCGGCCGTGTTCATGAGGGGGATGACGCGGCATAAGCGGTCCAGTGGGATGGGCGTCATCAGCGCGTTCGGCAGCTCCGGCGGCGCCGTGGCGCCGTTCGCGACGGGTATCCTCGCGCAGGCGGCTGGCACGTGGGTGCTGCACCCGATTGCCATTGGGCTGTTTGCCGTCATGATGGCGTCGTGGTACGGAGTGCCTCACAGCAGGAAGAGGTCCGAGTAAGGCGAGGCTGCGGTGAGAGATGAACGTGACGATTGAGAAAGCTTATGAAGGCGGCAAAGGCCAAGAGTTGGTATCTTGGACACGACGTGGAAATTCGCCACCCCCCTTCTCCCCCGAGGTGTCTTCGAAAGGTTAGTATGGCATGATCAAGAGGCTGCTTTGCAAACTGATCAGCGCGTTGGCGCTTGGGATACGACATGCAGTATAGGGTTTGCGATTTGCGCGGGTAGCCTTTCCGTTTGGAAAAAGTGAATGGTTTCGCTGGATATTTGGAAGGAAAACCTAGGAGCGTCAACTGTTGTCGATTTTGCCGTCGAAAGCGTGATATTGTCCGTGATATATCCCCGTAGACCCCAGTCTATGTTCATATCTATCATGAAAAGAAAAAGAAAAAAAAACAGTATGAAGAAACCCCGAAGTTCATGCCTCGCTGTATAGGTATCAATCCCGTCTCCTGACCCGTCTAGATGTATTAAAGTCTAGATGCTATCGTCTCGCGTATCGTTCACTGTCTAGTGGATGCGTCCCCGCGCGGCGTCCTTGACGCTGATCTTGCCCTCGACAATCTGCTTGACTGTTTCATGGATGTCGGAGAAGTCGTTGAAGGTGACGAAGGAGATCCCCTCCTTCTCGCAGTACGCGACCAGATCTGCGCAGATGTTAGCTCCACATGCTTCCAAGATAGTCAATGCGAAGTCGCAGCGCCGGCACCGGACGAAAAGCCAGTGATGGCGGGGGCGGGGCAACAACCCGAAATAATCCGGGGAGAGGGAGAACAAAAGCCCTTACCTTTGTCGCGCTTGGCAAACAGCAGATCCGTCTCGCGCGCGGCCGAAAGATCAGAAACACCGTCGCCGGCGTAGAACATGACGGGGCGCTCGGGCAGCGACGAGTACTTGCGCAGCTCAATTGACTTGTCGTGGCCGTGGATGCTGTCGTCGTGGTAGACGATGCGCCAGCCGCCCTCCTCGTTGATGCTGGCCTTGCCCTCGCGGGCGGCGACCTGGTTGCTGACAATCTGGATGTGCTCGTCGACCTCGGCCTCGCCGAGCCACTGCACGAGCAGGGCGCGGATGATGGGGCGCATGCCGCCGCTGATGATGACGACGGGCACGTTGTTCTCGCGGCACCAGTGGTAGAACTCCTTGAAGGCCGGGTCGAGCTTGACGTTGGCCTTGAGGTACTCGATGCACTGGTCAAAGGGCATCTTGACCGAATCCATCATCTCCTGGAAGCTGTCGCGGAAGTGCTTCTTGCCCTCGAGCACGAGCAGGTTGCCGGCGCGGCGGTTCTCGTAGCCGTAGCCGACATTGTCGGTGAGGAAGTCGTTGGAGTCCTCGAGCGTGATTGTGCCGTCAAAGTCGGTGAAGAAGATGAACTTGGGGTTCGTGGCAAGCGCCGGGGTTTCGCTGACCTGGGAGCCCATCTTGCCGATGCTGAAGGTGAATTTGTTGGAAAGAAAAGACATGAATCTGAGGGGGTAGAAACAAGCGAATGTTTCCGGGTATGAGGTAGTATGGGTGAGGGAGAGGTCGGGTTTACCAGTCTGACGTCTGGTAGCAGCGGGATGTGAGGTTTTAAGAATCAAGGAGGGGGAGGGGTAAAAGCAAAATGCTCTCGATGCGAGGTCAACAGGTGAGAAAAGGGAGTGGGGACTTGCGGGAGGACCCTGGTGAAGAAACCACGCGAAAGATGATGAACAACTAGAAAAAAAAGGGCCTTGGCTACATGATTCGGTATGCGGATTGGGAAAACCTCCATCAATTCTCGACGCAGACGGGCCAGGCCCATCCCTACGTATCAGCCCGGAACCCCTCCAATCCAGGCATTCCGTCCTCACACATCCAGCCAGTCAGTAATTGGTTGGTTCCTGAGTTCCGGCGCAAACCTTGACTCGGAAATTCCAACATTTCGCAAAGATTTTTTTTATGACAGACGTAATTACATGGTATTGGAAAGCTCAACCCGTTCGGGCACTTCTCCTTCTCAACGTTCAACGCGCGCGAGCAACTCCGGTCAAGTAAGATCGAAAATCCCACCTCTAGCGCGCCCCTCAGTGACGACATCCGCCCCTCCCCAACTGCCCGCCGCTTTGTCGTCCGCGCAGTTCAACGGGGCCTCTTATCTAAGCAGTCATATATTCATTCAGAGAACAATTGTGTGGACCGTTTGGGTAAGTAGTTAACGAACACCAAAGCGAACTCAGGGATTCCAACAGTTGGCTACAGCCTCATTGATGAAGTGCTGCCCAGTTGCTGTAGTCATAAGGGGGCTGTGTTTTCCAAGCTGGAAGATTCACAGGGGTCCGCCTTCAACGAACCGCATCTACCAACTTCACCAATTGCATTGTGAACATATATGACCAGTTGTTGAAGGTAGCTGCTCATGGTCCGGCTGTTTCAATGTCCGAAAGACGCGCAAGTCGCGTGATCTGATACAAAAGAGAATGTATCTTCGTACGGCACATCAAGCAGAGTCGACTTCATGAAAACATGAGATCTCAAGTGTGGGAACCAGGTATAGAAAGTTGAGATTCGACTGTTTCGTAAAATGTCCAAATTCTGAGGCCATCCACGATATACGCGAACTAATCTTGGAGCCGCCGGAGAGACCTACAATCCAGCCTTAGATCGGCAGATATGGATTTTGGAAGAGGTCGTTGTAGACGAAGAAAGCGCTGAATGTTTGCCGCTAAGTCACCTCTTGAGAGATAACTCGATTCATGATGAGGCGTTGCTAAACTGCGCCAGGTTCCGTATGAACCTTAGTGCGAGCCACTCTGTTTCGATCTTACCAAAGAATCTAACGCTATGGCAGTTGTACATAAGTAGCATTTATCGCTCGCTTTTTGACGCTTTCAGAAGAACCAATTTGACCACAAGACCGCCAACACTATGCGTGACCAAAGATATTGGTCGCCCTCTTTGCTGTAGCCATCTTTAGTCAGAGAACATAGGCAACTTCATGAGGTATTACCTATAGTGTCATACTACACTTTCCCAACCTATTCGATGATGTCGTTCCCAAATTCTTCTAAAGTAAGGCCTTTTACCAACTCCCGATGGCGATGAAAGTACTCTAGTTTCTCTTACCATACAGCGGATCCCTTGTATTACCCTAAATTTTGCTGCCCTTGGAAGACGTCGATGATTTGTTGATGCCGGGTTGCTGGCGCCTGCAAGCTCTCGTTCTGCCGTCTTAGACCAACCGCTATGTGGCCTCAATAAGTAGTCTCCGTATAGAGGTGCCTCATAGGTCCAAGTGTCGAAAGGGTCGGTACCGGGGCACGGGGCGCAAACAACGTCGAAGAAAGTCTCGTTGTATCCATGTCCTGCATTGTAATCGCCGTCAATGAGGGGAAACCCAGTAAGAGGGTACGAGTTTGACGATGGAGTGGTTCGAGTAGCCGACTCTGGTCCATAGCCTTGGTCTGGTCTGAGGGCTGGTTAAGCAAGTTTCTCGCGGTTCAGCAAACCCAAGGTTGTCATGGTTCGCGGGAGCGAGCTCACTAAATAGTGTACCATCGATTTCGCGCGTCCGATCCTTGTACTGCGACATTTTGCCTCATGATACTTGGACCCAAGCAATATCTGACTCTTTGTAAAATGTAGAGACTCGCGTCATTCGTGATTTAAAGAGTCAGTTGTTTGATCAAACACGCCTTCCCTATTTGGTTGGTTAGGAACAAGATGCTTATCAACCAGCCGCCTAATGGCTTACGTATTCATACAGCGTTGAGACACAGCGATCTGTCCAGCCTCCTGCCAGCCATCCTGTTATGCTCCACAGGCGTTGCTTCCGGCGAGAGCATGAACATCTTCTCAAGCCAGAGGCTAACAGCTTGACCAGTGACATAACTTGGTCCATCAAAAACTAAAGCATTTTATATGATATCTCATCCAGTTATCCGTTCGTCGCCTCCTCTAGTCTAACATCGAACACAACCCTCTCAGCCATGAACCCGACAGCTAGTCCAATCTTGGATTTAAACAAATTCCAGTCATTCTTTAAGCAATACTATTGTCTCTGATCAACAAATATTCTCAACATCCTGAGCTTAACAAGTTCTAACAGTGTAGCTAACAGCGACTACATCAGCTTGTGTCATCCTCTGCAGACAACATGACATCACCAAAAATTATGGGTTTCGCCTTCAAGCGCAGTGAATCTTCTTTAGACAGAGATATAGGACTTGATAGTTCTCCAACTACTCAAAATACAAGTTGCGAAATTTCGCTAGCATTCCCTTGATTCTAGTGGCCTTCTGTTGTGGCATCATGCCCTGATGTGGATGAGAAGTCTGGCATGAATTCCTCAGACATATTGTTAGGGCCAAACATCCCGAGTGTCTCGTCAACCGTAGACACATCTATCTGAGACCAAAAGCCGTAGCCATCGTCAAGATTTTCTGAAGAACCCTGATTGATGTGGATGTGTTCATCGGACTCGTTCACAGCTCCTATTATGGTTGCTTGTCTATACAGTGGACTCTCAATGATTGTCTGCCGGATTATATCTTCTGAACTGTTGGGTGCCGTAGATGGCGAGGGCCACCTGGGGTTTTCCTCAAGCTGGTTTCGCATTTCAGCCCCATCAGACGCGAACAATGCATCGGAGTTTTCGTCGTATGTTGGATTGTCGCTTTCCTTCTCTCTACTCGGCCACGTACTTCGGGATGTTTCTTGATCAGGCGGTCGGTTTGAGCTCAGTTGGTCTGTAACAACCTCAGCCCATTCTGAGATTGATTTTTGGAGGAGTTGAACCTTTCTTCCTGTCGTGATTCCAGGCTGCTCCCATAGTTCTGGAATGGCCTGAAGGCGCGATACAAGAAGGCTTACACCGTGTTGCAGAAGGTACTCCCGAGCTTCAGTATACACCTGCTTCGCAACGTATTCATGAATTTTGTCGACTTGCTCAGCAATAACGTTATCCATGTAAGCCGAGTCAGGCTGTGGATGTCCGGCAAACAAGATCCTCCAGATTGCGAACCACTGTTGCTCCGGCAAGAGTTTACGGCTTGACTTTGTTCTAAGCTGTACTTCTTTGTCGCGCGTAATACCCTCGGGCTCTGCTCCTGGAGGCGCGAGTTCGCAAACAAATTTCCCGTTCGGCGTATGGTCTTCGAGTTCCGGCCTGCTGCGGAAAATAGCCACACAGTTTCTACAGTAGTAAACAGGAGTATGTATTCTTTTCAGATGCTGTTTAACGTCCCGAATCCTGTTGAGCTTGTATTTTAGACATCTGAAGTGTTTCGTTGGGTTCAACTTCCAAAATGGGCAGGCAAAGTATCTGGGTAGGTCTACCCTAGATCTCTTGGAAGGCGGCGGTTGAGGTGTGCCATTGTTGGGTTCTTCATCTTCGAATTCTTCACCTCTTCGTTTCAAAATTTGTTTCCCCAGACTTAGGGAGGTTTTGTGCCTAGAATATGGCGCCGATGTTTCTGTGCTGAGGTTGTTGTTACTGTTGCTGTGTGAGGCATCTCCTCCAGCTGCAATTCGATATGCTGCCGCCAGACTGGAAGCTAGAGCATAAAGAACGCTCTGTAAAGACTCTTTTTCATCAAAGGTCTCAGCGTCTTCCGAAAATTCTGATGTTGATTGCGAATCCGAGTCCATTGAACAGGTCAAATACTCTTGGTCATTAGGGAATGTAATGGTCCCTGATGACGCAATAGTGGGTGATGGAGTATCCGACACAGTAAGTTCAGGAGACGTTGTCGTATCCATTTCAATCTTGCCCATCGCTTTGTAATCCGTCGAGCTAATGAGGCCACTTATGTCTCTAGTTGCGCATGATGTGGGTACATGGCCAAGATCAGCACAAGCTTTACCAACAGTGCCTAAATAATTGTGTTATCTATGTTGAAAATAGTTATGAATAGCGCATATGGCTTACTGTAGGATGTTTCTTCCTTCGATTCACAGCGATAGATGATATGACGGACTTCCCGAATTATGGCAAGATTGTCAAGCCGACCATCATCGAAATTGATGCCGCTATGAGAGTTTCGGTATTCTTCGACGCTCGAGATTTCATACCAGAGGAAAATATCGTTCGTTCGTTTGCCCAATCTCAGAGTCGTGTGAGACCCGTGAATAAGGATTCCAGGGCCATCTGTGGTAGCTCCACTTGCTCCTACCAGCTTCAAAAGGACATCTAAGGGAACCTCAAGCCCAGAGAACCCTGGTGGTCGTCGTAGTATCGGATAACCTCGCACTGCAGCAACATCAGATCCGAGAAGGTCAGTCCAGAAGTCCTCCCGAGCCGCGTGCAGTCCAATTTCAGTCTTCTGGGCTGTGATATCAAAACAGACTGTTTTCGGCGAACCCGGTACTGTATTTGCGTTTTTGCTGACAGATGGTGTAGTCATGTTGCCTTTTTCAGAGAAAATGGCAGATTGAATCCAAGAAAGCTGTTCGCCACATTCGGTAATGGTGTTTGCTGGCCCAATAATTTTAAACAACAGTACATCGTCGCAAACAGTCGCCACAACTTGGGTTTTGTCTGGCAGCCTGACTCCATAGGGTATTGTTGATATGTGGAGGCGGGAACTAATTCCGGCGGCGTGAATTTTGTCCTCGGCTTTTTTGATGACTGTCTGTAGCAAGCTCAGAACAAGTAATCCTGTTGAGGGCCATGTTTGATACATATACTGGCTGACGAATGTTACCTGAGCCTCTCCAGAATAGCATGTGATGACAAGAGAATCCAAAAGTTCCCGGCCATGATAACCGTCATCAGACCACCCATGAAGCCTAAACTCGGCTGTATGAGATAAAATTTCTCCTCTTCTGCTGATTATCTCGACTGGAAAACTCTGGAGCATAGCGTATCGGTTACTGAAGATTGCGTTCTGGCCGTTCTGGTTGTCAACGCTCCCGTGGAGCAGGGTAGATTTTCGTAAATCCGAAATCATCCAGTCAAATGACTTGCTTTGGAAGATAAGGTCATAATGTTGATCCGTTCCAGGTCGAGTTGTTTTGTAGACCTCGTCACCTACTGCAGCTCTGTTACTCCGCATGGCCACCCTCTGGGGAAGAGATATTCCTTGGTTTTCTGCCGAATCATTTTCGCCAACCTTAGCCTGTGTCCGAATGGCGGCACAGGAAGCCCCAATGTGGCCCACAATCTGTCTCATCATTCCATCAGCTTGATATCGAAGCTATTGGTCCAGGTCTGAACCTAGTAGCAACCTACTGATGATGTTCGTAGATGAAATACATCACGCCCGTATTTGCTGGGTTGTCCGATTCGAGTGCTATCCGAATCGCGAAAATCTTAAGAAGGCCAGGAAGTGGCAAAAGGAATCTCGACTCATTTTCTGGATCTAGGAAGGGCCCAACTTGACTCAAGATGCGACTTGAAAGTTCTTGGACGAATCTTTGAGAATGTATCTGAGCATTCGTCTCTGTTTCCGGAAACAAAGCTTCGATATCCTTCTCGTCTTTGTCATCCTCTGCAATCGTAGTAAAATTGCCAGTTTGGGGGACTCCTAGAAAATTTGCTGATCGACGTCCTGACCTGAAAGCTGGATGGGTGAACTGCTTTCCTTTCTCATCCATAAGCTGCAATAATGCCGGGTCAATACTGATTGTGACATCTCCATGCTCGATAAACTTAGGAGTACTCGGATCCATGGTCCCTTGTGGCCCAGCTTCGAATTTCATTTCAAGCTCTTCATTGGCAGATGATATACCATGAACAGGATTTGTTATCTCGGAACTGCAGAGGTATGAAGTGTCGTCTCTGACGTCAACGTAGGCTGAGGACGGTCTTGTGCATCCTGGAAATAGAATATCCCAGAATCTAAACCATTGCTCTTCTTCAGACAAATGTTGAGGTGGTGTGAGGAAGAGCTGTTTGCGTTGTTTGAATGTTATGCCCTCAAAAGTGGAAAAGGGCATGCGACTCATGCAAGAAGAGCAGAACATGAGCTCTGATTGCACTTTCTCGGACGAGATGGTCTCTAAACATAAAGAGCAATAGTGATCGAAGATGTGTTTTCGCACTAAGTGGTCTTTCATATCTCTTCCAAGTCGGAAACCTCTGAACAAGCAGCTGGTATACTTGGTGGGATTGTGTTTCATGAAAGGACAAGCGTATGTTGGCCTTTTTTTATCTTCAATCGGTCCCAAAGGTCTGTTGGTCGAGCTTTTCTCATCGTTGTCGCCGCTGTCGTCGTCGTTGTCATCGTTGCCGTCGGGGTCGTCATAACTGTCATAATTGCCAGTCCTCACATGGGCGTTTTCTGAATGACGACAGAGACTCGGCTGTACTTTTGAATCCTCGGTCTGAGCAGAGGTGGGAGAAGTAGTCATTTCAGTTCAAACTAAGAAACAGACCTAGTTGAGAGTTGATTAAAATGAAAGTATGAGACCTGAAATCATAAAACACAGCGCTGTGTCCTGCACTTTTAAATAACCTAAAGATTGTTGCGGCATCTCACAATTCCAGATCAGCGGTTTTTGACTTGAGTTAGTAGAACGAATGGGGGCAACTCCAGTCACTGAGCTTGACCGAAGGAAATTGCGCGTTTGCCAAGCTAAGCGACGGCGCCAAAGCACATGTGCTTTTGCATCTCATTCGTCCATACCATATACCCGGCCGCCAACGGACAGGGATCCCACCAATCACCCCAGATATTATAGGCTGCTATTAATGTGCTTATCTCGGTTTGTGCTTTGGCGCATCTTGATGTGAAGCGTTGGGGAACAAGTGCTATGTTGATCAGCTCGTGCTGTAGCAATTCTATTACTTTCGATGAAGACACAAATAATTGATAGTGCTCCAAGACGCAGGACGATTGATGAGGCAGGGAGCTTCTAATGTATCCATGTTTCAATGAAGACCTCAAGCCTTAGATCAGATCTGTAAAGCTCGAAACAGCCTTTTGGGCTGCTGTTAAAATATCTGTAGTGAGACTTAGACTTAATGTCATTCATACCATTCTGTTTTGCATCTATATCGGCATGTTCAATGTATGTGTTATCACCACATACATGACGTCCAACGCAATCTCTGTAGGTGACGTGGGGGCGTGCATAAAGTCAGAATTGTCTCTCACTCATGCTTGATAAATTTTTGACTAGACCTCCAGCTATCGGAGAAGAGCTCGAATGATTTGGGTTAGCCGAAGGCTCATTTACGTATATGGCGACTAAGAAAGTGAAAAGAGATATTTCTGATCTTTGTCGAAGGGTGAATTTCCTTCGAAAGAACAAGCTCTGATTGACTCAAATCAAGCTGTCATGCGGCTTGGCCATCTGTTGGCTTCGGTCCTCAGGCAGTCACCGGACCCAATTAGTGGCTCAAAACAACACATAATACTCGTCAAAGTCACCTAGGAAGCGAGGAATTGTAATTAGAGTTGAGGCTCTTAAATGCCAACTAACCGTCTTTGTACCCATCGCGAATGGCGGGTACGTGGTTGATGACCATGCCCTTCTTTGTCTCTCCACGAAAAAACACCGGTGGCGATTTCAGTATTGATTTTGTCCTTATCTATTTTAGACCTCAAATTCACGGCTCAGACTGTTGGTTCTCGAAGATAGGACCAAATATTCTGGATCTCAATCGTGTATGGTTGGGATCTTTCCCCCCTCCACTCTATGTAAACCTGCCTTATCATGTTAGAAAACGTTGTGGCCAAATACATAGAGATACCAATAAGGGAGGGAATAGAATTATGTGCTTAGGAGTAATCGGTTGTGCAGTGCCTGTATCGAAGTAAGGATACTGGGGGTTGAACCCCGCTCCTTTCTAGTGAGAAACTGAGACTCAAAAAAAGTCAGAGGGGCGCCTCGCGCGCTTCGAAGTTAGCTTCTCGAAACACACAGAGGCTGATTTATGCCTGCAAGCTTACCGTACTGTGCTCAAAGACATCAATAATCTACAAAAACTCGCGAGCTGATCTTGCGAACAACGGCAGAAACAATTTCCGAGGCGTGATTATATGACCGTTTAGGCCCTAGCCAGATGGCAGAGAAAACCGCATTACAAATCTTTTAACCTTGACATAAACACGCATAAGAGTCTTTGCGAATCCAGTCAGAGAGTGGGGGCGGCATGGCCCTCGGAGTACTGATAGAACGGCAGGTGGCTACTGTGCTTGACTTGAAAGTTGAAAATCTCGGGCATGCTGAGCGATGATAGCGGTGCAGTGAAGTCCAAAGCTGGACGGCGAGCCGTTATCGTAAAATAGAAGGCGTAGCAATCGTTGATTTCCCATTCGATCAAAACTTGATCAAGAAGCTTGTCAAACTCTTCTGCGCTGTTGATGATTCCGTAACCGCCGTCAAGTAAGACGCTATCGCGCATGCCGCGGAATGCACCGCTTCGGCAAGCAGCCACTTCTATGCCTTTCAGGCCGCCAGCGCTGCCAAGTCGGATCTTAACGGTCCTTTTCTTGATATCAACAAAGCCGGCCTCTGAAAGGAGAGCCGGTAGAAGCTCGCCACAATCCAGAAGAAGCTGACGCTTGTGACCAATACTGCAAAAGAGAGTAAATGGCTGGTGAGTAAGAAGTGCTATAATGGACTACAACGAAAGAGACTTACGAAGATAGCAAAGCCTGAAACTTTTCTTGGGCGGCACCAGGATTATTGGCAGGGGTGAAAACCTCAGTGAGCTGGACAACGCCCTGACCAGGGATAAGAGTATTTTTAATAGAACTAATGGCACGGCTCCATTCATGGCGGCGAAGTGCGTAAATGAGAAGACGCTGATGTGCGAGCGTGACTCTCGAACGAAGGTTGTCTGGCAGCTCGAGTACGTTGCCGACGGCAAAAGTTACGTTGGGTGCGTTGGGTGGGAAGAGGCGGTTGCTAATGTCGAAGCCTCGAATTTCAACGCCGTCAGGCAGAAATTGTGCCAAGTCAGACGCCCAAGCGCCGGAACCTGTACCAAGATCAAGAACAACTGAGCCATTTTCAAGCTTAAGAGCTTCGTCCAACACCAAGCGGCCGTTGCAGATGTGGTCTCGGATAAAGTTATGCTGCTTGTCAAGCCGGAGCTTTTCATCGTTATCGGCAGGAAGACAGTAAGGACTATCAGGATTGCTGTGGGACTCGCGAAGTACGGTTAAGCTGGCAACTAACTTGCAGGCGGTGCTGACGGGTAGCATCTCATCGGGACAGCTGCTGCTCTCACTGTCTGCGTCTTCGGAGGCGCCATCGGAGGTGTACGAAGATGAAGCAGACGACCATGGTGAAGGATCGAGACCAAACTTCATTTGAGTAGGAGGAGCTGATGCCGATGCTGACTCTTTGAACGGATCTGTGATATAAGCGGTAAGGGGAGTGGCGGACATTTTGAAGTTCATGAGAACACTCTATCAGGATCAGTAGGTTCAAGTAGTTAAAAGATAACGGTGCCGATGGAAATGAAGACAGAGATGATGTTTTCGACATGATATTTAACTAATATTTGTCGAACGTTGTTCTACTGTTTTTTGCTTAATTCAGTTTGACTGCAGGGTTAAACCTCCTCTCCGGGTTTTAACCTCAACTTCAACTTTTAACCTTCACCTCAGCTTTTTGACTTTCACTTCAGCTTTCAACCTTTACTTCAGCTTTGACCTTCTCGAATTGTTGCCTACAAGGATTCTTCTAGTTTCCTACCTGACAGGAGCGGAAGATAACGCACTTTGCTATCAGGCGGTCACTGTTGAGCTCTTCTTCTCGAGGCATCGTGTCTAGCCAGGACGCATATGATCGTTCGACTTGGGTTTTGAACATCAAATGTGCCGGGATATCTCAATTCCAGCTATAAGAGTATCAAAACCAGGCGGATGCAAGCAAGAAGAATCCTACCCTAAGGATGAAATCTTCCGGGGAGATAAGAAAATTCAACTCAGCATGCAAGGGGCGTCGGTAGCCGGAAGCCACGATCTGATATTATATGGCGCATGTACAATTGAGGCAAAGAGCCAAAAAGGTTGAAATGTAGCATATTATCCTCTTTCGGCTTTAGGCTTCAGTCTCATCTCGTTTCACTGAATCATGTTTTGAGCTCTAGTCACATCTTATAGGATGACACAGTACCTGGTCCTGTAGTCAAGTGTGAGTTGAATGTTCGGTTGTTTCCTTGATCAGTGAACCTCATCATCATCATCATCAGATTGGCTGCAAATCTGAGATGACAAGTTCAGATGGCTATCTTCGCTAATTCCTGACCGACTTCCCTCCATTCCCTTTTCTGTTAACCGTTGCCCCTTCATTCTCCAACACTTACCATGATATTTTATTGCACTGACCCTCTACTCTTAGAGTTACTCTCTAAACAATGCCCTTGAAGTATCTTCTTAGTGCTAGCAAGCTTCTCCGGTTGCGCAGTACCTAGAAGAGCCATCGAAAAAAGCTTGCATCTTCAATCATGGTGCCTGTGCTCGTGAATTACTCGGTCCCTAAAACAACCGAAAGCATAATCCGCAACACAAAAGGAGAGCTGAGAGCTGCTTGGCTGTAGTTGAAGTTCGAGTGATTCAACTGTCTGCGGTAGAAGATGTCTCAGTATTTGGTAGCGTTTAAATCTTCCTCGAACGCAACTGGCGATGAGATCGTCTGGACTCAAATGCGACCTTTTTCAAACCTTTTATTATGATCCTGCACGCAGAAAACATGTTAACTTTCCGACTGTTTAAGCACTTTCACACCGCTATTGCCAGGAGTGGCATATTGGTTAGTCTGGTTCTTGATGCTGGCTGTTATTTTATCATCGTTAATATTTTCCCTACCCTCTTCGCCATGACCTTGTTCAAGCCCAAGCTCCACAAGCCTGACCTATTTACGCCTATCATGCCGCCTTAAGAGTTACTCAGAATCACGTTCATTCTGAGTAAGCTTCAGGACTAGCTTTCACCACACATGCGGACCGCAATAGAGCGGCATGGGCGCCGCTTCAGGCCGTGCCTTACTTCCCGTAACGGAGATAGTGTTGAACAACTTTAACGACTTATCGCTCGCATGTGATGAGGGCTATCATCACTGGGGGCTTTTTTGGTGGCTTCTACTTCTCCCGCTAGCCAGCAAGCTAGTGAACACTATGACTCTGGGCTTATTCTACCTGCCATGTCGCTCGTAATATAGCCCAACAGAGCCCAGTAACACCAATTTCGGTCTTCATATTAATTAATCTGCCAAAGTCAAACGAGTACAAGGATGATGAAAAGATTGGGAGGATGCTGATTATTACTATCGTTTGTCTCAGTCTTGGTTTTCCGATGCGAGTATACAACAACATGAAGGCAGCTTTTGAATCTGGGACGAATTTGACCCTAACAATTCAGTTTCCATAGGGTTTCTATTCAGAGCATACGCCCTGCATGGCATCCCGCTTAGGCTTGCAGCATGACTTCTCACTTTAACCAACCCCTTCAGAGCCTGTTGGCTGGATGATATTGAATTAGCTGGTCGATAGTTGTGAATATTCTCAGTTAGAACTATAGAACAAAATTTCTAGGTGGCGTTTCATAATCGAGTTGTTTATCGCCAGGATATCTGCACCCTTCTGCGTGCCTTCGCAACATTAGCGTGCCCTAGGCCTTCCCATTCAGCTCTAATCAAAGCCGAGCGAATTTTGTGAGAAACAGCTTGGCAATCGCTTCACCAGTGGTGAGACCTCCAATTAAGAGAAATCATTGCTCGAGGTAGGTCTTCACTACATGCTGTAATATTTTTAAAGGCACGAGGGCGAAGCTGTTGTTGTTGTTGCTGCTGCGGGAAGGGGGTGGTTATCAGGATCCAGCGAATTCGAGTGATTTGTAACTCTTCCAGCCAACCCAAACCCACAGAATACGCAAGACTTTCTAACCTACACCCGATTTGTAAGTACAGAAGCTGGCTGAATTTTTAAGAGGGCGAATTCTTGTGTCAAGCTGGAGGCTAATGTAGGCGTTCAGGCAATCTCTCTATCACACCGATGCGGTTGCCAAACTTATTACTGGATTAAATTATTTGCCGATCTCCGATAGCACCTGAGTATAGGAACCATCCAACATGCGATTGGTCATGGATGTTGAGGACTGGCCCAGATATGACATTTGACACCTAAACGGAGGCTTGCCGAGAACTGGTCTTTGCATCAAATATACGAAAACCTAGGAAATAAAGGAGTTGCATTTATTACGGAAACCGTATTGTGAAAGATAACCGTGACGTAAAAAATTGATTCAGCTACTCGTATCGCCTATGTCTTTCTTCATCGCGGATCGAACTCCTCGCACTCACGACGGATTCACGTGCTTTTTTTTCTTCTTCTTACTTCTTTTTGCTCATGATTGATACACGCAGACATCGAAGTATGAATGTGTCCATAATGATGACTTGACTCCAAAAAAGCTCAATTATCTGATTTGAACACCAGATGGAATGGAATCGCCTACTAATCTTTGTCGACAAGAACATGCTTCCAGAATAGCTGGATATGGCAGAATCTCCACTCGGATTGAACATACACTTGTTTCAAAGCAAACTCTCAGCATGTTTCTCTTCAATCAGTAAAAATCCAAAGAGACTCGAATATTTCTCGAGGCAAGTTGTTCAAAAATCATCTGATTTAATGGCACACTACCAATGAGTCTAGCGATTAGCACCCCATCTTGTTGTGCGTTACCTGAAGGTCTCTTGTATGGACTTTGGATTCAGATCAACATAACGAGTGTGACCTTATCATAACAAAGGCCTAAACCTTGCCCTTCTTTTGTGCCATGGGGAGTTGCAGCGTGACAACGTCACTTGAGATCATGGAGGTTGTCGGCTGTCACCGAAGGATGGATGGTGATTTTCTCCTGCGTCACAACACACCCATAACTTCTCGATTGAGGAAAGACACAAAACACCATCAGCAGCCAAGAATCCTGATTACGTGACAAGAGAGGGTCAGTTCCCCCAAAAGCAGTTGTTTCTAAATAGGGAATGAAGCGTTGCTCCTTGTTCACTAATCATGGAACGAACTCGGAGAAAACCGCGGATACCAAAGCGGGGCCGATTCCCGGATTAGCCCTCTTCGGGATTTTGGCAACTCTGGTCTATCCCTTATTGGACCTCGAGTTACAAACGGTGTTTGAGTATACGTTGGATTGATAAGTCCTTGGCAGGTTTTCAAACTATACTGGTGACCCCAGAAGGCCAATGCCCGGAACGATTTAGTCAGCTTTTCTTCCGGAGTCTGTCTAGCTCGATAGGCTATTGCATCTTAGTGTAGCATGCCACGATGCACCACGAAAACCTTCATGCAGCGCACACTGCGAGGCTGAATAATCAGGTCTTCCCAACAAACGACCAAATTCCCAGCTTGCAAATCATAGAAGCAGAGATGCGAGGCATTATCTATATAAGAAGCCGACGTTCCGAGCTCTTTCCAGGTCATTGAGCATAGCTAATCCTCACATTATATCTAACACCCCTTTTTCGAAAATACTCAGCCGTTGTCTATCCAGTAGTCAAATCATTTAGAACACAACATAATCATGTCCGGTTTCAAGAATATCCTCCTCATCGGCGCCACCGGCTCCATTGGGAGCTTTGTCCTTGCCGGCCTTGAGGCTGAGTCGAGCTTCAACGTCACCCTTCTGCAGCGATCCTCGTCCAAATCCAAGCTGCCGTCCCACCTCAAGGTTATCACCATCGCGGATACATATCCCACCCACGAACTAGTATCGGCGTTCACCGGCCAGGATGTGATCGTGAACTGCATGACGTCTCTCTCAGTCGGCGACCAGTTCCGCATGATCGACGCCGCCATCACGGCGGGAGTCAAACGCTACGTCCCCAGCGAGTACGGGCTGAACAACATGCGGCCTGACGCGCAGGCTCTCAATGCCGTCTTCCACGACAAGGGAAAAGTACAGGAGTACCTGCGGTCCAAGGCTGACCAGGGCGTCTTGGAGTGGATGTCGGTCTCGTGTGGAATGTGGATGAAATGGAGCATGGCGCACGACTTCTTGGGCATGCACGTCAAGGAGAAGAAGTTCGTGTTCTGGGACGACGGAGAAGGGTTGATGTCCTTCACCACGGAGGAGAACACCGCTTCTGGGTTAGTGAGAGCGCTGCAAATGCCATTGGAGACGAAGAACACCAACGTGCTTCTGAGCGATTTCGCCGCTTCACAGAAGCAGATGTTGGAAGCCATCGAGAGGATTCACGGGGTCAAATATTCCACGGAAACCATCGACAGCCGTGCTTTGATCGAGGAGAAGCAGGCGGCCGTGAGAAACGGAGATGCCTTCGCGACGTTCTCATTGATCGAAACAGGATTCGTGACAGGGAAGTATGGTGGGCACCTGGAGAAGGAGGGTGTCATTATGAACGAGAAGCTTGGCTTGCCGAAACGATCGCTGGATGAGGTTGTACAGGCTGCGCTCAAATTTGTTGGCGCGATCTAGTATTTATGAGAAATATGTGGTTTGGGATGTAGATATAAGTTTAATGAGAAGACGCAAAGTATAGATTGCTCTTATAATACGGTTAGGAAAGGTGTCATTTCTCAATCCAGGAGTACATCATCAAGGAATTCAGAGCTTCGTCAATTCAGTGAAATGAAAGACTCGTCTAGGTATTGCTTCAACTTCCTGGACAACGATATTATTGTCTGCGTTTAACGGTCAGGACTATAACTGAAGTCAGCGGTGTTGATACTCATGTACTAGTCCATACCTAGTTCAAGGCGCTCACAATATGAGCATCGCCGCGAGAGAGTTGTGGTTATGTGTAGGAGTCTGCCCAACTGGTATTTCACCTGATGGTGTATGATCTCTAGCTGCGGTCGACGTAGATGACGGTATAGATTCGCCAAGGCCACTCCGGAGCAATTACAATGGGTCTCGGCGGGAATAGCAGAGATTGCTTCTGTGGTGATGCGCCGAGCGTCCGGGGCGGCAGCGGGAGTAGCTTCTGCAGCACGGCGTGCGCGGAGGATAACTAAGGGCGGGTTCGGCGACGGCGGTGGTTATGGTTCCATGAGACAGTACAACGTTGGAATTGTCACAGGTCAGACTATCAGGAACTGAAACGCCTTGGTTAAGCTCCCGGTCGTCCCGATTGCTGTGATTTTGTTTCCCGAGCCTGGCGAGTTTCTCGCTTGGTCGTCTGATGGTAGGTATGTGATCTCCGTTTCTGCCGTGGCTCCCGAAGTTTGATTTGTTGGTTTGGCGCAAACTAACGCCCCTACCACTAGATATCAATACATGTTGTCCAGCAACGGAAAAATGTAGACGTTAGTCTACAGCCATTCAGCAAGGAAATCACTGAAGCACTGGTAGAAATCAGAACACAGCATACTTCGCCCGGGCACATCTTTGTCAGAGGCGGCCCCGACCGCGGCGCTGTGGAAGCCGAGAGGCTTGAGAGCACCTATTACAACCGCGGCTTCACTAAGGGTGTCGTTGTCCCCACCACCAGGTCTTCATCAATGGCGGCTAATACCGGACCGTCCTCTCCTTGAATGCCAGCCCGCACCAACTCGGTGGGATGTGAGATTATGTCACCAAAGATCCTCAAAACAATAGGTAAGTCCCTTAATAGAGTCTTCAAAAACCTCAATGACTCTTTACGTCGCAGCTCAACCATTGCATTGGTTCTCTCAATCACCATTGGGTAGCCTTCAAGCAAGATCCAACCGTCTTACACAGCCCAGTAGCGGCCTTTCCAACAAATACAGCATCAGCCCCTTAGACTGCCAGATCTTCATCCCATTTAACTCCGTGAATCTGTAAGACTTCAGAAGTTCCCAGTTGATCATGAGAATTGCATGTTGGTTCATGAAAGGAACAAACTCTGAACAAGTGTTCATCACCTCCGAGCTGTTGCTATCGGTCTTGGACCACATGCTCGGTGACAATTCTCGCGTCACCATAGAGGAGACAACAAACGACACTTATCGATGACCAGAATGGGTACCTTGGCCCAACCCCTCCAGGCCGGCCGGAATCATTACTCCACGAAGCCAAGGCAGGGGACAACTGGCACACTGTCATTGTTCCCGATGGTGGCGGTTTTGCCCGGCCTGGCCACTAGATGATGTTTGTCGTAGAGGGCACAAGTGTTCTCAGCGTTGGCAAAAACTTTAATTTACTGCCTGATCGCTTGAATAGTCGCTGGATAGTCATGAGGAACATCTCAGTGTATGATAGTTGACCTCAGAGTGGTCTATGCATATGAAAGAACATGGCCTACCTAAAGTCTTCCAAAAATGATCGAAGATTTTTCTTTCAGCTGTTTGAAGCGACCGCTGGGCATCGAGCGAAAAGTGCTCGATACTGTTAAGGTCGGGCGAAAGGCCGAGAAACGTCGGGGGCGGAGAGAACACCCCGCCACGGGCGAAGACTTTGGAGGGCCGGTCCCGGGCCCCGCACGAGCCTTCGTCGGGTTGCAGCGTTCCCGCAGATCCATTCTATGCGCGAAACAAGATCCGGCGACCATCAAACCCTTGCCCGAAGGACGATGCCCCGACGGGAGGCGTTGAGAGCCGCACCGCGGTCTGGGCAAGATTTGGACTGTCGAGCTCGAGCTCGCACAAGGGCATATGGCTACGCTGAGACTCTCCGGCATGGGATTGGCCCGACTTTGCTGGCCTACGGGAAGACAAGGTATTTGGATGTCTTGGCCAAGAATGCGAATGCGGCTCAACATGGGTATCATCGACAAGAAGCCAAGCATGTGTAGGGCGGCGCAAAGAGGAATGTAGCGAACCCGCAATCCTTCAGTGAAGCATGGTTGCATGGCAAGCACCCCACCTCAATGCTGACAACGAGCCGGAGCTATACGCTAAGAAGGCTAGACGTCCCGCGGCATCACGGCATGGAGGCAGTGTTCGTCAGGTTGACAGAGGGACCCTGAAGCAGCGCTGGCGTTGGCATGTGCCGCCGCTGCGATAAAAGCTTCATGTGGCTTACGGTGGTCCGCAGGGGAGAGACAAGCTGACCTATTTCATTTGAAGGAGCGGATGGATTCCTGTATGCCGCAGCTGGTGGCCCCGTAGTCTCATCTCCGGGCAGTGAAGCGGCCGCCAGCATCAATCTCATGAGGGTCGAACGAAACATCGCTGGGCAGAGCTGGTGAAGATACGTTGGACAGGCGCCTTAGTCCGCATTCGCCCTTGGAACTGGCCTGGCGACAGGTAAGGGCCCCTAGGGCGTTGGTTGTTGGACCCTGGAGATGCGAAGAGACTTGGGACCGGTCGGTAAACGATCAGTTTACAGACATGAGTGGCAGAGGCAAGCGGAAGAAATTGTGATACACTCAACGCAGGTGAAAGGGTCTCCTGAATCGGTCGTGGCCAGCGCATGGCGCGTGCGGCTGGAGTTGACTCGCGTACGGGATCTTGGGAGGTGTGACTGTGAGGTTTCCGGACATTGCCATGTATTCTGTAGACACACATAGTAAAGTACATTGTAGTATCCAGCACTACCTAGACCGATGGGGAGGAGAGGCGCGGGGCGACGCCGCCGGCCAATCACGTGCAGCTGGCGGGGGATTGTCAGCTTGGATTGCCAGGTGGAGGCGATGACGATTGATGGAATGAAGATGCTACGTACCTCGTCCGTATTGGAGATGGAATGCGGCGGGGATCAATGGTGGTGGGGTCGGTTGGGCAGAGCAGCGCAGTGCAGCTGAAGCAATCCAGCCAAAATGGATGCATCATCCCAGGATCACTACCTAGCCAGACGCCGCCGAAATGCGCAAGGTACGGAGTACCTAGGTTGGTTATCCGGGATCAGCTCACTCGCGTGTTTCGTCGTCTCTGCTGTTCTCGAACCGTTGAGCTTTGTGCTGTGATGGCCACAACCGAGGCTGGAGAGGGGGACCGACAGCAGGACACCGAGGCCTACTCGCTTGGTGCTGGATTTGTTGACTGATGAGCCCCGGGTATTGTTTTCGTTGCCACGGCGAGAGCGACTCAGCCAGGATCTAGATTGGTGACGGCTGTCGCACGTTGGGGCGACACGGGCCTATCAGGCCGTTGTAGCAAGCCATATTCCTGGCCGGCCTTGACATCACCGGCCGGGGTGCTGGGTGCTGCGATGCGACCTTGTCTTGTCAAGGAGCATGCAGGGACTGGCAGTGGCCGTGACAATGGCATTTGCAGCTGGGAACAGACAAGGCCCTAAAGATTGAATACGGACCCGGGCTCGATTGGCGTGTGTCGCATCGTGTCCAAACCATTTGCCTTGCAGCGGGAGCCAAAGAGATGACAGCGCTTGGTGGCTTGCGCAAAACATGTGTCGCAGAGAGAAACGGGGCGACGTTGGGGAGAGGCTACCGTTGGCGCCTTCGTCTGGTAGTTATTTGGGTGCCGATTTTTATTTTTTGGTCCTTACGAAAAGAAAAAATTTCGAAACCACGGTTAAAAAAAACATCGGATGGATTGCGAACACGGTCAGTATCAAGTCATTTCGAGCACGAGTACGACCGTCGAGAAGCTAACCGGACGCCAGCAAACAGGCACTATGGTCGGCTAAAAACCGTCCAGATTGCCCCTCCCTCCTCCCGGCAGTCGCTCATGCTCCAATTCTTCCCTCTCAGCTTGCAGTGTTCGGGTGCGGCTGGGATGAAGCTTAGCGTAGGTGGTGTGGTGTCGGTGGTGTTGGAGGTGTTGGTGCGGTATAAGGTGTGTGTTCGCATGCCGCCGAGGGAGGTAATCAAAGTTGATGGGACGGTCTGAAGGTGTGATGTGCATGGCATTGCCTTATGCGCCGGCCGGATGTCGTCAATGTGCACTCATTACGTTCAATGCATTTGGATGCAGACATGAGTGTTTGGTTCGCTGCTGAAGTCCGCTGCCTACGTTGCATGCCCAGGCACATAGCTGCTGGGAGAAGCACGCCGGACCACGAGAGGGGAACCAAAAATCCATCATTTTCCCGATGTCGCCGTATTGAAGTGACGACCGGCTAACGGTCGCTCTCGGAGCCCCGACGGCTCCTCAGGGTTGCAGCCGATGACTGTGGAGGACGAATACCACTCCATCTGTGACCTCATCAGCCTCATCTATTTTTTGCATGTACAGAGTAATGTTACTTAACTCTCAAGAGCAGACCATCGACTGCAAATCGACGAAATAAGCACCCAATGCATCCGACTCTCTCAAACACTGGGATAACAATGCGCGGGAAACGAAAGGAAACCAACGAGTGTCAAGCCAGGCTGCACATACTCTGTACACACGGACACACCGCATGTACATAGTGACCTGCGATGGAAGCCTTTCAGAGGTGGCAGGCAGAGCCCCTAGGCCCCACTGGTCCTCTTTCCAAGAACAGGGTGTGTCCCGCGCAACGGGAAGGCGCTAAGCAAGCCCGCCCCACCATTACCCACCCACACCGGGCTATCTGCCCAATCAAATGGCGCAGACGACGGGGATTCTAGACCAGCAGCTCCTGGTCTGTCGTGTTCCTTTCTCCCCATATCCCAGTCGCTTCCCAGTGTTCCTAGTCCAGTCCAGCCTGGCCCTTTTTTGCTCTTTCCCATTCGAAAATTGGTTCCTCCTGCTCCAGGCTGAGTCCAGAGTCCGGTGTCGACCTGGTAGTATCTAGTGTGCGTCCCATCCTGTGCGGGCTTGTTTCTGCTTCTCCCCATGTTCATGCTTATGCTGGTTACGGATCCTGCTACTGTTTCTGTTGCTGCTCATTTCGTGTCTTGGCCAAGCACCTTCTTATTTTATTTTTTAAACATTTGCCTCTCTCTCTTATCAGCCAAGCTCCCGCCATCCGTCGGCTTCTCGCACACCTGATCTTCTGGTCTGTTCACCAGACGAACAACGACTGACGCCTGTCTGCTGTTCGTCCCGCACATAGCGTCTTCACCCTCATCCTCCTCCCGAGCGTATCTTACCGAGCCTGCTTCCTGTTGACGACCTTACGACGTATACGAACAAACGTTCCGCAGTCTTGTTTATACTCAGCTCTTCGTGCAAGCGCGCTGACGCAAGCTGTTGTGGCGAAGACAAGCTTCCGCAGTCAACACGACGCTACCCAATACACCCCGACCCAATCTACTTGGACCGACCTCAACACAGCCTCCTTCCGAGCACAGTTCTCACTGCCCTTCCGAAAAAAACACCGCTGGTGTCGCCTTCAAACCCCTACTCTCCAGTCGCACTCCTCGTGCAGTTTATTCTTTGTCCAGCCCCGCTGCGCGCAATCTCGGCTGCCCCAACTTTCGGTAGATTCCCGCGACCACCGTCCGACCTGTCGAAGCTTTGCCAAGATTGTTGACATTCGCATCTTGCCGACACTGACATCACGCAAAACCGCAACCGACACAATCCCGATTTTCCCACCGAGTACCAATTTCCATGCTGTAGGACCTGCAAGTTCTCACCGAAGCACCGAACCCCATTTCCGCGTGCACTGTAACCACATTGAGCGAATAATTACGAGTCTCGAGTAACGACAGAACCCCTCCGTCCTCATATCACCCCGGCGACAGAGTCGCCGGCGCCCCCGACCGCCGCAATGGATCAATCCGCAAAGATGCTCACGGAAGCCCACGAGATATATGCACGAATGGGAGGCTCTACGGGCGATACGGCCACGCGACCGCCTGCATACAAGGCTATCGGTATTTCTTTAGCTGTTGCCTCGGGCGCATTCATCGGCACCTCGTTCGTCGTCAAGAAAGTTGGCCTGCTGAAAGCCAACGAGAAGTATAACGAAGCTCCTGGCGAGGGCTATGGCTACCTCAAGAACGCCTGGTGGTGGGCTGGCATGACTCTTATGATCATCGGCGAAATCTGCAACTTTGTCGCATACGCCTTCACCGACGCCATCCTCGTCACTCCACTGGGCGCACTATCCGTTGTTCTGACTGCTATTCTCTCCGCCATCTTCCTCAAGGAACGTCTGAGCATGGTCGGCAAAGTCTCCTGCTTCCTTTGCATCGTTGGGTCCGTCGTCATTGTAATGAATGCCCCAGAGAATTCGGCCGTCGCCAACATTCAACAAATGCAGAGCTATGTCATTCATCCAGCCTTCTTATCGTATGCCGGTGTTATCCTCATTGGCTCCGCCATCACTGCATGGTATGCTGGCCCGAGGTGGGGTAAGAAGAACATGTTGGTCTACATCTCCATCTGCAGTTGGGTCGGCGGCCTGAGCGTCGTGGCCACGCAGGGTCTAGGAGCCGCTATCGTGGCTCAGGCCGGAGGTCAAGCTCAGTTCAACCAGTGGTTCACCTACGTGCTGTTGGTGTTTGTCGTTGGTACACTGCTGACGGAGATCATTTTCTTGAACGTGAGTCCCCATTGGTTCATACCTCTTTACACTCATGAAACTGCAGCTGACAAACTTTACAGAAAGCTCTTAACCTCTTCAATGCCGCTCTCGTCACGCCTACTTACTACGTCTACTTCACCAGTACTACCATCATCACTTCGGCGGTTCTTTTCAGAGGATTCAAGGGCACGCCGACCGCCATCATCACCGTCGTCAACGGTTTTTTTGACCATCTGCGCCGGTGTCGTGCTATTGCAACTCTCGAAGTCCGCCAAGGATGTGCCCGACACGGCTGTCTTCTCCGGAGATCTTAACCAGATTCACACAATCGCCGAACAAGAGCAGCCCGAAACCGAGCCCAAGGCCGATGCCATCCGTGGAGCCGCCGCAATCGTACGCCGTTTGTCCTCGGCCAGACAGAAGATGGAAGAGGAGGAGTTCAGACGGCTGCACGAAGAGAAGCTGCGAGAGTCTTTGGAGCCTGTCAGTGAGGATGGTCAGCCAATGTACGAATGGGACGGGTTGAGGAGGCGCAGGACCATGACTGTAGGAAGCCGGAGCACCCGCGGAACAATCCTCTCGCCTTATCCTCAGTCTCAAATTGGCATCCCTCCCACGCCGACAGTTATTCTCCCGGCCACTCCCCAGGCTCATCCACCGCTGGGCATGTCTCACTTCCCAACCGAAGAGGAATTGGCGGAGCACGACCGCCCCCAGTCCCCAGGCATGCTCTCGAGCATTGCTGGCACGATTCGCGAACGAGCACGGAGCGTGTTGGCGCCCAATCAACCCCACTTCCAGGACCCAAGGGTACAAAGCCCCATGCATCCCGTTCCTTTGACAGAGATTTCTGTGGCCGCGCTCAAGTCGGATGGCGATCAATCTCCGTATCACGGCAAGAGCAGAGAGCACGTGTACGGCCTTCCAGCTGGCGGTCACGGAGATTTGGAGTATGCCGGCGCTGGCGGTGTCTACGACCAACGGGCTGTATCACGGGGTAGCGCCTTTAGCGGTGCCAGCTCGCATTTGGCACCCACTCCGCCTCCCCACTCGGCAAGGAGACAGTTCTCCTTCTCGAACGTCTTCAAGAGGCATCATGCTGATGCGCAGCAGCATCAAGAGGAAGAGCCGCCACAGCTCCGACCGACCAGCCGATATGGTCTCGGATCGCGCGGTTACTCCAGCCCACAGGTCAAGAACGCTACTGAAGAGGAGCGGCTTGGCCTTGTGAAGGGAGACTCTCACTCAATGCCTGTTCTGCAACGCTACGATGACGATGAGGACGAGGAAGATGCCTATATTGACGACAAGATAAGACCCGTGGATTCCACCCCGAGTCCACCGCAACCCTCGCGATATGGACGAGGCATCACTACTCCGCCAAGGAGGGGCAGCGACGGCCGTGACACAGACTTCGAGTCTGAAGCGCCAACGCCACCTCCCCACAGGCCGCAGCCAGGTGGTGGCCGGCCTGGAGCATTCTTATAAGCATATGATTAGCATGATTTTGGATTGATTCGATGCCGACTACGACATGACGGGACACGCTTTCTTACTTATGCCCCGGTGTTCATGATGAATGTAAAAATAATGGACGAGTAGGTACATAGCAGCAGTGTGAGGGACCGCGTCCTCATGAGGTGGAGGGATGGTTGCAGGTGTATAGTAGATGGGGTAGAGCAGGCCCATGACCTGCAACATGGGCGTTTCCGTCGGCTTGCCGACTCTTAGGCACATACAGTACGAATACAATTACGTGACACAAACTTACAAGAGTTCAATCACAAACTTGCCTTAATAGGCAGGGTTTCTTTCAATGGCAATTTCTAAGCTTGACATTTGAGCCCGCCGCCCTTTGACGTATGGTCGTTCACCGTGGTCCTGTGTAACTTTTCGCGACATATACCCCCGATCTCTGTGCTCTTGCAATCATGGAAATCAGGGTATGCCCAAGTTTGGAGGTGGCCAAGTACTTAAATTCTGGGATAATAGCCTCAGTAGTCCAGCGCTCTGTTGGAGGAATGAAACGTTGCCCCTGTGGTCTGGAAGTGAGCGCGCCTTCGCGCGTTCTCATGCCGGCATAGGTTGTGTGTCACTGAGGATATCGTACGGGATTCGACTCTGGGTATATCCGGTGTATGGGAGGTAAGTATCCATCTTCTTTGTGAGTTTGTGAGGGTGCTATTTGCTGGGCAGTCAACAGGACAGATGACGAAGCTGTTTTTGTCATTGAAAATTGGTTCGTGGTGTGAACACTAAAAGAGCATCTCCATGTGAGGTAACCTAGAGTAGGTGCTTTGCGATTGGGAGACTGGATGAAGCACAGGTGTAGTAGGTTCGGATCAACATCCCAGCTTATCTTCGTGATACGAAGGGGGTAAGAAATTAGGTCTTCTCCAGATGATTAGCGGACGTCAAAGGCTTCTATGCCCTGGGCATTTGAGTGAAGAATATTTAGTCCATCTTCGGGTTGCTACGGCTGGGGCATATAATCTGTCAGACGAGTTCAATATTCAAAGATTCAATACCAAGTGAGATGCTACCGACAAGAGAGAGATGACCCCGACCAAAAGGTTGCGTTTGATTCTTTGAAGACGTGACGTGTTCCTTATCTGACATGTGCAAAAGTAAATATCGAAGAGGGCCAAACTTCCATCTTTGTGTAACCCTAAAAGTCAGACTTTACGGCGACCATCATTATTATGTCGAGTTGTTATCTCAGTTGAAACAAAGAACTTTGTTGATGTGAACGATCATCCTCGGGTCTCACAACAGCGCATCAGATGGAGAGCAAGCAGAATGGCAAAAGGAGGTCAGCAACTTCTCCTGTCACCTCCTGGCAGTTCTAGTATCATGGGACCAGGTCTTCTGCAGCCACACTAAGGTACAAAGAAGGCGTTTCTAGCTTTTTCGAAGTTTGGTACTGTGTAGTATCTGCAGTAGTCTTTGATCAACGACTGTAGGGGGACTTGTTTGTGTTTAAGAACAGTATTCTGGTGTCACCCCAACCATGAGAGAATCTTGACATCTTGATTTGGCAAAGTGTGAAAGTATGATCTCTTTGGTTCGTTAATTAACCAACTGCTATTACCATCTGAGAACCTTCCATCTTGGTTCAGAAATGTAACAGGCTGTAAGGTAGCTCATCTCGCAACCTTTGACCTCAAGGGCTATGCTCTCAGTTCTAGTATATACAGCCCTTGCCTCAGTATTCACCAGACAAACAGACGCGTGTTCAATTTTGGGGGAAGGCACGACTGACCCTTCTCTTGAGGTGTCTTCCTTCTTCATCATTCCTTTCCTCCTCCTCATCATTCTTTTCCTCCTCCTCATCGTTCCTTCCTCTTCAAACCCCTTAGCTCGACTAACCATCTTGCTTGGCTTCGCTTGGTGTTTTTCTTCCCTTTCCACAAACGGCCCCGATCACTACAAAATCCGTCCGTCCATCCATTTTTCTTGCTTTGGTTACTTCTGAACAAAATCGTACGTGACGATCTTCTTCCTCAGAGCTCTTTTCTTAGAGGAGTGCTTCTTACTTCTCACCGTCTACCCCGGTCTTCACACGCAATATCTCAGCCGCCGTTTTGCGCATCACCTTCCTACGACTCTGCCACCATTGTTTGTTGACCATAATGATAGCCACTGCCATTTCCGCTGCCTCCTCCAAGGGCAAAGGAGTCATGATGGGCATCCTTCTACTTGTAATGGCCTTCCTCCTTGGTGTCGCTGGCGCCCCTCTCAGCGCAACGGCATAGTCGTTCCCATTGAGTACAACTGGGACCCTGCAAACCCTCCCCTCTGGTCCCTTCGTCCCAAGGACCGCGATTCTATTGCCACTGACAAGTCTTCATCTCTCCAAATTCGTGGTACTGGCGCCAAAACTTCTGGAATTACTCCGCTGATCTACAACTGGGACCCTCAGGACCCTCCTCTCTGGACCATCCGTCCTAAGGATCGCAACGACTTCCTCGCTAGCACCATGAGCAGTGATCAGATCGAAACTCTGAACAGCGACGGTGGTTCCGTTCCCTGTGCGAACAAGAACAAGCCCGCAACGCTCTACCATGTCTACGGACCTGACGATTGCCCTCCCAAATACCAGTTCCTGCCTTTCGCCGAGGGAAATGGCCAGCTTGACACCTGCGAGGGGTGGAACAAAGGCTGGTACACCGACAACGGCTGCACCACGTTCTGCGAGACTAGTGAGTCCATCCATTCGGAGCCTCCAGCATCTCCGGGCCCAATATATGCCGAGCAGGCTAACCCATGCTTGATCTACAGGCACTAGATTCGAGTGGGCTCAGGAGGTACCTTTTTCTCATTCCGAGTGCCACTACCCGATCAAGTGCGGAATGACTAAAACCGAATCGGTCTCCTCAGGCTGGAATGTTGGCGTGAGCGCGAAGATACAGTTTTGGAAGGCACTGAAGATTGGTGTAACTGGTGGTTGGCATCACAGTTGGGGTACCGCCAGAGCCAAGAAGTGGGATGTCGATCTGAAAGAGGGCCAGTGCGGCTACTTCACCTTTGTTCCTGTCAAGAAGGTTGTCTGGTAGGTTGTCTGCAAGCTTGCACCCGTCAAGGACTCAATCATGCTAACAAGTTTTTGTCTAAGTGGTGGCATTACCGAGCCGTCCTGGCAGCCGAACTTCGATTGGGACGGCTGCAATTATTCGCCACCAAAAAACTCCGAGTACTGCGACAACCAGCTTTGGACAATCAAGGATAGCAAAAATTCTAAAGAAGAGGTTCCAGACGGTACCATTATCTTCGTCTATACCGACTGCCTCACCCGATTACCTCTGCCCATGAGCGAGCAAGACCCCGTCTACCGAGCCCCGGGCGTTGCCCTAAGCCATGACGTCCTCGACAGTATCCAACAGGGCTGGGTCTGGAACACTTGCTATATGTGGAGAATGGGTGTCGAAGGCTACCTGGGGCTCTACATCCACGGCTCTGGCTTCAAGGACTCCATGATCGGTCCGGAGGGAACCCACCTCAGAGAGAGAATCAATCATTGTGTCAGAGCCGCCGAGGGGGTAATTAGGGACGTTAAATTCGAGTGGTACGAGAACGGCTATCCTGGCGATGACGCCAAGGTAATGGGTGCCGCGTGGCTCTTCATGGCGGACGTTCCTGAAAATATCAGACCCGGCTGCATCGGCGATGCTATCATGGAACTCGGCGGAACTACCATGCATAACTGTGTCGGGGACAAGTTTTGGCATTAGCCTCTCAACGTGGTCTGGCTTTTGGTGGACACGAATCTACTATGTAGATGGACGGATAATGGAGATGCCGTTTTTGATGGGCCTGGAAACGGGACAACTAGTTAGCTGGACAGACTCGGGCTCCCACATACGGAATGTTAAGCCTGCAATACTCAAAAGCCCCGAGACCAAATGCCATGGGTATCGATGAACATACGGGACGATGATCCCATTGCGCTGGTGGTAGGAAAGACTTAGATAGAGGGTTGATTTCACTGCCACGGTTTCCATTACCTGACGATAACTGACAGCGTATGTCACCAGCCCGGTCTGAGGACCGCCGTTAGATGTCGATGAACACGACGATTAGTCGATGAATATACAATGGCCAATCATTCCCAACTGCCAATGACAAGCATCCCCAGGTCGGCCCAGAACCTCAATGCCGTTCCCCCGGGATGAGACCCGATGGCGGAGTCATCCGTCTGTCATCTTAATCGGGTGTCCGGCTCTGGTTGGAGCGTGCTAGGAGATCAGGGCCAGCCCCTTCCCGCAGGAGCTCGATGATCGACTCGGCACGAAGACGAAACCTTGTTCTCCACGGAAGCCTGTTAAGATGACCGTCCCAACTGAAGTAGACACGGCCCTCCGATTACCGCAAGACATAGAACCGACACGGGAAGTCCTTATGTGTCGAGCGAGAACACAACCGGAGAGGCGTGTAGAGATGGTTTTTCATGCGCCAAAAGCCCAGATCCGAATTCAAACTTGGAAATGGCTCCCTTCCGCGTTACTGGCTGGAGGGTGGCCGTCACCTCGTTAAAGTTGGGGAGTTGTATGTGCCGCTCAGAAACTCAGCCGAATCCTCTCACACGGAAGCTTCAGAAGACTCCCAGTCGTTGGGGATTATCTGACTCCACACGGACGCGGGCAGGAGTCTAGCTCCGTACCGGCTACATAAAGAGCCATAGCTTCTCGTGCTCAGCCGGGTGCGAGGCAAGTGCCATGAAAGGGAAGCACGTGCGAGGGTTAGGTAAGGCTTGATTGACATTTTTGGGCTTGGTCGCGGAAATGGTGACGAGACGGAATATTGAGCCGGCTAACTTCCCCAGATCTCAGCTAGACTAGTGCGATGACCTACCAGCAGAATGTCGAAATACGTGAGACACCAAGCAGTGACTGGTTTTTGAACTTCATAGAAAATTGACAGGCTGTGGAACTACATTGAAGGCATGAATGACTTGTGGTGAACATCGTCATGCAAACGCTACGATTTACTTCGATTTTAAGGTCAAAAGCTTGTTCTTGCCAACGAAGATCGGTCAGGGCTGGGGCGAAGCGATGTGACGCAGAGAGGCGGGAACCCCGTGAGCCTCACCGGAAGTGAGGAGATTCTCGTACCCATCGTGAGATCTAGGTCAAAAGACGATGTGACGATGCAGCGATGTACCGCAATAAGGTGGCTCAGCTAGGTCGTTGGTCGGGCGAAGGCAACCGACGATGAACCTTGCCAAATAGCCCAGAGATGATGGGATGATGTTGTAAATTGCCGACAGTCTGGGGAGAAAGGTCGAGTGTGAGTAGTACTCAGGTAGGTAGTTGGGTAGGTGTTAGAAGGTGGTGGGATGGAGCGGTGGAAATCCGCGCGAAATTACCTCATGAGCGTCCATCGTCATCTCGCCTCGCCAAAGAACCTGTCCAATGAGGATGTCGAGTGAGCAAAAATTAAGAGGTCGAGTAGCAACCCTCAGGGCAAGATGATGCGGCATGAGGGGAAAAACGAGCTAGCAGGCGGCGAGCTGCAAGAAAGAGAAGACGGAAAAGGGTGGGCGAGTAAGGCGCGGGGTGCAGCAACGTGCATTAGGTGCGGCCAGGGTGCCAAAAAGCCTCAAGCTTGATTTCTTTTCTTAGACCATGGCGGTAAGTCGGTAATTTAGTCAGTTGGGTGGGAAAGAGAGTCGTGAGCATGTTCGTGAGGCCAAAGTGGAAAGTTGAGAGAGCGCCTTTGTCGTGTCCTGATTGGGGTTAGCGGTGGAGGAAACGGCCGGTGGCTACCTTAATTGCTGGCAGAGTTGTCAAGTGAACGAGGGCCGGGTAAGCTGAAAGCTGGTGAATATTGTCCCATCGTAGTAAGAATGACTCTCATTAAGCTTGAATATCATGGTAGGTACGGATATTCATAGTCGAGTTCATGGAAACGGAGTTGGGTTGCGAGGAGTGCGGGCGGGAGAAAGAGAAGCCCCGGGGAAGTAAAAAGATGGAACCTAGGTACCTTAGTCGCCTGGGATGCGCATTTGCATAAATTTAAGATACGTACTAAGTTTGCCCAAGTTTTCAGGATAGGGGTAGACTCCTAAGACCACGAACAATTCTGGTTGAAAAATGAGGCAAGGCAAGAACATATCAGTTGGCGAATTCCGTGTTAGCCGAGCTGTGCCCTCCCGTCCTGCGCGAGGAAGGCGCGATGTTTTCTGGAGTTGGCAGTTGCCCAGCAAGGCAGCGAGGCCCCGCCGGATAGAGCTGGCGATGCCCCACTCGTCTGTCCAAAGCGGGACAAGCCTGTTACTGATTGGCTTTGATCGGTCGTCTCCGTCATTCGACAGGCCAGGCTACCCCTGGCTGGAGCAAGCTAAGCGAAAGCCACTAGGTAGGCAGGTGGCAGGGGGAAGGAAGAAGATGGGACCTTTTGGATTTTCCGCTTCTCTTCTTCCCACGCGAGTTGTCATTCCAACCTCGAGTCCACCCGTCTAATGCGTACGCCATCCACGCCGTCGAATCACACCGTGGGAGGCGGGCGGCGGGAGACAAGAAACAGAATTTGCAGGCAGAAACTCCATCGATCAACCCCACTTTCAACTGCCTCTTGTGGACCTCGCCGATGCGCCGTCGACAAACGTCGAAACAACCGCCCAATGACCGGAGCAACGCAAGGGTTATCAACTTGAAAACCTTCCTCTATCGACTCCGCTTCTCCTCATGATCGATGATCCTCCATATTTTTCCAGCGGGTTATCCACCGTGTTCCTGGTGCCATCTCCACCGTCTGAGATCATCACTGGAACACCTGGCCCTTCATTCCTCGAGTATTCCGCCCCATTCAGAATCACTCCCGTCTCTGACAGACCCGCTGCCCTCCGTGTGGCTTCCTTTACCATGGCGACCACATCTCGCCATCAAATTTGCCCGTCATCTACCCAGTGCCGTATCCATGGGACCTCGAAGTCATGACAGAAAATCACACTAGCCATTGGTACGAGCTGACGGACGCCGCCATCGCCCACCCGCCATGTACCTCAATTCGCGAAACCCTCGATGGGTGACCGGTGACTGGTCGACTCCCGACTCGCCCTACGTGGTGTGAGTGGCCTCGGGCTCGCTAGCAGACCACCGGCGCAACCTTCTGCTGACTGGCAGCCATGCCATGATGTAGCCCGGCCTGACAGCAAGGGCACTACTGTTACCTTGCATATCGACATGGTGCCTCATCTCGTGCGATGGCTGGGTGGGAACATGGGTAAAAGGCAAAGCTCGTATTCTGCTAGCCAGCCCGCTCTGTTGGGATGGATGGATGGATGATGGATGCATCACTCCCCGCCGTGGCCCGACGTAGCCTCCAGCAACCGGCAACCATCCGCACCCTCGTCGTCTTTTTGATAAAGTCCTCGTCGCTGCGCCAAGAGTATTATTCATGTCCCTTCCTTCTCTCCTTACCCACGGTCGCTACGAATAGATAGTCCTCTCACTCCAATCAACTAGTAGACTTTCAAAGTCACTGTCATTCGCTTCCAAAGAACAAGAACCAACATGCGCGGCCTCTACACGGGACTGGGCGCCATTGCCCTGGCGTCCGTCAATGCTTGGGAATATCCCTTTTGTGTAAGTCTGCTCATACCCCTGTCTACTTTGACTGTGCCATATCATCCTCCCCATTTCGTTTCATTCATCCCTCTTTTCACTTCGTGATGGAATGAACTATACTCCAACAGCTGAGTGCAATAATGAGAACTCTCAGCTCACACATCACAGGAACATGATGGGTGCTACCGCAACCTCATCGACGAGCGTTTCGCAGAGGAGGCCAAGGGTTTCTGTGTTGAGTTCCTTCACAGAACCACCACTGCTGCCGCTGCTATCCCGACGGACTTTAACAACTGCGCTGGAGATGTCAAGGCTGTCTCCTCTGCCTGTTCCTGCATCACCTACAGCTTGAGCACAACGGTTCCTCCTACCACCAGCACCTCGGCCCCGTGGACTACCAGCACTCCCGCTCCCCCGACCACCGTCAGTACTACTGAGGCCACCAAGACTACTTGGTCTTCCAGTGAGGTCGTCTCTACGAGCACATCGTCCACCTGGGTCAGCAGCACCAAGGCTCACAGCACATCCACCTCGTCTGAGGACTGCACGACTTCGTCCACGGCTGTCAGCTCGACCAAGGAGCATAGCACCTCCACCTCCTCCGAAGACTGCACTACCTCTTCTACCGCTGTCAGCAGCACCAAAGTCCACAGCACGACTACGGAGGACTGCACCACCGAGACGACCGTGAGCACCAAGAGCCACCACTCACACTCCAGCAAGCCTACGACTCACGTCCCTCCTCCCCCTTCTACCACCACTGAGGATTGCACCACCGAGACTGCCGTCAGTAGCACCAAGGGAGAGAGCACGACTAAGACCTGGGCCCCTCCTCCTCCTCCCACTACCACCCCCTATGCCAACACGACGAGTGAGAAGCCTCCTCACACCAAGACGAGCACCACCAAGCTGACTACGTCCACCGTCTACACCACGACCGTTGAGACCGTGACGAGATGCCCTCCTAGCGTCACAAATTGCCCTCACACTCCTGTCACCACCACCAAGACCATCGCTGTCTCAACGACTATTTGTCCCGTCACAGAGGAGTCCACCCACCCTGCTCCTCCCCCAACGACCTGGACGACTTCCACAGTTTACACCACCAAGGTTCACACCATCACCAGGTGCCCTCCCGACACCCCTAACTGTCCCGAAGGTCCTCACACCACCACCGAGACCGTTCCTGTGTCCACCACCATCTGCCCTGTTACCGAGAGCGTGCCTCACACTTTCACCACTGTGCACCCCGTGCCCAGCAGCCCACCTCCTCCGCCGCCTGCTGGCACTCCCCCTGCCGGAACTCCTCCTGCTCCTCCAGCCAGCACCCACCCAGCGCCTCCTGCCGGAACTCCTCCTGCTCCCCCGGCCAGCACCCACCCAGCGCCTCCTGCCGGTACTCCCCCGGCTGGTACTCCTCCCGCTCCGCCGGCTAGCACCTACCCTGCTCCGCCCGCCGGTACCCCTCCCGCCGGTACCCCCGTGCCCCCTCCGGCTGGTACTCCTTCTGCTCCTCCTGCCGGCACTCCTCCCGCTGCCACCACGCCCGTCGCCTCGCCTAGCAAGACCACTACTGGTCCAGTCCAGGTCACCAATGCTGCTGATCGTCTTGGCTCCGGCATCCTGGCCGCAGCCGCCGGTGTCGTGGTTGCTGCTCTGCTCTGAACCAAGCCATGCGCGTGATTTGGATTTTCAAGCGAGCTTTTTGTTTAATGTGTAATTCATGAAAATTAACGTTCACACAACACAATGTGGATATGGGATATGTAATGCGTGTTCATAGCGATAGTCGTACCTTACAAAAATTGAGTAATGCTGCTTTCATGCATCCTTTTCGAGTGCCGCTTGTGACTTGCTACTGATAGCTTTGGGTATTTATTCATTATGAGAGACACGGCATAAAGCACAATTGTATGACGGACGAACAAAAACATAAATGAAGGCCGTTCAACTCGACGCATGGAATTTCTGAGACATGTGGCTTTCAGCCGTACGAATGTCTTGGGTGCGGGAATGGTTCTAGACGAATAACAGCTAGGTTGTTGCGGACGGCACCTTCCGCTGAATGTGGTTACTAGGGTACGGCATGCCGCATGCCAGTAATCTGGTTCGGGTTCAGTGAGGTCTGGTTAGTTTCGCTTCAGCATAATCAATGCAGATATCAGTTTCTAATCATACAGAAGTTTTCCCCATTGAATGTAATTCCAGAGCGCGGATCTACATGTAGACTTGCTAAATTCTCTTTCGCATTTTAGACTTCCCTTCCGCCTTTCCTAATCTGGTCCCAACGGGGGTTTCCATCGCTGCCCTTCGTAACCCTCCACTCATCATCGTAGTGATGGAACTCCGAAGGCTTCTCCGGATCTTCGGGATGAGTGCCCTTGCCCGCTAGGAAGGAGACATTAAGGTCTGGCATTCTTTGCGGCTCGATAACCTCGCCGGGCAGCTGTTATGCGAATCAGCCCCTATCTTCAGAACCACGGTCTCACTGAACTGCGATGTGGGGGAAATGCAAACTTACAGCCACGACTCTCCAATGCAGGTTCTTCTTCACGTACTCGAGAACGTGCTCCGCACCAAGATGCTTAATGTCGTTCCACTTTTCCTCGTTAATAGCCCTCTTCAAAAGCTGCAGCGTCAGAGGCACTTGTCCTTTTGAAAGCTGTTGGATGCTCTGCTGCTTGTTGCAGTTGGCGCACGCCACGCCGCTCTTCCTCCAGTTCCTGGAAAAGCTGTGGATGCTGCCAATGTAATCCTCGCTCCAGAGATTATCCTCAGGGCGGCCGGAGGCCTTGCCGTTGTTAGTACCGAGGAAGAAGTAGATGATGAAGCTTCGGCCTCCGAGAGCATAACGGTTGTACAAGACGTTGATGATGAAGTCGTTGTCCAACCCCGCAATGTTCTTGTGAGACACGTCCTTCAGAAGGTTCCTCAGGACGCCGTACTTGGCTGTCAGGCGGCCGATGAGTTTCTCGGGGGAGACTGCGGGAGCATTAGACCCCTTTGTCGGCGAAAGGTCGTCGTAGGTGTACCCCAGATTCGTCCAAACCCGCAGCTCGTCCGAGGTCCAGTGTCCAAAGTTGGTGTCGGAATGGAACGGATACAATGGGGAGTCAGAGGCGGGGTCAATCGTCACGCTCCGGCCGGACCACCACGGCACGGAGTTGAGTGACTGGAATATCGCGAGCTGGCGGTCCACGTTGCAATGATGCAGCCAGAAGATTGGGTCAAAAGCTGCAAGGCCGAGATCGGTCATGTGGCCGTAGGCGTACTTCGGCGGGGGATCCGCAGAATCAGCACCCGGCGGCGGCGGGTTGTCGGTACCAAGGGCAGGCACGTCAGGAGTCCAGCCCACGCCTCCCGTAAAGTCGTGAATACAGTTGTGCAACATCTCGATAGAGAGATATCCAGCAGGACCCTGATCACCATGGGCGGTTGTGGCAAATTCTGCGAAATTGCCAAAGTTGGTCGGGACGAATAGTCTCGAAACCTGTTCAGCAAAGGTGCCCCAGAGACCTTCGGCATTAGTGACATTTGCCCAAAGGGGTTTCTGCAATGCGGCGTTCACGGCCTGGTTGTTGACGATTCCGGAGACCTGCTGCGTCGTGATAGGGTTATCAAGGCCCCATCGGCTTGTGGCATACGTCTGGTTGGTCTGGAACGGAGGTAATAATCATCCCGTTGTTAGCTGTCTGAGACTCTGTATAGGCTCGTTTTACAAAACATCGCACTCACAGGCGGTTCATCAAAGATCGCAAACTCCCCAAAGGCCTTCTGATCGGAAAAGAGTGGCTTCATGGAAGCAGTCTTGAATTGCGTCATGTTGGCCGTGCTGAACTGGTACAGCGGGTTTCAATCCTCCTGCGATGTCCCGTCTGGCATCTTGATAGTAATTGTCGGAGTGCTTGCAACGTCAGGAACACTGGGTATGTTGGCCCAGTCCCAGTACGGCAGACGCCAGGCGTTTGCTTCGGTCATCCACTGCTGCTGAGCGCTGGAAGGGGCTGCGGGAACGATCTCTTTCGTCATAATCTCCCAAAGACGCTGCTCGAAGAGAAGCAAGTAGGCACGGTGCCAGGTTGGGAAAATCAACGTATTGTGTGGGCAATAGAAGTCAGGAGTATGGTCAGGGTAGTTTTCTCCATAGGAGTTGGTCACCTCGATTGGGATAGGGTCATTGTCCCAAGAGGTGGCCGGAAGGCCGTGGATGCCTGCGATGCGGTAATAGGATAACTGATCCCTGAAGTCCATGCTCTGGAAGGCGCGAAGGGCCTGGATGAAGAGAGAAAGCTGAATTGGGTTCTGTTTGGCCCACGCGTTGATCTCACTTCGGGACGGCGGGGGTCCCGTGCCCTCAGTCGGGATGCCGGTGATGGCGTATGTTTGAAAGGGTGCAGACATGTTGCTTGGAATTATTTAGGGGCTATCAGGATCTTGAGAGACGATGTGGGTTGCTTGGTCTGTCAAGAGCTATCCTGTGGTTCCGACGGATGGTACTTATACCCTTCACAAAGCAATCAACTTACCAGAAAGCCCTCATTATACCGCGTGAATTGACGAATCTCAAATTCGGCTCTTTAGCTTTGCCCTGAGGAATTCCCGAGGTGAGTCTTACAAAGTGGCGAAGACGCCTCTCCATACCGCACTTTAGCCACGTCTAAGTATGATCTGCAGGAAGGATAGGCGAGCTGAAATCAAGCTCATGTGAGAGGAGAATTTAGGTAGTTTGAGAAATGAGGGAAACGCTTTCCACGGCTTGGCTTGTTTCTGGCAACGTGGTCGCGAATGTCTTACCAGCGGCCTAGCCCCCCCTTAAATGCTTCCGCAGGCGTCCATCAGGACATTGAGGTGACATGATGTTGAAAATACAGAGTACACTCATGGGATGATGGAGATAGCCACGTGCTGGCATATGAATTTTGACGCCTTCTTCTTGCATGCCAGAGCAATCGCCACCAGTCCTCTTGTCTTACCAGTGGCTCGTTGCCCGGGCCGTCAATCTTATCCGGCACGTTGCGAGGTGAGACATGAAGTGCGGCTGAACGACACGGGGTTCAAAACATATGATTCTTGTCGTGAACTTAGGTTCCAAGACGAGATAGTGGCAGCATTGCTTCAGCCTCGCTGTAGATTTTGTTCTATCTATCATCGGCTCCTGTCTTCAACTTCTGCTTCTGAGCATGCTGAGATCCTAAAACAATGCAAGGCCGTATTTACGTATCGTGGAATAATTCCAACACTTAAACGCTTAGGTTGTCTCTCGGCAATTGAGCCATTGTAAAAGTCTGGCCCCGGCATGGTGACAGACTGGCCGGGAACGACGGTACATCTCATAACCCCAACTGTACATCTACCCAGGACACAATTGTGGTTCAGCTACTAATCCCAGTGAGATGTTTATTCAGTTGCTAATCTTAGTTCGTAATAACATGAAGAGTGCTAAAAGTACGGTTGCGTGAAGGGAAGGAACTCATTCAGATATATCGACTACCCTAACATGATCTTTGGTGGAACATGATGACTCTTCTTTGCCGGCTTACTGATCGTGAGCTTGCCATCCTCATCATAAAATATCGGTTCAAACTTGACAGATCTCAGGTAATCGGTTCCGTTGCTCAACGAGGCGTCGTGGGAAAACAGCCACCACTGTTCCATATACTCAAGAATGGAATGGTGTGTCGTCCATCCAAGAACAGGCTCCAGGATGCGTCCAGCGTACGTGAAAGGACCCAACGGGGTTTTGCTGGTCGCATAGACGAGATAGTGAGTATCGCCGGTTGAGTAGGAGAAATAGTAGATGTCGTCCTTCTTATGCATCCAGGGGGCCTCAAAGAAGCGGCGGTCATAGTCGTCGGCCAAGAGGGGCTTGTTGGTCTCTGGGTCGAGGATCTGGATCTCTTGGACTTTTCCATCAAAACTGTGCATATCGCTGCTAAGCTTGGCAACTCGCGGGCCTAGAGCATAAATTCCTGTGGCGTTTGGCTCCTGGGAGCCCAGCCAAGCGGGATCGAAAGTGTTGTCCTTTTGGTAGCACTGCAACTGACCGCCCCATAGACCTCCAAAATAGATATATCCCTGGCCGTCGATGTCTACGAAGCTCGCTGGGTCGATGCTGAAGCTACCAGCGATAGGTTCGGAGTCCGGAGTAAAGGGGCCTTCTGGCTTGTCCGAGACGGCAACGCCTATTTGGAAGCGCTCTTCCTTGTTGCGGGCTGGGAAGTAGAGGTAATATTTTTCATTATTGTACGCGGCATCAGGGGCCCAGAGTTGCCTTGAGATCCACGGGACATCCGCGACCGTTAGGAAAACGCCATGGTCGATGACGGGGTCATACGGGTTGAGTGATGGATTACTGAAGACATGGTAATCAGCCATATCATACTGGTCGCCATTGTCGTTAGCCGTGATATTTGTCTTGCGGTCGTGAGACGGGTAGACGAAGATCCTGTTGTCAAAGACGTGGGCCGAAGGATCCGCCGTGAAAAGAGCGCTGGCGAGGAGTACAGCCATTGCGAATAAGAGAACACGAGTTGGAACGAAGTTAGGCGATGAAAAGAATGCTGCCTTTCAAAAACCAGTGGCCTTGGAATGAACAGTGAATGGGGTTATAGAGATAGATGATAGGTCCGGACGACGGCTAGAGAAGTAACTTATATATCATTCCAACTCCAACATCCGAGGTGTCTAGCCGTAGACGAAGAGTCATGATTTGTGGTATTGCTGGATTCGATATTAAGGGAACTAAAGGATTAATCACGATTTTATCCAGTGCATTTTCCCGGCTGAGTCATTTTGTAATACCCCTTCTGGCCCTTGCAAGCTATGCATACGATATGTCCCTGGCGATAACGTTGTCGTTCCGGTGAGCATATTCACGTTGTTCTTCTTGTGTCCACGAGAGCATTTCTTAAGCACGCCATCATGATTTCGTCAGTGCGCTAGCCAAAAGAACGGCCTATTGTGTGTTTAGGTAAAACAACCATGGTTCGACTATTGAAGGATAAGCGGCTCGACGGTTAGTAAATACTTTGGTTATTTACGCTCCTATTTTTGTTTGGCATCAACCTCCAAGTACTCAGACACTAACCTAACTTTGAAATTCCGCGCTTTCCGTCGGGAAGGTTTATCTTAAAGTATGAAAGAACCTCATAATCTCTGAATGGCCACGGTGAAGGCGAAGGTAACAACAGCCTCTCCTGTATCGAGCCCGACTTTTTTCCCCGCCCCTAGGGAACGCTGGACTGAATTCTTTGACACATGCAACGAGCAGGGGACAGAAATAGGAGCCGCAGAAGAGAATTTGTCGTAGACGATTCCCAGCAGAAGGAAGGAGTCCCTTCAACCACCCTTTATTTCATCATTCTTTCACAAGAAGAAGAGATCTTTGTCGTTAAGGGGCATCGTCACCCATTCATTACTGTTTTACCAGACCCCTAGCCTGTCAGAACCCCAGACGGCCCGACAACAAGAGGTGCACCAGTTTACATGGTTTTTAAGGTGCCGGCGATGTCTACCAAGAGTGGCGTCTGGTTTATAGTCGTCGCTTAATCCTTGCGACGAGCTTGATTTACAGACAAGGTGACAGGGTGAAGGACAGACGAGGCTGTGATGGCCAAAATTCGAAGCAATTACGTTAAAAAAAACCCTTGTTTTTTGCCCAAGGTCCGAATGCTGAACTCCACAGTTTCCTTCGCTAGAAATACACTATGTCCCAGGTCATCTTCCCGCTCTTCATTATAAGCGGCTCTTGTTGATTAAGTGGGCGTTGACAGGCGTGACGGCCTTGCCTGTTTTGGCAAAAGAGATGATGTTTTCCATGCCCAGTCTTTCGAAGCCCATGTGCGCATCCAGCGAAGCACCAGCGTTGTGTGAGAGTACCTCGACGTTCTTCATCTTAATCAATTCCTTGTTGACATGAGGCTCGTTGTAGTGAACATCCAGTCCCGCAGCAGAGAGGTGGCCACTCTTTAATGCCGCGACGAGGGGCTCCTCCTCAATAAGCTTTCCACGCGCAATATTGATGAGCTTAGCGCCCTTCTTCATCTTGCTGATCGCAGCCGCATCCAAGAGGGTCTTGCCCGCAAAAGGCGTCGCCACAAGGACACAGTCAGCGGTAGCCAGCAGGTCGCTCATGTCCTTGTAAAACGTCGCGCTTGAGGGCTTCTCGAGCTCGGCGGGCATGCGCACGACATCGTTGTAGAGAATCTTCATATCGAAGGACTTGTGGGCCTTTTCGGCTATGCGACGGCCAATCCTGCCGAAGCCAATGATGCCTAGACTGAAACCATTGGGGTTCCGGGAGACGGCGCCGAGGTTCTTGTTGGCGTCGACGAATTGGTCGGGGTCGCCAGAGCGGGCGGCGGCGGCGGACCAAGAGAAGAGGCGGAAAGTGGAGAGGAGGAGCCAGATGGCGCCGTCGGCGACGGATTCTGTGCATGCTGCGGCGGCATTGCAGTACACGATTCCTGGATGTTTGTATAAGCACACGCTCCCGATCTGTCAAGGCGCGACAAGCCAATCGACTTTATCGGCCCTGGAGCGACTCACCCCGGCTTGCGAGTGTCTCTGTGTCGACCCAGTCGAAACCAGCTCCGGCGCTGGCGTAAACTTTGCACGACGAAGGCAGAAGCGAGATCAGCTCCTTGTCCCAGTTGCCCATCTCACCGCCCGTGTTCCAGAACGGGCGGTAAATGGCAAAGAAGTCGCCAAACTTCTTATCTTTCAGTGCTTGAATGAAATCAGCGCGCGGTATGCTGTATGACCGGCGGATCTCGAACTTGGAGGTGAAGTCCTTGTAGAGGTCATGGTTCCATTTGATATCGTCGCCAAGCTGGAGAACAATTGGTTTTCCCATGGTGACTCGACTGCCTTTGGGTTGTTGGTCTGAACGCGAAATTGGCTGAGAATGGGATCGTAGGCTGAGTCAAGGAGCTTCGTGGAGGAAGGATGGTTGCAAACAAACAGTCAACCGAAGCCCCCTCCTAAAGATTCGGTGAACGTCCCGCTGTGACATTTATATCGGACGATAAGCGCGTTCTGGGTGTCTCGGTCTATCCTGCCAGCGGCTCCTTATTGGTCTTGTTGGGCTCTGAGCGGCGAGATTTACCCCATTAGGGTAGCTTCCCCAAAGCTATCCTGGCATGAGTGGATCGATGCAACGGCTTGCGTCGAGCTACTGGAGCTTCCGCCTCCCCCGCCCCCGCAGATGTCCCGCAACAGCTCCATAACCCGCGGGGAATTCAGGCTCAACCGCCCATCTGCCGGATTGTCCAAAGACGGCCAACAGTCCCGAATGCCACCAAGGCCGAGGATCCCCGTCAAACACTGATTTGCCTCGATTCACCACCATAGCCTGGATTCTAAGCCCCTGTGATGTTAGTTCGGACCATCTTAAATATGTCGTGCTAAACCGATTTGGACTCTTCGCAGTGTCAATTCGTGACTGAGACCACTAGGATGGAATTATCTACTCTAGGCAAGGTAACAGGTTTACTCAAAGTTATCAGACAGCCAAAGACCTTCAAACAAAACGCTTGATGCATAACGAGTTGTATTGAGACACGATGACTGCTGCTGAAAGTTACCTCAGGTGGAGCAGTTGACCTTGAACGTAGGAAACTTGTTTAAGACCGACTTGTTGGCTTGTTTCCACCGCAAGCTGAGCCATAGCGGTAAATATTTCAACACACTGAAAGAAGCCAAATTTCCAGAAAACATAGATCCGTTGCCGATTGGAACAGTCATCACGCATACTCAAGAGCTCTGAAATTTCTCCATTGTTAAATTGATTACGTGCATGGATATATTTGATTCATTACAAGCGAAGCGGCTTAGTATCGCTATGTAACATGTCATTTCTGCGTGTACCTCTTTTCAACCTCAATTTTCGTACAAGTTCGGAGGGAGATAGAATGGGGTAGAAAGGGGTGAGGTAAAACGATGTTGGAGCTGGGACGGCTGTGATACATGAGGTGTTGCTTTCATCCGGGTTGCGCGGCGGCATGGTGCCAATCAGAAGATCCAATACTTGGATCCAATCCTTGGGGGGAATACAATGAGTATATTCATCCTCAAGTATCTAAACTCACTAAAGTCTACCGTAATGATGCATCAAGACTCTGGATTTGGCGTTCTCATAACGTACTCCAATGGGGCAGGTATAACTTAATAAAAACTGCAGTTTTGACGTTTTTTTGAGGGCCTGCGACGCCTCGTTTCTGAGGTCTGGGCGTCAAGGCGTCTTTCGCAACTAAGCTTCTTTGTCAAAGAGCCCGTGATGTAACTGGCTGATGTTGGCTTTGAAACCCCCTAGATGCGTTTAAGCAGATTTTCCTCATTGATGACGGGTTGCATATTTGTTCTCAGTGATTGTTAAATATTTAGCAGACTTTTTTTTCTGGAAAGCAAATATTACTCAAGTGCAGGGGTTGAGTAGGAAAAACGGAGTTCCGCTGGATTTGTGCGGTCCGTGACGCAACAGGATGCGACCAACTAATTACCCACCGACTGATGGTTAGCATTGCCTCGTTCTGTCCCCCAGTGAAAGTATAAGTAAGCCCGAATCTCCCTTCATTCTCCAGTCATGTTCTCATCTCGGGCTCACTCTATCACCCTTCTTTATTCATTTAACCTTTCACAGTTTCTAAACTGATCTTCATCATCGAAGTGTTTATCTCTTTATGAAGACTTGAGGGGAATCGACAATTGCTTCTAGGCTAGACACATATCGTCAAAAAAGTAACATGAACGTCATACAACATAAAGAGTATCATGTGAGGAATTTGACCACTCAATCGGTCACTCTCTCCCCCACCAAGGCTTAAGTTGTGAGGAATCTCAAGAACCTGCCACTCATTGTGAAATTTCTACTGTCATCATCTATAAAGAAAAGCGCTAATGGGACTGACAGCCCGGGACTAATGAGATTACCATCTTCGGTTTGACTCCCACTGTCGATGAATCTACAATCAGAGTTGAAGGCACTGGTTATGCCGTCATCACCGACATTGCTGTGGAGTTGCTTCCCAATCGCGATATATGGCAAGACATCTACCCAGATTCTGAGGACGATGACGATGATGACATACCGGATACCGTTTCTGATCATGGAGACAACGAAGGGAACTCGATGACTCCTCCTTCACTTACTACTCTGCGGTCTCGGATACGACAGCTGCGGGATGAAGAGCGATATGCGAGAGAAGTCGTCGAAAGCGCAACAAGTCGTCTAAAGATCCTTGACGCTTACGGAAAGTCACTAGACCGCAAAAAGAGCATCGACATCACCGAAAGTATTGAATTTTATCGGGCTGAGCGAGAAAAGATCTTTCGGGGCCATACAATTGGGATCGTTCGCGGCCAAGGCAATGCTGAGCTTCTAAGTGCAGCGCTTGCAGAAGAGAGTCGCCTTATCAAACAACATGAGAAGGCAACCGCTGAAGCATCTCGCAAGAAATCGAAAGCTCTGAATGATATGCAAAAGGAGAAGTACAAACATGCGTGAATAAGAGAAGACCGCCGGAAGGAGAAAGACCGCATCCGAAAGGAGCGTGAGCTCTTTTGGCCTAGACGTTGCTACTCCGTTCGAGTGACCCTAGAGACGACAAACTTCACACCTTTATCATCTCGACGGGCATCAATGTCGAGTGACACAGCTCAGGCTGTCACTCCGACCCTTGATGAGGTGGATGGAGATCTCACCTGCAACCTTTCCCTGACATACGTCACCTCTTCTGCATTTTGGGCTCCGAGCTACGACCTCCAATTGTCAACCACAAACAATAGCGCTACGTTATTTTACGATACCCAAATCACCAACAAGACCTCTGAGACGTGGAACAACTGTAAAGTCACACTCTCGACATCTCAGGCTATATTTGGCGGACTGGAAAACAATACCCCAGCCCCAAGGCCTTGGAACATAAAGTTAGCAGACAAGGATGGCAACTGCAAAGGACATGATATTCTATACAGTTCAGAAGAGCGCAATCAACGAAAGCAGTGGCAGAGCTTTCAGGAGGAAAAGGTTAACAGCTCAAACCTACGTGAAGACCTCTTCGGTGTAGGCAGTGTAGCCCCAGCTTTGTCCTCGCAGCAGCAACATTCAATGCAGCTTATGCTTCTTGAGCAGCAGTCAAAGAAGAGACGCCAATCTCAGGTTGTGCAGCAGCAAACCATGCAACAACGGGCTCCGGGCAATCAGACGCAGCCGGCACAGGCGGACATGGTGGATTTCACAAGCATGGCATTTGCAGATCCACTGGCGTCCAACGCACTACTAGAAGAATTCGATTTCGACGCTTTCCTCGCGGAAAATTCAGGGACACCCAATCAGAATGAGAACATCGATTTCCAAGAGTCCATTGTGGAAGACACAGGTCTCACGACGATGTATGACCTCCCAGGCACGAAGTCACTAGCCCCTCACCCTACCAAGTCCAAGCAACGGGTTGCTCGTCTGAACTTTCACAACATTGCCTTCAGTCACACCATCATTGCCAAGTACAAACCAGTGGCCTACCTGAAGGCCAAGATCTGCAATAGCAGCAAGCTCACACTTCTCAAGGCCGAGACTAGCCTCACTCTTGATGGCGCCTTCATGGGGCGCACGCAACTACCTCGCTGCAGCGATGGCGACAGCTTCTCGCTGAGTTTAGGCGTTGATCCTGCGATCAAGGTCAATTACCCCAAAGCCATTGTCCGCCGGACTACGACAGGCGTCTTTGCCAAAGAAAACAGCTCAATGTTTACACGCACCGTCACTATTACTAATACTCGAAACTCGGCAGGCCGGCCTGTGTCTTTGATTGTGCTTGATCAAGTGCCTGTATCCGAAGACGAGCAACTTAAAGTAGATGTTCTTGCACCTAAGGTGCTTTTCCTTGATGGGCCTGGAGTGTCCACCGGGAGCCCTGGTCGCGAAGGCAAGGAAGACATTGATTGGGGCAATGCAGCCTCCGCACTGGAAAGAGTGGGCCAAGTGAACTGGCAGGTCACGCTCAATGCTGGAAAAGCTGTTCAACTTGGCTTGGAGTATGTCGTTGTTCTTCCGTCTGGACACTCTGCCATTGGTACTTGTTAATTGTTGTGACAAGAAACAACGTCGCTCGCGATGCAGCATGCGAGTGGAAGTTTAACCGAACGGCACGTTCCGTCTTTAGCGTTAAACTTTGTCACTCAAAAAGAATGGAGACTAGGTTCGCGCGGTCCAAGCAGTGTAGTGAGCAGGTGAGTGTGTGCGACGTCGTATTTCGGGTTGATGGGCACAGAGAAGGCCAGTATCATCATAATCAGATTGACGCCAGTCATCCTGCAAATCGTTTCTTACGGGGTGGCTGTCCTCCAGATTTGGAGGGTTGTAAGACGGACTACATCGACTCGGATATCTGGATCCCGAGTCGGTTCCCGTAACTCATGCTGGGGCACGTTTCGAAAGGGGAAGGTTATTATCGACGGCCGTCGGATAAAGAATGAATTTTAATTTTGCGTCTCTTGGCTTTTTATGTTATCAGCAATGCACACGGTGGCTATGATAACATGCATGTAAGTGACAGTGAAGCCAAAAGTCTTGGAGCTACTCAAAGAACCAGGCTTACTTTTGTAGACCTACTATAACTTCGCCCCAATTACCTAATGGCTGCCTGATTTTTGGTTTAGAGGCTTCAGATGAACGGATTTGACAAGCATTGTTGTGTTATGCATGACCGGCTATAGAGTTTGTGAAGTAAACCGTCCACAACGCTGCTATGACCAGTGACCCAGCATCAAGCCTGCAGATTGGCGAACAAACCTAGCCTACACAGGCAACTAAAGGATTGAACTGAGTTGCTTTACTTGACTTTTGACTGCGACAAGTCTATATGCGGTATCGTGGGGGTTTGAGGTAAATATAAATTAGCTCTCAGGTAGTGAGGAACACGCGCCACCGTTTCAAGGGAAAGTGTGACTCTCATTGGTCAAAATGTTCGCAATGTTCACCAGGATCGTAGAGTACTCCTATTGAGATGATGGTGGCAACTAAGCCGCTGGTACCTGACGAGGCTTTGTTCTCACCTGATTACACGGTAAGCTATGAAGGTTAGTCCACTCCTTCACAACCCACTTCTCACAATGTGGAGACTAAAGTATGAGAGATGTCTAAGTGTATGCCATAACAAGCTGGTTGAATAAAGTAATATCACTGGTGCCTTTGCTTCAAAGACGATAATGATCCCAGTACATGCGATAGGTTGCACATGCTTGAAATTGTCACTATTAATGAGCGCTGGCAGGAAACCTGGTCCAGTTAAGTCAAATAAGTGTTGAAATACATAATCATCGGAAGCACGCTATGCCATGATTACAAAGTTCATATCTTCAGAATGCAAGGTGGAGCCCGACTGGAGAAATATTCGCGATCGTTTGTTAGTAGGCAAACCTCTTTTGACGCGGCACGCCAGGTGCGGAGACTCCAGTCCAACATCCTAAGTCATTGGCTCAGAACGTAGGGCGGTAAGCTAAGGTCAATAATGTGACGCCTACCCACAATAGGCGGGGTTTAATAGGAGAGTAATATGCAGCAAGAATTATGATGAGAAGATTATAAGACCCAAGGTGTATCGCTGGAGTGCTTAAATCTCACCCATCGTCGCATTCTGGACTGCACGAGGCCAAGAGTTGGTGTTGAGAATTAAAGAAGCTCATTAGTTGTCAATCAAAAAATAGTTCGGAAAATTGCCGATTGGTTTAGTCCGCGAGCTGCTATTATGTACTCTTGCTGTATGTCCTCTTCACGGATCGTTTAGAAGAGTGTTTTTCAGCGTCTTTACGTTTCCAGTACGTCAGATACTTATGATTTGTTCATTTGAGTGTTCTTGGAGTCTAGACATGCGTCATTGTGAGTCTAGAAACAAGTAAAGAAGCAGGAAAAGGAATGGGAGACCCCCGTTCGGGCTGCCTGATAACTATCGCCAAGTGAGTATTGCTGACCGCGAGTCCAATATCAGGTAGATGGACGTCCCCAGTCTAGGTATTAAACACAGCTCAATGGCAAAACTGTGCCGACAGCTCCTACAGCTCCAATTGTGTTCTTTTAAACTGTCCTTCCTGGGCACATTTGTCAACCGGACTGAATTGCTCCCGCGTGCAACTCGTCGCGTGAATCGACTTACTATAAACAACAGGGCTCAACGAGAATACGACAGTACCGTACCCCAAACAGGCAGGCTGAAAAGGCGCAATAATATCCATCCGTCCCCGTCGGCAGTGTGCCGACTCTGGGGACGACATCAAAGGGGACGGAAGTGAGGGGCGTTGCTGGGATTACTAGTCAAGGGTTCCTTGTATCTGAATCGCAAAGCCGGGGTAGCCAATTTGGGTTCCCACATAAGTTCTTGGATACTATTTGGCGACGGGATGAATCTGGGTTTTGGCGATCATTCCCGATCGCCATGTGCTACTGCAGTGTTCATCATGCTATGGGAGATGCGATGCAATAGCCGAGGATCATTTTGTGCATCTTGGCTCAATCAACTCAAAAAAAGGTTGTGTCATCGACATTGGGCCCTGCAGGGCCGTTCTGCGGATTTATCAGTCGATTTGTCGTGGGGCGAAGCTGACCATTCGACCGCGCTCTTCATCCATTGTGAACCTAAATGATTCACAATCCATGCTTCGGTAAGTCTGTTGCAACCGTTTCCCAGCTGCAATCTCCGGGTGACCTAATCCGGAACTCCATGTTGCTCCACATGGTCTGTCGCCTACGTATGGCAGTAACAGCTATCATTGCTGACCGATCAATCGCTAACAGGCTTCGGATATTGCGTCACTCAGAGACCTACCATAAACGCATCTCTCCGGCGAACTTGCCCGACCTTCCTTGGTTGCCCCTGTGGCTGCCATACTTATTCTCTTGTCCTTCCTTGACTGTTCTTTGATTATGTTGCTCAGTACTACATGGTTGTGTTGTTCTGCCCTTGCCAATATGTCGCCATTTGACGCCAGCGGCGTTTGTTGGCCGTTTATCCCCTGACTCTGGTGGAGAAGAAAGTTCACAGTCGGCAGGCAAGTTCGGCAATACCAATGGTAGGTAAGACCGAGTTAACCAACTATCAGATGAATAAGTCCCATCTTCAGGGGCTGGCCAGATCATATATCGAGTCGTCTCTAGTCGAGGCAATTCTGCAACCCGTTCGTCCCTACCCATTCGTTACTACCTTACCTTTGTACATACGCACAAACACTCGTTATTTAACCATTATAGTCCCACTTTGACACCAGTTACCATGACGTACGTCGTGAAGATGGCTGTGGCCATGGCAGCAGTGCCGCTCTTTGGAGCGCTTGCTCGCCCGTCCTCTTCGTCAATTTGTCTCAAAAGACAGAACGATAGCCAGCTGCTGCCTAGCTACGATTACGTCGTTGTTGGCGCCGGTGCCAGTGGCCTCACTGTTGCTAACCGCCTATCAGAGAACCCGAGTATGCCTCAACTCGTATACTTCTTGAGTTGACTATCGTGAATTGAAGCTAATTTGTGGCAGGTGTAACTGTTCTTGTCATTGAGGCTGGTGAACTGTAAGATGCTATGGGTTGAAACATCCGAACCTGTTCTAATATGGCTTCTCTAGTGACGCGGGCGAGGATTTTGTCAAAATTCCTGGGTTGGCTGGAGGCGCTGTTGGAACGAAGTATGATTGGAATACGACTTACGTCGCCAATGACGCACTGGGTGGCCGAGTTGTTCCTATTCCTCAGGGAAAGGTTGTCGGTGGTTCAACTAAACTCAACCGAATGGTTTTCGACCGTGGTTCAAAATCCGATTACAATCGCTGGGAAGCGCTTGGAGCCTCGGGGTGGAGCTGGGATACTTTGCTTCCCTACTTCAAGAAGGTGAGGACAACCCTCGATCGTCCAGCTCGACTCAGCGCTGATATCACGTTAGAACGAAAAGTTTACACCTCCGACCCCTGAGATCGCAGCCGAATGGGGCGTCCAGGTCGACGAATCTGCACATGGCAGCGATGGATTAATGCAGGTTACTTATTCGCCTTTCTTTTGGCCCACTACCAGTTGAGTATTCTCGCCGTCGCTTGTTTCCGACCAAAGCCGATCTAATAACCTTTAAATAGAGTTTATGATCGGCGCTGTCAAAGAACTCGGCATAAACGTCGCAAAGGACCAGGCAAACGGAAGCCCTATTGGTGGTTACTTCTGCCCCCACAACCAGGACCCCAAGACTGCAACCCGTTCTTCCGCCAGGGAGGCCTACTACGACAACTTCACTGGACGTCAGAACCTCCACCTTCTTACTAAACGTCAGGTTACGAAAGTTGCCACTACTGGCTCAGGAGATTCTATCAAGGCAACTGGAGTAGAAGTGAGTTGCGCCGAGATCGTTTAGAAGAAGCTACTAACATAACCTCCTTCGTCTAGTTCGCTGCCAGCAAGAACGCGCAGCCCCAGATTGTCAATGTGAACAAAGAAGTCATCCTTGCCGCTGGAACGCTTCATACCCCTCAGATCCTCCAGGTTTCTGGTATTGGCGACCCCGCCCTCCACGCCAGCATCAACGTACCGACCGTTGTCGATCTCCCAGCCGTCGGCCAGAATCTTCACGACCATGTCCTCTTGTCTGTGGTTAACACAAGTAAGTTTATCTGTCATCGAAGAAGAAACTTATGGACGAGACTTACAAGACGATACAGTCAACACCACTCTTCCCGTGAATTCCCTCTTGACAAGTAATGCTACCTTCGCTGCCGAGGCCCGAGCCCAGTACGATAGTCAGCACAACGGCCCCCTTAGCTCCCCAACTGGTGACTTTATTGCTTTCCTCCCGCTGTCTACCTACTCCAAGGCGGGCCAAACTCTCAGCTCCCAAGCTATGGCTCAAGATGGCACTACATTCCTGCCCTCAGGGACCCCGGCCGAAGTTGTGAAGGGATATCAGGCACAGCATGAGGTTCTCACCGACCGTCTTCTGGCCAACGACTCCGCCCTTCTCGAAGTTCTCTGGGCCGACGGCGTCATGGTTCTTGGTCTTCAGCACCCTTACTCTCGCGGAAACCTCAAGGCTGCCTCCTCCAGCACTTTTGATGCCCCGATTGCGGACGCCGGTTTCCTCCAAAATCCTCTTGATGTTTCTTTTTTGGTTGAGGCGGTCAAGTTCACCCGGACTCTCACTAGTACCAAATCCATCGGGAGCCTACAGCCTTTCGAGGTTGTTCCAGGCGCCAATGTTACCACTGACGATGCGATTGCCGACTTTGTCCGGCAGCAAAGCTCCACTCTTTACCATCCTGTCGGTACCTGCAAGTTAGGCGCAAGAGAAGAGGGGGGTGTTGTGGATGCCAAACTGAAAGTCTACGGCATTAGTGGTCTACGCGTTGTTGACGCAAGTATCATGCCTTTAGTGCCTGCGACACACATTATGACTACGGTCTATGCTGTCGCTGAGAAAGTAAGTATTATTCAACGTTGAACTTCTGCCGTAGGCTCGAAATCTCGATGCTAACAGTCATCTCCTTTAGGCTGCAGACATCATCCGCGGCAACACGGCTTAGAATAGTGGGAAGTGTATTCAAGTAGCATTCTGAGCAATAAACTTTGGTAAAACTTCATGATCCTTCGACCAGGAAACACATTAATTAGGCGCCTGCTCGTCCATATTTCTTTTGAACGTTTGAATATTAGGATAACCAAGAGGTACCATTTTGATCCACTATTCGCATTTACTAGCTCCAGACGATGATAAATGAAGGCTTGGAGTGAAACAAATCGCGCTCTAGTTGTCGATATCGAACATTGGAAACAAGAAATCCCACCGATGAGAAGGCAAAGCTCTTACATATAGTAGAATTATGCAGGCCATGTCGTTGCCAAATAAGACTTTTACCGCTTGGGTTATCTTCGATTTGCAGTTGGTAACTAAGCATAAAGTGACCAGGCTATTAAATTCAGATTCAAGAACGGTGACTATGATCAGTCTTTCGACTTGATAAGAGCTTAGGTACGTCCTAGTAGCTCGACTATGCCATCATAGACTAATCCTAGGTATCCTCAGGTAGCTACCAGTATCGCAGTCTAGTTAAGTAGACGAATACCTGAAAAGCTGTCCTCGGAGACAGTGCTGCTTTTAAAGCTCTGTAACAAGAATATCCTGTCAGCTCTTCTGTTCTCTCCCCTGGTCCCCGTTGCCTTGTGCTTTATGCAGTCTTACTCTCTTCTTCCTTATCTTCTCGTCCCACTCACTCTTATGGTGGTCACTACTTTGATTCTTCTGGCCTCCCTGTCCTTCTTTTCTATTTCTGTTTGAAACTCCACTCATTATCATATATTATCATTCTTCAAGAACTATCAATGTCTGATCCTTATAGCTTTGCACCAAGGAGGAGCTTTTATCAGGCCAGTAGTTATGTATACATATCAGTAAAGGAGTGTAGACACTATATGTAACAAGTTCGAATGCCTCAAGTCTCTCTTAGTTTACGCAATTAAAATTACAATATCAGTGTACTTTTTCCTCGCCAATCTTTCCAGGCCACCTATCGGTGAAAGTAATCTTCGACTTCCAACGTATAACTTCAATTCAAATGGCATTATATTAAATTCATCTCATTGGATAGTACAGAATACCTGGGCAACTAAATAAGCTGCGTATGGTTTTCATAAGGAAGTGCCATATCCTTCGGAGTAGCCCCGGCCATGTTTGACTGGTGAATCATGGTAGTTCGCAGTGTGGGATGGTTCAATGAGCATCACAGGGAACAAATACAGTATGAGTATAGAACGTTTATCTAAATCGTCATTTCTAAGTGTACAATAACCCTGGTCGATACGAAGACCAGCTATGTCACTGAGCCCAAGAACGCAAAGTGGTTGATTGTAAGCTTGCAACCGCTGATTTATGGTTTCGATCCAAACAATACTAGTACGGGCATCCAGAATCCGGGTCGCAGCGGTTCTTTCCCTTCGGGCAAGGCTTTCCCCATCCAGTCCTGGTATCGCAGCAGTCGGCATCCTATTGAAGCAAGAGAGTTGAGTAAATGGTTCACAGCAGTCTTGTCCTTGGGAGGATATACTCACGCATTTGGAGTTGGGAATGCCCATGTTCATGCAGAAATTGCCGGATTCGGCTCCATTGATACATCCAATGTAACCATTTTGGCGAGCGCAGGCATCAGAGCCCTGGTCACCTCCCCAGCAACAGTTGGGATCGGTTCCATCAATTGTGCACTATTGGTGGTCTGATGTCAGGTTTTTTTTTCATGTTGAGATACATTAGGATGCGGAGGGAATGAGACTTACAGCGGCGTAAGCCGTTGCGGTAAGGGCAAGGATGGCGATGGACTGGAAGAACTTCATTTCGAATACGTGAATGTAGGAAGACGGTGTGAAAAAGAGTGATTACTTTGTTGAAGCGAACGATGTAGAGTGAACTGACACGATTGCTGATGATAGAGTAGGATATACAGAGAGATTCGGGGTCGATACTTATACTCTTTCCACAACAGCTCTTGACGGACTCAGGACTTCCCACAGTCTGCAGGATTTGACATCTCCCGACTCTGTTTTTTGCCAGGAAGAATCAGCTCGTCTCACGAATCATTGTCTCTAATTCCATCTTCGAGTGTTAGTCGCCTGTGCTCCAGTGATTCATCCTCTCTAGACTCAGCCTACTCGGTCTCGGCATGATGATAGAAATTACGGAGCAAAAGCGCCAAGTGTGTGGCTGAGATTGCAACTAGAGTCATCTTGGCGCGCTCCAGGGTTTTCAAAGCTACCAATAACCTGATAGGACTCGTAGGCAACAGTCTGGAGCGCCAAAATCGTCAAGTTGAGACGAGATTGTGGGGTCTTGGTCCCGGCTGCCACGTCCTAACAGAAACGGTGAGAGTCCAAGCGCGCTCGGCATCGGAAGCCTTCCAGGCGTCAGATGAACAGCTCGTATGGCCACTAACCTCAAGAGCCCTGTAAAAAGTACCCAGGCTGAGTCCAGATAGACTTTCATTCCAAGCCCACTAATTGGGGACGGAGTTTTGTCAGACAGCTTGCAATAGATTGAGCTGCTGCGCCCAGCCCTACCTACCACGGACCTCAATTCTGGGGCTAGCCAAAAGTCTTTACCATTCATATGCTTTAGAAGTCGGGCAAAAAGGGATAAAGTCGACAGTAAGGCCGGGAGGTTCCGTAACTGACAGCCATACCCCAGGTAAATCGTCTGAATTGGGCAACATGTTGCACTACACGTCCTGCATTTCGGTCCAAGCTTGTGTTAGAGTTGGATTAAATTCCTGCCGAAGGGTTTTACACTTTCGGCTCAATATAAACCAACGGACTTATGCAAGATCCTAAAGGCGTCTGCTAAGTACACGTTGCGACGGAAAATGGTCAAGATATCGTCAGATCGACTACGATATGGGCTAGGCAATACAGGTCAGGTGCCAAGAGAAGCTGACTCGTTTGGTTATCCAATGTCGACGAATAATCAAAGTGTGTGAATCTAGCCAGCACTATACTCAAAATGTCATCTAATCATCGGTCATTGTTAGTTAGCAAAAGTCCGTCGGAGCATACTCACCTCATGAATTACTAACGACCGAAAGCGAGGTCTTGTGGAGTGCAGAACAAGCAATAGAGAGTAACAGAGCAGAGCTTAGCCACTTCTCTCTTGAGAAGATTCTTGCGATGTCACAGCGTTGCCTCTTGGTAGCAATAGATAAATAGCTCATGATTCCTCTACACAATTCTGGTTGCCTTCTTTTTCTCATCACAATCTTTCCTCTTCAATCATCACTCGCAACTGTCACTCATTCTCACTTTGACTTCTCCTTCACTTGAATCAACCATCCACATCCTTCTTCAAAATGCAGTTCTCCTTCGTCATCAGTGCGGTTGTTTCCGCCCTTATCAGTACTTCTGCTGCTGCCACGTTGGACTTAAGGGCTGCTGCGCCCAAGGCGCTTGCAGCTCGCACTGTTATTGACGAGGTAAGAGCCTAAGACTGACCCATATTCAAATGATCACAACCAATTTATTTGCATAGTGCACTGAGGCGAACGACTGCTGCATTTCCACCCGCGGTGCCTGCACCCGCCAGGCAATCAACTGGGCCGAGAACTATCTCACTTGCCCCTTCATCAAGCTCTGCCCTGACCTCGGTGTTCCTTGGTCTTCTTGCGTAAGGAATCCCTCATCGACGAGTTTTGCCAGAGAGATCTTTACTAACATGTAATCTAGGGCGCCGACTGCTGTTCTATTTCTACCAAGTGGGGCCGTGGCTGCCCAGGCAAATAAGCTCTAATTACGTTGATTGTAACGAATGTGGGCATACAGACTGTATTAGACGACAACTGCTGCTTGTCGGAAACTTGACTGAGCCGTAAACTTTTGATACTGCGAATAGATCCTTGCGTTGATCCTGAAACACCCTAAAAAGGCCACCAAAAATGCCGATCTAGTTTTTCATTGTTTTCGATGTTCTGGATTTTCCCTTAAATTCTTCTCGAGTCAGGCGAGTCCGCATAAAGCTCAAGCCAAACAAAAGGCCTTAAATCGACAAACCCCCTATGCATCTGCTTTCCTACATACCAGTTATGAGCGTCCATGGTCAAAAACGTTCTGATTTTCATTCTGAAACTCCAGGGATTGCCTAGTCCAGGTCTATTTGCAACTACGTAAAGACACTAGTGATTTATTGATATGCCTACGTGTTGCCTTGCAGTATTTAAGTGAGCTGGTGTGGTGGTTGAACTATTTAGTCCTGGAGTTGTGCCGACCGCAACATCTTTGCGTGTATTGCTTACCAAACACTCAACACACCTAGTTGAGGATTGTTGAACCCCGAGTCTTTGGTAAACAAATCGTCAACGAGTTCTCGATTTTGAAACTGCTTCTTGCCAGTTATTAGTAAAGATTTCGTTATGAATCATCTCATCCTGGATAGAATCAGAGACCAGTAGAGGGCATATGATGCGCGACCAAACATTCCCTTGCTGGGGGGAATTACAAAAGTCCAGGGTTATGGGCGCGTTATACGCATGACATGCAATCTTTGTGGGCAACAATGCCTGAATTCATAGAACCAAGGACCGTTTAGTATTTCTTTCAAGTTGATTTAGCGCAAATGTTATTGTCAAGTAACGACTGGACGAGCAACGCCAATTAATTCGTGTTCAGTAGACTGCTAAACTGATGGACAAATTTCCCTGTGATAACTCTAGGATCGTTGAGTCGTGTTTCCATAGTCGTATCCAACTCTGTATACCATTCGCAATTAATCCCTGAACGCCGTGCTATGCATTTTCGAGAGAACAATCGTGCCGCCAATATGAACAATGAAATGGAAGGCTTCCGATCAGATTACCAGTCCACCGCCCAGCCATTTTGTTCGAGGAACTCTTCGCAGGCCTGCCTAAGTCCAAGGTTGGGTCTCAGCTCCGACGGTAGGAGGGGCTCACGGGTGAGGGGATCGCTGGGGTGACGACGCAGGTGCTCCATGATGGATGCCCTCTCGTAGGACTTTCCAGTTTTTGTCTGCAAGTGTGTTAGTTGAAGCCATGTGCTGAAGTACGAATGTCGGTCAGCTTACAATGACTGGGTCAACCATGACGCCGAAACTAATATCGTCGATAGCCCACTCCGGAACCTCACGCCTCTTCTCCTCCGAAGATCGGCTCTTCTCAAAAGTGCTCCTCAACATCTCAATCTTCTGTTCCCACTCGGCCTCAATCTCCCTCTTATCCCCGCCATCCATTGCATTGGTGACAGCCTGTTCGCGCTCTTTTTCCATTAACTCAATGACCTCGTTTTCTAAGTGGCGCGCTTCTCTGGTGCGTATCTTTTCCATCCAGTCCCAACGCTCCTTCTTGGCCCGTAGAACCTGCGCCGTGATGGCAGCAAGCGATTTATCACCAATCTGCACACAAAGCTGATGGGCCTTCTGAGCGTTTGTAAGGGCGGAGTCGTAGTCCTTTAGGGCGAGCTGGGCTTGGGAGAGGTAGTAGTGGGCTTTGAGATTGTCAGGGGTAAGGCCGAGGCACGATTCGCAGTCAGAGACGACCGCGTCCCAAATTTCGAGCTTGAGACGTGCCATTGCGCGGTTCGTATACAGGGCCGGGTTCTTTGGGTCAGCGATGATGCTATTACGTATAACCAGTTAGCCTCACGGTTGATCTCAGTACATCTGCTGCAGGATAGCTACGCAATAAGTGCATCAAGCCGGGGATTTGGCCGTGTGTGTTGTGTTATCAGAAGGAAGAGCCTACGCTTTCGAGTACAACGCCTCTGCACCGGCGTAATCGCCTTGTTGGAAGTGGCGGTTGCCCTCTTCCTTGAGCTGAATTGATCTCGACATTGCGCTTTTTTCTTGTTGGTTGCGATGGTAGAATGGAAATTAAGGCAGCGGTTCGGTTGATTAGTACATATGTAGGTGAACTGGATATATAAATCGGGTCGACAACAAGATCGAAGCGTTCAGAACGCAAGAAAGCTTGCCGGACTAGATGATGCAAGCTTGATAGTCGTTGTCGGTGAAGCACGAGTCTGCCCTGGGGGCTGTTGAGGAAGAGAGTGGCCAGGAGGACGATTGTGAGTGCTGCGGAAGCCAGGAGATTGTTCTACTTGCGCAGCGGGTGTGTATGGATCGATCAGGGTTCGGGTCGAGGCCAGGGGTGAGAGGACGATTACTCTATGTGGGCGGAAACTGAAAAGGACAGTTTAGGCAAACCGGCAGCTGCAACTCAGCCTTGTGGCGTCAAGAACAATGTGCAACTTGGGAAGAAACACTGCCCGCTATCGTTGCCGATGCTGGTGTGCTGCGTGAGATGTCCAAAGCACACGTTCAAGGCAGCGGTACCCCGCCAGCGAACCCGCGCCGATGGATTGCACGTCGATTCTAGGGGTCTCTGTCGACCGACCCCACTTTCGCTCGGGACGAGCGGTTGTCGTTGCGTTCTCGAATCTTCCGCTTAGAAATAAGTGGCTGGTATCTCGGCCAATCACGTGATGTGGCGTTTCCCTCCGTACCCCGGCCGCAGTTCAACGGTTGAAAGTGGATCACAGTCGGAGCCGATGCCGAGAGCTACCCGCCGAGTGCAGCCATAACACATGAAGATATCCAAAGAGTGAATAATACATCCCAATATAAGCTCTGGCATTAGATCCGAAATGCAGCACTTTGAAGCCGAGTTCACGCGTACTTCCCAATCTATTTGTGTAGTCACCAAGGCAATCTCCATGCTTGTGACTGACTCAATGGCACCTTTAAGTCTTTGCGCGCAAATTTCCTAATGGGTTTTTGAAGCCTCCTCGGCCCTCCTCACCCTTGTTTGAGACCTGGTACAATAGCCAGATTCCTCGCAAGATGGTCGCTGCTGCAACAACGATAGCAACCGCCTGGCCAAATGATATCTTTTTCCTATCCTTGGTTTCAAGCTTTGCCATTGCATTTTCGGCCGCGGCCATCGACGCTATGGAAAACATTGCATAAACGAGAAATGATAAAGAAACGGTAGTTGCGTATGATCCGTACTCTGTGTCCTTTGATCTGCCTCTAAAGATCCAGTTCTTGAACCTTGAGCTACGAGTGACCAATTGAGGAAATGTAAGATTGTCCAGTTTCCAAGGGTTCTTTTTGGTACTCTTTTCGGCTTTGTGGAAAGAATTCATATTCATAAGCGAGTGAAAGCTGCTTTGGACAAATGACACCCATCGACAAGCGTAGTAGACCCAGAAAGCTTTCATCTCTTGGCGGATGGTCGGCGACAAGTCTTCGAGTGACAGTGGGCTAGAACCTGGAGTGGTCGACGCCTTGAGACAGGCACCAACATTACCCCACCAAGCCGCTGAGACGCATTGACAAGTTCTAGTGATGAACTTGCCATCACCTAAGTCGTGGACAATGACACCCAGGAGAACGAGGCCGAGCCCTTGGCACACTACAGTGATCACCACCTGCCAGCGGGCCGCTAGAGTTTCCTTGGTGACGAGTGGGATAGAGAGGGCGCTATTTTGGGCGTCGAGCATCATCGAACCCAGTATTATGTCGGCCAAGGTCAATTCGCCGTCCTCTTTGTGAATGAGAAGAGCAATGGCGAGAGACAGATGGGTAACCGCAAGACCGGCCCCTATCTCTTTGGCCATTGTGGCATGGACATGGAAAGTGCCGAGCAGAGCAATGAAAAGCAGGACCAAGATTTGTGCCCATGCTGCGAATCGAATGCCGCGACCAGCAATGTGCCTCAACTTGGAAGTCGCATATTGTCTTGTACTCGCGCTCGCCGAGAAGAAGGATGGGAATGAGGATGACCCCAAGTAAAACGATGAATAATGGTATAATGAGATATCGAGTGAGTATTATCCGATCACGCAGCTGATCACTCTTCAGGCAACGCCATACGGCGCATTCATAGATGAAATATAGTGTGTTACAGATCAGAAAGACAGCGGCAACCGCGAGCCCTGTTTGCGGATGATAGACGAGTGCCATGGTGAGTAATTCTTGTTAATGAGAGATTGGTCTTGAGGAGCATGGTGCCCATAAACCATGTATGACATTCCAACCGTCAGCATATATCCTCCAGCAAAATATATTGGACAACTCTATCGGAGACTTGTGCTCGTCTACCAAAGGGCTGAAGCCTGCATTCCGCCCCAAGAGGGTCTTCTTGGCTGCTTATGGTGTTCAAGACATTGGACAAGGCAGGCCAATAAGCTTTGGAAGAGTTGCTGATAGCCACAGCAGGGAGGCAGCTTGTGTCAGCCAGCATGACTTTCATTTTTATTCAAAGCCAGTCTTACGTGGCTTGTAACCAGCTACGAATGCCGTATAGCGCAACTTATGGCCCGTAGGACAAAGTGGCGCTGGGACATAACATGTGGGCTTGGGATTCTACGCAGTCAGGCAATGTGCAATCAGATCATTTTGCATCAGAGATCCCAGCCGTCATTGCACTAAACTCGGAAAGCAAAGCAGACTACGTTTCTTGGGCGCTGAGTCGCACGCATAGAATGGCATATAAGCAGTGTCGTGGATATTGACCATAGTTGTCAAGCAGAATAGTCACTGGGCTAAGATGGTATTTTATCATAAAGTAATGGGACTCTTAAGGACGTATGGTATGAGAGTGCTCCGGTATTCTATGGGCGACGACTAGTTGATCCTAGCCATTCTGATTCATATGATGGAAGTAATGAAAACAACTGAAGAACCCTAGGAAGTGCTTCCTGAAGCGTCTAGCCTTGGGTAGCATCATAAACTTCAGCTCTCCTACTGAGAGAAATAAGATGATCTGAACTTCAACTACCGTCCTCGCCTCGCAGGCCATTACCACCCTGCATCAAATCCAACGATACTATTGCCTTTGAGATCAGAATGGTATTAGACGAGGCTGTTTTGACATTAACATGCCTTCCACGACCAGTACAAACATAACGATGCAGTGTTTGGATACTTTTCATCCCAGGAACTGACCTTGTTACTCATACGACTTCCGTTGTTGTACCCGGCTCCAGCATTTGTTAGCAAAGCCAGCTAGGGTTCTGCCCAGATAAGAATTGAAATCGCACAGCACTTGCCGCGAGTGGTGACTTGAGCCATGAAGACAACTTCTCCTTAGATAGAAAAAGCGAAACGCCAAGACACTGGTGGAGCGGAGAGTTATCAGGCGCAGTGAACGGTGGCCGGGCGGCTTGCTCTAGACCAAGCAACCCCGCAAAACCCCGCAAGTTTCCAAACCATCATGAAAATGAGATGGGATCAACGCGCAAATTGTGGGTCTCCCGGTAGCCCGGGACTTGCTCGGTAAGGAAAGAATAGGGAACCATCCGTCTGGGGGGTTCGGGAAAGTAGGTTTGGAGAAGTCTTGGTAGGCAAACAGTCATACGATGATAACTTGATGGGCGACAGGTTGCGGGCATCGGGACAAACCGCGATGCTGGATCGAAAGAGTGCCTGAGTGTGGAGAACCGACGGCTGCGGGTCGTTGGCAAGTTGGGAGCACTGGGTAACATCGGTCTACCCATAGGTATGTGCGTTGCAAGCGGGCTGCTTGCTGGTGACTTCAGACGAATGAACCAATGAACCCAGCATCCCATAGTAAGGGGCCCTCTACTGAAGTCAGTAGTATAATACTGTACATTGTACCTAGTGCAGTTGCTCTGCCGTCTGTGAACGTCGGAGTTTGGATTTGACATTGCTTCGATACTGTGCTGCTTAAACTCCTAGTCAAGTCAGGCTCGTTTGAAGGCAGGCCGCAACGCTCGAGAAGTTCGTGAACGGAGCCGAGATAGGAATACACACAGTGTCCGTGGCTGCTGCATAGGTAGTGATAGAAGGATGAGGTTGCCTGTCGTGCCAAGCTGTGATCAATGATCACCTTGCAGGACGGGAGGAGGTAGCGTCAATACTTTGACATGTAGACGTTCACCGAACCATACGTAACAGAAATCCATGCTGAGAATGACATTGACAAACTGAACCAACGGGGACCTGAACGGCGCCCGACTAACCGAGCCAGAGTTGGCACCAGTACTATGTAGTTGCGAATTGCAAGGTATTGTACAGGAACGTGGCTATACCTCCAACTCGTAAACCTGCAATCCTGTGCAGCTGTGCCGCTGCTTACCCGCATCCCCCCGGCGTTTCGGTTCTCCATCTGCATGTTGCCAATGAGCCTTAGTCAGGTCAACCAATGGGGACGGTGATGAATCAGAGGAGTTGGGAATTATCAGATCATGCTCGAACAGCAGGGAGCAGGCATCTTAGATGAAAGGGGTGGAACCGATACAACAGAACTGTAAGAGACATGAGATTACGCAGTAGAGAAAGGAAGTCAAGATGGGGAGGAGTCAGACTTTCGAAGTTGTTAGCCACAGACGCGAGGCCCCAAAAGGCAAATCCCAAGAATCTGGGGAAGTGCTGCTACCGGTACCTAGGTAGGTACATACACTACCTACTGTGCAGTAGATAGCGCAACGGGGCCGAGTGTCGTCACAGGGACGTTCGGATACAAGGAGATTTGTGAAAAGCGGGTTGGCTGACTGTCGGGTCACACTTCTGGTTCCAGCGACTAGGTAGAATGCCAGAATCAACAGATTCGACCTCGGATAAGATAAGCAACACTCGTGACTGGAGGAAGGAAACGCCGGTCGCTTCTTGAGTGACATTCCATTTCCTGGAAGCCGAATCCCCACACGCGGCAAGGATAGCCGGTACGTACCCCACCATCAGTGGAGACCTTGACCAATCGTGGTCCGATCATTACGCACAGTGGAACCTGCCCTTGCACGCCTGGGCGGTCGTCACGTCCAGAGTCCCCTTTCCGGGATTGGCCGAACGAGGGGAAGAGCGATGGTTGCGCGAGCCTGGCGATGCGGCAGTCATTGCCTTTTGCCCACAAGCACGCAGGTGCCCCGGCTTTCCCCCCCTTCCCACCCCTTCCCACGGTGCCACGGTGCCATCACCATTCCCCTTCCAGCCGACTCACACACTCTCCCCCTTGTTCCCACCCCTCTCCCACATCCAGTTTGGCGGGCCACAAGTGAGTCGACGTCAGGATTTATCTCACACAACCTGCATCCGAAGACTCAACTGGCCTGGCCCTCCGCATTTGCGACCGATTTGACTTGACTCGACGTCGACTCGACCCGACCAGAGCACACGAAGCACTCCGACGCACGCCGCACTCTTCCAGACATACACTACAGGATTCGGCGGAGACGACCGTACACACACATATAACCAAACGCTTTCCATCCATCCCGCGCTCCCAGAACCACCACTTATCTGTCCACCCGCGTCTGCGCTGCACCTAACGCCGATCAGTCACCTCCAGCGTCTCCGCGATCGAAATCCCGCGCGCAGGATCGAGACCGTCTCTGCGCTTCCTAACCACCAGCCGCAGCGGCACACTTCTGTCCCTTGGCCATCCAACGATATTTCAGTCGAAACCACCGGAATCCCGAGCCTGAACTGGCCCCTCGCTGCGACGGCTTCTTATTCCTCTTCCCCGTGCGAAACTGTCTTGCAGCGCAAGCTTGGACGTCCTGTCCCAGGACCGACCCGGCTCGGGCACGGATGACAGCATAATCCCCAGTAACCCGGTAGAAAATTACATACCACGAGCATAGGGGTCCCCGACCAAAGTGTCTGAGTTTACCCTTTCTCCTGCAGAACCTACCTGCTACGCCCTTACGTCAAAATACAATAATCTCCCCTCATCTCTTTGAAAAGAAGCGAACGCACGAGCAAGAATCACTTCCACTCACGCAGCATCCATCACACGGTGAAGGAGACCGGCGCCATCACGGTCAGATACAACCACGATGCCCTCTCAACGACCCTTCTTCCTTTCCACCTTCTTCGCCTCGTTCCGACAACAGTCTCCGTCTGCGACAACGCTTTCATCACAACAGCCCAATAAGCATTCTACTCAGGCGTCGTCATCGTCGTCATATGCAACGCAGTCGGCCGCATCAGCACCCCGAGCCATCTCGTCAAATGGGCCGTCAAGTACTGGGGGAAACAGCGGCAGCGTTAACTCGGCAACGCGCTCGTCAGCAGGGGTTGTGAACCAATATCCACTACATTCCCCGCGCGGTGGAATTCCCATCCCCAGCGGCTCAAATCGACGACGTGGGAGCGATAGCAGCAGCGAAGGATTCCGCGACGTGCTGGGTGCCGACAAGTGGTACATTGGTGGACGGACCGCTGCCGGCGAGGAGAAGTTCTTCAAACTGGGTGTTGTCCGAAGGGTGCGCAGTAACGACGGCCTCAGTTTGGATCGACTGAGTTTATAGAAAAGGACGGTTGCCACAACGGAGGTGCAAGTGGTTGCAAGAATGAACAAACATTGATGAGGACACTGGGAAACGACTTTGGTACATAGGCGGGGCAAGGGAAACGGCATTATCAACAAATAAACCCGAATGATACATCTGGGAGGGGAGACATCGAATCCACAAGGATTTAGGGGTCATCGGCGTTTGGGAATCACGATTTTATTTGGTCGAGACAACTAGGAAGCAACTAGCAACCCGACAGGGTGATAGAGCACATGAAAGTGCAAAGAAAAGCATCAAGTTGAGCAAAACAGCTAGGGGCCCTAGCCTAGGATGATTTCTCTATCTTATATTTGCCTACATGCCACCCATACATGTTTTGACTCTCTTCAACCGGGGTTCTGGTAATTGCACAGCACGGTGAAGGCTTCACCACATGAATCGCTGCATCCTACCATTGTCCAGGACCCTGCCGTCATCGGCTCTCCACAGGTACGGCTTGGCAAGGAAAATGTACATGGTGACCAGATTGACCAACACAAACCACAGCGTCTCCAAGACGAGCCGGATGTCAAACCTTTTCCCGAAGCGGACCAAGGGTCCCAGCCCCGGGAGGCGCTCGATTTTGGTCAAGGCCGGGTGCGTGGCGGCGTGCTCGTGAAGTTTCCATGCCGGGACCAGAATGCGCCAGAAGACCCAGGGGAGGATGAAGTAGCGCGGCTCGACGAGCGGCGCCGTCATCAAAGACAGGGTCGTCGCGAGAAGGAGAAGGATCGCGGTCGACGAGGCGGGGGGTTCTGTGCTCTGCGAAGTGGGGTCAGCGAGTGTGATGATGGCGAAGGGGTCGTAGCGTCTCTTTTCTGCCTCGTCGTCGTCGTTATGCGCGGTGGTCTCAGAATTCTCCAGTGGCTCCGTGATAGGTGGCTTCCCTGCGCGCGCCTGCAGACTTGAACTGCTGAACGGGTTGTTCTCGAAGGGGCCTGGACGGAAGGGGGTGTACCGCCCGAGCAGTCCTCCGTGTGGTCTGACAACAACCCGCCCTGGCCGCAGCCACTAAGGACGTCCCAGCAAAGCCAGCGGGCGATGGTATAGGGGACGACGAGGTAGTAGCGGAACAGACCGGGGCGGCGGATCGTGTACCGGAAGACGTAGAACATGTAGTGTCTGTTGTCGGCGAGAGTGAAGGGGTGGATGATGGTGTTGAAGCGGACAACGACGAGGGTTAGGAGGATGAGGAAGGGCGTGAGGACGAGATGGTAGACCTTGGATTGGACGAGGGTTTGGAGGGCGTTGAGGATGGGTGAGCTCATAGGAGTATTTGGGGATGAGGAAGTTTGTAGGTCAGTTTCTCCTTGGGTCCGGATCTTTTGCTTCTTAGACGAGCCGGTCTGGGTGGTCTCGGCCAGCGTGTGCTTGCGGTCTGGCGCCGATGGACTGGTTTCCGAAGGCTTCGAGGCGGGTTTCCCAGAGAGGGCGGTAAAGATACCGCGGACAAAACGAAGGACGCCAATGGCGAAGGGAAGGAAGAGCGGGAAGGAAAAGAAGGCGAAGAAGGGCCAGATGTAGAGCATCTGGGCGAGATGGAGCGTCGCGACGTGGTTGGATTTGTCACCTCGCAAGGGTCAGAGGTGAAGAGACCAAGGGGCACAGGCAGAACTCACCTAATACTACGCCACCATTCCAGGCTACGAAGCCAGCGAAGAGACCCATGATGGTAATGTGCGGGTAGACCTTCCTTAAGACGCAGAGAGGGTTTGCTAGGGCTGCGATGCCGATGCTCAGGGCAGAGAAGAACAAGTCTGAAGACAGTCAGCGACAAGGTTCGGGAAGATGAGAAAGAGACGAACCGTCTGGCCATGCAGTGTTCAGAGGAGGGTCATGGACATCCCCGACAGAGTATCTCCAGGTGTAAAATCTGACATATTCTCCCAGGGTCGTCATTGTAGCCTTCGGCACGGGCTTAGGACGCAGAGCCTTGACGGCCGCAACAGCCTCCAAACCGCCCATGTACACGACAACCCAGAACACGTTCGTCTGTCTCATAATGAGGGTGAAAACGCCAACGACGATGGTCGTCCAGTCACTCAGGAACGAGCTCCTCTCCTCCTGCACTCGACAAAGGTGGTGATAATAAGCCGCCAGTACGGACAGCGTCGAGACGACATCTGTATAATACAGACCCGAGAAGAAGAAGAGGACCGGAAAGAGGGTAAAATTCCAGCCGAGATGGATCGAGTGGAAGGACAGCACGGCGGGTGGTGCTGGAGACTCGGCATCGGGACGACGGGTCTCCAGGAGATGGCGACAGTGGGTTGCGAGGATGCCGACGCCAAGGACGGCAACGATGTTGACGCCGCGAAGGTCAAGAACAGAGCACTCTGGCCGCATCATCACTTGCAGGTAGTATTTGGAGAGAACATACCTGCGGTAGCTTGTCAGTTTTGGGGTTCAAGGGGTGGGACGGGGATGGGATGACTTACAGCCCGGGAGGGGTGGTGATCTTGTCGTCCCACTCGTCCCATCGACCCTGGCAGAATTTCTGAGCTTGGGGTATGTGAAAAACCTCATCCTACACATAGTCAGCATTCTTAATTCTGCATAATCGAAGGGCGGGATGAGCCGACCAAGTAAGGCTTGTCGACATGGGCCATAACGTTACTACACCAGATCCAGCCAAGGATGAAGATGATGATGTACGAGAGCCGCATGAGTACATCGTATACCTTGTTCGTCTTTGGACCCGACGGGTCCGAATTTGGCATCTTCGGGGTAATGAGCCATAGTAGTGAGTAGAGGATGACGACAGACAAGATGTTGAGTCCATCGACAAAGGCTTCGACTGCCTTCATGTTGACTAAGATGCCCAAGAAGGCAGAGCAGTGAAGGAAGGACTAGGTACGGAACTCGAGAGTGGCGGTTTGGCAGAGACTGAAAAAGACTTGGTCCTAGAAAAGAAAACCAACTGAAAAAGTGAAGTGAAAGATAGTTAGTGTACCCAAGCCCTGCGAACAAAGCAGGTTGGCTCCGGCAGCGTTTGCTCTCACACTTGCAAGTGAGGTGAGAGAAAGTGAACAGTTCGCCAAATGTCCCGGAGAGGGCAATTACGCGTCTTCGCACTGTCCACGCACGGTACAACTTTTCTGACAGCACTGTTTGAGGTCGTGGTGTATGTACATGGTGCAATTCATCTCTGGTTCCCTTTTCACTATGTACGGATAGAAATTCCATTTTCTAACCCAAGGAGGCAGAGAGACTATGCAATGCCGAGGTCACGTGCTCAAACAAACACCGGCTGAAGTTCAAGAGTCTATTGTATCTTTTATACAAGCCCCGAAGGGAGAACACTCCTCAATCTCACAACACCATCCTGCCATGCTGCTTGCCCAGTGTCTACTCTGGTAAAGCAAATCCAAGCCAAATTGGGGATTTAGAAAGGCTGTTACCGCCAAATTAGCATAGTGGCCCGGCGGCTCTTCTGTCCAAGGAACACATACGTTGTCAGAGGGGGGGATGTCCTTAACGTAGGTCTGGCCGATGACGGGAATCTTCTGCGCAAGGGGTCAGCAACCAGTATAGCCGGCCGTCAGAGGATGTTGTCTGTCGCACCATGAGGATGTCACGCTGGATTCTGGGAATGCCAGAGGTGTAGAAGAGGGCGGCAATGCCGGCAGCGGCGCCGAAACCAGCAGCACGGGTTCCGCTGTCGTCAAACGTCAGCATGCAATCCTGGTAGTCGCAATTGTCCGCGACTCGATCGTTCGGCAGTCCGGGTTTCCTCCATTCCGAAGCTTCTATACCGAACCGCATGCCGCCACGCAACAGCGTGAAGCCGAATGACGGTACTGCATGGAACTCTGGATCCGCAGTCGCCGGCTCGACTCCGGAGGGATACTCACAACTTGAAGACCTGGGAAACGGTCCAGCCGCCAAAGTTGGGCACCGTGTTGTACCTAGAACCGTCCAGTCAGCCCACTATCCCATCGCATACTCGCTTGCAGTTCGAGCATCTTTTCGCCGTATTGAAGTCTCGGCGTCTCGTTCGGTGGCCGAATTGTACGTAGGAGGATCGTGGAAAGGGTCGAGAACATACTTGGGGCCGAACTTGCTGCGGTAGGTAGGGTACATAGTACCGACGCGGGCCTGTTCAATGAGTCTTGTCAAAATCGTGCCTCGCAGAGAACGCTTTTGTGGCCGGAGTAGAGATAAACTCTGCCCGGTGTTGGGCCGTGACGTACGGGAGAAGGCATCTTGAATGTGGTGGTCGTGCGAACGAACTGGGGAATTCAATTGCAGATGCAAAAGAGGGAGCGTCGTGAAAGAATGGTGATGCTGCGCGAGTTTCTTAGCGGGAAAAGCCGGCCGGATTTCCAATGCGCCTCAGGCTACAGGCTGGGAGCGAACATTGAAGCCTGCAGCCAATCGGCGCAGGGTGTGGAGTGGGTCTCACCCGCGGTTCAGCGGAACTACGAACGAACCAAGCTCAGCCTTGCACACGAATCCTTTCCTCCGCACCATCAGCTCGATCAGCGACGTTGGCTAATTCAGGAATCTTCTGAGGCAACCATGGACAAGGTCATTGATGCGCGCTTTGAGCGTGTCGAGAAAGCTCTTGCCAGTCTCATTGAGTCGGTTTCCAAATATCATCCCCACGCGAAGCAGGCATTGGACCTACACGAGGCCGACAATGATCTCGCAAAGGGCCTTGACGAGGGTAAAACACGACGTCTCTGGAAGCCTTCCCACAACCAAGCTGACGCTCTTCATCCCATAGTCCAAATCCACCAGAACAACCACCTCCGCTTACAGCAGCTTCGAACGACGACTTCTTCCCTCGATACCCAGATCCGAGAAACTCTTCAGAGCCTGGCGACCACCCGCAAGGACATTACCACCACCCAGATCACAGTCTACCCCGATGGACCCAAGTACCCTGTCAAGTATGACGAGCTACTGAACTATGCCCGTCGAATCAGCAAGACCACGCTTCCGCCCGCGGCTCTCACCAACGGCGGCGGGGTCACAACCAGCGGAGGCACTCCAGCCCCTGACCCGAACGCAAGCATGACCACCAACCCCAACACTCCGGGCGCAAACGGTCTCCAGAGCCAACCCGTCAGCGCGGCGCCAACGCCGAGCCAGAGCCAGACTCCCGGCCCTTCGGGTGCACCCAACAGCAGCCCTTTGCAGGATGCCCTTCAGGGGGCCCAGCAGACCACTACGACAAGCGGCGCAACCTCGTTGCCCGACGGCCTACGGAACCACCTCGACCCGCACTTCAATGCGAGCTTCATTCCCTGGCCCAACGAGTTCCAGATCCGCAGCGGCGCCATGGCCGTTTACCAGGACCTGGCCGACAAGGGCATCGACCCGCGCGGCTATGATCCGCAGCGAATCGCCGAGGCAAAGCGCAAGGAGGAAGAAGAACGCAAGGCCCGCGAGGAGCAGGAGAAGCTCGAGATCGAGCGAAAGAACAGGGAGTACCAGGAGAAGATGGAGAAGATCCGCCGCGAGCAGCAGGAGGCGTACCGTCGCGATAGCGTGGCGGCTGGTGCTGGTGCTTCGTCGGCCGGGAAGAGCAAGCAGTTCCAGTTCACCAGTCTTATGGACGATGACGATGACGATGAGTAGCCGGCGAGCACCTGCGGGAGGCAGATGTTACATCACATGCTTCACTAGAGAACCGTATCAGTCGGGTGCAGCATGGGCTGTTGTCCTTGCCCCGAAAGCAGCTTATTTTCGTCTACCAATCCATGCCGTCTACCATCTAACGAGAATACCCATTTTGCAAATGTCATAATCGATCACGCTGTGCTCCCCGGGACGAGCATCTCACCGGTACTACAATGTAACGCTCATGGGCCAAAAGCCAGTATTGATACAACAATGTTCATACAAGTGCATGATCCAGACGCCACATGCCAAAGCCCCAATGCAATGCCATTTAATCAATCTTAATCGAGGCGTAGATCTTCCTGACGAACCACCAACTGGCGAAGTAGCCAATCGATCCTGTAAAGGGTGATTAGCGGAATCCGAATTCGAGTTACCAGAGGAAAGCTTACCCGTGAGAATGAAAAATAAGAAGGAAATGAGCGCGCTGTAACCGACGTAAAGCACAGTGCCAGACAGGTTGCTCAGGCTCAGCTTGGTGAAGAGGTACAAGAGGCAGTTGAGGAAGATGTAGCCGCCGCTCATGCCTGCGGCGAGGAATGAGCGCCATTGCCAGTTGTAGTTTTCAGAGCACAGGAGAAAGTACACCAGCAGGATGGTCACTGCGGCCGTGGTGACGATCATGAGGCCGTACGAGAGGAAGAGGAAACCGAACATATAGTAGATACGGCTGAACCAGACGGAGCTCATGATGAAGTAGAGCTCAACGAAGATGGCGCCAAAAGGCAGGAGGCCGACGATGAGCATGCTGGGGATCGGCCTGAGGTACGTCGTGGAGGGCGGGATCTGGCGGGGGATCTGGTTCGTCTTGACGGGCGGCTCGACGACGGAGGCACGGAAACCCATCCAAGATCCGGCGAACGATAGTGGCACCGAGAGGATGAACCAAATGGCAATGATCACCAGCATGGTGGTGAAGGGCACAGCGCCGGAAGACTGCTTCGCCCAGAGCACGAGATCCAGCAAGAAGAAGGCCCCAAAAACAATACTCGGCACCAAGGTCGGGGTCAGCGCAATGTTCATCTTCCACTTCTCGCCCTGAAGCGACTTGTACGATCTCGCAGAGACGTAACCGCCCACGAAGCCCAACAGAGTGTAGAGGAGGAGGATGATTGTTCCGAGCGATCCGCGGTTGGAGGGCGACAAGAAACCAAGAAGAGCAAAGCAGATTGTGAAGCCGGTCATAACGAAAAGCTGAACGCCGTTTCCGAGGAGAACCGACAAGAGGAGCGGGTTCGACGGGTTGCGGAAAACGTCACCGTGGACCAACTTCCATCCAGAATCCTCCTGAACGCCGTCTTCCAGAGCGGAGGTTCCCGAGAGATCATCCAAGTTGATTTGGTCCAGGCGGTTGTACCTGGCGATATCCTTCTTCAAGGTCTTGACCAGGATGGACATGACGGTGAGGATCAGAATGACGACAATGATGGCGGTGTCGATGAGCCAGAACCAGTGGATCTTGGGGTCAAATACGTGCAGGTACTTGTCCCAACGCGTGGCCCAGGCCGTCTTGGACTCAACCCAGAATACGGAGTACGAGAACTTGACTTCCTTCTCGGTACCATCCTCCTCGAAAACGATGGGAGCCATCGGGTTGTTGCAGTCAATCAAGCCTGGGTAGGCGCGTGAGCTCGGCTCGACCACAACACCGACAACGCGCAACTGCGACTCGTCACCGTTAACCGGGTGGTACTCGATGTTGATGTCGTAGTGGTTGTTGAAGATGACGTTGCCGTTCTCGTCCTCGCCGCCCATGAGGAATCCGGGGTTGTAGAAGGTCGTATTCGTGAAGTCATCGTAAATTTGCTGTCCGGCGGGCAAGCCGTCCACGAGCCAGTTCAAGCTGTAGCCTTGCTCGATGCGACGCTTTACGAATCCGACAGCGGCCGGGGGATATTTCTGGGTGCAAAGCGGCTTGCACTTCTCATCATTCTTCATCCTCAGTTCGAACGGAGATGTCATGATGCGGTCTCCGAACAGGATGCTGCCCAAGCTCTCCGACACATATTCGGGACGGGGCTGAGGCTCGCAGAACTTGAAGCCGGGGTGGTAATAATCGTAGGAATCGATCGAATGTAATCGGGAGTCGGATGGAGCGGCGACCGGCTTGATGCTGTTGACGTAGAGGGGAACAAGGTCTCCTTTCTTGTACGATGTCGGCGCAACACCAGGGAGGTAAAAAGCCGACACCAGCTGCGGGATGGCCAGCAGCGAGGTCAGCAGCGCCGAGGAAGGCGCCATGTCTCGTAATTGCATCATGTTGATTTGCTACACCTCTGTCAAGAACCTGCGATCAGCTTTGGAACGATGCGGAAGAGAAATGGTGGCCAGACGAAAACTAGCACGAAACATGAAACCGATGGGAATAGCTCCATGGATCGCGATTACGTACCCGTGGATCTATAAGGTAGGTAGCGCGAAGCGACTTATAGCCGGTGGCGCATCCGGATTCCTTCTGCACCTGGCAAGGCGTGGTAGGAACGGTTCAAGAAGAAGGCAAAAAGCTCGCGATCGTGTTGGGCCGAAGCAGAGTTGCTTCTAGATGGACAGATTGCCAATTACCTTTGTTTGTCTCAGAATCGTGAGCTTCGTATCTCGTCCTCTAGGAGCTCCGACACCCTGAACAACTGTCCCAAACCCCCGGCTTAGTCACCCAGCTGCGTCACCCAAGGACCAGGACCCGGACCGAGCTCGGTGCCCGGAATATCGTTCGGCCGGAAGACTTGCCTACGCAGGGGTCCAGCATTCTCGGATACATCGAAAGTGGATCCAAGACAGCGGGGGGTCCACTCCACTGACGCCGCCGCAGCATCTGGTCCCGCATTTCGCAGATCGGTTTTTGCGGTTGCAAAGAAAAATTTCCTGGATCGCGCCTTTGGTCTGCCCGCGACGTTGAACTTTCAACCCGCACTAACAAACATCGTCAAGTTCAACATGGCGGCACCAAGCACTTTGCCAGCTCTGCTGGATTCTTTGACGCAGTCATTGACCACATCACTGGACGCAGCGCCCAAAACTTCGATTGCGCCTCCCGAGAACGGCATTTCTCTACTCGACACCAAGAACGAACTTTTACTCTCTTACCTGCAAAACCTCGTCTTCTTGATTCTTCTGAAGTTGCGCAACGCCAAGAAGCAGTCCAACGACGATGAAGGCGCCAGCGAAACCACAGAGGCTGTCGTCAAGAAGCTCGTAGAGCTGAGACTCTACCTCGAGAAGGGTGTCCGCCCTCTCGAGGACAAGTTGCGGTACCAGATTGAGAAGATTCTTCGTGCCGCCGACGATGCCGAACGCAACGCCCAGGCAGTCAAGGCAGCCAAGGGTGCAGGCTCTGACGAATCTGGATCCGACGACGAGTCCGGCAGCGACGAGGACGAAGACGAGGAGGAAGAGCTCAAGGCAGCCCACCTTCAAGCCCGACCAGATGCCTTTGTACGACCAGCTGCCGCATCTGCCGCAGTTGCCGCAGCTCAAAAGGACGGCGTTTACAAACCGCCGAGAATCGCACCTACAGTTATGCCCTCCGAGCGCCGCGAGAAGACCGACCGCCGGCCACTCAAGTCTGCCACCATGGACGAGTTCATCGAGCACGAGATGTCGACTGCACCCATCGCGGAGCCCAGTATCGGTACAACCATTGTCAACGGTGGTCGCAGGATGAAGACTGCCGCAGACCGCAAGACGGAAGACGAGCGGCGCGAATACGAAGAAACCAACTTTGTCCGTCTCCCCACACAGAGCAAGAAGGCCAAGGCACAGGAGGCCGCCAAGACTGGCCGCAGCAGCCGCATGCAATTTGGCGGAGAGGAGTGGAGAGATTTGGGCGAAGGCGTCGACCGCATCAACAGACTCACCTCGCGCAAGAGTGGCGGAGGCACCCGCGATCTGCTCGACAAGAGCCGGAAGCGTGGCAGAGAGACAACCGACGGACCCCGGGGCAGTGGCCAGATGGAGATGGGCGAGAGATTCCAGAAGAAGGCCAAGATGTTGGAGGCGGGCAGACGCGACAGAGGCAAGCGATAGACGGTGATGCAGATACCCCCAAAATAGACGGAAGCGCCAGCCCTAAGAGCGCAACGATGTGCCGAGGTTTTCAAGAGCCAGGTCCGGTTCAATTAACTATAGATCTACACCGCATTGCCATGATTTGTTTACTGTGACAACGTTGTGCGGGATGGTTGGGATGGATGGTGCGTGCCTATGGTTGGGTCTCCCAACTACACTCACTACCTAGGTAGTGACAAGAATCCAGCATGAGCATGATGCGCGCGCTAGGTAGCAAAGGCGGGAGCGGCATGCACGGCATCCAATCCGATCGGCCGGGAACCGCCCCACGAATTGCCGGTGGAAAATTCCCTCTTTGACTCTAGACCGCTCAAGCAGCTGAAGCAGCGGGCCATTAGCTTCCTGGACTAGGTATGCATCAAAGCCCTGCCACAACTGCCACTTCGGCCTTGGTTTTTGATCGAATGGCCTTTCCAGAATGACCTAGCGATGACACCAATTGGGCATTAGGCACCTTTCTGTTTACTACATAGTACCTATGCTGCTGTACGCAGCTTCGCGACGGCTGGATCAGATAACGGCCCAAGCCACAAAGCAAAGGTATCCAATTCGCGCCCATGTTGGGCTGACGAGACGTGGCTCAACCCTCGTCTTCACATGCTTCAATGCGGTTGTTTCAACGGGTTCCCTAGCGTTCCTGGTGACGTCAACCGTATACAATCGGGTGGGCCTGTTCGCCGGGCGTCTCAAGTCTCACCTCACCTTGCCAGCAAGCAGCGCCAGGGGTGAAGCACGAAGCTCACATGCCAGTCGAGCTGCCCAGAGCTCCTCGAGCTCCCTAGGCTCGCGCGCTGACAGGAGTGTTTCCCGTTGTGCATTTTTCATGCGATGTTCGGTAGGGTTTAATACAGCTTCGTGTCCTCTCCCTTTCTTCGCGTCGTAAGCTTTCCTTCTTCTCCAAACCCCATCGCAAAGCCGCCCGACTGCTGTGCATTTCCCAACCCTTCTCCAATCCAACTTAGGCCTGCGCGGCCTGCTCGCCACAATGCCGTCCGAATCTCGCATCGAGAATCCCTTCTTCCACCCCTTCCTCTTCATCTTCCAGATCTGGCAATGGTTCGCTGATAAGATCTTTTCGCCCACGCCTCCGGAGCCGAGCACTCGCTTGAGCCGACCCAAAATCGCCGTCATCGGCGCTGGTATCACTGGTGTTACTTCTGCTGCCCACTGCATCGGTCATGGCTTCGACGTCGTCATCTTCGAGGCCGGCAGCCGCGAGAACCTGGGCGGCATCTGGAGCGTAAGAACCCCTTGGAAGGATCCTGCATGAGGTGTTGTTGACAACAGTGAGTGCAGAAAGTCAACAACTCGTCAAGTCTGCAAATCCATTCAATGATGTTCCGATTCCATCCCTCAGTCAAGTGGGAGCGCGGATACCCGGACAGACAACAGATTCTTAGCCAAGTGAAGCAGCTGTGGCACAAGTACGGCTTGGAAACCCGGACCAAGTTCAACACCCCGGTCGAAAAGGTCTACCAGGATGAAAAGGGCAGATGGGTCATCAACAACACCGCCAATGGTCACTTTGAAGGTATCATCGCCGCTGTTGGGACCTGCGGTGAACCCAAGATGCCCCAACTCCCGGGTATCGAGAACTTCAAGGGCCATGTGTACCACTCCAGCCAGCTTACCGGGTAGGGCCTCATTGGGAGTGCTGACGCAACGCAATGACGCTAACGGCTCTATAGAAAGAACGCCAAAGGCAAGAAGATGGTCGTCATCGGCGGCGGCGCCAGTGCGGTCGAGGCCTTGGAGTTCGCCGTGGATGAGGAGGCCGAGAAGACGTACATCCTATCTCGCAGCGACAAGTGGATCATTCCCCGCAACCCGATCGTGAACATGCTCCTCGCCATGAACATTCTGGGCCAGGAAACCCGCCTTTCGTGGATTCCCGAGACTCTGCTGCGAAAGCTCTTCTACCGAGATCTGCAGGAGATTGCGCCCCATAACAAGGGCATCTATATGGACACTCCGATGGTCAACAGCCAAGTCATGGACACTATTCGATCTGGTCATGCCGAGTGGATTCGCTGCGACATTGAAGGCTTCACTGCAGAGGGTGTCATTGTCAACAGACGCGCTCAAGGTGTTCCCAAGGGTGGCCCCGGCAGAAGACAGGTCGTCCCTGCAGATATCGTCGTCATGGCCACTGGCTACAAGCGCCCCTCGCTGGACTTCCTTCCTGACGACTGCTTCGACGAGCCGTATGCGCCCCCCAACTGGTACATCCAGACTTTCCCACCGACCCATCCCTCCATCTCCGCTATCAACTGGTAAGCCTCTCTCTGTTTCACAGGAAGAATCATCAACACTAACATAACACAGCACGTACGTTGCTGCCATCGGCACCGTCGGTAACTGGCATATCGGTATCTACACCAGGATTCTCCTCATGTTCCTCATTGATCCGATGACAAGACCGCACCCGTTCTGGATGAAGGCCTGGATTGAGATGACCAAGCTCCTCAAGTCCGCCTCTCCTACCGGTGCCTTTGACTTCTTCACTTACCTCGAGCTTCTCTGGTGGTTCGCCTTCAGCGTCACCTTCAACCCGTTCCGATGGAAGTGGGCCTTCTTTGTCTTCTTCGGCCTCGGCTTCATGCTGCCCAAGCGAGTCGTCGAGGTCGAGAGCCGTATCCGCAACGGAATGGGCTTCCAGGACGAGGTCGGCCGCGATGTGGGACACAGTATTTGAGAGCTTTCAGTGTTTGTTGGATGTTTTCACGCAAAGCTTAACGACTGGCACGAGAAATGTTTCGATGGGCCGAGGTGAAATTTGTTGTATTTCAGCCGTCGTATAATGGACGCCCACGAATGCGATGTCTTGAGGCGCCTGTTACTCAAGCCGTATGTACAATAGCCACCATGACTTACCGAGACTTTGAACATGAGACATATCATGATCGATGTGGATTTCTCCTCTTGTACCTGACCGAATCCGGCCGAAAGCTACCTCAACTGCCATCCACGCCAAGCACATAAAACATCATGATCGTCAAGATCATCCCCCCTTTCTGGTCAGGCCTAGTGTGCGGCACGGCTCGGAGAAACTTAGCACTAATCAGCTGCTGACATTTCCGTCCGCTGACAGGCTAGTTGTTGATTGATGCTTTTGTTTCCAGACTTTCCCTCCCCTTGTCACGGCTCAGTCGCTAACTGCGAGGGGAGACCAACCATCCTGTCCTGTCAGAAGAACTGGTCTCACTTTATTGAAAAGATGTGCCGCCGTGCGCCTGGATGTCGGTAGAGACACGCGCCCCGAGTTCCCAAGTCGGTCTAGTGGACCACTCGGCAACGCCGGTTCAGTCGGCTCCGTGCAAGCCACAAGTCCATTTCGGGCAGCGGCACATATCAAACCTCTTTCAGCTTGCATCTAGGGATCTGCGCCCCTCGCGTCCCAACGTCGATAGTCACGGTAAATTGCTTTTCTATCATTGAGGGGGCCGTGACGACATTCCACAGACTAATATCGAACTCTCGCCGTTCCCAGGAGTCCGACATGGATCTAACCGCCAAAACAGTCGTAGCATCTACGATCTATCTGACGGCTTGAACGGTCCCGTCAACGCCTGACGCTCACTGCTACATGCGGGCACTACCAGTCAGAAAACGCATCATCGACATCAGCCAGCCACGAACGTATTGCTTTGAGATGTAGCACGTTTCGCGGCTCAAGCCCCTCATTACCACGCATTTTTGAGATTCTTCAGCTCAGAGTGCCCTCAGCCTGGTAGCGGGGTTGCCCGAATGTCGAGACATGATTAGGACTATCAGACATTCCGTTCCCCTCCTCATTACAGGCTTGTCTCTGTTGGGAACCATCTTTATGGGCGTATTCCATCCGGAACAGCTTCGTATTGGTCTGCTAGACGAAGAGTTGCTGCAGCCAAGCCGAACGTATCCATATTCACAATGCCTTGCTCGACGCGAGCATCTTCGTCAAAGTGCGAACACTTGGAGCCCGCCCAATCAGTGATAACATGCAGAAGCCTCTGTCTCAATGAGGAATCAAAGATCGTCAGCTGTGGTGAGACTCCGGGATCGCCGTCAATTCCTGAAATACGGAAAGGCTCCTTTCGAAGGTCATGATGTTTGTTTAGTTGCAGTGCAGTTTTATAAGACGGACCCTGAACCCCGAAATTCTGGGGGAAAACATCATCATCAAACTTTTGATCATGCTTGGATTTCGCAGAAACCCATTGAGTGTGTTGCCAAACCCCCCTTTCCGTTGACTTAGTTCTCTTTTGAAGAACCACAACTGAAGTTTATTCAACTCAAAACAGGCCGACGGAAGCGTACTTCGACTTCATCGTCGCTTCAGTCTTTTAGCTCAGACACTGCCGAGTCCATCGACAACGTACCTCCAGTCCCAGACACCAAGATGTCTGTCTACACACCATCCAGCCAGCCCTCACTGGCCAAGCACTCCATCAAAGAGGAGTCTGGTGCTTCCCACGTTGAGGACATCGCCAACAGCGATACCTCCAGGTCGTCCTCTATCAGCTTGGACGCCTTGACTATGGTCGCATCCAACGAAGCACACACGTCTTACAAGGTCGTGCGGGTCATTGAAACAGCCAGGCGTATCCAGAAGAAGCTTGTCCGCGAGGTCGAGGAAGTCTCCCATCAACACTTCCAGAGCATTGACCTCGAGGCCTACCTTGCCTACATCGCCGATGAGCGTCTTGTCCACATGCCCCCCAAGGGAAGCCAGTGGGATCGCGTGCTGAAATCTGCCGAGTTCTTTGGCCTTCAGCTTGACGGATACTCTCGTCATATCCAGTCTTTTATTGAAGGTTGTACCCTTGTCCGCGACACGGCGTTGGCTACCTGCTACCTGTTGCTTGAAGTACGTCCCAACTCAACTCCGTTTCTTGTTGTACTGCCCTAACGTCTCTTTAACAGCTTGGCCATGACCAAGCTCAAGCATTGGAGCCAACCTTCAATGCCCTGTACGAGCTTGGCCTCTTGCTTGGCCATGCAATCAGACTCAACGGAATGTTCACTGCGAGTGACGCCATCCGTTATGAGCTGAGCCGTATTTTTGACAGCGTAATCCGTCTCGTCGGAGACGTTGCTATTTATTACCGAACCCGTATCAACAGCATCTACAGCGGATCTGTGACGATTGACTTCGATGCCGAGTTCGGATCGCAGATCACTAGGATCTGGGCCCAGAGGGAGCACCTCTTCAACCATATGTGGCAACACAAACTTGGCAGCAAAAGCCGTCGTATGGACATTACCACCCTCCGTCGACACCTGCTTCCCACCAGGGAGTCGGCAAAGTCGTTTGTCTATGGCCGTGTCGCGGATCGCAAGTTGCGGGTCGATGGCACATGCGAATGGCTCTCCCATGACCTACACGACTTCCTGAGCAGTGACAACGATATATTCACTGTCACCGGAAGCGAGGGTTGTGGTAAGAGCATGCTTGCTGCGTGGGTGAGAGAGAGGCTGGAACGCCCTATCAACCGGACTCAGTATGAGACTATTTCGTATACGTTCTGTGAGTACAAAGACGAGAGGTCATTAGGATGACCAACCTGGCTAATGTTCCACTCTTAGCAACCGATGTACCTTCGGAGTCTACGCCAATTACTTTTCTCAAGAGTCTTCTGTCTCAACTTCTTGAGATAAACGTCGGAGATATCGCTCTATTTGAGAAACTCGAATTCATCTTTGAGCACGTTTCTCCGCATCATAACAGCGCAAAGCTGGAGTCAGAGCTCTGGGAGGCTCTTGATTCGAGCTTAACCTCCATCAGCAACAAGAACGTCCACATGGCTCTTGTCATTGACGGCCTAGATGAGGTCATGGGCGGTGCATCCAAGGCAGAAGAGCTCCACAAGCGCCTCCACACCAGCATCGGCAAGCTCCCAAGAATCCAGGCCGTTACTCTCTCGCGCCCAATTTCCCACCTGGGTGGCAGCCGCTGCAAGCACTTGGTCATCACGCCCGAACACGTCCGTAATGACATTGAGCTATACCTCGCCAACAAGCTCAGCCAGAATTGCTGCTTCAAGGCACAAAATGCGGATGCCCAACGAGCTCTGGTGAACCAGATCGCTGACCAAGCCAAGGGCTCGTTTCTGTTCGCCTACCTTTCTAGACGGCTTTTCGTATCAGTCTCAGACTTTGGTGCTTTCAGGAGCATAATCTCAAACTGCAAATCCGACATCAAGGCCGTCATCGGGGAGCTCATGAAAAAGGTCAACCTCAAGGAGGAGTACGGGGAAAGCAAGACCTATAACCTCCTCACCTTCATGGTCACTGCCGAACGCCCACTCACAATTGGTGAGATGACTGATCTCCTCGGTGTATCCTTATCGACTCGCACCGTCTCCTCTGGCGCTGATGTGATGGGCCCTGTTCGCAACACCCAGGGCCTTGTTGTCGTCCGCCGTGGAACGCTCCGCTTCAAGCACTCTGCCATCAGGAAGTACATTCAGAATCTCTGTGGCTCAACACTTATGTCTATCCACGACTCCCACCGCCACCTTACCATGGCCCTCCTCCTCTTTGCCAAGAAAAGGTTCACTTACACTTGTGAACCATCGCTGGAACTGATCGCCGATGATGTCTTCCAAGAATGCTTCCAGGCCAACCACATCGTCAGCTACATGATGCTCCACTGGATTTCCCACTTCCGCTCATCATCTCTGTGCGGTCAAAGCGGCACGATTACCCTGACCTCCGAATTCAAGGAGGTTTTCCCTGACTCAACCTTTTTCGCCATGCTGGAGTGGCACTACTGGCAAACTCAGTATGACATCAAGGAGACTATCGAGATGCACAATCTGAGTCTCCGCATTCGGTGCACAACCTTTGGCGAGAAGAATCGGTCTTACCTCCAGAGCCTTATCACTTTGGGAAGCCTCCACCGACGTGAATCTGAGTTGTCGATCGCTTCCGAGTTTTTCTACAAGGCCTCACACCTCGGTCAGACTATCCTTTACAAGTTTAGCCCGCTCGTGGTTTCTTGTACCAAATTGTTCCTTACGTGCACTGAGACTCTTACATTCACCAAGCGGACAACGACGGTCACCCATCGCGAAGAGATGATCAGGTTTATGATTGATATCTCCAAGAATAAGCAGGGTGGTAGCAGCGATGCTGTTATCAAATGGTACGAGGCTCTCGCCAAACTCTACGTCGAGATCAAGGAAGAAGAAACTGCGATGACCATCTACAAGGAACTTCACATTATTGTCACTGGTCGATTCGGTAAGGGTTCCAAGAATGAGGGCAGAATTGCCGAAGCACTCTCAGGCATGACGGTTGTCCTGAAGGCGGGCGACAAGAAGGGCGCTGAGATCGATCATTGGCGATACCTTCTTTTTGAGACTGCTGAGGAGCTGTCGTTCACCGACACCCGTCGCATCAAGATCATAATCAGCCTTGCCCGTGACTACGAGGCCAAGGGGCATTTTATCCAGGCCGAGCGACTTTACGTCAGTCTCTGGCGGGGCGTCCTCGAGGCTTGCCGTACAAAGGCTACGACTGAGCTTCACATTGAGAAGATCAACATCGCCATTGAGTACATCCATTTCCTCAAGCGCATCAAGCGCAATGAAGAGGCGTGTAACATCATGATCTGTGTTTGGGCCGAGTACGAGAACCAGAGTTTCGAGTCCGAAACGATCATGATCCGTCTCAAGGAGCTCGGTGTTCTCGCCAAGTCCTTCGGAATCCTCAGCGTGTCCATGAACATCCTCAAGAAGGTTTGGGGCTGGTTCAAGGAGAGAAAGACGACTGAGAGCGAGGAGGCCATATCTACCACTACCATCATTACAGAGGTCGTCGAAGAAATAACCGAGACCGTGATCGAGACCAAAACATCCGTCACTATGGTCGAGACTGTCACCCGCGAGATTTGGGAGACCAACTACCAGCGCTGTCGCAAGGGCAAGGCTGACAGGCAGTTCTTCAAGTCCTGCTTGAACATGGTCAATCTCTACCTCAAAATCGAGAACTGGGCCGAGGCTGAGGTTGTGATCCGCAAAACCCTCGAGATAACCTGGAAGAATGTATTGTCAGTCGACTCCAAGCTGACACTTGAGGGCGAATTCATCTCTGAGCGCATCTTGGTCGCGCAGCGACTTGCCTTGTGCTACCACCGCCAGAGGCAGTTTGAAAGGGCAGACGAGATGTATATCCGCATCTACAACGCCTGCTTCTCAACCTTCAAAGCCGAGAATGTCTTAGTTCTCGAGTCTGCCGAGGCTCTCGTTCAGTTTTACGAGGACTTTCATCGCCACGAGAAGGTCATAGACATCTACACGAAGCTTCTGCAGCACTACCGTAAGCACCTAAGCGCCGGTCACAGCATGACCGTCCAGGTCCTATATAAGCTTGCCGCTGTCTACCATAAGCTCGGCCGCAAGGAGGCTTACGACTACTACGCGGAGATTGTCACCATCTTCTCAAAAGACGGCTGCTGCCACGGCAGTGCGCTCGATGCGGCCATTATTATTCTCAACCATTACCATTCTGAGAAGCGCTGGGCTGAGCTGCAGAAGATCTGCGTGACTCTGTGGACGACCTTCGTCCATCACAACCACGAGATCAAGTTCACTCAAGAGATTGTGGAGCTCATCTACGAGAGATACCGCTACGTCCTGGAAATCCACGCCAAGGCCGAGTTTTCCGTCCGCTACAAGCTCACGATTGAGTATCGCGAGACCGCGACCAAGATCTTTGGTGCCTCTGCTGCCATTGTGATCAAGGCTCTGATCGCCCAGGCTGAACTGTGCGAAGCCTCCACTGAGCACTACCATGAGTCCATCACCATTTACGAGGAGATCATCAAGAAATCGACGACTGCAAACATAGTGACAGAAACCACTGTCAAATCGATTAAGAAGCGCTTGTCCAAGCTGTACGTGACAGTCATCACCAACAATAAGTCAACAACCACCACCACCATCGAGCGCGCAATTGGCGTCAGTCTGGAGATCTACGGGCAGCTCAAGATCGAGTTTGGCTGGTGGCACGAGAAGACACTTTCCAAGCTGAAGGAAGTCGTCTTGATGTATAAGAAGATTGGCAGCAAAGAGGCACACTCTTCCATTACCCAGCTACTCCAAGTCTCCATCATTGAGATCATCACCACCGTCAAGATCTCTGTGAACCTACACTCTGCCGCCAAGACTTTGGCCTCCATCTACATCTCTGCTGGCATGGTGCACCATGGTCAAGATCTCCTCCGTCAGCTTCGATACTTGCTTCTCTTCCCTGGCTTCGAAGGTGGAGAGAAAGACATCAACATCAAGATCTCTGGCCAGTCCAGCAAGATTTACCTGGTGTTCCTGATTTCCTTCGAGCAGGCTTTGAACGGCGAATCGAAGACAACGTACAGCTTTTCCGAGCTCATGGCGGATGTGCTCCTAGAGACGGTCCTCTACGAGCAGTACATGTCTGTCATGTCCAAATTCACGGACTCTACCAGTATCGAGACCGTCATCGAGCCTGCTGCCCGCCTTCGCTTCGTCTGGGAGTCGCGTAGCCGTAAGGGTTTCGTGTCTGTGCTAGACAAGAAGCTGTTCTCCCTGTTTACCTCGCGGTATGGCAAGTTCCTGGGTAGCCAGGACACCAATGTCACCTTCAGCTTCTATGAAGCGTTGCTTACCGAGATTGGCGGCGGGATCGCGGCCGACAGAGGTACCATCGACCTTGGTCTCATGTCTTGCAAGGCTGCCTACACGTCCGTCAGAACCCTTATGGTCAAGGAGAATAACTTTCCGAAGGCCAACAACGTAGCGAGGTGCGCATTCGACTTTGCGAACTCCCAACGATTTTACCATCAGCGCAACTGCCACGCTTGGGGTTTCCGCTTGGCGGAAGCTCTGGCAGGCATCAACGTGGACAACTGGAGAACTGCCGACGTGAAACAAAAGGAATCTTTGCTCGCAACCAGCCGGCATGTCATGCAACACGTGTTGGCTTGCCTCAAGGAAGATAAGATTGAGTTAACAAGTCTTCGGTTCGAGGATATTTCTAGCTTGGTGCACCTTCTTGGCGAGCAAAAGAACTGGAACGACCTCGAGGTAAGTTCCCACCAAAACTTTGAGTTTATGATTAACTTTTACTAAAACCGGTTATAACAGACTGTTCTCACCTCTTTATGGCGATCCAGAGAAGTCCAGCGCAACTGTGGCGTCTGGACACCCGACGTCGTTCTTACGATCGGTTCCCTCTTGGTCAACGCCCATGAGCATGCCGATCACCTGGACCAAGCCATCAATCTGTGCGAGACTATTTACTATAACGTTCGACAATCCCGCGGTGGTCTGGACCACTCTGCCCTCTACTTCTCCAACCGCCTTACTTACCTTCTTCGCCACGCCAACCGCCTCCGAGACGCGGGACGTGTCCACCTAGATGTTGCGTGCGACCTCGACGAGCATCTCACAGCTACACGCGGTGCAGACAAGGATGATCGTCTCCGTGCAGCGGCTGATATCCACCTTGACGGCATGCGACGGTGTGGCTGGGCCACTCGTGGTGATGGCATGAAGAACACAAGGGAGATCCTTGACCGACTAAGAGGGTACGGCAAGCTGAATGTGCCCCCTGTCGAGGAGTGGTCCGCAGCGGATGAGAAGAAGGAGATCAGCCGTGTGTGGCCGGAAGAGATCAAATGGGATCTTGGAAAGCCAGAGGTGCAGGTGGCGGCGCCGAAGAAGAGGGACTTGCTCTCTCCTGCCAAGGAGAGATGGAGTCGCTTGGGCTTCAAGCAGCTCGGGTTTGAAGCCGTCTACTAATCATCAAATCAGCAGGCGAATCAATGACTGAGGTCAATCAAGTATGAGAAAGAGTCTGAAAATGGTCGTCCGTGATGGCGCTTAAGTCAGGATTGTGAATGGAACTATTGGGACGGTGATAAGTTCTACATTTGGACTATCACTGGGTCAGATTGCATTTCATTGAGTCTTGTTTCATTTGTCAAGTTCATATAGTTATAGTAAAGAAACAAGCCCGCTGAGGGCATTAACTTGGTGTTTAAATGTAGAGTCACAGCCTGCCTATGGAAAATCCGTCTGTGTGCACAAAACTGTACTCTTCTGCTTGTTCCTAAGTTGAACCGGTTTCTTAGTCTCTATACCTAATCCAGTATCCATATTGAGGTCAGGGGTCATTCGCATCAGGAGAACCTGGACCGTGCCAGTGTCCTGGAGGATTACCATGCTCGTATGCCTTGCGGACACACCTTGCCCAGCCGCAGTCCATCATCCCTGAACCCAGGCCGCAGGGGTATCTGCTCAGTCTTTCTTTTCTGATATCGCTCTCCGCCCACAAGTTCGCATGAATAGGCAGTTCGTACATCTTCGCTGCTTGCTTTGGTGCTGCACAGCTGCAACGCAGATGAGCTCCGGGGGCCCCGCCCTGGGATCCATTTACCACCTTGCAATCCTTGCAAGATTCGGCGAGCCTGTAGCTGTTGGCAGCTTCGTATTAGCATATCCTGGCGTATGTATAGGTTTGTTGTATGATGTCAAAAGCCTTACCTTATGGACTTCTGCCAGGTTAGTGTGCCTCCTCTCGCGTCGTTGAAAGAAAGACAATTCTGTAACGGTAAGAACCTCGCCTGCCCGAAGTCTCCATCTCGTTTTTGACAACAGCTATACAGAAGCCACTCTTCACGGGCAGATGTGCTCGTGAACTTCTCTTTGACGATCCGAGTACCTTTGCAAGCTCCGCCAAAGGTATCGAGCCCAGGCTGGTCCGCCACCCCTTTTGTGGCGAACAAGCCCTTCAGATTGTTGAGGCATTCTTCACTGCCTCCGGCAAGGGCGATGCCTGAAAATAAAAGCGTAACGAGACTGCTGACATACATATTTGAGCGAGATATCGATATCCGATTCGTGTGAAATCGTTTGTGAAGATGAGAGTAGGTTGGTAGGGCGGACTGAAGCAGAGGAGCAACATATATCAGGGATCGATAGCGGACGGAAGATCTTATAGTTTGAGTTTTCACTGGTGCATATGGATTGTGGAACGATATGTTCTGGCCACTAAAGCGTCTAATCGTCCGTGGCTATTTGAAGAAGCCACCCTACTTTATACACCATGTTTACTAAACTTTCGGCCATCTCTTGGTCAATTTGTTCATTTATGGTGTCTAGAGTAGGCGATCAGATATCTACCCCATTCACATGAGCTGTCGGTCTTAGGTCAATCTGCCCCGAGGAGTTGGTAAAATTGAAGGTGATCAATACTAGTGAAAAGACAGGTGATTTAGTCACTTTTTAGCAGCCCTGCGGTTCTTAAATGGCAATGACACTAATGTATCTCATATCCTTAATCCCACGTCGAAATTACCGGCTAATTAGTTCGAAAAGCTTAATTACGATGTACACGTAACAGAAATTATGCTCCCTATCAAGCAGCGTAGACTAAGGGACAGGAGTGGCACCGTGTGGGGTGTGTCTTTGAGGTCATGCTGCTGAAATTATGTTTCCGCGGTACATGACCCTGCCGGGGATCATATACCACAATCCAGTCAGGTCTGGAGCGACATAGCTAAGAGGAATATTTGCATAGGCTCAAATGCTTGCTTCTTTTCACGTCATATTTATAATGGTATGTTTGTCTATATTTTAAAGCGGTCACAGAAACAGTCTATGTCCTTGGTGACTACTAAAGCTGCTCTGGGACGTCTTACAGATCTCATCCATGCGGGATCCTCCGTTAAGTCTAGCCATGACTAGATACACAATCCGGATGGCCCGACCTGCTTCATCCCAAATCTCTCGGTCCAAGGCAACGAAGATCTGTGAGTTCCCCTTAGAGCCCATAGCTGTATGAAAGCTACAGTCCGGTCCCACTCTTTTGCCGTCCATGTGACTATAAAACTCTTGACGCCACGCTTCAACATCGTGCCCCGCGTACCTTTCATTCAGCGCTTCACAGTTCCACTTGGGTACACTTTCAGTTTGACTGACAGAGAGCAAAACCAAAAATCTCTCATCTAGATAGTTGATTCTCAGTATGAGTCCCCCGAAACTATGTTTTAGTGCAGATCGAAAACCGACGGCACAGTAGACAGGCCGTGAGATATGCGAAGACGGTGTCTGCATATATTGGGGCACCAAACAGTCCACTGAAGTGACTATCTGGCGGTTGATGTTTGTTGAAAACGAGTCATCAATTAGGTTTATATAAAACCCGTACTGGAAGCGGTGATGATAGGGCAAGGGCATGAGACCAGCCGCATTTCGAGTAACCTTGGAAAGAAAATAAATTTCCTTGACCTCACAAACCATCAGACTATGAACGGGAAACGGACGACCGGGGAACGGGCATCGTCGATGAATGTAGTCCTCTTCCATAAGCGGCAGACACATCATCCGCCTCTGTTCTGGGTCCGCATCCTCTGTGCTGATGACCGAAAGCATAGCGCAGAGGCATTTAATCGCGGCAATGACTGGGAGTTTGATGCGCATGCCAACATTGGTAACTTCGTAAGCTGTGCTTGCCAAGCTCCTGTGAGTAGCCACAAAAGCACTTGATTCTGAAAAGACGGAGGGTGACGGAGCTAGGACGCTCTGCCACTGGTCGGGAATCTTGTCGGAGTCCCAGGTCCAGCAGAATATCGTTTGGTCGTCGATTGCTTTGACAATCTCTTCTTGGAGTCGCAAGAAGGCCTTTGAGCCCTCGCCGTATATCAATGGCATGTTGATATCAAATATACCTAGGAGACAGTAGGCTATGTCCTCATGCCGTGTTGTCTGGCGTTTCGAGGCCCAGCTTATCCCAGCAGCAGTACTTGCGGACCATATTTCTTGGTTGTCGGCTAGGTAAGTCACCTCGATGCCAGTGATGTTAGATATGGGGAATCTCAGCTCAGTCTTGGTGCCGATTTCGATCCATTCTTTGGAACAGAAGAAGACTTTCCGAGGTGCAAGAAGTTATTGTAGCGTCCATCCCCGAGTGAACCAGCGACTGTTCCGGAACTGGAAGCTCTTATGTGCGTGGATCTGATCAGTCAAGTTACCCTCCCATTCGACGTCAGCGAGGTAGGTGATGCAAACGGCCGCGCGCTCATACCATGCGAACATGGACTTGATGGCTTCCGAGAGCTCTGCACTGCTAGTCTTATCGATGCAGTTGGTATCGACCCAGAGGTACTCCAATCCGTCATCTCGCGCCTTACTGCAGGCATTGATGATCTTCAGGTAGCCGGATTTCTCCCGCACCCCAGGACAAGTGTCGCTGGCGATCCACTCCTGGAGGCTGACTTCATTGTTTTCCTCCCAAGCATGAGAGAGAACTGCATACTGCGGTGTTTTTTCGGCACTGAAGGTCTCAATGACAAGACTGTTTGTGTTGATGAGGCGCATTTCGACATTGTGCGACCAGGAAGAGGTGAACCTACGCTGACACTGGCTTGAAATTACTCCACACTGTGATACCGTGTGAGAAGCAGTAGGCAAGAATAAGGCTTAGCCATTAAAAATACGGTCCAAAAAGAATACTCGTCCGGCTGACACTGTATGGGTCCAACTTGATTGCTCTAACTTCACCGACTCATCTTTATTAATCAGCCAATGACCAGAAGTTATCCCTTAGAAACATCATTCTTCGTCTTGTTAGATCACATAAAGATATCAATTTCGCAATTTCTATCAACTGTACACAACAATGGTATCATCAAATTCAAACACACAATCCCCCATGAACCCTAACGCCTTTTTAAATGTGCTTCCTACCATCATCAATGCCCTTCGAAGAACCAGTTACAGCCTCCTCATCAAAGTCCTGACTGTCCGCGTTGTATGCAACACGAATATCATCGATCTCCTCTCCAACCTCCATCCACCTATCGCTGCAGGCAGGAATCGGCGATACTTTGCACAGACCCCAGTACACACTACTCGAAACAATGAAGCCTGCGAAGAAATTGAGGTTGTAAATGTAAGTGGCACCCACGGGCACATCTCGACCAATTGCACCGGCGAATCCAACGACATTGATTAAGATTCCAGCGATGTATGCAGCATAACCGCGCCAGTGGAATCCGTAGGTGAAGTAGTACGGTCCGGCCTTGCGCGCGTCGTATAGCTCCTTGATCTCCAGGTATCCCTTGCGGACAAGGTAATAATCGGAGCACATGACGCCGGCAATCGAGCTGAGGAAGACACTATACGACGACAAGTACGTAGTGAACTGGTTGGAGGAGGTAAGCAGCGTGTACGGGCACATAGCCAGACCGACAGCAGCACAGATGTATCCACCACGGCGAATGCTGAGCCATCGGGGAAGCAGAGCCGTCATATCGGTACCGGCAGAGACCGAGTTGGCGGCAATATTGGTACCGAGTTGAGCCAAGGCGAAGGACGCAGCAATCACGAAAACTCCGAACCGCTGGGCTGAGCCGCCGTCGTCGATGAACCTTTCAAGAAGGTCGAGCGGATCCCAAATTTCTTCGCCGTAGATGACCGTGGAGGATGACGAGACCATGATGCCGATGAACGAGGTGAAGGCGAAGCCGATGGGAATTGTGAAAAGCTGGGACCACAGCGCGTCGCGAGGCTTTGTGGCGAAACGGGAGAAATCGGGATCGTTGACGATGAGCGTCGCAAAGTTGGCGATGGAGGACATAACACCCTTGATAAACTCCCAGGCAAGCTCGCTACCCTGCGCCTTTGCGGGTTGGCGGACAATTGGGCCGACACCGCCGGCGCGAACAACGGCCCAGATCAAAAAGGCAATTCCGGCGCAAGGAACGACATAGGACTTGACCGTGAACAGGTGACGAATCTTATGGACGGGGAACCAGATGGCGGGCAGAGAGCAGAGCCAGAAAATGAAGAAAGAGACCCAGTCCGCTGTGGTCGTGCCCGATGATTCAGGGAAAGTATTGGGGATCTCGTTGCGGTCCTAGGGAATGGTTAGGATACGACTCCAGGCTTAAGTATGGGATCGGCTGTTGCTACTCACCCATGACTTCCAGATCGAACGGATCATAAGATAGACGCAGTGACCTCCAATGTAAGCCTGCACACCATACCAGATACAAGCTGGATGAAGTCAGTAAGCGCTCTGAAAGGTAGAGATATCGTGAAGCTTACCCATGGCCGCACGGTTGAAAACAGGCCACAGACTGCCCCAGATTCCGAAGGAGGATCTGTTGACGACGGGGAAACCGATGTGGTACTGAGCGCCAATACGACCGGTCAAGCAAATGAAGCAACCGGCAATAGCATAGCCTATCCAGACGCAGAGCCACGACTGCCACCATGAAAGACCGTTTACGATCATGGAAGATGAAATCATCCACGTGTTGACGTTGAAAGAATCGGCGACCCAGAAGGCTGCAAAGTTCCAGGGACCCCATTGGCGTCTCTCGGGCTCAACACTGTTCAATTGTCAGCAACGAATCTATCACAAGCTACACAAGCGGAGGCTACACAAGCGGCGCTTCATGTCGGACTTACGGTTTCAGGTCATAGTTCGTCAGCTACAAAACGCAACTGTCAGCCTCGGTTCGGATGCCCGCATGTTCCCAGAGCTGGCAGGTCATACCATTAATTGCGCGCTAGTCAGCCCGGGTTCCGACGTGACGGCGAGCTTGTCAGCCCAATATCTCCATTTCGAGCTGTGGACCTTCTCCGGCCGGGCGGTCGTTGTCGCAGTATCCATGTCTATCGCAGCGATCGAGGCAAGACGCAAGAAGACGGAGGAGATGCGTGCAGGTGTCTTGTTTCAGTCGGGGAATATCGATTTAAGGCGCAAGTCTAAAAGGATGAAACCGTTTAAAGATCAAAAAAGAGATGGTCAGACATTACAATGACGCTATGCACGTGAAGGGATGGCCGAGGACTGGGAAAATGGGTTGCAGGGTGACACGGGTCGTGATCTGCACGGATTGCAGCCCAAACAGTGGCGATTCCAAGGCAGTCAGTTGAGGGGAAAGCTCCAGCTGGTCTCACAACGGGGAAATGGAATCAAAACGCCGGAGGGCATCGTCTGATATTTATCACTGACTGGGCCGATGTCGCGCCTGATATGTAGAGGCTGATAGAGAAGCATTGAACCTCATGAGCTACGAAAACTAGTCGGCCGTGGCGCGTGTCAATCGGCATCGACTGATGGACCCGGAAATCTCAGTGACGCTACCCCCACATTGACAAGCTGTTCAGTCTCGTCTGCATCTTTTTCCCGCCATTAAAGAGGAGACCGGGAAAGGCAATGGACGTGGGGACACCCAAGAGATGCGGACAAGACAAGCCACGAACCGCTTTCAGGCAAGGGTAGTGCGGTCTCGCCGCGATTGCAGCAAATCGAAAGGCCTCGAGGTCGACAACGACGTCAAATCTGATCGAGTAAGAGGACAAGCACTGTAAATCTCTGTTCTCTAGGGACGTTTCCTGCGTTCGTTATTGGTCCGTCCCGAGGAAATGTTCTTATCAGGGGCGTTGGAGGTGGCACTAGCACCCTCAAGCATGGCGATGAGGAACGGCTCCCACTTACCTAGTAGAAGATGCGCCCATAATGCCTGTCCGGCATGGGACGGTGCGGCTGCGTATGATAAGTTAGTCTTATTTGGCAGGGGGTAGCTTATCGTTGGCTCCAAAACCCCGCATGCTTGAAAAATCCATTACTCGATCTCATCGAGTCAACTACCTACAAAATGGGGGCGAGAACACCACGACAAAAATCTGGAGGACTTCGCAAAATCTGAGCTCCGTTTGTCCATTCACCTATCTGTTCCCTTCTTTGTTATGGATCCTACACAACCTCGCGATATGGTTTCAGGACCCGACCAGCATGTCGTCAGGCTGGAGAAGAGAGACCCTCTATGGAGCTCTGTTTTGACGTCAAGATAGTTGCGTGCTTAAATCTAGAATCCCATATGACGAACATGCAAGTCTTGTCGCCTTGCAGACAGAGTCGCGAGTGTCTGGTGCAGCCTTGCTAGCTCGCGTGCTGCTATCATCCGTATCTTCGGTAACCGACATTCGGTCCCATCTACCGCCCAAAGTTTGACCCTGCAGCCACCGGTACCTCCTTGTGCGACTCGTCGCTGATAAGACGATGCCTAGAACGTCACATTAGATAAGGACCCTTGGTTCCACTTCATTTTGTGTGGCTGGGGAATCTCCCCCCATGTGATCGGCACACCAACACGTTCCACTTATCTGCAGACCACCCTCATCCCTAGCAAACGCGACTCATAACCGCCTGGGCAACGTCAAATAAGATGCCGGCCGCCCAGGGCTTTTGGTCTTGGTTAATCCAAAGGCCCGTATAGTGTTTCCCGCCCAGGTTAATGAAGCTTGATAAGAGCATGGCCGCCGGCTCATCCTCAGCCTGACAGCCTCAGAGACTGTTCTTGCTGGAAACAGCAGGAATCCACTCGATACGCAGTCTGGCTGAGTGCCTGAGAAATGTAAATTCCTTATTGAATTCAAGGTAAGATGTATCTTGAATGGCGGACAAATAAATTGTCCACCTTGAACAAGAAAAGCGCGATGGCGCATGGAAAGCTGCTCCAATTTAACAGGAATATGGATGATTCGCTTTGATATGCCTCGTAGAGAATTATGCGCCGGCGGCCAGGTGCCACCATTCAGTAAGTATTCAGGCTTGGGAATGGCCTTGTCAACTAGCATTACTCATCACCTTGTGGCTGATAAGCTGGTATTGGGGCTGATGTACGACGTGGCCGGAAATTCTTGGCTCATATTCCATGGCAGCTGAGTTGGACTGGCTGCTGAGTGGACCCACCTCAGTCCATCAACACTTCACTTTAGAGAGCACACCTAAATGTGAAGACCCAAGGCATGCATTGTCAAGCCGTACCATCATATCATATTGCCAAAAGAGACGCCTCTGGCGCCTTGAGCACTTAGTGGCTCTTACATATGCAGAGTGGGCCGTATCTTGACACTTATAGTGTTGTACTAACACAGGTATCACAGAGTTGAGCTTTTGGCAGCCGTACTGTTAGTCTTCCCAAGTGCTCTAAAACGCATGGATAGAGTAGTCAACGGAAATTCATCCAGTGCGCGCACGGAATGCCACTTATTTGGAGCGTGAGTCGTATACCAGCACATGTTTCTCCCTTGAATCCCTAAAGTCATGCTCCACTCGGCATATTCTGCCATTTGCAAGAGCCATCTGTGTGGAATCGTCCGTTGCTCTGATTTTTCCAACGTCGAATCAACCCGATTTTGAGTATATGAGACAGATTCGCAGTTGAAAGTAAGCCATCAACTATCAAACATAGACATAGGGCAGCTTGGGCAAGCGACTGCCGCCAATCCACCGTGCAGTATTTGACAAGGCAGCCAAAGGGTGGTTTGTTGAACAACGTATTTTCTCTCACTGAACGATACAATGGGTGAATCTGAAGTAAGGCTTTGCATCAGGCGTTCCAACAGAATGAATCTGCAAGTAACAAAAATCGCGTTCCCTCGTGTGGCGGCTCCCTAAAAAGCCACAACCCCAAAGGTTTCTAGCGCCTGTTGCCTACGCTAAATGCTGACCGAATGTTTCGCTATCGCTGTTGCTGCCGCACGCTCATGGGCTGCACTCCTGCGTGGCTTGCATCTGTCCACTTACAAGACGTTGTGATAAATGCACAACATAGCGGTGTCCCTTTAGAGTACTCGGTGGGACGAAAGAAGAAACCCTTTCGCATCTATAAAGGCAAGCTGAGGTCTAGATTCTTGTGCGGCCAATGAAGGCCAGCTTCGTTCTGCGTACCATTTCCTGCAGGGCTGGCGACCGAGAGGAGTGCCTGCCTCATATTGTTGGTATTCCTCCCTGCCGCCGGGCATTTCTACGCAATTGTCTCGCGTTCGCTTTTCCATGTAGCATCATCTCATCTCTTTACTGTAGTTTATATGCCCATGGCACCGATAGCGGCTCTTTAGCTGCGAATAAAACGTCAAGATGCCTTCAAATTCATATCGATGTCGACCGACCCTTTGGACAATTCTAATTACAGTATTCATTGCCGTGCAACTCGCTCTGGCGCAAGACTGCAACTACGTGGGCGGCTGGTCTCTACGATTCCCTACTTCCTCCTGTCCCCAGGATGCCCCTTTCGACTGTGGCAAGGCAGGTGGTCTACAGATGCGATGCTGTCCAACGGGATTGTCGTGTGCAGGCAATGGAAGCTATGAGGGGAACTACTGCTGCCCAGGTAAGTGGATTGTTCCACATTGTAGTTGGTTTCTGCTTTCCTTTACGAAACGAACCTGATATACGTCAAGTCGCTTACTTATTGACTGCAACAGATTCTGCAGACTCTGAAGAATGTCAAAATTTAGCGTATCAGTATCCTAAGGTAATCTGCATATCCCCCATCTGATTGACCAGCAACGAATACCGAGTTGACAACTCAGTGTCCTGACTCAACATGGAGTCTCTGGGCTGCGAATGACACCGTCGAAAACAAACCAAAAACTGGTGCTTGGTGTTGTGAACCTGGCACTAAGGGTGTCTATCGCGATAACGGAACCGCCAATTATTTTTGTACAACCACTACCATAACCACGCTCCAGCCAAGCTTCTACTGGGCTCAGGCTTTGAGCACCGCCTCGTGTTCCGCAGCAGCAACACCCATCATAGTCCCTTCAATAACAGTGTCCGCAAATTCTGCACCGCCCAGCGCGACTAGTCTTGGTATCTCGAAAGGCGGTGAATCTGCGGGTATATCGGCCGGAACTATAACTGGAGCAGTTATCGGCGGCGTAGCTGCCATTGCCCTGATATCTATGGGAGTTTTCTATCTGGTGAGAAAGAAAGGGTCAAAACTCGAGGTGACCGGGGCAGTAAGTGTGAGTGAGGGACACGGTCGAAGGATAAAGTGGGATAGGAGCGAAAGGAGGCGCGTGAGCGAACTGGAGACGGTGGAACCTCGACTAGAGCTGGACGGAACCAAGCAAACCTATGAGCTTGACGCTACGGCCGAGAATACTCAAGAAGAAAGCGTATCACCTTTGAGTACGCGGATAAGATGAAGAATAGAAGAAAGTGGCGAAAGTTCGTAAAGCCGGGCCTAGTTTAATACTATAGACGGCTATATAAGAAATATAGTAAAGGTCATGATACAGCCTTTTTGAAAATATAGCAATGTCATATGGAACCTAAGTTCGGATCATTATACACTGCCAATCTTGTTTTTTCGTGTTTTCCCGTTGTCGACTGTGTTGGTGCCCCTGTTGCATCTCTAAAGATAGTGAAGATAACTAGAATATCACTAGAGGGCTGTGGAATTGGACAAGAAGCGAGACTCGTGCTGTATAGAGGCGGTCAGGATGACGAGCTTGCTGTGAACGGTATAGCAACGAAGGTGACTGATAGACAGGTAGATGAAGCCAGATTAGACAAGAGACAGAGGCGATATCAGGGAACGGCGGATAATCCGCCTCTTAATCGAGCCTACTTTTAGGAAAGTATTTCTGATTGATACTGTTTAAGAGGGATTATGTTGATGCGCTGAAATTGGTGTTGTTAATTGTTTGGTCGATTATTAATGTTGTTCTTTGCTTAGCAGCATCCCGAATTCCAGGATAGTCTTCCTGTGAGACCAAGATGCACGAGATATCGATACTAACCTTCTGAACAGTTAGTTCTGCCTCAACTAGTAATCCACTCCGTATTCTAAAAGGCAGACTGTACGTATTCTGACCAGCAGACTTGTACGTATATTGGAGCCGTCTTCATTGAAATGTATGAGGAAAACGGGTAGTCCATAAATGAGGTAGTGCTTCGCAGTGAGTCGGTGAGTTATCTTATTAATTACCTGTCAAAAATCCAGATAATGATATTGTGACCAGAATTTTTGCATTGCAAGGGCAAGGTTAGCAATCAACCAGAAACTTAGCCTGTGTGACCTCTTGCTGACGATCCACGAGACTTTCTTATAGTTATTCAGTTCTTTGTATATCACTGCGATACTTCAAGGTCGACTTCAAATCTCATCGACAAGATCATCGGACGCGAGATGTCACTATAGAATAATTTCGACGATAGAAGTGGTTTTTTCCACAGAGGGCATGAAATAAAAGGGGCAAATGTCAATTAGGCACAACATATGTTTGTAACATAGCCAATCTTACGTAAAGAACTGCTATCATGACTACCAGATTCCAGTCAAACTTGACGGAACTAAACAATATAGCTTTCAGTGCACTTAAACCTACTGGAGGGTGACAGTGCCATCGGTGGAGTCTTCCATAAAAATGCCAGCAAAAACAAGCGCCTCTTGGATGCCTGTGGGCTGGGGAGCGTCTCCAACAGCATTCTTTTGCAGGGCGAAGTGGTATTCACCAAGGCCGGCAAGATCTTTGACTAGTTAGATTTTGCCTAGTAATGGGAGATTACGAAACCTTACCGTTCGCAACAGGCTCGGTGACCTGCTGGAGTGGCTTTTGCCCAGTGCTGTGGAACACTTGGATAGTACTGTCAATCAAGTTAGGCAAGGTCTGTCATTGAGAACACAGATAGAAACATACTTGGCATTGAAGTCCATCTTCAGCGCAAAATTCTCAAACTGTCCCTCGCCGAAGGGTGTGGAGAATATCTTCGCAGGAGCGGGTGTGGTTTTAGAGTTGCCAAAGACTGCGACCTCGTTGCCGTTGTCGGCACCAGTGCGGACGTCAAACTGATGGAAGCTGAAGTCCTTTGACTCAAGATTCACGATCTGGTAGTCGTGGGTCGCGTTGAGAGGCTTCGCGGTGTCACGCTGAACAGAGAAGTGCATGGTACGGACGCCCGTTACGGCGACGTCATTGAGCTGAGAGCGGATACTGGGCAGAAGGTCGGCGCGTCGAATGTTAGATTGGGCCTCGCCACCCTGAGGAATAAACACAGACTTGTCGTTAATGTTGATGGCGAAGGCCTTCGTGTTGGTAGTCTTGTCGAACTGGTCGGGGTTAGCATGTTTCGGATTAATGAACAGAGAAGCAATGACTTACAAGTGATGCCTCCACTTCAGGGAATGTAATAACATCGCTAAACTTGAGGCCTGGCTTCCTGTCAGAATAGCTTATCACTAAAAAGAAAAAACCCTTTTGGATGAGTATTACTTGCCATCTCCCTTGACGACGGCGCTCTTGAACACGCTAGCAAGGACATTGAAGTCCTCAGGAACAGCGCCAGCCTTGATACGGCCGTCGGGCAGAACAAGAGCCCCAGCAGTGGCATTACCAGCAGCAGCTCCACCAGCGTTGGCGGTGCCGTTGTTTCTGGTGGCACCTCCAGCCCCAGCACCGGCACCTTTGTTGTTGTTCAGCTTATTCTTGCCGGCCTTCTGACCGCCTTGGTCGCTGGCGTTGTCGGCACCTTGGGCGTTCCCAGCGTCACAACCAGCAACGTTGGCATCATTAGCATTCTCCCGACCGCCTCTGGCAATACTAACGGCGCCGTTACTGGCTGGAAGCGGGTTAGCGGCCACGGAGGCTGCCAGCAAACCAACAAGAGTGAGGAAATAGGGCTTCATTGCGGATTATGTCTAAGGGGGTCTTGTGGGGATAAAGGATATGGTGACCACAAAATTTTTGATGTTAGACAAACGAATGGATGCAGAGAATAGCAATGGCCGGCACTGCGCGAAAAGAAGGAAAGGCGCAAAGAAGAAGCGAAAAAGAGAGTCAAGACTGGGTTGTCAAGCGAGAAAGCGAGAAGCTACTTCCTCCTACCGAAAGGCTTCGATGATGATATATACTAATCAGCGTACATAGTTGCGTGCCGACTTTCGCCATCGTTCCGATGCCATCTGAAAATAGAGTTCAGAACTTCAGACCAGATGTGTCCCGTAGGCTTGAGACGACGTTTCTCTCCGTTCCTGACTCGCATAGTTTGGTCCGGTTAGCATGAATTCGCCGTACAAGCCGGTGTTTTGGGCGCGAATGCCAAATTTGGGGCCTGCATTGAGAAAACACTGACACCTGCCGGAGGTGGTAAGCGGTGTGGTTTGAGGACGAGAGTTCGGCCCAAGGAGGTCTGGGAAAAGTTTAATCATGATGTCGATGTGTCCTTGGGTGTACACTACCCTGCGTCTAACCAGCCAGTAGTTGGAACCAACGAGTGTTGAACAGGGGTATTGCTTGTCAGGGGTTGAGGGACAACAACTCGAGGCACCCAAGGGAGTTTTGGCCAAGAAGTTCGAGTTTCGTTACATGATGGCCTTCGTCTGGCAAATGTATGGGGACATGGTTCTATCAGTTCGGGTTCGGGACCTTCGGTCGATTAGTCCAGAGCTATTGTCCGCCCTACGCATATTGCTCATTTCAGACCAATGTTTGCGCATGCGATGCATCTAATCCAGTTTGCCGGGCATCCCGAGCCTCCTGCGGCGTCGTTCTTGGAACGTCGCGCAGCTTTGGACGAGCCTACTACGGTTTCGCCTAATGCATATTTCTACTGGGCTTGCGCTATGAACGAACCCTTGCTTTAGGGACAGGTATCAGATTCTGTACAGAAAATGGCGGTCGCGTGTATGGGAGGGGGGTTACAAAGTTCGGATTTTCCATGACGCAAGCCGGGCTTTTTATTTACTCTATTTGGAGGAAGAGACTTTGTTTTTCTTAAAGTTCCATCTATTTTGAGTCAAGCAGAATCTGTTGCTAATATACATAATCAAAGTGAAAGGTATTCAATTGATCCTAAAGCTACGAATTTGCCATAAGGGTGTGCCCTTAGTGTGTTTGCATGCAAGCAGATGTCCAAATTGACACGATACCATGCCATTGATGAACCAGCGCCAAGCTCGAAAAAACATTATACTACCTCAGCAGGCTTAGTTAAGTGTTTTTATATTGGCCGAGCCCTTGGGTTAAGGGAATTTCATAAGCCTGGGTTGCCTGTCGGCAGCCCCAAGCCAGCCTGTCTTGCACCGGGAAAAGGAATTGATCATGATGTCAAATACCCATAGTCGCCTTCTTGCTTGATAACGGAGCTACGCTCAACATGGTGGCCTAAAAAAATGCCATTTCTCGGTGCAGCATACCGACTTATCAAGAGATTTTAAGCGGGGCTTTGACATCAACTCCACTGAATTTGAACTGCCTCCCGTAAAGTTAGCGCCACTACATTATGCTGTGACAAGACGAGACTGCTTACTTCCTTATTAGGCTCGCTGTTAAAGACATCGAACTATCAAAATGGCTTCTCGAGCAAGGCGCGGATCATGATGTCAAATGTTACCGAGGGTCGACAGCACTGCATATAGCCGCCGCAAAAAAATTTTTTCCAGCTCTCGAGGTTCTGCTGAAGCATGGAGCTGTAATGCCGTCAGATATCCTGCACTCTGCCATACGCCAAGGTTAAGCTACAGACCACGGTGCAGCTGAAATCGACATGGTTCGATTCCTCATCGAAAATGGCGCAGACATCAACTAGCTCAAGAAGGTAAATTCACGCTACAAAATTTTGCAAGGTACACCCCTCCATATTGCGGTCTGTACGAACCGGAAACACTTTGTACAGCTCCTCTTGAACGCAGGGGCTGACCCAAACCTCGAGTACGACGACGAGACCCCACCGATATGGCTAACGAGCTGGAATATATGGAAATATACGAACCACTTCAAAATGCGTCGAGACCTTCTCGAATTTGAGGCCGTCCTAATTTTAAGACTGGGGGCGAAAGCAAGGGGCACCAATCTCCGCCCAATTCAATGCATGTTCATTGTTGATTCAGAAAATCAAAGGCCATCAGACTTGGCTTATTACGAGAAAAGGCAGCCTCCCACAGGTGGCCAGCTAGGCACAGATGTTCTCCCCTTTTGGCGGCTCCGTATCCACCTCTTTCTTTACCGAGACACACCGAGGCCGGTGTACCCCGCACAGAGCTTAATCCCGATAATGACAAGCCGAGGCAAATCGCCCAAGTCCCCTGGACACACCGTCATCTTAATCCCCGGATCTCCCCAACTTCGGTCCTCTCATCCAACTTTGACCAATGCATTCTGAAGCCCATCCAGTTCGATCATCGCATACCCGATTGATACATGGGTCCAAGAACCCGGTCACAAGGCGTAGAGGCTCTTACGTACAATCACTCAAGACACTGCACTTCACCCACGAACTCCGGGGAAGCTTGCATCTTGTCCTCCTGTATCTTCAACTCGGCCTCCGCTTCCGCCTGAACCACTACCATCCCCGAGCTTCACATTACATCTCTCGCCCCTGACAGACGCCGAGCATATAGCCCATCGAATATATCACCATGACTCAAAAACCAACTTTTACAACCCCTCCCCCGGCCGTCTCGGACGTTGACATCTCCTTCCCCCGCCCCCACGTCCTCCTTATCACCCTTAACCGGCCTCGCCACCTCAACTCCATCCCCTCGGAGCTCCACTACGCCCTTGCCAATCTCTACGACTGGTACGATGCCGAACCATCCCTCCGCTGCGCCGTCCTGACCGGCACCGGCCGCGCTTTCTGCGCCGGCGCCGACCTGAAAGAGTGGAATGTCCGTAACACCTCCGGGAAACCCCCCACTCCGTCCTCCGTCGGCGCCGACCCGACACCTGCCGTGGTCACTTCCTCTGACGCATTGGGTAAACCCGGTGATAAATGGCGTCCGTCGGCCGGCTTCGGAGGCTTGTCGAACCGCGGCGGGAAGAAGCCCGTCATCGCGGCCGTGAATGGGCTCTGCTTAGGTGGCGGAATGGAGATGATCATCAACGCGGACCTGGTGTACGCCTCCACCAAGGCCAAGTTTGGACTCCCGGAGGTGACAATCGGCGTCATCGCCGTTGCAGGCGCTTTGCCGAGACTCATCAAGTCCGTAGGCCGACAGCGGGCCTCGGAGATGGCTCTCATCGGGAGGTCCGACTACACGCCTGAACAGATGCTCTCGTGGGGTCTGGTGAACGAGGTCGTACAGCCGGACTCGCTGATGGAAACCGCTCTCGGTGCCGCTGAGGCAATTGCAAGAAACTCCCCTGATTCGATCATCGTCTCAAGGGAAGGACTGAAGAGCGGATGGGAGCCAATGGGCCCTGGGGAGGCTACGGCGATCGTTGACCAGGGCATCTACCGCCAGATGGAGGCTGGAGAAAACATGACGGAGGGCGTCAAGAGCTTTGTTGAGAAGAGGAAGCCTGTGTACAGGGATAGCAAGCTATGAGCAGTGGCGCAAGCATATTGGAGAATAATGTAGGATGGGCATTTCGCTGCCCGTGTTAAGACTCAATGAAGTGCCATTTTCCTAATATGCGGTACGTGTACCATTGGATATCATGAACTATCTCCGAATTCAACTTGATCACGTTGGAGACCTGGGAGAAAAAGGCTCCACCGGTAATTACACTCATCTCCAAACAGTTGTAGCGTCCACTCTAGTTAGGAGCGTACTCCTTGTTCTCCACACGGAGAACCTCTCCCGAGCCAGACTCCGAGTCCTTCTCTTCGATGACTCTCGTTCCCTCGCCGGGGGTACCCATGCTCGCCTTCCAGTGCAGCTGCACCTTTCCGCCCGTGAACAGCCTGTCGATCTGCTCGAGGCTGAGGTTCTGTGTTTCGGGGTAGAAGAAGTAGATGAGCGGCACGAAGAAGGCGTTGAAGATGCAGAAGTACACGTAGGTCTTCCAGCCAATGCTCTTGATGCTGACCGGTGTGATCTCGACGACCAAGAACGTAAATATCCAGTTGGACGCCGTCGCTAGTGCCGCGGCACGCGTGCGGATCGCCAAGGGGGCATATTCGGCAGGCAGCAGCCAAGGGATGGCAAGCAGGCCGACGGCGAAGAAGAAATTGAAGAGGAAGAGCATCACAATGGCGACGATTCCGGCAGGGACGCTGCCGTTGGAGACCGTGCCTGCGAGGATGGCCATGCAGGCACACTGGCCCGCCGCGGCAAAGAGCATGAGCTTCCTGCGACCAAGACGGTCAATGATCCAGATTGGGATCAGGGAAGAGAAGAAGTAAGCGATGCCGTTGAAGCCCGCAAGGAGCAGCGACAGGCTGTGCGTCATGCCAACGGACTCTTGGAAGATTACGGGGGCATACTGGTACTTGTTAGCTTCTGAAGAAATACGGTGTAGCGTGTAAGGGCTGCTCACGTAGGTAATTAGGTTAATACCGCTGAGCTGTTGCATGAACTGGCCTCCAATTCCGAGCATTGTGCGGTAAAAGAACTTTTGATCGCCGTTCTTGAACATCATCCTGAAGCTGCCGGCGTTGGCGGCCTCGCGCTCTTCGCGGATCGCGGCTTGAATCTCGGCCAGGTTCCGCTGCAGCTTAGGCTCAGTCTCGCTAATTGACCTGGCGTCCTTTTCAACGGCCCAGAGGATGTGACGGGCCTCGTCGTGGCGGTCGTGGGCGATGAGCCATCTGGGCGACTCGGGGAGGACCAAGACGCCGAAGAATGTCACGACAGCGAAGAGAATCTGCAGAGCCAAGGGGAAACGGAACTGAGAGTCGTTGGCCACGAAACTCATACCATAATCAACCCAGTACGCGGTCATGACACCAAAGATGTTGATGGCGAGCTCGATAGCGAGACCACGCCCGCGGTTATCCGCCTTCATTAGCTCCGAGTGCCACACAGCTGCCTCAAGTTAGCATCCACAAACTGCGATGCCCTGACCATAGAAGGCAACTCACGAATGGTACTGGTGTTCATGCCGTTGCCAAGACCGGCGACGATACGACCCACAATCAATTGCGGGATGCCGAACGCCGCGGCCTGCAGCGCGGCGCCGATACTGAGCACGACGCAGCCGAGCATGATGCACTTGCGCCGGCCGAGCTTCTCGCCGACTAGCAGGCAAAAGATGGCGCCAAAGAAACATCCAATCTCGTAGATGGCGACGACCGTGCCCTGCAGCGAAGAGCTGCCGCCGCCGCCGTTACTCGTGTCGATCTCGGGGAAAGTCCGGGTGAAGGCGTAGCCCGTCAGGAGACCGGACATGACGCCCTGGTCATACCCGAAGAGGAGGAAGCCGGAACCGGCCGTGGCCGTGATGGCCCAGTTGAGCGGTCGACCGACGAGGATGGTCATGATGAAGCAAAGAAAGGAGGGTGTAGAGTGTCGTTGCTTGTTCACGCTCGGTTAGGGAAGGGGAGTCTCTCTCGCGATGGACTTTATCGCGGATGACCAGAGTCGAGAAGTTGAGATGACTGAGTCAGGGGGACAGAGAACAGACCCTCCTTTTCACGATGGATGGGGATGCGGTTCTATATGTACAGTTCCAGAGCATGCCGTGCAACGTTGGTGTTGAGGAAGGATTGAGAAGGCAGACTGTAGCCGCTAGCGACCACTCCTTTTTCGTCTCGTCAAGGAATCAGTTGGCTCGGTACGAAACAACGTCACTTGATTGCTGCAAAACCCCGGACAGAGTGTGTCAAAAACTGCATCTCGCACCTTGAGAGTCCCCACACAAACTCGAGCGCAGTGCGGGGACCCCAGCGCGGAGAGATGCTCTCTCCAGATCAAAACAACATGGGAACCACCCGCGGTGGGGTGGTAGCTGTGGGCAGTTGGACGCGCATCAATGGGCGCAATTGGTCCTCGACTGACTCGTGGGGTTGTTACGGCACGCGGGGGTTGCTCGTCAGATGCTGGGATGCGGGCGCGACAGAATTTTCTCTCAGAGCCTCGATATGTACTACGGCTAAGGGCAACGTTGTAGTGCATTTCTGATGCCGTCTAGACAGAGTGCCCGTTTCCACTCCTTTCATTCCCGCCCAGTCTAAGCAAGCTTCGCAAGACTCTTGGACGAGCCAAGGCCCGGCTGCGAATCCGGTCCAGTGCCGAGGAGCTAAACAATCAAGGGCTGGGGTGAAAATCGCCGAGTTTTGGCCACTGCGTTGGATGAGGCGTAGAGTTGCCCTCTCGAGAAAACAAGGAAGTTGAAAGCGCCGCGCAGTCGGCGCAGAGTCTCTCGTTCAACCAGTGCTCGGTGCACCAGCTCTCTCCGAGGCGTCGAGGGGCAGCTTATAGCCGATCAACATCGCGTATTTTAACCGTCACTAACAGCTCCTTTTTGCCGCGAGGTCCCAAAGAGCTATCGGAAGCGCTCTTTCCAAAAGCAAACATCTTGCCGTTCAACCGCACGAACCAGACTTGCGGCTCAACCTGCCACTGCTCATGCTGTACCACCCAAGTTAACCTCAACCATCAACCCTGACGGGTATTTTCCCGACATTGTTTGCCTATGCACATCTTTCCAAATAAAGACCAAGTCGTCTCCAAGCCGTTACATCCCCGCAGTCACCTCTTGGGGGCGTCGACAAGTGCCGAAGGCGTTAAACCGCTGAACAACAGCCGCCTCGGGTGAGGGGGTTGCTGATCCGGCATCTAACTTACAAAATGTGTGGAATGAGCATCTGATTAGCCATCGAGTGTTTTCATGGCATATGCGGCTCGGGTTGCCTTTGGATCAGGCTCTGCTCCAATATATCCTATCCTTAGCGGGCTGGACGGCGCAATGTCAAAAATGGCACTTATCCCCGTCAGACCACCCTAGCGAAAGACGGGGAGATGAGGTCATCCTCGACTTCTTACCCCGGCCAGTACCTGGTCTCCCCTCCGCAATCCCGCATGAACAGCCGCATCATGGGGCTTCCGCCTGCCGTCAGTAAGCCACTCCTCGCCAATGTCGTGCTCGCGGGGTCATTCCTGGAGTCCATGCGGAAAGTGTGGAGATGGCGACCCACGCCTTTGGCCTTGGAACTTGTCATGGCCCAACATTTGGGGCTGCCAATCTTGTCCCATGGGGCTGGCCTCCGACCAGATTGGATCGTGACGTGAGCTATTGAATCGCGGACCCTGATGTGATGCTAATTTCGGGTTCCAAAAGGTCGGAGGCTGCGTGCAGGCTGAACCATCGTGGCGGGTCCATTGTCGAGCCGCGCTTAACTAGTGCCATACACTGTGGTAGCATCTTCATAGACCTGTCGACGTCGTTTCGATACTAGACCCGATACTGAATATTGATGCATGGCGCTGAGGTCGCTTTGCGCCAACGCCTTCCCCGGCGGCTGGAGCTGCTCACATTCTCAGTGTCAGAGCACTTGTGTCCATCTTTAAAGCAAGAAGAGTTCGAATGTTTGTCTTGTCACCGGGATACTAACCGTCTCCCAAGTCACCCCAAAAGTCCTTCAGGTCATCTGCCCTCCACTTAGTGCCCCATCCGCTTTCCCTTTCGATTTTTTCTAGTAACTGTAGTATTGATCGGTGCTCCGCGGGGTGGCTCATGCAACGTCCCGCAATCCAAAGGGGCTGGACGCTGTTGGTCCAGGCCCCGTGATGGTGGTTAGTCATGGATATCCCGCATATTTGTCTGGCATGCCAAAGCGCTGAACGAGGCCTCGGAGATAGGCGCAGAGAGGCCGGCCTGTTCTGTAACATCAAGAGAGATGCCGTGTGGTATAATTGGTTCCCTGATATCGCGGCAGGGTTGCTGTACAAAATCTTGGGAAATGGCTCCGCGTCGGATGAGGGTATGGACATGATGTGCTGCATCTCGGAGGGCCGACGGCTATGCCAGTCCTCAACATATCTCCAGAGTTTCATCCAGCGGACCCGATACACCATGTCGTTTCTTGGACCGTCGAAAAACAGCCCACCAGGGTTTGCCTTGGCGAGCGGAGCCAGGAGGTCGAGAACCTGGGCACAAAGGTACACTGCATAGTTTGCCCACATGTCGTGGCCAGGGTTTGTGAGGAATAAGCCTACGTCTGATTCAAGATCGGTCTGCGACGCCCAGTGGTTGACGGGGATCAAAGTTTTGACCGAAGAGATGAGACCGCCACACACGTCCATTCGGACGAAGCACCAGAAAAGAGCCTGCTCGACGCCGCCAACGAAGCCGTTCATACCCACTGCCTCCATCAAGCTGGCGCATCCATCCAAATGCCTTCGCCACGCTTTTGGCGAGCAACTGGCCATTTCCAGCACGCACAGCACCACGCACGACGCGATTACGGCCGTCGTCCGCGTCGGTAGTTGTGGTAGGAGCAAGTGTATTGCTTCTTGGTAGAGCGCTAAGCTCTGATCTGTAGGGCGGTTTCTGTCTTTCAATTCGAGCTGGCGGGCTGAAAGAGCGAGCATAGAGTAGCGCAGGTGATCATGTGACCGAGCCATCGTGGGGAGAGAGTGTTGGAAGTGTCGCTGGTTGTCGAACTTGTCCAGCCAAGGAGAGATTTCGTCCACCCAGTTCTTCCATAGCGCGCATTCCTCTTCCAATGGCAAGAAGGGGGGTTCGTGATCCGAAGATATGTCGCCGGCCGTTTCGGCTACTTCTGCTGATGATGACGGCCCTGAAGTGGCATCGATAGATCTCCGCCTCGAGTTCTGACCAGAAGCCGGTGACGCCGGCCTCGTTGGCCCATTTGACCGTACCTCTTGAATCAGGTGGTTCCTTAGTGTAGAGTGCAATTCATGGTATGCCGAACCTGGCAGGAAGATTCCGTCTTCGTAGGAGCCCTCGGGAGTAAAGATTTGATCCATGAAATCGAATGGCGCGTCCATCAAGGGATCTATGGGCAACGCCGTGACTGGGATGCCATTGACTGTGGGTGTAGGGTCGTGAGGACTTTGCCCTCCACCGCCTTGACTGAGGTAGATGAGGTTCGCTACGGCACTGTCGGTGATCAGTTGTGATGCAGAGGCTGGCGAAGCTTGGTAATCCATGTGGTCGCGCGTTGGCGGGTGCACCTTGTCGCCAAAATCATCCTCTCGACGCGCCGACGGACTCAGAAGAGCACCAAAGCCTGGGATCGGCACCCGGTCCGGCGGTGCGGAACTTGGCCCAGATGACGATAATGTCCGTCTTGCGGTACTCGACTCGGCAACGGACGCTGTGTGTCCACCAGCCGTGGATGTCGAGTACGACACAGGGCTGTCGAGGAACCTGGTTTCGTCGTTGTCAAACTGAGCACCATGAGCTTCGCCTTCGGTAGGAGACAGCTCGGGTTCCGGTTCGCGGTCAGAGTCGTATTCGTTGAAGCCTAGAGGTAGGTGGTAATCGCGGATAACCTCCTTGGTCACGTTGAGAATCTCAAAGTGGCGGCGGGGAGGCGGCCGTCGGGCTTTCTTCATCGACGGGTGATCTTGCAGTATCGTCTGGGCATTCTCGGCGCGGAAGGTTACCTTGATACCCCATTCGCACGTCTCTTTCCGCCTCGAGCACCCACCGCAGGCCGGGCGACCCTCGTCGCATTTGCGTTTCTTGCGGCGACAGTTGAGACATCCCGTCCGGGTGCGGGTCCTCTTCTTCTTGACGGGCGCGGACTGTTCCGTGTCGGCCGGGCGTTGGCCGTCGTCACCGTCGGCGGGGGAGGGCAAGAGCTGTTGGTCGTCGGCGGCCATGATGGGTCGGGCTCATCCGCACAAGCTTTGAGCTGTGGTCTAGACCGATTGGACTCGGCATCCGAATGCGTATCCGGAAGCGCAAGCAAGACGGGGACCCAGAAATTGACGCAGTGGCAACAGGCGAATGTTACCAGGGTAGGCACCCCTTACCAATTGGTAAACGAAGAAACCAAAAATAAAAAGCAAAAAGGTTTGTATGAAGCGTTCGTGGAGCCAGAGGCGCTTCGACATGCGCTTCTCCGGAGAAGCCAGGGCGGCGGGAGAAGATGGGATGTGTAAAAGGTAATGAGAAGCAGGATATGATGGGGTATCTCGGCGGCTCTCAGCCCCCCCATGCAGTAGCAAGGTAAGAAGGCAGAAAGGGATAGCCACGTGGATTCGGGCAGACTGTTGGGCCAAGACGCGATATCAAAACAGAGTTCATTCTAGCCGTCTGCCGAGCTCAACTCCAAACCCCTTTACTGTCACCCCTTTTCGGGGTTGCCCAAATCGACAACTATTGCTGCCCAACAGCGTTGGCCTTGGGGCACCTGATGGCAGCTGAGGTTTCCTCTTGCTGGCGGGATTTGCGTATATGCAGTGGTTCGGGAGCTATGGTGGTAAGTGTCGAGTTGAGGGAGATGAACAAGGCGAGACTTTGTGGAGAGATGCTGGGGGAAGTTGTAAGCGGCGCCGGGTGGACTGCGAGGACTGGTTACTACCTATGCAGGACAGAGTGTGCTACCTACTACAAAACATGCGCACCTGTCCATCCGGACCCCGAGTTTTGGGCTGGAGATGCCAAGGGAGAGCCCTGTCAGACAGCACCTGGGACACCTGGGACAAACTCTACACACTGCAGAGGGTTGGTCTCGGCCTGAACCCTCGTCACGCGGGAGCTCTGAGGCCGGGAGGACCCCCGTTAACCCCGCCGTTCTCGGTCTCGTACCAATACATAGCGACAAAGTTGGAGAAGTTCTCCACTACCCCCACACTTGTTTGCCAGAGCAACCCTCAAGGTTTTTTCACTGCCGTCGGTTCCAGGTTCCATTTGGTGTTGACCAAGACGTTTTAGAGCACCAGTAGCTATCTTAGAAGTTGTCGTGGAGTTGGAGGGGTGCATCGGTCAACTTCAGACGAGTCTGGTCTGGTCCGAGTTCCGTAGGGTGAGCAGGTAACCTCCCCCCTGAGAAGCTAAGCGGCAAACGCAAGCTGTTCAAAGAGACGATCATCGGCATATCTGTGCAACGAAATGAGCCCAATCAAAGCCGCGTCTACAAAGCACTGATCGATGCGAAAGGAGTTCGTTTAATGACTCGGGGTGCACCCAGCTGATGCAGCCTTTCCACCCGTTGGGCACACCGCAATTGGTCAAGTTGAAATTTGGGTTCATTCATTATCAATATCCAAGGGTGCTCCGTGTCTATGCGATCCATTTGCCTGCCGCATCCCAAAATGCCCTGAACGCCGCCCACCGCACGTCTTTACCGGAACATCGTCCGATCTCCCGTTTGATTATTCCTCATCCAAAGATCGACCTCGTACTGAAAGGCGACTCGCAATTCAATGGTGGATAGGGTTGAGGTCGCGGAATTCCCCTCTTAGGCTGTCGATACCGTTCGCCCTGACCTCCTCAACGAGCTTAGCGACCTCGGGCGCGATGACGGCCTCGTCAAAGCCAAAGTACTTGTACGCGTCGCGGCCGGGCAACGAGTGGCCGAAGGTGCTCATCGAGAAGCCGGCATCGGCGTAGCGCTCCCACCCGTTAACTGCATAGGCCTCGATGACCACGCGGGGCGCCTTGGAGCGGTACTGCAAGACCTCCCTCTTGTACTCTATCGGCTGCTGGTCAAAGATACGCTGGCACGGGAAGCTGATGATGCGCGCCTTGACACCGTGCTTATCAGCGAGCAGCTTAGCCGTCTTGACGGCGAATACCATCTCGGCGCCGACGCCAATGAGCGTGACGTCGGCGTCCGCGGCCTCCTGGAACACATAGGCGCCCCTCTGCACGCCGTCGCGCGAGGTATGTTGAGGGTATTGTTCGAGGTTCTGGCGGGAAAGAGAGATGATCGTCGGCGTGTCCTTGGCCTCCATGGCCAGGATGAAGGCGCCGGCCGTCTCCTCGCTATCGCACGGTCGGATGTAGAGCAGATTCGGCATCGCGCGGTAGAGGGCGGGTAGGGCGATGGGCTGGTGGGTGGGGCCGTCTTCACCGGTTCCGATCGAGTCGTGCGTCGCAATGTGAATCTGCTGGAGGCGCTGAAGAGCACCCATGCGCACACCAGGGGCGGCGTACTGCTTGTGTTAGCATGCTCTTAACTGGCGAGGAAGCCCAGTGAGTGAGGTCACTTACGATATAGAACATGAAGAAGCTGGAAGTGACGGGCAAAATAGTTCCCTTGCTGAAGGCAGCCAGGCCGTTGGAGATGGAAGCCATGGCGTGCTCGCGGATACCGTAGTGGATGTAACGACCGGTGTAGTCACCGTTGATTCCGCAGGCGGTTTTCAGGCCAGGCTGGGGTCTGTCAGCAACATTCGCGTGGCCAGAGCAGATGTCGACTTACGTTCTGAAAGTCAACCTTGCCTTTCCAGATCATGTTAACGGAAGGCGACAAGTCCGCAGTGCCGACCATCAGGTTGTTCAGCCCAGCAGCAATGGGGTTACAGACCAAACCAGCCGACTTGCGCGAAGGTGTAGGAGTAGTAGGGAAGTCCTCTTTGGCAGGAATGAACTTGCGCCAGTCATCCACCCATTCTCCGGCAATGCGCTTCTTGAACTCGGCAGCCAGCTTGGGATGTTCGCGGGAGTACCCCTCAACCAGCTGGTTCCACTCTGCTTCGATCTTCTCGCCGCGGGACACGGCCTCACGGAAGTAGTTGTAGACCTGATCACCAATCACAAAGTGCTGTTCGGGGTCCATGCCAAAGTTCCTCTTGATGTTAGCGACATCAGCGGCACCGTATGCGGCACCGTGGGCCTTGGCGTCACCCGCGACGGCACTGCCGATACCGATGACAGTATGAATGTTGATGAAGGTGGGCTTCTCCTTGCTGTTGCGAGCCTCGTCCATGGCGCTGACGATGGCCTCAACGTCCCAGTTGCCGTCCTCGATCTCAATGACGTTCCAGCCGCAGGCGCGCATCTTGGCGTTGACGTCCTCGGTGTTGCAGAGGTCAACGCTGCCGTCGCAGGTGATTTGGTTGTTGTCGTACATGACGACGAGGTTGTTGAGCCTCCAGTGACCGGCAAGCTGGATGGCCTCCATAGCCACGCCCTCCTGCAGACAGGCGTCTCCGATCATGCACCATGTCATGTTGTTGACTACTGGAAAATTGGGGCGGTTGTAAGTAGCAGCCAAGTGCTTGGTGGCTACGGCGAGGCCGACGGCATTAGCGATTCCCTGGCCCAAAGGACCAGTCGTCACTTCGATACCCTCATGCTCGATCTCGGGGTGGCCGGGGCAGATGGAGTCGGTGCGGCTCGAGTGATATGATTTGAGCTGGTCAAGTGTCATATTCTTGTAGCCGGTCAAGTGCAAAAACGTGTACTGAAACAGACATGTGTGGCCGTTGGACAAGACGAAGCGGTCTCTGTTGAAGTAATTGGGGTTTTTGGGAGAGTACTTCATAACGTATTTCCAGAGGGAAGTTCCAATGGCGGCCATGCCCATGGCACCACCCGGGTGACCACCCTTGTACTGCTCACACAAGTCGGCAATGAGACAGCGGAATGTGCGGAGAACGAAGTCAACCTCCTTCTTTTCAGCTTCTGTGAGCTGAAAGTGGCTGGTGTTGCTTGTGCCATTAAGAGACTTGGCGGGCACGACGTCTTGGGGGACGGGCTCAGCAAGGACTGCACTAGGCGCCATTGCGATGGTGCTTCAGTATTATTTGAGAGACCAACGGGAAACCAGAACGTGAGGATATCTCGGACTCGGCGAGTTGCGTGGGGTAATTCTTGGATGGTTCGTCGTACACTCCGGTCGACCGTGCTGTGAGTGACCAATGGCAGAAGTAGACGCTGTCAAAAGCAAATGGTATCAATGGTGTCTCTTGCAAGAAAAGGAGAAGAAGGACGATGAGAGACAGCGGCAAAACGATCGAGAATAGCCATTGCGGTTCGTTTCAATAGATATAACCGTGGCGACGCTACGACTTGGAACCCCTCCGAGTGCTTGAGATGGCCGTATTGGGATGAAGAGTGGGATGGCCAGCAATGCGAAGCAGTGCAGTATCAGGAAAGAGCGCTTAGGTTTTCCCGTTTGGGGATGGCCATAGCAGAAGCGGGCTGTGTCACTTGACAGAAAATAAATTTAGTCGGTAAAGGAACGACTAAGTTGGGTATCAGTAGATGCACTGCGTACATAGACAGACTGAGTTGAGGGCAACGACAAGCGCAAAAGCTACATCTAGTCGTCATGTGAATTATGAGAATTGATGAACTGGCTGGCGCATCCGCAGAACAAAAGAGGGACAAATGCATCTTGTCGGCAAACTGGACTTGTGGAAGTGAGAGGGACACTTGGGATCGGCTTTGGTGATCTTGAATGCAAATGATTGGACGAGACCTACGAAACTTTGGATAACTAAGCCCGTCCCGTCCCACTTGTCCCCTAGTCCGTGCTCGATGTTCTGAGGAGATCCGAAGCGCTCTTGTTTTGGGTCGCAGTTGTGTCTCCGACTCGAAGACTTACGTAACTCTTCCTCTGCCCTATTCTGTCCATTCACCGTCTCAGTCTCTTCCCCGCTAAAGTTACCCGGTGTCCGCGTGTGAACTCGTGCAGTTATCGGTTTCAACTTTGAACATTGATCGAAATAATCGAAATATCCAGAGGACCTTTTTACCAGACAGACACTGACAAACCCCAACATCCTGCCTCTCCATCATTCTTCGCCTTCTCTTTAGTGTCTTGTCAGTCTCTTAATTGTTTTTCCCGCGGCCAGAAAGCTCCTTTTGGAATCGTTGAGGCGTCCAAAAGACGAATCATGGTCACCGGCTCCCATGCAACCATAGCCGCCGTAACTTTAATCATGGATACATCATCTCCCCCCACCGCGTGTTTTCGAGCCCACAGATTGCGGTCGAGACCCTTAGCATTCCCATTCCCGATTACTTTGCCTTCTGCCCCTCCATCCGGACACCTGCCGAGTTGCCCCCCTAGTTCTGCCTTTCCCCCGCCATCTGTCAATTTGGGTATCCGAGGTCCGCCAAGGGCGCTTACACTTACCTTCCACCCCTTCCCCCGCCACGAAGAAAGCTACCACGGGCTCGTTGCCGAACGCCGTCTCAAGACACAACACCAGTCCAAAGCTTGGACCCTGGCGCATTGGGATCCTCCATGGTCGAGAAGAGGCCGGTCATCTCAGCTTCAGACGCTTCACACAACTCCAAGCGACGTTTGTCGTGTCCTCTCCCGTCCTCCCCGACGCTCATCCATCGCACATATAGATGTCCCGTGACCGCAATGTTTCCATGTTTTGAGGCTCCTACTACCAGTTCTCTTTAATTACCCATGAGCCGTAGTCCCTTCGTAACAGTCTCCCGTTATAATATTTTATCTCTTCATCGTCCCACTTCTCCCAAGATACCCCCCAAACCACTACAATCAAAATGCCTCCCGTAGCAGTAAGCGACATGGACCTCCCCGCTGAGCCCGTCCACCCTCTCCCCGAAGCCAAAGACCCTCTCGCTTCCTCCGTTACAACACCCCAATTATTTTCCCTTGCCAACAAGACCATTGCAATCACCGGCGGCGGCCGCGGCCTTGGTATCACCTTTGCCCTCGCCATCCTCGAAGCCGGAGGCCACGCCGCCTGCCTCGACATCCTCCCTGAGCCCTCACCCGTCGAGTGGGCTCACCTCAACAAGCTCGCCAAGGCTAACAGCCTATCCGTCACATACCACAAGTGCGACATTACCGACGAGGTCGCTACCCAGCAGGTGTTTGAAGAGATCGCCGACGACGCCGACAAGCGCGGTGCTCCCTTCTGGGGCGCTGTCGCCTGCGCCGGCATCCAGCAGAAGATTCCTGCGCTCGATTACCCCGTCGCCGACTTTGAGCGGATACAAAAGGTCAACGTCGTCGGCGTCTTCGTGACAGCCAAGCACGCCGCCCGCATTCTTGTCAACCGCAAGAGCAAGGGCAGCATCCTGCTCATCTCGAGCATGTCCGGAGAGATCGCCAATCGGGTAAGTTTGAGTTTCTTCCCCCCTCCTCCCCATCGGGTGGATCTTTGGAGTCTGGTTCTGACCGAGTGTGGCAGGGATTGACGTGCAGCGCCTACAACACGAGCAAAGCAGCTGTCCAGCAGATGTGCCGATCTGTCGCCCAGGAATGGGGTCAATACGGCATCCGTGTCAACACCCTGTCCCCTGGTGTAAGTGACATTTTCTTCTGAGTTCCTTTTTTGTAACTAACATGAACACAGTACATCCGGACCGCCATGACCGACCAACTCCTGCAAGCCGAGCCCGATGTTGAGAAGACGTGGATGAGAGGTGCCTTGCTGCAGCGGTTGGGTACACCCGAGGATTTCAAGGCACCGGCCGTTTTCCTCCTGTCCGAAGGAAGCTCCTTCATGACCGGTGCCGACCTCCGTGTTGACGGTGGACACTGCGCTTCCGCTTAATGACATAAATTGACGATTGAATATTTTTGAAGGCGTTTGCTGTCATGATATTAGAGGGATTAACAACCCAAGAAGAGGGCCTCTGAAAGGGATTGGTGGCGCCGCATAGTTAGACCTGTAGAATTATCATGACTAAGCGAGCATTGATAGCGGAACAATTAAGCTTATAACACTTGGTATCTCCTATTCTCAAATACTTTGTGTGCAATCGGTGTAGTGTCATTGCATTACTTGCCTCCACTTTCACGTGAGCCAACATTCTTCCCGCACTGCTGGCCGACATGATAGATACCTTGGCTTTGTGGATTACTGAGACTTTTTCGATTAGATGTTTGCCCTTGTTTATGAAATGGGAAAGAAAAACCAAGCGTGCTTGGAGAATATACTATCAAAACTATGAGTTTTTCAAGAGAGAGACTATAAGGGTTCAGTTCCTTGGCTTCTTCATTAAGAAGTTCCTCGTGTGGATTTGCAATAAATCTTGGTTAGGAATTCATTCCTTTGTATTCAAACTACACGAAACTAACCAGTCGTGTGACTCCTGGCCTCATAGTCCTGAAGTTTGACGTTGACATTTTCAAATCATATCAAATCCGTGTGAGCCCTTAGTCATAAGGACGATGAGATGGTGTTCATAAATCAGGGTCGTTACATTTCTCATTGATGCAACATCTCATTCATATCCGAGCTTTTCTACAATGTTCATCAACAAAGATCAGAAAATCTAATGAATAATCTGTATTGAGAATGAGTGAGCCGCATCTCAGATCGCGGGCACGATCCACATAATCTCCATCTAACTAAGGTGCTCGTCTCCAGTGGGTCTCCACAATCTCACGATCTCATGATCTTTCCTTCTCGTGGGGGTTAGGGCTTCCACAGAAGCACACAACCAGATGGTCGGTTAGCTCAGTTGGTTAGAGCGTGGTACTAATATATCATCTGATATATCAAGTAATGCCAAGGCCGTGAGTTCAAGCCTCACACTGATCATTCTTTTGTTTGAGTCGACGATAGGTTGTAGACAAATTTTTGCTTTGATGACCCTCCATAATAACACTTGTGCGACATAGATGGCTATGCGCCCTATATGAGTGAGAGTTGGAGCGGAGACGAAATCAGGTAGCTCTTTCTAGAGTAATCCGTTTATTGGAAACCGACGAGAGAGAATTACTATTTATCCGCCCAGCTACCGTTCAGCTATATACCGCCTGCATGATCTTCCTCATGTTTCTGAATTAAATTATGCTACAAGCGGGTGTTTGCGTTTTGATGAATATGTTCCAACCCATTGAACTCTTGGCTATCGGCGCAGAATAATCAGCAATATCGAATATCTTAGCGTCTGCATCTTGGCTTGCTGTTCAAATCAGAAAACGCATTTGTGCTTCTACTCTCTCCGAATCACGTTTTTTTCTGTTCATCTCAACCGAATACCTTCTCCCTCCGCATAAGAACACTGCAAATAAGGCAGATGGAGCCAGCGGCAATTATGGGAACATACGCCAGTTGAATCGCCCGGGTGATGCCGTGGATAGCAGCGGCTCTGTCCCCAGCCGTCGCAGAGTCAATTAATCCGCTCCCCACTCCGGCGAGAGCGTCGGATATCTCGCTCGCCGAGACGTGAGGGAACACCTTTGTCAGAGCGCGCTGGCCGTAGTTGACAAAGAGGGCCCCTGACATACCGGTGCCGAGGACAATCCCTATCATCTGGCCAACGGTCATGAAGCCAACACTGTACGGGATCTCGGTCGGCGGGACTTTCATCTGGGCGACCGCAAACCCGGCTTGGCAAAAGCAACCGACACCTGTACCCAGAATGATTGTGTATCCATAAATCTTGGCGTTTGACGTAAACTCATCGACGGTATCTAGTTGCCGAGTTAGCATGGCTATGACCTTTACTTTGACCGGTTGACTTACACAAAAGAACACCGCCAATGAGCTCCAGAGCTGAGCCCGCGATGTACCAAGGGTAGTAATATCCTGTACGTCCCATGAACTGCCCATTCAGCAGGTTGAAAGCAACCAGGAACAAGATGAATGGGAGGAGATGCACGGAAGTCTCGACTGCAGACGTCCCACGGGTGAATTGGTAGTACAACGGAAGATAGAAAATGCCGATGAAGCTTCCAAATGTTGCAAGCACTAAAAAAAATGTCAGCGCGGGTTTTATCTTAGGGATTCAATAAGAAATTCAACATACTCATGGTGAAGAATAGGCAGATCATGGTGCGGCTTCTCCAGAAATGCATCGGGAACAGACGGTTTGTCCTCGATGTCCCAACGTAGTAGACCTGTTGCAATGCAAAAAGAATGACCAATACACCAGCCGTGACGAACAGGCCGATACTTTCGCCTTCGTCCCACCCCCAGAGGACACCACCAAAGTTCATGGCCATGATGACGCAAAGCATGGCACCAATGGAAAGCACTGAGCCCAAGTAGTCGATCTGGGCCAGGCGCTGGGTAAGAGGAACACCAGCTTGAGGCTTGAAGTCAGGGAGCAAAATGATGTAGATGGGACCCACGACGGCTCCAACCAGTAGGTTTAGGTAGAAGGCCCATCGCCACGTGGCTTTGCTCTCAGCGAGACTTGCGCCAACCACGGGACCTACAGCTCGTGTTAGATATTCTGTTACCGGCGACAATCAGAACCACCTACCTAGAACTGTTCCAATACCCCAGATAAGACCTGTAAGACTGAGATATTTCGGGCGCTCTACGTTGGTGGTGGTCACGGATAAGAGGGTCAGGAGGCCCATGTACATTCCGCAACCACCTGCACCCGCAATTGCGCGGCCGACGATGAAGGAGTTGATATCAGGCGCGGCACCGCAGAGTGCCGAAGCGGCCATGAAGACAGTGGTCGAGCCGAGGTACAACTTCTTGGCGGAAAACGTGCCGTAGGCCTTGGACCATGGAAGAGTTGTGGCGGCTGAGGCAAGTGCAAAGGAGACCCCGAGCCATGGGACAAGGTCAACCCGATGGAAGGTCTGGACGACTTTGGCTTGGACATTGGCGACGACGGTGTTGTCCAGAGCGTAGAGGAACAGAGCAGACAGGAGAGCGCAGATGACTAGAACCCACTGTATGCAAAGACTGTGTTAGTGCTGGTTTCTCAATCTCATGTCATGGTAAGATAAATCGCGTCAGGTTGTACGAGCTGGAAGGGGGTTTCGTAAGATACCTTGACCCCGTGAACTTTTCGTGGTGAATCAACGTCTTCTGTGGCACTGGGGCCTAGAGGTTCGTCCCCGGTTTCCTTAGCCGGGGGTGGTGTAAGCGCCCCCTCATCACTGGGACTGTCGTCTCTCTTTTCCCAAGCAGCCATAGCAAGTTGCAGGGCGGGTTTCAAGCGTTGTCAGAAATAACACAATGTTTACGTCGCGGTAAGTGGTTTGCAAAGACGGAAGATGTTTTGACCTGTGGAGTTTGAATTCTCGAAGGTGGACGGGCTCCCATGGGGCCTTTTAGCTTCCAAAGATCTGTCTCTTCCTTGCAGCATCGCCCGTGTACGGTAGGGCGGACCAACTGAGGTGGCCATGCTCCCCCTGCTGACGTACGTGAAGCAAAAATTTGACACGAGTAGGACCCTGATGACGATTAGAAATCAAGTTGCCAAAAACAGTAGGGAATGTTATTGCGAATCACGAATGTAACGTATTACGAATTTCTTGCAACAGGGAGTGGGACTAACTCCCGGTCCGGGCCGCCGTCCATACGACCCGCGGTGCAGTGGTGCCATGTACTAGCCCCGGGAGCGCTGCCAGGCTAAACCTTAACATAGTTGCACTGTGTAACAACGTGTGGCTACAAGCAGGCCCTATGCCATGGTTTGTCGATGAGGTCTAGATCCGGGGTGGTTTGCATCATTGCGCCCTGGACACCGTTGCGCGACGAGGGAGAAACCCCCCACGTCGATGAGGTTATATTAATTGTCATGAGTTTTCAGTTACTTGCGCCTCTTCTGAAATGAAGTTTGCGATCAAAGGATCAGCTACCTGACCAAACACGTAGTTGTGATGAGGCTGGTTCTATAAGATTCCAAAGATTTCCCTCGTATTCTCTCTGTTCTTTTCACTGCATTCAGACACCAGTAACATCTTGCACCGCCGTCTTTTGCCTCGCTAGCTTCGTCTTAACCAATCATCATGATCATCACCCAGTCTAAGTCGCCGAATGGCGCCCTGACCCCCATCAATTTTCATTACCCGCAAATTGAGCCCACAACACAAGCTCTGGACCCCGGCAAGATCCTTGTGTCTTTCCTCTTCTCCCCAATCAACCCACAGGACTTATTGGTTATTGCGGGTCGATATCCCGTAAAACCATCTTACAACCATGAGGGCGAGCCTGTGCTTGGCTATGATGGGGTCGCCCGCGTCGAAGCCGTCGGCAGCAATCCCGTTCCCTCATCAGCACCAGCCTCGGAGGTACGACCCGGGGACCTTGTTGTCCCGCGGCGTCATGGGCTGGGGACTTGGCGCAGCCAGGCCGTTCTTGAAGCTGCCGATGTTATCCGTCTTACGCCAACAAACGACCTGATTGGTGCATCCCTCCTTCGCATGGCCTTCTTGCCTGCCTATCTCCTGGTGGAAGACGTTCGAGCGCTCAAGCCCGGTGACTGGATTGTGCAGAACGTGGGATCCGGTACCATTGCGCGCTTGGTCGCTCAATTCGCTCGACTGAAAGGGGTTCACACCGTTAGTATTGTGCGCGATCGTGACGCCGAGGCGCTCGAATCCCTGAAGGCCGAATTGCTAGCGGAGGGGGCTTCAGTCGTCATTAGCGAGTCCGACCTCAGGGAACGAGGCATTGAGGCACACCCTAAACTTGCCGATGCAGCGGGCCGCAAGCGTGTGGTCCTAGCCATCGATGGCGTTTTTGGGGAGCCTGGCGAGCGTCTTGCATTTTTGCTGTCGCATGGGGGGACTTTTGTCAACTACGGGTCTCTTGGTGGCGCTGAAGGCGTCGTACGGCTGTCGCAACGACTCTTGTTTTGGTCCGAGATCAAATTCCAGAACTTTCGTCTTTCGGAGCGGCTCGGCCATCGTACGCCAGAGCAGCAAGAGTCGCTCTTGCTTTGGTTCCAAGACCTTCTGGCAAGAGGGGCTCTAGTGACGCCGAAGGTACGAAGGATTCAAGCCCCTGCCTCGGCAGGGAACCAAAACGAATTTGAGCACAATGTCAACGAGGCAGTCTCTTCAGGAAGTGGGGCGGGTATTGGCCACGTGAAGCCTGTATTGGAGTTCAAGCGTACTTTGGTTACAGCTTAATGTATCTGGATAGCTGCTAGGCAATAGATTCAACGATTCTGTCGATCTCTCGGTCAAACAGTGGCCTGTTTCCAAGCTTACCAGCGTGACTATTAAGACCGAACTTTGTACATACATCACTGCACCTTTGGGCTGTCAAGATTCGCAAGTAAAGTTCCTACATGATCATCTTGGGGAAAGAGTAGGGGTAGAAGAATATTACGTGATTCCCACAAAATTCATGTCATTTCTCACATGAATCGTAAACAGTACACGCAAAAAGCACAAGAATGCGGCAAAATTTTAGGGCGGACCAGATGAACAAGGTTTGTATTACGTCAACGTTTAAGCTACCCTTAATCTACGTATTGCTTCTCTTTCTCAATAGCCTTAGCATTGTATTTGCGAAGCTGCTCCTCCAAGCCTGGAATCGGCTCATCGAAGTCGATACGGACACTGTTCATAAACTTTGCCAAGAAACCATAGATACCCTGGACAAAGAATATCTCCGTGATCTCCTCATCGCTAAAAGTAGCCTTAGCCTCAACAATGGTGTCCTTGTCCACCTTGCCTTCTCGGCCAAGTGTCGTGACGATCCGTCCCAGGAGGCGCTGGCGCGGCGTGAACAGATTTTCGGGCAGAGGATCCTCTACCTTGCGAATGGCCGCAAATTGCTCATCGGAGAAGCCGAAGACTCGGGCAACGGGCTCGTTGACATCCCATTCGTACGGTGCATCCAAAGTGGCAGCCGTGCGCAGGACGGCGAGCTGCCACTCAGTGGAGCGAATTTTTCGATCTTCGCTCCATGCAGAGGATAGCAAAGTCATGAATGGTTTGAAGAAAACCTTGCTGTTAGCAAGTAGCTACATGGGTCTCGTGTTAGCAGACCAAGAGCCTTGGTGTTTCTCTGGCACGTATAACTTGTAAGGCATGGGATCAACACACCTTGAAAATGTTTCTCTCGAAAGGCAAAGTCTGGAGAGCAGCCTTGATATCGGGAGGAGCCGTGCTGGAATCGACATAGGGGAGCAGGTGCTCGTTTGTGATAGCTCGGTTATCCCAAGAAGCCATCTTTGCAGGCTCAATGATTGAGGCTGAGTAAAATTTGTAATACTGGTAAAGCTCGTAGACTCAGAATACTTGTTGAGAACTCAGTCAACATCCGTGACATTAGGTGAGATTACACAAGTATTTGAACCCTTTCCCTCATGGTACGTGTCGTGTCAGCTTCGATTTGCATCAATCACAATCGCGCCATATTCTATAACAATGATGATCAGCCTCATGATCCTTGGCGTCGGACAAGGTAGTTTCTTAGAGTTTACACGTGTAGCTCAAGGCCGTTTATGCTGCAGCTGAAAAGTCCATTTCCAATGATGTGGAGAGACCAGGATTGGCGTAGTAGGGCGAGAACACAGTTTCCGTACACTGTGTGCTTGGAGGGTTGCATGCTACGCCGAAAGAGGCTTCATGTAAGGCAGTTCAGGAACCATAACCCTGATTTACCACCATTGTGACCACTTGATGAGTGGCAAATCGGCCCTACGAGGCTGATACGAAGACTGAGTATCCAATAATAACGGTTTTTTTTCCCCTTGTGATCTTTAGCACATCTCGTCACATCTTCAGTGGGGCCGAATCCTATCTATCACATGTAGCATGCAGGAGTGTCAGGTTGTTTTCTTTCATGTTCCACCTTTTTCTCCTCCTGGATTGCGTCCCGAGTCTAGTTCATACCCTTGCCTTCATGTTTACCTCACTGAAAACGAGGCCCTAATTGCAAAGATCAACATCGTGTGTTTTGATCATGGAATCTGACTCGTCTAGCTAGCCATTGGACACTGAAGCACGGCACTTCTTATGTCGTCATCGGGCGAAGGATGCGCTAAGCGGCGGTAAATGGCTCGGATCGGGACGTTTTTCACTTGCGAAGGAATAGATTGGCGAGATGATGTCCAATCGTAATCAAATCCGTCTTAGAATCTTCAATGAGCCGAACTACAGTTGCCAAGTTGCAATATTCAAGCTGCCTCCTTGTAACACATCCCTCACCATCTAAACTAATTTTTGACACCTCCTGAGTTACAAAAGTTCCATTTCCGCATGGCATAAGCCTTGCAGCCAAGTGGCAAGATCAGTTCGAGCACCACTTTTCCCAGACTCCTAAATTTTGTACGCTGCAGGATGAGAAGGAACAATTCAAGTTAGAGCGAGAAGCGTTGTTGACAGCCATCAACAGGGACATCATGTTAGCCAGACACCTTTAGATCTCTTTGTGCAACAGTTCTAGAACGTTCCTCGTGTGTTCTTCGGGCTTTCCAGGTTTTTTGCTGATGTTCAGAAAGCTGTGACGAGTATTCTTGGCGCCCAAGACAAGTATCTCATGGTATGGCATCAAATGTAATGGCACTTGAGTAAGGGTAATGCAGTCTCCCCTGAGCGAAGTAACGCCATCTCGGACTTGACGAAGCACGCCATGTTGCTTCGTGGATAGAGGCATGCGAAATTGGTTTCGTGTAAGTGAAAGGAAACTTTAATGGGTTTTCTGTTCCTTCAAACGCCATCAACGGTGGTGTTGATGCCATTACCTTTCCGATCCAACACGTAGCCACCTGATGTGTAGAGACCCTCCATGGGACCTTGTCAACGTGCCGTGCATGCTGTGGCAAGGGATACGAGTATTGCCTCAACCGGAATAGGACTCCAGCCGTAGGATTCCGCAACCTCTTCAAAGCGCCACTGATCCTGCTCGTGTTTACATGGGGTCTTGTGGGCAATCCTCTGACGTTTACAGGATCTCTTTGAGCTGTATACTCGCTTTATATACCATTTACCGAGCTAGAAATTCTTATATTTAACGAAATGACATTTCCATCTTCATGTCTCCTATCACTCATCGTTAGAGCAACAGCAAAGTCCTTCTGGAGCTTCATAAGAATATCTACTCATTCATCTGTTTCTACAATACCTTGTATCACATCAAGCAGTCTTTGAGGTTCAAACTTTTAGTCATGCAGTTAATCCGTCACGTTGAAAAGCATGAGGACTTCTTCCTTCCTAGCCCAGACAATATTGCCTGGGATTTGCCGGGAAAACTTTACGGCAAGGAGAAGAACGCCCTGGCCTTTTCGGAGGTTGAGACTGTTTTCCCTGCTACTGAAGTTCAGAGAGATATTCTCAATGAGGATGTTCAATGGGCTGAAGTTGAGCTTTTTTCCGGCAAACCATCATCGTTTGGTTTGGAAAACATCTTCAATGCTTGGACTTCTCTGGCATCGCACCGTAAGTACATAATAACCATCACCAACGGTTCTTTCTTCCCAGTGTGATGACTAACAACTATATTAATTAGATGCTTGCCTTCGGTCTTACATCACGATTCTTCCTGAAACGGGACAACCGCAGGTTGTTGTCCTTCGCCGTATCGAAGGCATCAGATGGAACCACACAAGCAAGAGTTCGAAGGCCTCTGGCGAGACTCCGGCGTATGTAACTGTTGAGGGTACACACCGTCTTGATGAAATAAGCCTGGTGCTTCATTTTCATCGAGCTTTGATTGATACCACCTCCTTGCACATGATCAAGCTTGACTATGCCCTTCAAATCCATGGTCTTCCGAGCATCGAGAGCACTGGTTTTGCTACGTATGTCCGTTATTTAGAGCAACAAAGACCACACGTCGAGATATCCAGGCTTTTCTGGGCGGAGACGCTCACTGAAGTTGTTCCTCAGCCTATTTTTGGTCTTTCTCCGGTCTTCTTCGACAAGACTCACAACGCTACTCAAGACAGGCACGGAGTTAGTGCTGTCATTCGTGGGTCCGAATTAGCCAAGCTCAACGATCTCAATGCATCTCATGGACTGGCGTCCTGGCGTCAGACTTTCTTCGAACTCGTTTGGGCACATGTCTTGAGCGCTCACACTGGCTCAGACGAAGTTGTCTTCGGTACTGTGCGCCGAGATGAGAACTTCATCGGTTCAGACACCTGCATTGGTTGTGTTGATCAAACATATCCTGTCCGGTTTCGTGTTGCTGGCGACCAAAAGCTGACCGTCCTAGACGCCTCTAGAGCTCTTGACGTCTACCACAGCCAGGCTGGTCGCCATGCATTCGTTGGACTTGAGGAAATCCAACGTCAATTCCGATATAGCCATGTCGTAGAGACGGCCGTCAGCTACAGTCAGACGACAAACGCCCCTTGCATCGCCCCAGGGCTGAGATCGTTTCCAGTTGTGCTATGCATTAGCGACGCTGGAGTGCTGAGGGTGACGCTCAAATGTAAGGCTTACATCCCATTGGAAGAAATTGAGATTGTCTTGCAGCATTTCGTGGCTGGCATCCTCAATGTCTCGTCGAAGATGAGCCTCGAGAAAGACTACCGTTTATCAAACGTCGATCTTATCTCGGAAGACGAAAAGCACGCGCTTATCCCACGATCGCTTGCCACCCCCACGGTTCAGCTCACAACGATTTCAGCTCTTTTTGAGAAGACTGCGGCCTTGCATCCCTCAAAAATCGCTGTTGATTTTGAGGGGAGCCTCTCGCTAACCTTTTCTGAGCTTAACAGCAAAGCCAATGTTCTCGCTAGAAGGCTCAAACTTGAAAAAGGGTCACTGGTGCCGATTCTTTCGGAGCGATCTATCTACCTTGTGGTAGCAATCCTTGCTGTACTCAAGTCTGGTGCTGCTTACACAGTTCTTGACCCGGAAATACCCACCAGCCGTCTGGAGCAAATAGTTGACGATTGTAAGCCTGCCACAATTTTGGCCAGTCGCCAGTACATCAACGTTTTCCTCAATGCCACCGATATACAGCAAGTTCTTTATTCAGGATATGGTACATCTCCTTCGTCTCCAGCAGAGCTCGACAATCTCAACATTGAGGTTGACCCTGAAGATCGCTGCTATATCATCTACACTTCCGGTAGCACGGGCAAGCCCAAGGGCGCAGTACTCACACACCGTGCTGCCACCAGTGGCATGGTGTATCATTCTCTCAACGGCCTTGACCGTTGGCTGCTTTTCTACAATCCCAGCTTCAGTGCTGCTCAGAGGACTATTCTGGGAACTCTGGTACACGGAGGAACCCTGGTGCTGGCAAGCAAAGAATCTCTTACCAATGACCTTGCTGGTGTTGTCAATAGGCTCTCAGTGGATTCACTTGGCATCACCCCCTCGGCTTTGGCACTTCTGAAGCCTGACCAAGTCCCAGGTCTCAAGCAGATCACGCTTGTCGGTGAGCAGATTCCTCAAGATCTAGTCGAAATCTGGTCAAAACGAGATAGCCTTCGCCTAAGAAATACATACGGGCTAAGCGAGTGCACTCAGCTCAATTTTGGGCGTGAGCTTCGTGCGCAGCCGGGAGGCGTGGCCAATCCTCGCATAGTTGGTTCTCCTGCCGACACTACACATGCATTCATTCTCCAGCAAGGTACCACAGAACCTTCACCGTTACTCGTTTCTGGTGAACTCTGCCTGTCCGGCCCACAGCTTGCTGAGGGCTACATCAACGAGCCTGCGCTGACAGCGCGCGTCTTCATCGACAACCCCTTCGGTCCTGGCAAGCTCTACCGCACAGGCGACAAAGCTCGCCGTCTTGCCGATGGCCAGATTGAGATTCAGGGTCGCATTGATATGCAAGCCAAGATCAACGGTCAAAAAGTTGAGCCCGTAGAGATCGATCGATTGCTTCGCGCGGTTAGTGTTTTCGAAGCATCCATCACTCTTGCGGTCCATCTGGAAGATCGCACCGTACTGGCTACAGGGGTTGTTCTTCCTCGAAGCAGTGTCTTCAGGAATGCAGTTCTCGCTGCTCGGGAATACTTGCGCAAAAGACTACCTGCCTACATGGTGCCTGGTATCTGGTTTCCCGTACAAGAAATTCCTAAAAACGCGAACGGCAAGGTCAACTATGCTCGACTACGTGACTTGGTCAAGGAATTGGGAACCTTCGGATTTGCCAAGCTCATGGAAACTGAAGGTTCCATGTCCAGCATCAACAGTATCACGGATGATGTTGAGATTAATATCGCATCGTCTTGGTCAGCCATTCTTGGAGTTAACCAGTCTATCATTCGCCGATCGCACTCGTTTTCTGATCTCGGGGGAACCTCTATCCACGCGATCCAAGTCATTTCTGAGCTTCGCAAGTCTGGAATTTCCGTGGATTTGGGCGACCTCCTAGGCGAGAGCTCTCTCGAAGCGGTTGCAGCTCGTTCTCAAGCCTTCAACGCCGATGCTCAGCACGAACCAGAACCTTTCTCTCTTCTTGCTGATCTTGATCTTGCGTCAAAGTTGCAAAATGACGGAGGCATCATTGATGCGTACCCTGCCACTCCATTCCAGGAGGCTATGCTGGCATCGATGAACACACCATCCGATCCGTACACCTACTCCAGGACTTGGGATGTCAGCAATCTTGATCTCGCGCTACTAAGGCAGAGTTTCGAGCAGGTGTTTCGTCATCGGGATATTCTGCGAACTGTTTTCGTCCCACACAAACGATCCTTTATGCAAACAATTCGCGACGATCTAGCTCTTCCTTGGATCGAGTGCAAGGATTCGCTTGAATCCTCCATGTCACAAGAGACCGTTCACCAGTGGGAGTTGAATGGTCCCTTGTGGAAAGTCACAGTTTTTTCCAACCAAATTTTGGTTGTGACGATGCACCACTCTCTCTTCGACTTCTGGTCTCATCGATTCCTTTATGACGATGTCGCGGCGGTTTACTTGGGCAACCCCATTCCTCAAAGGCCGAAATTCAACAATTTTGTAAGGCATTTACTGAGCCAAGAGGATAATGCTCATCAGACTTTTTGGTCAAGCTATCTTGAAGGGGCGGATCTAGCAAAGTTGAACTACAGCCCGCTCGACCAGACTAACAAGATCGAGGTGAGCCTGGACATCAGTCTCGGCAAGCGTGCTGGCAGTGTCGGTCTTACTCTCGGTTCCGTTGTTTACAGCGCTTGGGCGATCCTTCTTTCACGTCACTTGGGAATTGACGACGTTACGTTCGCCACAACTGTTTCTGGTAGAGAGACTCCTGTGGCCGGTATTCACGACATCGACGGCCCTACCATGACCACCGTACCTCAGCGCGTTAAACTGGAGCCCAATGCTACCCTTAGAGACGTTTGTAAGAGTACCCTTTCTGGTTTTACTCGGCTGTTGAAGCACTCGCAACTCGGGATGCTCGGGGCGCTACGTGCCGGAAACCTCCCCTCCCACGCCATTGACACACTTGTCAACATCCTGGTCAAAAACGGCGATGCAGAAACTGGAACCAAGGATAGCCAAGGTGTGTTCAGGATGTACGGTCGCCGGACACAATGGGCTTCTGGCTCCGACACAACTGTTCTTGAAGTTGAGGAAGACAGAGATATCACCATCGTTCGTCTAGTCAGCACTATGGAGTCTCGCCGATTGGAGTTTGTCAAGAACTCCTTCCTGAGGCTTGTTACTCTTCTAGTGGAACAGCCTGATGCAAAACTTGCGTCGACAGCAATCATTGACGACACCGAGTACGACTTCATCTACAACACACTTTCCAACCGTAAAACTTTGCATATCCCTGAGGCAGAGTTTCTCCACAGTTCGTTTGAGAGAATCGCCCGTGACGCGCCAGATACCGTCGCTATTGACTTCAATGGCGAGGAAGTGATTTCGTATGGCACGCTGGACAATCTGGCAAATCGCCTCGCGCACACTCTGCTCGACCACGACGTTCAACCGGGAGACTTAATTCCACTCATGCTTGACAAGTCAGTCGACATGATGGTTGCTATCCTGGGTGTCATGAAAGCAGGAGGAGCGTATGTTCCACTCAGCCCGGATAATCCCAGCGAGAGAAATGCGTACGTTGTTTCCGATACCAAGGCGAAGCTTCTGGTGATTCATCCCCAACATGCTGCTTTCGGCTCATACGTCGGTGAACTCCATGGAGTCAAAATGTTGGTTTTGCAGAATCACCACGAGCTGCCCGCCTTGACTAGAAATGGCCGCGATGCGAACGTCGCACCTGTTATTAATTCGACACCGGACGCTCTCGCCTACCTGATTTATACATCTGGTAGCACTGGCATGCCCAAAGGCGTCAAAGTTCCGCACAGAGCAGCGGCAGCGGCAGTCAAGAGCATGGCGCAAGTTGAAGGCCGGTTTCAAGGCACTTGGCGGACGTTGCAGTTTGCCAATTACGTCTTCGATGCGTCTGTGCAAGACTTCTTCAACACGCTCAGCACAGGTGGCACGCTTTGCATGGCCCCAATGGAGACACTGCTTTCTGACATTGTTGGCTGCATCAACCGGATGAACGCCCGGCAATCCATTATCACACCAACGGTCGCCAAGCTATTTGGTCCCAAAGACGTTCCAGGGTTTGAGACTCTCATTGTTGGCGGCGAGCCTTTGACTTCAGATGTTGTCGACGTCTGGGGACCACACTGCAAAATTCTGAACGTCTACGGTCCAACCGAGACCTCCATGGTTGTGACAACGAAGGACGTCGAAGGGTCGTCGGGCGCTAAAGGTCACCGCATTGGTAACATTGGTGCGCCATTTCCGACCGTCATGGCTTTCATCGTCAACCCAGATGGCGAGGAACTAGTGCCGTATGGTGCAGTCGGCGAACTATGCATCGCAGGACCACAAGTCACTGATGGATATATGAACCGGCCTGATTTGACAGAAGCGGCCTACATAGAAAGCAAACAACTTGGGACACGCATCTACCGGACAGGAGACTTGGCTCGGTGGCTGCCCGCGGGCGAGATCGAGTGTTTGGGTCGCAAAGACAACCAAGTCAAGATCCACGGCCACCGCATCGAACTTGGCGAAGTTGAGAACGTCATCCGTCGTTCCGGTCTTGTCAAGGACACGGTAGCCATAGTTGCAAATGTCCAAGACAAGACTCATCTAGTTACTTTTTGCATCTTTGACGAAACCATTGTCGCCATCGACAAGTCTGGCACTCAGGATCCATCACCCTTCCAAAGTGTCGTCACCGAGCTACGCCAAAGCTTGGGCTCACTTGCCACATACATGATTCCCAAGTTCGTCATTCCTATGACAACATTCCCAAAGCTTCCGTCGCGCAAGGTCGACCGTAAATCCCTGAAGAAGACAGTCGATGAGCTCAGCCGAGAATATTTGGCGCAATGTATGTTTGAGAATCCGGGAGAGAAACATGAAGTTATCCCCGTACAAACTCTAACAGAAGAGACGCTGGAACTGGTTTGGGCGGACATCTTTGGGGTCTCCACGAGTCAAATTGGACGCGAGGCTAATTTCTTCACCCTTGGCGGTGACTCCATCTCCGCCATCAGCCTCACTGGTCAGTTACGTCGAGTCGGATACTCACTGACCGTGCTGGACATTCTTAAGTCCCCCAAGTTGAAGGAAATGGCGACTACTTTGAAGAAACTGAATAAGGAGAAATCTTCGGTCAAGAAAGTGTTCGAGGTTCCAGAAGTTGTCAAAGTGGCTGCCAAAAAAAGCGGTTTGATATGGGACGAGCATGTTGATTATGGTGAGTATTATTCTGGCTACCTTTAGCCAACGCTTTTCTGTGTACAGAATCGCAGCTAATGAGTATTATTTCAGCTTATCCATGCCCGCCCGGTCAAACAGAGTTCTTGAAGCAGGGCAATCGAGACTCTCAAATGTGGGCTCTGCAAACTGTCCGGCGGATGACGCCGGACATTAGCCCAGAAACCTGGGTCGAGGCAACTGTTCGTCTCACAGAAGTCAACGAAATCCTAAGAACGACTTGGATCAAAGTGTTTGAAGACGACTGGGTTGGAGTTATTCTTCGCAGCCCTGAACTGAACCTTACAAAGGTGGCTCTAGAGTCAGAGGAAGAGATCTCAGGCTTCATCGAAGACTTCTGGCAGACGCGTTTCGAATTTGGGCGTCCTTTCATCAAATACGCAATCATCACGCATGGGGATTCATCCTGGGACCTTGTAATCAAGATGGACCACGCTGTGTATGATGGCACCTTACTGCGCGTGTTCGATGACCACTTTGGCGCTATCCTTCGAGGGGAAGCCATAACACCACGCGTCGAATTTCGTGATTTCGTCCAGCACGTCTTTCAGGAAGACAAGTCGTCTTCCTTAGACTTTTGGAGATCGAAGATGGCCGGTTTGAGTCCGGTTCATCAGTACTTGCATGGCCGTGATCTTGCAGCAATGTCTTCGCCAAAGGTCACGAGCAGTTTGCGGAGAGAAATCGACACAACAAACATTGAACAGGCAGCCACCCAACTCGGTGTAACTCCCAGCATCATCTTCCAGGGTGCTTTCTCTCTCTGGATGGCGGCAGCGACTGGGACCACTGACGTCAGGTTCGATTACCTCTTGAGCGGTCGCAATGTGGCGCTGCCTGATCCTCAATCCATCAATGGCACGCTAGCAAACTTTTTGCCGTTCCGTACACACATCCACCGAAATCAGCCGGTGCATCGTTTCCTCTTGGACCTGCAAGACGACTTCTGGGCGGTGACCGAGAATGGTCTCGTCGGTCTCGATGATATATACCGCGTCACGGGACTGTCTCGTGAGGCGTATGGCAATCGGGTCTTGTTCCTGTCTCAGCCATTTGAACCTGCAGCTAAAGACGATCCCAACGGCCGCTATCGATGGCTGGTCATGGCGAAGTCCAAGGTGCGCATGTACCAGCCCTATGCGTTGGTTATCGAAGTTTCCAAGTCGCTTGGCGAACGTCACATTCTCAAGATCATGTATGACAACACTGTATTCGACTTGGCTGTGGCAGAAAGGATTGCAGACGACATAACTGAGCTTGTTGGGGTTCTTGCAGACATGAGCAAAAAAGACCTGGCGCTAGAAGTATTGTAGACATGCCTGTAATTTCGCTGAGACTGAATGCAAGGTTCCAAAACTACCGACAAAGGGATGAACTCAAATACAACGTTAATTTTTTTTATTGAGCTGTATTTCTTTAAAGGTTTGTCGCTACGATCTCGTCGGAAAGATACGAAAGCGGTGCGGTCATTTATTTGAGGCTTTGTTTCCGACCACCTCGGCAACTATCTCCATAATTCTGAACGTTCCACCCTTGGCACGGAACGCCCAGAGAGACCAAGCAGCCAAGAAGATGGCAAGCTGACTGAAGCTTTGCGGCGCCGGCACAACGGCCAGATCCCATTTCTTGGCCAACCCTCCACCATCTGCTCCCCCGCAACTCACTCTCCACGTTACGACGCGGAGGCGGACAGGGGCTTTCACTGAAAAGATGGATCACTGGGGGAAATGGGGTTTGCGAGCGGGGACTTAAGGCTAACGACGCAGGTCGAATCCGTTCGGCTGTTAGCTAGGTTTTCTCCGGCGACCACCGTAGAGAAATTCCATCAATCAATTGCTTGCATAGACTGTACGGCGCAGTTGACCACTGGGGTCTAATGCAGGCCACCTGCACAATCTCCGAATCCTCCTCAGCTTGAGTCCTTCTTGTTCCCATCTTCCCCAGCTTCTACCCTCGTCGTGGTAGGTCTAAGGCTGGTCTTCCAGAGCAAGGCCTGAAGAGCACCGGTGTGGCGGTCTACTTTTTACGCGAGTGGAGTAATGTAGAGGCTGAACGAGAGGAGAAACGAGTGCGTGATAGGTGGAATGGCTTGCGTTTGTTTCTCCTTCGTGCAGTGCGTCCTGGTTCTTTCCAGTTGGCTGGGCGAAGCGAGGTTAACTCATTATCGCTCCAGCTAATTTCTTATTCCCCTGCCACATTACCCCGACTTTTCAGCGGTATCCAGAAATTTCGAGCACAAACGTTGTTGGATGTTGACGATCGCCTAAATTCGAGAGAGACAGGGTGGCATACGTCTGTCTTGGCGATGCAGGTCCATTGCCAAGCGACGCGAGTATATGAAGAGGCTCGCTCTCCAAGAGTAAGATGGAAGGCTGATCACCTCTCCTGAGCAGCCTCTTCTCTTGGCAACTCACTTGGCAACCCTAACAAACGTGTGTTTCCTCGTCGCCCAAACCCGCACGCAGCCATGAGAGTCTCATCCCTTCTCGCCACCTTGGTAGCCGTTGGCAGCGCTCTCGCCTTCTCGGCCGAGATTCCTGCTGGCGTCCCGCGCAATGTCGAAGAGTTTCGTGAGAAGCACCCATTCCAGAAGCGCGGCCGGGACTGCCACCGAAAGACATTCACCCTCCGTGCCTCGGAGGATGATCTGGACGATGTGTCTGATGAATTTCTCGAGGGTCTGAAGCAGGCTAACAACGGCGGTACTCTGTACCTGCCTGCCAACCAGACCTTCATCATTGGCAAGCCGCTTGACCTTACTTGGCTCAACGATGTCCATGTCCACTGGGAAGGCGAGATCAAGTTCACCAACGACACACCGTACTGGCAGGCCAATGCCTTCCGTCACCCCTTCCAGAACTCAATCATGTTCTGGAAATGGGGGGGCAAGGATGTCAAGTTGTATGGCGAGGGTGTGCTCAATGGCAACGGCCAGCGATGGTGGAACGAATTCGCCGGTCTAGAGTAAGTCATGGATTGGTTTTCAGCTACTGAGTTCAACTAAAAAGATCAAGAATTCTGGATCCGACAAACGCTTATCTCCGTCCGATTTTGTTCTACGCTGAGAACGCAACTGGTCTGGCAATTGAGGGTATTCACTTCAAGGATTCTCCATGCTGGACTACTTTCATCGTTACATGTGAGTTACCCAATGGTTACGAGCATCATCGTAACATTACTAATACCATTCTCAGCCAAGGACATCTCGTTCACTGATGTCATTGTCACCGCCGAGACCAACAACCATACTGCTGAGCCCAAGAACACCGATTTTTTCGATTCCTTGAACGTCGAAGATGTTCGTGTCAAGCGCGCATGGGTGAACATTGGTGACGACTGTTTCTCACCCAAGTCCAACGCGTCCAACATTCACGTTGACACCATGTACTGCAACGGTACCCACGGCCAGTCCATCGGTTCCCTGGGCCAGTACGCCGGCGAGAAGAGCTTCGTCCAAGACGTCGTCATTGAAAATGTCTGGATGCTCAACGGCCAGCATGGCGCACGTCTCAAGACCTGGGCCGGCCCTAACATCGGCTACGGATTCATCGATAACGTCACCTTCCGCAACTTCTGGCAGGCTAACAATGAGTACACGGCCTTCATCGACTCGTGCTACTTCAACATCAACTCGTCTACCTGCGCAGCATATCCCTCGCGGATGAATATCAGCAACATTCTCTTTGAGAACTTTTCGGGATACACCAGCGGCAAGTACGGTCGCGCCGTCGCCAAGTTGACGTGCTCAACCAACCCTAATGCCGTCTGCGACAACATCAAGTTTAAGAACTTCAACATTACCACGCCTTGCGGTGGCGAGCCTGTCATTCTCTGCGACGGCATCAAGGGTGACATCGGCACGCCTTGCATTTCTTCCAACAGCACGGAGGCCAAGGCTGCGCTAGCGGCTAAGTGCACGGCGCCTTTGGCAGTAGCAACGCCTTGGAAGGTCAGACCTTTTGACAAGTAGGTGCAAGATTTCATGGTGTGAGATTTCTTCAGAAGGCAATGGCTGCGATTGAATTACCATTGATGATGAGTACGGAAAAACAAACGGAAGACGAAAGACAATGAGTAGCTTCATGTAAATACTACAGCCTACAGGCACAAATGTAATTTTGATATCCATCAGCTAGACCAACAGCCACCATGTTGCATGATTCCATACTTCAATCTGTTTACAAGAGAGCAGCGACACCAATGAAACCGGCCGCAACAACCGCCGCAGCGACCATGCCGGTCTCACGGGGTCCGGCATTAGGAGTGACCTGCGAAGGGCTGTTGCGAGTACCAGTGGGGTTGCTGCCACCGGCACCGGTCGCGGATCCGGTTGCCTTCCCAGTCGCGCTGGGCGAGTCGCCATCATCCGTGGCCGTGGGAGACGAAGAACCGGAGGCGGCAGCACCTCCGGTGGCCGTGCAGACAGGGATCTCGGCCGTAAGGTCAGTGAGTGTGGAGCACACAGACATTGCAGACGCAATGGAAGCCGAGTTGGCATCGACCCAGCTGAGGACCGCCGAGGTGTAACTGGAGTAGTCGGCGCTGAGCTCCGCGGGGACGGTGACGCTGCATGGGTTGGTCTGGGGAGGAGCGGTCATCTCGTAGGAGACGATCTTGGGGGGAGGAGTAGGCGCATTGGCGTAGACTGTGCCGAGGGCGTTGATGCACGGGTCGGCGGTGGGATTAGAAGTTTGACGAGGGAGCACATCCCGGCGGATACGCTCCGGTCTGATGTCGATGATGGCAGCGGCTGAGCCGGCAAGAGCGGCAATGAGGGCGGTTTTGGCGTACATTACGATGAAGTATTTGGGACAGAGGGGTAAAGACTGTATATTCAGGAGCAAAAGAGTGTGATGATTTGATGTTGTCTCGAGGGTGAAGAGGCATGGGGCATCCGGAAGCACGGCATTCCTGCCTTTAAGTACTACTTAGACTAGAGAATAACTACCCCTGATTCCCATCGTGAAGCTTAATCTCAAGCATAAGAATAAGGATTCCTGGCTGGAGTTCGACGCCACCGCCCAAGGCCGTGCTTTGCTTAGGGTCAAGCTAAGCTTGGCATGATCGGTTAGGAGGATTGGCGAGATCGATGAGACTCGCAGATGACACTGGCAGAGCGGTGGGTGACTGCGTACACTCGGACGTTGAAGGATTATCAGCCACAACGTTAGGGTCTTTGATGATCTCCAGCCCAGGCAGAAACCTCTCTAATTTCTGCTTCGTGAACTTACCATACTAAGCCCAATACAAGGGCTTGATAGATGAAACTGTTTATGTCTCTTTTCCTTCTACATACCCCTCACCATCCAGGTGTTACAGTATCTAACAACCCTGCAAGGATGATGAATAGACTACAGATGATAATTAGTTAGGATGGAAAATATCATATAGAGGATTAACTACAAGAGACGGTGAAAATGTGGGAATTTTAGGTTGTCTGTGTTACTGCATCACCCATGAGCAACCTGCCTTGTTGTTGGTTCGGGGGATCACTCCAAGTTGACAGTGCTTGGTTTGAAAATGCATAGTGCACTTTGTGTCCGCAACGCTAATCCAGGGGGAGCGGTGCTGCTAGGCGCTGGACTAGCCGTTATCGTGTCTAGAATTGAATTAGATCGTCACACCTGTCCCAAAATGGAAATATAGGAAATAACGTAAAGCAGCGAACGTCGGTGTTTCTTCCGCCACCTTGATTTGTTTCGTCAGGTAATTAACAGGGCTGTCAAGCGTTTGCTTCAGATGCTGAAAAAGCCATACGTTCTTCTCTAGCTTCAAGACAATTCAGCTACTTTTGGGCAGAAAGGAACAAGCATAAGCCAATCCAATATCCTTACCGTGTCCGAAACTCAGATAAGCGGCATAGACGTCATGATTGCTCACAGCTCAACTAGAAGGCTGAACGGTTAATTAATAGAGATGGTGATTGAACGGAAAGTCCAGGATTCACGATCGAAGTTATTTCCTCCACGGCCTCCTATTAAACTACTGTTACAGCCCTAAGCCACTTTATCTTGGCAAGCTAAGCTTTCCTACAACTTGGCAGTGCTTGGAGCCGTCTAATAAGCTTCATTGACCGTCGAAATTTCAAGCATCTTTTCCAGGACTAAAGCGCACTAAAACATCTCAGCAACAGACTTATGGGCCAGCCCTACCTAGGTTGCGAACAAACTCCTGGCATTCTTTTTCTCCTCCTAACGTCGGTCGCTCGAGGTACATAGATGATCTGTGCGATCATTGGATTTGCCGGGACAACGCTACGCACTCACACCAGGTAATCTGACATCCCGATCCGTACATCGCTCCCCTCCTTATTGTGCAAACTCAGCAGAGCCATAGGGGCCATGCCACCAATCCATGTTCCAGACCAACGACAGACACGCTGGATTTAAACTTATCTCATGAGGACAGGCAATCAATGAGCCATCACAAAGGTACTATTCTTCCTCATAAAGCTGGGTACACGTACACTGAGACGATGTAGACAGCGTTCGAGTACGATTCTTTACTGCGTACGCAATCAGTTTATTCACAAGCTTTTGCATCCCCTGGATACTTTTCTGTACTATCCATCGACGTAACGTGTCTTCGAGTTTAGAATAACACCTTGCTATGTGAATCAATTGTGCCTTTACACGTGTCATATGGGGTCGTGACATCGTTCCCTGCACGGGATGATGAGGTTATAGCGGTTAGAATTATGGCCCAGTGAATAAGACATCTAGGTTTGTTTATCGTTCACTATTATCTGTCGGATTTGACCAATCTATCCAATAGAAGCTTCACATGTGACAAGAATGCCTCCAATGGCTCTCAAGGTAGCTCATTTCGATACTGAATATCGAGGACTCATGCAAGTTTCGAACCCTAGCATTATGTAATTGCGTCCAAGCTCTTACCATCTCCCACAACGGCACATGCACCGAACATATACGATCCATCTCGTTACGTTTTGTGATCCTAAGACGTAGGATTTCTTACTCTTGAAGCCCGACAACGCCAACCTTGAGGTAATGATCATTCTTCCGGATCTTGTCTCCTATCTCGCCCGTCTTCAATTCCTCAACGTCCCACTTCGCCCAGACGAAGCGACCATGCAAGAAGCGCGCCTCCTCGGACGCAGCCCAGACGGCATAGTTGCCGGCCAGAGTCACTGGAAGTAAGGTTTGTCAGTCTGAGGGACATTAGACCGTACTAGTTTCGAGAAAAGCTCACCATCGTCAAAAGGGTAAAAGTCCTCGGGGACTCCAGCACTGATGAAGACGCTGGTTCGAACCACCCCTGGATGGAAGTTGATGACCTGCATTTCCTCGGGCTGCGTGTCTTTGGCGATCATCTGGATTAGGATCGTTCCTGCGTTCTTGCTGACGCTGTAAGCGGGCCACGGGCCTGACTTGAGGAAGTTGTGAATAGCCTCAGTGGAAACGTTGACAAGGAACTGCGAGTTCATATTAGTCAATTATTTGTTTTCCTCCTTATTCTCCTGACAAAATGGTGGAACACACCTTTTGACGGCCCTCGCCATTCTTCTGCTTGTAGAATCTCTCCGAGACATCCAACAGCGAGCGGACATTCATGGTGAAGGAGCTCCAAACTTCCTCTCTTCCGAGCGTCAGAATGGGACCGTCAGCAGATATTTTGGCGGCGTTGAGCACCAGGACGTCGATGACAGTGCCGTCCTCTTCGAAGCCCTTCCACAGCTTCTCGGTGTCTGCGAGATCAGCCACATCGCTGGGGTATCCGTCAAACTGAACTTTCGGATATCCATTCTGGAGCTTCGAGACGGCCTCATCGACGAGGTTCTGACGGCGTCCAAGGATAATGACGCGCTTCGCCCCAGCCTGAGCAAAGCTCTCGGCAATGGCGAAGCCGATACCCGCAGAACCGCCAGTGATGAGAATCGTGCGCCCGGCCTGGGAGAGCTCCGGACGAGAAGGGAAAATTGTCGCGTAAGGCTTTTTGTGGATTGTCTTGGTAAACGTCATTCCGTCTTGGAATGGGGACGTCGCTTTGAGGGCCGCTCCGAATGCATCCATTGTGAACGTGTAGACCTGAAGGACGACTCAAGATTGAATGACTTGTGGTAATTGTGCTTGGGATGACGAGTCGAAAATGTGTCTTTGGTATCGAGAGAGAAGAAGATGCTGGTGCTGGACTAGAATCTCAACACATCGAAAGCGACAAGAGTCTCTTATACCTATTTCTCGCACCATCGACATTGACGACATCTTTGACATAGTCTTGACCCAGCATTCGTGATGCAATCCTGAAATCCGACAAAGCTGCAGTGTTTGTCATCACCCAAGACGATGAGTTAGTTCAACGTTAAACCCGTGGGGCATTACATTGCGGGCGTGTCTCCTCGGTAGGATCCCACCCGATCGAGTCCCCGCTAGTTTGCCGCAAATCTCCCGCAAGTCTTCCACCCGCAACCCGCAGGCCCTGCAAAAACCCGCACCGGCACTGTGGGGCCGGCTGCTTACACCGCACCCGAAAGCGTGCGCTCGCGTGTGTGGCGGCTGACAAATGCCCGTCACCACGCAGCGCTTCACTCTGGAATCCTTCGCATCATTATTGACTTTCCAGCTCCTTGCGTAACTAACGTTGACGATACTTGATGACAAACGTTTGGTCCATAGCCTGAGCTTCATTAAACCAAGTCTCAGCGGTAAATGTCCCATCCATGCTACTCTAACCAGGCAACCTCGGGGAAATGACTCGAATCATCAAGCAGAAGGCTTGTATAGCCTGCACAGAATCAAAACGACGATGCGATAAGGGAATCCCATCGTGTGGCCGCTGCGATGACAGGGACGTGGACTGCCAATACCCTGTTATGAAGAGGCGCCGGCATCCTCAGCCTCAACGGCCGTACCCTGATGCTCCCATACAACAGGCTGACCTTGCCGCGTTGACGGACACCATGACGTTTGATGCCGCAAGTCTCGCAGCCGGCATCTGGAGCATGCCCTGGGCGAGCCTGGACTTCTCGCCGGGCCTCCAACCCGCCTCGGGCTTCACGGCGTCACAGCTCACACCCGCAAGAAACCCGCCGCAACCCTCCACCCAAACCCAGGACCCGCAACACACCGCAAACCCAGCCGCAACGTCTCTCACCGAGAGCAAGTGGTTCCTAGCCCCCTCGACATGGCGTATCGATCACTGGCCCGCACCGGCCCAGGACAGCTACCCGATCGCCGTGATGGCCAACTTCAACCGCGGCCTGCAGGCCTGGGTTAAACGGTGGGTGATGGAGGGCCATAACCCCTTCATTCACCGCAGCCTATACGCCGAGGGTGGTCACTTCCCCCCCTGCATCCAGGACGCCTTCACCACCGCGTCGGCGTACTACCACAAGACGACCCAGAACGAGGGATTCATCTACCGAGTCCTCGACGAGCGCGTGGCGGCTCTCGTGGCCAGCCAGCCCGAGAACGCCGGCAGCTCGCTCTCAGCCCCAATTCTCGAGACGAGGGACCACCTGGCTCGCGTCCACGCGCTGTACGTATACACCATCATCCGCCTATACGACGGCTCCATAAGCCAACGTGCCGCGGCCGAGGACCTCTTTCCCACCCTGGACCTCTGGAGCAGACAACTCTGGGAGTCCGCCCTCCTGGACATCAACACCCTCTCGCGGAGCTGGCTGCCCGGCCCCTCCAAGTACTGTCCGAGCAACTCTAGTCTTTCAGCCTCCCGAGAAGTGACATGTTCGACTGCCGCCGCGACAGAGACCAGCGGTGCTCAGGACACGCACCAGAATGCTTTCGAAAGAGACCACTTGACCTGGACCCTCTGGGTCCTCTCCGAATCCATCCGCCGCACCTGGATCATCGTCTCCTGCACCATCGGCGTCTACAATGCCCTCAAAGGCCGCTGGGGCGAATGCGCCGGCGGTGCCCAGTTCACCGCCCGCGCCGGTCTGTGGGACGCGAAATCGGCCCCCCGGTGGGCGGCCATACGCCGAGAGGACGTCGCCCGGCGGGGCGGCGATGCTGGTCCCGACGGCGACGGGGAGCAGGACTTTTTCATACCGTCGATGCACAGCGAAGGGCTGTTTCGGAGTGCGGCGGCGGCGGAGGTGGACGAGTTTGCGAGGCATCTGTTCACGTGTATCTGGGGGCTTGACCGGGTTGAGGACTGGGCTCTGAAGACATCTTCAAAGGGCAAGGTTGACCTGGAATATTGACGAGACGAGGTCGCCCATGCGAATGGAGGTCAGGGGAGGCGGAGCCTTGTGCTTTGTGGGTTGTATACAACCTCGGTGGCTTTCTCGTTACAATGCATTGAACGTAGTCTTGTCCCTCTCAACTACGACCACATGCATCGGCCTCTATCCTTGGCCGCAGGTTTTCCATGTGAGAACTATGTCGAGGCAGTTCTGTTTGGCTAGGACTGGGCTTCGAAGCACTTGTGGCGCTAGAGACATAGGGGCCTTGGACGGAATATCGCTAAATACTATATTAACAACGTAAATACCGGTACCCTGTAGACGTGGAGGCGAGGCAGCAGCGCATGACGCACGAAAAAACAGCTTCCATTTATTTGCAAGGCATGATCATTACCGTCAACGCCCGTCGAGGCAGGACCAAAACTTTCGACATCTAGGCCTTTTACGATCCCCGCACTATCCCTAATCAAATTGCGTTTTGAGACACCGAGCACACGGCTTCCTACTCCTCATCCTCTTCAGCCTCGGCCTCCTCCTCGTCGGCTTCCTCGGCCTCCTCCTCGGCCTCTTCTGCTTCTTCCTCGGCGACCTCGGGCGATTCTGTGCCGTTGACCTTCTTGACCTCTGCCACCTCGGGCGCTGTGCCGCCCTGCTTCTCGAGCTGCAGCCACTCGTCCCACTCGGGGAAAAGCTCCTCGTCTTCTACTGGGGCACCGACCATCTTGGCAACGCGGCCCTTCTTGTTCTTCTCAAGGTTCTCCTTCCATTCCTTGACGACGTCTGCCGTCAGACTAGGCTTGTATGTTTGCGAGAACAAAACGGCCTCGGCTAAACGACCGGTCTTGGTAAGGCTCTCGACACAGCCTGCGACGTCACCCAACAGCCACTTGCAGCTGAATGCAACGTTGTGGGCGCCGGCTTCCTGCGCTTGCTCGGCGAGTTTTGAGAGGCCGCTGCGATCCGACGTGGAAGAGTAAAGAAGGAGCAGAGAGCCAAGATCCTTTGCGTTTGTGAAGCACTCTTGTGCCACGGCCACTTGCCATCCGGCAAGGGCAGCGTCACCAACAGTCTTCCACTTGTGCTCGACGTCTGCCTCTCTGGCCAGGCTAAGGGCGGTGTCCAACTGGCCTAGGCTAAGAGCCAACTCGAACTTGTGCTCAGGGTCAGTGGCGACCTCCAGCGCCAACTCCTTGTGGCCTTGGCCCTCCAAGAAGCGCGCGATCTTGTTGAGCTGGTCTGCGGGAATCGTGGGCAGAAGCTCTTGCGCAGTCTCCATATCATCGCGGAGGACTAGGGTCTGGTACTCGAGGACGGGCAGGGACAGAGCAAAAGAGGTAACACCAACATCCTTGTCAGCCAGGTAGATCCTTGAGTCGCGCTGGATGTAGCCCAGGATGTACATGGACTGGTCAAAGTGAGACACGGTGTATGTCTGGTCGCCAACAAGGTAGTTCAACCGGTTTGTGCTGTTAGTGTAGAGGAAGCAGTCGCCAACCCACTCTCCCGTTCGCACGCTGTATTGGTATCAGTGTCGGCCTTTTTGCGGATATTCAAGGGACGTCAAGTACCTCTCGTTGATATCCGTGATGACCTCGAAAGCCGACTCGACACCGTCTTCGTCAACCTGGCCAGTTTGGAGAGCCTCGACGTAGGCATCGCGGGAGAAACGCAGAACGTAGAAGGTATCCTCGCAAGCGAGAGCCACCAACTCGCCGCTGTCAGACCAGTACACCTACGTCATGTTAGCTTCTGAACAGTAGTAAGCACACCAGTGAACATACCTCTCTAGGCTCGACCTCGATACGTCTGACAAGGCCACCGGTCTGCCAGTCAAAGAAGGAAATGCCACCCTGACCCTTGACACCAAGAAGAACGCCGCCAGTCAAGCCCTCGGCTTGGAAACCGACATCAAGACCGCCCGTCTTCTCGACAAAGTTCTTGTAGACCTTGACACTGGTCGCCGACTCCCGAATAGCGAAGTCGTTGGTGTTTTCCTTGGACGCCCAAACAAAGTCAAGAGCAGAACCAAAAGCCTTGTTACGCCACGCCAGGGCTGTGTAGATAATGTACTCGCCATCTCCGCAGACTGCGACAAATCGTCCGTTCGGGTTGTGGACCAAGGTCGAGGGGTACACTTCGCAGGTGCCAAGCTCCTTAACTGGCAAAGAGATGGGCTCGTTGTCCTTGATGGAAGCATCTACGTTGGTTAGTGACAACACGGCAAATCAAAAAAGCCCCGACGTACCTCCACCCTTGATGATGGCGGAAACGACCTCGTTGTGGCGGGCCCAAACGAGCTTTCCTGACGCGTCCATGGACACAGCGGGCTCCTCGCGACCCAGCTTTACGACGACGGCACCGTCGTCGAAACCGACAGCCACGCCCTGCTTGCCCTTTTGGTAAGAGACACACCATGCGCGCTCCAGGCCATAGTTCAAAGACTGCTCGAACCGGTAGGTGTTGGCGTGCCATATCCTGATCGTGCCGTCTTCGGAACCGGAGATGATGACTGGCAGCTCGGGGTGGTAGCACGCGAATGAGACGTTATTTGTGTGACCCTCAAGAGTGGCAATTAGCGACTTGGTGGTGTAGTCCCAGACCTTGACAGTGCGGTCATCGGATGTCGTCAGGAGGTAGGGCTTGTCGGAATGCGGGTAGTAGTCGACGTGGTTGACACCCTTGGCCTCGTGGGCCTCGAGGGTGAAGTTGGGCGTCGCGGAACCGAGGCTCCAAATCTTGACGGTGCGGTCCAGGGAGGCCGAGGCGAAGGTGTTGGTGTCCTTGGGGTTGATGGCGAGGCCCATAACGTAGTGTCCGTGGCCCTCAAAGACCTGCACGCACTTCCAGCCCTTCTCCCAATCCCACAGCTTAATCGTCATGTCATCGGAGGCGGTCAGCACGAAAGGTTGTGTCGGGTGAATGGCGATGGCGCGGATATAGTCGGGGTGAGCCTCGAACGAGGTGATCTTCTCCGACGTGTTGTAGTTGTAGACGCGGATCTGGAAGTCATCGGAACCGCAAACGATCCAGTTCTTTCTTGCGACGAATCGACCGGCTCGGACAGGGACATCGGTGAGCTCGAAGGTCTTGACGATCTGCTGCGTCTCGTACGACCAGATGTAGACGTGACCGCTGTACAATGTAGTGAGGATCCATGGCTCCTGAGGATGGAAGTCGATACCCTTCACCCGCTCGCTGCGGGCGAACAATTGTCGCTGAATGAACAGGTCAGCTACTGGAGCTATTCAGGAGATGACAGACTGGCAGAAGCTGCGGAGCTGCAGCTTGCAAGGACGCCCAGATAGCTCCCATTCATGCGAATGCGCGAGATATGGGGATTGGAATCGAGATGATGCCTACCTTCACGTCGACCTTCATTGTGACCAGCTATGCGTTATGCCAGCAAGGGAGAAAGTGGAAGGAAAGGCGATGCTGTCCTCGAGAAGCGAAGTGGGGTGTGTTCTTGCGCTGAGTGAAGACGCTTGAGGGGGAAATCATGCGCTTCGGTCCAGTTATTTCGGAGGATGAAGAAAGATTAGAAAGGGCCGCTGGAAGCCGGTCGCGGAGGGAGAGTCGGGGGGCCTCAAGAGGGTGTGTCGTAGGAATTGATGGCTTCCAGAGCTGTTGGCAGTCGCAATTTTGGCCAAGTCGGTATTTCGAGCTTCAACAGATGTGTCCCTACCGCGCGAGGTTCAGGAGCTGATTGGTGCCTGAGTGAGGTGGCTTTTGCCTAAGGCACGGACATATTAGCCACGTTGACTTGCCAGTTACTGTATCTTATCTTATCGAAGCCACATCCACTTTATCAGCCACATTTAGGACGTCTTTCTGCCTTTGTTGTTCGCCAAAATTATCGAGAAGCTGTCATACCTCTCACAATGATCACAGTTTTCAATTAGTAGGGTGGTGAGGCAGAGTAACGGCAATAATCGTGTCATATTGTGTGACAAAACACAACAATTATACCACAGTTGACATTAGATGAAGACGCCCTTTGGCTTGCCTAGCAATGCGGAGCGTCATTTAACATATTGGATTCACTTCCAACATTAACAGACAGTAACAGGTGACGTTTGGTTGTATTAACAAGTAGAAACTTCACATATTCACACTGCACTGATTGTCCAACGAGACAAGGTTTTGATGAAGTATTTGATTTCAAAATTGTTGAAATGCTAAGAACTAATGCCTGTAGCTACTCGCAACTACCCAGTTGGAGTCGAAAATCCCATAGCGCTGAGTAGGCGCCAACCTATGTTCCTAAACGCCATGCCTGTAATCCGTGATATATGCTAACTCCAAAATAACCCCAATGCCGTTAATCGTTACACTCGTCAAAGCTTCGCAGGTAGTCATTCCTCGCTGTCGGCCTGGACTCGGCGAACAACCTCGACAAGCATGGGGTGGATCTTCTCTGAGGGCTGGACACCGCAGATCTTGGTAACAGCATCCTCAGGGCCGTTCTCGGACATTAGCTTGGAAAGCTCCTTGCTCTCATCATCACCCTCGACGTCCTGGAAACGGAAAGCCATCTCAGCGGCGCGGAGCAGGGCAGAGCAGTCCTGGCCCTTCTCAGCGAGCTCAGCGGCAGGACCGATGAAACGCTCCTTGCGGCTCAGCTTGCGGAGTGGGGCACGGCCGACACGCTCGACGGCATCCTCCAAATGGGGGTTGCCGATACGGCGAATGATCTTGGCGGCGTATTCACGCTGGGCCTTCTCGTCAATGCCGTGCTTGGCGATAATCAGGTTGCTAGTCTCCTCTAGGGCCTTGCGGACCTCAGCCATGATAGCCTTATCCTGCAGAGCATCGTAGACGGTGCGCTTGCTGCGGTTGTATCCGTGGTAGGCGGCAGTAGCGTGTCCAGTGTTAACGGTGTACAGCTTACGCTCGATGAAGGGAGCGAGCTCATCAACCCAGTTAATGCCCTCGATGCTGGGGATCTCCTCAAAGGGCGTACGCTCGACAACCCACTCATAGAACTTCTCGAGTGTCACATCCAGGCCGGCGTTGGGGTCCTGGGCAGGAACGATGCGGTCAATGGCAGAGTTGGCATAGCAAGCGCGGTTGTGGTGGTCCTCCAGGCGGTGGGGAGCAGTGTTGCGAGGATCCTTGATGTGCTCAGCAAGGGTGTCGGTGGCGCCAATGGCGTTTTCGCAAGCAATGACAGCAATAGGAGCCAGGTTGTCGGGTCGCTTATCAATACCCTTGGCAATGACGGGGGCGATGAACTTAAGGATGTTCGGACCGACGGAACACGTGACAACGTCAGCGGTGGCAATCTCATCGACCAGCTCAGCCTCTTGGGTTCTTGAGTTGATGGCACGGTAGTTTGTGATGGTGTTCTCGTTGGTGCCCTCAGCGCCGACCTCAATGACACGGTACGAAGGGGTCGCGTTGAGCTTGTCAATCAGAGCGTCGGCGACGTCGGCGAAGACGACTTCGTAGCCGGAGTTGTGGAGGAAGCAAGCGACGAAACCACGACCGATGTTACCGGCGCCGAAGTGGACGGCCTTCTTGTTTTGTTGTTGTGTCGACATATTGGGTGTATATGTATGGTGTGGAGGTGTTTGATGAGGGGTGTTTGAATGTCTGAAAGAGTTGGAGTATAGGGTGGTTTCTTGAAGCCTCGAGAGGATGAGAGTGGTTCAAGTCGATCAAGATCGAATGATGTGAAAAAGTGTTGATTGTGTGAAATGATGACTGGAATCTGATTTGGGAGACGGGGGAAGGGTTAACTTATATTTGCAAGAGTGTCGCCTTCACGAGAAGGGCTACCACGATGTAATAGAGTGCGAGTGTCTCCAGGACGGCACCATGGGATGGCCTTGACGTGTGGAAGGCTCATTTACAGTGGAGCCGTCGGCTGAAAAGGAAGCAAGAGGCCAGTAGAGGGGGGACCCATGCGATACGTCGTCTGTGATGCCAGCGGTACGTACCTCGGTCCACGACCTACGTCAGGGTACGTACCCCTGAAAGTATCCTAATCCCACCCTGAAATCATCGAGTACCCTGAGTACAGGGTACTTCTGGTCAGCCCTCGCACTATGAGGTGTGTCAAGGACTGCCCTGGAGCCATGACATAACGCCGCATCCCCCAAAGCCCTCCCCCCTTTCCCCATCCAGCCATGCCATCATCTCCATTATTTCCAGGCAATGCTGCGAATAGACAAGCCGCTTTTTTGCAGTCCATCCCGTCACCTTGTCCGCAAGGCTCCGCTTCATTGAAACAGCTTCGGCGCTGACTTAGCCTCTCGACCTACGGTCCCTTCGGGCCAACGAGCATGCGGCATTTCGTCAAAGAGGTGTACAGTCCACCTTTCTCCACTGAGGAAGGGGGGTGACATCAGGAAAACACTTGCAAGTTGGTCACAATGGGCGGGGGCATGCAACTCGCGCGAGGGAGGGGTGCAGTTCCTCCATTGCGTTGGGTTGGGATGCCGACTGTGGATGGATGGGGGGATGGGGATTGTGGCACAAGGGAGCCAAGGGGAAGGGCGCAAGACGACAATGGTCAAACAGCTCGCAAGGCTTTACGGATGCTTTGATGGTTCCCTTTATCTATCAGTCTCAATGTCACGAGTCTGTTGGTGGTGTTTGCATTTGACTGCTGCAAAACGGTTGGTGGAGAGTGGTCGAGGAACCATTACCCCATCGCACCGGACATGTCGATAACATGTGAGGGGCAGCCATATCTGCTTTTGCGTCCTCTGACTTTATTATGCTGGCCTCGGTTCTCGTGTGAGACCGATTTGGGTGGTAGGATTTTGTCGATTCTCATATCCGTCAGACATACCTGGCTCCACTAGACCAAAGCAACAGATTACTATGTATGGCCATTCAAAGAGACAGAGAGGTAAGCCCAGAATGGTCACCCGTGGGCTATCATGAGCATGGCATGTGCTGGGGAGGCTTTAGCGATAGGTGTGCCAGAGAAGCTACCACGTAGCGAGCCCTTTGGGTGTCCTAGTGCCTCCCCGCCTTAGCATAACTGTTCTATTGCTTCGAAATAGACCAGCCGAGACAACGATGCCCCACGGCCCATCGCTGCTGTTGCTGCCTGTCCACGGGGTGGCGCTGCCTTTTGTCCAAGGGCATACCGTACGCCCGCTCCGTCTAAGCCCCCCCTCCATTATGGCACTTGGAAGGTGGTGGATGGAGCAGCAGATGGAGAAATGAATGATAGCCATAATGGCGGTTCCGTACAGCCTGAAACCTCGGAGACCTGGACAAATAGCAAACTTGGAGCATGTGATGGTCTCGTTTGGCTGTGGCGAAGTTCTGATGCTCTGTAGCAGAGTGCAATTAAAGGAAAAGAGGAAAATAAAGTCATTCCGCCTGCTGTGCCATAGCACTTTGCCGACGCATCAGTCCAGTGGGCAAATCAGCATCGCTCAGAAGGGCTCCAAGGGGATACCGTGGCTGGCTGGCGAAAGGCATTCCTTTCCTTATCGTGGCATCTGGGATCGCGAATCGCAATCGGGGATCAGCGACCTGTTGCCGATAAAGTCACACTACGACGTGCCAGGGACTGGTGGCTCCGTGGCCTGTTCCTGAATGTCGCTGCGCCGCCTCACGATGAATGGTCGGACAGCCCGCCAGGGGGGGCCGAGGGGGCCGTGGAACGTTGACAATGGCGCCGTGACACATATCGGTGCTGTATTGTTGTACATACAGTACCCAGTACTATGTAAGTGAGTGTTTTGGTGAGTGCCTGAGCAATCGATAAACGGGCCGGCCTGCAACTCGGCGCAGGTAATTTGTACTCAGGAAGTATGCGATGCTACGTCCGACCGACAACCAACCGCAGATTCGGCAGAACAAGTAGACGATGGCCGCAGTCCATCGATCGTTAGGACTAGATATGGAACCGTAGTCGAATCAGAAGAATGCATTCCGTGGCCCCTCCTCGGTGGATTTGACGGCGTGCGCCTCCAGTCTTCCATTCTGCTCGGCCATGCCTTGCCTGCCCCCTGCCCTCGCAGGCTCAGATTCAGCCATGAAACGGGACGGATTACCGTGGATCTTGGTACATAGTAGATAAATTACGGCGGCGGCTATTGTTAGGCTTTGTCTGCTTCGTCTCGACGCCTGGCAGGGGTTCCAGCCACAAACGCAGGGCTACGATTCGTTGAAGTGTCGAGATGGCGCCACCTCGGTATCTGTGGTCGCCGCGCCCAGCCGACGGGGGTGCGCAGTTGCTCGCTTTGTTGACGCCGACGGTGACCAAGGGGGCCAAGTGCGGCGGAGGATCAGAGCGATGCTGACTGGACGCCGCCGGCGATACTCTGGCGTTTCTGCGCTGGTGACTCCAGTCTGACCTGACTGACGGACGGAGCCTGGGAATGGGAACCGCAGTGAGTGGGTTGCGGTTCAGCAGCCACCAGTCACCGATCAGGAGTGCTGCACGGGTGATAAGACGACATGTCGAATGTCACTGTGATTGACTCCAGACTGAAGAATTGGGGGCCTTGCTGGCCAATGCCGAGGCGGGCTGCCTCTCGAGGAAAGAAAAAACCCGCGGCCTCGATTGGTTGGTTCGTTTAGGCCAAGGTTGATTATGCAGAACCAAGGAGCAATGAAGGATGGGCATGGACAAACAGAATGCGGGACAGCAAAGGACGACACGACCAGGCTCCCTATTTTGCGTCTTCTGTTTGGGGCCCTGTTCGCCGATGAACGCCTGCAGGAAGGGTGCAACCTTCCCCCAGTCCCCTTCCCCTCCGCCGACAAGTCAAGGCAGGGAGGGACAAAGACACAGCCAAGTGAGATTCTGCCCTCGTTCCCGAACGCGAGGCTCGATTTGGCCAGAGGTTGGTACTGATTTGCGGATGAGTGGCTGGGCTGCATATGCCTCAGCTGTGGTCTCGCGGAATGGGGGTTTCTGTTGCCGCCTCGCCCTTCCATCTGTGCAATGTGCGTGTCCCCTCGTCTTGGCTTCATCTTCTCACCTCCCAGTGTGTTTTCTTCTTCTTTCCTCATTCTTTTTGCCCCGCGCGGCGAATGGGTGATTCACCGATGATTCCAGTGGAAACTGCTATGAGTTCATAGAATGTGCCACCAAACTGGATCCGATTGCGTGGGAAACGGCCCTACCGCGTGGAATGACAGTTCACGATGATGTCTTACGGTTGTGGCTGGTTTACACGAGACCGGCGGAAACTAGGACTCTAGGAAATGACATCTGGAAGATGCTGGAACTTGTACTTCTCCACGCTCTGCAGGGCGGGCAGTACCTCCACCTAACCTAACGCTGTGTTTCTTCAGTGGGGAAGAACATGCCCCAAAGAAAACGGCACCATTGTCCGTTTCTTCCCAATTCCATCCATGGCGCAATTACACGTGTACTATGTACTATGATGAAGTTCAATGTGGGAAAGGCAGACGGACGACATTGGGCCCGTATGGAGTGCCTTCCCATAAAGTGGAGGTACAATCGACGAGTAATCGACGACTGTTGGGGGCAGCGACGCCTCGAACGGTCTCTCGCCTTGTGCCTTCCGAATCGCGAGTTGCCCCTCCTTTCTTCCGTCGTACCTTCCCCATCCCTGCCATCCTTTGTCATCCGTTTGCCCGCTCCTTCCATCGTCGCCCTCCCACTATGTACGATACCCCCCTTTGCGAGCCGTCACAGCCCCCCCCTTTGTCTTCCAGCTCCTGCCCTTTTCGCCCTTCCACCGTGCATTCAAACGGTGGGTACACCCTTCTTTCCATCCACGGGACGGCTTCTCCGTCTCTTCTCAAGGAAACCATGGCACATTCGTAGCTTCCGTTTACAGTTCCTATCATTGTTGCGGCAGGTCTGGCCCGAATTGCCCCGCTTGTGCGCGGTCCCTTCCTCCGTCCAGTACCGCCGTCCATTGACATTTTCCACCCATCCACGGCATGTTTCGGCCACAACCATCGTCTACTTGGCAGCATCTCACAGTCTTCGCCATACCCTGGAAGTATCACCTAAGATTCGATACTAGCTTGATGATATCCCTACCTGTTGTAAGCCCGATAACGCCGTCTCACCTCTCACTGCATCGATTCTTTCCGGCTGGGTGTCCCCATCCGCTGCTGTGTATCGTGTCAGCGGGAAGCCGATATTGGCACCAACGCCTGCAACTTTTTCCTCGCTTGTACTTCGATGCCGTACCCGCGACTTGACGTACACTTGGCTGTCATCGTTACAGACTTTTGACTTCCCGATGGGATCAGCCACCGAGTAGCACTACACCTTACTGGCCCTTCGGTGATTCACGTACCTAGTACGCAGTACAGTTTACCAACGGAGCCATCGGGACCAGGCTGGGGGGTTCATTACTATCCTTACCGATTTGAGACTCGAAGCATATTTGATGGTTCTGGCTTGTACAAGCGGGTAAGGAGCCACGGCTTGGTGTCCCTTACCAGCAACGGCACCATTAGCAACATCATCACCACCGCTACTCTCGATACCGACCCATCCCCATCATGTGTAAGATTTCCAGCTTGGGCTTGAAGACTGCCCTGGCTTGACCTCCGCAAATGAAGGACGCTGTGGCTGCTGGTATTACATGCCTTGCTTCATTCCCGTGCGGCTGTTGTTGCGCTTGGGCTTGGGCTATTGGATGCAACACTAAAGCCAATGCCGAAGCACGCCTGCACGAAGACTGCCACTTCAACATGGCGGCTCTAGTCGCCCGTCAGACCAGCCATTGAAATGAGGGCACCAGAGCCTGGAAACCCAATAGCACGGACGCCTAGGCACATGGCTACACACCGTCGTCATCGCAACCCGACGGCTGATGTTGTGTCGGGTGCAGTCTACCAACAAACTACACACGAATCGCCAACCCCCAACACGCACCACGACGAGAGGTCATAGAGCTCGGAGTCTTGTCACAGAGTGTGTCGGCCCCTGGCTCTTCCCGCCCGATGGCCTCCAATGTCATCGGTCATCGATCGTTACCGTCATTGCCATGATGGGCAGTCCCCGCGCCGATCAGAGTTGGGGTTTACCGCCTCAGACAAATACCCTCATCGGCCACGGAGCACTGCAGCTCGGACACCCGTCTGAAGACGCTCCCTACAACGTACCTTTGTTGGACTGCATTCTGCATTGTCCTGCACTGCAGGCGCGCCTGCCAACGACCGAGTCAAGGGATGGCAGTGTAACGATGCAAAATGCGCAGGCATTTGAACGGACAAAATGACGTCGCGATACTAGGAGCAAGTCTCCTAGCCCGTCAACACGAGGTGCTACCATACGACGATACTTTAACGCGTCCAAAGCTCGGCTAGCCTTCAAGATGACACGTCCAAGCCCTTACGTTACAGCTTACAAGAGACGTGATCCCGTCATCGCGTACCACGCCAGCCGTGAGTCGGGCCACAACAGTCTGGGCTAGTGCTTTCCTATGGGATAAGCCGCTCGTCCGTCACAATGGGAATCAGCATAGCCATCCGAGAGCAACTCGGAAAACTGTCTTGCAGTGCTTGACATTGTCCGGCCGGACGCCTGGTGCCAAAACCCTTGCTCTTATGAACGACGCAAGCAGTAAACACCGCAATAAATCCAGTGGCTTATCGGGCGGCGACGGGGCGGCATCCCAGCAATTTTGCATTCACACGTAAAGAGGCATCTTGGAAACCGCCACCCAATGGACGACTGTCCCTGACTCCGCCGCAACGGAGTTCCCAAAAAATGGTCTCCACGAGAAACCGACTCCTGCAGACACTTTTCTGCGATCTGATTGCACCAAAGAGTCAGGACCAGGCAGAGGACTCGAGCACACTCAGCACAGCGCAGATTCAGTCAACCCCCGTCCTTCGACCCTTTGTCTTGGCATGCGTCATCGCTGCTCCTTTTTCATGCACGCACACCCACCCAGCCCTGTCGAGCCCCGCGAACCCTTCTTCCTGATGGATGTGATCGTGCGACGTGAGTGGCCAACGCCTTCGCCCGCTGTTCTGCACCAGGAAATCCTAGGCACCAAGGGTCCTCTTAGCTTCCTCCGTGTCGCAGGTACTTACGATAACAAGCCCTCAGGGTGTGGTTTTAGATCACTGGCCCTGGTCCTTGCTCGTCTGTTGCAGCTTGCATTTTCACGCTCACGATCCGCCAACTTGAGGTTTGGCCAGAAACTTAATGGAGCCCGTCATTTCACGACGTCGTTTGCTTGCGGCAGATGGGGCCTCGAGCTTTAGTCAAATCAACTTCTACCATATAGCACGTCATTGCATGCTCTTAGCAAGCAAGGTGATGGGCCATCGTGAGTCCCAAGTTTCGGAGTGCCGGGAACACCTTCAGGGTTAACAGCCGAAATCTGACGACATTTCGCAGACGCCGACCACAAGCATGCAACCAAGTTGCAAAGGTATCTCACTCGGAATTTTCCCACGGCTGCTAATCCCTCCGAGAGATGGATATTAGGATCGATCATCGAGCCGCAACCAAGATGTTCAGGAGAGACTGCCTCTCTCGACCCAGTTCCCGTCGTTGCATGTGCCACATCTCTCGGCTACAGCGTCTATCCCACAACATAAACGTTGGTCATAGCAATGCTTGAGTCGTTGCCTGATAGTGGGTAACCCCAGATGATCCCAAAGATGGAGATAGATCAGCAGAGCGTCGTGCTCGACGTCTACGTTGGGCTCCATGTGAGATTCTGGCAGCCGTCGAGGTCAAGCGATCCGCGGGTTGGGACTGGTGTGGGCTACGCGCCTGCCGCGGTCATGGTGGGTAGTTCCAAAGGTTGGACACATGCCTCTCAATCGCTGTCGTCCACCCGCATCACCATCATCATTGGCTAGAGACCAGGTCGGCCATGGATGGATGCTGGGTGATGAGGTCTCATGTTCGTCTGCATGGCCATGGAGTCCGTATCCTCTTGATACTTGGTATACTGTCCATGGAGTTCTTGCCACTTCTCATCAGGCTTCCATTCCGTTCGTTCGTCTCATTTACCGCCGTCGTGCCGTTTGAGCTGCCGAAGGTTGCGGGCATCGACGTTTATCCGACATTCTCACCTGGGACCAGGTTTTTGAAAGCAACCGTACACTGCAAGGTTCGCAAGGACGGGCCGATGCCAGAAATGCCTCTTTTCGGGCAGCAGGAAACCCTGCGCTAAAGGAATCATCGGCGTACAAATCGCTCATAGCCCTCTCGATTGCTATCGTCGGCGGCCTCGCTCGCCTTTCCGCCGACGGAAGGTCATACCGTACTTTGCTTACCACCCAGATGGACAAAACTGACTCGATGGCCCCTCTCATTCCTACCCCATGGGCGGCAGCTGTTTGGCAGATATTTGGGACGTTGGTTCTCCATGGGGTCGGCCATGCACCCGAACTAAATTGGACAGGAATGGTCGCCCGGGCTGCGCCGCGTCACTATCCACGAGTGGGGCCGACTTTCTCCGATCGATACAAAGGAGGTCGGCTCTTGTTCCTCACTTGACCCATTTAGCTGCCTCCCACAGTACCGCATTCAGCTGCTTATCGACGTGAATTTAATTGTCCTCGGTCGGCGTAGTGGCATTTGAAAGTGGTGGCATTTGAAACATGGACCTTCCGAGGTCACAAATACAGCATCAACTCTGGCAAGCTCGTGGTCTCGACCGATGACTCCACGATCAAGGTGCATGTCACTCCTCCTGTGAGCTCTCAACTTGGGAGATTCTTCCTCTAGGCGACTGCCTTTCCCCACCGGCTACTCACGCAAGGATTTGGCCGCGTCGTGCGCGCTTTTCTCCTGTCCCCAGCAAAACAGAGGAACCCCTCGGCGCCAACTTGGCCTTTGTAACCCCGCATAACGGACAAACGACCGCCGGCCATCGGCGGGCGGCTAGGCGGCACAGTATGACCCCCTTGGCGGCACGGCATTCGCGGGTCCCACGGTGGTTAACCAGGAGGCGGGGACGAAGACAAACAGTCCGGGGTTTGGCACAGTACGGCTTACGTCCTCTGCAACCTCGTCAATCCAAGCCACTGGCTGCAGGTGCAGTTTGCTTGTTGTTTGCCTGGACACCTTTTCGCTTGAGGTTTTGTCATTATCGATTCGGGACTCGGGCCATGGTCAGTGGCTAGTTGCCAACTGGCGCATGTTCTTGTCGATCACTTCAGTCAAAGGATCACCAGACGAGTGAGCAGATTGGACTTGCCGTGGCCGAAACGCAAACGCGGCCCATTCCTCCGGCTGAGCGCGGTCGCTAGTGAGAGCAATGCACCGGGATACGTCTACGGCCCGCCGTTTTGGCAAATACGAGGGCACGTATGAAGTCGAGTGAAGCATACCTAGGCTCCATCTCCACCGCGGCGCCTGTGGGAGCGCCAATGGTGCTCCCCCAGACCACCCAGCGGAGCACGGTCTTGGGGGAAATACTACGTATCTGCAAGGACGTGAACGATTGTTATGAAGTGAACGATAAAATACGTGCGATGGACAGCGCATTTTTGGGGGGAGATTTTTTTCTTCTTTCGAGAGACGCCCTTTCGTGGAGAAGCAAGCGTGGACCTAGGTGGCCCTACTGCAGCAAATATGGATCCTCAGATTGTAGCAACTAGAGAAACCCCAGCGTCCGAGCATCACACACGCCCATCGGGTGTAGATGCTTTTGACTGCGGAAGCTTTGGCAGCGACGTGAGAACGAGGCTTCATGCGCTCCGTGCCATCTTGTGTACAGCATACAAACCGCCGATCGGCTTAGATGGGGCAAGATGGGTCTTCACACCTCCGTACATCCCCTTGGAGACGGAGGCGTACGAGGGGCACCTCGTTGGAGGAGGACAAGAAGAGGCGCGAGGCCCTGGCGATCGATCAATCTGCTTCATCGTGATTCTTATCGCCACTCAGCGGCGGTGGCCTCCGGCCATCCGTGCTGAGGATGTTCCCTGACGATCCCGTGGGACCGCCGGGGGGTTCGGCGGGCTCGTCCGGCTGCGGACGAGTCCTGACGAACTGGTTGCGACATGCCACGTCTCGCGGTCTCCCGAGCCGGCCACCATCCCATGCCCATCCCTTCTCATCTCCATGCTACGGCATTATCGTTCCAAGTAACACCCTTTAAGTCGCAAGGTTGCGGGCGATTTAAGTAAGATCCCTCGCGCTACGAACACGTTGGAACTCGAAAGGTCCAGTATTCTGGTGACAAGCGGCTCTCTGGGTCAAGTGTTAGGCTCCACCTCGGCCCTCGAAGGGTTTCTTGGCCTCCCAGCGTGATCGTCTGTCATTGTGCCACTTAAGTAGGTATCCCTAGTCTTCTTGGAGTCCCAGCAAGTCGAGATCGTCTTCGCCTACCTCCAGAAAAGTCGCCTTGTGTGTCAAGCGATCATTCTACTAACAGCACACCTAGACCTGTTTTCTGTCAGCCCACTTGTTCCGAGGTTCATAGGGCTGTCCTTTCCGGCCGTGTACCTTTGTCGGCCGTGGTTCTTTGAAGTTGCCCTATAGGGGTATATCCCCTTCGATCCAGATCATAACGCTTCACTCAAGGCGGCCAACCTAACTTTGCCTTGTACTTGGTCGATTCGTTCACCAGGAAGCATATAAATGGTAAGATGGTTGGGCTGATGGTTGATGGGGAAAATCCGAAAAGTTGGTTGTATCCGTTGGTTGTTCTGAGTGAAGTGCTACCTGATAACCTCATCACGATGCCACATTAGATGTAGGAACTTGTTGACTTGCTGGATAAACAGTACACCAAGCGACCTTTTGTAGCGAAGAGCCCTGTGTATGTGTACTTTGTGAGTGGCTGCCACAATGGGATCGATTTTTGCGCTATCATGGGCTTCTTCCATCACCATGGAGCTCACCTGAACCCGCCCGAATGGCTTTGTGGTTTTAGGGGATAGGTACGTCGGAATAACTATCATAGACTCTTTTTGTCGGGAAGTCTGACAGGTTTTCAACCAAAGGAGCTTCACTATTAGCGTATACTGGAAAGCATAGCTTTCCAGTAATGCTAATGTGTTGTCAAATCTTAGTCTTTTCCCGCGAAAATTGCGCATTGTCAATGCTTGTACGCTCTAGATCGTTCCTTGACGTTAACAAGGCCTATCCGGCCTGCTAAGAGATATCATACAAGTAATACCGGGACTCTAAAGTCCAGGCTCTATGGCATGGAGTTGTCATCATCCTACTCGAGCCCTCTTTGCGTTACTGAATGACCGATCTCGTGCTTCAAGGGTAGCAGTGTTAAACAACATGGTTGAGGTCTCTGGAGCAAGGTGAACGAGGTAGGAGTGTTCAGTAGTTAATCAAGATCCTCTTGATTGAAAGGAAGCGATTTCATCATTAGAGGTGCCCTGGCAAACGTTAAAAGAGGCATTGACGAGTTTATCAATAGAGGAGTAAATAAACCCATACGTCTCAGGAAAAAGTACCAGGCACCCATTTCGACGAAAACCGAGTGCTTGATGACTCCTCTGTTTTCAACAAACGAGCAGTTACCCCAGATTCTCTAGGCAGGAACTGACTCTGACCATGCCGTGTCAGGGTGAAAAGGGGAGGAAGCCTTGATGAGGTCTGTCCGCGGGATTTTCTGGCTCGACTTGCCTTCCAATGTCCGGATCCTTCGCATATAATAGTCCACTCATCCTTTGATATACATGGAGCCTATCTTGTAACCATTAGCTGTATGGACTTAGGTTGAATTCCTACTCCGTCCAGCAAGTCAAGAGGCCATGTTCTTTGTGGAACCAGGCTGCTCGTACTCTGATCTCGCCCACCCGCAAGATGGAGTAATTGTCTTCTCGTTCTGGATATCCTTGTCCAGCTCATATTGCATCAACAGCAGTAGCCAATAGATGAAGGACTTGGGTACTTGACTAGAGATTGAAATTTTCAATTTGATCAGATGACGGGGCAACGCAGCTCTAGTGGTTTCGTGCTGTATTCACGCAAATTAGCCTAGTCAGAGTTATGGGTAGGGGTGAGTTGGCTTATGAAGGTCAAAGGTAACTGCTCGCCTCATTAGTGTTGAAATGAAGCAGACTATCCCGCGATAGGCCATGGTAAGTAACCGCCTAATGGCTGCCAAGAGGTCATTGCAAGCTGTAGAATATATGGCGTTTTCATCACAGTCTGTGAGGTAACCGGGAACGTGGTCAGAGAATGTAACGAGTTGAAGCACATACAGAGTCGGTTGAGTCGTAGAATACATGAAGTGCTTCACAACTAGAGCCATGCAAGAGGTAGTAGATATCGAAATGATTACTATCCATCTCCGGTCGGCGTGCTGGGCTGCACATCAACTACCCATCTTAGATTAATACCGACGACAATAGCATACGAGTTTGTTGGTTACGTACGGCCACCCGGCCAGGGCAGGTAACGGCGACCTCTCGACTCCGAGTCCTTGCAGGTGCGAACCACTGCACTGTGCCGGACTACAATGGATCTTAAGAGTGAAGCCGCTTGCAAGGTGCATGGGATGTGTTTGATGCATCCATGGGTCCTGTGGCTGGGAGTCAAGCAGACTCGATTAGTATAATCGACGATAGACTACGGACATGAAACGAATTCATCATTTGGTAGCCAAGCCAGAAGCCGCGCCTGGATTCAGGATCGGAACGCATTGTCTCACGCATAGATGCCACAGCCGGGCAACGGCCTCACAACCAGTCATCGCACCCAAAGATGGATAAAAGTCTTTATTTAATTCTGACTGCTGGCTTCATTTGTAACGTGGATGTGTGTCTCTGCACCCTCTCTTTCCAATTTTCGAAACTACCAAACAACAACGCAGCGCACATTAGTCATTACAAGTTGGAGTACTTCTTGAAGGCGCCAATCAGGCCACCGGTGGAGACGTCGTGTCCCTCGCCGTTGCCGGCCTCGTCGAGCTCCCTAGAGAATTGGTTAGCATGCGGCCTCGTGTCAACAGAAACGACATCAACACGTACTTGAGAATCTTCTTGGCAAGGACCTTGCCGAGCTCAACACCCCACTGGTCAAAGGCATTGATGTCCCAGATGGCGGCCTCGGTGAAGGTGAGGTGCTCGTAGTAGACAATCAGGGCACCCAGCTCGGCGGGGCCAATGTGGCCGCCGACCAGGATGCTGGTGGTAGGGCGGTTGCCCAGGAAGATCTTGTGGGGGACGAGCTCCTCGGGGGCGCCCTCGGCGCGGACCTCGTCGGCGGTCTTGCCGACCATCAGAGCCTCGGCCTGAGCAAAGTAGTTGGAGGCCAGCATCTTCTGGTGGACGCCGTCGCCAATGGGGTTGTGGCTCTTGGCGGCCAGGATGAAGTCGGCGGGGATGAGCTTGGTGCCCTGGTGGACGAGCTGGAAGAAGGAGTGCTGGGCGTTCGTGCAGGGCTCGCCAAAGAGGATGGGGCCTGTGCTGCCGCGTTAGTATCTCTTCCACACGTTGTATCCGCTTGGTCCGCTTACCGGTGGTGTACTTTGCGGGGGTTCCGTCAGAGGTGATGCTCTTGCCGTTGGACTCCATGGACAGCTGCTGGAGGTAGGCAGGGAAGCGGTGGAGGTACTGGTCGAAGCTGTTTGACAGGTCAGCACACGCCGCCGACGTCTGGGACGAAAGGCCACTTACGGAGCAACCAGGTGAGTCTGGGCCTGGAAGAAGTCAGAGTACCACACGCTGAGGAGACCACCGAGGACGGGAATGTTCTCCTTCAGGGGGGTCTCGCGGAAGTGTTTGTCCATCTCGTGAGCGCCGGCGAGGAACTTGTGGAAGTTGTCGAAGCCAACGTAGATGGCGACGCTGAGGCCGATGGCGCTCCAGACGGAGTAGCGGCCGCCGACCCAGCTCTCGAAGCCGAACATGTTCTTGGCGTCGATGCCGAACTTGGTGACCTCTTCCTCGTTGGTGGACAGGGCGACAAAGTGCTTGGCGATCTCGCCCTTGCCGTCCGTCTTCTCGAGGAACCACGACTTGGCCGTGTTGGCGTTGGTGGTGGTCTCAGCGGTGGTGAAGGTCTTGGAGGCGATGAGGAAGAGGGTGGTCTCGGGATCCGAGTTGGCGAGGGCCTCGGCCATGTGGGTGCCGTCAATGTTGGAGACGAAGTGCAGGGTCTGGTCCTTGGCACCGTAGTGCTTGAGGGCCTCGGTGACCATGACGGGGCCGCTGCGCGGTGTTAGGACGGGCAACGGGGGGTCGGGGTGGATTACGGGAGCGGGGGAGGGGGTACTCACAGGTCGGAACCTCCGATGCCGACGTTGATGATGGTGGTGAGCTTCTTGCCGGTGAAGCCCTTCCACTCGCCAGAGCGGACCTGCTCGGAGAACTCCTTCATGTGGTTGAGGACGTCGCGGACGCCGCCCTTGTTGGACATGACGTCGACGCCGTCGACCTTCATCTCCCAGTCGCCGACGTTGCGGAGAGCAGCGTGGTAGACGGCGCGCTTCTCGGTGAAGTTGATCTTCTCGCCGGCGAACATGGCGTCGCGCTTCTTCTCGACGCCGGCCTGCTCGGCGAGCTTGACGAGGAGGTTGAGGGTCTCATCGGTCAAAAAGTTCTTGGAGAAGTCGAAGAGGATGTCGGTGCCCGAGGCCGCGTTCTTGAAGGTGCGGGAGAACTTGGCGAAGCGGTCCGTGTCGTTGGCGAAAGCCTCCTTGAGGACAAAGTTCTTGCCGACATTGTCACGGTGAGCCTGGAGCTCGGCCCACGCGGGAAGGCTGGAGGCTTGAGGCATTTTGGGCGGTCGGAAGGGGTTCGGTTGTTGTTGGGGAGGGTCGCGGTCTTTGGAGGACGGATCGAGGTCAGCTCAACGGTTCTCTCGGAGTGATTGTAGGTGGTAAAGATGGGCTAATATCGACGTCGATGATGCTCTCGGAGCTGAATTGGCCAACAACAGACCAGAGGGGATGGAAAAGAGGTGGGTGGGGAAATAAAAGATGTATGCAGCGTGTGTTGTCGTCGTGGACAGACTATGACGGCGGGAGCAGGTGCGAGAACAAGAGGTCGTGGTGGTTCTGACGGGAACAAGTGGGATGGATGAGAGCGGCGTCCAGAGCTCCAAGGCAGCCAATCACGGCGCTCGGCCGGAGGTGGCATGTCTGGCGTGGAGGGGTAATTGCGTCCAAAAAACACACCTCGCCGCAGCTGGAACGCGGGGCACGCACCCGGTAGCGGCAGCCACGCAGAGGTGACGGGGGGACGACACGGACGGGACGGGAGGGGGAGGAAGAAAAAAAAAAAGCACTGACCTGGGATGACACTGAGCTCTACTAGACTTAGTGTCGGGAGGGTGCTCAGTAAGGACAGCTGCAGAGCAGAGTCAGATGTGACAAGGTGGGAGGTGAGGTGAGAGTGTAAGGTGAAATTGAGGTGACGGGAGAGAGATGGGGGTATCAATGTGAGTTGATTGGAGGAAGCAAGAAGAAGAAGAAGAAGAAGAAGAAGAGGAGGAGGACTCGGAGAGAAGCGCCGGAATGACGTGGGAGGGCGGTGCTTTAGAAGAAAAAAGAGAGTACCCGACGATACTTTACCTTTTGGCTGACTGAGTGAGGTGACGGGTGACTGAGGTGGGCTGGAATTGGGCCCGCCTCTCTGTGTTGAGTGGTTGACCGACCGAATGATTGAGTGATGTTCGAGTCCGACGCCATGGAGCTCGTCCAAGTTTCTCCGTCATCGTCCCCTCCACGCCCGCCCGTCCGCCCGCCCGCCCCCGTTCCTGTGCCTGGAACAGCCCCGAAGCAGAAGAGCTTACCTAATGACACACGATGCGATGGGAGTTACCATCTTCAGTCTCACCACCAGGTTTCTCTCTCATAATCCCTCATGGCCTCGCGTCTCGTAAGGGCGAAAAAAAACAAAGGCGAATTGCGACCGACCATCGTGACATTTCCGTCCTGCCTCCGCGGCCCCGCCTTGTTTTCTCATCACAAATTGCTGCTACCATCTTCTCCCGTCATCCACAAACTCAAAGTGCCCCGTGCTACACCACATCGTACAAGCTATTCCAAGCTGTGTTTACCCGGCCGTCCCACTTCCCACCTCTTGCCAAACGAATGCCCCGCCCCGGCTTGTCCCAAATCGCCGTAACGACGCCCACTTCGCTCCATTTCCCTCCCAGCGCTTCCACGTCTCGGACATGGATGCGCTGGCCGCGCGCGGGAGGGAAGCTCTTCCCATTATCCCCTATCGCCCTGTCCCCCCAAGCCACAGCCGTGCCAATTGCCTGCGTCTTCTCCTTATCTGCTATATCCGACGGCTGGTTCAACCAAAGCTCCTCTACGTGGTGCGGCTTACATGCGCCCCCCATCCCCCCACCCACATTGCGATCTGTCCGTCCTCGAGGACGGCTCGATTTTTTATTTTTTATTTGGCCCCTCTTCGCGCTGCATCGTGAGTTTGGGTCGGGGTAATTCGACGCGGAGCGGTCGTCGGCTTTGCGTAATTGCCGGCGTTGATGCAAATCGGTCTTGCACGTTCGAGCCATGCCGTGCTCTTCAGTTCTGCTGCAAGCGTTGCCGATAGCAACAGTTCTCCCGGCCGTTGCTCGCTCGCAGACATCAGCATGACGTACTGTGCTCTTCCGTAGCATCGTGCATCGACGCCGGCAACTCAATAGAGGGGGCACGAAGCGGTCACTCCGACCCGGTGGACCCCCGCGCTTAGTCAATCCCGCCCCAGCCTGCCCCGGCAGATCCGATGTCCGATGTCACACACGTCCCGGTCCGAATCCGTCACCATGCCAGACACCACGGCCCACCCGAGGGTCTCGTGTAACTGTAGTGTATACTGATTGCACCCGTCACCATCACCGCCTGTTGAAAGTACGAGTCACACCACGTCTCGACCGAATGCCCCATAAATGATGCTTGGCTGGTTCGTCTGCCTGTCTGCTCAATGATCTGTGCCTATCTACATTTCCTTTTCCCCAAAGGCGTCATCATGCCCGTCCCAGAACGCCGTACAAAGACGAAGACGCAAAGCTGTTTGTTTGCGCGCGTGTGTGCGCGCCAAGAGCGAGTCCAAGATCCGTGTCGAGTCGCTTTGCTGTAACCTCAAGGTAAACCCTGATGTACCAAGTCCACCGCCCACCCCTTTACGCAATGCCATGCCTCGCTCTCCAAGAGGGGTCAGCCTACCACGCCGACTCAGCTGCACTACTCGACCCACTTCATCGGTCCTGGATGCTGCCCACAAAGGAAGGGTCCTTGACACTGCCGCCGGCGTCGCCCAGTCCCGCAATCGGGCGGTTGTAAGAGAAGCCCTGGAACTGGTTCTGCATCGTCTGCGACAGCATCGGGCCCTCCACGTACGAGTCCTGGGGCGCTTCTGACGTAAACTCGGGGTCGAAGTTGGCCGTGTCGAGGGCGTCCACCTGAAAGAACAAGCACGTTAACAAAAATCCTTCCACCAGCATGGGTCCATGGGTATTTCTATATAAAAAAAGACCAAAAAAAAAAAAGACAGTTGTTTTTTACTCACCACATTGGGCTTGAACGCAGGCTCGTACTTGCGCTGCAAGAGTTTGCGCCAGTCGATGGCATGGAAGAAGGGATGCGCCTTGATCTCGGCTGATCCGTTGGCACCGAGACGCTCCTTAGGGTCGCGGTTGAGCAATTTTGTCAGGAGGTCCTTGGCCGCCGGCGGAACGACGTCGTGGCCGGGGAAGTGGAGGGGCTCCGAGAGAATCTTGCGGTACATTTCGTTCGTGTTCTCGTCGTAGAAGGGCGGCAGACCCGTCAGCATCTCGTACAAAAGGACACCCAGTGTCCACCAGTCCACCGTCTTGTTGTATCCCTGGCCCATGAGCAGCTCGGGCGCAAGATACTCGGGAGTGCCGCAGAACGTGTTAGTTCTGTCCTCGTCCTTCATGTCAAGCTTGCAGAGACCGAAATCGCACAAGGCAATATGGCCCTGGTAGTCGAGGAGGATGTTCTCGGGCTTGAGATCTCGGTAAATGACATTGAAGCCGTGGAGGCACTCGAGGGCGCACAGAAGCTCAGCTGTGTAGAATCGAGAGCGGTTAACGTCGAATCTTTGCTCCTTCTGCAGGTGGTGGAACAGCTCGCCTCCGTTGACGAAGGCCAATACAAAGTAAAGCTTCTCAGGGGACTGGAAGGTGAATTTGAGGGGCACGATGAAGGGATTGTTAATTTGCGCCAATACTGAGCGCTCGGCGAGGGTGTGGGCGACTTCGGAACGGGAGATGATGTGCGCCTTGCGGATCGTCTTGAGCGCATAGATTCGGTTCGTGTCCTTCTTGCGCACCTGCATGACCTTGCCGAAGCTGCCCTTGCCGACGACCTTGAGCAGCTCAAAGTCCTCGATCTTGAGCTTGCCCGCACGGTTCTCAACGTACTCGACGCCGATCTTGACCTTTCCGGTGCCGTACTGCACATCCACCCACTCGACTCCGCTGTGGCCGAGGGAACGCTCGCGACTGGCAAATTCCGCGGCGGCCTTCTCACGATCCTTCTTGTTCGCCTTGGGATCCTCGACAAACTGGTGCTTCTCCTCGAAACGGGGGTTGATACGGGCCACACCGAGGAAGATGTCCTGGCTGCGGCCAGATCCAGGAGGAGCCATGGGGTTGCGCATGTACAGGTGAATGACGAGCTCCGTCACGCGAGACACATCGAACTTGTATTGGGTGTTTCCTCCGGCCCAGAGGGGGTTCTCGGGCGTTCCTTCGACCGAGTTGACAAAGACCTGCATCTTGTCGAAGTCCAGCAGGGCGTAGGGCATATACTTGCCGGAAATACGGCCATGGTTGGTGGGAATGCCGGTGAAGCCACCACCAGAAGTCTGTGGGCGGGCGGCGCCGTTGATGAAGGAGCCGACAGCTCCTCGTTGTGAGGAAGAGGGGCGGACGGAGCCGGCGACGTTAAGGGCGCTGCCAGAGGACAGCGAACCTTGGTGTGATGATGCAAAGGCTTGTCTGTGTTGTTCGGGGAGGGAGAAGCCCTGGCCCTCGTGGAGGGTGACGACGAGGATGCCGGGCTTCGGGGGGTTGACGACTGGTGCTTGCGCCATGGCCTCCGAAGCAGCTGCAACTGTCAGTATGGAATGCATCGCGCCTTCTCGACGCAGGACAGGGGGGCAGGAGGTTCGGGATCCAATTCAGGGACGGGCTCTCGTACCGATAGTGCCCTCGTTTGTGGGCGTTGCCGAGCCTGAGATGTTGGGCTGGGCCTTGTCGCTGCTGTCGGTGATGGTCGACGTGGACGGCGAGCGGGAGAAGGTGTTGGCCAAGGGACCCAGATGGGTCTCCTTGAGCTTCTTCGTCAGCTTCCACGACATGTTGGAAGGCGTTGGGCCGAATGCGCGGGCGGAGCGAATCAGCGGTGGGAGGGAATATGTGGTCGGGCTAAAAGACGAAGAGTCGGGGGGTGAGATGACGACGGTACGGTGTCGACGACGACCAGGCGAGGTGAGTCGGTCGGGACGTACGAGACAGAGGTTGGTGCTAGCTAGGCGTGATGTGCGGTAGAGCGAGGTAGAAATGTAAGGGTCAGTCAGGTAAGGTAGAGGAGAGACGAGACGATCGAGGTGTCTGTCGGTCGCTCTAGGGTCGTGATTTGTTGGTGGAGGTTCGAGGTTGCGTACAAAGACGCTCGTTCGCTCGCTCGTTGGAGGAACCCCGCAAAAGACGCCCCCTCTCTTAGGCCTTGAGGCTTGGTGTGGACGGACGTGGACGGGGGTGGGACGTGAGTGGTGAGACAACCTGGTGCCGACCGGCTGGGTATTTTGGTTGGTTGGTCAGTGTCGCTGCGGCTGTTGCTGCGGATAACGGGCACCAGAAATTCCCAGCTGGTGTATTTTGGTAATTTAACGGCGGGGAGAGGGGAGAGGCTCTTTGGACTTCTTGTTTTTGTTTTTGGGACGGAGGGAAAAGGATATTTGGGGGAACTAGTTGGAGGAGGAAGGAAAGAAGCGGCAGAAAGCACAGCAAGAATGATGGAGGATGCCAGGAGAGAAGTGGCTTGGGCCCCTGGTGAAGGGATTCCGAATTGGAGAGTCTTCTTCAACCGACGACTAACAATCTGGCTGGGGGCTGCACCTCGAAGACAGACAGCGGACGAAGGGGGGGGACAAAGGCAACTTGCTGATGGGGTTCAGGGGGTGAGGATCTTGCAGTTGGCACCAAAACAGCACCTCAGCCAAGCCCGGGACAGGAGACTCAAGACTCGGAGGGGCGGGCATAGGAGTGGAGGGATGGAATAGGAGGCACAGGAGGCACAGGCAGAGGCGGTGCACTTTCACTCTTTCGGCACAGCAGACACAGACAGAGTAGGCACAGGAGAGGCTGGCTGGCTGACTGACTGACTGATGGGCGGGAATGGGGATCGGGAAGGGGAAGGGGGGTTAAAGGAGAGGGGAGGGATGATGAAATCGCTCGAGTCCACGCCTGGGGCCGCCCAGGTCCTGACACTCGCACGGTACGGGGAGGGCGACACAAGTACCAGGCCGGCGCGAGACACACACCCAGCCTGCCAGCGGCGGAGCCTGGCGACCCAGGGCAGGTGCAGTGCGAGGTTGAATGGTGTTACCACAAATTGCACAGTGTCGAAAGGGGGCAAATGGCAGGGAGGGGCGGTGGACACCGAACTGGCGCAGGTACGAGACACAGACAGTGCGAATCGTCCCCCTTTTCGCCGGCCGGCCACAGAGAGAGAGTTGCTTACCAAAGCAGCCTGTTACCCCCCAATTTCGACCTCAAAATTGCCTCTCTTCACCGAGCACCAACCAGAGCCTCTCCATCGCCTCCTGGTCAACTGGGCTGAAATCCGTCCCTGACCCTCGATGAGAGCTATCAACCATTAAGTGAAACTCAAACCCAGGTCAATGTCGGGCCTGCGGCTGGAAATTGCAATGGGTGAAGCCCGGGATGCTCGAGGGGCTGCCTCAATGAATTCTGCAACTCCTTTCCTTTCTTTTTGCCCCCCCAAATGGGTCTTGGGCTTTGTCAAGCTCTGACGTTGATGACCTACCTTACCTAGGTACATATTAGCAATGTCTTACTGATCTCGTGTGCTCTGGCTCTACGCCTCTGCAACTGGGTCCCATGCTTACTGTTGTGCCTTTCGTTGTCTCTCTGCTTGTTCAATATCACGGTTCAGCAGACACCTCGTCACACTCCCTCCGTGCGCAGACGATGTTGCAGCCCGTATGGAATTCGTATTGCTGACACCTCGGCCGATCGCCATTCGGCGCGGACAGAAACGCCCACAATTACTCTGTACATATCTACCACTGCTCCTCCTCCCGCCCCTCCTCCTCCTCCTCCGCCGGTCAGTGGGCTGTCTCGAGTCCCAAGCGGATCGATAGTTCTTCGGCAGCCCCGTTGCCCCGTATCTGGCTGCCCAGCACCACCCAGCAAGACGTTAGCAAGCCGCCATCGATCACCGCCCAAAGACAAGCTGGAAGGTACCAAGGCCGCCGTAGAGGCGGGAGCCCTGCGTCGATCCGTTACAGCGTGGGCACGTGAGCAAGGGGACTCCATCCGACCAGACGGTCCTGCACTGTGTTTGCCCAACACAGCAAATTAAAAATGAAAAGGGGATCTCCCTTGAATAGAAAGGACTCCTTGGGCGGCTGGGACGATCTGGCGCGACCTGACGAGCGATGCTACTGTAGGTGAGCGCTAGGTTACAGACGCTCGGTCAACGTTGCACCGCCGTGGCATTTCAATGACAACTGTCTCTAACGCTAAAATCGGGAAAAAAATCCCACTACACGAACTCATGTGGTTGCGCATGCTGTTGCATGCATGAGGCCCAGCGCTACAAACCACCGGTGCAGTGTCTAGCATGAATTCCCCAGCCCCTATCCATCCGCTGCATATTACATGGTACTATTATCTGCCCTATGCTGGATCGGCTTTTTGCGAGTCCCTTTCTAGAAGGCCGTGGGGAACGAGCCGCCAGCGGGATGCTGGGCTACTGGACCCATTCACGTCACGTGTATTACTGACTAGACGGCACGTGACTGGCCAAGGACCTTTTCTTGTCTACCTTAGGTAATCATCCCAGGAAGGTCTCTGGTATCCTTCCGAATTGGGGCCATCACCCATGTAAACTTTCTCCATTGAACCCGCCTACCCATTGTAACTGCTCTTGAGCATCAAACGAGGACTTATAGAGAAACCTCATGTTCATGAGTGTTGTTGCTTCGACCGTGATGACCGTGACTGCGAGGCTGAAAGGGGTGGGATTTAACCGGCCAGCCTGCTGTGCCTCACGGAAAGCACCATCTGACTGGTCTGGCTTAGCTCCTTCCAGGCCGCCGCCCGTCAGGCTATCATGCAATGTGTCCCTATCCAGTGCCTTGTAGATATCCAAGGCAACACCGCCATTAACAATAGATCTTGGGTTGCATTAGACGTCACGAGCGTCTGCCAACTCTTGCGATGTCACAGGCAACACAGCGCGCTCCGGACACCTGCAATTCCGCCGTCATGCCAACGTCAAACGGCACCTCTGCTCTCTCCGAGGGCGCACTGGCAGATGTCTCGGCTTCGATTAGTGCATCCCAACAAGGGAAACCAAAGCCCGACACAGAGGCCGTCGCAGAGCCCGATGAATACATATCTCGACCGGTTCTCCAACCCCTCCAACTTCAGCATGATGAGCATCTAGAAGTTGGTCGTCCTACATCCACGGACCCTACCCCCCACGTCTACATCACAGGATGGCGACTCTATGCCATCGTCTTTGGGTACGCTGCGTCAAGTCAACCAGCCGTCTCAACCCACTAACACCATCTATTCAGCATGTGCATGTCTCTATTTCTCTCCACGCTAGAGACCACCATCGTCAGCACATCCCTGATATCCATCACCAATGCGTTGCATGGCTTCGAACAGCGAGACTGGGTCGTCACATCGTACCTGCTCACCTATACGGGTAACGTGTGCACAACACCGAAACGGTGCCGTATTCCAAACGTACACGTTCTCTAACGGCAGCCCAGGGTTTCTCGTTATATTCGCCAAGTTCAGCGACATTCTGGGCAGAAAGTTCATGATTCTGTTGGCATTGGCTATTTTCACCATATTTTCCATCGTGTGCGGCGTGGTATCGTCAATGGTACAGCTGTAAGGCGCCTTGCATCACCGTCTACTCTCAGGCTAACACCGAGGCCAGGATCGTATTTCGCGCCATCCAAGGCGTCGGTGCCTCTGGAATATATGCTATGGTCAACGTTATTAATCCTGAATTGGTTCCATCTGAAAAATGGGGCAGTATTGTCGCTGTTACTTCTCTAGTCATCGTTGTCAGCTCCGTCCTTGGTCCAGTTCTGGGAGGTATCATTAACGACCATTCGAGTTGGCGATGGGTTTTCTTACTAAAGTTTGTTGTCCTTCCCCTCCCTCACCTCACGCTGCCTTGAAATTGCGCTTATGTTTTGCCAAAAGTGCACCGACGGGCGTTTTTGCTACAGCTCTCCTCGCTTTTCTCCTGCCGACCAGTTTTCCGAACCACGGCCGCGGGGTAAATCAGCCAAGGATGCAAGACAAGTTGACCAGAGCTGCAGCCGCCCGGCTGGACTTTGTGGGAGCTGCTGTGCTCCTCTCCTCTTCGATCCTTATCGTCTTCGGATTTGAGGAGGCCGGCTCAAGATATCCGTGGAGCAGCCCCGTCGTCATCTCTACCATTGCCATCGGCGGCAGTCTGTTTTTGGCCTTCTTTGCATGCGAGTACTTGGTTGGCAAGCCGCAGTACCCACAAGAGCCCGTTTTCCCTCTCCGTCTAATGAAGGATCGACATTTTGTTGGCCTCATACTGTACGCGTTTCCCCAATTTTAGCTGCAGCCCAAAGGCGTAGTCCTAATTCACCAGTGCTCATGCAGGATCGCCTTCTTCACTGGCCCCGCGTTCATGACAGCCTTGATAAACCTACCACAGCGCTTTCAGGCAGTCAATGGACTGAGCCCCTTCAATGCGGGCGTCCACTTACTCCCTCTCCTCTTGAGTTCCCCACTTGCCACCGCGGTATCTGGTCATCTGGCTACCAAGTGGGACGTCCCGCCTTTCTATCTGTTGCTGTTCGGAGCAACCATGCAGATGCTGGGCATTGGCCTCGCCAGCTCTGCTGCACCCAACGAGTTGAGACATCTATTGGGCTTCGAAGTCATCATGGGCTTTGGGTTCGGTATGACACTCGTGACTCTACTCATCTACGTCCCTTTCCTGGTTGACCGGGCGGACCTAGGTAAGCATCAACTTGCAGCTGCCATGCATTCTCCTGACGTATGAACACAGCCGTCTCGATGGGCGCTGTGACACAGGTCCGAACATTGGGGGGCACCATTGGCTTGGCCGTGGGGTATGTGTTGTTAAAACGTCTCAAGTATGTCGTCTCACGTTGGTATCCGGTGCTGATTCGTTCTGGAGTTTGCAGTGCCACCAGTCTCAACAGTCACATCGCATCCCGCCTCCCAGAGTATCTTGACCCCTCAGAGATGCAGGCTATATTGAACTCGGTCCAGTTCATCGAAACTCTCCCTTCCTCCACACAGACTACTGTCCGGTCCGTGTTTAACGAAGGCTACAACTTGCAGCTTCGCACAATGCTCTACTTCAGCGCTGTCGTGCTTGTCTCTATGACGCTCATATGGGATCGAAACCTTAAACGCGCTCGTGACATGACAGGGTATTAGTCTAATCCTACATTGGATTGTCTCGATCTTGTGCGCCAATACGATGTGAGCAATGAACCTCGGACAAGCTTTGAGACGGACTAACCTTTGAGGAGGTTCAGATGTCGTGAACACCTTGTGAGAATGGAAACCTTTTGGGCAAGCAGCACCGGGAGGGTGGGGAGCTGATGCTTGGTAGCGGCAAAGCTTGGGGGCGCCAAACATATCGCGGATGCCCGGGGACCGATGCAACGTGGGCCGGATCTTCGAAACGACCAGCAGTTACAATAGCCTCCGGAAATGTGATCCGAGTGACATTCTTTCCCAAGTCCCCACGACGCGGATAACTTTGAAGGGGTGGCAACAAAAACACTCTACCTACTCGAGCATGCACCTAGTCTCCTGCACTCATTGCATGGAGGATGGGCCACAAGGAAGCTAGCGACTTACTGCAAAGGCGATTCGTTGTCCTGCAACACTTCGTCGCCGGCAGCTATTTTGATTGCTTCAAACTGTCTGGAATTCGAGAATGTGTCCGGGATCGTAGGGGAGGGGTGGAGCAACATCGTTTTGGCCAAGCTGTAAAGCCTCCAATCGTGTGCCTCGATCTAGCCAAGTGAAGGCACAGCAAGCTTAGACTTCGACTCTGCGACGATATCTCGGCGATAGCTCGGTGAGTGAGCTCTACGTCAGGATCTCCTGACACAATTCTACTATTCCCAAAGCTGCCTTCTCCTCATCTGCACAGTTGGAACGTAGGGACTTGGCCTGCAGCAAGATGTTGGAGGATAATTTGACCAACGGGCTAGACTCCCCCATGCTACCCCAGACTTTGAATTGCGGGGTGCAGAAACGCGGGGGGGGGGCGGTAGTCGACCTATCCCCGGACGATGACAAGTCCAAATCAGGACCACTTCAACCGGGAATACCGGGTCAGACAACCTGCCGAATGCGTTGACGTGGGACGTAGGAGTTAGTTCCTCCCAGAGCTAAGGTGCCTCATACTTGGAGCTGTCCCAGCATGAGACCAAAGCTGGAGCTCCCAAATTGGGACACAGGACGTCTCTTCTGGGCCCCAAGGTTTGGGGTGCGGCTCAATTTGTTAGGGGACCACACATTCGGTCTCTATCAAATAGTCTTGGCGGTTTCTCGGTCGCATTTGGACCAAGATCTCCGCACGTCCCGCCAATTGCCAACTTTCATTGTTGGGATGTGATGGCAGAAAAGCATCATCGGGCATGCGGAGGTGTTGCACACCGGCAGTGAGCTTTTGTCCATTGTCTGGCCAATGTGCGCGGAGGCGTACCAATGCCACCGCATGAAGCCAGTCTATTCTTGCGCGGTCTCCTTCGGTGGGTGCGGGGAAGCTGAGAAGCATGTTGATCGAGGGGGGAGAGCATAGCCATGCTGCCATGCATTCGCTTTGGGGGTGATACATTTCCACCGACGCGCGTCGATGATAGGTCACTGCCCAGCATTACCGGATGACACGGACTCTGCATGCACTGGATCAAATCACATCTCGAGGTCAACGGTATCCTGGAGGGATAGTCCATGGCTTCCCCTCATCCTCTTCCTCTCTGCCGGGTCTTGGGTTTGAGATTCTGGAGGGTCTGGAGTAAAGTCGGGGTCGAGTACGATGCGACCGGTTAACGAGGGGTAGCAGCAGGCGGCACAGATGACTTCTGTGTAGGCTTCCTCCCATCTATTTAACGACCGCCCTGGCGGGTTGGAATTCATCCAGAATATTGCTCTAGTCACTCGAGCGCGTCTTAGCAGTGTTACAGTTGACCTGAACACGGTGTTCGCGGCACGATTTGAAAACAGTTTACTCTTGACTTCTCTTGCTCATCGAGCTACCCTCATCGTCTTGCTCTCATCTGTCTTTGACAACCGCCACCATGAGCGGAGCCATTCCTGACGAGTTTGACATTATTGTCTGTGGCGGTGGCAGCTGCGGCTGCGTCGTTGCTGGACGGTTTGTCTCATCTATTTAGATTCTTCGTCGTTCTGGAAAAACACTAATGTCCCACAGACTTGCCAACTTGGACCACAACCTCAAGGTCCTGCTCATCGAAAATGGCGAGAGCAACCTCAACAACCCGTGGGTCTTCCGGCCCGGTATCTACCCCCGGAATATGAAGCTCGACTCGAAAACGGCCACGTTCTACGAGTCCAGGCCCTCGGCACATCTGGCTGGTCGATCCGCCATTGTACCCTGCGCCAACATTCTGGGTGGAGGATCCTCGATTAACTTTATGGTCGGTCATTGCTCCCCAGAATAGAAGGAATTCAGCTGATGCGGTCTACAGATGTACACCCGTGCTTCAGCCTCGGACTACGACGATTTCCAGGCCAAGGGATGGTCCACAAAGGAGCTTCTGCCTCTCATGAAGAAACACGAAACGTATCAGAGAGCCTCTCACAATCGGTAGGAAGCCCAAGACTTTGCTCAATAGCTGTGATTCCCGTTGACTAATTATGTGACGAAAAGGGACACTCACGGGTTTGACGGGCCTATTAAGGTTTCGTTCGGCAACTAGTAAGTTTTACAGCTATGCGCAGACGATAACCGCAACGGAAGACTCCGGGACTAACCGTCTGTTCCTTTAGCACTTACCCGATCAAGGATGACTTCCTCCGCGCGGCCTCATCCCAGGGTATCCCTGTGGTAGATGACCTTCAGGATCTGACCACTGGTCATGGAGCTGAGCATTGGCTCAAGTGGATTAACCGCGACGTGAGTTCCCTACCCTACCTATACCCCGATCCGGGCGCTGACTATAACCATCCCAGACTGGCCGCCGCAGCGACAGTGCCCACGCGTACATCCACGCAACTCGCGCCAAGCACTCCAACCTCTACCTTGCCTGCAACACAAAGGTCGACAAGGTCATCATTGAGAATGGCCGAGCCGTCGCCGTTCACACGGTGTAAGTGATTTCTGAGGAAGCGACATGCTGCAGGGCGGAGCTCTAACTTACAAAACAGACCGAGCAAGCCGCTTGACGCCAACGAGCTCAAGGGACGCACATTTAGAGCCCGCAAGCAGATCGTTGTCTCCGGCGGAACTCTATCGTCTCCTCTCATCCTCCAGCGCTCCGGTATTGGTAACCCCGAGAAGCTTCGCCGCGCTGGTGTCGAGCCTATTGTCGACCTCCCCGGTGTTGGTCTCAATTTCCAGGACCATTACCTGACCTTCTCGACCTACCGCGCGAAGCCTGGCACTGAGAGCTTCGATGACTTTGTTCGTGGTGACCCCGAGGTCCAGAAGCGTAAGCATCCGGTTACAATGCCCTTGAAGGTTACTAGACTGACTCAGTTTCAGGCGTATTTGACGAGTGGAACATCAAGGGCACTGGTCCGCTGGCCACCAATGGCATTGAGGCCGGTGTCAAGATCCGCCCTACCCCCGAGGAGCTCAAGGAATTTGAGCGATGGCCGACCCCTCACTTCAAGGACGGCTGGAAATCGTACTTTCAGAACAAGCCCGACAAGCCCGTGATGCACTACTCAGTCATCGCTGGCTGGTTCGGCGACCACATGGTCATGCCTCCCGGCAACTTCTTCACCATGTTCCACTTCCTCGAGTACCCCTTCTCCCGCGGGTCTACGCACATCGTCTCGCCCGACCCTTACGACGCGCCCGACTTCGACGCCGGCTTTATGAACGATGAGCGCGACATGGTCCCCATGGTATGGGGCTACATCAAGTCACGCGAGACGGCCCGCCGCATGGATGCCTACGCCGGTGAGGTCGCCAACATGCACCCCTTCTTCTCGTTCGACTCGGACGCGCGCGCCAGAGACCTCAACCTTGTCGACACCAACAAGTACGCCCTGCCCGGAAACCTCACCGCGGGTATCCAGCATGGCAGCTGGACCCAGCCGCTTAACGAGGCCGAGAGGAAGGCCGACCTCAAGAAGACCCTGTCGGCTCACCGCGTCGACGTCCGTGAGCCGCTCAAGTACACCGACGAGGACATCAAGGCCGTTGAGGAATGGGTCAAGCGCCACGTCGAGACCACTTGGCACAGTCTCGGAGTAAGTCACTACACAGCAGCGAGGAAAGCATGAGCTAACAAAGACTAGACCTGCTCCATGGCTCCTAAGGAGGGCAACAGCATCGTCAAGCATGGCGTTCTGGACGAGCGCCTGAACGTGCACGGCGTCAAGGGCCTCAAGGTCGCCGACCTTTCCATCTGCCCTGACAACGTCGGCTGCAACACGTACGTCACAGTGTCCCTCACCACTCATATATGCGCAGCTAGCTAACCAGACCTAGATACTCGACCGCCTTGCTTATCGGCGAGAAGGCCGCTATGCTCGTCGCCGAGGACCTCGGGTACTCCGGCGAGGCCCTCGAAATGAAGGTGCCCACGTACCACGCCCCGGGAGAGTTCGTGCTTCACTCTCGCCTCTAATCGGCGGGCGACGCTGCTTTTCTCTGTTCTTATCTCCATTAATGTGGATGTATGTACGAGACCAGATTGCTCTCGCGCGGTTCGCAGTGTGTAGTTGCTCCGAGTTTGTCGATAACCAATCCGCGGTTCTGTCAAATACGATTGATGATGCAATCCTGAGCTTTATGACCCCTGTCAGGTTTCAGCGCAGTTTGTTATTGAGAAGCCTTCTCACTGCGTTGCTTGTCCTTTTGTCCATAATCAAGTATTGTGTTTGAATGTCAGTATGCCAAGTCTGTATTGTAAGTAAGCAGTACAAGCGTTGTAAGCTGGCTACTTAATATGCTGTGTATTTGACCCAAGCGTATTGAATCATGTGATACTTGCCTCTATCTTTGTCTTGCTATCTACACACATCCATGGACTAATCTTCCGGTTCATTCAAACAGCATAAAAAGCGTAGTCGGCTGTGGAACCTCGGGGTTTTTTATGTGCTAGTGACTAGATGGTCGACCCAACGCCCGTCCCGGCAGCCGAAAGTAACGGTACAGAACACTAAAATCATGGAAATATCGTGGGAATGTGGTTCAGGAAACGATCAGTGTAAATGGTGACCGTTAGACCGGCACGGACGGCCGGATCAGTGGAAACCATTGCGTAGTTCGGCTGATGAGCCATGCGTTACGTCATGACCGTGCTGATCCCGACTTGTTGCTTAGACTACTCATGACAATTTCATTATGTAGTTCCATAACATATATCGCATTTTAACTTATTCGGCCCCGGGTTCTACACAAGATATTTATTCTCTGTTTTGCCAAGACGTCTTGGAAACCAGAGCCAATTGATATCCGCGAATCAGAATGTCCGACCCCGACTCTCCTCACATTAAGAACCGCGATACCCCATCATGGGGCCTCTACCAGCGCGAGAACTTTTGGAAGCTTAACGATGGTGAAGTGCCTCAATTCAACACTCGTAGGTGCCAATGAGAGACTTCAAGGTTCCCAATGTGATGCTGAGCCTGACAAAACACCAGACCCCGACAAGCTGGAGGAGCTAGCCAAACAGAAGCTGACCCAGAATGGATGGTATTAAGCCCAACTGCCATTTCCCAACAAATACTTATTATATATACAGGTACTACGCTTCATCAAATGCTGGCCTCTCCCATACCCATTTAGCAAACCGCCAAGCATTCTTCAGACGCAAGATTGTTCCCCGGCAACTTGTTGACACCAACGAGCGATCAACCCGCACCACGATCTTTGGGCACGAGGTCTCGGCGCCGTTCGGCATTGCGCCCGTAGGCATCAACAAGATCTACCACCCGCACGGCGAGCTTCCCGTCGCCAAGGTTGCCGGGGAGTTGGGCATTCCTTACAGTCTCTCGACGGCCGGCTCCTGCCCCATTGAAGATGTGGCTCGAGCTAACGACGCGGGGCGCGCATCGACGATTGAGGCTCAATCGGCAGAGAAATCCAAGATCCCAGAGGGACCGCGCTTCTTCCAGCTCTACATGCCCCATGACGACGAGCTCACTATTTCCCTCTTGACCAGAGCGCACGAGTCCGGCTTCACGGCTTGCATGCTTACGACGGATACCTGGCAACTGGGCTGGCGGCATGACGACGTCGCGACGTCGAACTATGCATTCTACCGCGGCATCGGCGCCGACCTGGGCCTGACGGACCCCATATTCCAGAAGCGCCTCGCAGAGAAGGGCATCGATCCACAAAAGGAGCCCGAGAAGGCGGCTGCGATGTGGATCGACAACGTCTGGCACGGGCGCGCGTGGTCCTGGGACAAGGCCGTGTGGGCACGGGAGCAGTGGCAGCAGATCAGCGGCGGGAAGCCGTTCCTGATCAAGGGCATTCAGAGGGTCGACGACGCGGAGAAGGCGGCGGACCTAGGGTTCGAGGGCATTGTTGTGAGCAACCACGCCGGGCGCCAAGTCGACGGGGCGATTGGGAGCCTGGACGCGCTGGAGAAGATTGCGGAGAGGGTCGGGGACAGGATCGTAGTCACGTTCGATAGCGGCGTGAGAGGCGCGGCGGACGTAGTCAAGGCGCTCGCGCTGGGCGCCAAGTTCGTCTTCATCGGGCGGCTGTGGATCTGGGGACTGAGCATCATGGGGGAGCAAGGCGTGAGGCATGTGCTGAGGGGCCTGTTGGCCGACTTGGACATCTTGATGAATGTGGCGGGGATCCAGAAGATTGCGGACATCAACAAAGACTTGCTGGAGTCGTTTCCCAAGTCTTACGCGTTGCTTGCTGAAAAGAGCAAATTGTAGGGCGGGGACGACGGAGAGATTAGGTGCGCAGGCAAGGAATTGGAACATTATTTTGACGACGGGACCAAAATGAGACTGTTGACAACTTTTACTTGGCAAATCCGGCCATGATATGTACATCCACGTTGGCGACTGGCCAACACGGCACTCTTTCCTACAGAAATCGCGACATCGAAGACGACGAGTTGGGATAAGTGAAAGATTCCGGAGAGTGTGTGATGAGTCGCTTAAGGGCAAAAGCAGGTGTTGTCATAGCAGTCGTAGGCACCGCCACCGCACTGTTTTGTTAAATGAGTCAGCTTACAGCATCTTGTGTCCCAAGGTCCTTCGTTTTATTTGGGGCGCATTATGAAATACCTGAGCAATGCACTCGTTGACCTTGGCGAGACTGCAAGAAGCTTGAGGAACGGGGTTGGGGGCAGCGAGGGTGGCCGAGACGGCAGCAAGGACGACGAGAAGGTTGAGCTGCATGGTGGCTGACTGACTGTCTTGCGGTCTTGTTTAGTGTTTTTAGTGGTGACTTTGATGGGCTTCGGATGTCTGGATGTCTTGGTCTGATCAAATAAGATGAACATTCAGCTAGATGGCGTGCTTTGAAGCGCTCTTATATGTTTGGACTCATTGCCAATTCCCCCTACGCCAAAGTGATTACCATACATGCTTATCTACCCCATACAACTACTGGGGGCTCGTTGACACTGTCTCCCTACTCTTCTCAGATCGCCCGCTTTGGTGGAGGACCAAACTTCTTATTGGTGGGCTTAACGCCAAACCCGGCGCCCGTCACTGAACAAAATAGATGCAAAAGCTAAACAAATTGCACGTCTGATCAAAAGTCGAAGCAAAATTGGGTCAACTTCCGGTGGCGGGTGGTCCACAACTGCGATCATCATTCTATTAGAAACGGTTTCATGCAGATTTCCTACGGTCGTGGGAGTTATGCTGTTGGTGTCTCGGACTGAGCTGCGACTAAATGCTGCTCCAGTAGAGTAATCGATATATTGCTTTTCGAACCGAGCTTGTGGCATCAGTAGCCACGAGTTTGATATTCCACGGGCGGATAGCACAAACATAGGCATATTAACTAGGACTTAGGTGTGCGATAATGGGGAATATCACTAGAAATATAACTCACTTCAACACCCCTTTCAGAACGTGTTGGCGAGCGCCAAGCACTCGACATATGAATCTTAATGGATCGAGACCAGGCGATAAAAGGACAGAAGAAGAGATTACGCATCTTCCCCCCCCCCCCCCCCCCTGACAGGACAGTCCCGCTGAATGAGCACGAGCCCGGACTGTTCCGGGTACAATGTAATGTAGTTGGATAAAGCTTATCATATGCTCGTGTTCGCTCTCACAGGCAACTGAGATGTATTGTGGAGGAGAATGGAGTCAAACTGGCAAGTCCACAACCCGCTGGAGAAAGCGTGGACCGGTCGAATTGCCAGCAACCCATGCGTACACTGAGCTAGTATCAACTAACTCTGACTGTCTGTATTGAAATAACACCGATCATGGTATTGGCCAATATAGACATTGTTTCGAGGGCCTTGTGCAAAATTGAGTGCGTTGGACGGACAAAAAGCACGCCGACGCTGGAACGTTACCATAACACACCCTCCAAAATGAAAACGCTTAAATTGTCACGGGCCACATTGCCCTTGAACTCTGTTAGATTACGAAAGAGACTTGCGTCAGTGATGCTGCGCTTATTTCTACTTTTGATCAAATTACAATTTGGGAAGTTACCAAGCCTGGCAAAATTTCGCAAAGAATCAGCACAGCTGCGAACGACTATGCATCGCGATTACACGAATCTCGGCGAGAGAAATGCTTCCCGACCCTTGAGTAAATCTGGATTCATTTCTATAAACTCAAAGAGGGAATACCCATGATGTGGATATCACTGCCTCATTCTCACCAAATGAATCGATGAAAGAAAGCGAGATTGTGTGTAGCCTTGGAAAGGAGGTACAAACGTCACGATACTGTGTAGAGCAAGTCAAAGAAAGCCACGCGATCGTGTTACCAAGAAAGTCTGAAGATACTACCGATAAGCATCGGATCCATTGCTGCAATCTGCTAAAACAAGGAGAAGAAAACACATGTATCCCATTGATAAAACCCCTTGTACTGTACTGTACTGCAACGCAACCCTTTCTCACCGTACTTATCTTATGCCTCATCCGATTCTTACGACATCGGACGAAGGACTTGGCATCCGCAGAGGCGTAACTGCCAACGAAATGGACGCTGGTGACTTTGTCTCGCTGCGACTGTAACCCAAGCGCTTCAAGTCCGCCGCTGCATGATTCCAGACTGGTGTGGTCGGCGTCCTTGAAAACACCTGTGCCCCAGGTGACAACAGCGTAGGTTCCGTCGAACTGTCACCGTCCACGCTGCTTGTTCTACTCGACTTCATGTATCCTATGGCCACCAGATACTGAAGACTTTTCCTGAGCGCGTGTTTCACCAAGTCTTGATGTTCGAGCTGATCATTCCTCGTCATCGACCCCAAAGGCTGCCCGAGCTTGCCGCCTGTGTCATCAAGGAAGTGCAGCACCGGCCACAGCCTATGTGTAGGCCCCTTTTCTTCAACCTCATCATGAAGAGCACATAGCCAAGACTTGGAATCGGTGGGCTCTGTCAGGCTGCCTGTCTCTTGATTGACGACATTCCAGTATTCTCTCATGGTCAAGCCGTTGAGGATCTTCTTGACAATAGGGATATCTTCATCAAGCTCGCATTGGAAGCAGCTGTCCAGAATTCTTTTGGCAACGAGATCGACTCCCGCAGCAGCAAGCCAGAGATCACACTCGTCATTATCGTAAAGACCCACGTCCAATGAACTAGCTGTGACTCGCCACAAAAAGTCGTCGGTGTTCGAAATGCCATCTTGGGAGCTACCCATGATCAACCCTGGCTTCACAATGCTCACGAGAGAGCTATAGCCGGATCGGATGAGTCGCTCGGCAAACCGTGCGACCAAGACCTCGGCGACAAACTTTGTCTGGCTGTACGCAGGGTACGTCTTGAGTTCTTGGGCGATTTCCAGGACGTTGTCTGGAGAAGTTGACAAATGGCCTCCAGACACGTATGTCAAACGCACGGGTCGGGATGCTGCTGCTTTTGTCAAGGCCGTCAAGAGATTGACCGTGGAAAGTACGTTGGATGGCGTCAATGCCTGGTAGTCTGCCATCCAGTTCACCACTGCTCCATTATGCACCACTGCATCAATCAAGTCGTCATCCATGCTTGTGCCGTCGAGCCGCATCCATTGCCCGTCTTCGAGACCGAGGTGTGACATTGAGAGATCACCGTGCCAAACCTCAATGCGTTTGGAATACTCTTCCAACCACCAACTGCTGTTACGTGCAAGACACATGAGTCTCTTAGTTGCGTGGGCAGTGTCGTGGCCTCTGACCAGCGCTACCACCTTGCGAGTCTCTGGACGCTCCAACATTTGCGCCAGCAGTTGGTTCCCAAGAAACCCGGTTGCTCCCGTTAGTAATATAACTTTAGCAAGATTGGAACCTTTCTCTTCTGATTTTGGAAGTGGAAGAGCTGCGAGTTCCCAATCGTGTAGTTCTATATCGCGAAGCAAATCGAGTTCTTCGTCTTGATGATACTTGTGCCGATCGTCGATAATCAGTTGAGCAATGTCTCTAACGGTTGCTGTGCTCTTCATGTAAATCTGGATTGGCAAGCTGACATTATATGTCTTCCGAATAAATGTCGAAAGCGAAATGACCTGGATTGAGTCCATACCAGCGTAGTATGGATTGAAATTGTGGCCGCGCAGGGATTCCATTTGTTGATGATCACCTGCAGAAAGTAGATCTGCAAGCTTGTTGCTAATACACACTGCGATTTGCTCGTCAGCTCGCAAGAGGTCAACGCCAATGATATCCTCATCGATGGATCGAGCCACTGAGGTTTCGGCAATGAAAAGCGACGAGGCATATTCTTTAAGTACACGCCGGTCAAGCTTGCCTGTTGGCGTGAATGGAATCAGCTCGACTGCGATTATGTGGGAGGGTACCATGTAAATGGGAAGAACCGATGCAAGCTGCTGCTTGAGACGATCAGAAAGCCCGTTAATGATGTTCTTCTGCTCCGCGAAGCCGTAGGTTTGAGTGCCAAGTTGAATGAACGCAACCAATGACTTTGTTGAAACGCCCGGCAACGTCAAGGCGTCAACAACAACAAAGGAATTTGATGGCAGCAACTTTGTAAGTTGGTGCTCAACTTCTCCGGGCTCAATTCTCTGTCCACGAAGTTTGATTTGAGTGTCTTTCCGCCCAAAGTATGAGATTGTGCCGTCAGAGTTCAGCACGCCAAGATCACCTGTCTTGTACATCTTTCTGGCACCATTGCCGTTCTCGAAATGTCTGATCCATGTTGGGTTAGTGACGAATGCTTTGTTCGTCTTTTCTGGGTCACCAAGGTACCCACGAGCCACATTGGGGCCCTCGATGAGTATCTCGCCGATGCTACCGATGGGTACCAATGTGTTGTGGCAGTTGGGGTCAACAATCCAAATGATAGAGTTCGCCCCGCGACCGATAGTATCTGGTCTAAATTGGCCTTTGCTGAGATTTGCAGTTGTACACACACTGCCCTCACAAGGCCCATAACCATTGATGAGCTGAACACAGCCAGACCAACTTTGAATACTATCCAGTGTCATGGCCTCACCACCCATGCAGACAGTCTTCAGGGTGGGAAGGTCTCTAGGGTCCAAAGTGCGTGCGAATGACGGTGTAAAGAAAGCCCAGTCAGCTCGAGATTTTGAGATGAAGCCTGCCAGATTGTTCATTCGGTCTTCATCAGACGGAATGCAGATGCATGCTCCGAGGACGAAAGCATTAACGATTTCGATGATACTGACGTCGAAAACATAGGCAGAAAATTGGAGGATCCGAGAGCTTTTGGACATCTGCATTGCCTCTGAGTGTGCATATGCAGCTGAACACAATGTTATGTGCTCTTGAATAACGCCCTTGGGTTCTCCAGTGCTCCCAGAAGTGAAAAGAACAGTGGCGGCATTGTGTGGGTGAACATCAGTGCTAGAAAACGGAGCGACTTGGAGTTCTTCAAGTCTTTTGAACAGACTTGAGTCGATGACAACCACATGAACATTCAATCCCAAGAACATGTTGGCATTTGCAGCAGAAGCTACAACGATGCTCGCACTAATGTTTTGAATAATGAATGCTTTGCGCTCAGGCGGATGAGCCGGATCAAGTGGAACCATAGTACCGCCAGCTTTGAGAATGGCGAGCATCGAGACCGCGGCGTACATGGACTTTTCGAAACAGTACGCAACCTTTGCCTCTGGTCCAACATTTAGTTCCACAAGCACTCTGGCTAGCCGTGAAGTCATGATGTCCAGCTCGGTAAAGGAGAGAAGACCGTCCCAGGCAAAAACGGCCTGCGCATTAGGACGAAAGCGACAATGTTCCTGGAACACATGGTGGACGCAAGAATTGACAGTAGAAGGAATGGCTTCGTTCCACTTGCGGATTTCGGCGAGATCTTTGTCTGTCGGCTGACTGAAGAAGTTTTCGATGCTTTGGTCTTCACTGGACACTAGGAAGTCCAAGGCACTCTCGAAGTAATCCAGCAAACGCTCCATTTGGGATGATTCGAGATACTGAGTGTCATAGTTGACATTTAGAGACACAGTTTGTTGCCCTAATTTGCACTCGAACATGATAGCATTTGATCGAAATTTGTCAAGGTCTTGGGGCCTGTCAAATCCGATGAAAGGGCAACCGTCCATGGCCATGTCGACCTCTGGCTGAACGATCATCATGCTCTGGAAGTCGCAGGCTGCCCGACATGCAGCGTCGATACGGGCGATATGTTGGATACCCATTTGCTCGTACGGAATCATACTGATGGTGCTCATCTGAATGCTTTCCAGGAAATCGTGAACAAGCGTTCTGCCATTGCATCTGACCCTCAGAGGCACAGTCGCAATGAGCGGGCCAATAATTGACTCAATGTTGTCAAAGGAGGCATTTCTCCCAGAAGTGGTGACACCGAAGACGACATCCTCAGAGCCACTGAAACGGGCAATGACCAGTGCCCAAGCTGCGCGGAGGATGGTTGTGGCTGTCGCTCCTGTGCTTGGTGATGGAAGTGGTACGGTACGACGAGCGAAAGCTGAATAGCCCTTTTCCGAGGTACTTCCTGGCGCCAACGGCTTTGGCGGAAAAGAAGCGAATTGTCCTCCTTTAAACACAGAGCTCCAATACCTCGATACTGACTCGGTATCTGCATCCCTTGAGTATTTGACGAACGAAGAAAATGAAGTCTCAACGGTCTTGAGGGTGCCGTCAAAGGCAGCTCGAACTGCCTGCAAGGTGAGACCGACCGCATGACCATCGGTCACGGCATGATGCACTGTCCAGACCATACAAGAAGCGTTTCCGTTCGCCGCATAGATGATGCCGAAGCGGTTAAGGGGCGCTCCAAAATTTGAGGGCTGCTTCAAGTCCATTTCCAGATATTCCTCAAGGTTAAAGCTCTCATTCCAAGCCAAATTCTCTTGGGTGACAACTTGAAGGATGCCAGAGGAAAGTGTGCCGACCATTCGAGTACGTAGGACTCCATGCACTTGAGCCACTGATTCCCATGCCCTCTTCAATCTAGCGACTTCAATGTCCGTAGGAAGGTGCATGACGTACTGCACCAAGTAGGAGTTGGTGGTTGAGGACGACAAAGCCATGAGTCCTTCTTGCAACGGGGTGCAAGGAAAAGCATCTTCGATGTCCTGAATGGTGATAGAGCATTCCTCTGCAATCTCTTTGAGAATATCGGAATGATTCGAGTCGTCGCCGAGAAGCTCAAGCGGTCGTACCTTGACAGTAGTTTTCCTGCCCTCAGCCGGAACATTGCAAAGATCGTACAGAATAGGTGTTTTGAAGACCTGGGCTACGCTCAATCGCAACCCTTTCCTCCGTGCAGCAGTGACTAGTCCTATGGCTGCAAGTGAATCGCCCCCAAGGCGGAAGAAGTTGCTGGTAGCAGGGATTGCGGTCGACTGGACACCGAGCACATCGGCCCAGAGCTGTCGCATCAATCGAAGCTTATCTGTCTCCTCAACGTACATAGTCTTCTCAGCTTGGGTGAATGAGTAGAGTTGATCCGACGTAAGGGCTTCGGCTTCGCTGCGCAACCTCTTGATATCTGCTTTTCCGTTGGGGCTTAAAGGTAGGTAGTAGAGAGGGATAAAAGCCGAAGGGTGCATCCATGATGGAAGCGTTTGAGAAATTTCCTCTTCGACTCTAGGAACTGCTTCCAAGAGAGGTGTGTACTGATGAGACATGATACAAGGGGATTGAGAAGCTTCCTTCTCAGAGACTTTCTCAATGCACACGAAAGCGACAAGGACTTTAGACTGAGGCTTACTACCGTGAAGTGGTCGAGTGAGCACATCTACAACGACGTCTGTGATACCAAAAGCGGCTCTTAGATGGTACTCAACCTCTGACGCTTCCAGTCGTTGACCGGAGATCTTGAGCTGAGTGTCTTTTCGTCCTTCGAAATGAATAACACCGTTCTGGTCGAAGCGGCATATGTCACCGGTCCGGTAAAGTCTGGATCGTCGGCCATGCTTGGCTAGCCAAAGGGGATTGCGAATGAAAGCTTGGTTTGGGCCCTCGCCCTCCGCGAAGTTCAAATATCCCCTCGAAAGCTGTGGGCTTTCAAGAAGAAGCTCCCCAGGTGCCCCAATGGGGGAAAGACGACTGGGGTCCTCCGGGTCGGCAATCCAGCAAAGGGTTCCAACACCGCGCCCAATAACCCCTGCCTTGGTGGATAGAGAGATTGGATGCATAGCTGAGAAGACTGTGTTCTCAGTAGGACCATAGCCGACGACAAGGTTGCGCCCAGAGGCCCATTTTTCGATGTTGTCTTGGCCAAGAGGCTCCCCACCGAGAACGATAGTCGTTAAACCAGGGACATCAAACGGCTCCAGCAATCGAATAACCGACGGTGTGAAGAAAGCCCAATTGACCTTTTTCTCCTGTATGATAGCCGTGACGTTGTTAAGTCGCTCGTCTGCGGACGGCACGACTACACATCCGCCAAATGCAAGTGTTGTGAGGATCTCTGCAATGGATGCATCGAATGTGTGGCGAGCAAACTGGAGAGCTCTAGTCTTTGGACTGAATCCAGTGGCGTTACCGTGAGATGAAACTGCGGCTGCGCAAGCGGAGTGATCTATCATCACTCCTTTGGGCTCCCCTGTGCTTCCGGAGGTAAACATAATGTAGGCCAAGTTCCAAGGCCGTGGGGAGTGTGGATGTGGGAGCCGTGGAATAGGGGCTGACTCAATCCATGCCTCGTCCAGGGCGATCACATTTTGTGAAAGCTCAAGCAGTCGTTGTTTGTGGCCCTTCGAACAGAGGATGACTTTGGCTCCTACCTGATCCAGGATGTAAGAGATCCGACTGTTGGGCTGAGAAGGGTCTAGGGGTACAAATGCTCCGGAAGTTTTGAGTACTGCCACAGTAGCTACAGTGTTCCAGATGCTCTTATCGAATAACAAGGCAACAGTGGACTCGGGGCCAACGCCTTGTTGACAGAGCGCATGTGCAACTGTGTCCGAGGCCTCGCCCAGCTCAGCGTATGACATTTTACCATCCCAAGCTTCGATAGCCAGGCTTAGGGGCGTTTCGTGGACGTATCTTTCAATCCACTGATTCACACAGGCGTCGATATTCTCAGGTATACACTGGTTCCAGTCCTGGCATTGTTGATGGTCGCGTTCATTCATTAGCTCGACGTCAGATAGCTGTGAATATGGATGCGAGACAATGCTCTCGAGCACCTGGCGGAAAGTGAGTAGAACGCGTTTCGCTTGCCAATTCGAGCACCAAGATGCTGTGTGTTCGCATTTCAACAGTATACCCTTAGTGAAGGGGTCCCAGCTGGCAGTGAAGAGTGCTTCGACCTGGAGTCGGTCAGTTCAAGCGCGCTAAGTTGATTTCGTAGGCGACTTACGGTTGCATCAATGCTCTTTACACTGGCCAGAGAAGGGATGTTTGATAATGCCTGAAGATCATCTTCAAGCGCAGTTACCGACAAGGCGTGTCGAAAAATTGTTTCTTCAGCTGAATGCGAGGGCTTGCTAGCGTCATAAGATGCATCTTGAAGAAATGTCACAACCCTTTGACTTCGAAGAAGCTTTTTGGTCCAGCGTTTCCAAGCTATCTCGCTGCCTTGAAAAATCAAGCTAACGGAGTCAGTAGGCCAAAAAGCCTGCAGAGACGTCGCGCAGGCGAGTTGTATAATGGAAGAAGCTGAACATTGAGCCTGCTTCTTGAGGCTCTGGAACTGGTGATGGTGGAAAAACAGAGTTTCCACGGACTTCACCGCGGAAGAAGAGAGCTGTGTAGGCATTTTCGTTTTGTCGGCCTACTCGAGCCGCAACAACTCACAAAAAGAACAACTTGATTGTATAGATCAATCTTTCGACGCAGAGGGAATACATATAGATATAAGAGGACTTGGCTTCACGAAAGGGGGTGGAGGGACTACCCTGAAGGAAGGAAAACGCAGCACCATACCTCCCAAAGGTGGATTCCTCTTCAACCCATGATCATCAACACGGTGACTTTTCACATGATAGAGCATCTCAGAGGCATGTAAATCACACCACTTCCAAGTTCCCTCCTTTCCCCGAAAGAAAACCCTTACATTGAAATGTCGGCGACAACGCGGACTCATCTGTATTTGCCACGGCGAATGACATGATCAAACCTTCTAATTTAGTCATCACAGGATCTTAAGTTGCTTTACCACCTTAGGCTAGGCGTAATATTACCATAATCCTCACAATCCTTTCTCATTGATACCTTGCGACTTTCAGGGGTTCACGAGAGGAGACCCTCTGCTACGTGACGAGACTTGACCGCCGAGGCTCTGAGACTAAATCGGAATTCATATCGGAACATTTTGTCAACACTGCCGAGGACCGTATGGAACTTTTGAAAAACAAGAAATTGTCAGCGTCGACGCTTCGCCTTGGAAATGGATGACCGGGGAAACACCCGGAGCATCAAAGGCCCATCCAGACTCTCGGGCGTAATCCATCAGGACTTAGTAAAGTGTACAGCGTTAATCGTTTTCAGGGGAAGGGTTGGGATTGTGATCCCTTGAAGCCGATTTGGATATAGTTCGAAGGCGAGGTGATGCGATGGATTAAGAAGGTGGGAGGGAGGCGAGGTAACACCTGATCCACGATCGTAGGCCGATTTCACGATTCACTTCAAATGACACCAAGGCTACTTTGTGATCTTGACATTTCCACCGAAATTATCGGTGATTAAAAGTTCCTACTGAGTTTTGACACTTTGAAAACAAAGTACATTACTTTATGGTTGACATTACAACCACTTGCTGTAGGTAAGACTGCAATGCAGCCTTATGCATCGGCAGTGATCGGCAAAAAATACAGTATGCACCCCAAAGTGGAGCTTTCTTCAATCTTGGGTCAGTGTACGTATGCGAGTGACTTGTATGTGAAACCTAAGTACTTTTGCGGGCGGAGAAGCTGACCGTCTTACTATTAATGTCTTCCAGGTCAAACAACACGAGCTCTGACCGAGCCGAGGCTGGCAGCCGAGATTAAAGCAGCAGCAAGTGGGTTTCTGGAAACACTCTTACCCTTCTCTGGCAGGTCGAGAAAGACCACATTCTTCGAAACAAGGAGTCCGATCCTGCCAGTCAGCAGAAAAGCTGTCATGCTAGCTTTGGACGCAATGTTCTTGTACTTGAATCCGAGTTGAAGGATGAGACCCTCGTATGCAGTTTCCTATTGCGTTATGTTGATACCCGGTGTGGTTTTTTTTTGGAGTGGATTTCTCTATCTCACCGGGCTAAACCAAGACTAGGACCCTGACACAGGATTGCCGCTAAGAGTTCAATAACCCATGCGCAGGCCAATGGCAACAAAGAGCCCCCAAGTTCAAGGATAGTCACACCTTTTGATCAGGGATACACTCAGCACCCATGCTTCAATCCAAACCTGATGCCAGCAGCCTATTCGCCCGGATGTCACATCCCGCGAAACTTGGCGCCTCAATTGGCAACTAGAATGCAGTCAAAAGTGAGTGGCGAACATTGAAATTGGCCCCTCCGGTTCATCCAGGCTGCAGCTTCCGATCAATGCGGCCGGTCACCTCCCTAGTCTAGACACGATATACTGCGGTGAGGATTATCCAGGGACCTGGTTCTTGGGGGTGCCACTCAAATGTGATAGGATTTGGAAAGAAACATAATACCCTGCCAAGTCGGACTGATACGGTTCTGGGTGAAGTCTGCCACGAAATAGCGTGATAAAAACTTTCATTGTTTGCATGAACGCGAGAAGGAATCGTCTGACTGTACTCGTAGGTTTCGTCTTGCGAAAGCCCATGGTCAGAATGAGAAGCGTATACCGATGACTTGCATTTCTTTTATCAATCAATCCAGTCTGTTTTTATCTGTCAGTGTTGCACAAATTGCTTCACCATCTTCAACATGGCGTCTACCCAAGGAGGAAATGCAACAATGACCAATTCAGAAACGAAAAACGCTCCTTTGTCATCCCCCAACTGCTCAGACACCGACTCCACGACTGAAGGGACAACAGTCACTGTCGATAAGAAACTTGTTGATTTTTTGACATCCACCAAAGAAATCAAAGATGCCAATGAGGCCGGCAACTCGGACGATGCAGACGATGCAGATGCGGAATATCCAAAGGGCCTCAGATTGGTCTTGATCATCTTTGGGCTCGCCATGGCTGTATTTCTAGTCTTCTTGGACATGACCCTGATCGCAACTGCCATTCCTGCAATCACCAATCAGTTCAATTCTTTGCAGCATGTCGGATGGTATGGCTCTGCCTACATGCTCAGTGTAAGTCTAGTACCATTTTTTCAACGCCACCTCTGTTTTACTAATATTTCTCATAGCTTTGTTCTTTTCAGTTAGTATATGGGAAGTGCTTCGAGCTCTTCTCACTGAAGTGGACATTTATGGTAGCTATTGCGTTTAGGGAAGTTGGTCTTGCAGTTTGTGGGAGCGCGCCCAACTCTATTGCCTTCATTGTCGGCCGAGCCATCACCGGTATTGGCTGCAGTGGTATCATCATTGGCGCATGGGTTGTTCTTGCTCATTGTGTACCCATCCGACAACGCGCCGTCTACACTGGATTCCTGGGCGCATTCTCTGGAGTGGGCGGCATCATTGGGCCCCTAATTTCCGGGGCTCTGACTGACAGTCATCTCTCTTGGCGGTGGGCTTTCTACGTCAGCATCCCAATAGGAGTCGCCACGCTGGCATTGATATGCTTCTGCTTCAGGCCGCCTCAACAACCCGAACAGAACAGGAACAAGACAGTTAAACAGAAACTCATGGAGTTTGACGTGCTGGGACTCTCTATCTTCTTCGCTTGCATGATCTGCTTGCTGCTCGCTCTACAGTGGGGCGGCTCGGAGTATGCGTGGAACAGCGGCCCCATGATTGGGCTCCTCGTGGCATTTGGGGTTCTTCTCATTTGCTTCATCAGCGTGCAGGCATGGAAGGGAGATAAAGCGGCTCTGCCTCCACGCCTGATGAAGATGCGCAATGTCGCTTTCGCATGTTTCTATGCTGCGTGTATCGACGCAGCCTATTACACTGCAGACATCTGGCTCCCAATCTGGTTTCAAGCCATCAAAGGCGAATCAGCTAGAGAGTCTGGCATCAAGCTTGTCCCATATGTCGGCGGAGAGGTCCTCGCCGCTTTGACTGCCGGCTACTTGGTCACCCTTACCGGCTGGTACAACCCCTTCATGCTCATTGCTACGGCCTTAGCATCCATTGGTCTAGGCTTGATGACGACGTTCGAGATTGAAACCGGACCCAACAAATGGATCACATTTCCTATGATTGCTGGAATCGGCGTTGGATTAGGATCGCAGCAGCCCATGATGGGTGTGCAGTCGACGCTCGCCCTTTCCGACATTCCCGCGGGCACGGCTGCCGTCACATTATTCCAGAACCTGGGACCGGCTATTCTCATGTCCATCGCCAATGCCGTTTTCGCAAATGGCTTAACAAAACATCTCTACGGCACAGGGGGCTTCAGCGGACAGACTATCGCCGACATGGGGGCCACCAACCTCAAGGCAATGATCCCAGAAGAGCTGCTCCCTGCTGTCATTGAGGCCTATAACAAGGCACTCAACGAAACGTTCAGTGTACCCATGGCCGTTGCCGCTATCTCTATCGTCGGGGTTGTAGGTATGAAATGGAAGAAGTTGCCTGCTTAGACTGGATGAGTGTAACCTAGGTAGTGGCATTGTGTCCTTGTAATGCGCATCAAGTCGTGACGCCTTAGCAACATTGCACATTTGCGAGAGGTTCACGAATGTATGGTTTTCGCTAGAAAGAAAGAACACACGACGTGCCTCAGCCTGTAAAACGAGTTATTGGCAATTGGTGGGGTTAGAACTCTTGAGCTATATGAATCTAGAGGCACTGGAAATTTCAGATACAGTAGTGAAAATTGCAGGACGGGATGCTGCAACAGGAGCGCCAACTGGAAAATGCTAGGTTTGAGCGAGAGTAATAGTGATTATGTAATCTCCCAGGGACAAGGATGCACCATGCTGTTCCTCGTAGCAGGGATGACAGTGCCCCGCGTCTGAGCTCCCCGCCAAAATCCAAGCTCTGGCGATAAACTTCAGCTCAACTTCGACGTCACTTGTCGTTTCCCTAGCCGAAGAACGTATTTGCCTCGCGACTCTACCATTCTACGCGCACCATGGCGAGCATTGGAAACCTCCAGCGTATCACTGCTGATAAGCTTTCCACCATTCTTTTGGCAGAGCAGGCTGCGGCCAACCCCTCAGTGGCTGTGGTCGACGTTCGCGACGATGGTCAGCCTTTCATCTCGCTCTATGGATTCGTCACTCGAAATTCTTGCTAACCATTCCTTCGACAGATTATCTTGGCGGTCACATCAAGGGCTGCATCAACATGCCATCCCGCAGCCTCGAAGCCATGATGCCCACACTCATGCGCCGCCTGGAAGGCAAGAAGACCGTCGTCTTCCACTGCGCCCTCTCCCAGCAGCGTGGGCCCAGCGCGGCTCTACGGTACCTTCGAGAACGCGAACGGATACTAGCCTCCAAAAAGTCCTCTGACTCAACTGAGGAGACAGCAAACACGGAACCACAGACCGTCTACGTTCTGGACCGTGGCTTCGTCGGTTGGCAGGAAGTGTATGGCGAGGACGAGCGTTTGACCGAGGGATATAGCAAGGAACTCTGGAAGGATGGATATTGGATGTGAGAGCGATGATGAAACACATCATCAGCTGAGGCTTCTGGGAGAGTGACAAAAACTGCGGCATGTCACGGCACAGCGCGAGTCGCATGAACCCGAATCAATAGGTCAGCTCTGCTTCTTCATCATTGCGTAGAAGATCGTGTTAAAGATCTGCTTCAGATACCAGATGCGGATCTCCAGTATCCAATCTGGCTAGTAGTGGCCTGAGAACCATTCTCGCTGCGACCAGCACAACTCCCTTTACCGGTATCCATCTAATGGCTGTGGATACTTTAAGTGTCACGCCATCCCAGCCGTCGGCAGCGGAGGATAAGACAGTGGACAGCAGTCTAAAGAGATAAGACCCTTCCGCATGCTTGTATGCAAATGCTGTGGTAAATGTGCTGGACGACATGAGAAGTGCGCTCGTGAAGGGTACGAAGTACCAGGGATTACGAAGTTCAACTTATCAAAGTTTCCAATATTGCCACAACGCCACGCCGACCATACCGCGGTCCTGGAGTTGAGAAAGTCATCTGACATATGATAGCTATGCTCTATAAGGGCGCAATGGCAGAACGGTAGAAGAAGGGAGAACCTACAGGAAGACACTAGTTGAAGGAAAGTTATATGTCAAGATCCCTTGAATATTGAAAGCGTGCAGGGTGATCAGGTCTATAGAGAGCGGTGCGGTGCGATGAACAACCACAACCTCCCCCTATTGCTACGCAAGATGCCTTTAGCCAGCCGTTAATCAGCTGTCCTGATCAGGTCAAATATGCCCTGATCAGGCTTGGCTGGAACGCGATGGATAAAGTAGAGACTCCCAGAGTTCTTTTGTAGATGTGATCACGGTGTTAGTCATCACGAAAGACAGAAAGGATGCTCCCTTGGGCACAGAAAAGTCCGATGAGTGTGTGTTGATTGTCTGTGTCTCCTCTAAGCCCCCCTGTGTCATCGAGGTTTCTATACCCCTGATCAGACCCTGCTTAGCTAAGAAATCAAAGAAACTAAACGCAAAGACCACCTTAATGGGAACAGAAAACCCTGGCCCGTTCCAAAATGCACTCTGAGAATTCGGGAAGGGTGGATTTGCTACACAGATGGATGCATATTTCACGGCCTTCTCTATAATAGAGCCTCCAGACCTTTAGATTATGAGCAATATTTGCGATAATCAGTGGAAGAATTTTTGAGAATAATTTCATTAGGTTATCCTATACTTGAATCGATTAGGTATGAAATAAATTTCATAAAGCCACCCCACGCTGAACTGCAGATCATTCACACGAAGGAATTCCACCACTACCTTGTCAAGAAGCCAGAACGGTTGCCTTACCCAGTCTACCTCTATCGAAGTCCACTATCAAATGGTAAAGCGTTTGCACCATTCAACTGTCTGTATTCATCCCAAGCCCGGCACATCTCTCGAACGTTCTCAGGTATCTTGCTTTTCCGGACAGCCTTGGGCTTAATGAGAAAATTGATGTATAAACCAACGCTTGCGTGCCAGGCAGTGTGGCAGTGAAAGCTCCAGACACCTGGGTTCTTTGCATCGAATTGTATGACGAGGTGGCCTTTACGTCGGAGAAATTCCGTGTCTGCACGAGCAGGGTTCTTGGGGTATGTGAGGGTCCCATTGTAGAAACCATCTGACTCGCTCAGGATCTGAAAGTCGCCGCCATGGATATGCATAGGATGAACAGAGAAGTTGTTGTTGAGGATGACGCGAACGTGTCGAATTTCATCGGGAATTGTCGCAAGAATGTGCTGAGGATCTTTAAGATATTCGTCGTTCCCGTCGGCTGCTTCAATGTATAGAGGGCGACTCCAGTCCGCCAGGAATGTCACATTGTTCATCAACCACTGGTGGTTCCCGCTAGCGTTCGATCCGAATGTGATATCGTATAGAAGGGTCATATCTGGCTTGGGGACAGTCTTCTTGTAGATTGGCTTTTTCTTAGGAAGATCAGGCTTTTGAGAGATACCAGGTTAGTGTCTACATCAAGACATGGGTTGAGCAGAAAAAGGCTTACATCGCCGCAGGTAGAAGTGAAGTTGGGGAGAGCTTCAACTGTCTTGGTCGCCGGAACCAGAGTGGTGGGAGTATCGTCATAATAGATTGTGCCAAGTGCCTCGGTGGTGTTGGTAGCAGCACATTGAATTCTTGTGCGCATGTAGTAAGATTGTTTGGGGTTTCCATTGCCCGTGACAAGGACTTCCGCTCTCATTCCAACACCGAGAATGATGTATTCCACTTCGTAAGGCTCCACAGGAACAAAGTCCATTGTGGTGACAAGGAGCTTGTGACCATCGATGGAAAATATTTGCATAGCCTCAACACTGGTGTTGATTAGACGGAGCTTATGAACCTTGCCAGACTTGAACCTGAGTGATGCGCGCTCCGCATTATTCTTGCATTTCGAGCCCGCGGGCGCCAAGGAGCAGTTGTAGCTGTTCTTCCCGTTGATCAGATGATTGTTCGACTTCGGAGCGTAGACATTAGTGTCGTTGCTAGTCGAGATGGCATCCAACGCGACCGTGTCGTAAGGGTAGTGATAGTAGTCGGAAAGCGTGACAGGCCCGAGGTCGAGGTCATACTTGACGTGGGACGGGCCATAAATTATCAAAGGACCCCAGAGTCCACCGCCGTATTGCAGGGCGTGATGTCCATGATACCAAGTGGACCCATATGTGCTTGCCCTCCAGCGGTACGTGAAGCTACCGCCAGGGACAATAGGGCACTGGGTGATGCCGCTGACTCCGTCCATGAGACCGGTGCCTTGTTGATGAATTCTGGATGCAAAATTAGCTCGAATTCAACCAGACGCCATTGTATTCCTTGTGTTATCAGACTCACCCATGCCAATGCATTGCTGTGCCTTCTTCCGGGTCAGTGATGTTGTTGTGAACGGTGACCTCCACCATGTCGCCCCAATTGGCTTCCAAAAGGGGTCCAGGAAACTGCCCATTGACTGTAAGAAGAGTCTGTTCTAAACGTTTCGGTAGTGGTTAGCCAACGAACTGCAGCGTGTAGGTTGGAAACCACCTCAGCGGGAACGTAAGTCGGCCGAACTAGCTATCAATGCAACGTACCGAATCCATCTGGGGCCAGGACTGCCCTCTGGATCGTCCATTCATATCTCCGCACGACACCAGTATTAGGCACGTCGTCAGGGTCAGTTTCGCATGTCCGGCTGCCCCAGGGTGGGTTTGATTTTTTGCCTTCCGATTTGGCTCCTAGATACTGAGGCAGGCAGGATTGGGTCGGTACAGCTTTTGTTCCATTTTTCGTGGCATCTGGGACGGCATATACGGTCTGCGAGAGACTCAAAAGCAGGCTACACAACCTGACATTCTGTTAGCGCTGACGAATATCAAACCCAGTCGAGAGATATACCAAAAGGCTGTTGATGATGACGACTTCATGTTACCGTATGTTAAGAGCGGAGAGGGGGGGGGAAACCGTGGAATGATAGACAGAATCAACGGTTCAGAAAAACCCGCATCAGACGTCGGTGCGTGACTTATAACTCAACGGCTTGCGCCAGATATCTTAATCTACGGTTTTATTCTCTCCGACTCTCATCAAGAAATTTGTCGAACCGCCTAGACGGTTGGTGACATTCATACTCCCACGCATAGGGTTAGTTCGGGCCAGGGTCCAGGACCAACGCCAAGCTGAGGGAGGAAAATAGGGCATCGGAATTCCAGGGTTGCACAGCCTTTCCGGCTTGGCATGCTCGTGGCTAGTCCGTCAAATTGGGCTGGACGTTGAACAGGCCGGGCTTGCATGTGGCTTGAAGCTGAAATACCAGCATTCGAGAAGGCGCCGCACGCAGTCAACGCCACAACAAGTGACACTGCATGGTTGCTATGCACCGCTGGGCTGCTAATTTCGGGGCTTGGTGGCCTGATGATGTTCTAAAAATCTTCGGATTGTCCGGCTTGCATGTTTGGGGTCCATGGAGCTTGCTTTTTTACCAGAAGTATCTTTGTCCTTGCCATGATACTGTTGGGCTGCTTGATTGTTTGTGTTGCAAACCAGATGCTGACAGTGTTGTAAAGTAACAATTTAATATGCTTGCCATTAAATTTACGATCCCTCTACCTATTCTTTTAGTTGATGCTGTCTCACTCTCACGAGGGTGTCACAGCAAACATGGCCGCATTGAGAGTGGTGAAATGAGCTAGGCTGGCTATGTCGAGTGGGTTGACTGGGCAGACTTGCAGTGAATTCCATTAGGCGAGATGTAAATTTCCACAAAGGATTTAAGGTAGGAACTAATTACTGGTCCCCGTTCATGGGGCTTTAAGGCTAAGGGCCAGTCGAGATGCTTGCGTCCTAAGCGGGGACTCTCGAAGAGGCTACCCGGCTTGCCGGCGCATTTTTAGACTAACTTTTGACGTTTGATTGGACCTCTGCTGCAATCAGGTGATTCGTCCAATATCGCCGAAGAATCCAGGCTGGGAGAACGCCAAGCTCAAAACAATCTTGAGAGTTTTCTAGTGAGAATTGATAGAAAGCCCCGATCGATGTCTAGCGCGCCTCTTTCTCCTCCAATGGGTCCAGCGGGCCGAGGGGTTTACAATACCCCACAGAGGAAGGAATGCTCCGTCATCTACCAAACGTGCATGGAATCCAGAAGAGGTACGCATTCTGAGCTCGAGAGGACATACTGTGACGGGGAAAGTCTCCGACAGATGCACACCATCTCCCTGTTGAATAGCCCTGGCTGGGTTGCTACCTTGACAGGTTGTTTCTGGAGGGGTTTCAGTACACCGTTGCAATTTGAAGAAGAATGACAGTTATGTATCTAATCTTTTATGGTTGTTCAAGCTCCCTGTAAATTCAACGTACCATCCCAAATCCCCAGATGCAAGACTCCTTCCAACCAAAAATGGAAAAAAAACCAAGAAGAAAAGAAAAACCGCCGCCCAATGCGTTTTCATAATGCAAATGTCAACAGATATCCACCAACATAGTCGCCAGGTTCTAAATTCGCCAAAATTCCTTGAGACCAACCTGCTTCACCTTTGCCAGTGCAACGAGTAGGCCGCCTACCAACATGGACGCGCCAGCGAATATTTGTGCATACGTGTAAACGCCGCCATTCACATCAACGAGACCTCCCCCGATAGGAGACCCGACCAAACAGGCAAAGCTAACTATGGTGAAGACCATGCCAATTCTCACTCCGAGCTTTGACATATCAGACGTCACCTCGCCCATGGACGCCGTGAACAATGTCTGCATTGCGTTGGCCGTGAAAGCATAGGCAACGACCCAGACGTAGAGTCCTGCAGTCGAGCTTACAGCAATCCAGGCGAAGACGTTTAGGCTGCTGAGGAGCACGGAGATGACGAGTGTTCTCAGAGGTTTGATGCTCCTGTCAGCGAGATATGGCGGGATCAATCGTCCAAGGATCCCCACGGCCGACATGACAATAAGAACGGTCAGAGCTTCATCTTGGCTAAGTTTAAGCACATCTCTACCAAAATTGGGGACCTGCCAAAGAATGAGCTGTCGTTCCGCAAAATTCACATAGGAGGTTTTGTGTGCGTGGCGTACGTACATAGTAATAGGCAAAATAGACACCCAACAGGGCAAAAAACATGCCAATGGTGAACAGGAGGTACGGCAGCTCTGTGAAAGCTGACAGCTCTAGCAGAGGGCCTCCTGTGCGTTTGGCCTCCTTGGGTCGCGCAATGAGGAAAATAATGACGCTGTTGAAGAGAATCAGGAAGCCCATGGTACGAAGTGTCCACTTATGCCCAGTCGTGTCAATCATCTCGCGTGCAATGATGGTGAAGATGACCGCGCCGATAGGGGCACCGCAGGAACTGATTCCAAGCGCCAGCCCCCGCTTCTTGGTAAAGTATTGTGAAACCAACCAGACGAGGCCTGTGAAATGCATGCCGTTGCCGATACCTGTGGCGATGCCTTGAGAGAGGAGAAATTGCCAATATTCACTGGCGAATGAGGCTGCAAAGACACCCCCGACTTGAAAGACGAAGCCCACGATTAGTGTAGTTCTGAAGTATCCGGCGTCGATCAGCCTGCCGCTGACCGTTCCCAGAAGGAAAAGGAGGAAAATTTGCATGGATCCGATCCATGATATATCTCTGTTGGAAACGCTTAGCGGCAGGATCACGCGATAGTGTTGTTGGAAAACTCCAAATGCCGTGATGAAACCGAAGCCGTCTAACACAAGCAGGAAAGCTGCCGCAACTTGAAGCCAGCCTTGGAGACCCCCATCTGGCCCGGCAAGTGCTGGGGAGACGAGTCCTGCCTTTTCTTCATTGGTCTGTAGCGATGGTTGGTGACCCTCGGAAAGCCGTTGACTGGGGGGGCTTGTGTGACCGTCTTCGATGCTACCCTCAGCAACTGTTGGCTGCTGGAGAACGTCTTCGTGTTGTAAGCTGTGTACGACGGGGACGGGAGCGTTGATTTTCTCCATCATTGCACAGAGATCGGTGTCAAAATGAATTAGAAAATAGACGCAGACTGCGAAAACAGGAAGGCTGAGATAAGTATTGTAAATTGAGTTGAAGTTGAAGAAATGGTAGCTTAGAGATCGCGGGGGGGCATCATGTCGACTAAAGGCAAAGTCGGCATCCTAAGATCCAGGATTTCGTCCCAGTCATTGGGTCCTTTACGTAAAGTGGCACTGGTCTAGGAAGTCTCCGCAAACGGAATCTAATGGGGTTCACCGGGCGGCATCTTGCTCACAGTGTCAGCGATGCCAGCTCAGCCTGAATATCTAGGGAGCACGACAGAATGAACTTGGAACACTGCGGTAGACCATCACGGCGAGTTATGGAATATTTCTAGCTGCTTGCACTAAATCTAGTTGGGCCTAGGTCCAATGCCCCATTGGACGCTAGACAGCAAGTGTAAGTTCATTGGCTGCTCTGTTCTCGCACAAGCTGCCGATGGCTAGCTCAAGCCATCCTCAGCTGAAGAAGATGGTTAGGGCAAGGTCGTGCTCCCCGTGGGCGCCTCTGGACATTCTTAGATGTTTATGGTCTTGGAACGTGGCGGGATGCATGCGCTCAAGGAGTGAGGAACAACGACTCATGCCCATCACACCGGTATGCCAGATGTTTACCAGGCCACCCGACACGAGGTAAGACAATACCTTTGCATTAGGCGTGGCACTTTTATGTGCTTATCTTGAGTCCACCAAGTTTTGAGGAAGGTATCGTACACGCGTCCTAGGGCTGAAATCATTGCATGCAGACGCGCCCACTTGATGTAACGATGCATGCTCACGGCCTCAACTCAAGCCGTGGCTTGTGTAGGCTCAGCCTAGACGCCACAGACCACAGCGACACAACCTTGGAATTCGACGATGGGAAAGTTCCCGATTGGTCTTCTGACTGCGTTCAGAAATCTACAAGCAACACCGCGTTTTTGAAGTCTATTCTATGCGATTTCTGGTTAAGCCCAAGAGTATCTCAAGTATAAGAAGAATCCCCAGGGGCGCGCCGGGCTAACATCGATATCAATCATCAACACCTCAGCCCGGTCTTCCCAACTCTCATATAGAGATCAGTTTATTTAACTTTTCTGGCTTTCTCTTACACTCATAAAGTGCTAAACCTCATTGTCATCATCTCCTTTCATCTTTTCTGTCTTTCACATCCGTCAAAATGGCTATCGCAGCAGCAGCCCCGGCCCTCGTGTCCCCTACGGATGCCAAGAGGCAGCTCCCGGGGAAGCCCCTGGGAAGGCCAGTTCTCCAGCTCCGTGCTCCGACCTATAGACGCCCCAGTCTTGGCTCGGAGTTGAGAAGCCCCCTGAGTGCCATCTCACCTCTCAATGCTTCTGACTTGAGGAGTCCTCTCAGCCCTCTGAGGCAGATGCGCCTTGAGTTTGCCGATCTCGAGGTCGGGTCGCCTATCGACCCGGTTGACTTGACTGGCCCGGATCTGGTCGTGGTGAGCCCTGTTAGTGCTACGAAGAGCCCTTTCAGTGCCTTCAAGAGCCCTCTTAGAAATGAAAGCATTGACGCGATTATGGACGACGTTTCCAAGGGTGAGTTGTCATCTGTCCTTCCACCCGGTCTTTTGACTAAAACATATGATACAGACCAGCCCGTTATCACAGAAACCCTCCCCACACCTCCCCTTGAGCAATCAACTGAACAGGTTGCCCACAAGATCTTGGACGTTCTCCAAGTCTTTGGAAGACATATTATCCCCGAAGGCCAGGAGAACCATGAGTGGCTTGGACGCAAGATGTTCCACCCCCGCGTAGAGGAGTACGTCAAGAAGGGCGAGTCGGTTAAGATGATTATCCCTGCATTTCCTTGGAAGAGCATCAACCGGACCGACAAAGTGACCGGGGTTCTTCCTGATCTTGGAGAGGATCTCGCCCTTGCTAGACTGAATGACTTGTGTGTGGAAATCGGCAAGGTCTACACCCACGGCGCCGAAGTCCACATCGCCACTGACGGCCTTGTTTTCAACGGTTAGTTTGCGTAGCACATCACGAACCACTCCATCGTTTACTGACCCGTGAGACAGACGTCGTCGGCATCTCGGACGACGAGACTTGGGAGTACGGCGCCACTCTCATGGACATGGCCGCTCAGAAGGGCTACGACGGCATCAAGCTCCTCCGTGTAATGGATTTCCTTGGCCTTACCAAAGAAGACGAGCCTCTTACCAAGGAGAAGTACATGGAGCTTGTCGACGAAAGCCGCAAGACGCTCGAGGCGCAGTTCGGCGACCCAGACAAGGACGTCCGTGCCATGATTGACACCGACAACGACACTCTCATGACGTACCGCGGCTTCATCCGCTTCCTCGAGACTGATCTCCGCAACAGTCCCGTCGCAGAGCACGCCAAGTCCGGTCACAAGTATCGCAAGGTCGTCAAGGAGGTCGCCATGAAGATGATGATGCGCGCCGAGTCCTTTACCAAGATTATCCTCGCCACCTGCCCCGACCACGTCCGCCTGTCCATCCACCCCTCCAGCGGAGCTGTCAAGCTTTCCATGCCGCTGTTAGTTGAGAAGCACAACCCAGACGGTTTCCCTCGCACCCCTTGGCACAGCTCCATTGCTGTTTCGCTGGATGGTGGCTATCGCTCTTTGCATGCCAAGGATGTCCGTGACACTCACGACCTGGTCATGAAAGATGGACGTCCTTGGTGCTTCCGTGAGAGGTCGGAGCTCTTCGATCTCGGCGACGATATCGAAATTGAGCACCTCTACCCCACTGGTATTGAGGTTCGCCCTCGTGAGGTTCAGGAGCAAGATGTCAAACTAGACGAAGCGGTGCGTGGAAAGCTAGTGAGGCTTGCCAAGCTGCAGCCTGTCAGGGTTGTTGGCTTTGAGAACGCGCCCGAGTTTGTCGTCGAGGGGCAGGAGTAAACGCCCTGCCAAGGCCTGAAGTACTAGCAGTTGCATTACAGTATCTGAGCATTGTTGGTTTCGTTTTAGCATCGGAGGGACGAACAAAAACTTGGCCTCTGCAGGGATTTGAGTGCGTATTAGGCGTCACTCACTAATGGGTTACATGGAGTTAAAGGGGGTGCTTTTCTGGCGGTAGTGCAGATTCTGCGCGGCATCCTGCTTCAATCTCTTACTTCTTTCCAAGAAAATAGAGGCTATAGGAGCCCAAGAGAATACATTGACTATGCATTCAGAATTGACTCATCACCGGCCATGGATCCTTGACTGTCGTGTATTGCCATGCGAAACTCTATCTCAGATATAACTCGCTGATTTCTTAAAATGATTTCTTTCGCCCTGTTACCCTATACTATACGTACTTCTACTCTCTGTTCCTAATACTTCAACTGCCAATAATGGAAGGGCTCCCTCATCTATTCATCATCTGCGTCGGTCTCTTGCCCGCGCTGTTCTGCTACCTCGGGCTGAATACTTGCATGATAGTCTGGGCTGAGAAGACCTTCGACATTGATGACACAGTTTGCGAACACTAAAGAAACATCGGATTTCACGCTAGCTCTCTGCTAGGAAGAGAGTTATGCCTCTCGTGTCTTCCACCGAAAGACGTCTCCTAGACCATAACGAGCCAAATAATCGTAGAACAGCCCCAGTAACGGAGTCACCTCACAGCTTATCCTTATTGCCCTACCTATGGCAAAGGCTTCTTCCTCTCTGACGTTTATACACATCTATCTACCCAAAGACCTCGGGTAGAATCGAGACGCCTACAACACTCCACTGCACAACTCAATCAGCAACTCGCGCCACCTCAAATGACAATACCCTGTCAGTCTTTTCCTGGCCGTTCTCGGCGTCGGCTACTCCCCGCTCGCCCATCTCGTGGATGGCTAGAGCGCGTCTATCCACAACTTGGACGATTCTTGCCACGTGTGGAGCTTCTTTGTTTGTAAAATTGGCCGAGAGAGAAAAGGGCAGACGGCGGGTGGCGAGAACAGTGTATGGCAATGGAGACTTAGATGATCCAAGCAATACTACATGGGAATACGTAAGGACGTTCAACTTAACGGATTGGTACAATGCTATTGGTCAAACAAAGAAAAAACATCCGCCCTAGGCAGTCAAATTCTATTTTGGTATTTCTACGCCTGGTCCTTAATCTCTCTCTTTATCCTGGTGATCGTTCCTGGTCCGCCGTAGGTCAAGCCTGTGTACACCATGGCCACGCTTGCCCCAGCATTCAGGATCTTCAACGCCTGCTCTCCGTTCGTGATACCGCCCGTCGCGAAGATAACCTTTCTCGGGGTGTCTTTGCTCTCAATCAGGTCGTGAACCTTGCCGGACAGGCTGCCATCAACAGAGGGAATGGCCGCCGCCTCCTCAGCCGAGCCGCTCTGCAAGGCCTGGGCATCAAGCTTCTTGCGGTATCTCTTGACCAGCTCCAGCGTCCTGTTGTACATGGCAGGGCCCGAGTATCCGCCCGTCTCCTGCAGTGCCTTCTGCTCCTTAGCCGTGAGCTTGACGCCCGCGGGGACGATGCCAGTGCGGCGGTTGGTGGTGTTGCCGACGATGACGCCGTCGACGCCGCTGTTGCAGACAGCCTGGACGATTCCCTCAACCTGGGCATCTTCCTCTTCGTCGGGGGAAACCTTGACCATGACCTTGGGGCGAACCTTGCGGTCCACCTTGGCGGCCTCCTCAACCACGGCGCTCAGCAACTGTGTAAGGGGCTCGGTAGCCTGCAGGTCACGGAGACCAGGGGTGTTGGGACTGCTGACGTTGACGACCAGGATATCGGCGTATCTCGCGAGGCGCTGCACGCAGTAGACGTAGTCCTTGGCCACAGCGTTGACGTCCTTCTGGTCCGTCTCCTTGTTCTTGGCAATCTGCACGGCCAGCAGGCGGCCGGGTAGCAGACTGCCCGCAGGGACACCGGCCTCGCCATCGAGGACCTCCTGCTCCGTGGCGCCGACCTTGCGGGCGAACTTGCGCACGCGCTCCCTCAGCGTAATCGCCATGCTGTCGGCACCCCGCGAGTTGAGGCCGTACCGGTTGATCATGCCGTCGAGGGTCGGGACGCGGAAGACGCGCGGGCGGGGGTTGCCGTCTTGTGGGCGAGGCGTGCAACCACCGACCTCGACGATGCCGGCGCCAAGGGCGAAGAGTGCGTCGGGGATGTCGGCGTGCTTGTCAAGGCCGGCGCTGATGCCGATGGGGTTCGAGAGCTTCATGCCGTAGACCTCGGTGGCGAGGGCGGGGTGCTCGGCGAGGGTCCTGTCGCGCTCACGGATGTGCAGGCCCAGGTCGTAGAGCGTCTTCATCATGCTTGTGCCGGCGTGGTGGGCGTCTTCGGCGTCGCTCCAGATGAGGCGCATCATCATGGGCGACAGGGAGTGGATCGAGGCTCGCGTGTCGGTGACGTAGAGGTAGGAAAGGTAGAGGGAGCCTGCGAGGGCAACGCCGTAGAGACCGGTCTTCAGGCCCGAGCCGGCCTGGGATTCGGTCGAGGAGCCGGCGCCGGTCGAGGCATGACGTCGAGTGGCATTTCCAGGGAGTCTCGGGCGGACGGTCGCGGTGTTGCTCCTGACATTGCGGAGGGCGGATTGCACACGACCGGATCGCATGCAGATGGACGCCATTGCAGAGAAGAGTGACCGGTCCTGACCAGCACTCAATGGCTCGGCGTTGGGTGACGATTGAGGGTTGGAGTCTGGAGGGTTGTCGAGTGCCGGAGACGGAATTGGCGCGAAGTCAGGGTGCAACTTTTGGCGTCGGTTTAGGACGGATGGGCCAGTGCGAATACAGTGTGAATCGACACGGTCCCGAGTCTATTGTAATCTCCAAAAGAATAAAATGGTATCAGATCATGACGTTGTCCATGTCTGCTTCCCTCCCTCTATAAACCCAACGCCGTTCTGATGCACTACAAAGGAAGTTCGCAATCCTGCAAAGAATGTCTATGGTATCTCTCTCTTTCCTCTCCCTCTAAGCCTGCATCTTCGCTGTTCTCTCATTAGCAGCGATGGCCTGCACCGCATGAGTTCTCTCCCCTACCTCCTCGGCTTCCTCGACGACTTCGGCCTGTCGGTTCAAAAAGCTCAGATACGTCTGCCAACCGACGGCGATGACGCCCGAGAAGACGCTGCGGTACTCCATGGGAATGAAGGAAAAGCTAAAGGCCGTTACGGCGGGCCACAGCTTGCACGAGTTGACGATGCTCACAGGGACCGTCCGGCGGATGCGCTCGATGATCTGCTCAAAGTTGTCGCCGGCCAGGAACGACTGCATGCCGAAGAAGTACGAGTTGAAGATGGGCGTGAAGCACACCTGGTTCACAACGACCTTTGTACCGAGCGAGAGGAGGCGCGAGGTGTAGTTGAAGTTTTGGGAGAGGAAGATGAACCTGTGGATTGCCAATATGGTCAGCGAACTGTATCCCACCACTGTTACGACGACGACGGCGGCGGCGACGACAAGCGACGGAACGACACGACATACCACTTATAACTGGGGATCGACGAGATGGCGCCGATGATCAGTGAGCGCATCGTCCGCTCGGGGTTGTAGTCATTGCCGCTCATGCCTTGGGCCGAGAGGTCGGCGCAGAAGTAGATGACGAGCGAGCTGACGAACTGCGTCGTCAGAGGCCTCTTGCGCTGCGCGCGCGCATACCCCTCGGCGGCTCGCGTCAAGGGCCCGAGGCGCTGCCATAACGGGATCGTCGAGACGGTGTTCGGCACGGGAATGGGATCCTCTGCTCGCTTCTGCTTGGGCGTGTCGGAGTTGGCGCGGCGCTGGTGGTTCTGGGAGATGCGGCTGCGCAGGCCGGGCGTTGTGCGCCGCAAGAACACTCGGAACAGTGTCGGCGTCGGCATTGCTTGCTTGCTGGTTTGTTTGGGAGGTTATTGAGGGATCATGGTCGGGTGTTGTCGAGGGAGAGGTTTGCTCACGCATGCGCCGAGTCTATACATGGACGTCAGTGCCGACAAGCAAGGCCGTAGGGCGGCTTCGACACCCACAAACCTGCCCGCCTGGACCCCTGATCACCCATCGGGCGTGCACGGCAAAGTGCGGCACTTCCGATGGCGGCCCTTCCGTCGGCGTCCGGGCCCTGCAGGGTGGGGCTCTTTTTGTTTCTGTTCCTGTTTCTGTTGGTCTGTTTGCTGTTGCGTGCTTTTTTTGCGATGCCGAGTGACAAGCCGAATGACTAAGGCGGGTGACAGATGCGCCAATGCAAGCCGGCTGTCTGTGCCTGACCTGACAGCTCTCAGCCGTCGACAGCTGCCAGCTCCTGAAGCGAGAGTCGCTCACCTGCGAAGAGCACTTGACTTACATCTCACTTCCTATACTTACACCTCGCATCACAGGGTCAAGTGTTCTCATCCCATGACCTCGCTCTACCCTTCCATGTCGACACTGCCACCTTTTGTAGCTCAAAGGCGAGCCGTTGGCAAAGATTCCTGTTCTTGTTGACTCATCAAGTCACCCAACGCGAGACGGCCACCGCGGTCATCATGGACGCCTGCTAAACTGCGCCCACCTTGTACGAGGCTGATCGACTGTGACACATCCAGCGCCTCTATCAAACTCACTTGGTCCTCGACGCAGGAGAGCCTCCCAGAGAACCTACAGCAGAAATCCCAAGAAGAGGGTTGTCTATGCGTTTTCTGTCCAATACACAAAATTCTCCTCTTCGATTCCATCCGTTGTCCACGGCTTCCGCGTGCTGAAAACTGCGTATACCGACCATCTTTGTCAAGCTATTGCCAGTATTATTGTTTCACTGTCTCAGTAGCCAATTTGGACAACAAGAGGGACGGGGGTGGAAACCTCATAACCTGGCACAATGTGGCTTATCAACACGACAACCTACGAAGTCTGCATGTTCGCCGGCAGCAACGTGCCCCCCTATGCCATCCTCTCACACACCTGGGGCCCCGACGAGGTGACCTTCCAAGACATCCGTAACCTTGCCCTCGCGTCCACAAAGGCCGGCTTCACCAAGATCCAGGGATGCTGCGTCCAGGCCCTGCGTCACAACATCGACTGGGCCTGGATCGACTCGTGCTGCATCGACAAGACGTCCTCGGCGGAGCTCTCCGAGGCCATCAACTCCATGTACTCCTACTACCTCCTGTCCCGCGTCTGCTTCGTCTACCTCGCCGACGTCCCGCCCCTCACGTCCTCCCTGCCCATGGGCCAGCTTCCGTCCCTCGCCTCCTCGCGCTGGTTCACCCGCGGCTGGACCCTCCAGGAGCTCATCGCACCACCACGCTCCATCTTCTACGCCTCCGACTGGTCTCGCCTCGGCACAAAGGGCCTGCACAGCGCCGAGCGCCCCTTCATCCAGGCCCTCGCCTCCATCACCGGCATCTTCGAGTCCGTCCTCGCAAAGTCCCGCCACCCGCGCGACTACTCCGTTGCCGAGCGCATGTCCTGGGCCGCCGCCCGCCAAACCACCCGAGACGAGGATCTCGCCTACTGCCTCATGGGCCTGTTCGGCGTCAACGTCCCCGTGCTCTACGGCGAGGGGCTGGCCGGCGCGTTCCGCAGGCTACAGCACGAGATCATCGCCACCTCGCCCGACGAGACAATTTTCGCGTGGCGTGCCGACCCGACGCGGGAGGTCGTCGACCCGTACACGGGCGAGCGACGGCGGCGGGCGGTAGGTTCTTCAGGCTTGCTGGCGGATTCGCCAGCCGACTTTGCGCGTTCGCGGGACGTCCACCAGCGCGCGCTGCACTCGGCGTCCCCGTTCCGGCTGTTCAGCATGACGAACATGGGCCTCTCCATTGTTGCGGACCTGGTCCCGCTGACGGGCGGCAGTGCCCGGGGGAGCCCCGCGCCCCAGGCGGCGCCAGACCCGAGACCGCTGGTCGTCATGCCCATCGGCGCGAGTGACCGCCCCACGGATACCTCTCCACGCACCCGTGTGGGGATTTACCTCGAGCCGGTCCTCCAGGCTTCGTCCACGGGCCACCGCCAGACGTTTTACCGCCGCGTCAGGTGCGATGAGTTTTGCTTTGCGCCCAAGGGGGAGTTTCCGAAAGGCGAAGAGCTGGACATCTACGTCCTCGGAGACAACCAGTTTGCTGAGATGCAATTTGCCGATAGGCCGGGGTCTCCGGGACCGGGCGGCTGGTCGCCATCGATCGGGGCGAGGTTGTCGTTGTCGCCTAGTGCGTCGCCGAGACCCTCGCCGCGGGCGTCACCGAGGCTCGGCATGGATCTGTGATCAAGGCACACGGACTCCGATTTCATATCCGGACACCTACCAAGACTTCGCGATTAAGGTGAGAATCGGGAGTGAAGAAGAGCTGGGGAACAACAAAATTCGGACGATCGGCGGAGCGGAAACGGGGAACAAAGTTCGCAGGAAACCGGATGTCCAGTGGATCAGCAGGCCATGCATCATTCCAATTTCCGACGTTAATGCCTATCAATATCATACGGGTAGAAGCCGGTCTATGGAAGTCAGTGTCTGATAAGGCAGCGCGCTGTAGGTGGATAGACAACTTAATTCCTGGTACATAGTTTAGACTGTCGATCTTAATTTAACATGGAACCCATCGGCGGCCCCGCCTGCAAATCACAAGCATCGGCTCCAACGTGCGTTTGAATCCTTTCAACATTCAACAGACACACCTAACGTGCGTCTCTTCAACCCCAGAACATGAGGTATGGCTCCCCTAGCAGGGTGAGTTACTCGGGTATCTCATCTAGGAAAACCCTCCTGATGTAACTTCATACATGCTTTTCCTCTTGTCGGTAAATGGCAGCACATGGCAATGAATGCTCTTTCCGTTTTCCTTGTATCCCCCTCGGCCCTTTTTGTTATCCTCGCCTATTTCTACACTTCCCCAACCCTTCTCCATCCTAGCCTCTCACTGTCTGCTAACGGCAGCTGAGAGGCTTCTCGTTGATTCCGTGGTGAGCCGCGGCTCACAAGGCGGGGATCACGGAGCGTTCGTAAATGAGTGCTGACGTGCTGTGCTACCGATTCCAAGGGGTCCTTCTAGCCCTCCACATGTTGTATTGGTGAATTAAAAACAAAATCTCAAAAAATGTCTCTCTCGCCCCCTCTCTTCCCCGAGGGGGGGGGGGAGACGTGGTATCAAACGGTATATTCCAGGACATGAAACGAAGAAAGCGTACCGGCAGCGCGAAGCTGGGGATTATGCAGCACGCGCCGGCAGCGTCGTAAGAAAGCGGGTCGTAAGGTCGTATCGTACATCAGATGAATCCAAGAGCTGATCCGTGAGGTTGCGTGCTCGTTGGCGAGCCAGAAGCAGGAGCATTAATGTGTAGATGAGAGTGGGATCGAAGACGAGGGGAGGAAAGACAGCCAGCCAGCTGCGAGAACTATCGGGGTTTTTAGTCGTTTTCCAAGTGTTTTTGTTGGTTTTTTGTCGTCAGTGGCAAGGAAATAAATAGTTGAGTAAATGAGTGAATATGGTCGGTAGAGGAGAGATTTGTAAGGAAATGGTAATGAGCGTGGGTTGTCGAGTTCTCGACGATAAGAGAGGTAAGGAAATGTTGAGTGATCGTGTGTTCTCATCGGCTTGGCTGGCTGTGTGTCATCCTGTCATCTTCGGTTAAGCTCCCCCCGACTCATCAGAACACTGCATCAGTGCTCCTCTGGTCCATGCTCGAGCGGGGCGAAACCTCGAGCATCTTTGCGCTCCCCGAGCTCACATGCCTGGCATTGCCCCTGCTGAGGCTAACGCTCGTGGCGCGTTGGAGCTTGGGCGCCTCGCTGTCCGACACCTCAGGCGACGTGCTGTCCTCGTGGAACGAGTTGAGCATGCCCTGGCGGCTGCTGATTCTCTGATGCTGCACGACTGTGGCGCGCTGGTTCTCAACCGACCCCCACTTCATGTCGGCTGCCTCCATCATCTCGTCCTCGTCGCTGCTCGGGAACGCGTCGCCGGTCGACTTGCGCGGCGTGCGCTCGTCGTCGTCGTGCACCACGCGCGAGGGCGTGGCCAGGTTCGACAGATACTCGTCGTCGGCCAGCTCCTCCTCGGTGCCGTCTGGCGAGGGCGTACGCGCGGCAATCTGCGGCGGGAGTCGCTGCATGCTGCCGCGCATTCCTGAGGAGCGGCGGGCGCCGACGCGGCCAGAGAGCCATGAACCCTCGGAATCGATGGATGCGAGGGACACGGGCTCGGGCGACGGCTGGATGCTGTGTCGCATCGACGTCGGGGTTTGCCTCATCTTTTCGAGTTTCTCCATCTTCTCGTCGACGCGTCGCAGGTCTGATGTGGGAGTGTCGTGCCTCACGGCCGGGGCATCCTGAAGGGTGTTTTCTCCAGAGTTGGACTCTGAGACAACAGGCAGAGGCGCTTCCACTTCCGGCGACCCCACGCGCGAGTCGGGAGGGCTGAGGGGTAGCTCAGGGAGGTCCTCCCTGAAGCGGGATCTAGTCCGCTTGGGAACGCCGTTGCTGACCTTGCGAGGAATGTAGTTTATCGGGGGCGGTATCGTTTGCGTTAGCGCCTGTGCTGCTTCTTGCTGTTGTTGCATCTGCGCTTGCATCTGTGCTTGGGCAGCAGCTGCCGCCTGCATCTCCTCGCGCGACGTGTTTGAAAACGACGACGGGCCCGAGTTTCTCCTGTTCCTCTTTCCAAGCCGGAACAGGGCCGAGAAGGAGATGCGAGGGCGGCTGCTGGACTCGGAGTTCTTCCGCGGGGTCTCGCCCTCGTCCTGTCTCGATGAGTACTGCGACACTGCGTTCTGTTCCGATTCCGTCGCGTTGGGCGACCTTGACCTCGACATCTTTCGCAGGAAACTCCGTCTCAATCTCATGCTGCCCTTGGGGGTAACCTTGGTACTGGGCTTGCGCTCGGGAACCGGCTGCACGGGCAGCGTTGGCGACGGCGGCGCCTCGGGAGGGATGCTCGTCGTTCGGTGAAAGTGGTGGACTGCTTCCGGTTCCGGCTCGATCTCCATCAGTTCCGGGCGCGAGTCCGGATCTTGAATTGTCGATATCCTTTGCGAGTGTCGGGATGAGCTCCACGAACGTCTCCGCGAGGACGTCACCACTGCCGACGCTGCGTCGATTCCCAGTCCCATCTCGCGGCCCATCACTCCGCGCTCTAGGTTGACTGGCGGCGGCGAGCCGCTGTGCCTGGCTTCGGCCTCCATCTCGCGCTGCTTCTCGGCCCTCCGTGCCAGTCTTCGTTCGATCCGCTCCTGGTCTCTTTGTCGTTTCCTCTCTCTCCTCCTGTTATCCCGTTCCATCAGTTCCCTCAAATCAGCAGCGTCCAAGTCGTCGGCAAAACTGTCGACCCTCTTGTGCGCTCCCACTACTGACTCGGGAACCCTCTCTGATACTTTTCTCTTTTGTTGTGGGCGCGCTGGCGTTGAACTGCTGCCGGGCCCCCATCGTGGGTAGACGGTATATCGTAGCGTCGGTCGGGGTGCTAATGCCTCGAGGGTAGACACCTTGAAGGAGTGCAGCTCGGTGTCGGACGACATGCTCGAGTGGATCGACATCGGTAGCGATACGTCGGATTGCGGGTTTTCGAAGCTCCTGCGGAAGCCGAGGCCGGTCTTGAGTCTTTTGCTTTGCTTCCTGATGGGCCGTCCTGACGTCCAAGGGTCGGCCGCCGGCCGTACCGGGGCGAAGTTTGCCATGGCCTTGATTTCGGCCTCACGATCCGTCTCAGCTTTCCTCCTCTTGCTTGTCTTGCGGCGGGAGGGCTTTGACTGTTGCTGGCCGTGGCGTGCATTATGTAGGGTTGGCGCCCGCCATGCGGGATCCCCTTTTTCTTCTCCGTTATTTTGGTCGGCTGGGAAGGGCCCTGCTAGCCCGCCAGGCCCCGGTGGAACCGAGTCTCTTTGCCCCGCGACACGGATGGAGTCATTGCGACCGGGGGAGAAGCTGTACGTTCGTTCTCGTCTGGGCAGCTTGCCGTAGGAGTGCGGCTGGTGCTTCTCGAGACGCTGCTTCTTCGGCGTAGCCGCCCCCCTCTCAGTGGCTTCACGTTCGTCCGTGGTGAGACCTCGCAGTTGATGCGGTAGTGGTGCTTCAACATCCGACAGGTTTGCGCCGCTGCGTGAGCGTTTGCGACCGCTTCTCCGGCGGAAGGGCCAAATGGCCATTTTCCCATCAGCCAGAGGCGACAAGGCGTGCGTCGCGGGCGGTCAGTTTGGGTGTTGTGTTAGCGTGGGTTACTGGGTTGATGGTCGAAGGGAAGGTTTCTGTATGAGTGCATGATCGTAGGTGTATTATTCGATCTCGATGAAGGACATGCGTATTGTGCGGATGGGCGGCCTCGGGTGCTCGTTTAGATCTCAATGCTCTCCTGCTGACTGGGATCGCCACCAGTTTCGCAACAGGCGAGTAAGAACGAGTGCCAGACTGGGTATGTCCCGAACGAGAGGAAATACGGAAGCTTGACTGCTTAAAGAAGGATCCAGGATTGTGCAGCGAATATGGAATTGGGCATTGGGGGAAGGGGATTGGTTGTATGTAAAAGCGAGTGGAGGAGGACGAAAGGTACGTGTGTAGGTATGGGAGTGACGGAGCGGTACGGATACCTCACTATTTAGTCGAGGATTTAAAAAGAGGGACACAAAGTCATATGCTATGCGAAGTGGCAATGGCTGGGTGCTGGATATGACGGATGGGACCCTCAAGAACAAGCAGGCTTTCTAGACGAAGACCAGACAGGAACGAGACTGGGCAGGACAGAACTGAGAGGGCCATGGCCTTCCCTTCTCCTTGGACTAAGCCTTGGGGGGGGGGGGGGGCGGAACTGGTAGAGCTTGATGCTTGTGGGCTGGCTCGCTGGCGCTGGTGGTAGCTTTTGCCGGTGCATATGCTGGGCTGGGTACCTTGCGGTACCTATCCGAACTGGGCCATCGTGTGGCAGGACAAGGGAGCATGAGCCATGAGCCGGGACCTTTGGGACCAAACCAGGAGAGAAGCGATGGTAAGGGTTGGTCAAGGGTCAAGGGGGTGCGTATGTATGTGGGTGCGTATGTACATAGTATGTGGGTGCGTTGTGTGTGTGTTGTGTGGACAAAGTGTGGTGTGTGCCTGGGGTCGGGGGTGTGCGGTGCGTTTGGTGTTTCTTCTTGCTTCCCCTAGCTCTCACGGCCCGGCCAGTGGTTGGTGGGATGCGCGACAGCGTGTGTGCGCCTGTGTCCATACTCGTACAGTACTTGGGAGTTGAGTTGTCAGGACAGGTCATGGGAGGTGAAGAGACTGTATGGGTCTCGGGGTGCAAAAAGGCGCGCGAAACAGAGTGGCAGCGGAGAAGAACCACAGGACGTCGAGGCCCGCCGTGTGAGGTTATTGGGTCCTTTGACGACGGGCCTTTGTCAACCAGGGATGGATGGGATGGATGGCCAGTGAGCTTCTTGCCGGCAAGGGGAATGTCAATGTCGTCGATGGGACAGGGACAGGGCCTGGTCGCCGCAAGTCTTTTCTCCTTCGGAGTCAACGGGGTGGGACCAACCAGCTTCCTAACAGACCACTTGCTGCTTTGTGCTTCCGGTGTTCTGCCAATCTTCCCTGCTCTGCCCTGACGGACTGTTTACTGATAGGCACAGGGCTGGACTTACGGAACTGACTTGCTCCTCGCAAGTCAGCGCGACCGATGCGATGCAATGTGTGTCTGCCACGGCGCTGGTTCCTGACAACGAGCGGAACACGGAGCCGGCTGTTGAATGTCTCTCCCCTTTCCTGTTCTCTGTGGCCGGCTCCCCCAGTCTCACCCAGTCCCGCCGCGCTCTGGACTCTGGAAATCCCAAATGTCTCACCGTCGGGTTTTGTGGTCTCTCCTTGCCTGGTCTCACCCGCCACTGTCTTACTTACGCCCAAGTCCCCCCCTGGCATTTTGTACCTGTCGTTTTAGTATGGTAGGGTGGCCGTCCTAATTGTTCCCGTACGCCTCTCGGGGCAAAGCTTGATAAGGTTCCTGCTTGGCCCGCTTGTTCTCCCTCCAACGGCTCGTTTACTTCCCTGGCTGACCCTGTGTGCAGGGCAGAGCAGCATGAAGCATCATGTATGTACATAGTATGTGCAAGTGCTAAAAAAGGTAAAGAAAGAAGGAATCCGGGAGGGGCCCAGTCAGGGTACCCATACCTCTTCGGCGTGGCATCGTATTCCGTGCCGCACGCTCTTCCCATCCCCGTGGCCCGCGTTGTCCAGACTCGCTAAGTTTTGTTCTTCACGTCACATTCCGTCGTTAGCTGCGACTAAGATCAACAGGTTTGCCGTATCCAAGAGCGGGAAAGAAAAGCAGGAACGACAGGGCGACCGACAACCGCCGATGCTGTCGTCAACCTTGTCATCGTTGTGGACCTGCCTGTTTGACAGGCTTCGGGCTGTGTGAATGGCCCCTCGGTTAGATTCCTCTTTGGCGGACTGCGTGGATCACTCCCTCCTAGGCTTTCAGAGTTGTAAAGTCGAGGGCTGGAGGGGGGTTCGTCCAGACACTGAGTCATCCCCTCGAAAGGGAGAGATCCAGCAGACCGAGCCCGACTCAAGGAGTCCCAGCCTCAATCGAGAATTGTTTGTCAATGGTCATGCCCTCTCGGTATTCCCATAGTGCTATTCCTTGCTGTGCCACATATTGGACCCCGAAAAAACCACCAACAATATCCAAATCCGCCGGCTCAACTCCAATGGCGACCCACTCATGGACCAAGAGAGGAAGGAATCCGGAGAGGCCCTTGTTCTGCGACACTCGTCCCTTGACACTGCTGGTTTTACTATTGGGTGCGAAGGGATGCTGAACGGAGAAAAAAAGCAGAGTCCATCGTCTTCACCGGCCGGCCGTAAGTCTTTGCCGTTGGGCCACAGCTTAAAAGTGAGTGCAGCCACCTCCAGCGGCCCCGGCGTTGGTCCGCGACTCCCCGAACCGCTATGGCGCCGACCATCAATGGCCGTTTCTGTTGTGTTGCCCCTCATCTTGCGCCGTTGCGGCCAGCGTTCCTCCTACAAAGGCATGCTGATGACAACAGGCCCACGCCGACGTCGTTGTGTCCCTTCGCATCGATGAGACAACAGCAATTGAGCTGAAGTGGTCGTTTGGCAGGTCTTGCTCCGTGCCACATGTCCTACGCCCTGTCTGCCACCAACTTTAGCTCACAGACCTGCGCAGGACGAGGCGTGCACTAAGCTCCTTTGCTCTCACAACTGCTCCAACAAGGCGGTTGACGTTTGTTTGGCGCCAGGCGACTACCGGCCGTGCCCGCCGTTGTCTTGCGGGCGGATGATCGTCTGGGGAGAGCTGCCGACAATGGACGAACTAGTGCCTAGCTATGAGCCCAGATACTCTGTCAATCTCAATTTTCTCTCTCTCTTTCAAGCATAACTCCTCGCGCGAGTCTGGCCAAGTGCCACCAACAATCAATAGACAAAGCGAACGATGGCAGCGAGCCAAGACCGAACCTGCCTAGCCCATTGAGGGGGCACACCATCTGACCACTCTAGCTGGCCTCCTGCAATACATAGCGTGTCGCCCTATTGCCTCCTCATGCCGCGCTGCCCAGAGAGGGAGAGGCAGCCACTTGGTCTTTAGGTGGTTACATGAGTGCTTTTATTCCAGGCTCTGCAGTGCAGATAGACACTGGCAATGTTCCTAAGGGAATCAGAGTGTTTTGCCGTTCGCGTGAGTAACGGCCTGCCGATGATGCGCCGAAGCTCTCACCTGCGTTCACTTTCATTACGCGTAGGGGTTCTCCCGGATGGGCCTGTGTGCGTGGCCTGTAGGGATTGTACTTGTAAAAGCCTGAACGTGCCTGTTTGCCAGGCACAAGGTCGTTGGCTGTTGAGGCAGGGATCGCCGTTGACCTCCAATATACCGTTACGTGCGGAGTGGGACACTAGTACATAGTACTTGTTCGATCGGGCATCCACAGCCATCGGGGGCCGTATCGAACACAAGTCGCCAGCAAGCCGCTACCTGCGTCTGGCCCTCTCTGTACGAAGGACTGACTTGGCCCGGTGGGAACATGCAGGCAGGCTTAGCGGGAAACGCTCAAGTTTTGCTCGTATTCGTCCTCACCTGCTCTACATAGTACACTGGCGGTTCGAGAGACGCTGCAAACCCGTATTTGCTGCGGGTTATCCAAAGCCTCGGGGCCCGGCACTCGCCGCGGTCGACATGGGCAAAGGGCCTGGAATCAGTAGGTATTCCCCATCACACAAGATTTCTAAAGTGCCCCCGCCCGACGGGATCGATGTGCTGTGTCCGGGTCCGTCGTGTTATCCATGTCTGTGGTGTCGTGGCCCAGTACTGTACTGTTGTCATTGCGTCACATGACGGTCTACTCTGTAACGTTGAGACTTCCACGCTTCTTTTGCTGCCGCATCTCTTTTTAGCTGCTGGCTTCGGAAAAGCACGTCTAGGCTTGGTACCTATAGAAGTGAGAGTGGCCTGGTGACCGCTGCCTGCGGTGCTTGTCCTTGTTTACTGGGGACGCTGTCAATATCCGAAATCACCCTCATTTGTGGCGATGCAGCAGAGTTTTGGCCATTATGTCATGGCCGCCGTGGCCGGGCGGGACAAGGCAACATTTCACCAAGGACAAGGAGCTGCCATGCCAAGCCCAAGAGTCAGGACGTCGCAATGGCGCTCTGGCTGCAGCCTTTCCGCTGTGGCTGCAAATGTGCATGTTGCAACAGCTCCATCATCACTGATTGAGGCTTCAGTGGCATTGCCCACTTCGGTCGGCGGTTTGACCGGGGTTGCAGTTCTTAGGCGCCCGGGGGGCGATCCTCTTAAGATTGGCGTCCCATCACAACGTCATTGCGCTGGGTGTCGCCCATCTTGACCTTCCCAGCCTGCTGCTGTGTGTCTACACGCAAGCATACGGAGGTAGGGTGTTCGTCATCTAGGTATCAGCCTCAACCTCGATTCGGTCTCGTTTGGGGTGGTGTCTATCCAGAGCTTCCAAATGCGTGTGTCATGCCGTGATACTAGTACTCCCCAACAGCGATGGAACGACCCTGACATGATTGCATGCGAGACATACTGTGCTCAGGCCTCGTGTCTCCTGAACGATCCAGCACGCTGCAGGTATCGGCCTCATTGGCTCCTTCGTGCCTGTCAGACTCGACACGCAGCGCAAAGTCCTCGGTCAATGATACTGGTGCTGCAGTGATGCTGCAGACACCACAGCACGGCGACAAGGTTTGTGCGAGCTTCTCACTCGTCGTGGCTGTTCAGCCATCCTCCCACGAGATTGAGTAGACAGAACTGCGCAACCTCAACCTCCGAAATCGCTTATCTGCTTCAATGCGTTTAATCTGCATCCGTATCCTCCAACTCACCGAGGCTGCGTACGGTCAATGTGTACGCAGGCAGGCGCAGCGGTCTGTATGAGATTCGGCTCGAGTAGAGCCAGGGCAAGGGAACCAGCTCACTTGAGCAGTAGCCATCGCGCCCGGAAACAACAGTGTGCCTATGCACTGCGCTGAGTTCACTTCGTCCGAGTGTGAGCCAACTCTCCCTCGTCAACCTGATATATGGATCGCCATATTTGACCGGACGGCGCTCAAGCTTGCTTTTCGCCAGACACCACGGCAGATAGTCGCGGCCGATGCACGTCACCAGCGCCCCCCAACGGACGAATAGGTGTCGCTAGCTTGTCATTTGAATAATGTAGTTTGGGAGATCTCTTATGTGAATGTTCGGATCGAAGCGAAGCGCAGTCAATAGAGGCTCTGGCAGTTTCGTCGTTGCGCACCCAACCGTCATGCAAATGCTGTCAGAGCAGATTTGCGGCTGTGACAGCATGGCCAATAGTCGTTGCGATTAAGCCCCCTTTCATCTGATGACAAGCTCCCTGGCGCCTGGCAGCCACGCTAGGCTGGGACATCCCGAAAAGCAATTCCAAGCTGTTTCATGCTCCAGCTCTTTGTCTTTGAAAGCCCGTTCTTTCTGGCCAATGGCTGTCCCCACCGAAGTATGTTTCACTAACAGGGCGTCGTCGTCGATGAGATGCCGGTAGCATAGCGCAATGCAATATGAGATGGCCCTTTGGCCCAAAGTAGTGGTTTGATGAGGCAGAGACCAAGGTTACTATGTAGAGCTTGGACTCCCAGCCAAGCAAGATTGACAGACTGCCTCGGAGGAGTGCAAGAAATGCCTGGATGCCATGTGGGCGGTTGACGGAAGCTGGATGGGGTTCAGTGCAGATCTCGGCCTGCGCGAGCTGCGAGGGTGTGTTCATCTGCCCATCACTGGCCCTTTCGGTTCGAGATTGGCACTCGTCTGCAGCGTCCAATTGGCCTTTCCACCTTCGAGAGGACCGGTCATGGAAGCCGGCCATGGAACCTGGTCATCTGCCGTTGAGTGCAAGGGATGCGGACGCTTCTAGACTTGATATGCTGGGACATTTGGTCCGCGTCCATTGTCCGCTGTAGCGTCTCCAATGTTTGGTTTGCTTTTGCAGAACAACTATACAATTATGCTGCTTCCACCTTCCGGCGAAGTGGATGCATCATTATGGCATCTCCGCACAACATGGACTCAACTTGAGTCTGAATTGAGTTCAGCGCAAGGGAGCATGAGGGTGTGCCACCAGGTCCCAGACTAATGAGAAGCTTTCGCAATCGTCTCCGAGATACCGGTTTCGAGTCATTGGCCGTGCTATGCTGCATAATGCTGTCGACAAGGCTTCCTCGAGCACCGAACAACTTCTGAAGGTGGAATTATCCTGCCACTCTGGCGAATCGGCGTTCCGGCGTCGAGGAATCTCGACCGTTGAACGCTGCGTTGGGCTTTTGGATGCCTGTCACTGTATCACTGTGTGCTGACCTCGTCATGGATAATATCGGGAAGACTCACAGCGCACGGATCGTTCGGGAATAGGTCGGAAGATTACCCGGCACGCTGCTATCGTCATGTGATCAGCCAACTCTTATCGATAACAGGGGAGAGGTTGTCTGAGCAACAACGGGTGATTAAGCTGTTTACGGCAATCTTTTGATCACAACCCGAGACATACACAAGCCGATATTTACAGTCAATCAAGTTCGTTCGCATTCATTGCAGCGCAGCGCGTTTTCTCCCTGACGAGGAGTCCGACAACATCGCCCAGCATGTCCTACAACCCACGAATGAGCATTATTCCCCCGACGCAGACCCAGTCGCGAACCCGCAAGAAAGAAGATGAAGCCGACGCGTTTATGCGCCTCCCGGACAAGGAGATTGTCGGCTGCATAACAGACATCGGCATTCCTTTCACTGTCGCCGACCTTCAGAAGCCCAACCCTCTCCAGGTTCAGATGATCTTTGAATGGTTCGCTGAGCTGCTTCTCAATGCGACCCGCGAGACCGTTGAGCCCGCCATGCGCGCCGCCGCCGAGGACATCTGCGGCGAATACTCCGACGTCGTCCCTCCCGATACCCGTAACCTCATGGGCTTCTACGTATCTCTTCGCCGTCTACTCGCTGAGTGTGGTATCCAAGATTTCAGCTTCAACGATCTGTATAAGCCGTCACACGACCGTCTCGTCAAGATTTTCAGCTACCTTATCAACTTTGTGCGCTTTCGCGAGTCGCAAACCAGCGTCATCGATGAACACTTCAACAAAGCCGAGACGACGAAATCGCGGATCGAGAGTTTGTACTCGGAGAACCAGGAAATGGAGTCGCGCCTCGTCGACATGAAGCGCAATCGTAAGGCCATGGAAGTACAGGTGCGCGAGAAGACGTCGCGCAATGAGGAGTTGAAGCAGAGGCTTCTGGAGCTGCGGCGCAACCAGGAGCGCGTGGCGGCTCGTCTCGAAGACGCCAAGGTCAAAAAGACGGAGCTCACGACAGCACTGGAAGAGAAGACGGCGCAGAAGCTGGTTCAGAAGCAGGACTGTGCAAAATTGCGACCCTACGTCATGCAGAGCCCCTCGGCGCTGCAGGCAACGCTCACAGAGCTAAGCAACGCGCTCAACAGCGAAAAGGCACATATCGAGGCCCTCGACCGCCGCTCGCGCGCGTTGCAGACTTCCGCCGATTCGTTTTCGGTCGTCTCTACGGATGTGGCGTCTTGCATCAAGGTCCTCGACGAAATTGGCGTGGAGCTGGCCAAGGAGGAGGAGGAAAACTTGAAGAATGTCAAGCAGCGCGATGCTCTGTCGGAGCGCGGTAACAACGTGCGAGAGGTCGAACGGACAGAGGCATTGCTGCAACGACAGCTGCTCAAGTGGAACGAGCGTACCGAGAAGCTTCGCGAGCAGAGTTCCGCCAAGGCTCACGAGGCCAAGGAGAAGATGGAGGAGCTCCGTGCTGTCCACCGCAAGCTGACCGAGGAGCGGACCGAGAAGGGCAAGGACATCGAGAGACGTCGGGTTCGCATCGAGCAGACTGAGAAGAAGGTACAGTGTATGCCGCCGCTGATCCATGGAACATGATGCTAACAAGACAATAGATGCTGGACCTTAAGGAGAACATTGAGAATGAGATTCACAGCGCCTACGATGAGTTTCTCAAGATGGACTCTCACATCAAACTCTACATTACCGAAATGGAACAGGCCCTGTGAGGCTGCTGTTTTTTGTTCTTCATTGTGGGTTTTCTGTCAGTTTGCTACGAAGACATGAGTTATAAGGATACCACGGGCTCGGCGTTGGTGGCTGGATTGGAGTACATGTTCCATACTGAGAGGCAATGGTTCCTTCTCGGCTTGATATTAGAGATCGATCAGATGAACATCAATCTGTACCTATTCCCCCAAAAAGATTCTTGACATGAGATCAAAAGTCCCATTGGCCCATCTGGAATCGGAACCATCGCCCCAAAACCCGTTTCACCTCGACTGTCCTTCCCGTCCAAATACCCTCATCCCTCCTCGAACTCCCACTAAGGACAGGTATATCATCTCGCAGAACCGCCTTGAAATCCTCGTGTCCTCCTGCCCCCTTTGGCTCAACGACAACGGGCTTGAACTCCGTGCGCCGAGCAGCTTCAATGAGTGCGGCGGCCGAGTTGCTGAGGCCTTGGGCGCTCCACTCGCTGCTGTCGCGGTGGAGGTTGAGGAATCCGTAGACGAGGAGCAGAGGCGGCCGGCGCTTCCCTAATGACGGCGGTAGATAGTTTGGGGGCGGTGGCGTCAGAGAGTCGGACGGGTCAAAGGCGGAGAGGTACGCGCGGAGATGTGTGACTGTCGGGATGAAGAGGATGCGGATGTGCCGGGCTACTGCGGTCTGGTATAGCGTCGCAGAGAGAAGAGGCAGAGGACGTCGCTCATCAAGGTCTCGGTGGTCTTCAGTAGGGATTTGCCCTTGGATGTCGAATAGGAGGGTTGAGATGAAGTCCTCCCGTGGGCAACAGATGAGGAGCGTGGTCGGGTAGGCCTGGAACGTGACGATGTAGTGGAGAAGTTCTACTGGCGAGGATGGTGATAGCACCGTCGGGGCCATTATGAGTTCACTTCCTTTAGAACCAGCGCAGAGGCCAACTTGTTGTGCTGTGGTTTTGGCTGATCATTACGGGATTGAAGAAGGACTGGGGGTGTAGTTCGATACATCAAGTGGTTTTGCTCGAATGGGTTGGAATGAGAGAAGCACGGGCCCACTTCTCGTCGGCCGACCATTGTCCTACATCAAACTGTCAACCACAGCCAACTCCCCTTGAATCAAGAGACTCGGTCACAACTTTTCAGTGTAGTCCGATAGTATCCGTACGTTGGAGCTTTTTAAATGTTATGTTTGACCGCAATTACAGCTGGGTGCCTGGCGCCACGCATTCTTTGCCAGAAAGTTACTTCAATTTTGTCACGAGGCATCTAGGTTGATTGAATCGTTGTGCAAACGGGCAGAATAAAACATTTCAAAGATGTGCAAACTGATATTTGATAATTGACTGACATTCCTCAAAATCTGAACGGGATTCCGATTTGGGTACCTTGCCCAATAAACAGCATTTACTTGCTGAATTTCATTGCCGAACCTAGACCGCGGTGTTCATTGAAGCACGCTGGCCCTTATTAGTTGGAAAAGGGCAATGTGATCGTAGGGTACGGAGAAAGTGCATATTGATTTCTTCTCATGGAACTTGTTGTTATTTTGTGGAGGAGAAAAGTACCATCACCTTTTGACCCTTGTAGGACGACAGATCTTCGCAGGCCCGTCGTCATAACAATTGTTTGGATCATCACCGTCTAAGTCTTGCACATGTCCTGGTAGACCGCGTCGTTCACTCATCGCAAGATATTTGCCTACATGGCCTCAAAACCATGTCGAAAATTGCTCTCGGTCGGCTACTTCCTGATATGACACGGGACAGTCAGTAGACAGAAACAGGAATTACTTCGTACCCAGTACCGTTGAGCTTCACCGTCCCTCGAGGCGCTCCTCAAACAGCTCCCCGATATTGATAAAGATATATGATGATACATAGTTTCCTTCCCTTGTGCAAGCGCAGTCCCTTACCCGGATCTTGTATCTCTCCAAAGGCGACGAATTCGCGTACCTCGAGACCATGAGGGCCCATCCGGCTGGGGCTGTCGAAAGTTGACATTCGCTTTAACAGTCAGATTTATCACAGGTTCCATTCTGGCCCATTTTTTTCTGTTAACCTAAGCTTCTTCAATCATGGATGACAAGGTCTCGCAAGGGTCGAAATCTGGACGCGGTTTCATGTAAAGCCGAAAACTGCTCTGCTCGGCATATTGGTCTTTTAACACTGGAGGGGGGCTCCTTTCATGAGCGGCACAAAGACACGCATTTAATACCAAGTGGGAGATTTTTGACAATCTGAGATACACTGGAGGTAGTTTCGCCTTCATAATTTTCCATGTGCCGTTCGACCCCTCGTTGCCTCTCGAACTAGGACAATGTATGATCGTGACCTTTACCGTGGCAGAGGATATAATAACAGTATCTGTATGTTTATGGAGACTTCGCTGCTCACCATCGAATGACCGTCTCCGAATCTGCTGTGATGAACAACTTTGCGACGGCCTTCAGAATGACAAGACCATCGGGAACATGCAACTAGAGCATAAAAGTTTTCATTGACATGTCGGAAGCATGATGTATCACGAAGCTGTATGTGACGCAACGTACCCCTTGCAAAGTCCCAGAGATATGTCTTTTAGGTTGAAACCCCCAGAAAACCCCAATTGGATTCTGTAACCCATTTTGAGCGCTGGTCAATTCTCAAATGCATGCGACTTGTTATTTTATTAGAGTAATACTTGCATGTCCGGTAAGTGATGTATCTATAAACAGTTTCAACCCTTTTGGAAAAGAAGTAACAATGCAATCAGCCAAAAATTATCTTCTAATTTTATGCAGGACACAACAATGAAGGAGCATATGGCGATTCTCTCTAGAAGCTGCCCAGCCAAAAGTGGCGAGGAAATTCTATACGGTGTGTTACACAAACAACACACACGATGAACCTGATTGAAGACACGACACAACCTAACCTGTGCTCGAATGATCCACAGCTCTAGAACATTTTGTATCAACATGAATCATTTTGACCTCAATCTTTCAGTCTGATTCTTCCATTTTGGTCCATTCTGCCTGTGCCTTAAGCATGCATACTTGATTACGCTTCCCCCATGCACCTCGCCGGTAATCAACAGGTTTTGACCGTAGCTACCAAATGCAATTATGCACGCTTCAGGTCAAACCCAAGTGATCATCGAAAACCTACCGTAAGCTGACCAGTAAGAGGGTGAAACTACGCGCCGGTTGGCAAAGCATCTGAGGGCAGCCATCTCGTCACGTCCCGCCCCCTTTCCCCGCTGCTTTGCGTGAACGCTTCGTTTTTAACTCCCGTAAACGGAAAGGTGTGTCTGTGATTATATGCACAAACAACCAACAGCATATACAGGTTACATTCAAATGTTATTTAGGTTAAGCGGCTTCTGTTTCAATCGGTTTGCGGTTTTCATTTATGTTCCAGGTCACCCCATACGCCTGCGCCGTGGGCATTTCAGGTTTTCCTCGTTCACATACCCGACCAAACTCTCTTGCGACATATTCCTTGACGTTGGCGTTGCTACCTTGCCTAAGAGCCCCACCAAACTGAATCGAAATGGTGGCTTCTAGCATCGTGCCTCAGAATTTAGCCATGGATGGCATAGATCCTGCGCCGTCTCCTATCATCCAGGAGCTTACTGCCCTCCTGCAGGATGCGTGTCCGGATCTTGAAGATTGGGAGTTCAAAATCTGTGTAGCCAAAGCAAAGGCTACCAAAAGACGTTGCAGACAGCACCTCCGCCTTTCAAAGGAAGCTGAAGAACTCTGGCTCCAGTTTCGGCTGATGCCGGAATGCCCGGTGACCGACGAGCACCTCGACCAAGTCGCTGGTTTCCTTGATGCTTCCCATTGTCGGTTTCATAAGGAGGACGCGGCCAAAGCTCTGGATGAATGGAAGAAAGGTCGTGTGGCGCCTGTATCTTCATTGCCCGATCAGCTTCCTACACGCATCAATGGCCACGAGGTCAAGGCTTCTTCAATATCTGTTAACATCACCCATACGATGCAAACGATATCCCCAGTGGCTGCAAACCCGATGACGGAGAAAAGCATTGAGGTTTCATTCCATGTTCAGACAGTCACAGATACCATTTCTACCATGGTCATCACTGATGCCGCTCAAACCGACGCCGCCAACAGCCTGAGCAACGATACCTCCGCTAAGACAGATAGAATAATTGGTCTTGGTCTGGTAAGCCCTCAATGGGCAGGCTCACCAAAGAACGACGCACCAGTTCTTCTCGAAATGCACAAGCTCCTTACTCCAAGAGAGGCCGAAAACGGAGTCGTCTATGTTCTAGAGCACGAAACCGAGAAGGGGATGTTCAAGATTCAATGTGAGAAGAAGGCCCCAAAAATAATTCTCAAACATCCCAGCAACTGCAACACATCCAACGTAAATATCGTTTACGAGACCCCGAGTGGCCCGTTTTTTGCGGCATACAGGGCTCATATTCTTGCTCAAATCGCACTTCGCCAACAAACCCTTACAATCACGGAATGTCAATGTTGCGGGCGAGAGCACAGAGACTGGGTCCGCGCCCCGATGGAGATGGTTTTGGAAACCGTCAAAACCATGGAAACCTTTGTTCAGCTCCCCGCTTATGAGTTGAGAGGTACCAATCATTGGAGGCTCTCCGTTGCTGCGGACGAAATGATCAAAACCATGGGCGAGTTCTCATTGGCGGGGTTCATGAGCAAAATGAGTTCAACAAGAGAACACCCCGCCGGAGAGACTGCTACAAACCTTGTGATGCAGCCGAGCGAAGAGGGTTTTAGTTCCTACTCTGAGACTGCTATCCAACCAAGCTCGCAAGTTTCCGAAGAAACATTGGAAGGGACGGAACCTTCTACTCCACCCAAAGCTATTGACGCTGGCAAATCCGCGAAATTACCAGGTAAGGCCAAGCGTTATATTAGAGGACTTGAGACAGGAGTGAAGAACATATTGGGGGGCCGTTTATCTTCGGGGCGGTCACGAGAAAGCACCCCAGAACAAAAGTGATGCAACACAAATAGCTTGGGAATAGAAACGGAAATGATGGTGAGCTTGGTGATGGCAAGAACGCCAGCATAGGTATTCTTTTAAGCTTGCTGAAGAACCACAATCCTCCTGTATGGAGACCCAAGAAAGTGCTCCCTGGTCAAATATAATAAAGGTTGGTTTCAGAGCTTCCATAAAGAAATGGAACAAACTACGTTTATGAATTGGAGAGTAATATTCAATTGATTTACATAGCTAAAGTAACAAAAGTATTAGCTAAAGCTGCCCGACGAATTATCATCTGTTATGAGAGTACTTTTGCTACTCTCTTGCCTTTAACTGTAACATTTGCTTTTATTCCTAAGTCTTACTCATTTACAAGTAAGGCATAGACAGCAGGTAGGCAATCTGTACCATCCTGCCTCTCACGACGTCAGGGTTTAAGTCAAGTCTTTAGTTCCATTGCCGGCCATCGCATAATGCGGGCATCAGCGCTCGAGGTTCTAAATCTATCGTAGCTATCATGATAGCGTTAAACGCTCGAGGTCATCGCAACTTCAAGCCTGATTTGTCTTCAGCGCTATGGTCTCCTAGGACGGGTCCATGCCTAGATGGTCCGTCGCGTGATTCTTTCCCAGCCACACTACTGAGCTAAGGAACCACACGGATTTAGTCTCTACCTAATACGGATGGTCAACAAAATGTTTTCGACCTATGACGGACGTTGGACGCCAAGTAGTTCCTCCTGCCTACTCTGAACGAACGGTTGGCTCAAGCTAGAGGATGTGAATGCTCTCAGAGTACTGCGTCATGGGCAGCTACAGAGCATGCCGACCCTAATTAGGCGCGAAATTCCCAGAATGTGTAGCCTCTTGTGTGGCAATGCGCGTCATTTGTAGAGGGCGTCAATGAAAAATGGCGACCGAGGATTGATGCAAAATTGTATAAGTGAAGGTAATCCGTCGCTAACAAACGTACCGAACATTCAAGCCTTGTCGTGAATCGGTCGCGTCTTTTCTACTTTTCTAGTCTCGATATCGTGCGACCCCTGCTTTGAAAAAACACCTTTTTTGCCATATAAACTCATTGCTCTGAACTCCTGTACCATATTATTGTCAGCTGGTACTCTTATCCCTTCAAGATGAATGTCGATCGTCCCACACGAGGGTTTCGCGTCCCCTGGAAATCTCGCAGACTCCAGCGACCACATTGGCATGAGAAACATGTGGTCCGGCGCCTGACCTATCTCGACTTCCTTCCATCTCCGGTCAAAGGCCACATCGTGGCATGTGTGGGTGAATTCGTTGGCACCTTCATGTTCCTGCTATTCGCGCTCGGCGGGACAAACGTGGTTAACACCGCACCGCCCGAGGGCGCGAACGCTACAGACTTGAGTGCCAACCCAAGCAAGATCATGTACATTGCTCTGGTCTTTGGCATGTCGTTGGCTGTCAACGCATGGGTCTTCTTCCGCATCAGCGGAGGATTGTTCAATCCTGCAGTCACCCTGGGTATGATGGTTGTCGGTGCTACAGGCTACTCGCGCGGCATTTTGATTATCGTTTCACAAATCTTAGGCGGCATAGCAGCCTCTGGCGTTGTTTCTGCAATGATGCCAAATGTTCTGGCTGTCAAAACGGAGCTGGGTGGCGGCACGACAGTCGTTCAGGGATTGTTCATCGAGGTACGTGCATTGCCCAAGTCCGTTAACAAGTAGCAACTAACGCCTGACTAGATGTTCTTAACTGCCCAACTCGTCTTTACAATTTTTATGCTGGCCACCGAGAAGCACGAAGGCACGTTCATCGCCCCCATCGGCATTGGCCTCTCTCTTTTCATCGCCGAGCTCATGGGCATTTTCTACACTGGCGGCAGTGTCAACCCAGCCCGCTCGTTCGGTCCCGCAGTAGTCACTCAATCATTCAGCTCATACCACTGGATATACTGGGTTGGCCCTATTCTTGGGGCTTTGCTGGCAAGCGTATTTTACATGTTCATCAAAGCTCTGGAGTACGAAACAGTCAACAATGTCGCCGACCCAAAACAGGCTCTTGGCGAAAAGTTCAATCACCTTAACAAGAAAGAAAAACCTGATACCCATGGGCCCGCAGAACCTGATCGCTCCATCGACAAAACTGTACCTGGGGCCTCAGGAGAGACTTTTGACCACTCTCCTGACCTGGAGAGCGGATATACTGCTCATCATTAGCTATACTGTTGCAAGGTCTTCTAATAAGTGTCATTAAGCAAGCGTTCATAGTTGTTTGCCCTAAATTATTTACCATGATTGTGTGCCTCTCACTTTCCAGCCAAGATACTACTCTCAGTGTGACCAGTTCATGCTGCTGCACTCATAGAGGCTTTCCCATGCACGTCCACAAGCCTTTTATCGAGCAACGGCCCCGCTACCTAGAAACCAGGAACTCCCTCGGACATGGCAACGAGCAGTCTCAAGACATCAAGAAACAAAGTTGTCTTCCTCAAACGCTCATCTTGGTGGTGAGCACATATTTTCTTGATTTAATTCAACACCAAATTATTTCACAATACAGTTGCCATTAAAGATGTGAAATTACTTCAAGCTCACCAAGTCCGGTAACGTAATCCTCAGTAAACTCTACAAATTTAGCTATCCGAATCATGACGTTGGGCATGAGGATGACTTGGTGCTAGATAACGAGCGTTTGTTTGAGGGTAGCGGGAACTTCAACGGTTATCTCGGGCCGTCTTCGTCTCCCCGCCCATAATTCTTGATGGCTGCTTCGCCAACTGCTTTCGAGGCTTACAAGTGAAAGCAAGGTATATAGCAGAGCCGACGCATAACCATAGGGCTGATTTATGCTGTGTTTCATACTCTCACGCTGGTTTTCCCTGGCGATTGTGGCTGACCTCGATACTTTTGAATACTGCTGAGAAACTGGAGCCGTGTCCAACCAGTGTTGAAGGATCCATATTGGGATATATCGCTTTTGAATAGAAATTCCAGAAGCACTTTGAAGTTTGGAGTGACTTTGCCCAAAAGGCCACGCGTCGCACGTGGAAATAATTGCACAGAGGCTCGGTTGCCCTCGCCGTTAAGAGGTGACATGCTCATCCCTTACAAGCCGAGTAGAGAGTATGCACGTTCCCCAACCTTGTTGCAACACGTCCAAAGTCCTAATCAAGACATGCTTGGGGCGATCAGCTTACTGGCCAAGAGTCTTGAGATACTTCTGTTTACTGAATGCGGTAATCAACTTGTGTCTCAGTACGTTATTAATTACACGTCGGCCTTTCTTGAATCTCCGCACTGAGCTTGCCGCGCGTTCCAGTACGACTCAACTCCTCATCGTCAGGTCCACTCTTCAAGCCGCGCTGAGCAATTGGAGTGGCCAGCTCTCATTACAGGAACTACCAAGAACCTTGTATCGAACGCAGTCACAAAGCCCCAGAGATACACATAACAGACACCAGAGTTACCGCATCACTTGTAACTGGATTTGACGGCCTAAGTATGCTCGGCGAAGACTTGCTTATTGATTTCGAAAGTATAAACCTGGACATGTGAGGAGCTCTGATTCAGACTGACGCAACAAGTCTTCGAATATTGGACCACCCCTTCGTTGTAGACATAAGTGGTAGCCGACATATTGGAGGTTGGCCTTGGCACCTTGTCTTCAATGGGGCGGTTCCACATGAAACGCTGAAACTCAACACTTTGTACAGAAATTCTTCATTACCAAATTGGGGCTCATAATATAACTTTTTCCTTCGCCCGCGAATCGACACAACGCCCGATATCATCTAAGCCCATGGCTCGCATACGCACAAACTGAGAGTTCACTATTCAGGGACCGAATCACCTCATTCATTCAGTTCTAGTCCCACTGTTGACATGAACACGCCGTAGCGGTAAGCAGGAGAACCATAAGAGTTCACCAAGACGCTAGGATGTGTTACCGTAGCAGATCGGCCCTCGTACGGAAGCGCTCAAGATTGCAGTGAAACTTCCCTCGGTGGCTTACACCGCCGATCATGCCGCTTGTTTCGTTTATGTTTCTCTAATCGGGGTTATGATTGCAAGCTATTGTCCCTAATGGGTAGCCAGCTAAGGAAGGTGAGCATATACGATAGCATCAAATGTCTAAGACATTCTGGGTTGCCCTCCACGATCCCGCATCTATCCAATGAAACCAAACCATACTTCAGAGCTTAGAAACATCTGCTTTCTGAAAAGTATTTACCACATCGAGAAGTAAGAAGTATATCCTCGAACATTCTTAGAAACTGCAAATCGTTGACTATAAAGATGTGTGTTCATCTTCAATTTCGTCTCTTCTTTTCATCAACTCACACACACATTTTCAAATCCTTGTCCTGATCATCACCAATAGCCATAAACCAAACCCACAAGCTTCCACACCCGCAAGACTTTCAAAATGCTCATCACCAACATCATCGCCACCGTCGCTACGGCCTGCGCGGTTCTGGGCCCTGCAGCTCTCGCCGATGACTTCAGGGTCAGAAAAAGCGGCAAGACCGACTGTTCTTCTGACGAAGGCCCAATCAGAGGTTACAACAGAGGCGTCTGTAACCCTCTGTATAGTACCGACTGGGGGATGAGGGTCATCGAGCACAACCCCGATTGCAAGAGTAAGAGCAGCCCCTCCCCGAGCAATATGCCAAAGCCCCACCTAACTAGTAGAGCAGTAAGAGGATACCCAGACGGCAATTGCCGGGGCAATGTAGTTACGGCCTTTAGCACGAGGCAATGCCATTCTCTGAAAGGAACGTGGTCGTTCAGAGTTGAGTGCCCTTAGTTAGAGGATGTACATCGTTATTGCAAAGTACCCAACCGTTCAGCTCTAACTCCCAGAGCTGTATTTGGATCCAGGGTGCAGGGAATAGGGTATTGGATTTGACTGAATCCATAAGTCGCTCATTGTTGGATAGTTTGGAGCTTGGCTCAGAACAAGAGGGGATAGGATGGGGTTCCATATAAGCAATCACTCATTTTCTCGAAGGGCTCAGATGGTGCTACTTAGGGTTAGAAATAAACGCACTCTTTTACAAATACCAAATCCAAGTCTGGAATGTTTATACGTTGAAACCCCATGACGAAGTGTCGTGGATGGCAGCATTCGGACAAGCCTTGGTCCCGTAAACTCACCTTCTTCCCAGCCTCCTTCCACGGATTCTCTTGTTGGTTTCCTTCTGTAATCGACCGCCATGCTCAGTATTTTGTAGTATCAGCTTTTGGATCAGCTAGTACGAGGCCTGTTTCCTATGTGGTCGCCCCTAGCTCATGAAGGCAAACTAATGCTTGGCACCAAATACTACATATTGTCTCTTCCAAAGCTAGCATTAAGTACTTGAAGCAGGTTGTTGGTCGACTGTCTATGGCAGGATGAAAGCCACTCATTGTCACAAGGGGTCAAAAGTTTTGTTATAGCTGAGACTTTCATTTGAAGACAGAAGTATATGGGTCTATAAATAGGAAGGAAACCAGCTTCTTTCAGAAGAGTGGATGGGAAACTGCGTAAATGTTGCAGTTATTAGCGGTGGGAATATCAACCTTTGGAAATAATTTCTCAGGCTTTGTGAAAGTATCATCACGAAAATCATGGCAATGATGATTATTAGCAGCAAATTTTCAACTTGCAAGGCAGGGACTTGGAAAGGAAACTGATTATATTTCTAAAATCTCTTCGGTTATCAATAGCGTCCTGCGTCCTGATTCATATTTATGCCTGGTGAAGAATGCATCACCATCTTCCACCTCGCAACGTTAAATATCAGATCAAACATCCGGGCCCAAGATCCTTAGAAACCGGCTGTTTGCGGGCTGGTGATGCATCATAAGTCTCTTCTTGTTCTGCTGCTTCAGTAGCATCAGCTTGTTTAGATAATCTTGCAGGGCATGGCTCCCACTGGCGCTGTGGTTTGCAGACGACCCAGCCGCATCAGGGCTTTAAGTCATCTTGGGCAGGTTCTCAATCTTTAAGCCGGACGCGTTGGGTATAGGCGTGTTGGTAATCTGACTAGTCTGATGAGGTTGAACGTTTGCCACGCATATGGTGATTGATTCTGTCTGTGCAGCGGGTGGTTGACGTGGAAGAGTAGCGGACTGATGCTGGGTGAACGAAACCGGATTAACGCTGTTGCCTATGAGCATCTGCTGAGCTTCAGGTGGTGTGATCTTCATTTACTGGTTTGGCATGCCCTGCTGCGATTTTTCGTTCTGCGTCATTCTTGGTTGGTGATGGAAGCTAGGCGCTCCTTCCAGGGGAGGCTTCCGGGAAGGGGGGTAGCTCTTGGAAGGTTTGTAGATCCGGTTTGGGAAAAGATGCAGTACGGCAATGGAATGAAGGGTGCTAAGTGATCTGATCAGTGAGGAATAAGTGACTGCTGCCAGTGATATTAGGTCTGTGTGATTGTTGATCAGAGAGACAGATCATAGCCGCAAGTAAGGGTAATTAGTGTAAAGGACGGCTGTGGCATCTTTTATTCCAAGTATCTTGGTACAGGGGCGGTGTCAAAGGCGAACGCTATACCAGGCTGCAGCCTGCTTGCTTGATAGTAGTGGGAGTCGCCTGCAATGTTGGTTGCCAGACCCGTCCCATCTGTGCGCCTAAATAAGTCACTTTCAATGCCACGTGCATCTGTTCATGGCACGATTTGATGTCGGAGGTCAGAATGCAAGTAAGTAAACAGTAACAAGGAGACCAAACAATTGATTGTTTAAAGATATTAGCACTCTGACTGTTTTTGAATTTGATACGTGATCACCAACCAATGCCATACGAGGTGCCAATAGAAAAGCAATCCTACAGTGCCCGGGAAAACGGAACCTTCAAAGTTGCTTTATTCAAGAGTTCATGCCATTGACTCGCAATGTACCCCCAGCTGAAGAAGAATGCAAATTTTGAGATATTAGGAGTTGGGCTTTATAACAATAGAAGGAAGAAGAAAAGAAAAAGGAAGAATCACCACAAGTAGGCAGTGACAGGTCCTTTCCCCTTGAACGAGACACCATTTTCATCATCTAGAAGAAACTTGTCGATGTTGGGTGGCTTGTCTGTAGCGTAAATGCCATGAGCTTAGAGACTTTGGCTGAACTCTTGGAGCTTCAAACGCATTGCAGAACAGGTTCACTTTAATAAAAAACCCCAACGGCTTTGAAATTTAGAATACATGGATCGAAAGCAGGCTGGAAAGCTTGCAGACTGTGGCTGTATGCAGTTACACCTAAGTGAATAATTACAACAGGCATCAATCTTTATCTCAGGCACCACTGTCATTGGCAGTACACCAACCAACCACCTTGACACCTTGACGAAGACCACGTCGCCAAGAATAAACATATGACCTGCACTGCACGGCACTAAAAATGGAGATGATGTGCTATGCTGACTGCATCTAACCAACCAAACTCTGTCGATAACACATGAGTGCTCTTGATGAGGAGAAGCAGCCTGGTGCTGTGGACAACAAAATGTCCATTGTGTGGCCACATTTTCCCATACTCTTCATCCCAGCTTCCAACAACAAAAACTGTCGCGAATCATTCGGCCATTTCCAACGCATCGCACGATGAATTCAAAAATGGAGGGTAGCCTTCTCTCAGCCAAAGTCGAAAACACCGTCGGACTTTTCAACTTCAATGTCGATTTTTCTTGCGTGAAAGTTGAGATACCAAAACAGTACCAAGACTTGGGTAACGCGCTATCAACTCAACGACGAGAAAATGCCGAGAACGGCCAGCATCACAAGACCGCCAGGAGGCTTGGAGCAATCTTCAAGGAATTCATACCGGATATTGAGATTCTGTCAGAGGCATATGGCTATAGGGTGTCCGAGATTGTCAAATCCTCAAAATTAAGCACAAATGTAAGTGATGACGTGGAAGTCTTGCCAAGTCGCCGCTAATACCGACGAACTTGAGCAGTCGCTTGATTTTGGACCCTTCGCTAGTCACGTCGGAGTCGACGGGACATCGATCCTAGCGGCGGTGTCGTCTGGCCGAGAACATGTTGCGCTGCACTTGCTCGCTTGTATGTTGGCCAGAATGTTTTCTTCCTCTGAGGCAACCGCGATCTGGGTACAGATTGTCGAGACTAGACTGGCAGAGCTGGAAATCAAAGCTGATCCGTCTCAACTGGAAGGAATGACAGCTTTCTTTGCCAGAAAACAAGGTCTCGAGATCAGGAGAGACGATCTCGCATCCTGGGATGCCAGTGCCCGAGCGTGGTTGGAGTCGGCAAACCATGTAAAAAAACGGGAGGAGACTCAGCTCAAACTCATTATCAAGAACATTCCTTCGATCAGAGGATTTGGTACTACGTATTCCGACGTTATGAAAAACTGGAAAATAGCTATGCTATCTGTACAAAAGTCTATCGAGGGGTCTCCACAAGACGTGTCTAACGGGTCCGTCCTGTTAGGCTTCTTGTCATGGCACATTTTCCCCGACATCCAAGTTTTCAACCCGGACAAACTCATCCAGTTTCAAGATGAGCTTGTCAAACCCGGAGGTGTCATTACACTGGGGCTTGAGACGACGGAGAGAGGGGATACTGGCGTAAGATGGTCATTGTCTCTATCACACCTGCGGTATTATGGCGACCCTGTTCTAGTTGAGAGATCTATCGATGACGGTGATCGCTTGACAATACAGGAGCTCCGCTTGATATCATTAGGTTATTTTATTCATTCTTGGTCCAGGCCTGAGCTTGTCGACATTATGGAAACCGCAAATTGCTTTGCTGCACTGGGAGACGTGCTCCAGCTCGACATGACGGAGTCGATGGAATCAAGTAGCAGATCCTGGCCACTTGAACTATCTTTGGAATGGATTACTCCCCTCGTTGAAGCAGCTAGAGATATCTTAAAGATGGATGGTAAAGACAAAGAGAACGCTCTCTATCGTGTTGAGTATGGACGACGCAGAGGTCGCAACTTCCTAGATCCCGATCTTCGCAACACCCCACCAATGTTTGGTTTGACGAATCGATACCTTCAATTCAGGATGTCAAAGAAGTTGTACCATGTGGAGACAAACATGGAACCGGCCATCGAAGCATTCCGTTCGCTATCCCATGAGTGCAACTTCCACGAGAACGATGCCATCATCGTAAGCCGCCCGATGGCAGTGCCCAAAAATGACAAGCCAGACGACTCTCGTGGTTTTCGCGGGAGCATCGAAATCGCTTCAGCAGTTGTACAGTCTGCGCAGTCTAGGAAGCATTGTACAGACGGGTAATTGAAAGCGACAAGAAAACACAATAGATGGCTACACGTTGACCGGACCGAAGACCCTTTCGTACAAAGATACATGGAACGCTCTGAGGAGTACAGATCATCGACATTTGAGCGTGAAGCGGGGAGTCTTCAGTCCCTTAATGTCATGGATCCTTACATCGAGCCATTCACCCTGGAGGATCCAAACGATATCGGCACTAGACCCAGGTATGACCTCGATGAGCCGGATTTCAAAACTGAAGACATTGTGAGATGCAAGTGCAGTGCAGGTCCTTGTGATAAGAGCTGTCGATGTCGTCAAAGAGAGCTCAAGTGCACATCATTGTGTGCTTGCCTTGGGGTTTCGACGGCTCCGCAACAAGTTTACGGTGTTCCAACATTAGGGCATGCCTCCCCGAAACGGACGGCTTGGACGAAGACTACAACTGGCTTTCCGTACGAAACACGACAGCTAGCTGGAGTAAAGAGCTAATGAGTTCCAGTGGGTGCTTCGAATGGTTGGACCCACCTGCCTCGTTCATACAGAGGTATGCGGAACTGAAGCCCGTCTTGGCCTCGTATTCATCGGAAACTGGCCTGAATGCCAGCCTCTTTGAGATGCAAAATGCCGTCGACACTGACTGGGACTTGCACGAGTTTACCCATATCCCGGCAAACGCTTCCAACCAAAAAATTCAGTTTCGGCTCGTTGAAGGGGGTTCACATCTTGCACTCTTCCTTAGTGACAGAGCACCCACCGACATTCCGAGCGGTACCCTGGGCCAACTAACGGCCTTCTTGAGGTCGGATAGGGTTGATCTTCTTTCTCTTCGACACTATTTGGCGAGCATCCCGCAATCTGGGATTTCCGACTACTCGAAATCACCAAGGGCCAGGACATTCAAGAACGGGGTGATATTCTCGTCGCTTAGTGCGATGTTTCGCGTCTCTCAATTGTATCAACATTGGCCCGAGGCAACAGTCTCGGCGGGCGTGACACATAGAGCACTAGGACTGTCACACTGGGCAAACTCCAATAATATGGGCCTAGGGAATAGCAGTGATCATAGATTTCACCGGTCGGCCAAGTTCTCATGTCTCGCCTATATGGAGTCTGGCGAGCATGATATCCACTTGGACCAAGTTCAGCATGTGATGGCACTGGCAACAGGGAACTCGATTTACGCGGCGGAATATCTACTTCAAGATCCGTGTGAGTTTGACAAGTCGGCGACGGCTACGATGCAAGGCATCCGCCGCATTCTTGGGAATATTGGACACCCAGGGATCGTCATGCTTGTGCCGCCACCGAAGCCTCTGTCCCTCAAACTTGGTTCCAGCATAGGTCGGCAAGTTAACGCAGGCAAGTTCAGTGGAGACGTTAGCGATCATTTCCGGACGACTTCTATGCACTTGCGATGTACGGATTTCACCATCAGGGTTGCAGGTGCCCAAGGAGCTGTGGACGGGGACGTCGTTATACGGGAGGCCTTGGTTCAAGTCTTTGACGGACCAAAATGGGTGACTGACCTTGATCTACTAGCATCTCTGAATCATCAGAGTCTTAAAAGACTCCATGACTGCAACTGCAACCCCAGCTCAACATCTTCCGGAAACGGCACTGCATTGCAAAAGGCGATGGGCTGCCTCCTTCGATCCGTGACACAGTGGGACGAGGTCTTGCTTTGTCAGGAGAATCTCATAGGGGACGAGGTAGGCGTTGTGTACACAACTGGTAATTGGTACGCTCGTTTAGCTGTCGCAGGTCTAGCTGCTCTCAAGAACTGGCCAACGATCGTCTTTCCAGAAAAGCCGCTATGCGATAAATGCATCGCCGGTCTAGTCACAGCACAACAGGAAACAGGTCCTAGGGAAAGGGCTAAGTTGTATATATTTTGAAGGACGACACCATGATGAATTATTCTTCAAAAATATGACTACTCAATTGGAACGAGCTTGAACATATGGCAATCAGCTCAACATAACCTTGGATCGACTGTCTGGCTTTGAGCATGATTCTAAACTGAGATAGAATCATTGACGTGATTACCACGCAAGCCCACAGCTTAGGAGTTCAAAACACCTACATCAAGAGCTTGACAAAACTCGCAATGTTGTGACAATACGAGAACTATAGAAATCTTGGAATGATTTGGTCAGTGGCACAACAGAGACAATGCCACGTCCTAAAACGATTTTCAGTCTGAGTCTACGGCGTCAGCATCGAACACCGGGTGCGTCTCTATCCCAGGGTACAGTACGACGCCCTCAGCCGTCACAGTTCAGGATGCTTTGCTAGGTTGAGAGACACATACGGTTTGCTACGTCCTAGCTGCGTCAATTCGATGCATTGATTTTATTTTATATAGTCAGCTCATCCGTTACAATGAAGTCACGGATATAATTTAGTTGGGCGATTTGTTGATCTCGTCGAGGGGTGCATTAGTTGTTGATAACTAGTTGAGAGTCAAACTGAGAACATTTCTCTTTAAGTTGGCTGGCAGTGAAAACGAGCTGAATTGAGTTGTACAAGGATTGTGGGCCCAGAACGTGGCTTTGGCGGGGGCACTTCCCGTTAAGCTCAGCGCTCCTGCCCGCTGAAGTTGAGAGTTTGTTGGCGGCCCGGAGGGTCTTTTAGCGAACGGCCGGCCGCCGCCGTTGGCAGCTGAAGGGCCAGCTAAGCAGGGTGGCAGCCAAGCACGCCAGCCGGCCTCTGCCCCTCGTCGGCGCGGCCTGGTTCAGCCTTTCGAGCACGAGACGTCATTTCTCTCCCTGCAACGTTCACATCTCCACGACTGCGAAGCTCGTCAACCCCCCTCCCCCCAACGACTGCTTCAGTTCTGACCTGCTGTCGCCCGTCATGGAGTCCATCGCGCGAATATCCAGTTTGCTTGAGAGTGGTACGTCATTCACCGCCCACCCCATTCCCAATGTCATGTTTCTCGCTAACGTAGACCTTGTCCAGCTCGAGAGCTCACGCTCGATGCCGCCTCGGCGACGCGCAGCTCCCGCAGCACCGGCCGCCCTCTCGACCGTACGCAGATCAAGAAGCTGTTGGACAGTCGAAATGACCGCGAGGTGCTGGATGGCCTGCGCCGCGTCCTCTCGGTACGAACCATTCCCGCCGGCTCCAGTTCTAGGTCTTGGCTAATCGCACCTCCGTACAGATGATGTACCGCGGCCAGAAGACACTGCCCTTCTTCTCCTCTGTCGTAAAAAATGTCGCATCGCCGAATATCGAAATCAAGAAGCTTGTCTACATCTACCTCATTCACCATGCCGAGCAGGAACCCGACCTCGCCCTGCTCTCCATCAACACTATCCAGAAGTCCCTCTCCGACACGAACCCCCAAGTCCGCGCCCTCGCCCTCAAGACCATGTCCGGCATCCGAGTCCCCGTCATTAGCCAAATTGTGTCTCTCGCAATCAAGAAGGGCGTGGCAGACATGAGTCCGTATGTGCGCCGAGCTGCCGCTCTCTCCATCCCCAAGTGCTACCGCCTCGACCCTACACAGCTGCCCCAGCTCCTCGAATATCTGACCGCTCTCATTGGCGACAAGCAGTACTTCGTCGCCGGTGCCGCGGTGTTGGCTTTTCTGGAAGTGTGCCCCGACCGCATCGACCTGATCCACCCGCATTACCGGGCTTTGGTGAAGAAGGTCGTGGACATGGACGAGTGGAGTCAGCTGGCGACGCTGCGGATGATGACATACTATGCAAGGAAGTGCTTTCCTAGGCGGACGCGCAGTGTCAAAAGTCAGGAAAAGACAGCCGACCTGGGCGACTTTTACGGCGAGAATGCGCAACAAGGAGGCGAGGAGCAGCAGGTTGTCGTGGTGGACCCGGATCTGGCCCTACTACTCAACGGCATCAAGCCTCTTCTGCAGAGCCGTAACTCGGCCGTGGTCATTGCGGTCACGAGATGCTACGTCGATATCGGAACGCCAGACTACGTCAAGATTGCCATCGGCCCACTCGTAGCGCTACTCAGGGGACCACAAGACATCCAGCAAGTCGCACTCTACAACATTGTCTCGGTTTGCTTGACGAGACCAACCGACTTTGTCAAGTACGCCAGTCACTTCCTTGTCAGAGCTACAGACCCTGCGCAAGTGTGGGAATTAAAGTTGGAAATCTTGACGCTCATCTTTCCTCACGCGCCGCCCCACATCAAGAGCCTGATCCTGAACGAGCTTGAACACTTTTCCGGCTCAACGAACAAGGCACTAGTGAGAGAAGCGGTGCGTGCCATCGGACGGTGTGCCCAGACGGACTCGTCAACAGCACCAAGGTGTTTGCGGCTATTACTGGGGCAGATCACGAGTCTGGATGGAACATTGGCCGCCGAGTCACTGACAGTCATTCGGCATCTGATTCAGCAAGACCCCGAAGGGCACGTCGGGACGGTCGTACGTCTTGCGAAAAACTTGGACTCTGCAACGGACCCTCAGGCGAGAGCAACCATCATCTGGCTGGTGGGCGAGTTTTCCGGTCTCGAAGGCGAGGACAATATCGCGGCGGATGTGTTGCGGATCCTCTTGAAGGATTTTTTGAACGAGGCAGAGGTGGCAAAGGGGCAGATTCTCCTTCTCGCTGCCAAGGTCTACCTCCATCACATAAACCGCCAGAGCGAAAACAAAAGCGAAGACGAAGCGGCGGTGCCTAGTCAAGACGACCACCCCATCGCGAAACTTTGGGACTATGCATTGTTGCTGGTCCGCTACGATACGTCGTACGACCTTCGCGATCGAGCTCGCATGTATCGAGCTCTCCTTTCTGTGCCCCAACTGGCCACATTGATGTTGTTGGCACCGAAGCCTGCGCCGCAGGCTCCCAGTCCGTCAGAGACTCGCAAGGGCTTCATGCTCGGCTCATCGACACTTGTGCTGGCGGGCGGAGGCGGCGTCCACGGTCTGCGCGGCTACGAGGGTCTTCCCGACTGGGTAGCGGAGGGTTCGGAGCCGGACCGGCGACTGCGAGAAACGGAGACGCCTTCGGCATACGGCGAGGAGAAGAGCGTGCCGGCTAGTCAGATGCTCGACAGCGCGGTGAAAGCTGCGCCGACGAAGACCAATGGTCTCGGGGCTGTTGTTGGCGCTGGAGGCGGAGCCGGCATTGGTGTCAAGACCCTTGACGATTGGCTCGCAGAGGAAGAAATGGAGGAGCAACAAGAGGCGTTCAAGATGGACGATGATGCCGAGGACGAGTCCGAGGAAGAGACGGATGAAGAGGAGGAGGAGGACGATGACGAAGGGGAGGACGACGAGGAAGAAGAGGATGAGGAGAGCAGCAGCGACGACAGCGACTAAAGCAACCGGGGCTCAAGGACGATGCCACCGACGCCGACAAGTTGATGTCGGATCGATAACAGAATATAAACAAAACCAAGCATGCCTCATTTGCAAATTCATCAAGCGTAGTCGCGTACCAGAATCATCACGAACCATGTTGTCTACATTACCATAGTGGATACTTTGTACATGGCCAGCCGATTGCCAGATCTGAGCTTAACTCAGTCTCTAGTTTGAAATACCGGTAGGTGTAACAGGTTGCGAAAAACGGTATCACCGAGGATGGAGTCGCACAAACTAGACGTCATTATTGATTGGCGGAAATGAACCAGAGGCGACCTTGTCATTGTTCGGTGAGATTGGTTGCTCCGACAGTCTGGGCGCAGAGACGCAAATCCTACGACACCGGACTGGCCCTCCGATCGTGTGTTTCTACCGGCGCCACGCGGGCAGCAGGCATGCATGCATGTTGCTAAGCGATCCGAGGGACCCGAGGTGCTTCATCTCTCTCAGGGTCCTCTAAAGGCTGTCTCACTGACAAACCGCCGTCGAGACCCTTGTCTATTTGTCGGTTAGGAGCTCGGGTGCGGGCCAGCAGCATCGCTTAGCCCGTGTTGTTCGGATAGCATCCCCCGGCCAAGTGGGCTCGGCCAAGGCGCTAAAATGATGCTAAGATTCGGGTGTTGGCTGTGAGAGTCCCACCAAATGTTGCATGTCCCAACTCTTGACTGTCTCGATGGGTACGCTGTTGTTTCTTTTTATTCTTCAGCATGAAAGGCTGATCGCGTCGATTGCTATGATTCTGGCCAGATGACGGCTGGCTAATACTTACCAAACGAGAATGTACGCAGCTCTTGCTTGCCAGAATACACCGTGAGGGCGACATTCGAGGCTCAAGTCTCGGACGTCTCAGCCTGCAAACAGATACAACGCCCAACATCCAATGGTCATCAAAGACCAAAAGGCCCGTAAGCGGCACACGCACTCCTTTCCAAATCGAGAAGGCCAGCGGGTCCACGGGTAGAGGAAGGGGATCAAGAGAGAACTTGGCTCTGGGCTTAGCGGCGCCGTTTGCTGCGCTGTACCACCGCTTGCCTTCTTTCAATCGTCCATCCCTCTCGTGTCATTCGGTTTGTTCGCTTACCAGTGACCAGCCGGGCGACGCTGGTAACATTGGAGCAATGGACGGGACCCTTCCCAACTCCACAGCCGGCCCCTAGCCGGAGGAGGAGGCGATGCAATGTCATGGATTTCGTGCCGTGTGGATGTGGATGCGCCTGCGGTCGTTTGCATACATATATAGATGACGGGCGTCGTTTGCGCTTGGGACTGCCCGTCCCTTTGTCTCTATTTCGTGTCTGCACCTTCGATTCGCGCCCTTCCTTTCGTGGCCGTTCTATTTCATAGAACCTTTGGCGCGGTTCCGTCCTTGAGCAACCAGAAAGGACTAACAGCAAAGCACACGAGGATTGCAACTGAGTAGACCCGCGACCGTTTTGGAGATATCGCTGCGCGTCATCACGGCATTCCACCACGAGCCTCGACCTTCAACAACCAGCGATCGCCACTCGACAGGACCCTTGAAAATCCGCCACCATGTCGGCCAACGACACTGCGATGCGGCGGCCGTTCCGCGAGTGCACCGAGGTGTCACAGCTCTGCCCCGTCGAGATGACGGTGCTGTCCTACTACCCCAACTTCGGTGCCAACATCTTCTTCGCCGTCGCCTTTGGCCTCGTCGTGCTCACCTCGGCCACCATCGGGACGTGGAAGCGCACCTGGACGTTCATGCTTTTTGTGACGGGCGGTAGCATTCTTGAGACTGTTGGTATGGGTGTCCTCCTATTTGTTTTGACCTTTCCGTCATCAATCCATCCCGTCTGCGACCGGATGAACCCCTGCCCCGTGCCTCGACTGTTGCTACCGTGATGCATCGTCGACTAACACGAACCCAGGTTACGTTGGCCGCGTTCTCCTCCACGAGAACCCCTGGAACAAGGACGCTTTCCAGATGCAAATCTGCACCATCATTCTCGGCCCTACCTTTATCTGCGCCGGCATCTACCTCACCCTCAAGCATGTCTCGGCGAACCTTAACCCGACGCTCACGCGCATCCGCCCGCGCCTGTACCCCCTCATCTTCCTCCCCGCCGACCTCACCTGTCTCATCGTCCAGGCCATCGGCGGCGGTCTCGCGGCGGCGGCGGGGCAGACGAACAAGAAGCTGCTCAACGGCGGCAACCAGGCCATCATTGCGGGCATCGCGTTGCAGGTCGTCGTGCTGGTGCTGTTCGGCGTCGCCGGCGCGGATTACTGGATCAGGGTGAGGAAGTGGGCGCACAGCGGCGACCACAGCACCGGCGACATTGCTCTGTACCGCTCGCCCAAGTTTAGGATGTTCGTCTGCGGCGTCGCGGCGGCGTACGCGTGCGTCATGGTCCGTTGCATCTACCGGTACGTCGGACACCTTTTCTTCCCTGGACGACCACGGATGGATTTTGCTGACTTGCGGACAACAGTGTTGCCGAGATGGCAGGCGGCTGGGGCAACCACATCATGCAGGACGAGGTCTCGTTCATGATCCTTGACGCCGGCCTCGTGCTTATCTGCGTCACGCTGCTGACCGTCTTCCACCCCGGCGTCTACTTCCCGCCGATGGCCAGGTCCCGCGCAGCGCAGGTCGGCGAGAAGACGGATTCGATGACGACGTCGACGCCGGAGAATGTCAAGATCGAGTCGGGGCGTGAGTCGGCATGAGGGAGTGTGGTTGGTGCGATTGAAAAGGAAGCCTATATTAGACGGATAGAAGACACTGGTTGTACAAGTTGTCACTGCGACGCTTGAAGCCTTCAGGTCATGGCGTTTGGGATGTCAGGGCTCGTCTATGTTTTCGCTTTATGAAACTTTGAGCTCCCCTTTGGTTAGACATGTGTGCTTTGGAGAGGTCACTCTGTAGTGTTGAAATCCAATCAAAGAGATTGTATTATACGCGCTTTGAGTGCGGTTCCTTGCCCTTTTTAGGAAAGGTTTCTGTTAGAACAGTGTTGGCCTCCTGAACAACGAGGCCAATAATGCCAATGTTCAACTCTCGCAGGAGACTGACGCCAATCAAAGCGCTGTTCGGCCTGGCAAGTGAATATTACACCCCAAGCCCCTGTGGAGTCTTTACGAGAAGAAGCCAGTTTACATCTCAACCTCTTCAACGCCCTCAAAGTGACAGCCGGGACTGACACAAGCCTTCGGTACGCTCCATTCCCGGGTACTCAGGTCTAGCCATGTGCGTCACAGACGCGGTCCACTACATGTGCGGCATCTGCAACGCTCGCCTCGGCAAACCCGCCGCCGCGTCGAACAATGCCCCGCTGCCCTCGCCGTCGTGGCCCCACACTGCGGCCGCCTCTCCGCAGCGGTCCCGGAACCCGTCCCCTCGGACCCAGCCCTCGACTCCTCCGGTCTCGAGCTCGAGGTCCTTAGGACGGCGCCGGGGTACACCCTAATCGAGCCTGAGCACCGCCGACCGAAGCCGAGGGTGGTTCGGTGTGAGCTTTGCGTGGACCACCTCGGCGAGAAGGAGGCCAAGGCTAGGGAGAAGTGGTGGAGGGCCGAGACCAAGGCGCTGGCCGGCACGCGCAGGGACAAGAGGACCGCTCCGGGGCCGTCGACTGCGGGATGGTGCGACGTGCTTCGATGAATTCTTTCCATTGGTCTTCTATGTGTTTCTGAGGGCTTTCTAATATCCCTCTTTTTTTTTTGGGTCTCGCCGCTAGAGCCGGTGCTCACTCCTTACCCCCCAGATACCGGTACACCACGGAAAAGTCCCGGCCCTTGCAGTTGTCCTCCCCCTCGGCCGCGGCGTATACCTCGGTGGCCTTGCCGGCCAGCTCGAGCTTCGCGCCGGCCTCCCTGGCGGCGACGACGGCGAGGCCGAGGTCCTTGCGCATCAGCCCGATGCCGAAGCCGCCCTTGTAATCCCTCCCGCGGGGCTGCCCTCGACGACGCCCTTGACGGGGTTGTTTACCTCGCTTGGCCAGCACTTGCCGGTGCTGACGTTGATGACGCCGGCGAGGACCTTGGGGTCCAGCCCCCACCGCATGCCGAGGTTCATGGCCTCGGCGGTGGCGATGTTGTTGATGGCGAGCAGGTAGTTATTGGCCAGCTTGGCCGACAGGCCCGTCCCCTGGGGCCCGCAGTGCAGCACGCGGCGGCCCATGCGCAACAGCGTGGGCTCGACGGCAGCGAGGTGCGATGCGTCGCAGCCGAGCATGAAGGTCAGGGTCCCCGCCGTGGCGCCGACGACACCGCCCGACATGGGGGCGTCGACGAAGACGCCCTGGCCTTCGGGCTGGGCCGCCGCGACGGAGGCGGCGACCTTGCGCGACGACGAGGGGTCGATGGTGGAGCAGTCGATGAAGATGCGCTTCCTCGGCGGCAGGCCGTCGAGGATGGACGCGTAGACGGATTTCACGTGGGACGGCTCGGGGAGCACGGTGATGACGGTGTCCTGGTTTGGCGTACGGTCAACATTTGATGTCCACAACTCGTTTCCAATGAAAGAAATCAAAGAGGTTTGCTCGGTTCAGCAACTAGAAATGTAGTAATATCAGGGCCTTTGGGGGCCGTGGTCATAGTTGGCAAAACAGTTTTAGTTTGGACATCATGAGAGCATCAAGACGGACAAGGCCGTTGAACTTGGAATGAGGTGGAAAGTAAGAAAGAAAAACCATGAAAAAAACAAAACAAAATAAAGACTCACAGCTTCCGTCGAGGCGTCTCTCGCCGTCTCGACGACGGCAACCTTTGCGCCGCCGGCCTGTGACTGCCCCATCTCCTCGGCCAGCTTCGAGACGGCGGCCTTGTTGATGTCGAAGATGCGGATCTCATCCTTGGGACTCAGCTTCGACTGCAGGTTCTTGGCCATTTGGTAGCCCTGGACAAAGTCAGCGCCTGGCTATGAGACTGGCCCCTCCCCCCATGTGCGTCTCAGGGACGAGACGAACCGCAAAAGAGCACATACCATCTGCCCGAGGCCGATGAAGCCATAGCTCTCCAGCCGCCGCGGCGTCGTCGCAAAGCCGCGCCGCTGCACGAGCCTAATAGTCCGCAATGCCGTAGGGGTCCGCATCTTTTAATTCCCGATGAACCAATCCGCGAAAGAGAAAAGCATGAACCGGCGACCGACAAGTGAGCAATTGGGAATCGAATGTTGTTCCTCAAGAGAACAAAACACCAAACTCTGGGGAGACAAGGTGCATTCCAGCCGAGCTTAAACTGCTCCCCCCCAGGTTTCCCAGACTGCGGGGATGGGACGCAGACGAGGTGGATGGTTATCCGGGGAGCCGGCCATTGCCGGTGTTAGCCATCGCGCTCGTCCCTCGATGATGCATGGCGGGCGGGCGGCCTTGACCCGAGCCTCTCCAGACCCCCCCCAAACCGACACCACCCCCCCTTGCATGGCGCGCGGGAGCGGCCCCGGATTGGAGAAAAGAGGGCCCCCCCCTGACGAGGAGAGTGCTGCACTAAGGATGCGTCGTTGTCTGCGGTGGCAAACAAGCCCGTCCTGGGGAGACGTTCAAGGGTCGCGCATGGTGTACGGCGGCATCGTCGAGCTGCACAGAGACGTGCCTGAATGTGTGAATCAAAGGAAAGAGTTGGCCGTCTGGCATTCCATTCAATCGAATCTTCCTTTTCAGCAGCTCCCTTCCACTGTATTTTGTGGAGGCAAAGCCCTAATGACATCACGGCGCAACGTGACAGCATAAAGCTTACCCACCGCCGATGGGGATGATGGAGAACGTCAAGCAACATCCAGGTCGGCACGTTGGAAACTTGGAACCGTGGGAGGGCTGTGTGAGGCGAGCTCGAGCAAGCACTGTGACGCCCGGCTAGAAGCGGGCCTCTTTTGTCAAAGCTTCACAGCTCTCGACTGCATGGTGGGAAGACGATGTGAGATGGACTGGCAGACTCCATGTCTTGATACTGGACTCGACACAGTAGGTATGTATGTGTACTGGCGCCAATGGGTTGGGATATGCCGAACACGAAACTACTACAGCAAAGGCCAACTTCGATTGCAACGCAGTCACCGTATCCCATTCGACGCCTGCAAGCAAAGGCACCCTAAACAATACATCAATTACACTCGCCCTCATATCCTGAACCGCGCGATTCGGCTCTCCCGCAAACCCACACCCCCCCCTTTTCGCCGTAAGGAGACGATTCCAATGTACACTGAGTTTGATTCCACCCAAAGATTCCACAAACAAAGAGTGAAAAGAAAGCCGGCCCGAGTCCCCTCGGGCTCTATGGGTATGAGCGAAAGGCAGAAAAACAATATAGAAAAGGTCTGCCGCCATGTCCACCACCCTAGCAAAATCCTCGGAGCGGCTGCAATCCGCGGCGCCCCATGCTCCATGGCCAGACCACGTCACCTCATCTGCTGCTTGTCACTGCCAAAGTCCGTATCCAATCGGCGGACGCTTTATAGGGCTCCAACAAAGTACGAAAACGCGCTGCGCAACCACAGTTAGTTTACCGCTTCTTCACGAACCGGAATGAAGCAAAACGTACCCAACGGCGAGCGACACGGCACTCAGGCCGAACAGGGCCCGATTCCGTACGCGCAGCTTCTTGACCTGCACCTCGGCGGTCTTGGCCTTCTTCGAGCGCGGCTCCTCCGCGGCATCTGCTTCGGCGTCCTTCTTCTCGTCTTCGTCGTCTCCCTTGGAGATCTCCTCGGCCCCGCGCTTGCCCTTCTTGACTTTGGGGCTGTCTACTCCCTCCTCTGGCTTGACCCTGGCAGCCTCGACCATCTGCTTGGCCTCGGCAATCATGCGCGCAGTCTCTTCGGCCGTCGGTGGCGCCGAGCTCAGCAGAGGGAGCTCTAGTGACACGGCAGTGCGCTTCGTCTCGTTTCCGCCCTCGTCCGTCTTGACGTCCTGGTCGACAATAACCTTGGCCTTGGGCTCCTCCTCCCTGGGCTCCAGGACGACCGCGGGCTCCGTCTCAATGGTCTTGATGGCGGTCTCCACTGCCGCCTCGGCGTCCTTGTCCTCGTCAATGACGCCGTTCACCTCGAGCTTGGTCGCGGTAGTGAGGGTGGGCGTGGACTCCCGGGGCTCGACCGAGTCGGCCTTGGCCTTGCGCTTCCTAGGGGACCTGACGGGCCTGGGAATAACTGTCTTGGCCGGGCTGGCGGAACGGCGGGATCGGGTGCTGCGGGGCAGCGAGGTCGGCGTGGGAGGTGCGAGTTGAGGGTGAGCCTTGAACAGCTCGAATTTCGGAGGGGCGGTAATCTTCTTGGGGGGGCTGTCGGGGGTGTTGGAGACGGCGATGTTGGCGGGATCCAGCAGGGCGCGGATCCACGGCGCGATGCCGTACTCCTCGGCAAGGGTCAGGGCGTGTTCGGGAGGGATCCAGACATTGCCGGCCGTCTCCTCGGGGCTGGTGGTAGCAAGCGACTTGATGTACTTGCGCTCGGCCTCTTCTTCGGAGGCCTCGGCGTAGGGGAAGGTGGCCTTGAACATGCCGGTGGCGGACACGAAGCCGTCGTGGCTTCGGCGCATGAGGAAGTAGCTGTTGGGGCTGGACTTGAAGATGCCCGAGACAATTCCCTTGGGCAGCGGCGCGCGGAGGTGCGCGTAGTCGAAGACGCCAAGGGCTGCACCTTCGCCGTCGGCAAGGTTCACCATCTTGGCAGTCAGCTGGGTCTGGCCGAGACGGCGGCGCGAGACGAGGTCGTCGTCTGCAATTGGGTCAGCAAACCAGGAACCCTCGAGCACAAGCAATCAAATCATGTCCATACATTGCGGCACATTCTCGAGCATCAAAGGATTGTGCTTGGCGGGCAGATGCCGCTCGGTAGCTGTCGCGGAAGGCATCTTTGGCTACGGGTTGAAGGCGCAAAAGTGGTGATTAAAAATGGGGTACGTGAGGTGTTCGCGATACGCGCGCTGGAGCACCCGGTAGGAAAATCCTCGGGGTCGCGTCGATTGCGGGCGGGGAAGGCTCGGTCGTAGGTGAAAGTACTAATCGGCGCGTCAGTCTGAGCACAAGCATGAGCGCACCGGTCGCACGCGCGCAAAAGAAGTGTCAATGTGTGTGCGTGTGCGCGTGTGTGGTGTAGAAACGGTTGTCGCTTACTGGGACTGGACTCGTCGGAGCTGAGCTGGAGAGGTTCTTGCGCAGACGTGACGTGACGGGGGCGTCTTGTCGCGTAAAAAAAAAAGGTGCAGGGGTTGACGATGAGTGAGGTCGAAGGGGGAAAAAAGATTAGAATCGATTGTATGTAACAGGGACGGCGTCCCGGTATGGGGGCGGGAAAGCACAAAGGGCGAAAGCTATCTTCAAAGGATGGAGGGTGGCAGGATCGAGGGGGGGAAAGAGAGAGAGAGAGTGGGAGTTGGAGGAGTGAGAGAGAGGGACGAGATGGATGGATGAGAGTGACCTGTGAGGAGGAAGAGAGGCGGACGGGACGGGAAAGGAAGCGGAGGCAGAGTGGAAGACGGCGCGCGCGCAAATTGGAGCAGCGGCACACCAGCCAGGAAGTACCTGAGGACCTCAGCAACGAGGGCCGAGAGAAGCTCTGACAGAAAGCGAGAGGGAAAGAGAGAGAGAGACATCTTGGGGGGCCAACGGGAGGGTCCTCGCAGTCCTCAGCTCATTGGGTTAGATTAGAGGAAGGGGGGAACTGCGGGTTCGGGAAGCGAAGGGTGTTGAAGCGTGGCCCGATGAGGAAGAGCAGGAGTCAGATGCGCGACATAGAGAGGTACCTCTAAAAGTGCTCCACTAGCGTCCATTCCGAAGTATCTCCCTATTGTACCCGTCAATTGGCGCATTGGACGACACCCACTCCCCAGCACCTTCCCCGGAAAAAAATGTAGCGACAGAGGCAGAGGGAAAGAAGAAAAGTCCCCTGAGAAGGGAATTAAAATCAGATGCAACGGTCCCCTTTCTTCCCTACTCCCCGTTGCGTGACCCCGGTCAACGTCCCAGGCGTGACTTGGGAACAGCCGAGCAGCAGGCGACTCGTCCGTCTCAATAAGGGCTCATCTTGAGCACACGTTTCCTCAGTTTCGGGCCAGAGTCCCGTCCCTCGGAACCCAGAGCTACCCCCCTGGTCCCCAACAATTCTCGTCGCGAACGCGCAAAGCTCAGAGCACCCTGGGCGCCGTTCGCAGCCTCGAGAACCGGGGGGGGTGAAGGCGGCGCGACAGGCCCTTGAGCTGTGGCTTTCTCCTGACTTCGTCGACGGGACAGCTTGGACATGTCATGGGTCTTCCTTTTTGCCGACATTCGTCTTCGTCGCACCCAGATTGGAAGCAGCCCAGCCCGCCACACTCCAAAGCGCGCGGGGGGGCGGCCGATTGCGCAGGGCAACGGGCGAATTGCAGCTCTGCAAGTCATTTAGCCACGTTTTTCCGTGCATGAAGACAAGACGAAGCCCAATCGATAGGCCCAGGCACTGAAAAGCCTGGCGGAGGGATGCATTTCGCGTTCCGCCCAAACTGCCGATACTGAACACCTGCAGTGTAACAAAGAAGGTGATGGATGGGGCCAAGCACTAGAGGGCCTCTCCGTGTGTTTAGACTGGAACGTTAGACAGCTGGATCCAGGGGACCAGACAGAGTTGGGCATCACTGACACGGCAACGACGCCGTCGAAACCGCCTAGCTGACACATATCTCTCATCCGTGATCCTACTGACTTTGCTCGACATGACTCCTCATATTCATCAACGTACTGGTGCACTAGACACTTAGAGGCGCCTCGGAGTCTTCGTTCGGCTAATGACACGAAAGGTGCACCAAGCCCAGCTTGATCGCCGAAGCTCTGAGCTTGTTGCATAACTGGGTGGGCGTCGTCTGCCGTGCACAGGACCCAGCGCACAAAATCCTCACAATTCAGCAAATGGAGTTGGGCACTCGAGATCCATACCGGAAGAGCTTGTCGGCGGCGGCTTGAGGCTACGGGTACCTTGCGACGCACCACCATAGCTCTCTTTAGCAATGTCCGATCCGAACCTCACATTTCTTTTCTGCTGCCGCTAGCCCCCGTCCCCGCCATCATGCGCCAGACGACGAATGGCCGGAGCGAGACTGACTCTCCCGCATGGCACATGCTGCTGTTGTCTGAGCCTCAAGGACGCACCAGTGACAACGTCAAGGTTGAGATGAGGTAAGCGCAGGGCCAGAGTCAGTATCTGCAGCACCAGCGCCAGTGAGCTTGTCGAATGTGTGCCCCTCACCAGCCAGACATTCCAGACCGCTTATCCAGCCGGTACTCTGACACCGCGGCCAATACAATGTATCAATAGAGGCTCCCCTCCCCCCCTCTTCTCCCCTCCATCCCCATTCCACCCCCCGTATCGAGATTGGCAGCCAATGTTACCTACGAGGGGTACAGCACAGCCAAACAAGCTCGTAGATAGGTCTCCCAACCCCTTTACCAAGGCAAGGCAACCCGAAGCCTGCGCGCGAAGTGAGGGAAGTCTCGCGGCCACAGTAAGGAAACTCAAGCTCTGGCAGCGAATGCACGCGAGGGCTTTGTTGATTGTTCCTGGTTTCGTGTGTGAAGTTCCATCTTGTTCCAGATGCCGGCCAATCAATGCAAGCAGAGCCCCCACCGATCCTTGCAGCCAATGGCACGCCTCGACCCGTCCAGTGTCGGCGGCCCAGGACCCACAAGACACCGCGCAGGGCCCCACGTCCACCACCCACAGCCCGCCGGCTGGCCCTGACGTCCCTGGCCTGGGCGAGGGGAGGGGACTTAGGGAGAAAGGGAAAGAGAGAGAATGAGGGGCAACAGGAAGCGGTGACCTCGCGGTGCGGTGCCTGAGTGGTCAGTGCTGGCTTGCTTGTCCGTACCTGACCTTGCCTCGCCTCGCCTTGCCCGTGTCCACCTTACCCAGCAGCCGCCCGGGACCTTAAACTCATCATCCTAACCACCTGCCGTGTCTGAATCCTTAACCTCCCTCCTCCAGAGCAAACATTGTCACCAGACCTCACCTCTGCTTACTCACAGCCTCGCCCGCTGCTTCATACGTCTAGAGACCTCTTACTTGTTGGCCTCTTCATCCACCGCCCGACAGCTCCAACCCCAAGCTCTCGCCGATACCCCACCACCACCACCACCGTCGTCATCATGGCTTCCCACGAGCAAGAGGACACCATGCCTGAGGAGACTCAGGGCTACAAGCTCTCCCAGCCCAAGCAGAGTCTGGCCGAGTACCAGAAGATGGGTAAGTTTTCTTGGTTCTCCCATCTGTTTGGCCATGTCTTTGTCTGCATTCTCCGTCTTTCTCGCTGCTGCTGCTGCTGCTGCTGCTGCTGCTGCTCTACTCTGCTCTGCTCTGGTGCGTGGACTGGGCTGGATTGGGCTGGGTCCTGCGGATGCCCCTCACACCTTCAATTTACTTTGGGGGCCGCTGTCAGCATGTGAGCTTCACACAGCTCTGCGCTCATCTCGGTCACTGCTCATGGTGATGCGCAATACGGCATCGTATTCAAGGCAAACACGGAGAGAGACGGCATGAGGAAAGAGCGCAGAGCACCGCACCCAAGCTGCTTGCACCTGCCATCCCAAGCTCCTTTTCTTTTTCACAACCACCCGCCCGTCGCCTTTCACCATCCATACCGTCCGGTATCCTCAGTGTCTTCGCCCTCGGTTCTTTTGTTCTCGTCAACGGCAATATCGCACAAGGATCTATGATACACCACAATCTTCATGGAGATGCTGTATGATGGCATGCGTCTGTTGATGCAGCGGCGCAATCGCCATAACGCCCTGCTCAATCGCAACTCCATCGAGCTTCCCCCGGCACCCCAGTCTACTCCATCAGGCTCTCGCCCTCAGTCACCGGTATCTGAGGTGGCTGAAGAGAGGCATCTTCATCGAGCCAGAGCCACCTCACGACCTGTCCCTCCCAACCCTCCCAACTCTCCCAGGCTGAGAGAAGGCATTCTCGAGCAAAACACAGCCCTCATCCGAGACTTTTATGCATCCCCCAACATTGTTAGAGCAGCTCATGGTTTGGCTACGTATGAGTTGCTGGAAGAGGACGAGCAGCAGCAGCAGCAACAAGAGCAAGAAAAGAGAGAAGAACCGCCCACTAACAAGGCCACAGACGAGAACGATGAGTCTCTCCAGCGCTACAAGGAGTCCCTCGGCCTCGGCGGCGGCAAGGACCTCTCCGACGCCTCGGACCCCCGTGTCTGCATTATCCTGTCCCTGACCATGGAGTCCCCTGGACGCGACCCCGTCACCATCGACCTGTCCAGCCCCGGCTCCGAGGCCACCCTCAAGGACAAGCCCTTCAAGATCAAGGAGGGCGCCAAGTTCACCATGGTCGCCAAGTTCAAGGTCCAACACGAGATCCTGAGCGGTCTGCAGTACGTCCAGGTCGTCAAGCGCAAGGGCATCAAGGTCAGCAAGGACTCTGAGATGCTGGTAAGTCTATGCCCCCCATATCCCTTCCCGGGACCCCTTCACTGACACATGCCACAGGGCAGCTACGCTCCCAACACCGACAAGCAGCCCACCTACTCCAAGCGCTGTAAGTTGAGCCCCCTTTTCATCGAGACCTCTGCCCAGATTACTGACCGCCCCTTAGTCCAAGAGGAGGATGCGCCTTCGGGCATGTTGGCCCGCGGCCACTACAACGCCATTTCCAGCTTTGTCGATGACGACAAGAAGACCCACCTGACCTTTGAGTGGTCCTTCGACATCGCCAAGGACTGGTAGATCATGGTTGGTCCCCCCGTGGCCAACTTGCTCCTCCTTCCTTAACCATTGTCAACAAAAATCGAAAAAATAAAGCAGTCATGCCGCCCCTTGATACGTCTGACCAGCTGACATCATCCCGACTTCCAACCTTGCGATCTGATTGAGACGTTGGGTGACCTCGTTAGGTGTGTGGTACGAGGGGTCACCCGGTGGATGGTGGAACATAATCACGGTTGGAAAGGGGGGCAGGCAGGAAACGCACTTCACTCTCTCTCACAAGACAAAATCAAAAAGTTGCAGCACCAATGGACCCTGCGCAGGGAAGAAAATCATGGGTTCAAGGGCGGCGGACCTGGGTCGAGGCCTTTCTTGCCATGCAACGCACACACACACATACACACACACGCGCGCGCACGCTTTGCTCTAAGCCCATACACTGGGTATGGGACATGAAGTCACGACACACAAAACTTGGTAGATCGTTTGCAGATACATGTCATGCTGGGGGTTCGCGCTTGAACCCGAGCTGAAATACAGATCCATTGGATCATCATCAAAGTTGTCTCTATGTTTTTTTTGTCTCATCGTCTCGACCACCAGCCGGGCGGTGGCTCCTTGTTCCACCGTCGCAGCTACCTTATCCTCAACCGGGATATTGATCGGGTGTCTTTTGTAAACATGTCTGGTGATCCTTTGTCACCAAGCCAGTGATATCGTAAGGGGGGTATATGCGACCCTTTCATCAATGCGTACCATCCAATCCACTCACTAGCCGTCCCCCTTCCTTTTGGCCAGCCTACAAAAAGTAGTCGGGAAGTGAGTTCCCGTCCGCCTGCTTCTCCCCGCCGCCCAGCTGCATGTCTTTGTGCTGGTCGTTCTCTGGGGCCGCCGCAAAGACGTTGAAGAACCTCTCGCCCGTGTCGCTGACCTCCAGCACACTGGCCATGTTGCCGCACCGGTAGCAGTAGTTGGGAGCGCTCCACACCGTGCTCAGACGGTCGTCGTACAGGACCTGGAAGCCCTCCTGGCACAGCTGGTGCGCTCTGAGGATGTGGTCCATGTTGTTGACGGCCAGGAACTTCTTGACCACCTGCGCGCCAAAGGTATATCCTGCCCCTCGGGGGCTCAGTGAAAACTCGTCTCGCTCCGGGTCTGGGTCGGACCAGACCAGGTCGGCCATGGGGCCTTCGTGGGGGATCTCTCGGAAGCGGTCGATGATGACGATCTGGTCGATGGAGTGGATGGACGGCGACAGACCTATAAGCCATGGATTAGTCAGGAATGGCAATCACAAGGGGAGGCGCGGAGAGGCCATTACCGCCATGGACGCAAAAGATCTTGTCGTTGATGACGACACTGAGGGTCAGGAAGTCGAACATGTCGGTGAAGTAGTGCCACACGTTGGCGTTTCCGTATTTTCTCGAGCATTCCGTGTAGAAGCCGTAAGACTGGGTGACGCCGCGAGACTCATGGTTGCCTCGGATCAAATGCACGCGATTGGGGTATCGTAGTTTCAAGCACACAAGCAGGGATATCGTCTCGACGCTGAACATGCCGCGATCGACGTAGTCTCCTATGGGCTTGTCAGTCTCCCTGCTGCCGGTTCTGATCCCGCCGCAGCGCGCTTACCCAGGAACAAGTAGTTGGTGTCTGGGCACCACCCGCCAATCTTGAAGATCTCGATGAGGTCGTAGAACTGGCCGTGGATGTCGCCGACGACGGTGACGGGGGCGCGGACATGGACGACGTTGCTCTCGCGCATGAGCAGCTCTTTGGTCTTGGCGCAGATGGCCTCGATGACGGATTCGGCGAGGAGTTCCCTCTTGTACAAGCGCGAGATGCACTCGTCGAGGTCGACGGATGCTGTACACGACGTTATTAGAGGATGGGTGGAGGACAAGGAGGAAGAGGGGCGCAGAGCATACCCGGGAGTCCAGGCATCGTGGCGATGGTGGTGCAACGACAAGTGTTCTGCCGCCGGCTGATATATTTTTGTTTGAAGAGAGGGTGTAGTAATGATTAGAACAATCGTCGCAAAGGTCGGTGGCTCACGGAGCAGGTCGTCGGTGACCACTTCTACTCCAGACGTGGGCGGTGTGTGGTGGGGAACGTCGGGGTTGCAGTAACATGATCGAGAACGACGAGACTTTACATGGGAACAGGAAGCACGACGGCGACAGTGAGAGAACAAGGTCGACGTAGATTGGTGTATCGGAGCGTGGGGTGAATTGACGGCGGGGAGGATGCACGATGGTGTTTGGCCGAGTATTGTGAGTCGTCGAAGGGGGGATTCGAGATAATCTTGGGTGCGTAGTATGGGGAACAAGAGAGGACGAAAGGAAGGAATAAACGAGAGGGGCACGTTATGGGATGCCCTCGCAAAGGCGTGTTCTCTCTACCGTAGGCAGACCGAAATTATCTTTTCGCGTTGGATGGCGGCGGCTGTAGCAGCGGGAGGAGGGACGTCATGCTGCAAAAGGCGGCGGCGGGCAGGAATAGAACAGACGAATGCACCCTGTCAAATTGGAACAGCTGGGAGCTCGGACCGGCTGAGAAATCCCATCCCGACGCGCCCACGACGGGGACCACGGGACGTCCACGTCCAACGAGTGGAATTGGCTCGCTTACGTACACACAGCCGACTCTTTTTTAGGGGCCGGTGACCGCTGCAAGCCCCTGACAGAAGCGCTGGGACGGTCTTCCGCATCAGGGACCATGCCACACATACCGAAAGGGGGGGAGGGAAGAATGGCCAGGGAGGCCCAGGCTTCCTGGCATGCTACGTATGTCAGCAGGGGAGCAGTCCTGGAACACTGGGCTCCGATCGTATAAAGACACCTTCCCCGCCTCTCACCTCCTACCTACAACTGAACCACCGGGCGCGCCGTTTCCTTTTCCTTCACCTCACATTCGCGCCCATCCCGTTTGAAGCCCACCTGCACACCGTCTGGCTTTCCCCGTCACCAAATTGCTAAGCTCCCCCATTCTAGATCCCAGTTTCTAGTCGGTGGTCTTTGTCGTTTGAGAGACTCTGCGACCTTGGTCTATCGCAGTAGTGGATTAGCAGACCCATCTCCTTGCTTGTTTTAAAAGAAGTCCCCTTCCGCCGCGTTGCAGCTTGTTTGCTTCTCTACGGCCGTCTTGGCTGTGTCCAGGGATTCGAACAGCACCTGGAATCAAAACATTGGCGCCTCATGTTTACCCCCTTTTCATCCACCCGCTCTCTGCTCTCCTGGTCATCTCGGCGTTTTGAGTTCGTTTGCTTTCATGATCTCGAGTTTTTTGCCAGATGCCATGTTCGTCTTCCTTTGCCAAAAGGCACCGTCTCTTAAATCTAGAAAATGAACAGTCATTTCATACTCTACGTTACTTGAACGTCTCATCACGCCTCGCTGAACGCAGGCCATCTCACCAACATCTTGCCCCGTACGCGAGTGACACGAGCAGCCGAAACACATCCGGTATCGTTCGCGTCATTCCGGGCTTGCCATGCCATGCCATCGTCGTTTCAGACAATCCGGCGATGCCATATTTTGCAAGCCCCGTCCATTTCACTGAAAGACTATGCCCACCAGTTTCCTCTTCTTATACGGCTCGACGAGCTTCAGACCGAAGAAACAAAACACTTTGTAAACATCCCCACGATATATTTCGGATTAATGTCTCTCTATCAGGCTGTCTCTGAGCCATCTTTGTAGCAAAATTGACAAGTGTATGACAAGGCCCAGTAGTCATCTCAGCCTGCCTCATGCACAGGGAGTCAGTTGTGACTTTGAGCCTTGCAGCTCCCACTCACTCGCTACAGTAGATATGCATAGCCTTGCGTTCTGTTTGCAATCTGCCACCACACTCGGGTCGGTTCGGCCGTTTCTGGAAAAAGAAACCATGCTCGGCCCGATGAATTTTCCGATGTCCTTCTCAGCCTTTTCGCGCAGAAGGAGGTGCAGTAGCTGACCTGTGCCTCACTGGGCAGGTACACCAGCCCCACTTTCCGCCTGAGCCTGGGCGCGCGCAACCTTGAACTCTGGTCAACTTCGTCGCGCTTTCTCCACGACCTCATCCCGGTATTTCCCCCTTGGAATGCGTCCAAGCCGAATAGTATTCGACATCCGCGTCTTAGAAGCCTTCTCGTCAAGACTGGGTCAACCGAAGTCCTCAATGACGACCACCGCTTTGCTCCTCTTCTAACGCTTGTCCTAAAGAAGGCCGGTCGACGAGCAATGCGCCACCTCAATCAGCGCCAGCGCATTTGTTAGAGATATCTCTGAATGCCTTCACTTCTATTGCGTTGATTGAATCACTACGAAGCTCCTTACCCACAGAATTTTCTGCCGATATCTCATTCCGCGGCTCTGCGTGCGCGAACACCAAGGTTGGTGGCTCTCTTTCTTTGACTCAGGCTGTGCTTCTCATCATCTCTCAGACCCTTGCCTCTTCTTTTTGTCCTCGGAGGCTCCGAACAAGACCCGTCTCCTGAGATTCCGCGCCGCAACGAGTTTTAGCTCGCCTCTGGCCGGGACACTTTCGTTTCCTCTTCTATCTTTTCTGGGAATCGCGGCTGGACTCTGGCTTCTCACCCTTTCACGCCTTGGCTCAGTCAACTGGTGGCTTTACCCTCAGGACTGAGACGCCTCGTCTCTTTTCATAAAAAATCTCAACATCATGGCGGATCACGCACCCGGCTCAGGGCCAGCTACGAAAGAGCCCAGTTGCATTAACTGTGGCGGTATTGGACACTGGGCCGTAGCGTGCCCCGAGCCTGTGAGAGCCAAGCCAGCGTAAGTTGCTTGATTTCTTTCATCTTCATCTTCAGACAACGTCTATCATTTCCCTTTTCAGGAGCACCACTAACCCAGTCAAAGTGGGCTGTCCCGAAGGAACACTTCAAACAGTTATGACCACGGTCGAGGGGGCGACCAACACGGCGGAAGACGGCCGGGCGCTGTTGTGACCAAATATCCAACTCCACCCACCGGCAACCCCATCGTCACTCGCTACGGCCCGCCACCGGTCCAGCCCCATGCTCTTCCTTACCCCGGCCCCCCGCAGCCCTACCCGTCTTATCCACCCCCGCCGCCCGGTGGTTACCCTGGATATCCCCAGTACTCGCCACCGCCGCCTCCTCCTCCGGGTGCATATCCACCACCGCCCGGACCCCCGGGGCAGTATCACTACCCAGCTCCGAGCCAGTATGGCGGGCCTCCGCCGGGACCTCCTGGGCCACCTCTCCCTTCTTACCAACCACCACCGTCTTATCCTCCCAGTGCTTCGTACCCTCCCTCATACACCCCTCCATCCGGATACCAGCCCGCCCCTCTCCCTCCACCCCCTAGTGGTCAGTACTCTGCACCATACAATCCCACGTCATCGGGAGGCTACCCTCCGTCCACATATGGGCCACCACTAGTTCAGCCGCCATATGGAGCTCAACCAGGTCCTCCCCCGCCTCCGTCCTCATATACCCAGCCGTACGGGCCCACCGCTCCTGCGTACGGACCGTCACCTCCCCTACCAGCTCCCCCTCGGAGTACGCCGCCAGGTTTGCCGCCCATTCCTCCTCACAGAAATCAGATGTTGCGGGATCGACATGGACGACATCGTCAGGGTCATAACAACCGACCCGACCGCTCTCGCAAAAACAATAAACATAGCAATCCTAAACGCGACGCCTCACAACCAAGGCCGAAGTCGAGCGGTAACAAAGAGAAACAAGGGCCAACCCGGGACGAATCCGAGCCGAAAGCCTTGAAGACGGCATCGATAGCAAGCGCGACCCCTGAGAGCGGACATGCCAACACCGTCTCTGAAGATGGCGTCGATGATGATGAAATCGATTGGAAGTGGGAGGAGGAGATGATCTTCCAGGAGGCGGACAAAGGCCACCAACCAGATCCAATCGCCAAGCCGCTCCCTGGACCGGGAGAATACCATGATAATATCATGTTACCTCCAGCATGGAATGCTACATGCATTCAATCCGACTTTGTCACAGAAGAGAATCTCGAGGAGTTTTCGCGGTCGATCCGAGAAACCGAGCACTTTGCATCTCTGCAACATGACCCAGCGTTCTGGAGAGGCCCAGTTGACTCGAAAGCGGCCAAGCGACAAAGCGAACCGCGGGATAACAAGCCCGTCACTTTCAAGTCCATTCGCCTTCCAGGATTCCCTTCTCTCCCACCGAAACCACCGACTCCGGAGAACCACGAATACCGCCCAGTCAACAGTCGCAAGCGCACTTGGGAAGACTCACCTTCCGACTCGCGGGCTAGAAGCAGCCAAGATGGTGAGTGGTCAGACCAACGTCATAAACGACAAAGGGGCGACTCGCGTTCTGGCTACGATACTACATCACCTCATACACGGAGGACTAGGGAAGAGTCCCGACCAATCGACCGTTACCGCTCTCAGCGGCTAGACCGTGCCGAGTCTGATCCAGCCGAGGCACTGCTGAAGTCTCTGGATACTTCCCATGATGCTGGTCCCTCTAGGCGACATGATGGCGACAAGTTTCCCAGTCGCCACGGTTCCGGTTACCACAACTCTCGACATGCGCGACGCCAGGGATCAGCCAATAGCTTTCAGGAAGGACGGACACCGCCGCTTGCGGGGACACCACCGCCACAGAATAACCCTCGGAGCAGTCACGCCTCGCGGTCTCGTTCACGCTCGCGCCACTCCCACCGACGTGGATCCCAGAGCAGCCATGCCGGATCACGCCCAGCATCTAGGCAGTCTGTGGCATCATTCGCGTCGCATGGCACCGAAGACTCAGAGCTGTCGGCCCTCGAGGCCGAACTCCTTGGCATTGCTCCTAAATCAAAAGGGGGCAAGGAGGGTAAACACGGAGACCACGGCTTGAAGTTTCGCAAGCGCGCCCCGAAGGTCGACTCTGCCTACAGGTAAGTTAATGTTATCAAGTTAACGAGTCTATGTAGCTAACCCATGTTATAGCCGCCGATGGTGACCCAAGCCGGCCCTTGATCACATTCAAACTCAATCTAGCATTAGTCACGGTCGCCGTAACTTGTAAACAACAGTACCAAATGTAGGTTGCCAGGCAGTTCCTGCGCCGATTTTACATTGTTTCATTCTGCAAACGTCGAGAGCCTTGCTCCAGTAATACGATAATACCACGACATTACAATAAAGCTGGGTGTTGGGACGACCCGGGTCAGCGGCCGAAGAAGACATCTCGGCTTGGGAATGACATCCTGGGCTTGGATAGAGATTTCGTGGAATGACGGCTACCGTCGCATTGCATTACAACTCTTCGCCTGCTCGAGAGGGCTATGTGAATGGCCAGTCGTAAAATCAAATTCTTGAACCACCATTTGAAATGTTTCGTTGTCTCTGATTCGTCGCGTGTTTTTGGTTTTTGTTCTGTCTGACACAAGTTCGGTGTCACATTATTGTGTATCCGAGCGGAAGGGATGTGGCCTGAGTGTTGCGTTCACTGTAACTTCAGATGAAGCCAGCCTATTCCCGGTTCCGTCTTCAAACTGATTGGTTAATTTTCCGGCTCCGATCTGGATATTCCCCAGATCAAACTAGTAGAACGCTCAACCTCGCCCAGTTGAACATGTTGCTTGTCGCGGTTAACAGTCACACTGCGTAGGAAGCATAGAAAGTTTTCAAACTCCGACCGGCGTCAATTGCCTATGGAAAGGTGTAGCGACCTAATAAGAAAATAATGTAGGAAATAAAGAACGGTCGTTTCCAAAGATCTATACCCGAGTTTGGTTTCCGCCGAGCCTCAGAAGTCCCTGACTCCTTACGGCATCGATCAGAAACCCCCTCCAAACTCCCAGGTGTTTGACACACCAAAGACCATCGAACTCATCGCGGACCCGTCGCTTATGCGCGGTTGTTGAGCTCCATGCGCTTCTTGAGGCGGTAGGCAATGGCACGCTTGCGGCCGGCAGCGGTCTGGGTGAAGGCGGCGGAGCCACCGAAGGGGCCGGCGGCAGCACCGTTGCGGACACGGACAACGCAGACGTTCTTGGCCATGCCGACGGTGGCGTCACAGGTCATGCCGGCGGGCATCTGGACCTTGACGGGGAACTCGGCGTTGGTGGCGAGGGAGAGACCCTGGATACCGAGTCCCGGGACGTTGGTGGTGACCTGGGCCTTCTGCATGGCCTCCTCCTTGGTACCGCCGGAGGTGCCGTCGACGTCGGCGGTCAAGGGACCAGCGCCATCCTGGTTGATCTGGCGGAAGGTCATGGTGATGGTGCCGTCATCGGCGCAGGTGGGCATACCCTGGGAGGCGCCCATGCCGGCGGTGGCGGCGACGCGGGACTCGGGGGGCCGTTCTGCGTCTTGGCCTTGCCCCCGCCGGCGCCTCCGAAGAGACCGGCGAGGCCCTGGCGGACGTGAAGCTCGGCGCGCTTGAAGTTGGGGATGTTGTCCTCCTCACCGGTGGCGGCGGCCTTGCCGTTGTTCTGGGGAGCGGCAGCGCCGCCCATGAAGTTGTCGATCATGACCGAGGCGTCGACTGGGCCGTTGCCCTGGGTGCGGCCGAGAGGGCCGACCTGGCCGGAGGCGATCTCGCGGTCACGGATGATGGCGGTGTCGGCCTGAGAGCCGCAGCCGTTGGAAGTGCAGTCACGGGGAGTTCCATCGGCGACTGAGTATGATGAGTTAGTGACCTGTTGGTTGGCTTCTCAGAGCAGAAGAGCCTGTCGCCTCCATCTGCCGGCCGTCAGGGAGGTAGAAGCTTACTGGTGAGACCGGGCATAGTGACGCCATTGGAACCAGTGACGGACAACAGCGTGCCGTGAGCAGAGACGGAAGCAGCCAGAGCGGCGACGAGGAGGGACTGGGAACGCATTGTGAAATGAGGGTTTCGGGGTGAGGAAACTAGAAAGAATCGGAGTCGATTTTTATAAGATTAAAGAGTTCCTATTCGTGAAGGGCCACCGGGGCTGATAGGTAAAGAAAGTGAAAAGGTTCAAGTGAAAGGCTTGCTTTGTTGATGCTGTGTGATGAGGGACAGAAGGTTAGATTCGAGGGTGTGGACGGGAGAGTTATATAGAAGATGTTGATTACTCCTGCTTGGCATTCCATATCACGACTGAAGGGGGGACGAATTTTTGACAAATTCCTTGGGTTGAGATGGGACGGACGGACAAGGTTCGGAATCAGATCGTTCCACGCTGAGCCGCAGCACCGAAGCGGTCCTGCAAGCCTCTAGGAATCGACGTCTTCACGGTCTGTTCTCAGCTGAACCTCAGTCGCCTCCCTCATACACACAGGTAGACGCCTCCTCGCCGAGCTGCTCTGCATCCCCGGTGAGACCTCGCAACCCTGCGACCCTCCGTCAGGGTCAATGTGTTGCCAGTGGCTAAGACCTTCCAGCCGTCAGTCAAAGTCAACCTCAAGCATAGCTCGGTATCGCCTCGACTTGAGTGGAATGAAAACCATGGGGGAGGGGCGTGGAGCAGGGGGTGTGGATGCGGTTTCGGTTGGTGTTCAGCTCTAGATTTGAGAAGAAACTGGAATTGCTTCTCGTTCGCTCACTGTGAGTTGAGGATCATGGGACGACAAGACGATGGCGACGTCGGAGGATGAGGCCGGCGGGTCGCCAAACGAGATACGAGGGAGGAAAACGAGAGATTGAGCATCACATACACCCGCCAAGAGACGGGCCAAAGCAAATCGCATCCAAGGCAATGGAGACTTTTTCCAGAAACAGAGACTTGTAAGCGCCCGCGAATCTACCCGGCCGCCCACATTCACATCCCGGGATACGCTACTGCGCCTCTCGCCCTCTTCGCGCACCTGTGGGCGCTGGGTAAGGTACAGGCTGGTTCGAGTGATGCGCAGTTTCGAGGTGCAGAGGGGGTTCACGACGTGGAGGATGGCAAGGGGATGCGCTACTGGGTTGCGAGCTTGAAGAATCAAGGCTCTTGGCTCTTGGGGTCTAGCCGAGGAGGGGGGAGAGCATGTAAGGGTGCTAAGGTTAGGTTCTTGACTGCATGAAGCTTGGCAAATCTATGCTCACGAATTTGTTTCAGTGAAGGTCTCGGCGAGAAACAACCGTGCTGTGCCTGGGTGCTCAGAGTGAGTCTGCAAGCGTCGAACGCGGCGTGACAGACAAGTGACAGAAAGAGAGTCGGCGCGCAGGAACCGCTGTATGCACGCACGTTTTTTGGGCGGTCGTGTGAGTGGTTCTGTGTAGTCAGCAAGTCGATTTGGCGGGGGTTTTTAGGTGTAGGGAACGCAGAGAAGAAAGCCAAACAGAGTTCCGATTGGCCCGTCAGCCGGGGAGCGTAATGCAGCCATCTTACGGGAGCCAAGAAGTTTACGGGTTTCGGCGATCAGACTGGGGATACTCGGGCAGATCATGGACGTGAGGGAAAGGGAGATTCCACCGTGATGTTCACAGGGTTTCCTCACTGAGCGACCGTTGTGTTCCCGTTCCGTATGCTAAGCCTTGGAGGCCCTGTTGTTTCCCCCTGACTAAAAGTCTTGGTAGTAGGGATTGGCGTCGCCTCAGTCTGGCAGAGCCTCCGACGTCCAGGGCTCGGAAACGCCGGTCCACGTTTGGGAGTCAGGAAACGGGGGAGCGGCGGTCCCGGCCTGCTCGAGTGTGGCCTTTCCGTTACGGAGCGTGTCGTGTCGGCTGGCGAGAGAGGCGAAGCGCAATGCTTGGTGGCGGTAGTGGTTTTACGCGTGTTTTGCCGGTGGATGCCATCTCTCTCCATCTCGCTCGTTCTGTCTTGGGCGAGGTTTCGGAGACCGTCCTCAAGCCACTCGTGCGAGCCCAAGAATAGTGCTACGTACAGGACAGTGAGATCATGGAGTATTTGCTCCCCTGCCTCTGGGGGGCGCGGTTACCCGCGATGTGCGTCCGCGATATGCACCCGCGCTATAGGTTTACCGGCAAGGTGCCATTCGGCTTGATGGTGCAATGATTCGGTTGCCCGAGGCAGGGTGGGGTGCAGTACACAAATGAACAGAAAACCTTGCGTTCATGTTTGCTGCGGGGTGACGAACAACGGCGAATGCTGGCCAGCGCAGTTTGCATCACCGCCGTCCAGTCCAACCGAATCGAGACGCCTAGAGCAAGCAACAGAACGTGGCATGCTGTGATGGAAGCCTTCTAGTGGGCATCGAGGGCTGTAGGGCCGCGGCGGGGAGGAAGGGGAAAAGCAAAAGGGGGTGTGTAGACCGTGTGAGATGGCGTACTGCGTGTGGCCGGCAGTGCTTGGCGATGACCCTGATGTGAGGCAGGCCGTGTGATTAAGAGACTGTGCAAAGCCAGTGCTTTTGCGAGATGGCGCCGTGGCATCAGGCTATCGAGAGGCACGATCAGGGTTTCCAGGCCGTGCAGAGCAGTCCCGCGGTTGGTTGACACGAGGCGAGGTTGCTGGCGCAAGACACGTCTTCGACTGTCTCTTGCTCACACACAGCAGGCACACAGAGAACAAGAACGTGGAGAAGCGCCTGTCTCGGAGAATTGTGGTGGTCGTCAGGGGCGGGGGAGGGAAGAGATCTCAGCCAGGGTTGGTGAATCCAGCAAGGGAACATACCGAGCCCCCTGGCTTGCGTCATGAAACGGAAACCAAAATTAGCGGCAAGCCTCGGCCGATTGGGGTCGAGATCCCCGTGGCAGCGGATATAGTACGCATCCACACTGACTTTACCTTACCTAGTTTCCGTGTGGCTAGATACTTTACACCGACAGGCTACAGACACCGTCATCAACGTATGCTTAATTTGATAGGGTATGAGGTCGTTCTCCCGTCCATGCCCCTTTCCATGCCCCATCTCACCGCCTTCGTGTTCGGGTCCCGTAGGCTGACTTTTGCTTTGATCCTTGACATAATCTACTCCAGCACCACCACTACTGCAGGCACATATCGCTGCCAGTCTGCCAGTCTGCCATCCCGCAACTCTAACGCGCCCGCCCTTGGTTGCTTGTCTGTTCCGTTTACCTTTTTATTCCCTTCCAAATTCCATACACGGGCTACTTCATGCCCCATGCGATTTTACCGCCGGGGCGGTTGCTTGAAGCTTTGTTCCAATGAGAACGGGATACCTGCCCCTTTCAGTATCTCATTTTCGTTCTGTCGACATCTTGGTCTATCGGGATGGCTTATCGCGATACCCACTACCTATGCCTTACACAATCGCCTCCAAATCTAACATCGTTCCATAACTCGGAGAAAACAGCCATCGGGCAGACGTCCTCCCGTCCCAAAGGCCTAGCTAGTCCTGCTTGCTGTTGCCGACGGGACATGTGGTTCTTGTCCGCTCTGACATGCCGTCGGCAACAGATATACACCCTCGGACCTCTTCTCTGACAAGCTTGGTGCACCTGGACAGACGCTGTTGGCCAAAGCAGATTTAAACATGGGATAATTAGTTAGGCTGGCCAGCCATCGTGACGTCTGGCGTACTTCCTAGGTCAGCGATGCAGCCTCCCGCGCGCTCTGCTTTCTACGGTTCCTCGGGTTAGAGACGGAAACATCCCAAATAGATTTGAACCGGTGCCAACGTCTCCCACGACCGAAATTGAATGTCAGTCCGCGGCAACCACTATCGTGAATCGGAAGAATCCCTCCTCGTATCTGTGCGGATCGTGGTCCCTTCGTTTCCTGCCGTCTGTTCAGGGGGCTCCCAGACTCGCCTTCAACTCTTCTCGTCTCTATGACGGCAAAACGCCAGCATACCATAGACTTTCCGCTGCAAGGTCGCTGCAGCTCCCTGACACTGTAAACCTTTTCAGAGCCATCGCAACCAATTAAAAGTTGAGGGGTGCCTGTCACGGTTGTCCCTAAGCACAGTCATTAATCTGGTCCAGGCCGTACTTCAGGACACCTGACGAGGGGGGTGCCGTATAAAGCCTATTGAAAGAATTCCAATTGTTATAGTTCTGCTAAATCACCTACACGGAGGTCCCTAGTCTTCACCACGCGTTTTCCCTTCAACTCTATTCGCCCCAAACGTTCTCTTGTATGACATTCGTCTCTACATTCATCTCCGGTCTCCTCGGTGGAGAGTTGTTGCCGAAGGTGAGCATGAAGAAGACGAGATGGCTGAGCCCATAGCCTCTTCACCGCCGGCGTCTACAATCCACGCTATTCTTCCCTGACGGCCCGCCGTTGATGATTCCATCTCTATCCCCAGGTCACCCAGCTGCCCACAAGGTGTTTACTTGCAGCCTCATGCACGCCCGTTCAAGCTTGCATGGTTGGTGAGCCCCCGTTATTCGCTAACCGCCGGTTTTTTCATTCAAACACATGGCAACAATGCGCACATTCGGCCTCAGATCGAACGTTCAGTGCGTCATATGCTTCAGTAAGGGTGCCGCCGAACGCCTTGAGGTCTTCTCGTGACTCAGATGGCCGGGACGAGAAAGAGCTGGATTCGGGATTTGAACTCCTCTCTCGATCGAGCTAGCCAACGAGCCAGGAAGCTCAATCACGCTTAGTCGCCTCAGACACGGGAGATCCGAAGTCTCGGAAAGGTTTCGACCCCATTTGTCAACTTGCAAATCTAGGCAGAGCGGTTCAGATGACTTTGCCAATGGGAAATCTCATGCAAGGTTCATCGCCCGATCAAAATTCGGTCGATGTGGCTTGCGGTATGAGACTTCTTGATTGGCAGTGGCTTCTGGGACTCCGGCTTGGATGGTGTCGGTGGCTCCAATGTCGATTCTATTTCTGACGTTGTGTTCCAGTCGGGTTCCGACTTGGCCCGTTCAACGGCTGAAAAGGTGGTCTTGATTTAGCTATTGACTCTCAAGGGGGTTCTTCTCCTCTGTCAGCCTTGCTCTGGTTTTACGCTCACTATCAGGACTCAGTCTCATCATTGAATTGCCGC